TAAAACACATAACGTAATTAACATTACTTTAAATAAAATAAATAAATAATTTAGTTAAATAATTATATATTAAATTTTTAATAATAAAATTAAAAATTTTATATAAAAATTATAATAATATTAATATAATTATAAATTTTTAATATTTATATTATAATATATAAAAATTATAATAAAATAAAATATATTTATAAATTTTAATATTTTTATTATAAAATTCGTTTTTAAAATTTTTTTTATTTTAATAATTTATTAAGAGTAATATTAAATTTATAGTGTACTTTAGTTATATTTATAATGTTAATTACATTATGGCGAATGCGAGTTTTCGAACGGTATTTATTTTATTATATAAATTTTTATATAAATTAAAATATTTATAAAACGTTTATTATAATATAAAAATACTAAAAATATTTAATTTTTAACTTAATATTCTTTTTTTAAAATAAGTTTAAATTATTCGTAAAATAAATTAAATAAAAACGTATTTTAAAAGTAATTAAATGCATTAAAATATATTTTATAAAAAAATGTAAAAAATAAAATAATGCTTATTAAAAATATATTAAAAATATATTATAATAAAAAGTGGTGACGAGGTTTAAAATAATAATTATAAAATTAAAATAATATAAACTTTTTTAAATTTAAAAAATTATAAACTTTTAAATTTAATTTTTAAAAAAGTGTAATTAATTTTATTTAATATAAAAAAAATAATTAATAAAATTTTTAAATTTTAAATAAATTAAAGTTATTTTTAAGGTAAAATAATTAATTAAAAATAAAAACGTAAATATTTAAATATATATAAAAAATAAAATTTTAAAGTTTAAAAAATATTTAAATTTATATATAAAATTATATAATAAAACGTATACTTTTTAAACTTAAACTTTTAATAAAACTTCGGCTTTTTAAAATAACTTAACATTATAAATATAATTAAATTATATTATAAATTTAATGTTATTTTTTATTAAATTTAATTAAAAACTTTTTTTTATTTTTTTTTTAAAATAATAATTTTTTTAAAATTTAAATAAAAACGAAATATTTATAATAAAACGTTCGTAATTATATAATTTTTAATTATTTATTTTATTTATTTATTATAAATTTATTTATTTAATATTTTTAATTAATTAAATTATATAAAAAATTTATATAATTATTATTTATTTAATTACGCCGGTTTAATAATTAATTTATTAATTATTAAATTAATTTAAAAATTAAATTAAAAAATAAATAAATAAATAAATTAATTAAAAATAAATAATATTAAAAATTAAATAATTAATTAAAAAAATATATTTAATAAAAAAACGTAATAATCGTAAATATTTATATAATAAAATTTATATTAATAATTAAAAAAATTTATAATTAATTTAATTTAATTAATTTAAAATTAAAATTTTAATTTTAAAAAAAATAAAATAAAAATTTATTTAATTAAAAAAAAATTTAAAAATTAAAATAATTAAAATAATTAAATAATTTTTAAAAAATTAAATTAAAATTAAACTTATTTATTTAAATAAATTATTTAATTAAAAAATTAAAATTTTATAATATATTAATTATTTTTTAATGAGTAATGTTAGTTGCGTAGTATAAGGTTTAGTTAATTTCCCGCGTAATATCGGATAAAAGAAACGTTGTTAAACGGTGTATATTTCGTTTTATATAAATTTATATAAGAAAATATATATTTATTTTAATTTTGAACTTTATTTCGATATTTATTACTTTTTCGATATTTTTAATTTTTAATTAATTGTTTTTTTTTTAATTTTAATTTAAATTTTTAATAATTACGATTATCGTAATTTTATTAAAAGGAAAAATTAAATAAATTAAGTTATATTAAATTTAAAGGTGGAAAAAACGTTATATCGTTTAATTTAAGTTAATTTATATTAAATGTAATAAAATTAATATATAAAACTTAAAAGTAAATATTTCTTTTTAATATAATTTTTAAAATTAAAATAAGTTCGAAATAATTAATTTTTTAAATTATAAATAAATTAATTTAATAATTTTTAATTAAGTTAATTTCGAAAAGTTTAATATAAAATTTAATCGATAAAAAATCGTTAAAAAAAAGTTAATATAAAAAAAAATCGGGTATAAATTTTTAAAAAAATGTATAAGTTTAATTACGTTAACGAAAAATAACGCGAAAAGTTTATTTTTAATAATATATGTAATTATATAACTTTTTATATAAAAAAATAAATACTCGTTCGAATAACGTTAATTTAACGATATTACGCGGGAAATTAAACGAATTTTATATTACGCGGTTAACATTATTTTTTTTAATAATAAATTTAAATTTATTCGTAACTTTTTTTAATTAAATTTATTATATAAAATATTTATTAAATTAATTATTAATTAAATATTATATTAATTAATTTATTTATATAAAAATTTAATTAATTTAATTAATTTAAAAATTAAATTTTTAATTTAATTTAAAAATATTTAATTATTTATATAATTAAAAAATTATATTTAAATTTAAATAATTAATTATAAAAAATTTTTAAAAAAAATTAAAAAATCGTTAAAAATTTATAAAAATTTATAATAAAATTAATAAAAAAAATTAAAAAATTAAAATTAAATATAAATTTAAATTTAAATTCGAAAAAATAAATAAAAAAATAAATTTAAAATAAATTTAAAAAAAATAAAATTAAAATTAAAACGAAAAAAATTAAAATTAAAAAAAAATTATTATTAATAATATAAAAATAATTAATTAAACGTTTTTATAAACGCGAAATAATATAAAAAAATTCGAACGAATAAATATATTAAAAAATTAAATTTTTATATAAAATAAAATAAATAATAATTAAATTTTAAATATATTTTAAAATTTAAATTATTATAATTTTTAATTAAAAAATTTTTTAATATAAAATATATATTTTTTTATAAATTAATAAAATTCGAAAATTAACCCGATTAAAAATTTCGAAAATTTCGATAAATGTTAATTTTTTTACGTTTCGTTACGATATAATAACTTTCGAAATTCGGGTATAATTTTATTTTAAATGGCTTTAAATTAATTACCGCGTTATAATTTATTTATAACTTAAAAATAATTCGAGTTTTTATATAAATAAAGTTAAAAATTCGAACGCGCGGTTAATTAATTTAAAGCTTATTTACGTAAAAATACGTATAATTTATTAAGCTTTTATAATAATAATAACATTAATATTTTTAAAAGTTTTAAAATTATAATAAAAACATTTCGATATAACTTTAAAAATATATTTTAAACGTAAAACTTAATTTAATTATTTTTCGTAATTAATTTTTTAACTTTTAAAACTTATTTTTTTTAAATATAAAAACGTTTTAAAAACATAATTAAATTATTTATTATTAAATAAATTATTTTATATTTTTATATATTTTTTATAATATATTTTATACATTTCCATTAATTCGCGTTATACGCCGCGTTATTTTATTAAAATAAAAAATATTATTATTAAAATTAATATATTATAATTTATATTTAAATTTTAAAACATTTATAAATCGTTACGTAATTAATTTAATCGTAAATAAGTTATTTTATTATTATTATTATTAAAATTAAAGGAATTTAAAAAGGTTTTAACGCAAGCATGCCTTAAACTACGTGCTGTAAAAGGTGTGGGACAAGGATAAAGGGCTTTGATTGGTCGAAAAAAGGGTGTGGCGGGGGAGTACAACAACTTTTACAGCGTACGTAAGCTGAGGCCACCTGAGATAAGTATAATCGTATTTTTTTAAAACTTTAAAGCTCGGGTATAAGCTAGCCACAACGCGGCGATTAATTTCAAACCACTTAAGATAAGTCCCTACGTTTCGGTGCGACACAGTAAAACCCTCGGAGCTCGGGCAAAAAGTAGTTTAAGTTACTTCAAGCATTGGCACAAGCTATCGTCACCGTGGCACGTAATGTTTATAAGTTCGCCGAGATCAATTCTACCGTTATGGTAAATCACTTGCCTGTTGGGAAATAAACTTTCTTTACTTGGCCACTTGGCAACTTGGCAATTCTTAGCGGCTGAGAAGCTAAAGCTTGTTTCGACGTCGATATTTAGATTGAACTAATTCAAGTTTTCGGCTGTGCTATCATGAGGATCATTAGCAGCATCTATGTTATTGATATTTCCAACCTTCCCTCCGGTATGGTTAGTTAAAGTTCGTCCAGTCCTGTTGGTCCCAACTCTCTATGCTGCCTCTCTGCCTCCCTGCCTCCCTTCCGTCCCTCAACCGCTCAACCCCTCTGCCCCTTATCTTTTTCGTATGCATACCATGCTTCGCATAAAGATTATTCAATTGGACTAGGGAACCCTTGCTACCCTCCACATGTTCTTGTTTCCCTTATCATGAGTTATTTAACCACTTATCCCCTAATAACCTATCCGTATGTTATATCTCCCTTCCCTACACCCATACGTTGACTTACATACATATCGATTTCATCTGTATGCCTGAGGAGCCGGCTGGGCGATGCTACCTTCCTCTATCGCCAAGGCTTGCGTGTTTCCCTCTGACCAATGATGGTTGGGGCAACTGACCTTGGCACGTTCCTGGGGTTCGCCGACGTAGCGTTTTGACCCGCAAACGGCTTGTATCCGGAGCACCATCGCTCATCCAGACTAGCCTTGCCCGCTGGAATTGCGACCGGGAAGTACTACGCACTGCGTATTGGCATGGCCGCGTTATGGATAAACAGCCCGCCAGCCTTATCTCTCCGCAAGGTCTGGTCAGGCGTCGTACGTATACGCCCCAGCAGGAAAACGGAAGCCCAAATACCCGCTAGGTTAAACTAGGCAGATGATGCATTTTTGTTGGCATGGCTTTCGCCATCCCTTGGCAGCTGAGACGGCCTTCCTAGATATATCAGGAAGGTGTCGTTGCATCTCATGTCACGAACCACGTCCAGGATATATCACATTCGACAGATGTTAGCATGGTGATGCCTTAGTGGAAGCCCCCATCAACTTGTCACCGACGATTAGGTATCGGCCCTGTTTACCGCGCCCTATCTCTCTTCATCATTATTATTGTTGTTGTTGTTGTTGTTGCTCTGTCCTAAATGGACTTGGAGATCTTGTCAGGACTATTTAATACCTCTTGATATCCTCATCTTTCGGTCGTCTATTACCACAGGTTACGGAAACTCTAGCCATTTGCTTCCTAGCCATTGGCTCCAGCTCCTCTCCCGATAGAACACACCTTCATCGCTTTTATCCTCTTAGGGAGAATATATGTTGCCAAATTCAACATGCAAATTCCGATCATCGCTAGTGCCCTCTTGTGCGCCAACCTGGTGCTCGCCGCCCCTGGCACGTCCATGCGTAGCCAGCGAGCGAGTGACCGCATTGCCGAGAGAAGAATCAATCGCTCTTCCAACATCAACCAGCGCGTTGACAATGAATTGGGAGTAGCTAGCAAGAACGGCACCTCTCATGTTGAATACAGCTCTAACTGGGCGGGCGCTGTGCTCATTGGCAGCGGCTACAAGACTGTGACCGGCACATTTGTCGTCCCCACGCCTAAGGTACCCTCTGGTGGCAGCAGCTCGACGACTTATTCTGCGTCCGCTTGGGTCGGTATCGACGGTGACACCTGCCAGACTGCTATCCTACAGACTGGTGTTGACTTCACCATCCAGGGGTCCTCAGTGACCTACGATGCGTGGTTCGAGTATTATCCCGATTATGTTTGTTTTCCCTATTTTATTACATTTTCTAAATTTGAAACCCCATTCACGAATCCGTTCTCACGATGAGGAAGCTTTGGCAAACGATCGCCTAGTACATGGAAGCCATGACCGCTGACCCAAAAATATAGGCTCATGATTTCTCTGGCATCCCGATTAAGGCTGGTGACACTATCACCGTGGTACGTATGGAATTTGTTATGGAGATCCACCATCTCTTTTAAACCAGCACCGACATACTTATAATTTCACAGACCGTCACTGCTAGCAGCACAACTGCCGGAACGGCTGTCATTGAGAACGTGACAACTGGCAAGACTGTCAGCCACAGTTTCTCTGGCGAGTCTTATGCACTCTGCGAGACCAACGCCGAATGGATTGTCGAGGACTTTGAAAGCGGTGGCAGCCTTGTTAGCTTTGCAAACTTCGGAACTGTCGAATTCACCGGCGCATCCGTTAACGGTGGCACCGATACCAGCGGCGCAACTATCATTGACATCCAGCAGAGCGGCAAGGTCTTGACTGACTGCTCGGCTTCCGGATCCACCGTCACCTGCGCATATTCGGGCTAGGTTCAAGGCCCCTATGGCCATGCTTAGCAACCACTGTAGCTTATCTTCCCAAGACGCTCGACAATTTATCATCCAAGGGTGGGATAATTACATAGGTGCTTATCGGATTATATAGTCTATCAGCTTAGCTCTGGATTGAACATTTCCAAATACTCAGTTCCGAAAGGTTCTATCCTCTAGAAGGAATAATACTGTTCATTAACTGATTTATTCCTTTTTCACTGCCAAACCTGTCCATCTTCGAGTTGGCAATATAGTCTTTATAGCCTAATGTGCAAGTGAAATGCATACATGTAGATAGGTAGCTAGCTTGAAGCACTTTATGTACCTTTTAGTATATCAACTACGCGGGACCGATTAAACTAAGTGAAACAATCCACCGAATGAATCAAGCAGCTAGCTGCCTATTAGGAAGTCTGCATATTGCTTAGGTTCAACCATTTGGTTAGGTACATAAAAGAAGCCAATTTAGTGATGGTTACTGCCTAAGTACCTAAGTACCTAATCAGTTACCTAGTATTCCTAGTGGTCTAGTCAACATCCCCTACCATGATATGAAACTACGAATACGTTTATAGATGATAATATGCATGGTGAGTATGCATCTAGGACGCGAGAAGTTTTCGATCCAGTTCTTTTGGTGCGACATGAACCTTCAGACCACTAAGAAAGACCAGAGAGCTGGGGGGTGCATGAGTTATATAAACCCTTAAGATGGTAGTAGAAAACTTACCCGCACTCTTCCGTCAACTCTGCTTTATCAGCCAACCTCATATCGAAGCACATCAGGAGAGTGGGAACAAGCTAGGTTAAGGACAGATAAGTGTCCGACGAACATGTTTGATTTTAATGCGGCAACGTACCTTGCTGATTTCCAACCAACTAATATCTAGATACATATATGTCAGTTCCGAACCTACCGAAAATATGGATAGTTACACTTACTTCTACCAATGCAAGTTCGGGAGCCGCCACCAAAGGCAAAGAAGAAACGCTCTGTAGAGTAGGTAGGTACCTAGTTAGAAGGAGGTTTCGCAGCTATTATGTCATGGGTAGTAGCGGGATCATACTTAAGTTGTTTTCGTTCCCTTTATCTAACCACCTCTCAGGGAGGAACTCTTCGGCATCTGGGCCCCAGATGTCTAGTACCCGATGAATAACCCATGCGCTGGTCCCAACAACCACCTACTCAATTAGCATATATCGCGCGAGATATGATAATGGCAATGGATCTTACGCCGGCCGGCACGTAATGCCCGTTAATTGTCATACCGCCTGGAGGCACATCCCGGTCGAGAATGTCGCCCGCTGCCGGGTACAGGCGCATTGCTTCGTATATAATGGCCTGGAGGTATGCACATGACTCCGCTTGTTTAAAGGTTACGGGAAGGCTCAATTCTCCTTTCTGTCTCTTGCTCTCCAATTCTTCTACCAGGCGATCGTACTTCTCGGGGTGTTTCAAAAGCAAGTAAATGATTGCTCTCAATGATGTTGATGTCGTGTCAGATCCGGCAAATACATTCGTAGTCATCATGAAGGCGATGTTCGTATCATTTAAATCGGGTTTCTCCTTTTGTACCGAGAGGAGTTGGCCGGCGATATCCTTGTAGTCGCCGCCCCTGTCAGTGCGAGCTTGGACCTCCCTAGTGGCAAACTCAAAAAAGTATGTGTTGCGATCATTAGCAGCTAGCCAGTTCCCAATATATGGCATGAGCTTTTGGTGCCACCTATACAACTGGGGGGCATGTCGAATCCACCCGATCGATCGTAAGGCTCGTTGTATACGAAGAAAGATCCCGTTATCTTCTCCGACCTCCACGTACCCGAATGGTCGCGAAAAGCTTATAGAGCCAATGACGTCTGGAGCAGGGTGGTTAGCGCCGATGAAGCTCATAAGCTATAACATAATGCTCAAGGTTAGGGATCGCCGTTCAATACCAACAGCAAATAATTGCATCCAATATCCTAAATCAATCGGTTGACCGTGAAATGCCTTCAACCTGTCCACCAATGCGTTGATGACCGTATCAACATGAGGTTCGAGGTAGACCATGGAGTCCATAGAGTAAGAGCGGGCCACGAGTCTACGCTGCTCCGAGTGGATCTTCTCGTCTCTCTGGCCAGCCAGGTCGAACGGTCGCGTGCCTTGGAGCACAGAGTATGATTGGGACTTATAGAACTTGTTCCCCGCTCCTAAAGCAATGATTAGAGTGATGGAAAAGACCCTGGGATGATCCAACCCTACTGTATATTTCTCGAAATGCCATAGGATCTCCTACGCTTCTGTCAATCGCAAAGTAACACGTCAGTCAGCTGCTCTATTCCGTACGTGGCCCAAGTAGGGATGTATGGACCCGTATAGACATACAATGCGTTCGGACTGATGCGAACCACCGTGCCGTAGGTCTTATGAAGGTCTACGAGTTCACGATGGATGCGTCCTCGCCTAGAGATGAAAGGGTAGTATAGCCAAGTAATCTTGGCGACGAAAGGACCCGGGATTCGGGCAAGAGGCGAAAAGAAGCATTCATAAAAAACATAGACGGCCACGAGGACAGTGAGGAGGACAATAGCCCCATGTGGACTCATATGCAATGCGTCTGGTTCCATGATGATTTTATTTGATCTATGAAATTCAGAAAACAAAATTAGCTGAGGGGATAGCTGGTATTTATATTGCAATATAAGTTAAAGCGACTCCATCATTTAATGACTTGACCGCAGCATATACACGTTAAAAATAAAAATTTACCTAATGACTTCATTGGTAATGATGGGGTCCGGATGCAAGAGTCTTAATGTTGTGAATTCTAGAAAAGAAGAAGAAGAATAAGAAGAAGAATCTAAGTTTTAAGCTATACTAAAAAGATATAATAGGTACCTACCTAGGTACCTAGTTATCTACTTACATGTACCTACCTACCTAACAGCTTAGGTACTTAACGCTAGAAGGCTCGAACCTGGTTCAGCCACGTTGAAGTAAAGCATCCCCGTAGAGTCAATTAATTGATTGGGTGCATCTCTTGAGAACCCCCCCCCCTTCATCTTCGTAAACTACCTACCGACTGGACCCGGAGCTTCGCAGACGTAGCGAAAACGTTCTGCATATTTGGTGTGGCTCTTATTTAAACCGTACCGCTTCGTTTATTTTCGTGGAATTTCTCTACGTCGATCTTTTCATTAAAGCCAAAAACTGCAAACTGCGTCAACAACCTTGGTACAGCGATACGTAGGTAGCATTATCCTTACCGGCTTCCATCTCTTCCAAAGATTTACCCTTGGTCTTCTCAATGTTATTAATATGTATAATTGCCATGAGTTGGTCTGCCCATAGTATCTTACCTCCTTGACCACAACCCACGCGTATGCAACTAACGCCCAGTTGAATATGCAGAACATCAGAAAAGTTCTCCAGCCGATATTGTTTATCGCATGGGGGGTGATTTGCGAGAATACAAAGTTGAATAGCCATTGGGTGGCCGTCCCGACTAGAAGATGTTAATAATGTTGGCTATCTCGTGGGGAAATGGTGAGTATCACCTGCAACGCCTGCCTCGCGTATCCTGGAGGGAAATATCTCACTCATGTAAATCTATAGGTAAGTATCGGAGCGTTAGACCATAGCCAGCAAAATTCATATTCAAACAAGAGTTCAACAGCGTCGCTTACCCAAGGTACTGGTCCCCATGATATGTTATAGCTCACTGGTTCATCGCAAAGCGTTAGAATGAGGTTCTCGTCACTAAACATTTAACGATACTTAGGTACCTACTCGCTTCGAGGTAGACCATGGCTACTGCCGCAGCGCCGGTGCTAGTCAAGGGCTGAGAGGCGACTGGGGGGTGAGTAGCTGTTAAGCAAGCTATGATGAGCATGTATGCGCCCATGAGAAACGCCCCTCCAATGAGTGAGCCACGACGCCCGATCTTCTCGACGAGGAACAGCAGGAAGAATAGACAAGAGACAACCTTGACAACGCCAAAGAACCCGCTGATCAGAAGGCTCTGGTCACCGGCTCCAACCGCTTTGAATATCTGCGGGGCGTCTGCAGCGGTCAGTTTTACCCAACGATACCAGAAACTTGGAGAGAAAACATACAGTAAGCCAAGCTAGTGTTGCCAGTCAATTGTACGCCTTGTCTCTCTTATCAGCGCGGACGGGATGAGTGGATTTTATGGCTCTAGTCCTACCTATCTGCAAGGTGATGACGATGATAAAGCGGAAACGGTTTGCTGGAAAGAGGCATTCTTTTAGTGTAAGGCCCTCGGTAATGCGCTCTTCTTCTTCAATGCCTGCAATGATTTCCGAAAATCTGTCGGCCGCCGTTAGCTTTCAGCCTACGAGTAAAACATTGTTGATAGCATTTGACATCATCATACTCTTCCTTTACTTTATCATTATCTTCGCCGCGAACCCAGATGAGCGATTCCATCGCCTCCTCCCTCCTGCCCGACTTTGCAAGCCACCGGGCGCTCTCTTTCGTAAGTAACATCCCCAAACCCAATATGCCACCAGGGACAAGCTATGAACACCTTCCGCATTAGCCGGGCGCGCATTCTTATTTTCGTAATCATCTCCGGGGGTGTGGTGGTAGAATTATCACTGACCTGGAGACCAATAGGAATCTGCCACTGTTGCGTCGTTGAACGTAAATGTTGCGATACACCGTAGTCGACCCAGTAAGAAGTCATAACCCCAAGCGTAAAGAAGAACTGAAACATACTTCCCAGCTGACCTCTAATCTGCTTTGGGGCCATCTCTGCGCTATACACTATCAACTGAAGTCAGCGGTTGCTCTCTAAGATGCGTTGGCGATCCACCTAGAGGCCGCCGATGAGAACATAAGCTTCGTAGTATAACTTACTTGGAATGATGACCGTGGCCATTCCAACCCCCACCCCGGAGATAACGCGAGCGACATAGAAGGCCGCCAGAGAGTGCGTGTTGATGACTTGGATGATGGCTCCGACGTTGAAGATGAGCGAAGCTAATGTGATAGACCAACGACGTCCGAATCGAGCAGTGAAGGGCCAGACGAAGAAGCATGAGAAAAAGGCTGGCCACTCAATTATTAGCATTCCCCTTTCTTTCCACCCGGGGTTCGCAGTCGACTAGATATTGACCTACCTCCAGCCTGCAGAAGACTCGTCGCATTGGAGCTAACACTAGCTTGGTTCGCCTTTGTAATGCCGAAATCGTTCTGAAATGATGGTAGTGTAAGGACACCACCAATCACTCCCGTATCATAACTAATCGACTCATGGGTAAGAAACTCCTCATCAAAGTAGGGTGGGTATCGATGACAGAGAATAGCTAGAGGAGCAAGGCTCGGTAGACAAGAGACAACTCACGCGAACAAGAAGCTGCCGATGCAGCAAAGGGCAACTAAATACCACGCCCTGAACGTGCCTACATTTGCACCCATGGCGAAGATATTATCGACGTGGAGAGATACTTGAGAATCTCTTCTTAGAACGCTTATGTCAGAATTTTGATATAAGCTGAACAACGATGACAGAACCGATGATACACAAGCGAGTTAGTGTCATTTATAAGATGGCTAGATTATATGCCTACATAGGTATTTATATCTGCTAAGATATATGATTAACATACGCACCATTATGAATTGATAGTTAAGTACCGTTTCTTAGAGTAGCTTTTCCAACCCAGAACCCACAAGCACCACCGATTAAGGATACGTACCTAGTATTACACAATAAAGGGGTCTGTGCCGCACTTTGTATTGGGTATGTAAACATACTACTAGGTACGTATACTACTCTGCTAACTACCTAGGTAATTAGTAGGTAGAAACTTCCGTCGCAGGTGGTCGTAGGGATTCATCCGGTTCATTCTTGTGTCATCTGCGCTAAGAATTGCGAGCTCAAAAGTACCCCTGCGTACTAGGGTAGGTTGGTTCTCTTGGCGTGAGGTCCGGATGTTGGTAATACTCCCTAATACCCTAATAGGTTATATGCAGCATTACTCACAACCTCGTGTGGTTTACGGTTCACCAAGACCGACGGAGATAGGACAGAAGCAGAAGTCTTGGTGAGACGTCCCGAAGGATTGGATTAACTCTGTAGCGATTGTAAACGGTGTAGATCATTGGACTCCTTCTCCTTTCATTGGATACCCCCACAAACCTGGTCTCCCTATCCCCACAAGAACCCCGGTTTCTGCGATCTATTTAATTAGGCAGAGCCCTCCCAGGCCAGCCTCGACTAGTGCCATCGTGTGGTTACACTTGAGTGGGAAGAGTGGGAAGAGTGGGAATGTATTTGCGTCTTGCTTACGGTTCTCGGTCTTGTCGGTCTGTCCACCTTATGATTGGGCGTGTAGGTTAAACCTTTCCATCACTTAGCTCTCAAACGATATTCGGCATTCGAAGACCAGCTCATTATTAGGAATTACCTAATCCCGTCTCAGCTGGCGGTTGTGTTAGGTGTGAGACGAGGCTTTGACTAATGAGAAATGAGGAAGGGGTATGACTATTGCCACCAATGACCGAGGCTCTGCGTCCTCTGCGTCCTCTGCAGGTTTCTAGAGACCTTCATGAACCGCAGAGCCCGCAGGCCGGGTCCGGGCCAATATCTACGCCTGTATCTATACCGGACTCGTTGAAAAAGCGCGCAATCTGTTCTCAATGTAGGATAAGAAAGGTAAGTGGATGGTTTCTCAACGTCTGGAAGACGATGCAAAGGCATCCGAATATTTAGTAGCAGACATGCAGCTCACACGCATCTCTCATCGTCCCTAGGTGCGTTGCGACGGCCGACCAAATATCTGCCAAAACTGTGATCGGTTGGGGTTTGAGTGCTCCTTTCAGCAGTCACCTGGTAAATCGCCCGGAAAATACGTTGTGAAGCTGCCCGAGAGGCGTCGCCGCATGCAGGCTTGCATCCAGTGTCATTCTAAAAAGACCCGCTGTCTCGGAGAGTTGCCGAGTTGTTCGAGCTGCGTCAGAAGGAATCGGACGTGCGTTTATCCCAGGACTAAGAAGCACGGAACTATCGCCCGCGGAAATGATCTGGCTGGGGTCTCCGAGGCCGACGGCCAAGTTGCGGAACAACGCTCCGGCGGTACCTCCCCGACTCAGGGAATCATGATGATTGGCCCAGCACAGGGGCTTACCCTCGATCACGACGTGACCTTGGCTCTGATGGAGGACTACTTCAAGCACCTGTATCCCCTCCCATCGTTTTCGTTTCTTCACAAGCCGACATCTCTTCAGAGATGTAGGGACCAGACGATGAACGGGACTCTGAAGCTGGCTATCTGCGCCATCACGGCGCTGCAACTCCACCGCACTGCATTATGCCACGATCTATGGGCTCAACAGGCTGAGCAGTTGATACTACAGCAGATGGGACGGGCATCTATCTTCAACTTGCAAGCATTACTTCTTATCATCCGTTACAGGATCGAGAGCGGCGAATTTCCAACGGCGTTTATGTTGGCTGCGTTGGCCGCTCGAACGGCCTTAGCCCTCCGCTTGAATTACGAGCGCCCGGAGCTCCCTGATGTCGCGCAAGAAGCACGTAGGCGACTGTTCTGGGCTCTCTACTTGCTCGATGACTTCTTCTGTGTGGGACTGAGAGAGTTCGAACTATACCCGGAAGAGACCATCGCCATATTTGTAAGGCTTCACCAATCTAGAAATTTCAACAAAAGTTTCCACTAATTTGATATATCACCATTAGCTTCCTTGCGATGAGGATAACTTTGAAGCGGGCCGGCACGTACGTACTGGCGTGCTGCGACCCGGTCCTGAGTCACGCGGGAATGCCACCGTCATCGGCTTACGAGGCGTATCTCTGCGACTAACGTCTGTGCGGCGGGCTGTTATGAGGTATAAATACGGGTTCCTCCTCTCCCCTTACTTCGCGTCTTAGGCTTACATGCGATGCCGTATAGATTTAACCGCAGGGTCGGGTTAGGTGATGAATTATCTTCGACTATTGGGGAAAGTATCTGGCGATTCGAAGAGGAGCTGAGATTTCTCGGGGCAGCACTTAGACCCAACGAACAGTACTCGGCGGTGAACCTAACATCGTCTGAGTGGCAGGCGCAGTTCATAATGCTGCACATGTCATGGCACCAGTGCCATTGTGACATGTATCGCCTAGGACTCGACGGTTATAGTGAGGCAGCTCCCTCACCCGTCCTTCTCGCCCTCCACCCCCGAGACAGAGCTGGGATGCAACTAAAGTGTCTCGAACATGCTAGAAGTATTATTGGGATCGTTTCCGACTTCTTGAACCACGGGGACGGCGAATTGCTCCTTGAGCGCGACGCCGCCGTCTGCGCCTTCGAGAGTGCTCGTCTGCTCATGTTTGGTTCTCGAGCGGCTTCTAATTTGGATGTAGCTATAGGCAAGGCCAAACTATCACTGAAACTGATCACGAGGTTTTTTCCGTATTCTGCCTCGACGCAGCCATTAGTAGGTTGTCAAATTCCTCGGCCCTTTGGCCATGTCATCCGAGTTAGGTAATGCTAAATGTTCGCAGCGAAAGGACTTGGAACGGTTGATAGCGAGCTACTCGGTCCGTCTCGCCTTACAGACCCAGAAAGCATTCTCGGAGCCAGAACCACCATCGGCTCGACCCTCTACGAAGGTCTCGCAGTACGCAACCTCGCGCCAGCGACTATCAGTCCAGAGCCTGCTGCTGCAGTCGGACTTCGTTGACGATAGCAACGAGATCGCTGGTCCTACTCAAACAACCGAGACTCCGACGCTCCCCAGCAGCATGCAGACTTCCTTCCCAGTTGGGGTAGGTGACGAGGTGTTAGCTGGGGCTGCTACTCCTAGAGATCATTCGTGGGGGACGACAGGCCCGGGAAACAGCCAAGTTTCACCAGCCGGGCAGTCTCTGGATGCCGGGCAGGAGGGCGCAGGGCTCATATTTAATCCTTGGATGGGATTTACTGGACCGGAAGATATGTACGGTGTGTCTAGCCGACCCCCAGGACCGGACGACGAGTTCTGAATACAGATGGCAGATAGAGGGCCTGGCCTGTATTAAAATATCAAGATGCAATAGATTTAATATGTATCTAGCTATGCAGATAGCGGCTGGCGCGTCGTTCGACAAAGCAATGGGGTATTCGGTAATTGTGTATAAATAGGATCTAACTTATACATCTAGAGATCTACATCCTGCGATGCTCCTGTTCGCTGTTCGACTACGAGTTCTACCTGAAATTCCTTTGTAGATAGATACTCCCACCTCTATGATCAACCCAAGCTATTCACACTGGGTGGTTGGTAGGCTGAATTTTCTAATTGGCATCTAAGGTATTATTTAAAAACTGTATTGATCGCGTAGACCTGGCTTTTTTGAAGCTATATTATTTAACGATAATGTTTCGTATTACTGCTGCCGATCGATGATTTCCTCTTAAGTTCACTGGCAGTCAATTTCCCATGTATATTCCATAGCTTGGGGGCTGATGGAGTTGTCTCGTCATCAGTGTGACTTTCCTCATCGGCGTCTGAAGTGTGTAAGTCGCTGGTCTCAACCTCCACACCCTCGTGAGGAACTTGCTGTGGGGAAGTCATCGAAGCCGTCTCGGTAGCGTGATCGCCAACACTGTCGTCACCAGGTATGGTAAATATCGTCGAAAGCGTGGATTTCTTGGGGGGTGGCTCTTTCGTATTCTTGGAACCGGTAGGTGTCACGGGCTGGGAGAAATCAAAAGAGTCAGGCTCCGTGGTAGAGGATAGGATAGGACTAGTTCTGGGCCCTGTCTGTAACATGTGACCTTTCGGGAATCTCTTGATCTTGATCTTCGGTTTTGCGTGCGTGTGGCGCGTGGCCATCTCAAGGCGTTCCTCCTCATCCGTATCGTCGTCTGTTATTTTGTACGGATTTTCTTTGGCAAGGCCGTGATGGAGCGGGTTTGAAAGATTGCTCCCACTAGACCTTCGGTGACGGTATTTCAGCTTGTCTTTTGTCGAAAGGGACCACGCCTGAGCTGAGCCGGGTGCTAACGTTCCGTGACTTTCTCCATGGGTTCTCGCTAACGAGCCGGTGGCCATCCTTCGTAGGTCGACTTGACTTTTACTGAATACGACGCGGGCCCGCAAAGCATGGACAGCACGATCCAGAGCTAGTTCGACAGCACAACGGTCACGTATGCGAGATAATTTAGGCCAGGTCGCTCGCTCGCCCAATAAGCATGAACGCATCATGAACTCGGTCGTCGGGTTCTTTAGCACCTTTGGCAAGTCCCAAACACCCATAGCCGGAAGGATATTAATGTCGCCAGAGTACTTTTGGCTCAGGATCGACCGTAGCTTACTGACCAGGGTTGGGAATATACCAATCTCGGCCATGAACTGCATCCTATGTAATGCTTCGCTCTTGGCCAAGGTAGTGATTGTATGTAGCCAATCGGACTCTTCCCTATAGATTGTTTCGTGGCGTGCGCCGGAGGGCGTGCGCGTCACGTCATCTTTGGTAAGAAAAGGAACGACGTGGGGATTAACCTGCGAGACGATGAAGTGATTGACGTTGAACATTTCCGCTAGCCTCGTCATTGGAAGGTCGCTGTCGACAGATCCATCGATCCACATCTGCGGAGTGGGATTCCACGTACTGTGTTCGCCAGTCAAGGGGTTCTTGACCAGTAGGGGCGCGGCACTGAAGACGAGCGGAACCGAGCACGACGCCGCCACAGCAGACCATATCATAACATTAGGTGCCGTGACGTAGTTGAGTAGCCGAGGTAGCTCATAGATGGATGCAGACGAGACACAAATGTTGCATATTCTCCGGGTACGGTTGTATGCTTCTTGAAATGTGATGTCGCCGAGCAATTCACGCATCACGCGTGTCAAATGCTTGATATCGGACCAGTTGCCTTCCGTGAGCAACCTCCGTAGGTGGCCTAGAAGGCCGTCTTCATTTCCATCCTCTTCAAACACGGCTAAGTCGCCATGCGGAAATTCTTTTAGTAATTGAGGGATCTCGTCATCGGTCCTTGAACAGACAACGGAGCAGACGATGGAACCAGCAGAGGCCCCGGAGATGATACGTGGCAATAGCCTTGCCTCAAACATAGCTTTCAATACCCCGATATGGGTCATACCGAACGTACCCCCGCCGCTCAGTAGGAGGGCGCTCCGGCCGAAGCTTTGGCGAGCGTAAAGCACGGCGTCTAATAAGTCCTTAGGACCCAAATCATCCGGGAGACGGTGAGCGCTCTGCTCGACCAGGGTCGTAATTGTCTGCAAGGTAGAATCTACGTACCGCTCGATCAACTTCTTGGTACCGCAGTAAGAGTGGCGGTAGAGGTCGATATTGCCCATGCCGCCTAGATCGCGCGACAGAGCTGTTCTAATCAAATGCATCATAGCTCGCATATCGCAGTAAGCGCGGGCGTCGTCTAGCTCCTTTAAGCGCTTTTCCAGGAGGTCGGGATTATAGTCGCCGGACGAGATATCTAACTTCCATTCTTCATTACCCTCGAGGATATCTAGCTCGTGTGCCACTGCATCCCACTCTCTATAGGATTCCGCACTCTGTAGTCGCGCGGATAGTATTTGTTTGCGCTCCTCGAGCTGTCTTCTCTGCACCCTCTCTTTAGGCGTCAGACCGTCTCTAAGGTAGAGAAGACCGTCTAAAACCCTGGAGACGGGGTCGACATCTGGGGGTGGATAACTCGATTGACGCTTGTTTTTCTGCGAGTTCTTAGGGGTGGAGGGTCGGAGCGAGGGGATAGACGGAAGAATGTCTACGGTATGTGACATTGTGGAAGCTCCGCGAGAAAAAGAGGTGCTATCGCCTTAATATATCTTTTGGTATATTTCTCATCCTAGCCTACGTATCCGTCCGTGTTCGCGTTCGTGGTGGTGATGGTGGTGGACTCTTGATCGGCTCTTGAGGTTGATACCGCGACTCAAGATAAGGAATCTGGGAAGATCCGGAAGAGTTCTAAATCGGAGTCGAGAATTGTAGTTTGTGTAAGGTGTCGTGAGTAGGATAGATACTACGCATGGCGAGTAAGGAATTCGCAATCTACAACTAGATACTACACGTAGACACTACTAGGTAGATACCGAGTAGATATCCGGAGAAGGTATGATACGCAGATAATAAAATATGAATTATCGACTCCAAAGTATGTTTCTATAAGACAGCCCAACCTTTCTCAATTTTCGTACTACGAATGATGTACTATGTAGGGAAGGTAAAGAATGCTAGAACGTGGACAGACGTAAGAAATGCGGAAGCAATGCTGGGATCCCTACCAACTACATAACCATGTGAGCAATAAACAATTGGATCAGGTATCAGGTGGGTCAGAAGACAGGGACCCCTACTGTACCTTTGTGTGGGGTTTCACGAGGGGTAATGAGTGCGGGGAATACCTACTGCTACTAGGTAGGTATATAGGTATGTAGGTACATGTAGGTATGTGTAATATATACATGTACAACGGAACTTCGAGGGTTAGATGTCAGCGCATACATATGTACTAGGGCCCTACTTTCGGTGCCTTGGACTTTTACTACCCAGTGTAGACTATGGACTTTCTATCAATCTGGTTGCAAAAGAGGAAACGGAACTCCGAAGTTTATGTCCGACGCCTTCTTCTACCCAGAAATGTCCGGCTCCCGAAACCTCTACATGATGGAAATGCGACCCCTCGGGTTTGCCTAGCTGCAAAACCCAATCACGCATTTTATTTATGGCTAGGAAGCCGTCTTGATTCCCAAATACGACCAAAGTTGGATTTCTTATGAGTTTCATTTCAGCTTCAACCTCTTCACGATCGGCTTTTCCTCCGTGGTTGCTAGTTGACGACGGAGACACCCCTCTCTTCCTCTTCGACCGGCTCGCTAACGGATTTGAGAAGGACATAGTCGCTAAATTAGTAATAATGCCTAACGGAGGCGAAATCAATAGGAAGCTGCAGCGAAATCGAATTAGGTTGTCAACACTCTCTAGGAATGTCTCGTCGCGTCCCACTCCTTCGGATCGGTCAACAGAGCTATGATTATGTTTTCGATGAATTAGCCTATGCCGTGATAATATCTCCTTGACGCCTTTCCGAATCCTCTCTTCCTGATTAGGAGAACGAGACCTTGGATTTTCACGAGTCTTTGACAATGTCGTGTCCTCGTCCCCGCCGACACGCAAGCCTAAAGACTTCCTCGGCGAGGAGGGAGTGGTAGATATGATTATCTGTTGTTCGGCAAGGTGCTGTGCTCGTAACCTGATGTCTGCAAAGGCTGTATGGGCGGCGGGCGAGGCGAAGTCGGAAAGGAAGGAGTCGAGAGGGGGGAGCTGGATCGTCACCATGGCACCATACGAGTATCCGGCAAGCAGTAGGGTTGGGTTAGGGTTATGCTGAGGAGGGCTCAAGTAATGCACGTAATACACGAGGAAACCGGCAACGGACTTGTAATCGGCGCGTTCGGGTTTTGATGTCCACGAGGTACGACCGTAGGAAGATGATGCGCCTCTGTCATTGTAAGTTCAAATATTATTTATTTCCGCTCCTCCTGTCATTCTTATTATCAACGAAATATGATACGAACCTAAAATTGAACGTCGCAACTACAAAGCCAAGATTAAGCAGTGTATTAGCAACGAGATGTACAACTGGATCGTCATAAGATCCTCCTAACGGCGCGTAGGGATGTGCAACAACGGCGGCGTGTTGATGCCATAACGTATCGGAAGGCCCAAGTGGTCCATTTAAACACGCTGGATGATAGATTCGGCAGTCGAGCTTGGTGTTGTCGTGTAAGCTAGGGAGCGTGAAGCTCAAGCTGGGGCGTGGGAGCATTCTTCAATTCACTCGAGCGAGGGAAAAGTCATCATGTTAAACTCAACGGATCTTGGGTCGAGGACTAAGGAGATTAAGAGATAGTTCTTAAAGACGACATTTAGCCGAATCATATACGAGATAAGTCGATAACATATCCGTCTCACTGCTAGGGTGCCGTGTGTATATGTGGTTGGGGATAAGGATGGAGAAGGGGGAGGGGTCAAATAGATCATACATACATGGTAAGCTTTGATAAACTGGGACTGGGGCTGTGGGGGTTGTATTAAACTCTGCTCTATTAGGAGGAGGCTAACTGTTTTTGGTTCGAAGGTGTGCGAAATGAAACATGACCTATGTTAATGTTATCAAGCCTTCTATCTGTTCCACTTATCCTACCGTCTAACAAATTTACCTGTGACAAGTAGCTTACTTACCAATCACTACCTACATACATGTGTACATAGATGACTCTTTTTTGGTTATACATCGAACGTAATATAAAGCATTTAGGTACTGCATGAAGTAGATATGTAACGAAAGAACGAAAGCATCAGTTGGTATCTCAACTACATAGTATATCTCGACTGTATCCCTCGCTAGGTAACTGAGGACTCTTAACACATGCATTATCCGTGCGCCTTGCCAGAACCAACTCCGATCCAACCAATGATATCATGTCTTACCCCTTAAGTACTGCTTATGTACGAACAATTGATGTTCCACCCGGTCATCTATTATCGTTTGAACGATACTTCTAAGATCCCGCGATCCCCAATCCCACCCTCGACCCAAACCTCTCTGACCGGCCCCCATCACGCTCGCGATCAACAGTTGCCCTCATTCGTCGCCCCTCCATTAAACCTCTTAGGCCTCGCTTCTGTAGGCCGATGACGCTACTTAGTTCTCCGCTCCATACTTCCCTAACGGCGCCGCGCTCACTACCGCCGAGCTCGCTACTCCACTCGCTACCTGATACGCTCGTCGTAGCGCTAAGCTCTTCGGGTTCTGGCCTCGCCCCAGATACGCTGGTGTTGATCCGGAGAACTTCTAGAGCACCAGTTGCCCCGCCGGTACTAGACTGAGACACAGACATTGATCGATCATGGAAGGGATTGATGGGGTCACCAGCCATAGACGATTCAGCCGTATAAAAATTAGGGTTCATACTGCCATCAATCCCGCGACCCCCACCCGCTGCCATGGCCGTGGCGTTGAATACAGCTGCCGCGTTGCGCGAATCAAGGCGTGCGTGAAGACGCTCGACTACGGCTTCCAATAAACCGTCTATCTTATAGGGTCGTGCAATCTGCAATAGTGAACAGAGAATCTGTGGCGTGCAGAGGGGTGATGATGGAGGAGGCAGCGCTGACGCGTAGAGGAAATGGAGGAGAGCCTGGACAGTTGGGCACGTATGGGGGAGGTATAAACATCGGGGTCGAGAACTAGGCGGCAACGATGCAGGGGTTGGCGCCGAATTTATCGCGCTCACATCTGCCAGCCCACTACCGCCGGATGCGGAGGTACCCGCCGTACTGGGTGGCTTGAGAGACCCGGCAGAAGATGTGTTATTCAATGTAGTGGCCATCGACAAACTGCTGTCGCCTGTGCTCCTGTTTGATTGCGTGATTGTTACCGTAGACATACGGGCGCCTGCTTGCCCCGACATGCCTGTTCTGAGCGTTGCCGAGTCACTGCCATCCTGTGTAGCAGCGCCCTCACGGAGTAGCTGCACAAAATACGGACCCCACCGCCGTGCGACTATTCGAGAATTAATGGGTATGCGCTCCCCGTGGAAGCATAGAATATCCATATCTGCCAACTCTCGCAGTGCCAAGGCTTTCTCGCCTAGTTCTTCGGCGGCGCGCATATGCGACCTTCCTCCGCCAGTCCACCCAGCCTTTCGAGCTATGCTCAAACCGGGGGCCGTGAAGGGGCTGCTGGAAGATATGAAGCCGGCCAGCGGTGACGTCTTGCGCGGGTTATCGTAGAAACCGAAAGCTTCCAGCTCAACCATGCAGACATTAGAAAAATTAATCCGGCGATGGTTGTAATCGTCCACCAAACTCCTCTTACGATTTCCAAGAATCACGAATATATTCCGCCTGTTCCACAAGACGCCTCTGTTCCAGCTTCCTTGACTAAAGACGCTACCGCCAGTATCGATGCGCACCCAGGTTAAATTTCGAAGATCCAAAGCCCACAGGGCGTATTCTTGTTTCGAACTGGTAAGATACGTGCCACTGACAACAAAGTATGTGTCGATAACACCTCCATTTGGGAACCGCAGGCCGGGGGGAGAATACGTCCCTGCCATTGGCTTTTCGGCGAGCGAGCCGTCCGAGCCCCGTATTTGTAACTCCAGCTTTACATCTAGAAAGTTATAATTCGAGTAAATGAGCATCGACGAGCCGGGCTCTTTAGCCTCTTGGCTGATTACGCTCTCTTGGCGCGAGCTACCGATATTCGACTTGCCAATTTTAGCAGTCACGCTCGGCGGCAGAGGCGCGACTACACTACGATATGCACCGCAGGATTTTCCAAGAGACTGCGTCGAGGTCCATTTTAGACTGCGAAGGTTAAAAACACTAATCTGCTCGATGTAATGATTGGCTCCGTCCTGGCCACCGACCACTACCATCTCGGCCCCGCCGGCGCCGTCTATATTGATACCGATCCGGCCTTCGTTCGGATTTCCAGTAGATGGATTGTGCTGCAGGGCAGACAAGGGCGCCTTGTGAGACGAAAATGTCGCAGAAGATGACAGGATACAGGCGCAGTGAGCATACCGACCCTGTGGGGCATCTTGAGAAGGAACGTAAGTCCACCTCTTAGTTATAACATCGTAGATATATATATCAGACATTACGGTCACTTCGGGTTGCTGGTCCGGGGATGCGGATGTAGGTTGTGTGGCAGTCGGCGACATGCCGCCGTAGCAGACCATCTTGGTATCTCCTAGAGCACACATGGAATGAAAGTACCGGGGCGGAGGAATGTCTCCGGTGGTTTCAAGCTTACTCCAATGCCTCCTGATAAGATCTAGCTCATAAAGATCCGATGTGAGGGGAGCTGGCCTACTTCGCGACAATATCCGTCCACCAAAGACATATAGCTTATCCCCTAAGACTGTGGTTGTGGCGCCCACTAGAGGGCGAGGTTCTTGACCAGTTGTACGATGAACATTGCACATCAACCCGGACAGGTGAGCGGAAGAGCCCGAAGTTGCGGGAGTGCCAACGGCCGCGCCGAGAGCCGGGGTCCTGCTGGTCGACGCAACCGGGGGAGACGGCCCAGCCGAGAGGGGTCCATTACTTCGGGGTGTCAAGTTATCTTTCTGGCCGTCCCCACCGTCAGCTCTCGAGGAGCTAGCTATGCTACTTTGACTACTGCTCATGTCATTTCCACCGCTGTACATCTGGGTTGAAGCCATCGACGTATTGGAATCCATCGTTTTCGTCTGATTGCCCACGTCTGGTTCGTTGGCGGTGTCGTTGTCGACTATGGCAGTTAGGCTGTCTTGCAACTGGCCGGACGGTGCTGAAGGAGTTACAAGACTCAAGGGGGATAATGATGGTGGCGGTGGTGCTGGAAGTGGTTTCTCGAGACTGTCCTGCAAACTCAAATTTCTAACATGTTGTGGAGGCACCGGCCTGGATAGAAGGGGTGCTGAATTGATCTCCGAGGCCGTAGAGTTGGAGGTTGATGTTTTAAAGGCTAGTCTCGATGGTGCTCTGGCAAACCTACGAGACTCTTCCCGAGTCGGGATTGCTTTCCTAATACCTCGGTAGACGTCGGAGAGGATATCAGAGGGCGATTTTGAAGGTGCTAATCGACGGTCTTGGTCGTCTAATTCACTCTCGTGTGCGTCGTCGACTGATTGTGGACTATTTTGGCGGTCTGATTGACCCGGAGTTAGACTAGAATTAGACATAGACATATTTGACCACCTCCCTCTTGGCCGCAGATTCACGGCAAATATTTGAGGCTGAAGAAAGGAGCTGAAAAGGCGAGGAAGATGAGCCTCAAAAAGTAGATAGGCGGTAGATAGGTGCCGTAAACCCGGATGAGTACTACTCTGTTATGATGCTAGGGCGACCGGGGGAGCAGGGCCGGGAAGGTCATATTAGAAGAAGAGAAATTCTGCACCAGGGTTGATAGAAAGCAGGGGATGTTTTTCCTTCTTGCCCGACAGCTCGATAATAATTCCAAGCTTGAAACGAGGACACGCTGACGACGGAGCCAAGGCTAACTAAGTAGCCACAAGGCGGCTCCAGACCGGGGGGGGAGAGACGGGGGGGGGAATGCCACAAGAAGCTTGACGAACATGGAGAATTACTATTTTCATACATAGTAGAGGCGGTATGCCGTATGGGACTATGAGTATGGGAAGAATGGATGACAAGTACCAGTGGTTCAATGGGTTCGATCATCAATGACTTACCTTAGTCCTTAGTAGACACAAGAGGTCCTTGGTCGACGTCGTAATTGGCAATCTTAAATACTCCGTCGGCGCGTCGGCGCGTGCGTTTTCCCCTGTCTTCGTTTTACCGCGGTCCTTTCGTTTTATTCTACGCGTTCTTCCTCTCCCTTTCTAGACCTTCTTTTTTCTTCGGCTTTTCTTTTCTTGATTTATCTTCCCTCTGTACGAAGTATTAACGGTGTTAGGTACTCGAAAAAGCCTGGTTCGTATCTGGTCGCACAGACGTTCGTATTCTTGTTGCCTGATAGTGCTATTGAAAGGGGGAAAAGGGGGGGTGGAGGCCAAGTTTGAGGTTGAGAGTTATGTTAGTTCCTAGGTGGGGAGGAAGATTGAATTAAGGCAAAGCGGTTGCGTTGATTCATGAATTAAATTTAGATCCTACTATGATGCGTTACTTTTATGCTTCATTTCATATATGAGATTTATGTAATAGTTGGATAAAGCGGTAGAACGTACCTAGGTAGGTATCCCACATGGATCCAGTACATACATATATCCACACAATACTTCGTACTTAAGTAATAAATGAATGCTAAGAAAACCGTTAGCTATGCATTAAGATCATCATAGAAATTTGGGTAGGTAAATTCTGACATAGTACTGAAGTACCTCATATATATAATGTGTGGTTTTGAGACAGATAAAATATTTATGTAATAATATTTGATGTGCAATAAGGACGCTCACACTTTGTAGCTGGGTGTTCGTTTAGGTACATATCTTTCTACTATGTACATATTCTTTTAGTATGTAAGTAGTATTAGGTTAATACTGACACTTTAATCCATAAACAACGCTTTTTACAGGAATAATGCGTGTTTACTTGCATATTAAATAAGCTGTTATTTTTTATGTAAGCAACATCGAAATACGAGTAAAAGTTAAAAATAATAATAATAATAATAAATAATTACTACTTTCTTCGTTTAATAGATTTACTTTTTTAGTTTCTTTTGGGTATTTATTGTATTGATTCTAATTCGAGAAATAGAATTTGAGGGATTCAATTGTTTATTAGAAATATCCACGTCATTTATGCCGTGTTAAGTGAGCCCGTCTACACATCGCGCCCATCGAAAACCACCAACTTCAAATAATTCGGCTGTCCCCCTCCTCAACATCGTAGCTTTCTACGAGACAGTGGCCTTTTCCTTGGGTAGAGGTGTGAATCTAAGATACGGCTTGACAGAACGGAATTCGGGGAACAGCTCCTTAGCTTGTTCATTCTTGACGCTAGGGTGAACGATGACGTCGTCGCCGGGAACCCAGTTGATCGGCGTAGTGATCTTGTGCTTGTCTCCAGCCTGGAGGGAGTCGACGATGCGCAGGACTTCGGCTGAGTTTCGGCCCGTGGAAGCCGGGTAGGATAGGATAGTTCGAATAGTTTTCTTAGGATCAACAATGAAGACTGAGCGAATCGTGAAGGCAATTCCTTTCTCGTCAACATTGGTAGTATCTTGGTAATCGATCCTAGACATCGCGAACATCTTGGTCAGGATTCTGCTCTAAGCTGAGCCTGAAACGGGCGATTACTTACATGTCGTAAAGGTAGGCAACCTTGCGCTCCTTGTCGGCGATGATAGGAAAGGCGACGTGGCCGCCTGTAACCTCGTCGATATCCTTAATCCAGCTCTCATGGCTCCCGCGGGTGTTGGCGGATAGGCCGATTAGCTTGACGCCTCGCTTGGTGAACTCGGGCTCGAGCTTGGCAAAGGCGCCGAGCTCGGTAGTGCAGACAGGAGTGAAATCCTCAGGGTGGGAGAAGAAGACGACCCATCCGTCGCCGACAAACTCGTGGAAGTCAATGGGACCTTTAGTAGTCTCGGCTTGGAAGTTAGGAGCGACAGATCCCAGGCGGAGGCTAACATTGGCAGATGAGTTAGATATACATTGAGGCTACAGATATCGAGAAAATGGCTGTCAGCTAGACGAAGACTTACGGAGCAGCTCTAGAGTCGGCCATTGTGATTGATTTGAGCTAGGGTATGGTGATGCTTCGGATTGCGGGGATATGTAAAAGAAAGGAGGGTAGGTATCACGAGTAACAGATAGATGGGGAGAAAGAAGCAAGCGATCGACTGAAGTAGGGTCAGCGCACGACGTCAGGTATTTAATGTACTAAGCGCAGCACATATTAGCTATGAACCTCCTTGACCTCCCTGACCTCTCTGACCTCCCCCGATCTCTCTGGTAAGTAATATATTATTCACATACGGCTAGGTAGGTGATGGAATGCGATAGACGGATTAGCTCGGCTTGACGCTTAGCCAATAGTTAACTCTACCTATGGTTATCAAATCCCAAATAGGAATTCAGGTGATGTCGCAATTTATCGACTTTCTTATGTTTTCTCATCTTGAGCTTTATTTCGACGTGCCCCGCGACGCCCTGATGTAACCCGTCGCAAGCCCATCCTCCCCATGTCGGCGAAGTCACCCCTCACTAGTCTATTTCTGGAATGGTACTAGATTGCGTGCTGCAGAGATCCTTCAATTGGCTACCGGCTCTTGCCCTTCTCCGCATCATGTCATTCGAGCCTTAGGATGGTATCATTTATTATAAAGTTACCGTATGTCTTGACCCGGCTATCGGCCCGCTTTTATCACTTTGCAACGACGGATATCGGTCAAGCACTGGTAAGCACGTATTTGCAGTTTTTAAGTTAATATGAAATACGTATATACGAAATTGCTTATCTATTTAATTATTTTTATAAATGATTATGTACTTGAATAAGCTTAAATATAGTTTCACGTATAAGTGTAATTATAGTATATATCCTTATAATTATTTAATAACCATCCTTAAAAATATAGACAGTCGCTCGATTGCATCTGACTAAACTTATACAACACTCGAAATAGATGGTATACAGCTGGATTTTCTTATGGGTAAATACTGAAGACAAGACAGAGTTAGTAGTGAGTTCCTGGCTCTCTTTTAGACAACCCACGTCAACTCCCCCCTCCCCCCTTTTCTTCTTTTTCTTTCCTCTCCATCTAGACGTGATAAATTATTTCCTATGTCTCAGGCGCGACATCTGTTAGAAATTTGAAAATCAGCGCGATACTCAATTATGATATTCAGGTGAGTCATATAACAAACAATAGTTCGGGATATAAGCATTATTACTGATTATAATAGGTGGTCTGGATAACTGAACTGAAGAACACTGACTATCAACTATCTCGCTACTTGAGATACAGCACATATAACTTATACTTCAAATGTTGTCTTAAACTCGAATTTAAAGTTGCGTTTCTCGAGGGGAAGGTTGGGATTATGTGTCTCCATGATGCTCGCTTGTACAGTCGTCACAGAGGCCGCCAGCATCTGACTCCTCCTCCCTCACGAGGTTCCGCTGATCACAACTGCCCGTGGAGTCGAAGGCATTGCAATCTTCGACCTTGACCTCATCGCTGGTGTACCACTGCAAGAAAAGTTAGCCTTTCCGTCCATTGGAAATCGGCAAGGCGGGTTTCCTGGCTCGTAAGACCTGGTCTAGAAGAGCCTACGGTCTGCCAAAGAGACTCGACGAACCCGTCCCCGAGTGATAGGATAGGTATATGATGGGTCACAATATCTGGGAAATGCATACTGCTCCGCATTCCTCGCAGTACCACTTTAATAGCATATAACCGCACATCGTCGAACGGGTGCTCTCTACTCTTGTCGGCGACAGGAAGGATGGCGACCTTCAATTGACGCAGACCTCTTTCGTATCCCGCTTCCGGGAGCCTTCGAGGCAGCTCGGGTCATGTTACTCAAGAAACGCCACGGGCCCACGGCCCTGGGTTGTAATTTGCGGTGCTGGAAATTAACTCGCGAGACGTGGTCCTTCCTGGAAACACTGACAGTCCCAACAAAGCTGATGAATATTCCGACTTCTGCCACGTGTGCGGGCGAGTACGAGTGACATCTGGGCGCCCGCAAAATGATTGACAAATATTTTCATGGTTAGGACGCACAGAAAATGCAGACCTTAATAAAGCGATAAAGAGTTCATCAATTGGTTGCATATACATGGCGAAATCACTGGCATTTTTCGATCCTAATTTATTGGGCGAATGTCGGGACAGGCACGAGACATCTGATTGGCTTAGGGATGCTCATGTCTTCTCAGGCTGTACTTCAGGTATCATTTAGAAATGCATCTACCCGAACGAATAATTGCCGCAAGTCTTTTCTTAAAAAAAAACCTGACGGGTAAGAGGCACACTTGTAGATTGGGGTGGTGAGGACCGGCGTCCCTGTAGATCCGCCACGGAGAATTCCATATGGAATCATGCAATGCCTGGCCATGGTAAGTCGGTCTAGCTAGCGAGCCCCTGGGATGGAGGACTTTGTCCCCCGCCCCCCTTCCAAGAATCCGCCATGAAGCACATGCCGCCTGCCTACAAATACCTATCTACTAAAAGGCCTTATGCCGTAACATCCGTTCCGCTGAATGTACCCACATAAGGTCAAATTTGCGTCTTCCTGTTCTCAAGTTAGCGACTTTTACTTGATTATCTTATGATGTCTGACGAACCCAACGCCACTTAACGCCCCTACATCTAGGCGGTTTCTCTTATCAACACCGCCTGCTATCGGATTCGCCCGGTAGTTGAATAGATAATAATGTAGTTGTCCGTCACCCGGTCCGAACTTTTGTTCTTCGAGGAATAGGCCGTTGTCCATTAACGAAAGGGCGTTATATACGTCAAACTGGTACTGCTTGCAAAATACCAATGAATCTGAGACTAGAGCGTTGAGACGGGATTTTAGAGCTTCCTTGTCAACGGAGGTGGTGAGCCCCGTCTCGGTAGCATAGTAAAAGAGGTATGCTGCTTTCACATTTGAATGTTTGTTGTTGCCAATGACGGAAGACTCGAGACAGTAGAATGAGATAAAGTCAGTAATATTCCTGTGCTCATCCTATTCTTCTGTTAATATGCTAGCAAAGATGACAACATGGTTAATAAACTTGCCTCAACGACGTAGGTCCAAACGACTTGTTCCTCTAGAGCATTCTTCTTATTATGTAACAGCCAATGTTCAACTTCTTGCTTATCAAACTCGGCGGCTAAGTCATACTTGGCCAAGTACCGCGTGAGAAGATCTTGGACAGCACCAATATCCTTTTTCTGCATCTCCCTGAGTCCGCTGATCGAGGTTCGATCTGGAACAGCGTACTTCCTGATCTGGAATCGAGGTGTGCTATTCGGCGGCAAGGGGCTAAAGTTAACGTCGTAGAGCTTTTGCCAGTTGATGGCCCGGTGGTAGTATCTGCATGTACTAACGGGCTTTGGAAGGACAATTCCGCCAGTGTATATGGCTTGAAAAACGCCTTCTAAGTTGCACAGGCGCGTAATCTCCTTGATGAGTACGGGAGCCAGACGCTTCGAGCGAAGCTTCTTGTGTATACAGAGGAAATTGACCTCTGATGCATGTAGGACCTTGTCCCGAACGCGCAATTCGACCGGTATGGCGGCGATAAAGCCGACTAATTTTCTTGACTGCGAGGCTCGAACTCCTCGATGCCATTCCTTTCTCCATCCCGGCGGCATCATAGCCCTAAGTAAGCACTTGTTAGCTTGTAGCACCCTTACGCCTGGCAAGAACATCGGCGACTTACCATTTGAGAATACTGGTTGAATAGTTAAAGCGGAACATTGCTTCGTCATCCTCGACGTAATGTCCGTTTAATAATTCCCAGACCTCCTTTAGCTGGTTATCGTCTAGCAGATCTATAGTAGACCATTCGAAACCATCTAACAAAGGTGCCGGTGTCTTCGGAATCTCGTCAACAGTCTGTATCCTGATGGGGCCTTCCTCGACGGACTGGGCGAGATCGCCATCTTCACCGAATTTGGGAACAGGTTGCGTAGCCCAGAATTTGTAAGCGCCCATGTCCTTGGCATTCTTCCCACTCGAAGCTAGTCCGGTCATAATATCCTGAAGACCGAGCCGCTTGAGGGCATCAGCGGCAGAATCGGGGTCGTCATTGCTTCTGCTGCCGAGTTCGTTTGCGAGTGCGGGATTGAGGTCGAGGAGTTGGGTCACTTGTTCCTTAGAGAGGCCGTCGATAGCTTTATGGAGCTTCTTTGCAGCCCTGTCCTTTTCCTTCTCACCCCCCTTCTCCTTCTCAGTATCTTTTCCCTTGCCCTTAATAGGCTTTTGATCTTCGGACATGATTTTCTATAATTCCCCTTTTCTTTTTTTCGTTTTTTTTCGATGTAGATGGTAGGTTGTAGTACTAGGAAAGATTGATCTGTCTAGGTACATCCCTAATAGGTATGTAGAACCTAGTACCTAGTAGTATCTTGGTAAATAATTGTGGGTTGTATCTGGGAGCGCGGGGCAATTGGTACTTAGACCTAAACCTACTAGGTATCGGGGGGAGGGGGGTATTGGATCAGCAGAGATCTTTAATTCGCCTGATTCATAAGTTCAATACATACGTACAAGGAACCTTTGGTAAATACATATTTTATAAGAACATAATCTACTCTCTTTTATATGCATAGAACTCGTGACTGGATATGGACTAAAAGCGGACATTAATGATGGTTGTGATACATAACATTACTATATGTTAAGACTCGGGAAACTATCAACGTTACCTACTAAGATAAAATAAATACTAGGTATATATACATAGGTATACCGTGTTGGTAGGCATGTATACTTAACTTGAGATACTTATTATCACCATATCATCTATTGAAAGAAATGTATCATATCTAATCCATTTATAGAGACTAAATCATGTCTGGGAAAACCTGTAAGTAAAAAGCCCCCGGAGCGCTTATGACCCAAGTACCAATTAGTAGATGACACTATCTTTACCATGTAGAGATGTTTAAGTGTTATCTAATCCAAATGACCTCATGACTGCGAGTGCAACAGCCGAAGATATCATGACATGGTTGTGTCCTGCATTTGTCAGCATTGCCTTCGATTGTCATATTCACGACGCGCAGTAACCTACCACCATATGGTACAATTTCTTCCCTGATAATTATATCCGACCTGGTCTTAACAATCGCAACAAAAGTTCCATCTTCCCCATGCGAAGTTCGCTGCTCCTTCCATGATAAGAAGTCGATGTCGTCGAGCACCTCATCAATGGCGGCGCTTGACGCATATCTGAACAACACATCACTCTCATGACATGGAATATCTAAATCGTCCTTGGCGTGGATGAAAGTCAACCGTAATCTCGTTCGCGTGAGGCTCACGAGATGGGAAAGCCGGTCTGCGGACTTCCATTCATCCACAATAAAGCTTTGGAGGAAGCGGAGGAGTGACGGAAACGCTCGGATCGGCGAGAGGATTGGTATGAACCCGGCTACTGCATATGTAGAGACTAGAGTTGGCAAGCTGGAAAACCCGGCAACGAGGATAACGCCCGCAAATTCGGTTCCTTGCATTGCAAAGTGCTCTGCGATACCGCTCGTAACCGCAGTGCCGAGGCTGTGACCCAAAATAACGATCCGGCTGGCCGGGATACCTGCTATATCCATAGCCCAGTCTACAGCTGTGATGCCATCGTGGATTAATCCTTCTTCCGATGGCGTGCCGGTTGATTTGCCGAATCCGCGGTAATCGATAGCTAGGACGTGGTATAGAGAAGAATCCGTTAGGGTGTGGTAACTGTCAGGGCGAATACGCTGGGCAACGTGACCGGCGTTCTATTTACAACGGAGTCAGCAGTCTTAGTTCTCATTACTGTTCCATGGCATTCCATTGGCTCACCCCATGGACTGCAGTTAATTCGGTTAACATCGTAGGCAGCAAGGCATGGTGGGGGCAGAGACTTCTTACAATAGATGACAAGTCGACCCTCAGGATCATTCCTGAGCAGCTTAAACGATTCCGTCTTGGTAATGTCTTTCGAGAAACCCGGCTTCTGGACATGAAGGGTATTTTCATGTTTTATGTAGGTGGGAAGCGGTAAAATATGCCATGCGTAGAGATGTTCACCATCAGGAGTAGTTAGTGAAAAGGGGGTGACCTGATTCCCTTCATATTGATCAGATTAGACGAGTACCTATCGCCTTACGTTGAAGAGGGGAACTAACTGGCAAACCCCCAGTATTCCGGCATATCAATGTTATGCCATAATAGAGTGTTCACTCGGTGGGCATACAAGAAGCTAGCAACATTTCAGGATTTATTAGCATATTGCGCATGTCTTGTCAGAGCAGACCTAGATATGTAGTAGGTGATGATAAGGATTCAAAACCTTACTGTCTTTGAAAGAAGGGTATCGCGCTTAACAGGATGAAAGCCACGTAGAGACCAATTGGAACGCCTAGGCTCACACTGAAAGGTATGACCCAACGAGAGCCACGCACAGCCATCGGCTCGCGAGGGAAGATGACAGGGCTGGGATGATCTGCCTAGTTGGCTAATGTTGGGTTAATTTTGTAAGGACTGAGGAAACAAAATGAAGTAATTCTCATATTGAATATAGAGTAGGTACCTACCTAGAAATTTACGAAACTATAAATCAAACCAATTAGGGAACTAGAAGTACTACTGTATACATATTCATGATACGTATAAATAATAAGTTGATGTCGTTTATACCTACCTATTATATTTACTAGATAACTAGAAGTGCTTATTGATGTGGGTCTTTGCCATGCTTCGCATGCACATGTGTAGTGCAGACAGACACTTATCAATAAGACTACATATGTATTCAGTACATATTTAGTAGATACAAGCGTATGCGGAGTTTTATGTACATGTACAGTGTGGTACATCCATAACCCGCGTCTTTAGGTATCCGACATAATGCAAACATTACTAGGTAGACTCTCATGCCCACTTTTTCTTAGGCTGTTCAAATGTATTTACCTTACCTATGCAAGTAACTACCTATTATTCATCTCTTCATCGCGAACAAAAAAAAAACCAAAACCAACCCCGATTCTAATTACCTATGATCTAAGGTTTGCAAAGTTTACCTAAGATATTAAGATATTTCCATTATTTATTAATTAAGGTAATAAGGATAACGAGTAAGAAATCTAGTGGACGTTTTGTCTGCCAGAGTTTCTGCCTTCCTATCACCACCACCGCCACCACCATTATCATCGTCATCGTCATCACCACCACCATCGTCACAATTGTTCTTAGACAACCACTGTTCTTGTAGAGATGCTCTCACGTTTCTCGCACCTCTAGTGTGGACGAATAATAAGATCTTGTTATATTTATTTACTTAATACTCAGGTATCTATTCTTCTGTTATTTTCTATCGCGCAAACCACCAGCCATACACTGGCTTAACTAGATACAATGGAGAGAAAACGAAAGTTGCCAGCAAGAGCAGCTGCGAGAGTCGATCATGTTTCCAAGAAACGCACTGGAACCCCTCCCGAACGATCTCTTACTCCGGTACCTGCGTCAGCAACGACAACAACTCCAGTGGCAGCTCCAGTACAAAATCCGGCACATTCTGAAAATATCCCCGAAGAACCGCAATTACCGAAGTCCATTCAAGCCGGCCATCCCTTGCCAACCGTAGAACATCCGCAACCTGATGATCTGATGAGTAGAGACTATCAGTCCATCCAAGAGAGGTAATATTCGTCTATTTTAATATTCTTTAACAGTTACATAGTAACCTTACTCTTTCCAGTGGTGTTGTGGCCGAATCGCTATCGAGATCGCGTCAGAAATGGATTCATGAGGGTATCTTCGAAAAGTACTGGACTAAGCCCACGAAACGAAAAGGGGTCGTCAAAGAAGATCCGAGCAACCCCCCGAAAGACAGTATGGCAAAGATTGGTCAAGTCACAATCACTGTCGAGCCTCATGTTCTTGAAGCTACTATGTATGCTGTTAAGGATCCGAAACACGCACCAACCACCAACTCTACCTTCCGACCTATAATGCAGTATGGTCCACCGAAAGGCGTCATGCCTCCTCCAAAACTAACTGCCCCATCCACCCCCATAACTTCGACAGCCTCGCCGGCATCGCCTTCGCACGCCCCAGCCCAGTCATCCCTTCAACCGCCATCGGCAGCGCAAGTCCAAACTCCGACTCAGACACAACAATCCGATTTACAGCGGCCATCATCGTCTACTCCCGTAACTAACAAGCCATTAGCCTCCCCTCGAGGTTTAGAATCTGTCCTTGCTGCCCCACAACACCCACCGGCACTCCCTCCTACGGCTGGCCCTTCTTCACAACCAGCACCGCCCCAATCAAAAGGGCATCCCCAACCCGGCTCGATTACCAACCGGCAACTGCATGCCCCCAGTCCGCCGGCACCCACAGCAGTCGCCACTTCTGGAGCTAAACCTTCCGCCCCGGCCGCCAAACCGGCGACACCGACGGCGCCTGGGGCCGATCCCATAATTGTCACATTGGCGGAGAGAGCATCCGAGGATCCCCAGCTACGAGATCTAATGAAGCGTGTGGCTATAGGGGATGCTGCGCCGAACGAATTGGCTCATTTTCAAAAGATAATTGACCAAATTACCGCTGACTACAAGAGGAAAGGCGGTCAGCACGGGCCATCAGCGGACCGGCTTCTTGTGGACGGTAGGACGGTTAAGTATTTCGCAGATGAAGTCCGAACTATCCTTGATATTATCCTTGCTTCCAATCCACAGCAGAGGTCGATCGATTTACGGGCACCGCCTGGGAGCGACCCTTTGGTAATTCTTCTGGTGAAGAAGGCCTTGGACGACGCGACGACGCGGGACATTGTTCGAAGAATAGCGGAAGGGAAGACCAAATTTACAGATGCCACAGATTTAAAAGCGACGCTTGACAAGTTAAAAGATCTCGTGGCGAAAGAAACGCCGAAGTCTCAGCAGGCAACAGTTGCGAACGGGACAGAAAACTCGACGATAGTAAACGGTACCACATCGAGAAAAGCCTCTCTTGCTACGCCCAGCCAACCTATTCATGCGTCCAGTTCGCAGCAAGCCCTTCGCTCGAAGGGGCCACCGCCTTCTGCGAAACCTGACATCTCAGCCGTTGTGCTCGAGTTTTCGGGCGGCACCGGAGATAGGTACTTATTTCCTAAGTATAGTATTCTTGAATATGCCAACCCCACCCAGATCATAGCATCGTTCCTCATCGTACGCAAGGGGAGCAGGTTGGAATACGGAGGTGATCCGGTGCTGGATTACTATCAGCCCGTGACAGTTCGGATATTTGCGCAGTCTAGCAAGCACCTCGAGAATTTGACCAGGGTTGTTGCTCCTCAAGATGATGTACGACGTTACATGGACGATGTCATGGATAATATGACTCGAGCTGAGTATGTACTTCTCGCAATGCGTCTGCCGAGAGCCGATAAAGAAGATCAGGCCGAAGAGAATCCAAACACGCCAAAGGCAGACCTGTCAAGCCAACCTCAACAACCTGGCGTGTTGTGGGCGGGGGTGAGCAAAACAACCGCGGTGACTCCACCACAGAAGACTGCGGTGAAGCCGCTGGGTGATGATGAGCAATATCAGAACTTCGTCGCTACTGTAAGTTAGAAAGAAAGGGTATCAGCTGCACTCCGTTGCTTGCGTTTGCGTCTTCTGAGAATCGCGAGCGACGAATGTGTATTCCTAAGTCTAAAGAAATGGTGGGATATTAGGCGGAGACAATGCTTTTGGGGTTTGTCGGGTTTGAAGGTTTGCTTTGAGATACCTGAGCCAGCGGGATAGGCGTTCACAACCTAACGCCTAAAACGACTATAAAATGTAACAGTACGACCATATCACCACGAATCGCTAGTGACTTCTCACTTAAATACCAACAAATCAGTGCTAGGTTGAGAATAATGACTACTAAAGCTACCTACTTTATATAATCTTGTATACCTCTACACGAGCACTCAGTTCCCTTCATTGCTCGTTGAGTTTCTCGCCTAACGAGCATTGTCCCTCGAGTAATTCGTTAAACCATGATGTTCTCTCATTAATAGGTGCGTGACCCAGCCCATCAACTATTAAGCCCTGGCCTGGTTTTAGGTACTCTATCAGTTTCTGACCATGATGGGGCGAAATCATTCCATCGTCGGTTCCATGCAAGACGAGGATTCTCTTACGCCCTACGCTGTCGCCCAGGTCTGTCAGCTGCTCAGGGCTTTTATTATGCCACCCAGCCGCGATCAGTTGTAGCAAGAACCCCTTCTTGGTGAAACCATCCTTGTCTCTCTGCTTCGTAATCTCCTGGGCGGCAAAGCGCTCATAATTGCTCCCGAACCTGCCGTATCCCCCGGTTGGGATTTTGCATTTCGGCACTGACTCATCTGGGACCGAGGCGTTGTCTGAGCCGGCTAAATAGTTCGGAGGAAAGATGGCCTCGGCCGCATACTGTACGCTTCGGTCCATGCTCTTGGGTAATAGCATGGTAACGCGGTTCACCATATTTTCAGTGAAGGAAGTGGTGTTCTCAATCCGGGCCGCCGTACAAATCAGGCTCAGGGTGGCGATACGGTTCGGCACTAGGTAGCCTAACTCCTGGGCGATCATACCGCCCATACTAATGCCACACACGTGCAGCTGCCGCGGTGATGTCCATCCTATGTGATCAGCAACTTCTATAATATCCCGTGCCATCTCCGACGTGCTATATCGCATTAATGGTTTATCGGATCCACCCATCCCTCGATTGTCAAGGATCAGAACAGAATACTGCGACCCATGCATATGTCCGAAATACATCGTCTGCCTCTGGAAGGCGGCTTTGAAAAATCCGAGACCACTAATAAGCTATAGTAAGAGATCAGTGCCTAGGCTTTTGCGATCTTAGATGTATAGACCTCCCCGATCAAACTAGGCACGTACTATTAGTTTCACGGGACCATCTCCATGAACTTCCCAACTGATATTTAATGGCCCACCTCTTCTAGCAGCAACAGGTAAGAGGCCGGATCGATGTGGCTCAAGCTGCCACATCACCGTCGGGAATGCCGGGCTTTTGGCCACATCTTCGACTGAAGGGAAGGTTGCTGTAATCGTAGCTTTCGACCTGGTCATCTGTTAGCAGTTTAGATTCCCCTGGTCTAGATTCACGTATACGATTAGAAAGGGCTGATCATACATGGGTGGGTATATACTTATATATACATAGGTAGGTATATATTTATTTATATGGTTATGAATAAAGATTATCTATTTTATTATTCTGGTTTGAGGGCAATATGTCTTAGCTAGATTATAGTCGCATAATTGCATAATTGCATTTTAGGTATGGGAAGGATTGCATTTATGTACCTTGGTATGTTGTGCCTATCTAAATACCCAGTGCACAGAATCATAGATGCCAACAATGTTGACATTCCATTTGGAAACAGACTACATTAATGCACTGGCTATCCCCCAAAGACTTAACTATGAGTACCAGCATAGTCGAATTGCAAAGAACCCCCGTATGTTAAATTCGAATATCCCATCTGCGCTGTATGTATGTTCAGCCCAGTCTCGATAAATCCACTATTGTCTTTTCCGCCATTGCTAGGAATGGGATTATTCCTGATTCCGATTGACGGTTGTCCAGATATGCTATTGGCTGGCTTATTTTGCATTTTATTTTCAAGTGATTGCGAGATGCTCGTCGCAGATATACCCTCGCCAAAGTACAAATAGTCTGAGGGCTCGGGATCGGGATTTTGTTCCCCATCTTGGTCTTCTTGGTCTTGGTCTTGGTCTATGGTCCATTTTGACTTCTCCCGGTTCGTCGGGAGTCTAGCTGAAACCGAGGCTTTCCGTAGTCCTTTTACTGGCTTCGGTTGACTGACACTAGGTTGGTCCGAGGTATATTGTTGCAAGGTCTTCGTTTGTTGCGACGGGTTTAGATAATCCGGACTTTCATCCTCGCAGGGCTCGCTTTTCTGGTCTTGAGGCTTTCGTATGCTTTTCAAACGCGACATAAGATCTTGGAACGGCATCTCTAAATGTTGAATAGGTAGGTAAGCGAGCTTCGGAATAGTAATTGAGGACAAATGTACTCAATTCTAGCCTTAAGTCAATACACGCAACAGATCTAGGAAAGACTAGGCCGTGTGCTGCCGAGAATCTTTGGCCTTTCTTAAGTTAATCATAGGTAGATCCTTACGTCGTTAATCCTGATCGAACTGGCGGCCTCTCCTAGCGCCGCTCAGGGCACGGCTTAGCAGAAGAGGAAGCGATCTAATTAATGAGTAACGCGTAATATTATGCGCCACCGCCACTTACGAATAGATACGAGCTCTAGTTGGAAGGTTACCTACCTAGATAGTGTGCTTAAGTATTCACAAGATTGAATATTGATGCCCTTCGGAGATCTTCGTTTCTTATACACATATATATGCCTATTGGGTACGTAGGTATGTACATAAATAAAATAAATAAGTATTCGGTATGAATCATCTTAAGTTATTGTACCTGGCGCGCATAGATAACTATGAAACTCACTGTTTTCCTAAGTATTCGCAAAATAATAATAATAAAAACAAAAATTAAATAGAATATTGAACTAGTGAGCAGTGCGTGTAGAAAATTTTTTTTTTTTTTTTTTACATTTAAATAAAGCATACCTAGGTAGGTATGTAAAAGCAACCCTTAGGGTGATGTGGAAGAAGTGCTTATTTATGTACCTAGTATGGAACGGTTATTACGTATTACACAAGATCTAATCACATGGAAGTCTTCGTCTATCAGAATAAAAATCTATGTGGTAGTAGTTACAAGTTTTCATGTGATGGAGTATCGACTAAGCCAGACCATATACGGTGTATACCACAAGTATTGCAAGAATGAATACTATTTACGATAATAATGATAATAATGACAATGATGCTAATATGGATTATTTCATCCTTTTTCTCGTAATAAAGGGTATCTATAACAAACTAGAATATCAACCTCACCGGTACGCCCTATGTTTCCCATGTGATAAAGAGTCTGAGAATTTCCAGTGATCATCAAATCATTAAGTACCTAGGTATATCTTCATGTCTCTAAAGCCGTTCAGTTTCACCGTCGGCTGCATCTAACGGGTCGGGAGGAAGTTTTTGGAATCTTCTTCTTGTTGCGCGAACGATTGCGGGAATGCAGCAATGCCTGCAATAATGCCTGCGGCCATGAAGCAGACAGAAATGATAGACCATATGACACCCCAACATTGAGAAGAGCCGCCGTAGCGCTGGGCAAAAACGCTAGCATCGGAGCTGTTGACTTTGCGGAGGATCAAGTCATCGCACTAGAAACTGGTTAGAGGCAGTAATCCGTGGGAAATCACAGTCAGAACTCACAATATCCCAGACGCTGTACAGACAACTCATGACGCCGATGAAAAGCACGACGAATCGCAGCGGTTCAGCATGGACTATGAACCAGCAAGCTACTAGAAGCCCAACCGCAAGCAAGATAGTTAAGATCGTGAGCCAATCCTTCTTACCCCACCAGAGAGTCAACAGAAAACAGGCGGCTAATACCAGGCTGGCGATTTTGCTTGCGACAATGTCAAAGCCGCAGAATATAAGCAGGGCGCCGATGAGCGAAGACCCCAGGTAGCCGGCCGGTAATGTGATAGCACTCTTTCCACCGACCACTAGCAACGAGTCAGCATCTTCTTCATGGCTAATTAAGAATCTCCGAGGGCTAAAGCATGGCTTCGGACTAATATGTTCTGGCTTGGTTTGATCGAGAAATGAAGAGTTAATAGTACGTACTATGAGTGACACCTCCTTCACGCGGGTCGAGTGAGATAGACTTGACGCGCCCACCCGTGCAGCAAGCGGTTATGGCATGTCCAAACTCATGAAAAGCAATGACAAGCATCTATCAAAATTTATTAGTCATACATGATTTCTAGATGTGTCGATAGGTTTGTATGAGTTGAGACGTACTTTGAAAGGCCATAACGACCATCGCACATAAGGTACGTTCCATAGAATGGCAATGATAACGACGTAGGCGGCGATTATGCCAAGCGTAACTTTTTGGGCGTCGCTGGTGACGGTTAGGTCGCGACGGGAGATGGTATCTCGGCGAGCGAGTTTGGCTACCTCCGGACCGGCTGCTACCACGGCGGCTCTGGCACCCCGGATCAGATATTCGGTGAAGAAAACCCCGGGCCGGTCATATACGGGAGCCATACTCTGCTTAGTGTGAAATTAAACGAATGTATGTACTATAGGCTGTAGGAACGAGTGAGTGACTTGAACTTGATGTCTGTAATACACATTCACATTCTGGTAATAGCTAATATGTATGTTGTAGGTATGTACCTAAATATGTAAATATTTTAAATCAGAAGGTCCGGCATTAGGCCAGATGACGTGTACGCGTGGCTGATAGGCTGGGCATATGTTTTAGCCAACCTCTTCGAGACTGGGAATTCCAGGCTTCGTAAGCCGAAATGTGACACGACGCACGACGCAAGCTAGGAAGAAAAGAGCGACAAAATGCTGCGCCTCGCTTCTGTGGCGGTGGCTGTTACTACTACTAGACTGCTAGAGTTGCATGGGGCCATGGGCATGTGGGGCGGCTAGGAATGGCCTAATTTTAGATCCCGAAGTGCTAATGCGAGCTTCCCGTTAGGGATACCCTTTATTATTATTATAACATTCTTTAAGCATCCGCATAGAATAAAATCATCTGTATTTTAGGAACATTTTGCGGCAACCTGGATTGAAATGCTTCTCCGATCTGCGAAGGGTTATTAGCGGCATATGCTCGAAATATTTTACATCACCATACTGTATAACCGATAATAAGAGTAGACTAACCCTCCCCTTTAACTTAGGTAGGTAGCTATTAGGTATGTAGGTAATCGGTGAGTTGGATACAAGATCTATATTCATTATTAATTTGTTCTTGTTTCCATGATGAAGGCATCGACCGTCTCTCATCTTAAGCTTGATGGTCGTTAATGTGTTGATAGGTCAGTGTCATGGTAAGTCTGCAACTTCATCTCACTGATTACATTCCTTACTCACATTTTTAATGCCTCCATAATCTTCAACCGGCGGTGTATTAAGCATCAATCAATACCAATAAGTTACTAATTTCTACTAGGGGTAATAGATTTGCGCCGCGGAGTGCTCATTGCTCAGGCAAAAGAGGAAGAGCAGAGGAAGAATTTATGTTTACACCGTTCTAGCCTTAACCATGGATAGGCGGGCTGGCGATTAAGCCGCATGTAGGATACGTATAAATGTGAATTTCGCCATTTTAAGAAATGGGCGGTCGGTTACTTCTCCACCGTGACTTCTTTGAAATTTGACTAGATGTACTGCTTTACGTATGTATACGAGTCCGACCGATTTGCTGATCGCCGGGAATAGGAGCCGCGGAGTTATTTCTTGATCTTCTCCTTTATTTCGTTTTTCGAATCCGTAGATCGGGATTCATTATAATGGATACCGTCAGAGTTATATAAGTCTAGAAATGCTCACGTTTATGAGAACGATAGCATAGGTCTCTCGTATCATCGACAACTTACGCCTTTCTTCCGCGCTAAACATTTTGAACCTTACGAAAACCTCAGATCAAACATTCAAAAATGAAGCTGTCAGGTGCATCGCTTGTTAGCATCCTCGTCGCTGGCCTCGCCAACGCGCAAGGCTCTGCTTCTCAGTTTTCAGTTACTGGATTCTCGGCTGGAGCTACACCGCATTCGTCGGTTGGACAGTGAGTCGACACTCAATCTTCAATGGTCTTAGTTGTGGCTAACTCTCTTGAAGCGCTGGTCTCAGCGTTTCGTTGGACGGCAAGGGTGAAACGAAATGCTCTGCAAGCCCGCAGACTTACCAAAAGTTTCCCAATGTCCCTAAGACTCCTTGTGCCGACCCGGCGACGTCTTTCAGCCTGACCCGAACGGCCGACTCCGGTGCGGACCTAGAGATTGTACGTGGCATTACATTCCTCGTTATCAAGCTTGGTTAAGAGCTTTTGCATTTGCTGGTCCCGGATCTTTCAGATTACCTCGAGGAAGTGATTACTAACTGTTATTGAAGTGGCGCGAAATATCGCCTGGTGTTTTCGCCCATGGCAAGCGCACCATCCCGGAGAGCGATATTGTTTTGGGGAATCAAAAACCCAACCCGAACGGCGCGATAGAGTCTTATGTTGGTCCTGGCAGCTTCACCTTCCCAGTTGAGAAGTAGGTTCATGGATGTTTGAAGAAATACTGAATACGATGGGGGAAATGGATATGATGTATATACTAGGTACCTAGCTGCTAGTAGCCTAGGTACCTAGATATTGGAAGTAGACTTTGGTTTGAATAATGCTTTATGTCGGTAGCGATTTTCCATTCTATTAGATAGACCTTTAAACCAGATATTCATGTTAGAGATCTTTATTTAATTTCTTGACTTAATATGATGTGCATGTATGTATGAGTCGTACCTACTAGCAGGTATCAGGTATTAGGTACCAGGCCACGGCGGGGACGTCTTGATATGCTTAAGTAATCATACTATGTACCTAATAGTATGTACATAGTACATGCCTCAAACATTCAAGAATTCGGGTTGGACGCGTTGATCAAATTTATCATTAAACTATTATGTCGCCATCACTGTTGGCTTATTATTTTCCTTCACAAAATAATATACAAGTCAAACTTGATAGCCTCCCAAGGAAATGATCCTTAATGCGCCATGATCTTCTTCCATTACTCTTCTGAGTTATTCTTCACCTTTTCATTACCTTAAAGGCATTCGCTTCGTTTGTCCGCCATGAACGTTGCCCATTCATCATGGCGCATATATCCTCTTCTCCCATGGCTTCAGCCTTGACCCGACCGCGAATAGCCATCGCTGTAGTTTCTGCCGTCACAACAGTCTCCTTGGGCTATTATTATTACCGTGTCCATCGCAACAGTTCTGATCCCGAACCCGATCTTGATCTTGCTTCTACTGGTTCCGGTTTGCATCGCCGGAATGCCCTAAGACGACCACGTCGATCCTCTCAGCGTCGTGACGATTCCTCCGATTCCGACTCTCATGGCGATGAAAATGCTGAGACGACTACTTCGGTACCTAATCAAGAGCCGCGCTCTCACCCCGACGATCAGAGCCCCGATGAATGGTACAACGACAGTGGCCAAGCCCCGCGCCAGCGCACCGGCGAGAACATAGTCACCCTCTTGTTCCGAGTGTCTGAGGACAACGCAAGGCGCAATGCATATGTACATCGCGGCTGTCAGTGTAATGGCTGTGGCATGGTTCCCATACGCGGCATTCGATATCGATGTGCCAACTGCGCCGATTTTGATCTATGCGAAGTCTGCGAATCTCAAGGCCTACACAACAAGACCCATGTCTTCTATAAAGTCAAAGTACCCGCTCCACCGTTTGGAACCCGACATGTACAGCCGTCCTGGTATCCAGGCGATCCCGACAACTCTATACGGAACCTGCCGCGATACCTCCTCTCCAAGTGGTCCCACGATACCGGTTTCGAGCGTGTCGAGCTTGATGCTTTCTGGGAACAGTGGACCTTCATGGCCAATACCGAGTGGAGGGATGACCCCGATGGACTTGGCTTAGCGATGGATCGCAAGACGTTCGAGCGCTGCCTCGTCCCATCTGGTGGTTATCGACATGCCGCACCCAATCTCATCCATGACCGTATGTTTGCGTTTTACGATACTAACCACGACGATCTAATCGGATTCGAAGAATTCTTACATGGAGTTTCTTATAGGAAAAGGAAGGATAAACTCAAGAGAACATTTGACGGCTACGATATCGACGGCGACGGGTATGTGAGCCGACGGGACTTCCTGCGCATGTTCCGGGCATATTACGTCCTTTACAAACAGATGCACAAGGATATACTTGAAGGTCTCGACGACCACATGATGACGACTACCGAAGCCCAGCAACTCATCAACGGCAGACAGCCCCTGAGCAGTTTATTCGGCAGGGAGGGTAGGGTTCCCGCTGCCGATCATCCGAGGCCACTGGAAGGGAAGGTGTTCCGATCAAACGGGGACGAGGAGATCAACGATGGTAAAGGAGTCATCAACGAAGATAAGCTAGATACGTCCGGTCGTGAAGAGATCCTCAATAGCCTGTTTGCTCGAAACAATACCCAGAGTCTCTTCACCGAATCGTTTGGGTCTTCCTCTCGGAGGCCGCAATCCCCTAGTGGGGATGCCCGTTACTGGCCAGGGGTCATAAACCCTCCTCGCAATACCGTCGATCTAGCAACCTTACTCGTTGGTGATTATACTCAGCTTGACGACATCCTCGAATCAATCCGCAATGAAGAACATTCCCTAGGCGAAGATGTTGAAACAGGCTCCTCAGATGAGAATGGGCAGAGCGAACCCGAGGATGAGGGGGTTGATGAAGCTGATGATGTCGGGCAGCTCGAGCGCAACGTAGAGGACGATGCTATGGGCTCATCTTCTACCCGCGCCATTCCAGATGCTAGCAGATTCACTAATACATTACCTACGGAGAGCCAGCTTAGGGTGCAGCATCAGGCTATAGTTGCGAACAACCATAATCATCGTTTGGGGGCCGACAAACGAAAGAGGGTGCATGCGAGGAGGCAGCTTCTTGAGAGATGGAAGCGGCGTCAATTCTATCTAGATGAGGAAGAAGGGGCCCTACCACCGCAGGGATGGGACGAGAACCAGGATGTTCTGCTGAACTTGAACGGCATCGCTGAATCATCCAAGTCAGCGCCTCATTTTCTCTCGCCGCGGTCGAGGTCATCTTCCAAAGTGAGGTTCGCAGAGGACGCGGATGATTATGAAACTCGCTCTAACCCATCTACCTCTTCCCGAAGCGTGCCGGAGAGATGGGGTGGGATGGAGATACCAGATGCAGAGCGAGATGCCGGGAAGGAAATACTTTATCAGATAACGCAGCAAGCCTTCAACGAGCTTCTAGACGAGATCTTTAAAAGGAAGGAAGACCTTGCCGTCCAGGCAGCCGAAACTAAGAAACTACGCGAAGAGCACCACGAACTCGTAGATGCGATCAACCTAGAGGACGTAGACGACTCGGAGGATCAATCGCCCCATGAGCCTGAGCATCAAGTGCACATTTCGGACCAGAGCTTACCTGAATTGCTTTCGACTAGCGGCTATACCGTCCGTTCTCCCGACTCGGAACATCCGGCTGCAGAAACACCAACTGAGGATGACAAGGCACCGCTCAACGTGGAAGAGACGACCACCTTAGAGATGGATGCAACCCCGTCGGGATCATCGGATCATCGTGACCCCACCCTACCCCAGAATCGCCCCAACAGCATACCACGAGCCTCACTTGACGGTCCTACATCTAGAGCTGCGGAGGCCAGGCCTCAGAGTAAAACGCTCGTCAACGGTGCTGGACCATCCGAGGATGCTCGTGTCGCCGAGACGGAGGACCCCGATCCTGAGTCGTTACCCGAAATATCACGCTCTACGCTAGTGACATGGAAGCGGCTTAACCTCGCAGAGCAGGAGGCGAGAGAAAGGGGCGGCTGGGGAAGACTAAGCTACAAGGAGTTCGAGGAGATATATCGAGAGCACGAATTCCAGGACAGCAGTCGTAATCGGCTTGATTACCTGGGCAGCTGGATTGACTTCTGTATTCCCTAGGATCATCATATACTTGAGGATCACCCTCGCCCAATTCCGATAGTTCTCTCGGAAGAGGGACTGTTTTAAGACCTACTTGTACAGGCTTCTCGCGTATCTCTACACACAACCCGCAATTGGATTCCATGCTTAAAGTTGATAGAGGTGTATATTTATTGTCGAGCCACGGATATCCCGTGTACAGTAGCATCGCTGTATCTGTGAATGGGCGCGAATTATATGTCACGGTATCAAAATTCTGCAGCTGTTTGTCTACCTAGATACCTACTCAGGTATGCCTTAAACTCGTAGCCTTGGTTTAGTTTGATAGGTATCTTACACCGTCAATTCTGTCACATATCTTACCCGATCGTATTATCTCCATTCGACATATCTCTGTAAATGCCACTCGACTTTGACCTACCTAGATAGTAATGGTATTGATGAAGAACGACCAAGAGAGGCGGTATGTTTCTATAGTATGCCAAGTCTTAGATGTCCATGTACCTAGTTTATCCACCAGGGGACCTCAGCTTTCATACGGATAGGAGCCAGGCGCAATATGCTAGCGGCCTAAGGGAACTAAACACAAAATTGGAATGGCACACTTCACCGCTTCAGGGAGAGATACTTGGCCTCTAAGTATCGTACTAGGTAGTATCGTAGTTCTACCAGCCCATGCCCCTCTTCATCTTGTGTTAAGCATATGATTTTGACTTCGTTGATATCTCGACATCTTAGATAGGTAATTGCCGCGAGATCTACGTGCATGCCATGGGAGATCAATCCAAGCTTCTGTGCCAATAAATACCGTCGTAATTTATGGCAATTGATTGCCGATTCGAAAGCATCATAAGTGATCTTTAGTCGTCTAGGGTAGATCACAAAAGCCTACATCTATAATGACATAGCAATTTAACACAGGAATATCAGGCTGTTTCGGCTATGTAACGATGTCTCTCCATTTGAAAGTTCTGATGCACATGATTTGTCATGGGTACGGCAGTTTGGTATATGCTCAAGTAGTATATAGGTCGATGCTTGCAGTCCTTCTCATATACTTACTTCCGGTGACTAGGTACGCATTATACTCGTTCGAATATGGCTGCTTATTTGCTGATAGGGTGGCTCGTGTTTTCCGAATCAGCTTCAGCTGAATGCACTAGAGAGTTTCTTATAGGGTCCACTGATAAGTATGTAGAGGCTCAAGCTTCCGGGTCCGCCAGTGAGATGGTCGCCCTAGCAGCGTCTAATGTCACCTACACCGAAAACCAAGTCCCCAAGGCCATTCCAGAAGGTGTTTTGGCGGAATCCGTCAAAATAGATCATAATCGTAGCATCCACGACACTGTTAACTGCGCGACCTTTACCGAGATTATCGCTGCAACGAACCCTCACCAGTATGTCATCGGTACGCGAATTTTATTCGATGGTGATAACAAAATCTCCTTGATGGAATCAATCGTCACGGACGCTGGAGACTGGGCTTTTAACGCGACGGGATGGTATGTATCAAAGATTGTGATATCGGAATCTAGTACATTTTTTAAACACGTTGCCGGAATATCAGCTTGCTAACACTATGGCAGTAAGTAAAACGACTCCATATATTTAGAATGAAGATGTAGATACCACATCAACTTCTGGAAACATACGACAAAATACTGACATGCCAGATCTATATTGGGATTCTCTAGAAAACTGGGATCCTATCCCCGAGGAGAAGAGAGACAGCCGGGAGGTGATCCAATCAGCCGGGAATTCTTATTTTGAGCGTTTTAAGAATGAGAGCGTGGTAGTACCTTTTGGTATACCCTGCTCTCGTCTGGAAGGGGGAGCCTCTACTGCTCCGCTGAATATGACCGGTGATTCTTGCACACTTGCAGGTCTACCCTCAACCCTGGTAGTCACGGACCGCCGCTTTGTCGTGGACGAGATTTTGGGTGTCGTCGACATCTTTCTTGGTTTCCCTGGACTCGATCGATCACAAGGTCAGGAGCCAATGCCTGATAGGTAAGAAATTGTCTTACTGCATATCAGTTGGAATTTTGGAGTAAAATTGGTATAATGGATCAACCGCGACCCCTTACTTGATTTCTCTAAGAAACTATTACTAATCCCATATTTCTACAGTCATCTGTTTAGGATAGAGTCGGGGAAAATCAGATATATTCATACTATTTCATCTTGCGTGGAAACGGGTTGTGGGATGAATGATACCATTCCCCCTTCCAAGATGAGGCACCCGCGGCATTAGTAAAAAGAAATTTTTTAAAAAGGGGGGAGACCTGATATGAAAAGGGGCCAAGTTAGGATACATGAATCCAACCTACCTATAATATGATCTCAATCGATGAGAGCAGTGCTTTGGAATTTTCATCCATACCTAGGTAGGTACCTAATATAACGTTCTTACGTTAAACCAGCGACTAGGTACCTTGGTATAGTTCATTGCTGAGCGAATATCTGCTTACCTCCCCGTTTACGTAACTAAAAAATACCAGCCCTACGTATAGATTTTGATCGACCGTGTCAAGTGAGATACCGTCATTAACTATCGTGACGGGGATAACATCACTGTTGAAGGTCTCAAGGAAGCTTCCACGGGATCTGAGCTCCTATATTCTTTTTGTGCGACATTAGAGCACAGCAGTTAGGTACGGAACTGTAGGCAAAGTCCTCGCTGAAGGATCTAGGATAACGGACGTCATGCCCCTTGGCAACTACGACTTTCCTCCTCCTGTCTTGAATTCCGTAGTACATAAGGTAACAAGGAGGGTACCATCCAAAACCCTACTAGTTAAAAGCTCGTGTTATTTATTTCATAACCTATCATTAATTACTATGTTACGGTCTTGAGAATCTCGAACGCATATATAGCGTTGGAAGAGAGGCTATTTCGTCAAGGATAGGAAAATATTATTGGTGAATATGATACCCAGCGGGTTTCAGCAACTTCGAGGCCATTTCTAAATAAGATCTACTACATAGTAGGTATTTAGGTAGCTAGGTTAATTAAGGGCACGAAGGGTTTGCTTTTATTCTAGGAAAGCTTGAGGACTTGATGAACATTACTTCGGGTAACCAACGGGAAGATAGTCTCCATCACTCTTATGACGATATTGAGGCACATGTCTTGTGATATTAGCGTATCTTTCCTTGAAGCATATTTTGGAGCTTATGGTAGGTTGGTCCTGCGTGGAACGGCGGACATGATTCGGGGGAAAGGAACAACGATACGACTTGACAGCATTACCGTGGTGTTTGATGACTTATACGCCATTTTATCTTTGAACGTATTAAAAAATAGAGTAGTTAAGAATCGTGTTAGAGAATGTATGCCCAAGCTTAAAATCGAGAATATTACCTAAGAAAAAACCACCAAAAAAAACTCTCTTTTCAAAACCGCCGTGCCTACCTATTAAGGTAGGTATGTAAGTCTTGTGTAGCAATTTCTTTCCGTTTCGTTGGCATCTTACGATATTATTCCCCCTGAGAAACAAGCGCTAGAAGATTTATGTAGCGAGCATAAAACGAGGAGTTTCGCAGAATGTCAGGATGGGATGAGACGCAAGAAAGTTGCCTACCCAGCACTTACCTAGTCGATGGTACGATGTGTTTCCTTCAAAGTGCAACTTATTAGGGGTTGATGTTTGACTAGAGCGGTTACTGACTCGCGAAGGGTCTTGGCAATAATATTGCAAAGAGGGTCAACGCAACAACCCTGAACAAGGCCGAAACTTGACTTAATAAAGGTACATATAAGTAATTAAACGAATGCTATAAACTTTAAACGTTACTGAAAATTTTATAGAAGGAACTTTCGTGATAATAAGTATATAGTATATCTATGGGTACTTGTATAGGTACAAGTGTAGCTATTCGTTTTTATGGTTTCCGAGGTTATTGTTAATATTATTAATGTCCACTATTTTCGTTAAGATCCCAACCCCAATCCCAGAGGAAAATCGCGCTGATCGAAACCGGTACTACCTATTAGCTAGGTAGTATGTAGGTATGTACATAAGTCGATCACCATGTTCGTTTATTATTGGAGCACGGATACCTTGAAACAAGCATTATGAACCAGTAATAGCGCGACCGTCCGATATCAGCAGACCATAGCATCATTTTCTAGGAATAAAGCGACCAGGGCTTCCTTCAACGCCTGAAATTCCCCTTCAAAAATCTTCTACGTAATGCTTTAATTACCGCTATACCTAATAGAAACGTCTTGGCCGAGATCTGGCACAGGGGTCGAAACATGGAAGGATTAACGCTAACCGGCAGATCGTAAGCGATCATTGTCTGGGAAGGCGGGAAGGGGTTTTTCTTTTGCTCCCTCTTTCTTTTCTTTTTTCTTTTTTTTTTCTTCTTTTGGCTTGAACTTGAACGCCTCGTGGTAATATCCTTACGACCGTCCGTGCTTTAATCAAGCCACAATCGGCTCGAACCGAATTGTCACTTCTGATAAGTGATGGAATATTACTACATACCTAGGTACCTACATAACACAATAACCCTAATAATTCCAAAGAACCTACCTGCCTACCTAGACTCTCAACGCCTATTAGGCAGGTACTGTATAACTAGTAGGTATTATAGCACGCAGGATATAGAATTTACGGGCAAGAAAGGCTATTCTCTGGTCGCGAGGCATCTCATTTCCGCTCACGCAGATTATCGGCTTCGTAGCGATCTAACGGCCATGTAAAATGCCCAATCCTATTCGCTGCTTATGGTATTCGCGACACCTTCGTCCGTCTCCACCGCTCTAGACCGCGGCACCAGCGCGACGAGGACCAATATCTCCATCCACCTACCCGCTTTTGGTATCTCTGCGGAGTCTTAGTTCTACGTACTATGCGAACTATGTTACCTGGTTTCCTATGTACCATGCCAACAAGCCTCAGTCATTCTCAGTTGCCTAGGGCAATGAAGCGTACCCTGGCGAGACGTCTTCGAAGAGTAGGGCACAGGGCACAGGGCATTGTTCAATTTTCAGATTTTCTAACAGGCATCCTGGCGCGGACCTGCTAGGATTTACCCACTCACAAGCGACAACGGAAACCCGAGACGGCTCTCCTTCGGAGTCCTTCCTCCACCTCTCTCTACGACGTACAGGCATAGTCGCCTATTGGAAAGATTCGCCCCAGCATGTCAAAGAAGGGGTCCGCTTCGAGGGAGGCTCCTTCCGAGCCTTGCTCGAAACCCACCAGCATGACACAGATCGTGTTGGATAATAGCTCACGAAGGCCGGTTAGGGGGGTCTTCTATTCGGCACTTTGACCATCTCATATGGGATTAGTAGCCTGCGGAGATCGAACAAGATCTCCAATGCTTATTATATAGACGAGCGACGTTCACCTATGATCGCCATCTTTTCTTTTTTTATCTTCTTCTCCAGGCCGGTTTTCCTTTCCAACTAACATTCTCTTCATCGTCGACGATCCTGTGGATCAGTTCTATTCTTAATTAATTTACCATCTTTTCGAGTTTTCCTGTGCCCTATCCTTTCTTTGCCGGCCCGGTGCTGCTCAATAGCTAAATATTCAACATGCCGTCGTTTTCGTCTTCTATCCTTTCTCTCACATCCTTATTGGCTTTAACCCAGGCCCACGGTGTCATTCTGAACGCGCAGGGCATCGCTGGCTCACCAGCAAGCGTAGGCTTCAAAGGTATGTTCTCCACATCATCCTACCTACTTCTTCGGCTGACGGTTCCCAGTCGAGAAGGACTTGGCACGGAACTGCACATCTATCAGCCCTTGCCAACAAGACACGACGATCATCCGTGATGCAGAGATCGCTGCCAATGTGGTAAATGAGTGTGGAAGGACCGAGCTTTCCGGAAACATCGACATCGGAGAGAACACGGAGAACGCGCTCGCGGCGAAGGCAGTCACTCAAGTTAAGGCGGGGACGCAGGTCAAAGTCACTATTCACCAAGTGAATGCCGACGGTGCTGGCCCTTATGTCTGCGATTTGGTAGGTATAATCCACCAGAGCTCGGATGGGCGTGTGCTAATAACTTATATTTTATTAGGTGGAAGCCGGAAACAACGGTGTGATCACTCAGAATCTCACTGTCCAAAACAATGTTCCTGGTGTGAACGGCTTCTCTCAAGCCAAGACCCAGGACTTCGATATCCTAGTAAACATGCCTACTAACTTCGCTTGTACTGGATGTGAGTCTAGAACCTGTTCCGAATCCCGGCCGTTCTTCCGGGTGCTAACCTCTTTTCCGCAGCTTCTGCTGGCAACGTCTGCACTGTTAGATGCCGAAATAAGTATGTACCATCGTTCTATTGCCTCCTTCGGCCCGTCTCGGGAGTGAAATCTTTCTGATTGAACCTTCACTCCTGAGATATGCTTATAACCTAAAATCTACCTACTTTGAAAGACAGAATTGCTAACTTTTATTACTACTTCAGCGCATTGGCCGGCCCATTTGGTTCGTCACTCTTTCCCCTTTTCCCCCTTCTTTATCCCCCTTCCCGTTTTTCTTTTCTTCTTCTTTGGCGGCTGAATACTTAGGTGTCTAGGCACCTGCATAGTGCCAGTAGATAGACTTGCTGACTTTCGTCGCTACAGGTGGTTGCTTTCCCGTTCAACAAGTTGATGTTACACCTGCTCAGAACACGCCGGCCAATATTAAGACGAGCCTGTCTCTGGAGAAAGTTTTCGCGCAGGTTGCCCAGGACCAGAAGGATCTCCCCGCAGCCATCGCCGCCATCAAGGACGCCGGGGCAAACGAAGCTCTTCAGAATGTTGCCGTCGTAAGCTCGATCTTGGGCGACTCGGTCACTAGTCTGCCTGCCTCTGTCCAAACTCCTAATGTCGCTACTGGCGCGGCTGCGACGGCAACATCGGCAACATCTGCAGCTAAAAACACAGCTAGCACTACGACGAAGGCTTCGGCTGCAAAGACGAGTGCCGCTACATCCAAGAATGGCAATGGGCGTGGCAACAACAACAACGGCAATGCTAACGGCAATGCCAACAATGCAAACGGCAATGCCAATAATGCAAACGGCAATGCCAATAATGCTAACGGCAACGCCAACAATGCTAACGGCAACGCCAACAATGCTAAAGGCAATGCTAACGGCAATGCCAACGCTGCGAACCAAGGTGCAAAAGGCCAAGGAAACGCTGCCAATAACAAGAGGAGAGCCGCGGTTTTCGTCGCATAAGCAAGTAGCGAGCGAGAAGACCGTCCCAACCGCGGAGGTAGGAGAGAGAAAGGCTGTGCCTGTTAGCGAGATGCTCGCCCGGAGTTGGGGTACTAGATAGAAGGATTTGGATAGGGCACTTTTTGATCGTACTGGCATTTTTCTGTACATATATCTAGATACGTAGAATACCTCGAAACTACCGGTGGATCTGCAGTGAGCATATGTGACACCAATTGCTTAAATCCCACACCTGGAAAGATACTACATGTATCGCTGGGTACCTACCTAGGTACATATAGGTACTGTAGTGTAGTTAAGTAGGTACCTAGTAGGTATCTCGTATATTCGGAGATAACGTTAGCCCCTAACCAATCATATCCCCTTTTCTTATACAAAGGAAGATGCCTTTACGCTTTTCGTAATCGCCTAAATCCGAGGCTTCAAGATCCCCGATTCCGAGCCGGACGACATAATACATATGTAGTACGTAGTATGTATATTGATCATATCGTATTCAACTACCTGACCATTAAATCCTTTTATATTCCACTCCGACTCTACCTGAGAATTCCAATAGCACAGTCTTGCCCCTCTACTATCATTATGGCAACTCACTACGCAGCCGTGGCCGTCGGAAAAGCGCTGCCTCTTGAAGTCCGCAAGCGAAAGACGCCAAAGCCCGGTCCTGCCGAACTCCTAGTTGAGGTCAAATCCGTCGCTCTGAACCCAATAGATTGCAAAACACATAATTTAGGCTTTGCTTTAGCTGGATACCCTGCTGTCTTTGGCTCGGATGTCGGTGGCGTAGTCGTTCAAGCTGGTTCCGACGTGTCCGACGTGTTCAAGCCGGGAACTCGCGTTACCGCTTTTGCGCCGTCCTACTTTGTTCAAGGCGCACCTGACTATGGTGCCTTCCAACAGAGATCCATAATCCCAGCCGCGAATGCCTGTACAATTCCGGACCATATATCGTTCAATGAGGCCGCTACTTTCCCCATGGCCGTTGCCACAGCCTGTATGTAGTCTCAGTGCTTAAGAAGTATTCTCCGTTCCCTCCTTACATAGGTACCTACACATGTACCTACACATATACCTGGTGTACCTATAACCAGCCATATGTAGCTAGGTACTTATGATGTTGGAACTCCCCGTTCAAAGACATGACTTCTAACCGGTCTTATTCTTTCCCGGGCATAACCAGCCCTAAGCCCTAAATCTCGCGGGGAGATAGCTGACCTTCGTTGATCAAGGGTCCGGACTGGAGACCCTTGGTGTTTCGCGCGATGCTTCTTATTCCGGGAGCGATAAGCAAGGAATTTTAGTGTGGGGTGGATCGGTTAGTATACTCCAAGGTGCTTGAAGGGGGTACTGCCTAACTTCTAGATCCATAGTCTAGTGTTGGCAGTATGACGGTACAGGTCGCCCGGTCATTAGGCTTTACCGTCTACGCTACTGCGAGCGCGAAACACCACGAGTATATCATGTCGTTGGGCGCATCAAGGGTATTCGATTACAAGGCCCCTGATGTGGAAGACGCCGTCATCAAAGCCGCTAAGGAAGACGGACTCACATTCCAGTACGGCTACGACGCAGTGGGCGCTCTGCTACCCTGTCATAACATTCTCAAACTAATGAAGGGAGACGGAATCGCCCACCTGGCATCTGCACCTCCGTTAAAGCCAGGAGACCCTACCGGAGAAGGGGTCGAAGTCAAGTTTGTGGCCACTTCCACCGACGAAAAAGAGCGAGCCGGGCAGTTCTCATTCTGGTTCAACATCTGGTTGAAGGAGAAGCTGGAGAAGGGTGAAATAGTCTCATGTCCCCAAGAAATCCAATTGGTTGATGGGGGTTTACAAGGTATTAACCAAGGCTTGGGTATCTTAAAAGCGGGTGTCAGCTGCACCAAACTAGTCATAGAGATCTAGCCTTAGGTTTGGGCGATACTTCGATACGGATTACACGACACGAATATCTAAAAGAAGTCTACAAGATAGGGAGGCAACCAGATGCCGTTATATTATCTACCTAAGGTTGGTATCTGACCATCGAGGCACCTACCTAGGAATATACCTAGGTCGACACCTAGAAGGATAGGTAATTTCTATGATAAGTGCTGACTACGGTAGCGTAATGATTGGTGACACTATAGATATAATTCCGAAATACCATCATCGGATCTTAAACATATCAAAACTAAGCTTCCAGCCACGAGGCTAGCTTCCAAGCCCACCATGCCATAGCTCCTATTGCAACTAGGTTAAGGTCAACACCTATTGCGTGATTACGAGAGAAGGACATTGCTGGTGCCTTCATCCCATTACTTGGCTTGGTCGTATTATCCAAATTTCTCCTATCTCTTATTTCTGTAGTCTGATTAGAATTTTTATCACCTATTTTATCAATTGTCGATATTAAGAACATCATAATACCTTCATTCATCTGGTCAATAGTCATCCGCCGCGCCTGTGATCTATAGATCGCCATGTTGAAAACCGTAGTGGTACCTGCCATGAGGAATGGGGCCCAGTTTGCCTTACTCTCTAGCAAAGTCAACGGTCCAGATGGAGGAATGGTCGCTGCCGTCAACAAGAGGAGAAGGACCTGAACATGAAAATATACTGGAAAGATGCGCTTCAGGAGAGCTATGGAGATGGATTTCGGTAGTGGTTGACAGCTTATTTTCATCATGACGAATGATATGCATAGCTCTGTACCGAGGAGTGTAAAATAGGATAAGATATGGATGACAGTTAAGGAGGCCGTAGAAGACCGCGATAAATTTATCAAGGCCATCGAGAACATATTCGACTTCGTAAGTTATCGTTCCGTGAGGGTAGGGAACATCCTTGGGGCGTTAGGAAATGCATTTATATAAAAGTAACCCCTTGTGATTTACTAATCCGAGACAAATGTAGGGGAAAATCTAGAGAAGAATAGACGCTAGGCGGCAGAGGCCCATGCTGTTAAGCTTACGAAGCCCCGAAGGTGGTCGGAGTAAGACAAGGTACGACGATACCTTATTATCTCATAACACCAACGAGACTCCGAGAGCCAGCGGCACTTGATATAGATTGTCATCACGAGGGCTGACATTCCAGAAATGGAGAAATACAGTTTTTGTCGGGTGGTCTCATAATTGCTAGGTAAACGATAATTGATAACACCTACCTAGCCTGCCATTACTCTCCTTATAAATGGAGGAATCTATGTGAACTAGGTATACAATATCCCTATCTACCTACTACCTTGTAGGTAAGCGAGAATAGTGTCGGGCTCGCCGTGCAATAGCCCTACTGTCCTCCTTATGCCGAGTTCGCATCGCGACAACTGGTTTAAAATTTAAAAGGTCATCTTCATCTTTAGAGAATCTTTTGCGATAATCTCATCTTTCTTAGAAAAGAACTCGCACATATCCCACATAGCACTGATGTATCTTCCGGCCAGCCAAGTCTGTCTTTGGCTTGTCAGAAACGCGATTGTATCACCACCTAAAGCTGGCGTGCACTTGAGCCATGCTAGGGGTAATGGAAATCAGCACCCGGAACTGTCGGTGGTCTTCTAGAGATGACGAACCTTGTGTCTGTTGCGGAAGCCCTCGGGCTAAATCTGTCGCTACCCTATTCGCAATAATAAGTTCAAAGGTTATCAACGAAAGATGAGACGAGATGAACGAAGGGGCTGGAGTATCTACTAGCTACCTAGGTACTTACCCGCCTGGGTGTATGGAATAAGTTAGGATATCCTAGACCAAGGTCAACAAAATAATACTGCTAGCGCAATCATATCAAACCAGGCCTACCTGTTCGGCGTATTCCGCCATCAAATACTCTGTGAGTCTTAAAAGAGCAAGCTTGCTGATTTGATAGCTACTGCCGCCAGTGTGGAAGTGTGAGACTCCAGTCGATGACATGCTGATGATAGTTTTATCACCACCTTTCAGCATCAGGGGTAGGAAAGCTTTGGCGACGAGATAACTTCCGCGAACATTGACCTCGAAGCTTTTCCACCACTCGTCTTCGTCCCCGTCTAAGATTCTCTCGTATTTCGCTAGGAAGCCTGCGTTGCCGATTAGAACGTCCAGCCGACCCCAATTCGCCTCTAAAGCGTGGGCGGCATCTTTCACGCTCTCTGGGTCGGAGACGTCCATTCGTAGCAGCATCACTACTGGCCGTTCCCGGCCAGCATCTATCGCGGCTTTTTCAACACTTGTGGCGACATCGGCAGCATCTGAGCGGGAGGTAATGGCGATATGAGATGCGCCGGCTCTTGCGTAGGATAGGGCAACTCCTTTACCAATTCCCTTGTTCCCTCCTGTTATCAAGACGGCCTTCCCCTTGCAATCCGACTTAGTCACGGGGTCGATGTAATCATACGTATCTTGACGGATTGTCTCGCAATAATTCGCACCGAAATTTGAGGGCACAGGCGGATAAGTAAGGGCCTCAACCTCTCCCTGTAGCGACCAGTCTGCCATATTGGGACGTTTGCAGATTAGAAAGGAGGATGAGCACCTAGTATCTTAGTAGGGCTCCTCTCGTTTCTGGCAATTACCTACCTACCTAAATATGAGTGTGGTGAGAAGTATAAAGACTGCGATAATCGGCGTGCTCCCGTGCGTTCATTACTAGGTACCTATGCACGTAAGATAATATATATTTACTGTTTGGGATCTGTAAGCTCTGATCCTAGCTCTGCTACGTTGTGAACTGCGAAGGTATCTCCGGAGTAACCCCTATTTGCGCCTTAAGCATAACTTGATAGGCACAGGGTATTCACGTAGATCGTGGTCATCATTGGATGTAAAAGAAAAAGTAAGAAATATTATCGGGGCATCTGGATTCTGGAAAGGGAAAACCTAATATCGAAGTAAATGCTGAACAATACGACGCCCTCTGGGTCCATATTAAAGACCCGTTTTACACCGTATTCGGGCTGGATCCCAATCTTAGTATGTACATACTTCAAGAAATCTACCTATGCACCGTATGTGTTGGGGCTAACCGTTACAGGTATTTCCCCTACATAGTAGTTAGATAATTAGCTTAAGGCTCCTTTTCTTGCTACTAGGTACACTTCCTAATACATATTTTAGACTACTTACTATTTGTACCTACTCGGACTATATATAAATGAGCGGGTAATATTACTCTCTATCAATAATCTTACCCAGCGTCTCGAGAGCTTCATCTGCCTTAGTCGCGAACATCATGTGAGCTTGACCCATGGAAATTCGTAGTTCAGCATTATGAAGCAACTTCGCAGCCTTCTCGGTCATAGCAATGGGACAGTTTACGTCTTCGTCGCCATGCCATAGAACGACTCTCCCGGGCTCTACCTTAACCTCGTCGAGGCCGAAACCCCAATCGGAGCCGTATATACGACCTTCCCACTATAATTTCACGGAAAGTTAGTCGTTGCCGAGATCTAGAAAAGGAGCCTTACCCCAACGCCGTCTGGACCCTGCTCGAATGCTCCTCTCAACCCTCTTACTAGGCCTTGGCGAAAACTGGGAGGACTATTATCCCAAGCTAATCGTCGTCAGATGTAAGCTTCCCTTTGCGTCGCGTCTTCCGATGAATCTGCTTACCTTCACGATCGGCCCTAGACCGCGATTTCATAGAATCGCCCAACCTTTTCTCTAGGTCCTCAGTACTCCTCGCTGTCGGCCCTATCCCCAATTCCAAAAGTTGCCCTACGAGCCATGGCGACCATTGGGCAGTCCAGAATATCGCCCGGCTCAGTAGAAGCATTCCGGAGGCTCCCAGATTTGTTGGATACAAGCCGCTCATGATGCCTAGGCCGACGCATCGTGACCTCGGAATTTGGTGCCAGCACGCTATCGCATATGGTCCTCCCCCGGAAACGCCAAAGACGGCGAACCGGTCAACCTTCAAGTGATCTGCAAGTGCAAGAAGGTCAACGGGCCAGTCGAGAAGCCGGCGATTAGGTTGGTACGTCGAGGAAGCCATCCCAGGTCGATCCACGCTTATTAAGCGAATCCCCCGCTGCTGGGCAAGGTCGTCGCAGAAGATGGCCTCCTCGTGGCTTGACGGATATCCATGATGGTAGAATATTGTTCTAGAGGAGTCATGGTCTCCGTAAATAGCGTACGAGATGTTTCGATCGTCGGATAAGGTGAAAAGCTCGACTGCTGCGGAAGATGCCATGCTACCTATCGTACCCGTATTCTTGAATCTTGATTGACGAAGAATAAATGTGTCGTGAGGGCGGTGTTCAGAGGCGTATTAAATATCTAGGCTACATTCGTATATGGCAGCCTGGACCAGCTTACGACTCGAGAACCTGGTGATCCTATGAAGGCAAAGGACCCCGCAGGTTGTAACCGATTGTTCTGACCAATGCGAAGCTTGAGATTTTGCATTCGCACCCCTGAGAAGGATTCTTCGCACATACCACCTACATACCACCTACATACTACATACCATACAGTACTATAATAATTACTTATTATAGGTATGTTTAGGAGTTGCCCAGGCGCTTTACCGTATCCAGCTAGAATAATACGCCATGTCTTGTACGCTGTCTCTGTCTCAGCCTGGGTGCAACCGAATCTCGCGTATCTCAGATGATCATCCCAGATTTTGGAAATTCACAGACTCATCGCGGACTCGACTCGTCAAAGATTCGATGCAGGGAGGCGAAATCATGTACATTCCCGATCGATCTACGAATGGGCAGATGGGGTAACACTTCAAGAGGTAAGTACCTACATAGTATGCATTACATACAGAATGATCTTATCTTATCTTTTTACTTCGTTCTGAGGTCGTATCCATGATTCGTCACTCACTACCTCTTAGTACATAGTACTGTGGACTGTGGAGCGAATTCCTGGTAACAGATAAGGTCTTTTTTTCTTTTTCTTTTTCTTTTTCTTTTCTTCTTCTTTTTTTATGTATTTATCTACTCCAACTTAAAAAACACTCTCGGATACGGGACGACCGGCATCCCTATGACAAATTACAGAATATTACATGAGAATTATCTCCGGATCATCGTGTTCGTAATAGTCACCGTTCTCTGATAGATAACTTACCTAGGTAGGTAGATAGGTTCAAGTACGTGGTGAGGTTTAATATGTTGAAGTGTATCGGGACTGCGGGATAATGCCTATAATACGTTAATCTCGGGAATTTCCGACCTATCTAGAAAAATGAAGAGCTCAGCGTTAAGATGCGCGGAAAGCCACCTCGTCACCACCTAGTAGACGAGGATCATCCCCACACAAAACCAGGTAGTGTGGTCTTTATCTTAAAAGTGTTGACTGATTTTCATAGTTTCATGTAAAATCCAACTCTCTGTTCAGGAGTTCGGCTCCTATAAATCTTATACGTACATACCTACCTCCCTACTTACCTACCTACCATGGACAATTGTCCCATCCATATTATATGCTTCTTGGCAGGATCGGCACCATGTTGCTCTCCGTAGCTCCCTTTATATTATTAGCTACCCCGTCTATGGCAGCAGTGACACTAAATACTGCTACCGGGTCCCCGAACGGCATCGATACTCGAGAGGTAGCCGAGCACAGGCACGGATACGGGAAATGGTCCCCGAAGGTCGTTATTGTTAGCATGGTAAGTTTTGCGACATGTTCTCCCCCTTGTCATTCTCTTGCACCCTACCTCCAACCCAACGCCTGAGCTAGACTAAACCTAACGGTCATGCTTCAAGTTCTACCCGGAAGCAGAGGTTTGGTACGATAATATGAAAAATGGCTCCTTGGGTGACCTTCTCGCAAACAACATCTCCGTGCCAGGTCTCTCGCCGCTGTATCCTCACGTCCACTGCAATGGAAACGGCGAGATATGCCAACTCACCGTCGGCGAGTCGGAAATCAATGCCGCAGCATCGATGATGGCGTTTGTTCTTTCGGAGCTCTTTGACTTGACGAAGGCGTACTTCCTTCTAGCGGGAATTGCCGGTATCAACCCTAAACTTGGCACACTCGGGAGTATTGCTCTCTCTAGATTCACCGTGCAAGTGGCATTGCAGTATGAGATCGACGCGCGCGAGATGCCCGGCAACTTCTCTACGGGATATTTCTCGTACGGCACTTACGCTCCCGACCAGTACCCGTCCGTCATCTATGGTACGGAGGTGATGGAGCTCAACGAAAACTTGAGAGATGCCGCGGCCGATCTCGCCCAGCGCGCGAAGCTGGCCGACTCGGCGGGGGCAGCCGACTACCGAGCCAAATACGGCACCGACAACGGGCTATATGCCGCCGGCGCGGATGAGCCACAGGTAATAAAGTGCGATTCGGCAACTAGCGACGTCTACTTTTCCGGCGCGATGTTGAGCGAGACGTTCGAGAACACGACTCAGCTGTGGACCAATCAGACGACTATGACTTACTGTATGACTGCACAAGAGGATAGCTCTGTTCTACACGCCATGATGCGAGCTGCTGTTTGGGGGCGGGTTGATTTTTCAAGGGCCATATTAATGAGATCTGGTATGTACTAGCCTATCCAGTCACCGCGCATCGCGTTAAGTGCCCGACAACGCTGACTTCGTGTCGAAGGTTCTGACTTCGATCGTCCGCCGCCTTCAATTAGTGCATTTGAGCATCTTCGCCTCATCGATGAGAACGGATTTGATATCGCAGTTCAGAATCTCTACCTAGCTGGGGTTGAGATCGTGAAAGGTATCTTGATCGAGTGGGACTCTGTCTACCAGAAGGGGATCAGGCCGTCGAATTACATTGGGGATATTATTGGTACCCTAGGCGGCGAGCCTGACTTCGGGTCGGGCAGTCTGTTTGGCGGCTTAGGCTTCTCCCGGTCATCGAGCGCGGATGTTGGTTTAGCGAAGAGGAAGTTGGCAGGAAGAAAAGGGAGAAATGCTGGTGGGTGGAAATAATTATGTCAAATGATCAATCGTAGGATTATAAACAGCCTTGGATTTATTTATCGTATCTGTTTTTAAGGATAGTGTGTTCTTATGGTTGTCTGAACGATTATTGTCAAATTTAATCTATACATTTCTCGGCCTTTAAATTCATTTACGGTGATAACCGATGACTCGGAGTCAGATATTCAACGCCTAGGTTATATCTAGGGGTCCAATTACCTAACCTAGTAATATAGGCATAGCAGCGGTGGCTCATACGCTCGCCTGCGTAGTGGCGGGGTGGGCTCCGGGAGCAGCGACTCCAGGAGCAGCGACTCCAGGAGCAGCAGTAGTCGTGATGGTGGGAGGCCCGGCTGTAGATCCACCCACGTTCGCTCCGGGACCCTCGGGGTGTACGCCGTCGCGATGAGTTTTTTCGGGGTCGTATTTCTCGTTGGCTAGTTGGCTTCGATCCCGGATGCGAAGTCCCAACTGCAACGAGGTTGTTCTGCGATGGCCCCAGATGAGGAGAACGCCAAATATCGGCTTGGCCAAGATGTCAAGGATGCCATAGAACACGGCCTCGCCGTCGGGGTGGATGACGTTGCCACCTTCGGAGAGACCCCAGGCGATGGGGTATAAGAACCAAATGAAGAGGAGAAAGATACCGCATATCATAAATGTCTTGTTCGCGTCTCCACCGAGTCGTTGGGCATGGCGTCGTGCGTCGAACAACAACTCATAAGCAATGAAGAAAAGCGCCATCATGCCAAAGGTCCAAAACCCCCATTTATAAGTGGTCCGTGTCAGGGCGCCGATGAGGCCAGTGACAATCATGACTTCGTCGGCGAGGAGCGTAGCCAGAATTGTTGGCGTGGGAACTCCGGCGGTAAGGAGAAGGTCGAGAAGGAGTAAAGGGGTAGTGATCACCCAGTCGATATACCGAGCGTAAAAGATTTCTCGACTTCCAGCTGGTCTGACCAAACGGCTGCCCGGCCGGATGAATTCGGCTAGGATAGGAACCTGCCCAAGATTTGAACCCATTGCGAAATACGCAATACACGCCACGGCCGTTATACCCGCGGTGATATAGTGGAATACGCGATCGCCTTGGGGTCTTCGAAAGGACAATCCCATGAAGACGAGGGTCGCTAGGCCCATCAAGGAGCAGACGGTATAATACCAATCTGAGCCGCGGCTGGTAATTTCTAAATTGCCATGTTGTCCAACAACACTATTGACATTGAGTGCCTGATTCCCAGGTCCAGACATATTGCTTTATATCTATAAATCGGTAGGTATATTATTATTGTTCCTCGAATTGCTCTTCGGAACACGATTATACTAGGCCCTTAGAGAGTTGATGCCCTTTATCTTTATACTACCGTGGAGCATTCGCGAACGTAGCATTTGTAGATAATGACTTCACTGTCTCATATGCTGCATAAAAGTGTGCCAGTATTGAAAAGCCATAATGTCATGTTACTTCTTGATAATGTCATGGGTGCGACACATTCTGTTGTCAGGGAGGAGGAGGAGGAGGTTATACAATACCTGTCGCCCAAAATATCCTTAAATTCTACGACTCTATGCCGTATCTAATTCAGGGGGTTCCCTGAATGAAGATTCAGTCTGGGGTGCGAGCATGGATATCTATTTGGTATAGCTGAGCGAACTTCTCCATCATGGCATGATTTGAGTTTTGATCGTAGCTTTAATACCATTTCTGAGTTCCCGAACTAGCCGATCATAGAGCTCATGATATCACTCATCTGCCTAGCGACCACAACCCTATTCTTACCTACCTACCTACTAGGTAGACAGCATGTATTCGACAGGGAATGGGCCTGCTAGATTTTGGAGGTTAGCTACTATCTATCATACCTACATATTTAGGCTTGTGTGGCTAATAGATGACGAAATTAAAAAGAAAAAAAAGGGCAAAAACCGGTCGAGTGATCTCCGTGGTGTGTTACACCTTAGGAATTCAAGTAAAAATGAAATAATCAAGATACCTAAATAAAGATCCTTTTAAGTTTCTCCTCACTTAGTAGAGAAATCCAAGGCTAGCACCAAGGAAGGAACCCCAGATATTCCTCGTTATGAGTTGTTGATTAAATCATGGAAGAACAAATTCAAGGCCATCCGTAAGTGACCGGGCAAGTCTCTAGCGATTGTTAAGGCTTACCACTAATATAGGTAGATATCTGTCTGGAAATTTCGCACCCATCAAGAAGACCCGGCAACTTACACAATGCACTCATGTCGGGCATATTCCAGAAGACCTTGCTGGAGGTCAATACGTCCGTAACGGCGGGAACCCAATCACAAATGATGATCTGGGAAGAGATGCGCACTGGTTTGATGGCGATGGTATGCTCACTGGAGTTCTTTTCCGACGTGGAGATAAGAACAAGGCCATCTCCCCGGAGTTTATTAACCAGTATATACTGACCGACGTATATTTGAATGCCAAGGGCAACCGCAACTTAAAGAGGCCTCTGCTACCAAGTATTACGACACTAGTTAGTGCCTCGTTACTGAATATGATTATGGCAGTTCTTAGAACCTTGATCCTCGTATTTCTTTCCATGTTGCCTGGGTCTAGAAAGGCCGTCAAGAAGATCAGTGTCGCCAACACTGGCGTGCTGTATCACGATGGTAGAGCTTTGGCAACATGTGAAAGCGGTCCGCCGATGAGGTTCCAGCTTCCCGGGCTGGAGACTGTGGGCTGGTATAATGGTCGAAGAGCGGAGAATGAGCCTAGTTGGAATAACAAGGCGGGCTTCGGTGGAGATGGCCAAATGGGATTCATGAAGGATTGGACAACGGGTCATCCCCGTGTTGACCCGGTTACAAAAGAGTTTATTTCGTTCCATTCTGTCTTCGTCCGGCCGTTTGTTTACTATTCGATAGTTCCGCCAGCCAGGCCATCGGCGAAGGGAATAGGAGAGGACGGTTATGTCCCCATGTTCGATATTCCGATCCCGGGTGTGAGCTCGCCAAAGATGATGCACGATTTTGGGGTCTCAGCCCGCCATACCGTAATAATGGATCTCCCACTATCCCTCAATCCTATGAATAGTTTCAGGGGAAGGCCTGTTGTCTCGTACGATCCGACTGGACGGTCGCGCTTTGGAATCTTTCCTCGATACGAACCGAGAAAGATCCAATGGTTCACGACGAACCCGTGCGTCATCTTTCATACGGCCAATTGCTGGGAGACTGTATCGATGGAGCCGGAAGCCGAGACATGCGTCCATCTCCTCGCTTGCCGTCTCACTTCGGCGTCGATGGTGTACAGCGCCGGCGCACTCACACCCCCCACACCTAAACCAGCACCACCGGAATACGCCGAGGAGGAACAGTGCCGGCTTTATTACTATAGCTTCCCGTTAATCAGGAAGGGTTCGGATAAGACGCCGATAATCCGCAATCAATGGGCTCTGTCGGCCATTCCATTCGAGTTTCCCACCATGTCGCCGTCCTACGCGATGAAGGCGGCTAGATATATGTATGGTTGTAGTACGGGGACGACGTATTCTGCTGCACTCGGGAGAGCAGCTAAGATCAACTACCTTGCAAAGATCGACGCCGCAACGCTGGTTGCTCGAGGCATATCCCACCCGCCGCAACACATCAAGGGCTGTGTCGATGCCCGAGATCTAGACGAGGTAATGCAGGGCGTCGATGATGACGATCCAATAAAATTGTTTAAGATGCCCGAAGGGTGGTTTGCCCAGGAACCGCGATTTGTGCAACGGGCTCACGCGGAAACCGAGGATGATGGGTGGCTACTTACGTACGTATTTGACGAGTCTCAATTAGATGACGATGGCGAATGCGGTGATGGCGCCGTTAGTGAGCTTTGGGTTATCGATGCAAGAAATATGACGGATATCGTAACAAGGGTAAAACTGCCTCAGCGGGTACCCTATGGTCTTCACGGTACATGGTTTTCCGAAGACGAAATTGCTGGGCAGAGGCCGTTTGATTCGGTGAGACGGGAATTACCGAAGGCAGAGGTCGACACATCGAGTTACATATCGATCGTGAGAGATATGGTGGAGAAGTGGGTTGGGTGAATCGACGGAGTTATTTCATTAGTAGTGATTTCCTAGTGCCATGCAGTAGTAGCAGAAGTTTGAGCCCTCTTCGCTGCAAGCTGTTAGTCGCCAGCTAGCAGAACATATCGCCAATTTACCTCGATAACCTCTTAATAGTGTTCAATATTAAGTATTAATCATAAATATGTAAAATATAAAGCTTTTGAGGTTGAATCTTAAAAGAAATAGGTAGTTAAAGTTAATGATTTACTTCGAGTGAAAAAGCAGCTGGCACAACTACAGTTGACAGGGATTCGTAGAGTGGTCCATGGTAAAATCTTTTGAAAGGCACCTATGTACAAGTACCTTGTTTACCACTCTGCCAGTGGACATACCCCTCAGCCCCTCCAAGCGACCAGGCAGTAGCGACTCGCTCTGTACCTACAGCGAGGGGCAGAATGTCAGGGCACTCGATTTTAGCGTATTCCGGGGTAACGCATTCGATCTAGTAGGTAATTAGCTCCAGGACTCTAATAGGTAACCCAATATCTTCATCCTTACAACAAAATAATAAAGAAAACCATCAGCATATTGTCTACCCCCTTACCTCGTTATGGATATGTATACGTATTAGAATAAAATGGTAAATCCCGATTATACACCTCGATGACCTTGATATTCATCAGCTTTGCCGTCGCTGGATAGTAATCATAGCGCAATGGAATTAATTCCATACACGTCTCGAGATGGTCGTGAAATCGTCTTGTACGTCATTTCTTCCTCTCCTCTGTCTCTTCTTCTACCTACCCCTTCCTCTGCCCCGCCATGATGATCCTGCCAACAACCTATGTGAAGGCAATGTGTGCTGCAATCAAATTATCATCCCTCGTATTTGCTTCTCGCAATTTGCAGTATTATATACCACAAATGCTAATCAATACATGCACGTACTAGACGTCACCGAAATGCCATAGTCGTTCGCGATCCCTCGTCACAACGCCTCGAGATTCGAGGCGCTCCTTTGACAGAATGTCCTACTTGTCACCAACCTCTCCGCCCCCCCTCACCCGAACGACACTTCGATGCCCCGAATCCCCAAGACTCTTACGTTAACCCCAATTATTTCCGTATGCTCCAGGCAGGGCTTGATGCAGATGAGCAGCATACCCAACACCAGCCTCCACCCAGTCCCATCCGTCGACTCACTCAACCCACCTTGCCCAGCGGTATTGGCCCAAGACCCCACGACGTCGACGAGGCCGAATTCATATCTAGCTCCCCAGCCCCCCAGGAAGGAGCCCGTATAAGGAGAGACGCTTTCAGCCCCAACTACTTTCAAAGATTCTTTGTTGAAGAGCAGGAACTTGGTCGAGGTGGCAAGGGTGTTGTCCTTTTAGTCCGTCACGAGATTGACGGATGCCCCCTCGGTCATTTTGCCTGCAAACGAGTTCCCGTAGGTGATGATCATGCGTGGTTAGAGAAGGTATTGATAGAAGTTGAACTGCTGGCCAAGCTCTCACATCCCAACTTGGTGTCTTATCGCCACGTCTGGCTCGAGGATGTCGTATTGAACCGGTTTGGGCCGAGCGTCGCCTGCGCATTCATTCTACAGCAATACTGCAATGGCGGCGACTTGCTGAAGTATGTTATCGGAGATCAACCTCAGCAGGCGACGAAGGAGCAACTCAAGGCCCAGATGCGCCGTAGGTCGAGAGGTACGACCGAACGACCCCAAGACGTCTACGCCTCTCAACGTCGTCTATCATTCGAGGAGATATATTCCCTTTTTAAGGACATAACATCCGGTCTTACCTATCTCCACGGCGCCAATTATATCCACCGTGATTTGAAACCCAGTAACTGCCTTCTACATCACGAGAATGGGAAGCTCACATGCTTGATTAGCGACTTCGGTGAAGTCCAACCCGGGAATGCTATCCGAAAATCAACAGGAACAACAGGCACTATTTCCTATTGTGCCCCAGAAGTCTTAAAGAGAGATGCAGGAGGCCGGTTTGGTAACTTCACGACCAAATCCGACGTGTTTTCCTTGGGCATGATTCTCTATTTCTTATGCTTCGGTCGTCTTCCTTACCTAAACGCCAATACCATTCACGAAGAACTTGAAGACATTGATCTGTTGCGTGCCGAAATTGCCGATTGGAAAGGCTTTCAGGACGAGAAGCGAGAGAGACCCGATCTTCCTTTGAAGCTCTATCAGCTGCTTAAGAAGATGTTGGCCCTTGATCCCACCGAACGGCCGAGCGCTAATGAGGTTCTGAGCGTGATGAGTCACGAATCGTACAATGGCGGTTTGCGAGGGCGGAGCACAAGCCCTTCTGGTGGGTTGAAAGGGCGAATAATACAAAACCTCGATTCACCCATTCACCCCGGTACACCACTTCCCGATCCTCATAAGCACCCTAGCAAGATCCTGACTTCCGGGGAGAACTTCGTTTCCCCTAGTGAAGACAGTTCTCCAGCCACAAGCCATTCGTCTCAACCAAACTTGTATAATAGCCTTCAGAAGTATGGTAGTCCTAGCACACCTCGACATCGTCCCCAGGCCATGACTCTATCTCGAAGTCACGAAGGGTTCCCGCGTCCATCCCCAGATCGCGGTCGTTCTACCGGAGTCGCTCATCCACAGCTATCTCCTACTTTACATGCGCCGCTGCTCTTGGCACCTCCTGCTGGTCCACATGAAACGCCTCGACAACGAGCGCAGCATCTCTTAATTTATCTCATCAACGGCCACACGGATTCCATGGTATTCACATTTCGCCTTCTCCTATTCCTAATAAAGATCTTATCGCTTACCAGACAATGTTGGCCATTCACTGCCACACTCAGTGTCGGAATCCCCTTGATTGGTATTGCAGGGGTTGATATGGGGATCCATAGGGATATCTTCGTGCCTAGCCATGAAAGAGGCTTGCGTAAAACCTCTTCGGCTCTCTCTCATTGGAGATGGGGATGGAGAGGTAGTTTGATTTTGCTTGCCCTCCATTTCGCAGCATTGTGGTTGTTCTCCCGGTTGGGCGTTTTGTGTGCCACATTTCAAGACTCTTGGACAGACTGGTGAGGTGATCCCCAATAGGATTTCAATCCTTAATGTCACAGCCGGCAATTATACACCATCTGCTCTCTCAACTGTTGCAGTGAAATAGTATTAAAATGCTGCGAATGGGGGCTAAATCTCTATGGGTGGAGCAGTTCGGGTGAGTTCCTATATTCCATACAGCCACTCACATATTTAGTGCTGCAAGTATTCATCCGGCCTCTTACACACCTAAGAAACCAGACGTCTAAACTGCATTCCCTTTCCTTTCCTGCTTCTCCTTTGTTATGGATTTTTAAGATTTTCGGCCTTGTATTAATTCCTGGCAGTCTCGGGGACAAAGCCGAACGGACAGGTAGAAGGATTCACCTTCTCAAATTCTTCGAACATCTCATTGGAGGACCCATTAGTTCCTTGTTGTGGATATCTACAAGTTGTAGATGAGTCAATCTGCCGAATTCTGCTTCTGAGGGTATCACGATCACCTATAAATATTGCTCTAAGTATTCAAAAAGATAAGATGGAGATACACAGCTGTGTATTTGACACCTCTTTCCTAGGGGATCCAATCCTCTCAGATGGCAACAGTGAAGCCTTGAATATATTATATTATTATTCGTATTTATTTTCTTGGGGTCGTTAGGTAGGCTCATTCACCGCCTGAAAATAGTGAGTAGGTACAATATGGGTACGATAAGGAGGGATTACTACAAAAAACCGCTTATAATTCTTAAAGGGGTCTTAATCTACCTCCTCGTTAGCTAGACATAGCAAACGCTTTCAGGGTTGTTCTGCTATGTTCCATGTAACTACTCTGTTATCCCGTTACACTACACTTTAACAGAAGAAAGGACACTCATCCTCTCCTTAATCCTCAATACCCCTTCGTGTCCCCGCCTAGCCGCTTCTTCATAAGCCATACGATACACGTGCAGGTTCTCCGAGAGCAGCATCCTCCTGTCAGTCCAACCCGTCAACCGCCTAATTTTTGTGCTGTCCACAAACTGAGTATAACCAAGGACCAAGTTGAGAGATGATACCACGGCATTCGCGTGGGCGGGAGAAATCTCCACCACGCCACCTTTTAGGCTGTACTCTACTTCGAGCGCCTTCGCTATGTTCGAAAGCGTGTCGTACCTATGCGCCGAGATGTTGAAGCACTGTTTCACAACAGCGGCGCGGTCCGCATGCTCAGCCAGCGCCAGATACGCCTCGGCACAATCGTCAATATGACAACCATGCAAGATGGTGTTGAAATCGATAGGTAGCTGGAGCGCACGATTTTCTGTTCTGGCGGCCGCTTCGGCCGCCTCGAACGCGAGGCCGTAATAGCTGCTATCATACCCAAATAAGGGTGTGGGCCGCACTAGTACCGCGTCGAATAGATCCTCGTGCACGAAGATGTCGAGGGATTTTAACGCGCGTTCGCGGATGATGTCCACGGGCTGGAGGGGCGAGTCCTCGGTATGTGGAGCGAGACCGGGCGACCCATGAACGCCAGTCACGCCGTAGTCTTTGCACCCCGAGGTCGTTATCACTAGAGGCCTAACGCCGTTTTGGTTGGAGGTCGCGGCCAATTTACGGAACAAGCTGAGGAGGGCTTCGAAGTGCTCCCCGAACGGGAGCTGTTCCGTGCACGAGATAACTACGTCGACGGTCTTCGTATGCTTGTGCAGGTCCTCTAGGAAGCCGGCATCCTTGGAGATGGAGCCGATGATAGGAATGACTTCGTCAGAAATTAGTGTGCTAGCAGCTTCGGGACGTCGGACGAGGCCGTAGGTGCGCCAACCGGCGCGGACGAAAGTTCGGCATACCGCGGATCCGATGTATCCATTCGCACCAGTGACGAAGACAGTCTTCTTATGAGGATGCGCAATAGGGATCGTTGGCTCGGTCATGGCGGATATTATAGACAAGCCGAGCTTGGAAATACACCTCTTACGGAGACCTTCATCACCAATTTAGAGATATGGGCTTAGTTTCCATTTATATATATATATACATGTATTTATATAAATTGGAGAAGCTTGCCTTGTATTATGATGTGGAGGTTGTAGCTTGATGCTTTAATAGGTATAGTTAGGGTATTTGTAACTCGGAGCAATAAAGGCTCCGCAGGATAAACTTTCGACTCTGATTAACAATGTCATTTTGGAGAACCGGGGCCGGGAAAACACGTTTGTGTCACGGTGCGGGAGCGCGGGCATACCCCTATTACCTAGTACCTAGTACTCAATTCATACTATTACCTAAGTATAACATAGCGTCCTTAATGTCATTAATTGTACTAATGAACTTTTCAGTATTATCCACCACACAACGTCATCTCAACCCTCTCTACGACATGAACAGGTCTAGTAGACGTGATATATACCCCTTCAATCCACACAGTATACTGAGATTCACATGGTGAAAATAGCTTGACTAAACATTTATACATGGGTATTTTCTGATTAACAAAAACAAACAATGATAGCTTGATATTATTGCTTAATAACCGGAGTCTCTTAAATGAGTAAAGAACAATGAATGGGCTGACACCTAAACTTCCGCAGCGTTCAGCCTAGTATCTTTTTTATATAAAATGTTTCATAACTAGGTAGGTAGGTAAACCCTCCCCCCTCCCCCCCCTCCCCTCAAAAAGTAGCTAGATAGAGAGCAAAAAATGATCTAGTACTTGGATATTTACTAACCGATCATATCTCGATCATGAAGCAATTGCCACTTGGTATGAGACGCGTTGATATGATCTTTCAGGCTCTCAACATTGGAATACGTCTCTGTCCTCCCACTCGAGGTGCATAGCACGCATCCGAATCCACCATCACAGTGAGATTTCCCTAGGAATCTTGCGGTAATCATGAACCCCTCCTTCACCATCATGGTCATCTGGCCTTTAGTGTGTAGTCCATCCCAGTCATATCCGCAACCACAATTCCGCCGCTTCGGCATCTTTTTCTGTGGATTGACCTGATACTTAAGCGCTTCTGGACAAAATATGCTGAATACGCTGTTCTTCGGCCGCGGCGTAGATATAGTGGGGGTATAAGTAGACCGGGTATCATCGGGATTATGTTTGGGAGTTGGTGGCGGCGATGGGAGTTCCGACTGCATGAATGAGGACTTGTTCATGCTACCTGTACTTTGGTTTATATGCGCACATTGGACCGCACCGCCGAAGACACCTCCATCGACATCGCTTGGCTTTACGGTTTCCTCTTCCATCGTAGCGCTAAGTCTCGACCGCTGTTGAGACCCGGGCAAGACTAGAGGCACCAGGCGGCCCACGGCCACCCGTTTATATTGTCCGGTTAAAGCAACTATAGCAGAGACGCGGACACGCTCCGAGACACGCACAGCTTCAAAAAGATCGAGCGGGCTGTCCTCGGCCCGTATCTCCTGATATAGAGCATATATTCGCTCCTGTAAAAGTTCGAGGTTGCCTTGGAGAGCGCGGCGGCATATATCTACGTCTAATTAGAAAGTGTAGGAAATTCCCAGGATAATGATATAACTCACCGTCTCCGGTTGCGAAGCCGTCGCCTAGAATATCAACTCCTTCATCAAACGCTTCTCTAACTTTACGAGCTGAAAAGTTCAGCGACGTACTTAAAGCGCAAGGATTCCCGCCACATAGACCAGCTTCAGTGTGTGCCTTGTATTGATTACCCTGCCATTTTCGTTTCTGCCACTTGGTGTAGTATTCGAGGCCAGCGGTGTATGTTGCAACCAGAGCCTCAACGACACCGGTCACGGTGCTGAGATCCATCAAACTCGATTGGTTTGTCCCAAGCCCCGCGTTGTGCCATTAAAAAACCATCGCAAGTACCTAAGTAGGTAGGTGTGTACTTGTAGGTAGATACCTATCCTACCTAGGTAGTCATCTACCAAAGAGCGCCACGGTGACAATAGTTGGATAAGTAGAGAAAAACGGTCGGAGGTGAGAGAGTAGAAGATGGAGCGGATGATACATAATGAATGAATGATCTGCGGATTAAGACAATTGCAATTGATGCGGGAGATAAGAAGGGAAACAGAGGCGTGAGACAGCTGCAAGCGCCGGATCGTTGGGCTCTAGTCCAATCCGTCACTCTAGAATTACCTAGACCTTATCTACCGTAGGTCTATAGTACCAAGGTGTCGCCCTGCTACGGTGTAGGTGTAGGCACAGCCCTATTTGCTTCTTGTTGCCCTTGGCAGTTACCTGCTTTCTCTAATTACACGTGGCGCTCATTAGCAGATCTTTTTCCCGAGGACCAATTTAATAATTATAATTAACATATGCTTGAAAATGTGATAGGGATAGAATATTTGGGATACGCGTGGCAGATATGTAGAAGGTATGTATGCAAGGTATCATCGTACAGATCGATATCGAACTCGATAGAGTCAAAGCGTCGGGATACTTGGTATGGTTTAAGTTGCGACGATCTTTGCGGGCAATTTTACTTATCTACTCCGTACATACATACTACATAGATATACTACCTAGTATGTACCTACAGTACATATCTACTAGGTAGGTACATGTAATTATGTAGTGCACGTTCTAGTAATGCTTCCCGAGTCCCCTTCAGATCATGGAGTGAAAGGTGTAAGGTACTACTATGTATGTAGGTAGGTATGTAGGTAGGTAGGTGCAACAGCGCGGGTGTAGCACAGCACTTTTGAATGCTGTGCAAAAGGAAAGTACGGTGCTGCGATGGTAGGTTACAATACAGCAAACTGTATTCCAACTCAGTACTGGCGTCTTGGCTGTGGCGTTTCATTGGTCAGATCTAGCGAGTCTAGTCGACTCCGAATATTTGGCGGCTTTCTAACTCCGTGCCTCACTTCATTCATTTTATTACCTACCTACCTACCTACCTACTTACAGGCTGCTAGGTACCTACACAATTAATGCTTTCACACACATAAGGTCGATTAACGGATAAGAACTCGAATGCTTCGCTACGGTATATGAAGTGCACTAGCTATCTAAACGAGGTAAAGATTATTATACAAACGCACACATGCCACGCCCCCTACGATCAAGCTGCGACCGTTGTCACTCTCAAAAGCTGAAATGTCCGAAGGAGCTCGGGGTTACAACGTGTACGAGATGCCTCAAAGCTGGCACACCTTGTGTCTTCAGCCCAGCCGGGCTCGGTACGCGACGCAGCATGCTTACCCCTGTCTACCTAGACGATGATCTGAACACGAGCGTGAACGCCCAGTTCGATTGGCCTTCCTTAGATTTTGGGGATGCCTTGGGAACTCTTCCGGACACTATCCAGGACCTTCAGCCAGACACGACTCAGCAAGCTAGACAGGCAGACGCAGCCTCGCAGGATCCACGTTCTACATGTATCCGACAGCTAACCACATTAGCTGTCGACGTTGATCTTGTATCCCGAGATTTATCATCAATTTCTCGTGTTCATGCACCTAAAAACCTACCAATAGAGAAATACCATTCCAGATTCATCGAAAATAACACTCGCCACCTCTGCATTGAGCAACTCTTCACCCATGCACAACGTCTTATTGATATCTACCCGCAAGCGCTAAGGATCATATTTGATAAAGTGGATAATGCTGAGTGCGAAGATCCCGATTGCTTTCACGCCGTCGAGTTGCCAGACGAATTAGCAGCATTCTTCACCGGGTTAGATGACGACCAAGACAAGATTGACGTCTTCCTATTTAACCTCCTGGCGTCTTGTCATTCCAAGGTCGTAGATGCGGTGGGCCTCGTCGTACATTGCGCCAGGACGTGTACTCAGGTTACTCTAACCTCCCCCGACCTTACCCAGCCAGACGTGCGAATCCCAGAAGTCCGCGTTGGAAGCTTCGTTGCAACTAGCGCGTCTTCTTCTACAATGCAGACTGTTCTCTTAATTCATATTGGCGAGGTCCTCGTCGACTACGCTCAACAGATTAGTCAGCAAATAGCTACCGCTTTCGAACACGAGAATAGCACACAAACCCAGATGCTCAAACTTCAATGTAAACTGCTAGAAGAAAAGTCAACATCGAAGATGAGATTCTTGAAACAGGTCAAGATACTATTTGCAAAGATGAGCTTTGCCAAGTAGGTGGTAGTCTTCGGTAGTCTTACTGAGACGCAGAAAGATGCCCCATTAGCATATTCGTTCGCAGAGGCCCCTCTACCTGGCCGGCAGAAAGTCACCTACCTACCTTATCTCCCGCCGAATGATTTTCAACTAGGCTCAAAGGCCAAATAATAGTTGGTAAACTATGAGGCTTTGACTAGGTACTTACGAATGATTGAACCCCATCAAGTAGATGACCGAGTAGAGTCTCCGTTAGCCGACACGGGACTTACAAGCACTTCATACCTACTTGATTATCTAGCAGATACAAGTACGAAAGCCACAATATCTCGGCGCCTACCTAAGCTTCTTTCATTCACGTACTAGCCTCTACAGTTGCCGAGTGCCGAAGGTCTCGCCGTTCCCATTCAACTATTAGAAATCGTTGATTATCTGTTTTAGCAATCGCAGCTCTTATGATAGTGCCTAAGTAGCCGATGCTAGTTAGAAACCATTCACTTTCAAATCACCATACTATATAGACACGGCGAACTTCTGGGCAAGCGTTTGGAGAATGCGTAGGTTCCAAGGTTCCTTGGAACGGCAAATGGAGACTCCACGGTAATTGTAAACAGCCAACAGTAGCAGGTATCACGCAGTGAGTACCTAGTTATTTCAGAAAAGGCAAAGTCTCTTTCCAACATGCATCTTGGTGGCCTACTTACCTACCCAGGTAAGATCGAGTATCAACAGTTAGCATGGTTAACCCAATAGTAATCCACATTTGACATTCCTTGTTATGGTACTTGGATCAAAGCCGATGTTTACTGAATATCAACGTTCCTTGTTGTTTTCTCATCAAGTGTAACTAAATTTATCCTATCTCTTTGTTACATTATTTAATAGCCCGCTTGTTCATGAATTATCTTTGTGTTGTCGAAAAGGAATTGTTAAATGAAAGTTTTTATCAACGCTTAGATTCCAGCTGGTTTGGAGGTGACTCGATTAAGCAGGAGGCCATTTCCCTTTGCTTGTGCTGTATTTTTGTTACTACAATATCAGTTCTATACCCATAATACCTTGAATATTCGAGGCAAGTATTATGAGTAGAAACTCGACATCACTAAGAAATATGTATGAAGATACTGATAAACAAACACTTTTCCGTCGGCGGCGTCATTCAGTACCCCCTTTAAAGATATTAAACAAATTTCGTGGAGAAGGATATGTGTTAAGCGAGAGCATCCATCACACCGTCTCTCGAAATATTCAAGTCATTCCACGGTATCTTGCTACGATCAAGAATTCGCGGGTTGTCTCTCAATCTGTAGACGATGACTACGATAGCGACGACGATGATCGCGAAAACGGTGTTCCTATCATTGTCACGGAGAACCACGGTTGCACGTTTAGCCCTACCATGATAACAAATGTATCTCAGGAGATTAAAGAAAGGCTAGCGGAAAGGCATCAGCTCCAAAAGCTCCTAGCCATAGCTAAGCCGAAGTACCTTGAAGCTCGTGCAAGGTATTTCGAAAACCGCGGAATAGATTGGAATACTCAGATGTGGTCATATTTCATCACACTTGAAGATGGATACTTTAAGATAAGTGATCAAATTTCCAATCTCGAATGCGGCATAGCCAACCTCGAAACGAAACTATCCAGTTTTGCTGACCACAAACGTCTCCTGCCAACTGGCCATTGGAATATTGAAGGGGATGGTACTCGGACCTGTTCTTAAAACATGTTTGTCATGAATAGGAACTGGAGACGACAAGATCTTATTTCGAGTAACTACCTACCTACCTAGGTAGGTAGGTATCTAATAGTTATTTAAATCTTAATACAATATAAACCTACGTAGTAGATTAGGTATTTAGTATCTTCTCATTAACCTAGGTGCTCAGTAATTATGCCAACAACTTGCCTTCGTACCTACCTAGGTACCTATGTAGGTAGGTACATACTTACCTGGGTAGTAACATAAATATCGACATAAAAACATGGTAAAGTCCCTATAAATAGAATAACTTGGAAGTTCAATTACAGTTAACGAGGTTATGTATTATATTTTTTAATGCTATATACGTAATTACTTACCTTCTAGCTTCTTCTTCTTCTTCAGCTTACTCTCTATCGCTCTACGATCGGAGAAAAGGGGCAACCTGGCCCCTGAGCTCTTCTAAGCCACACTTACTGTATCAAGGGTTGCTTCTATACCAAATCATATCTACTTTCGACGACAAATGGAGCATTTCTCATCGACGTAAACTGTGTGCTCCTCGGGGGCGTCCATAGCGCCGATCAGTGGACAGCGGCCGTAGATAGGAACTAAGGAGCATTTGGTGACCGTACTAGCATAAGTCTCGCGATGGCCGCAGATGAAGAGCTTTTGCGGTTGGAAACACATGATGCACGTTATACATATGGTATCCGTTTAAAATGCGCTCGGTTATTTTCCCTCTTGAGAGTAAGTGCTCGAAGAAAAAACTTGATCAACCTAGAAATCAACTCCTAGACTGAATAGTTGTGAAGCTTGATGGTGAAGAGATAGATAATTGACAATATCTGTCCTTAGGCGGACTCTTATACTCGTTGATACCGTGGATTACAACAATGCACATTCTTCTTCTTTGACAAGACCGATTATATTCAATTTTCTTTGATATAATTACCCAAGCCAAAGGTGGTACCAAGAGTGCTTGAACAGTTCCATTGTCAATATGGCTTTGATAGACCCTACATTGTTTTAGTGTACAATATAGGATATAGAAGCAAAAGGGGGACTAGGAGATGAATATACAACTAATGAATTGTTCTATAAACAGGCGATCTACCTATCAACCTGCCTACCTACTTTACAGCAAGATACTGCCTTTGTTGGCCGAATACCTCCTTCCTTGAAGAGTTTAGAGTTCTACATAGATGACTACCGTTCTTATCATCGTTGTTCGTTTTCGGGAAACCAGGCGTACTCCAGCTGCCTGCATACTAGGTAGATGGTCTTCACGCCGTACAGTCAACTACCTCTGTGTAACATGTGATGAAACCACAATATATCCGAACGGAAATAGTTACCTCCTCGATGCGTTGAATGTCAGACCGCCTATGACTAGCGTCCTAACAAATACTAGGTTACGGCACTATTCGTTTCTTACTAGCCCGTGGCTCGCCATCGGGACTTTGGGCCGGCTCAGGTTGGACTAAGAGAACCCTTCCTTCACTTTCTATAAGGCCGCATGTATAGCCCGGATTTACGACCTCTCACACCCCTTCTTTACTTATCCCCCCCAAAGCTTGTACATCTTGTGTACTGCATATCCAATAGACTGCATTTTTATTTACATGCCCTTTATTCCAATTTAAACGGTCTACTTGATTGGTTGCAAAGAATACGTATGCTGGGATAATCTGGTTTTATCCGGAGGGCCTCTATCCGCTCGGTAGCCATCTTGCCGTGCCTGAAAACGTTAGGCCCATCCCGCAATGCAGTTAAAATTAATTATATCCACGATACTAAGACAAAGTATGTGAATATATAAGGTAGGTATGTTGAGGATGCTAGAAACCCAAGCTCTATAACACTTTAGCTTCAGCTTAGATAAGTCAAAGGTATACCTTGAATCTTCAATCAAATTTATAACCTAACTTATCTTCAAAATGAAGGTCTTAACAGCTTTTCTTTCTCTAGCGTCAGCTGTCCAAGCCCACTGTGAGTAATATCGATTGTTACATAGATACTAGGTAAGTAGGTAGTTAACAGCAAAATGACTAACAGGGTGCCCACAGACACATTTCCCGCGCTGGTTGCAGGTAGCGGCGCTACGAGTAAGTGGGAGTATGTAAGGAAGACAACAAACTATCAAAGCAACGGGCCAGGTCCGTATTTCACTGCCCACCACAACGTTCGGCTCGGTTGAATAGCGATGACTAACTCGACTGAATAAATAGTCACCGATGTCACATCTGAACAGTTCAGATGCTACCAACTTGCGCCTGGCAACGAGGGAGCGAAGACAATGACAGTAGCTGCCGGTTCGACAGTTGGCTTCACGGCTGATGCTTCGGTCTCTCACCCAGGGACTCTACAATTTTACATGGCGAAGGTCCCCGCTGGGCAAACGGCTGATTCCTGGGATGGGTCCGGAGCTGTGTGGTTCAAGATTTTCTCGCAGGGCCCTAACATCGGACCCAGCGGCCTCACGTGGCCAAGCCAGGGCGCCAAGCAGGTGACGACCAAGATCCCCGAGTGTATTCCCGCAGGCGACTATCTACTTCGCGTAGAGCACATCGCCCTTCACAGTGCCGGCTCAGTTGGCGGTGCCCAAACTTACATATCCTGCGCTCAGTTGACAGTTACCGGAGGTGGAAGCAAGAGCCCGACTAACCTCGTCTCGTTCCCTGGCGCATACAAGGCTACAGACCCTGGTCTTTTGATCAACATCTACTACCCTGTCCCCACGTCTTATACCGCTCCTGGACCGGCTGTATTCACTTGCTGATTGATCGCACGTGCGATGGAGTCGATAGCAATTGATATTATACTAGTTAATATACGACATTTAAGACACCTGCGCCTTGAAACTAAGCGTGTTTAAAATATGCTATGCGGCAACTTTCTCTTCAATTCCTATTGCATAGGTAAGAATAGAGAGTTGACAGTCATCAGGGGGCTAGAGCTGGGGCTGGGGATTGGGGTTAGGCGGGTCTAGCTAGGTACGCTTAGTTACGATAGTTCAAGAAGAAGCAGGTTGAATTAAGTCTTTAGTTTTTCATTCCATCAAAGCAATAAAATTAATGCGCATACTCGTATCTATCCCTCATTTCTGGTCCATTTCATGAACAGGAAATGGATATCCCTCCTTCCCAAACGCTGAGTCTCCTAGTCTCCTAGCCTGTTACCCTCTCAAGAAGTCGACGCATTGAAGGATAGCGAGGTCGATGGCTTTCCAGCCTGGGCCTCGTCTTGTGAAATGTTGTTGTTAAGCTTCTTCAGTTCGGCTGCCATGTCCTTCGCAACATCAACTCCCTGCGCTTGTTGGATCTTGAGACGGAGAATGGTAGCCTCGAGCTTGAGGACCTTGTTCTTGATCTTGCCGCGCTGAAGGGCGTCGGCCGCATCACCGGATGCCGCGTCAATGGCGGTATTGAAGGCTTTATCTTCGGCATCATTGCAAATTCTGTTAACTGACTTGAGGAAATCGATGTCGGCCTTATCGGCGCTAGCTAGGTTGTTCTGGTCTAGTGCGCTGAATACAGCAAGCGCTTCATTTTCTGCGTTGCCGGCGACACCTCCTGAGATTGAAATGGCGTTGTAGGTTTTTTGAGTGAAGACGCCGGCGTGAACCGCAGCAGCGGAAGCGGCAATAAGAGCGATGGAGAAACGCATATTGAAGGATGTGTGACGAGGTTAGGAAGTCGAAATGTTTGGTCGTCAACGACAGGGCAGTTGAAGATAGTCGAGTGATGACAAGAAACGAAAGGACAGCACAGCTGTATATAAAAGAATGAAGAAGAAAAAACAGAAGACTGGCTGCTTGATGTTTTGTGATGGAATAGAGAGAGAAGGAATTCGCGAATAGATGTGCGGGAAACCGCAGATCTTATATGACTTGATCTTCATGAGATCTGGAAAATCATCTCGGCAATTTGTGGTCCTCCATCGTCGTGTTGGGAACTGTAGCCGAAGCCATAAGCGTCGAGGTCTAGGACGGCACGAACGCACTTGTGCTGGGACGGAGGTCGATAGTACATCGATCCGCCATCCCGCCATATTAATTTATCCACAGTGTTTATCACTATTTTATACAGTATTTAGCCACTAAACCCCCTATAATTATAGGGGACTTAGGGGATATTGAGTGCTAAGCTTATAAGAGGATTAGCGCATTTTTATAGTGCATGATTTTTAAGCCAATCATATTGCGCGTTGAGATTGAGGCTTGAACTTGGGGGGTCACATGACTTTCAAAGCACAGATCTTTTTATTGAACCTTTTTGTATTTATTCTAAGGAATAACTGATAGACTAACATTTCAAAGCTACATAAAAGCTTCAGCATACTAATGCATATGTACTATATTAGATAAATAGAAAGTGCTTTGAAAGAGCTTTCAAACGAATCCAGTTATAAAGTAATTGAACCAAAAATGATTCAAGCGCAATTGATTAAAGTTCAAGTACTTACATGTAGCTTAAGTTGTAAAATTTGATTGGCCGAAAGGCACTCACTATAATAATGCGCTAAGCTCCCTATAGGTTTAGGGCTGTCTAGTACCTAAAGCCCTGTAATTATAGGGGATTTAGTGGCTAAAATACTGTGCGGATACAGTGGATAAATTGATTTGGCGGGATGGCGGATGCATGTACTATAGCTGGTTGAGACTTGAGCAGGTGTGCAACGCGCTTTGCGTGAAGAATTCCTTGGCTGAAACCCAGGCCTCCTAACAGAGCTAAGAGCTAAGAGACAACTGGCTGAAATGACCGGATGGGTGGGCTAATGACACCCTGTATGTCCTGTATGCCCTGTGTGAATCCTTCATTAACGGGACTTATTATTTCATGATTGACCCTTATTCCGAAGGATATTTCGGGGACCGCCTAGACGCTATCGTGAGGCTCTTCGAGCCCCTTGTCTCTCTCTCTCTCTCTGTGTGTGTGTGTGTGTTAGGAAACCTACTGCCAAGGTAGATAATCGCATCATCCTGTTTCTGATATCAATATCTAGGCACCTGTAAGCAATCTATACCGAGTACCTATTTTGCGCCCACGGATTTGGAAATATTAGCTTTGCATCATCAAGTCTCGGAAATCATCCGACGATTGATTTACTTAATTCAGAAAAGAAAGGATACTGGCAGACTGTGTAGAGTTAGTAAAATATGGGGGTGGTTTCTTCGCGTCGTCTGAAGTTAGATCGACTCCACTATTTCGGTGGTTAGCGAAACTACAGGGTTCCAAGGATCTCTACAGGGTCCAGGGTTTAGGCACCCCTAGCTGCCCTGGCAGCCTGGTTACCCCTAGCCTAGTACCTAAGATACCTAAGTAGGTCTAGGTAAGCAGCCCCATAGAAGCTTGAAATATTCTGTACAGAGTACAATACTTCGTACAAGCGACGGAATACATCTTAGAAGGTGCTGCTGTCCGGGTAACATCAGGAAGGGGTTACCTAGGTGCCTAGTAGGTTTTAGAGCATGGCATCGAGACAAACCAGTACTTACCTAATACCTGCTCTTCCTTTTTTACCATGGAGGTCGTACCATTCCCATCTCATCTCATCGTTTAATATCAATAGCCCTCAATCGTGAATCGCTGCCAAGTCCGTTACCTTCGTTTTCTCGAAATTCTAGGCGTAACAAAACGTCTCAGCACTGTAACGAACTTACAGTGGATAAGATTCGATTTTGCAACCATCCATCGCTTCTGATTTCATTATCACCGATCACCGATCACAGATGGCTCCTAAAACATTATTATTCCATATTATCTATTATTATGATATAACTACTAAAAATGGTAGGTCGGGCAAATTATGAAAAGGAACGATCTTGAGGTAATATACCTAGTTACTATGTAATTGACAACAATAGTTTTCCTTGGCAGGGGATGTTAAAATGTCAGATGAACCGCTGGTTGATTTCTAAGTCGGTGATTTATAAGTCAATACATACTAGTACTGATACCGGAGACAAGAGTAACACCGACTCCAATCCCCCAATCACCGCAATAGCGGTCGCCCCAAATGAACTCTCCGGTTGGCTTCGCGGGCCTATCGTCATACCCCTCAAATATGGCGACATCCTCCGCAGTCATAAGCCGATCCGGCTAACCCGGAGCTTACTTCATGGACTTCCTACAAGAACGGCGCGGGCCTCCATGGACCGTGGTTTGAGCTTAGAGCAGAGCAGAACACACTAGAGTAGAAAGCAGACTCACTACCAGGTAGTAATCATGGCCGAACGACGACAAGAGAAGAAACAACTACACCTGGGCGCTTTCATGCGCCCGGTGAGTCTACACACTGGCGCCTGGCGATATCCTGGTGCATATCCAGACGCCAACTTCAACTTCCAGCATATCAAGTCGTTCGCGCAGAAACTAGAAGCCGCTAAGTTTGATGCCTTCTTCATGGCCGATCATCTGGCTGTGCTGAATATGCCCATCGAAGCTCTTCGACGCAGCCAAACAGTGACATCCTTCGAGCCATTCACTCTATTATCAAGTTTAGCCGTTGTGACTGAACGCATCGGTCTCGTTGCTACGGCCTCAACAACTTATGACCAGCCTTATCATATCGCACGGCGCTTTGCCTCTCTCGATCATATCAGCGCCGGACGTGCTGGCTGGAATATTGTCACAACCGCCAACCCTGACTCTGCGCGCAATTTTGGTCAGGAAGAGCATAAAGAGCACGGAGAAAGGTACGCTCGAGCCCGTGAGTTCTACGACGTGGTAACGGGACTGTGGGATAGTTTCGCCGACGATGCCTTCGTGCGCGACGTCGAAACCGGCATCTTCTTCGAACCAGAGCGTATGCATGTACTTGACCATCATGGTTCCGAGCTCCATGTCAGGGGTCCATTAAACATTGCTCGGCCTCCTCAGGGGTGGCCGGTGATCGTGCAAGCCGGCCAGTCGGAACCCGGAAAGCAGTTGGCTGCCGAAACGGCCGAGGTCGTGTTCTGCGCCCCGCGGAATCTCGAGGCCGGCAAGGAGCTCTTCAAGGACATAAAGGGCCGGCTTGCTGCCGTAGGTCGCGAACCCGATGACATCAAGTTGCTTCCCGCCGCATTCATAGTCATCGGGGACACCATTGAAGAGGCCCAGGCAAAGCGACTAAAATTAGATAGCCTCGTGCATTACGAGAGCTCAGTCGCCTCGCTCTCCATCGCGCTTGGCGCTGACGTCTCCCAGTTCGACCCAGACAGCCCATTGCCGACAGATCTCCCCGAGTCTAACGCAAGTAAATCAGGTCGTGAGGGAGTCATCAAGCTCGCAGCGACGGAGGGTCTAACTGTTCGTCAACTTGCACAAAGATACGGTGGCTATTCGGGGCTCGCTTTTGTTGGAACGGTGGAGACAGTCGCTGACGAGATGGAGCAATGGCTTGTACAAGAAGGCTCGGATGGTTTCAACGTCGTCTTCCCCTTCTTGCCTCAAGGCCTTGATGATGTTGTCGAACGCTTGATCCCTGAACTGCAGCGACGAGGTATATTCCGTCAAGATTATGAGGGAACGACTTTGCGTGAACATTTAGGCCTCAAACGCCCAACGAACAAATTCTTCCCATAATGGCAGAGGGGAATCATACCTAGTATCCAATAGCTACTTAGTTATCAATAATAATCGTATCAATCAAGATCATCTAACCGCATAGGTAGGACCTAGATATCTACGTATTTACCTACCCAGCCCACCTATTCTTAGTACGTAACCTATGGTGTCGTTCGTCCAAGCTACCTACATAACTTCCCGTATTTATTATCACTCATTCCTAGTTAGATTTACCGACGCTTACGAGATGGGCCTTAAATCACAATTGTTAGGGGGAATCTATACGCTCATCGGGGTTAAATTTATAGCAGGGCTCTATTATCTTCAACTCATCCGGGACCACCACAGACAGACTGATAGACAAGAAGATACAACTTTAGGTAGGAACCAGCACTGTATCCTTCATTGTGTATCATCCGAATCTGATTCCCGTTTCTAGCTAATACCCCAGATAGTTCCGACTCTTAACCCGAACCCTGTTCGCCGAATCTTCTAACATCTCCAATGTGTCTGATCAGAATGCTGAGGGAAGATCATTTCCCGTAGGCTAACATGTTAGTGAGTTTCTCGAGGTGTCTTTTAATTAATACGTACAAGGATCGATAGGTTGAGGATCGTTATCGTCAGGAGTTTTGTTAAGACTTCCACGCATGTTGTCGTAGTGGACTTTTCCCTGAGCAGATGTCATGATATATGATTTTTATCGTGTGGCGTATTCTTAGCTATGAGGAGGAATCAAATAGGTTTTCTTTTAAGTTGTAATAGAGAAGAATGTTTCTGATGGGGGTTTCTGGATTACTGTGAACAAGTCTGCCCAGGGGGCAAGCCTAATATATAGACTGTCAAAGCATGCTGACATTTGGCACACAACGCTACGCACATAGGTCCGTTCGACCCTTCACGGAAACTCGCGAGTCCCTTAGTGTGGTTGAAGGCCATGTTCGCACTTAAGTGCAAAGGCGCAGCTATCTAGCGATGAAGCTTCTCTTCTCTGCGCAAATGCGAAGAGTGAGTCATGTGGATGCTAGGATGTTCAAACTCGAGATCTTTGATACACAAGTGTTTAGCAGATAGTGAAGAACTCTAGAATAATTGGTGCCATTGCTTAATCTACCAAGACAAAACATATCACCTAGGTAGGTATGTTATTGGGTACGAGGTAGGTAGTGATACATTAGGAGAGCAAAATATATACGTATTACTTACCTAGTTACCACTAGTATACAATCCATTCTGCTTCGCCGACGATAATTCTACTATCCTATCCTCTAAAATAACCTAGCTTTATCGGAAATCAACGTTTCTGTGAATTTCTATGACTCTCCGTGACGAAACTCATCTGAATTTAAAGGCGTGTCCAATATCTACCTAGTACTTAACTACGCTCTTTCGACTAGACTCCTATAAAATCTCATAGGGCTGATCTCTCTGTAGTGATTCCATGCGAGTAGTTGCGAGTAGTTATATCTAACTGATACCCTAACACTTATTATGATTGTCTAATGATAATGTTACATATACGCCTAGCACAGCGCATTTGCGTCGTAGGGACTTAACTTAGGGTGGCTTTTAGGCTGATTGAAATCCTTGATTGATCTAGGACTCAAGTATACTAGACTTCTTAGTGGGTTCTTGGGAAAGTGTAATTCCATGTTGACTTTGGCCACTCGTTTACGCGGGAATGGGACTCACTGACAGGTTGCGCAAATGCGTGAGGTTTCAATGTGATAGCCCAGAACAACTATCTTCCCATATTGTCATATTTTCAGTTGGTCGACCGGTGATCAATAACCCAACTTTGAAGCCTCAAGGTTATTATACCAAGGTAGTTATTATAATTCAACTATACTTTATCTCATTTTTACGCCGCTCGAGGTCACGATTTCCCAGGTGAGCTTATTTATAACTTTGACGTGAGCCTATTGGTCCCAATTGAAAATCGAACAATAGACTATATATACTATGAAGTGCTGTCTATGTAGATACCTAGATATTTCTAGCTCCCTAGAAGAAAACGGGGGAAATAATTTGACAGCCAATACAGGTCAGATAGGAGTCGATCATGATGTCTCTTTTTCGAAAAGCACCATCTGTTGCGCTGGTATACGTATCCTCCTGAACAACAAAAATAATAGATATATTATTTAGGTATGTAGTATATAGATATCCGGATAGGTAGATTGCCGAATAAACACGCATTTCAGAATTACAGTAATTGGGGATGTGAAATATGTCTTCGCGCACTTCAATGTTTCCGCCGCAAATAGAGTAGTACCCTATGCCACCGACCGTTAGACTTTTCCTCCATTTTCTTGTCTTTGTGTTCTAGGACTTCATCTTCTTCATCTTCCAAATATACTAGCATTCTCTTCCCTGGTTGGTCTTCCGGCCAGAACTCCATCGTCATTGCTGAACTTTCCATAGGTGAGGGTCCTAAGACTACTTCCTCAATCCTATCTAACGCCTCGATCTCTAAACCCGCACCCCCCTTTGATGTGGATCCAGATGCAAGAGGCACAAATACATCCTCCCTCATCGCATTATCACACAAATTCTCACCATCCCTATTAGCGTTCAGGCATCTAAAGATGACTTCGTGACCAAGCACGCGGCAGCATGAATGCATGAAACACTTCTCCCCGTACTCAGATGTTAGAACCCTATGCCTACAGTTGTGTCTATCTCGCTCTGCGGCATCTATATTTAAGAGCTCGTAGTGGTGAGCCGAGTGAATGACCTGATATAAACACATGGAGATTAGTTAGGGCACGCGCGAAGCTGATTTTCTAAAATATCTTCGAGGATGATTAGAATGTAGGCTATGGGGGCTGGCTGATGTAGGTAGCTCTTACAGTTAAATGAATGGGGGGTGGAGGGCACTGAGAGTAGACTAAGAACATTGTTAAATGATTGTTGGTGAACAAAGAATTATTGATTATTGTTCCAAGAATGAACTCCAAGATGAGACAATATTGGCACATTTGCGATGTATCATAATAATGTGACAATCAAATGCAATTCGTGTGCCATTGACGAAGACACAATGCCTCCACAATGCCTTGGCTAAAAATCATCAACTTAGAAGTGTAAACCTAAGCCCTAACTAATACTACATTGAAAGCACCAATTCCGAATTTTGCAAGACTCCTGCCACATCCTGTCCCATGCCTTTCCTTTTACGACACTCCTCTTAACTTTTAGTCGTCATCGGTATACCGGGGGCCGGCGGCTGGGGTCTCTGCGTTGTATGCGCCCGGCGTAGGCGCTCCGTAATATCCACTAGAACTGGCAAAACCGCTTGCTGCTGGCGTAGGAGCGGCGGCGGCGGGGGTAGGTGCGGAGTCGGCGCCCCAGCCGCTCTGCCAACCGGCACCGGGAGTGGGCGCATTCATCGCGCCAGGGGTAGGCGCGTTGTATGCACCCGGAGTCGGGGCGTTCATGGCAGCCGGGGTAGGGGCTCCCAAGAGGCCAGCACCTGGAGTTGGCGCATCGTAAGCGTTCGACGAGCCGCTTGCGCCAGGTGTATAGCCCCAAGCATCGTTCCCACTGGCTCCCGGAGTAGCTGCTGATACGCCGTACGGGGTTTTCGATCCCCAGTTATCACCACCGCCTCCGCTGTAGGCCGGCGTCTTCGACCCGTGACTAAAATGATCGGGTGCCGGCGTCTTAGCACCTGAAGACCAAGCAGGTGTGCGATTGCCGGAGCCGTAGGAAGTTCTGCTTCCGTCGTAAGGATTGACTGTGCGGGAGCCATCGGCCCAAGCTGGCGTTCGACCACCGTCGCCGCCTTTGCTCCACGCGGGTGTGCGTCCACCATTACCACCGGCCGAAGGAGTCTTCCAGGCAGGGGTTCGCGATGAGGCGGTGCCCACGGGCGTGCGGCCTCCGTTCCAATCTGCGTTTCCTTGAGAAGGCTTTCCGGAAAATCCGTTCTGACCGGGACGACGACTGTCATAGTTCTTTATCTCACGCCCAGTGACACTATCACGGACTGTAAGATCGCTCTTTAACACGCTAATGACCTTACCCTTAGAGTGTATTTCGACGCGCGCATGAGTGTCCGTAGTGTCTCTGACGCGCCCAAGGGTGCCTTTCCAGCCACCCTTTCTGATCGTGACCGTCTGGCCGACCAGCTTGTCTCGCCCAAACGTGGCTTTAGGAGGTGGCATATCGCCTCTGTCCCCATTCGGATTCAACTTTCTTGCCGGGTTCATGACGTTCAGATCCGGGCCAGAGGTGGCGGCATTGACACGACCGCCCTTTGCAGATATGGTAGAGACGTTGCTCACTTTAGACACAAAGATACCGGCATTTTCTGTGGTTGTGTTCGTGTGACAGAATACGTAAGTGCGGTAAATGTGGACAATCTTGCCTTGGCGGCCCATACCACCGTATTCCTTTACCACATCGTCGGGCCTAATCTCGGATCCATTGCGATCGGCGGCGACGGCAGTCTTCCGCTTAGGCAGCTTGTTGGCAATCTGAGAGGGCATAACTTGCCTCGTATCACCATTTTGATCCAGTACAACCAGGGTCTCACGGTCAACCTTGACAATGCAGCCGACAGTCATCGTATCGAGCTGGACAAGGTCGAGCAACGAGTACTGACCCAGGGATCCCTGGCCACCGATATCGCTTGCTTCTCTGAGATCCTTGCTGAACACCGTAATCTCAGTTGTGGTCTGGTCTGTCAGCAGAGTGACACGATCCTCAGATATATTCACGACCATGCCAACTTCGTCACGGTATCGGCTACCACCAATGACTTTGACGTGGTCGCCAGTTCGGAATTGTTTACGAAGACCTTTTGTCGGCACTTCAATAGTTTGCCCGACAAGGTCACCTTCGGTGACTTGAATCGTAACAATATCCGCCTGGACATTGGTTGCTTTGCCAACCACGCCTTTCTGCTCGCCTTCGTAGACTTCGACTACGTCGCCTGGTAGATAGGTGACATTGGCATTGCTGTCTTTGAGACTAGCGGCGAGGGACTTGAGATCGATATTCTCAACTCCGTCTTCGCCTCCAGACGCAAATTTGGTAACCTCTTCTAGCGTCGGGTTGACATCGCTAACCGTCAGGTGCTGAATCTTGATATCTTTGACTTGGAAACCCTTCTCGAATTCGTCGCCATTGTAATTCCAGGTATTGGTCTGGCTGCTGTATTGAAGAATACGCGACTGTCTCTTGCGGGCTTCGACTTCACTGAATAGTCTCTGTGGAGGTCGTGGACCCATCACCGGACGCTTACGCTTCTTGTCGGCAGCCAGAATAGGCTCGTCTCGTAGCCCATAATCGAGTCGAGGAATGAAGCGCACCCTAGCATCAAGGCCGTTCTCTGTGATGTCGAGAACTTGTGCGAGGTCGCCGGAATGCTTAGCGGGTCTGCGGAGTCGTACCCAGGCGCCAGGCTCCAAGGTAGGAGTCTTTTGAACTCGCATGAGATCAGGCCTCTCTTTGATATCGACAAGGACAAGCTTAGTACGAGGATATACGTTCATCATATCTTCGAGTGCCATCATCACGTCGCTCTGTCGGGGAGCTTCAACGTAGATGAGACCTTTCAGGATGGCATTATTACCACCTCGTTCGAAAGCTGCCGTAATGGCTAATTGATCTTTTGTGTTGTGACGTTCTATGACACGTTTCATAATGGCCATGATGACTTCGCGCTCCTTACCTTCCTTACACCGAATACCCCAGATACCGGGATCGTCTACACTCGGGAGAAGAAGTCTCTGGGGAACAATAGCAGATTCCCCAAGACCCCTCGCGGCTCGGCGGTTTCCATATTTGCGTACGTAGCCTTCAGCTGCTCGTTCGAGATCTTCCTGGGTGATTGCATCGCGTTGACGGTCGAGTTCTCGATGTCGTCGGTCATCATCCAGTCGGCTCTGTTCGCCAAAGTCGCCTGGCTCCTCGTGTTCAATGAAACCTTCGTTTTCCTCAGCCGCCTCTTCATCATCTTCGCCTTCGTCTTCGTCATCGACTTCGGCTTCGACATCCAAGAAGACGTTTGCCTTGCCCTTGCGTCGTTTGCGACGATGCGTCTGAACAATTCTTCAGTTAGGCGCTGATTTATATGACATAAAACGAGAGGAGTAGGAAGGTGGCAGATATGCAATGGCACGACTTACTTGAACCTCATCTTCTTCATCTTCATCATCTTCCTCTTCGTCGTCATCATTACCGCCACCTAAATCACCCTCGCCATCATCATCTTCCTCATCATCTCCATTATGCGTGGGCGATGACTTTCTCTGTTGCTTCAATTGATCGCGACGGCTGTCGTCTTGATTCTCATCGTCGCTGAAGTCAGCTGGGGGTGGATTGAAATCTTCCTCGTCCTCCGAGTCAGGCTGGTCGTGATCGCGAGGATCGCTCATTTTGTTGAGTAACCGATCGCGTAAATGAACTTTTGGGTAGTTGTGATATCAAAGATCGAGGAGGATATGGAGAGTGACAAATGATAAGAAAAGGTAGAGAAAGAAAGGAAGGTTTAAAAAAAATGATTGAAGGCTGGATGAATTCTTTATGATTGATGAACGTATCAACAATCGGGAACGTGCTTGATCTCTAGGATAACTCTGGCGAATGAAAGCTTGGAATGCGCTAGTCTTAACTTGGTTTAGTGTGAATGTAACTGATGTGGTTATAAGTGGATATGGTTTTGGAAATAGTACTCCAAAATAGATGAATAATGTGGCTTAATGTGGCTGAAGGCAGGCACAAGGAAAGATCTCAATAATTAACATAAGTAGGTACTTAGGGAGGTTGAGAACTCATCATACCTATTCTTTTCTCCATCAAAGTCTGTCTTAGTATCCCGGTGCGACCATTAATTCATCATAAACTACCAGATGCACAATGAAGAACCAAGTTGGGCTGCTACTAGCTAACCATATACCGTACCATCTGCCTACCAATCCATGAAGCAAGGGTATTCTGCTTGCTCTCCCAAGTAATAGCTACTAATATACAGGATGAAGCTTGGTGTATGAGAAGCACCTTCGATGATTGCTGTTCAAAGACAACGCTTCTTCCCTTCTCACAATAGATACCTAGTGAACCGACTCCCCATTTTCTCCCTACCCTAGCATGCCCCTCACCAACAAGTCCCGCGAATTTGTTCGTAACCAAAACATAATGCGGGCCCCAAAAACGAACGCCTTGCTTCGTAAATGCATATAGCAGTCTGATGGGCGTTGTCGGCCTAAGGATTCTTGCTTAGGTTATATCTGGCATGGGTAATTTTTGGGTTTCCATGATACTTCGGTCAACAACGCGAACTTTTGTAGGCTGAGACTGGGTATATCAGATCTTTACGCCCCAAACGCCCCTGCCGCCGCTGACACCGAGCCAGTCGCCATCACCATCGCCATTGCGGAGTGGTGGAGCCCAGCCAAGATTCCCGACCTCGTAGTCACACTGCCAACTGGCGACAGGAGTAAGATGTTTCTCAGTCGATCCGACACCATTGGAGGACAAGCCACTGGTAGGAGTACCAGATACAAGATCCCATAGCAGGACTTGACAGTCATCGCCACCCGACGCGAGAAGCCCTCTCCTCCCGGGAGACCATTCCACCGAATTCACGGAACCGCCGTGGCCTCGTAATTCTAGTAGTGCCTGCCCAGGATGTCGTACGTCGAGGATCCGGATGACGTTCGAATCTTGTGCGAACGTGGCTAACATATAAGTATCATGTGGCGAGGTCGCCAGTCTCAATAGGGGCGGTGCGTGCGACATTGTCTGTTGGGCCAAGGTAGGGCTTATCCGGCCGCCATTGGCATCTATAGTACTGTTAGAGATTGCTAGCGAGGATAAGGAAATTGCGGAGATCATACCCCGATCATCCTTAGCAGTTGGTTCATAGATAATAGTACTATGTTCCAAGCTACGAAGATCGAACATTCGCACACTTCCGTCTTGTCCACAGCTGACGAACACGTCCACACTATTGGCACAAAATCGAACGTCGTAGACTTCCTTATCGTGAGCAATCAGTTGAGTCTTGGCTGTTAGGGATGGTATATCCCAGATGGTACAGGTTGTGTCGATGCTAGACGTGATAATTAGACTTGGAGAAACGGTGTTCCAATCCAACGACGTAAGAGGGGCGGTATGGTCTGGGGTCTTCGAATTGGATAATAGTGCCAACGGCGTGAGCTTCGTTATAGGTGCGCCTAAGGCTGATTTGTTTACCGAGTTCGAATGTGCTGTCGGAGCATCTGCTGGCAAAGACCAGAGCCGAAGATGATCGCCGGAGGTAGCTAGGAGATCGGTAGACTGTTTTTGAGACGAGGGAGGCTCCCACAACAGACGCGTTACGGGATATGAATGAGTTGCTTCCGCAACTTTTGTAAATTCCATGCTATACTTGGGCGAGCCAGGTGTATATATATCCGAAGGGGTACTAATGATTTGCGAATCGAGGATTTGAATCTAGAAGATGAATCGGTTAGGGACTACGGAGGTTAAGGCTTCTAAAATTTCCGAAGTTGACGTACAAAATTATGACCATCCTCCAAGTAGCTCCCGATGGCTACTTTACCAGCTCCTCTATCTCGAGGAGCCCATTTACACCAGTCGAATGCGTAGAGCGCCCAAGGCGCCAAATAGTTGCTCGTGGACGGTTGAGCATTGGCGAGCTCGTATCCCAACGTACCAGGCGGGCCATCAGACAGACTCGAATCAGCTCGTGGCCTGATATCTGCTAGACCAAGTGGCGTATTGGAGATGTTTCGCTGAGACCCCGGGGCGCCATATTTGTGATCTTGCGGTGACATGTATTGGGACGAGGGGCCAGCAGATCCTCCGGGTGTGGTAGGCGTGTAGGGCGAATATGAGGTAGAGGGATTCTCGTAAGGGGCCGCAGGGCTAGATCTCGAATAGCCGTGCGATAAGCTCAAGGTCGGGGGCTTCGACGGCGAGGCGTATTCGCTCGGAGAATGTTGTATTGCGCCGGACATGGTAGGAAGCGTGGGTGCGGTATTAGCACTCATAGCGGGGGGACGACCGGAGCCTAAGCCTCCAGGCTGAAGAATGTTGGGCACACCGGAATTCTGGTATTGAGGATTAACGGGTTGCGATGCGGGCTGGTCGAGCTTGATGTGCGGACCGGAGGTGGTAAACTCTCGCGGAGAGATTTGTCCGCTGTGGCTCATAGTGGGAGAAATATGGAGTTCGTCGTGCTGTGAGCCATAGGTATTAGTTCGTCTTGGGGCGGCTCCGTACTGCCCTGGCTGGTTCATGTTGGATGCGCTAAGCAGCAGTCGCGACAAAGCTGCGAGACACTCTCTAACTTGGGATCGACCGCTATTGGTCCGAGTTGCGATGAAAGGGCGAAGGGATGAAAGGGAGATAGTAGAAACCAACCAAGCACCAAGGAGAGAAAGGGTTACCAGAAGGAGAAAGAGGAGTGGTCGAGAGTTCGACTTATCGAGTTATCGATCTCAATGCCGACCTCGATATCAATGATTGAAATCGTTAATAACTTGAGATGTCGCAAGCGACTTGGAAATTGGGTTGACAGTGAAAAATGCTGTATTATTTCCCCCCCTGCAGAATTCGCGACGTCGGGCGGGAGAGGGCTTGGTTGGGCTCTTGCGGCTCCTACGCAGTACTCGTGGCACTACCACTTATTTCCGACACCACCTGTAGGTAGGTACGCTGCCCAGGTGCTGGTCTGGATGTCTTTCCCGTAATGCTGCTGTTACTGCTGCCGCTGCTGCTATCACTGTCGCTGCCAATGTTAATGCCAGGTGCCACCAATAATATCGAGGTAATATTGATGACGAGGGCGACCTAAGACTTAAGGCTTAATCGCCGCCTGCGAGTATCTAGGAAAAGAACGACAATATTATTGATAATCTTGGAGATTTGTGTGCCTACGCCTATGTGATTGACACTGGCTGGCTTGCGCTGCCTCTGAATGCCAATTTGCGATTCTAGTTACGAATGTGAACAATCCTGTCAATTTGAATTGGGGAACGGAGAGATAGTTCAACGAGTGGGATGCCTGAACTTAGACGCTAATCGGAAGAAGTACCAAGTACCATCTCATAGTCAATTTCCCCTCATTATGCATTATGAGTAACCTTAGTGAACAGAACCTGCCAGCTGCCTCCGCGGTAGGTTTCTAGTAGCCATTGATTGAATTTTGGTAGTTGCCACCTTAGGTATGTACCTACCTACCTCCTACTTATACCCGACATGATTGAAGTTATTGTAGAGGCCGTGGCGGTCGAAGATAAACTACAGGCTCCAGAGCTTACATAGGCTTTAAAAAAAGTCAATCATCACCTAGTACATACATATATAGGTAGGTACCTAAGTAGGTACTACTTCGTAGGTAGGTACGTTTAAGTTGCCCTGTCTGCATAAGTGCACATTCGCTTTTTATCTTACCAAAACTATCGAACCTACCTGGTATCAAGTCAATATGTATCGGAATGTTGTAGCTAGGTAGATGTAAACAAATGACCTCTTTTCACTTTTCGAAACTTGGACGACGAGAATACGAAATTCGCACACCCACCACAAACATCCCACATTGCCACCTAGTATGTAGGTATTGTACCATATCAGCATATGTATCGATTGCGGGGTGGTTCTCCAAAACCCCCTCCAACATCTATCAACTAAGGATACTACTAATTAGGTACCTACCTAATTACCTATACCTACCTAGGTACGAGAAATATCTCCGATTAATAAAAGACTCGGGAGACTTCCTACCTATCTAGTACATGAAAATAATCTCAACTCTATTATGCCTCATCTACCGATCCCATCTCCGATAGAGAGACTATATTTATTTATCAAAGCCACTTCGACTTCATCGTAACTCAAAGAATTACGTCAAGGCTCCAGCTCTTTCTTTCATCACGCCACCGGCTTCCTACGAGGACTCATTTTTTGATATTGAACGGACCTTGTCTTGGCCACAGTCATATACCTAGTATCATACCTACCTATATACCACATATATACCTAGGTACTTAAGTATTCATCGAGACTTTTACCCCTATCGCCGGTTCATCAAGTTATTGACTCTTGATTCAATTTCTATGATTGAGCCGCTTGCTCATCTTCATGGCTGGTCTAAATGCTACAATGGGAGACGATCTCCCGTCACTCTTATTGTTACCCCCGCCTCCACATCCCGCAACTCGGCTCGCTCTTAACGCCGCATATGAGCCTCCTCTCAAAGCTGCCATCTCAAAGCTCAAAAATGCGAAAACAGGAAAGAATGGCGCAATTTTAATTGTCGGGTTAGTGTCACCTATTCTCACAGGCAATTATATACGACACAAATCCCTTTCTTGGCCTCACGTCCAATCTCTCCTAGCAGATCTATACAGCATTATATCCGTCATCTGTGTCCAATTATCAGTTCCTACTGATATTCACGCCGGTCCGGGATCCGTAGACGTCCGTGTGGTTTTAGTCGACCATGATTTATCTAAACCTCTGGCGATCGATTCAAAGCCAGCCATTGAACCGAATAATACAGTAATAATCAATCTCTCTACTTTCGTATCCGCTTATCATCCTTGGCGATATATACTTCATACGAACAACGAGCCCGGCTATGCACTACTCTTGACATACCTCAAACTATTTGAAGGTATTCAAACATTGAAGCAATCTCAGATAGTTGTCGTCGATGGCGGGCTTGCCGTGTCCGTCGGACTGCCTGACTCATTACAAGTATCTCCCCAAACTATTACGCAACCTACCGTATGTTTGGGAGGTACCTTTGATCATCTACATCCCGGACATAAACTACTCTTAACTGCCGCTGTCCTCTTGCTGAAGGTGCCCGACAAAGGTGCACCACGGCCGTGTCAATTCATCATCGGCATTACTGGTGATGAATTGTTGAAAAGGAAGAAATATGCCGAGTTCGTGCAGCCTTGGGACGAACGCGCCATGAATACGATTGATTTTCTGTCCTCAATACTCGATCTATCGAAGGACGGATGGAAGAAGAGCCAAAATGCTCAAATTATTGAGGATAGAATCATCAAAGATCACGGGGAACTCGTCGCCCAGTTTCGGAACGGCACCATCGAGGTTCGCTGTGTTGTTATCCAGGATGCTTATGGACCGACTATCACCACCGAAAACATGGATATTCTTGTAGTTTCAGGTGAGACAAGAAGCGGAGGTAACGCCGTGAATGAGCGACGAAAGGATCTCGGCTGGCGACAGCTTGAGACGTTTGAAGTGGACGTCCTCGATGCCGATGGAATTGTGCACAAGTCATCGGAAGCGCGAGATTTTACCCAAAAGATTAGCAGCACAGCCATTCGGAAGCAGAAGGCTCAGTCTCACACTTAGTCTAAAGATCTACCTAGTTGCTGTGTCTTGAGCATGTGTCTACTTGAAACACAACCGGGGAAACACGTCGATGGCATTCACTACATGAAAAGGGTCTGCCCTCCGTCTATAAGAAGGTCCGAGCCGTTGATATAGCTCCCCGCGCGGCTTACGAGCGTCACAATGGCCCCTGACAGTTCATCCGGCTCACCCATCCTTCCCATTGGATTTCGACTAGCCCACATCTTTCTTGCTTCATCTAGACCGTCGCCCTCATTTAATATCGTGTTCACTGTAACGGGAGTTAGTAATTCATTCTTGAGGATATCGATTTTAGGGGTTTAAGCATGTCTCTGGAACAAGCGACTCCTTAGTCAACTCGACTAGGTAGTTACTTATTGCTCCCAAAACAGACCATGAGGGTGAAAAAAGGGGAACTCTTGATGTAACATACTGTATCCCGGGGAAATACTGTTTACTCTAATTCCAAATTTTGCCCACTCGCCAGCAAGCGACCTCACCATAGCCACCACCCCAGCTTTAGACACGTTGTAGGAGACTTGGGGTTGGGGGAAGTTGACTCTATGCCCTGATATACTGGCTATGAATACCATACTCCCGCCGATTCCACGTTCTATCATCGTCCGAGCTACCGCACGAGCAACAAGGAAACCGCCAATCGTGTTCACGTTCACCACCCGATTCCAATCCTTTGCGGACCAGTCTAGCGCATGGCCGCAGGCAACCATTCCAGCGAAACTTAGCAGAATGCTGACACCGCCTAACAGCTTGACTGTTTCGTCAACTGCAGCGTTGACGCCATCTTCGTCAGTCACGTCAACTTTCAGGAATCGGATTTTGGCGTGTGGAAAGTCAGACTCCAGCACCGTGACTCTGGCTTGTGCCTCCGCTGGGTTCATATCAAATATCATAAGGCCTTCAAGACCATGTTCAAGGAGGGCGTTGCATGCAGCGAAGCCAAGATCCCCGGCTCCACCAGTGACAATCGCATTGCCCGTTACATGAAAGCGCTCCTGGGCCCTGTTTGTTGCCGGAATTTCGCGGGGTAGTGGCGGAGGCGGGGCCGTCAGTGAACCCGGAGAGCCGTCTCCCAAGGATATCAGAGGTAGCACCCTTGCCGTGAGCTCAGCTCTTTCGGTCGTCATCCTGGCGTAGGTATCACAAGGATGGCAATAATATAAAGCGCAATGAAAAGTTGCAGTGTATTCGTACAAATAATCTGCAAAAGCATCGCCTTTATATTTACTTCACCTCGGAGACTGCGGGGTCGGTTCTGACTGCAAGCCACTGGATGTGTAGCTTGTAGACTCTCGTGAAGATGGGCCTTCTCCGCTCCGATCTTGGGCTTGGAACTTGCGAGATCGGTATGGGGATTTACACGTATCCTTTCAACAATGCAGGTGGCTAATGCATTCATATCATCCCACAGCGGTCGTCCAATGCTTGGCCACTCCTCACGCCCCCAGATTTTGCTATATATGGGTCTGCGTTGACTGAATCCACAGAGATCAAAGTTTGTGCTTCGTCCGTGTTATGCCCTTTCATGGTCCCCTTATTCGGATCGTACCTAGGTATACATTGGATACTCTCAACTCATTGGTTGTAACTTACCTGAGGTATCAGGTGGTAGATCTGGGTATCTTCGTATGGGTAAGACTGTAGTTACCCATATTTTTACAAAGTCCATATCATAAGTACGTACCCAAATAAGAAATGGCATGAATAATTCTCATATAAATAGGTCCCTAGGGTAAAATGAATCTATTATCGTGTAATTTCAGTTTGACTAGGACTAGTTATGCACTACCTAGCATTCACATGTATTATTCTTGCTCCTAGAAGGCAGCATAAGGCTTCATAGAATGTGGTGTGTTGATATTTCTGATATACATAGACATAGAATGAAGCCACCAAGGTTATTTAGCAACCTTAGTGCTCTTTGTAAAGTACATAGGTAGATATCCTATTAATCTAGATACTTTTTAGGATCGTATAAGCCTAATAAATCGCATTAGGCTCTCATCTAGTTCATACTATCACCCTAACCACCCCCGTGTAGTATTTTAAATGTGTTACATCAAAGATACTTAGGTAAAGAGAATGTCACACTCGCATAAGGAGACCTAGTCAGCTGTACCTGTCGATTTAGTCCTGTCGAATACTACAAAATGGATACTATTAAAAAGAGCATATTCGCTGTCACTAGCTTTCAAAGGATAATATAGGTACCTACCTAAGTATACCGAAGACAATTAACTCATCTTGGCTGTACTTATACACTAGGATGCTTAGATGAAGTTTCATAGTTAGCTACATCAAACCGACCTTGGGCAAAGGCCACCTGGATGAAAATAGATAAGAGTGGAGGTAATGAAAAGACGTGTATTACCACATCAGAGCGCGAAGTCATATTCGCAGCACGCCATGAAGGGCAGAATGAATTGGAAACCATCGTTTTTCATCTGATTATAAACTTAACTCCAGAACTTACTTGTTATATCATATTCAAGCTAATTAGCCCTTATGTAGCAGACTTTTATGAACACAAATCATCTGCATCGCCCCGCCCAGCATCACGACCACTTTCAAACGGGGCTACGGGCTCGGCGCAAGGGCCCTCATTCCAGCCATTGTAGTACAGATTCATCCAGCTTCCAGCGTCCGTACCATTCGTCGTAGCATTGCCTGCACCACCGACCAGCATCTCGCCAACCTTGCCATTGGGGCACAAGCTTGCGGTCTCATTTTCCTTCGCGGTCTCGATAACGCCGGACGACGTCTCGTTGCTCGGGTCGCCGGTGTGGTAGACGGCCTCACAGTCGCCGCGGCCCCAGGGGTCGAAGCCGCCGGGCAGGTGCGCGTTCGGGGTCTGCGTGTAGACGGGGACGAAGCGCCAGGCGACACAGTTGAAGATGCCCGCGCACTGCACGCAACAGTCCAGTTTGTTGGATACGGCACCTACAGTAACAGTAGCTGTGGGCAAGTCCGTACGCGCAGGCGCAAAGCCAGCCGCGTTTAGCTGTGCCGACGGATTGCAGAAGTTAGGCACAGTGGCTGTGGGGTAGGCTCCCGCGATCGAAGTGCATACCGCGCCCGCGGAGCTAGAAGTGGAAGCGGGGGAAGAAGATGACGAAGAGTCCTCAGCTTCGGCCTGGACGCCGGTAGCGGCGGCAGCTTCGCCGGCGGCCGGGCGGGTGGGGACTGTGATGGCGGTTGGGGGTGAGGCGTAGGATAGGGGGGTCTGGTATGCGCCGAGGGTGGTCAGGGGGGTGAGAGTCAGTGGGTGGGCATATCCAGTGACGGTTGAGACAGCAGCAGCATTAGTGGTCTGTATAAAGTATTAGTGGTCACTTTAAGATAAAATTTGCGTGGGGTGAGTAAATTTTAGTCCCATTTACCTCAGTCGTTTGTCGAGCCTCGACAGGCTTAGCTAAAGCTACACCAAAGCTAGAAATACCCATGAGAAGGGTGATTCCCATCTCGGGAGAAAGAAGTTGAGGTAGCATCTTGAATAACGGATGTTATGTTACAGCCGAAGTAATCTTGAGATTCTTGAGACGAGGTGGATCGAATTTATATGCCGAAAGATTCAGTGGGTTGTATGTGAAACTGGTTGAGGCCGATATGCGAATGTTTGTCGTTTGTTGTTTGTATAAGTAGTAGATAAATTGATAGGGAAGGGTTTGGAAACGAAAACGGAGATGAACAGTGGGATTTCACGCGAGAAGCTCAGTGTAGAGAAATTTATCGAATAATAAATGGAAGGACAAGTCCACCAAAGAACTAAAAAATCCCCTCAATCTTATGAATATCTAAGGCGGTGAGCTTCCCACCTTCTTGTTGATATTCATCTGAAGAGGGTGCAAACACGGCTGTGAGCGAAGTTCGGATAGTGAATGGTGGACGGTGGATGATGGATGCTTGTGAAGTCGAAGTGGCAAGCAATCAATGGCTACTACTTCGTAGATATCATCCTACATACATGCTTCCGGGCACCTAAGAAATGTCCCCGCAACGCTTAGATCAGATGCTGGCAGTGATGTGGTGCGTAGGTGACAGGTGTAATAAAGCATTCTTAAAAGTGTTATGGTGCTAAGGTGATATCCCATTAAGATATAAGGTGGTAAGGTGGTAGAGTGTTAATGGGCTGAATAGGGTTCCTACCCAATTTGGCCTTCAATTGCTATATTGAATATTATTAGAGGACCGGGTTCTAGGTCCCCCCCATGTCGAGATCAACACTACCTAGTAACAATTGATGAGATCTTACTAGGTGTTTTCATTCCTAAATGTTGGTATCTGATAATTAGTAGATACTTTACTCCGTACACCTGACAGACCTAATTGTCTTGTTGCCCTTCTTTCATAGTAGGTAGGTACCTACCCGTAGCCAGCCCAGCCTAGCCAAGCCAGCCCGGGGGGCGACGTTACGTTTGCGGCAAGTATCCCTACAATAGGGGAATTATGCGTAAAATCGTGGAGGATTATTCGCTTGAAGGTATGAAGATCGTCATCTTTGGACAGCTTGCTTGGATTCCTAACTCGGTAGATATCTAGAACAAGTCGTTTCAGATGGCAAGTAGTGCATGACAGGAAGGGAATGATGGGGATTAGAAGGACAAGGGGAGACAAGAGAGACAAGGGGGATAAAATGATGCGGAGGATCTTCCGTCAAGGTAACAACGGGCAACTCCCCGTTACATCCTAGACGTCACTTAATATATCTTCCGCTAGGAAAGAAACTCTAAAAATTCTAAAGTTCTAACCATTCTAACCATTCTAACATTCATGCACGATTAAGTAAACCATCGCGATCGCGTCAAATCGATTATGAAATATTTAGACTTGGAACTTCCAAGTTCATAGTTGAGAAATACAGTGTACAGTGCTCTGTATCTGGTGCGTAATTGCCAGGTGGTTTGGAAGAAATTGAGTTTGGCTTGGACGTAACGGACCAATCAGATTTATTTCAAAATGCATGTCTCTTGTCTACCGCACCTGCCAAGTCCCCATGACCTACCTAAGTAAGTACTAGGTACCTATCGATAACTGACTGCTCTTATCGATATTATTTTGACCAGCTGCCCAGTACAGTCTCTCGCTGTCTTATATGTAGTTAACACTACCTACATATGTATTTACACTCACAGGCTGACTTCCAGACTTTGTGTTTCCCTTTTGGCGCCTTCTAGATCTGAAAGTTCATAGTTACTATTGATAATCCAAAGCTCCGAGCTTCAACTACGACTACCTACCTACTAGGTACCTAGTAGTTCATTCTTATCGTTCCTTACCTACCTACTTATGTAGTACTAATATGCAACGGAGGAAGACACTCGAACTCTAGATACCCAAACACACGGCTATCCCGATACTCATGCTATAATAGTATATATGTACATCTACACATCTATAAATCTATACATCTACACATTTATACAGAGTCGATAATATGAGCTTTGGAACTTCTGTGTTATCGAAACTACGACTTGGCGAAGGCGGTATGTCTACCTTGCTACCTCTGCATACGTCTCCACCATCGCGTCCGTCGGAAGAACATGACCTGGCCGAACTCTCTCCTAGGGCCGACGATGCGCTCCTCTCGCCAGGATTCTCTCGCGATCTGACTCCTGATAGTTCCGGTGCCGATTACCGAAATAACGATCGGATCTCTGCGCGCTCCAAGGGCAAAGGCAAAGCTATTGCCTTTGCCTACCAAGATCGACCGGTATATTCGAATTCTAGAACCCCCAAATCTGGTGATGACTATACTTTTGCGACAGGTGGAAACCAGAAAGACCTTAAAGTGCCGCCTGGTATTTGGCGGCCAAAGATTCACACCGAACAGCGCGACAGTGGCCATGCTACTACCGGCACTCCAACATCTTTGGTCGAGAGTATCTTTTTGGGCCGATCTAGCCGAACCGATCGATCGTCAGACCGTATAATTTGTTCCGAAGTCGACAATACATTTAAATTTATGCAAAGGCGAGAACGTCAGATACACAAGGAGCTTCAGAAGTTGCTAGATGCCCAAGGCGCTGCATTGGAACGGGATCTTGGAGGAGGGGATCTGAGGGAGGCCTCGTCTGAGAGCAGCAGTAAGCGAGAGCTATCTCCAGTCTCGTCAACGTCAACTGCACAGCCAAGCTTAGCTGGGGGTTCCGTCGTGCCTGTTCGTCAGCCTAAAAGAAAACCGATGTCTAAACGGCAGGCTCGTAACGGTATAGCACGCTCTGTCACAATGCTGGCCGACCTGAAAAACGAGGAGGACGCATACATCGCCGCCGCGTTAGCTAGTCGAAAGACTGCCCTGTCTAAATTGCGTAACTTGTCATCTCAGCATAAGTCTATTACAGCAGAGATGAAGGCCCTGGAGGAAGATGACGATCTACCGATTAGAACCGAAATACTGGCAATGGAGGACAAGCATCGCACTGTTTCTGCTAACATCGAAAAATTAGAAGAAAAGCTCCGAGCCTTGAAAAGAGCCAAGATCGACCTGGAACGTAGGCTCGAAGAGGCAAGGAGCACTCGAGACTCTAGCCTCAGTGGATACAGGGGCGCCCTAAAGCAGTGTGACCAAGGAATTGTTAGCCTTATGAAATATCCAGGCATACAAGTACTGGAAGTTGAGGACCTGAAGGAGCAAGGGGGTGGGGACTTGATCGCGCTCACGTCGAAACACATGTCTGGTGTTGAGTTCCTTTCGCTACGGCCAGAAAGGAGGACAGCTGAGATGGCCAAGGATTGGTGGGAAGGCGAAGTGTCCATCCTGGAACTGCGTAAGGCCGCTGTTGACAAGGAGCGAACCGCCTTGGAAGAAGGTAATGAGATATGGCAGCAAGTATTGGTCCTCTTAGTCGATTTCGAGACTCGATTAAATGAGTCGCTTCAAGTTGCTACAAAACAACACGACTTCGAATCAACTAACCCAGGCTCTATCCTACGCAACCAATATAAGGAACTTCAGAAGACACTACGCGAATTACAGAAACTTCAAGACTATGTTGAGACTCGGGGGTGGAATCTCCTAATCGCCGCTATCGGTGCAGAGCTTGCGCATTTTATCGGGCTGAAGGACTTTCTAGCAGATGTCATCCGTAGCTCCGGATATGACGACGGAACACTCACACCAAGCACACCCGATGGCACTGATCTAGTCGACGTCCATGAGAACGACCAATTGGTCACGGACGCGCACACACAATCACCGGAAGACGAGGAACTGAGTCGTAGCGTAGTCCGGCGCTGGGATGGCGTCGACGAGCAGCAGACCCGCGGTAGCCCGCCCGTAGACCTTCGAGGCGGCGCGCTGCGCTCCGAAGAAAGTGACAACGAGGTGCCACCTGGTCTCTTCAGCGAGATACGTCACAACGAGAGCGAAGATGAGAGCCACAACGACATTCCGGACGAATTCCTGTCCATGCATAGCCCTCCGCGACGGGATAATCACCTGAGAAGGGAGAGTAGCGAGACAGATAACGCGGTCCCACCAGACTTACTAGCCGAGACTCGGAGGGACGACGATGATACTGTCGATTAGGTCATCAGGCAGCTTCTTAAACGCATGTAGGTAGCACGTGGATATCCCAATCGGCGTTTAAAGCGAGTTTGGTCTTCGGGCTATAGCGAAATATATGAATTAGATGAGGGTTAGGTGGAAGTTTCGTCCGCATGTATAAGGGCTTGGTATACGGGAGCGGATTCCACGATGGGTCATGGCAAGATGCAATGGGGTTGAGGGCCGCTAAGGTTATTATAGAGTTTTGCCACAACCGCCCTCTTGCGTAAGGCGTTATGAGGAATAGCCATTAGCTTTATGAACAATCCATGATTTTGATATGAATATTTTGTATCCTTTAAGACTACGCGACGAAAAAAAATAATCGCCTGATGGAATAATAAAGCAAAATAGCGATCACCCCAATAACAAATCACGATGAGTAAAACAGGCAAGTTTTCTTATAATAGGAACGGCTCCTCTCTTCTCATGCAACGCGGCAGTAGCCTACATACAAGCAATAAAGTGAAAGGGGTGGTTTTCGTTCCTTCGTCTATCGTAGTAAGAAATTCATCAAATGGATATATGACCCAATAGCAACGCCTGTTCGTGACGGGGAGAGAAAAAAGTCCAATCCAATGTGGATGATATGAAGAGGCAGGCAACCAGCCGACTCCTTCACCTGCATTTCTAACAGCGTGTCCTCCCGGTGTGACATGCTGCAGGTGGTTATAGGAGTAGTATGGGGATATAGTGGTGCTAGGTTAAATGCGGAATAGCGTATGGGCCTAGTTCGCTTGTGATAGTATCCATAGATCTAGGCGGTGATGACGATGACAGTCATGATGGAGCGACTTGTTGAGGATCGATCTCCCGCTATCGTGTGCCATACATATATCCCCAGCTATCTTGCCTGTCCGAAACCTGTCGCGACAATTTATCGAGTCCGGTGGAACCAACCGCTTGATCCAGCTATCGCGACGGATTGATCCATCACCCACTCGCCGACTCCGAGGTACTTGTCTATCCACTTGTTTGCTTCTTTGTCTCCGCCGACGGATACGCGCTCAGTGTTGAAACTAGGGGATCGAATTCACGTCAGCCTCTCGCTTTGACCTAACACGCCGTCTCCCAACCTCTTTTTCTGTCTGGTACGGTCCCACCGCAATCATATCCCTGACTAGGCTATGCAAAGAAGCAAGATGGAGGCAGGTACTCACGTCAGACCGGTTGACCGCCTCATGCCGGCGAGGATGGTCGAGACTGAGGACAATTTGTTAGTCGCTACGGATGTACAGGTCCGTTCAAATGTTCAGAGGAATCGCATACTGAGAACCGCATCTACGGCGTAGTGAGTGAGTCGTCCGAGCTTTCCCCATAGGCCAAATGTCAGCAAGTTAAGGAACTATTTAAGAGAAGGTACACCGATCAGAGTTCAGCGTCGTCTTAAGGAGAAGGGGGGTGGATATAGGAAGAGTCTGCTTGAAGAAAGACTTTGCTTGCTCTGGAGGGCGATCTAGCAATCTCGCGACAGATACTCCAGTAGAAAGGGGAGGTGAAGTTGGGGAAGCGGAAGCGGGAGCGGGAGCGGAAGGGGATTATGCGCGCAAGAACATACCACCATATTTACGAGAGAGAGAGAAGTTAGTAGTTGGCTAATAATCGTAATTCGCGGCGTGTGTGTGATATGGATCGAATAGATTCGCAAATTGGGAGATGTAGTACTACGTATGTATTTATTGTTGTTTGGGGGAAGAAGGAGGGAAGATCACGAGGTCTTTGTCATGAGGTTGGTAAGTAGTAGGTAGGTAGGTACTGTCTGGTCTGTAGTTCGCTAAAGGGAAGGTGGAAGGAGCACAACGCCTCTATCCGTCTTCCGCAACATATGAACCTTGCTAGTAGACGGCGTGGCGGTGGGCCAGTGGTACCAGCACCTACATTAGGAAATACCCCACCATTCTACGGTCGGATTTATCTAATCAACCGGATAAATCTAGCGTACAATGTACCCATTGTGGCACTTCCAAGTCCTAAGCCACAAATTACATAACACATTCGACTCGAGAGACCTAATAATATCCATAATATCTCAAATTCCTTAGGATATGATAGTTACTTACTTACACCCACGACCTTGCAGGCATAGTCTATGGTCAATCGGTACGTTTCGTAGATGGTTTGCGGATTCGTGCCTAAGGTTGTCCATCACCCTCATAATTATCCGAACGTCGGAGGAATTCATCTCCTATGATAGTAGGCAGAGCCTTTGTAAGGGATATTTTGACTCGGAGAGATGATTTTCTTAACTACCTAGAGACCTAGGTACTTTGTATGTAATGAAATCTCCTAAGCCTAGGTAATATCCGACGTCAATCTTGGTTCGCGAGTAGTATTTCGTGCACCTCACCTCCCCCAGAACCACCCTCGCCGGGTCCTTCACCTAGGCTCCACCAAGTCTTCACCTTTAGTGACCCAAGAATAATACTCAACTCTAGATTCGTTCTTGGTTAGCTTGTTCCAGGGTGGCTTTTTTCTCACGTTCTCACGCGCTAATGACGTCTTTCATCAATTTGAGGAGCGTTCGATAACTGATGACATAGTACGTGCCATAAAGGTCGAAAACGCAATCCAGTCAGTTCTGCTCCTTGCTTGCCATTTTCACCCATGTTCCTGAAGACGATCGTTCGTTGTCTCTTATATTGAATGGAGGGTTTCATGAGGTCGTTGGCAAGCATTCCTCCAGACCGATATCTTCATTTAATATTATCGACATATAGGATTTGATCGTTTCATCATGATAAGGTACTCGGGTATGCTCTTGAAGCGGTCTCTTCAACTACACACGATATTATGGAGTTTGATCGAGGCAAAGCATTAGTAGTAGAATGTACTACGCAAGAAACATTACAACGAAAACATTGCACTTGAAGAGTATTTAATAAAGTAGCCTTTCGTAGCTCGTAGTTGTAGATAATAAAAGGAAAATTAAGGTTAGTATATTGGTAACATCACAGCCAATAGGAGTTAATGTGTTTCCAAAAAGGGAAATTGGCTACGAGGTAGGTATGTAGGTAGAGTGGGCAAAACTGTAAAAGATATGGTAGGTAGGTACTCGGTGGGTACTACCAGGTACATATAGGTATGTGTTGATGGAAAAGCTAACTTACACTCGGATCTAGATGCATTCATAGGTACCTACCTAGGTAGGTATCTACTTATCCACCATAGGTATATATAAATACCTATCATAAAATATGAGTATTTGCTGTTCGTTCATTGTTGATTGGTGCGAACCCCCTTTTTCTTCTTGGTCTCAATCTTTCTCTCGTTTCCTTTTCCCGTTTCTAAGCTATCCTAAAAGTTTTCTGATAGTTAATATTAGGGTCTATTGGCCCTGTATTTGAGTTGCTGTAAAAGTGTTGTAGTTCTAGCCGTGTACTTGGCGTAAAATCGATTGTTATTCAAAGCTAGAGTCAAGCATGGGAGCTTAGAGGGGATCATGGATTTATGAGACGGCTGTGTACCCATATACCTACCTAGTACCTAGTACCGTAACACGCGGGCATTCAGCTTCGAAAAACTGCAATAGATGAATACATACTAGGCAGGTAGGTACCAAGTAATGCTCAATGCACAGCTCTTAGTTCAAGTTCGAACTTACCGCATTAAAAGCAATATAAATTAGTTTATTTTAATAGAGAACCGTTGTTTCCGTGATGCCCCGCCCCTCGACAGGTAGCGATTATTGGCAAGGAATGCCTATCGAGTTGATTCTTGGATCTCAACTGCCGTCGTATTGAGTTGTAACCGAGTGCTCGCTTCCATTTCTAGATTTGCATTTTGGTCGGCCTCGCTTGAATTATGGAACTAGTATGTACCTATCTACGTAAGTACCTATGTAAGTCGCTGCTGGGTGAGTCGTTTCATTTAGGAATGCTCCTGCACTACATTGATCAACGTTCGGCCAAGACTCACTCACCTCTACCGAAAGTTAAGGTATTGCTGGAGGGTCCGACGCAGAACCAAACTTAATAGGGGTTAATGGAAAGTTTTTTTATTGCGAACCTTGGAAGTCGTACGTACTTCGATTTAGATGTGAAATCTGCATACGCGTCGTTCGAGTATTCTTCAGTTCTATATTAACCTCCTATCTTCATCCAGAACAGGACTGTCGGTATCTTACCCTGCGATGTGCTACAGTTTTACCTAACTCTATGTGGAATATACTTTTCAACGATAGAAGTGACTGGTTACCACTTAATCAAATTACAATTAACTCGAACGAAGCCACCAAGTCCATCGAGACCTCTCAGGGTCGTGATATGCTTAATGGATCGCCAAAATAGCACGGCGACAACCCTGACACAGGAAACTCCTCCACCTCCTTATACCCAGTACTTAGACGAAGAGGATGTCGAGAGAGAAGCCGAGGATGTAGAAGAGATCTCTTCTCAATCTAGTAAAGGGCTAGATCAACCCCATCCTCCCATACAACCGGCCATACACACAACAAGTGCGTTTCCGACGTCGTGGGGTCTCTACCGTTTGCTATCGATGAGCCGACTGCTTATGGTAGTCTGTCGTGAACGCGGGCCCCTCTTCGCGGTTTCAAGGAACCCGGGATGGTGGCACAAACTTCCTGAACTTGTACTACATCGTGGACCCTGTAGGGAACTGCCGGCTTTGGCTGCTGGTATGGGAGGAGTTGGAGTAGGGAGGCATTCTACGATCGTGCTCCCGCCATTGCCGGGATCCGGGCTAAAGTCCTCGCAAGAGATACTGCGGCGGGTGGAGGCCCAGGACCAGGCTGAGGAAGGCCAGCCAGAATCACACGTGCGATTCCAGTTCACGATCGAAGTCGGCATTCAACCTGACCAATGGAAGCGCGAGACATTTGAGTGGCGGTACGACGAAGGTGAATTCATCGCTGTTTTCCTAGAGGGTGCGACATCTGGATGGAAACTAGTGCGTCTAGCCGATGAAGAAGAGAGTAGCGATTATGAGGGACCGGAGCCGGGCCCTAGACAAGAGATTGTAGCGGTATGGGCATATACCAGGATGAGCTTGACGAAGGTTCTCAAGTTCCGATGTCTCGGAACCGGGGCGTCGGGCGTCTTTGGGGAAAGATGGACAATAATGGCAGCGATGACGGCGCTACGGATGTACCAGCGTCAACAAAAGAATCGGCATAAAGATTGGTAAAGGGGTTCGCATCTAACCCCTAAATCACCCCTTACTTTTCTAACCTAGTGTGGCTATGTTCAGTAGGGCGATACCATCACGGAAACCTCGATGAACCTTAGCCCAATGAAATGGCACAATAGCGTCGCAAATATTTTACGTGGCCGAGAAAAACATAGCCTAGAAGACAATGTATTTAGCATAGCCCGAATACACGATCGATTTTAGCGATAAGAGGACGCAGATGCTGGTGTCCTTTCCTCGATCTTTTGTTTGCAATGCTTGCTCGAAATATTGTATTGTATCGTTTGTGTCGTTGGATAATCAATTTACAGCTCAATCTCGTCATGTCTAGCTTACTCTCGTCATTCCTCGGAGTATCCATGCATGACGATTACCTATTCTATCCTCTATCGGGCCTGGTAAACTTCTAAGAAACTGAATCATAATGAGTGAGGACAGCGTGCCGAAGAGAAAATAGAATCCTAGCTCGTTTATGAGTTTTCATACGAATTGTTCATAGGTAGGTAAGTAACTGAGGGTTCTACCTACTCTGTAGCTCCGAGGGAGCGCTTATGTAATATGCTTTCAAAGCAGGTGGTTATATATTCGTGAATAACCTCTATATACATGATGCTAGGGGATGTAATGTCGGGATCCTGTTAATGTAAGATATTTTTATTGGTTTCCCCTCTTTTTCTCGTCCCTTTTGCCGCTCGTTTTTGGAGACAAACTCGCGAAATTCGCCCCCCCTAAAGATTCTTGATAACAAATCTATTTCTGAGCGCTTCGCCGTACTTAAGTACAAATATTGATACGGGAAACAGCGCGACGGCGATGAAACCCAGCAGACTGTTACCCCAACCGATACCCAGCTTGCTGTACATGGGCAAGCCGGCAAGCGGGAGCACAGCACCAGCCAAAGATCGTACGACTGTATTGCATGCTATGGCTGAAGCAGCATAGATGGTGAAGGTATCGACCAAGTACATTTGGATCGACATAAAAACAATCAAATTTCCGATGCCGACGATAGCTGTCCCGATGATGGGCGCGATCCAGTGTGTCCTGAAGTCGGCAGTCCATCCGTATATGAATAAGCCGGCAGGGATGAAAACGGCCCCTAAGGGAAGTAACGGTAATCGGTACTCGGGCTTCATGCCAGCCTTGGTTCCACCCGTCGCCTGGGCTTCCGCGTCAGCCTGAGCTGCTTTCCTTTGTATATATCTGTCGGAGGTCCCGCTGAAAAGAATAATGCCGATCATGCTTCCAACACCCAGTCCAAGGAATGCCAGACCAACGGTGCTCGTCGTGAAACCATAATACTCCTGGAATACCTCAGTCATGGTAGTAAACATAAGATACAAATAGCCATATGTAACCGCCTGTTATAATGTTAGCGGCTTAATTTCGAGGAAAGTTGAAGATAGTTTGAGAGGTTAAGCCTTCGAACTTCGACACTGCGTATTTCTGTACATACCATATAGAGTGATGTGATGGCAACGATTGGCGAGAGAAAGAGCATCTTAAAGGGGCGAATAATGCCTCGCTTGAAGTAGTCCCTGGGCGATAGGCCAGCATCAAGCTTCGACCGCAGGAGGTCGTTGCCAGTGTCCTTGCGCAACTTGGCAGCCTTCCTTTCTAGGATGACGGGTGCATAACTCTCCTTGAGGGAGAAAGTCATGAGAATGCCTAGGAACCCCCCAACAATGGTCAGTAACCAGAATGACCACCTCCAGCCCTCAGCATCGGATAGGAAACCCCCAGCAACAGGGCCAATGATGGGACCAAGAAGTGGGCCAATGCTGAACACAGCCATTGCACCACCCCGCTTCTCCTGAACGATCATATCGGCAATAGTCCCGCCACCGTTGGTGATTGATACGGAGCCGAACACGCCGGCGAAAAATCGGAAGACGATTAGAGCATTCAACGTTGGGGCGAGAGCGCATCCGATTTGGAATGCGACAAATCCCACATTGGCGATGTGATACAGGATGACTCGGCCGTAAATTTCGGATAAGGGGGCGAAAAGCATAGGTCCGGCGGCAAATCCCAAGACGTAGACCGAGACCACAAACGCTGCGATCTCTAGCGAGGTGGAGTGGAATTCAGCTATAACCTGGGGTACACCCGGAGCAAAGATGGCTGAAGGTGATATGGCGTTAGCACTTATTCAATGAGTGTTCATATGAAGCGATATAATTAAGACATGAGATTTATGCGATGAGAGACTTACACGATGCTAGGGGAGAGATGAAGGTCATCGCACTGATTAGGCCACAGTTAAGGACCTTACGCCATGTTGGCCAGTTGTATGGGTTTTCCGGGTCGTTGGGGCCAGACCACCAAACGACGTTCGGACTCGTATCGCTGTCATCGTCATCGTTGCTACTCGAGAGCGCGGCCTCGCCCGGCGCCTGTGCCTTCTCAACATCGCGATTCGCCCTACTCCCTCCGCTAGCAATCGAATTTCTTCTTCGGTCGGCTATCGATCGCTGCCGTCTGAGCTCTTCCTCCTCGCTTAGCACAAAGCCCTGACTCGACGGGATATCCGCGTCGTGTCCCTCATCCACAGCTTGGCTGATCTTGCGCCGAAGCTGCAACTGCGCGTCACTGCCGGAATCATTATCGCGCTCGCCGTCTGTATGCGTCGCAGCAGGAGTTAATGATGGACTGGATGCCATTTTCCCTTGCTGGTTATAAGGTTAACGACTTAATATTATAGAGGTTCATTATTAATTATACGAAAATGGAAGTAGGAAGATTAGAAATTAACGATATGGTATAAACCATGAAGTTGGGGATATTGTTTGCTTACATATGCCTAGCTCCTCTCCTGGGGGTCCTGGGGAAGAAGATCGCGAGCCCTAGCAAAGCGGGTTTGCGCTGGGACGGCCCGCGTTTTGTTATGCGTCCGATGTTGTTGGTTGAGGCGTTTCTTTCTTTCTTTATTTTTTCCCCTTTTCTCAAAAATCTAGAAACCTTCCCGGATGTGTATGACCAAACATATTACCACCATATTGCGTCGGGGAATGAGCATTTGTATCTATCGTAGGATCTAAGGTTCATCTCACCGATGGGATGAAGAACCACGGAAGATAAATAGAGGGAGAGAAACGGTCATGATAAAAAAAATTACATAGATCTAGCCCATGCTCGCTTCCCATCAACGCGGTGCAACTTAACATTCGATTGGCTCGTGGTAAGAAAAGGACTAAGAGTATGGAGTCGACCCCCCGATGACCCCCCGGCCGCGCGAAGCCGAATTTGGGCGTGCCCCATAGTCCTAGCCGTTCTTTGGTCACCGTACACTGTAGAAAGAGGGAATAGATCTCAGGGTTGGTTCGGGCGCTAATCCTTAAAAGGGTCAATTACAGGCATAGTCGTATTACTATGGCAAGGTAGCAAACGTCGCCGTCTACCATAATATGTACAAGGTAATTAGGTGTGTACAGCGTATTATCGCTTCTCTCATGATTTATATAAAAATGTCCTATGTAAGTGTAAGCACTTAGAATTCAACGGCTGCTAAAGTTATGTCTCACTGCATATCAATTTCTCGTCGGTAACCACTTACGTAGACGGCGATAGCTTTTATAGGGTGGTATTAGTTCAATGTTGGTATAACCACCTGGGCATACAAGGTAGATAGGTGTTAAACATCTGACATGCGCCGTGTATCAGCGCCGCGTATAGGGGATTCAAATATAGGTCGCGGCCAATTCTGGTTCCGGGGAAGATGTGCAATGAGCGAATGGCGCATAGGCGGATAGGTACGCTAATAACCCTTGTTCCTTCCGGCAAGCCAATACCTGATATCTGTACATAGTACTAGGTACTACCTACCTAGTAGTATGTACCCAGGTGTATGCATATTTTGTATCACGGAGTCTTTTGTAGCCGTACATACCTAGGTAGATACCTACATAATATTGAATGCGGCGTTATTGTACCTACATATGCCATAGTTTTTAGTTTTTTTTCTCCCCTGAGGATCTTGCCTGTTGCTTAGGTACTTATCTAGGTAGGTAGGTATATACTTATTAATCATGATGTTCTCCGCAACTCTAAGTGTACCTAGGTCAGTTTGATTTTGACCTCGTTGCCGAACTTGCCATTGTTCCATTGTTCCATTCTGCCATTGAAGATGTCGAAAGCTTCCCTACCTCAGTGGAACAGTTCTATTGGATCTGATCACGGTTCCACATAAACTCCCGATGCCCAGGCTGCAAGCATGTAGCCCATGCAAGGCCATGTACGTATTGTATACAACGTGCGACCAGGCTAAAGCAATAAAGGCAATTAAGTTGCCGAGGTGGCATTAATGTCTTCGATCATGAAGTATGGCCAGGGTACAAGGTTCAAATCCGTCTTAGCTTTTTATCTGGGATCGCGAATGAGAGTCCTGCTATTCCTTATTTTACAATTCATAAATCCGATCTAAAGAACGGAACGAATTATGTAAACCGAGACATGCATAACTAAAGTTATGCATCAACCGCTAACCTGCTAATAGCCTAGTCGCCACCCTTAGCTCTTTCCAACTTTTCACTCATCGCACGATCACGGGAGCGGGAGCGTGACGCGACCCCAAACATCCGGCTTTCAGCTGCGAAAGTCTAACGCGATGTCGGAAATATATTCCGGTATACTCAATTTCATACTCAGGCAGTCAGGTACCCAGACGAATACATTATGTTAAAAAAATTACTATGGTGCGACCATTTATGTCATATCGTCTTGCCATCTTTAGCTTGAAGTGAAACTGTCAGAATGTCTCGTAATTAGACGTTGGAGAATCAGTCATAGCGGATTGAACGGTGAGACATCGCCGCCCCAGTCCCCGGCACCCCGGTCCTCCATCCTCCGACCAGCCGAACTGTCGCTAAGAATTTCCTTCTAACATAATAATTTGACGCCTATTTGCGGGCAATCTTGATGCCCAGGCGTCTTTAGTATCTCATATCAATTGATGCCTGTATACACGACATGCGTAGCACCCGAACACCGAACACCGTACATAGTAGATATTAGGCTAAAAAGCTTAGTTAGGTCGTCTAGTAATATGCGCATTTCGTATGCATTACCTAGCTAGGTACCTACTTATAGTGTAGACTTTTCTTTGTGGTACCCGTAGAACGCCTTGTTATGGTTCTTAGAGTGGACTATAAGGCCGAATCCGCCAACCCGCCAATTTAATTAATGTATTAAAATGTACACAGTATAATACAGTGTAATTACGTACAGTTTGATACATATTCCACACAGTGCCCTAAATCTTATAGGGGGCTATAGCGCACTGTAGCGCTAAAAGTCCCTGTAACTTATAGGCGTTATAGCGCATCGTTTTTTTACATAAGTACTTACGTACCTACCTAGATAGCTCATGATTCGGATACACTTTTACGCTTCAATATTGAGTCGCTCGTAAATATAATGGGTTCATTCGAAAGCTCTTCAAAAGGGCTTTCTACTTATATAAAATTTATTCATTATAAACTAATCTTCATACGCTGAGTTTCAATTGAACCTTTTATAATACGCGCTGTTGACATCTATCCGATGAGGCTCGAGGTGTCACGTGATACCCCTCGTTTTGAACTATTACGCGTATGTGCCTTTTAGGTACCTAAGTGCCTAAAAAGCCACCCTTAAATTACAGGGGCCTTTAGCGCCCTATAGCGCTATAACCCCCTGTAAGATTTAAAACACCGTGTGAAATTTGTATAAGACTGTACGCTTTTATACTGTGTCATACTGTATACATTTCAATACATTAATTGAATTGGCGGGTTGGCGGATTTGTTCTTATGGTCCGCCGTCGTTTTTCTATTTAATATAGAACTTGCTAGCTTGCCTAAATGGTTGTCAAACGTGTATCGAAGACAGCTCTTCGTGCCCGGATATTAACCATCACGAGAACTTAGTTGCGATTGACAGGCTCAGCGCCTACTATATTAGACGATGGAACTAATATATGGTAGGGCCGTACTCTTCACCCTAATCCTTACTACTACAGGAAAGCCGAAGAGGAACTCAATGGCATCAAGAAGGTGGTGCATCGGGATAATTAGGACATCAAATGACCTCCATGTCAGTACGCCGGTATAACCAGTCTAGCCAGTTTATCAGAATAATAACAAACTATGTACCTATCACGGACTGAAAACTAAGAAGTCGGATTGTAGGTAAGTTTAAAGCGATCTAGAGAGGTAGAATAGCTCCACGATCAGTATATTTATAGTTACTAGAACAGGGCCAGCAGGGGCTATCTGACCTACACTTTCCAGTGTCACACAAACGACATACCGGACTCAAGAATTGCTTCTATCTACATAGAATGTATCATACTAGTACGAGCGATAACATTCCCAGGGGCTAGAGAATAACTTATGCGCACTAGAGCAGGTCCGGCCCCGGTTACTAGTGAGGGTAGTTTTAGAATGTTGTTAGAAATAAGATCAGGATCATTCCCCTAATTAATAGAAGCCAACTAGTTAGCGTCAACAACGAGGTAGTTAAACTGTTAAGGTAGTGAGGATCCCGTATAGCAAGTGATACTCTAGTTTAGCCTCTTTAATGTGTTCTAGATGATTTATGCATTATGAATACGCGTATATGCAAACAAATTCATTATCATCTCCGATGCCCTGCAAATGAGCGAGCTAACATTCTATGTGGACTACATAAGGTACCTAGCTTATAGAAATTACTTACCTAGCCAAAACGATCTGTTGGGATATAGGTGAGGCCAGCTTCAGGTTTACCCTAAAGGGAGTTATCCCTCGACGAGGCTTCCAAATTCCTTTCTTTTCTCACTAGCGTAGCATGTTCTGTGTTGTTCCTAAAGGGTGTGTGTAGATAGGTACCTAGTTAAGATATTCCTGTGTCGTTCCACAGAAGTACATTTTAACATAACCCGAAATTATAGTCTACATACCGCAATATACTCGAACTTCAACGATAATAGGAAGAGAATTATGATACATGGTTAAGTATCAGTTGTCACGCTTGTGTCAAATTCACAGTGCTCAGTGAGGAAAGAAAAATCAATTCAGCGAACAAAGCCCAATAAGGATCCAGTTCATGCTACTATCCACTCTAGCACTCACTGAATATCTGAGGCATAGTACTAACACTAGCCTACCCCTAGCAGCGCATCCATCGTGAAAACCAATTCTCGTCATGTAACCAATGAAGCTGTGCCCAATTTCTAGTCGTTACAGACCAAAGAGTTTACCACGGTGATCAACCGCCTCTTCCACCTCTTCCACGTCCTCCACGTCCACCACGTCCACCGCCACGTCCTGTTCCGCCCATGTGCGCTGGAGTACGGCGCTCAGCGTTGCGTAGAGTCTGAATTAATTCTGGCGAGAATACTATTCTACTTGTCGCAAGAAGGAGGTCGAGAGGCGTCTTCTCATCGAGGTCGGTAATAGTCGCGCTAGCACCACGCTGAAGTAGAATGTTTATCATCTGTCGAAGTCTCTCTTGAGAGCTGCGATAACCATTACAGACGGCATGTAGTGGTGTTCTTAGCATGTTGTCTCGATGGTGAATATTAACACCCTTGTCGATGAATCGAGATAGGACCTTTAGATCGCTGGGAGGGTGTTCTAATACCTCATAGATAGGTGTACGACCATAACTATCGGCCACGTTTATGTCCATACCATTCCTAAGAAAATAGTTGATTATCTCCTCATACCGACCGCTCTTGGTGCATATGACGTGCAAAGGCGTGCGTAGGCCGCTGTCGTAGTCCCAACTGAGTGCCGACAGCTGGGCGCCAGAGTAAATAAGCATCTCAAAAGTTTGGAGACAGTGAGGGATTATGACCTCATCATAGATAATCTCGGCAAATTGGCCCGTCATCAGATGTTCACGGGGTTCATACTTTACCATCCTCTGAGCAAGATGGTGAAGAGCCGTGTGAAATGTGTAGGGGTGTACCGCCTTCGCATCAGCGCCCACTTCGAGCAACGAAATTATGCGGCTTCGCCGCTTCTCGTAAATGTCCTTCAGATCGTCAATGGGGACGTGCACGGATGAATGAAGCTGTAGTGCCAACTCCAGTTGCTCGAAAAGTGGCATTTGATCTCCCGGGCGAGGATCATCTTCAGGGGATTCCCATGGGAGCATTAATGGAGCTTGGTTGGGGTTTGCTCCATATGCGACGAGTAGACCGATACAGAGGTCGAAGTCCATGCCCGGGTTCATCAAATGAACTCCCCAGTTAATAGGCAGCCATTGACGGCGATGGCCCATGAATTGCGTTCCCTGGACCAGAGGCATCTCATCTGCAAGATTCACATCCACTCCAGATTTCAAGAGCAGTAACAGAACCTGGTCAGCTCTAAACTTGAGGGCCAGGATCAATGGTGTGAAGTGCATGCTCCAATACATGCTCTCGGGAATCGAGCGGGTGGAGTGATGCTCTTTGAAGCGGTAATTGATGAGAGTCAAATCCTCGCCGAGTGCACGCTTAAACAAGTCGGCGTTATTATTCACGCATGCCCACCATAGTGCATGATGGTCCTCATTCTCATCCTGTTCGTGCAATGGCGTCTTCATCAGAATGGAAAAGCCTCGACAAGTTTGCGCAAGATGGCACCTGTCCGCCTGAGACAGAAAGGTCGCGACGTGTAGGATCGTCTCTTGAGGTACACTTTGAATGCCTACAGGGCCAACCTGGTCCTTCTTGCTGTCCTGCGTCTTGTTTAGAAACTTCTTAAGAAAACTTTGGGGTAGGTTGAGCATCTCGGGCACTTCGGGAGCTTCTCGTACCTTTTGATTGTCCTCATTGTCATGGGACATAGATGGGGAAGGGGGGAGGGTGTAGAGAAGGTGTTTGAATTGTGCCATGTTATAAGTGGCATAGTGCTTGTCAAGGATTGGAGGGGTGTGAGTATCGCGATTAACGCCATTGCTCTTCACGTTCTGATTGGGAGTCATCGCGATCATTCAATTGTAGACGAAAACTTAAGATGCCGAATGACGTTGCTTAGTTCGTTCAAGCTTCTACTTCAGGCGTACTTTAGTAGTTGTTGGTCGTGCCTGAGTGACTTGATGAATGCCGAAGAAAGAATCGAGATTATTAGGTTTCGTGTAACGGAGTGTGAAGAATCGGGAAGGAACGGATTCTTTAATTGCACCGGTAATTTTGTATCGGTGTCACAATAAGGTGACTTGTCTGTGGAAAGTTGTGAATCGTAATGAAGTAGAATGAGTTGTGGTTTTCGCAAATGAAATGAATTGCGATTACCGTGGTGTTGGTGTTTTGATTGATAGAGGAAACCGTTGGGAAAGAAGGAAGGAAAGTTGGAAGACGTTAAGGTGGAAGATATAATATAATCCCAATCTCTAATCAGTACCTACTGATTATGTCTTCTATCACCGCACGGAGCTAGAAAGATAGGTGTGGCTGCGGCTTCCCTGGTTGTCGATGAATTTAATTGTAAAGGAAGTTACGGACACGGATAGTGCGGCTGTTGCTGATTAAACTTTGACAATCACACTGTAGAATCTCTTTCAGGGTCATCATTTATAGACCGTTGCAGACTTGTATTTACCCAGATACATGGAATCCAAAAACATAATTCTGATACGATGTAATTTCAATATACTTATATGTATCTACTTCAGAATACGTACACAATCAAGATCCATAAGCTAGGTTAATTTACTTACGCATATGTACTTTTTCACTTATAGATTCAATCATCCACCAGAGATATAAGAGCAAGAGAATGGGGAAATATTATTCAACTTTTTGGTCTTATGTGACTAGTTGAATTTATAAGATGATGCAGCACCTCGCGATAACATCAAATTCACTCCCATTCATGTAGCTGCGTAGCATATCTATAAAAACAACCTTAAGATACCTAGTACGTCTAATCTAGATAGAACTTTCTTATGAAATCGGAAAAATACCTGGTACCTAGTTGTAATCTGTGTGAAGTTTAATTGCCTCTTAATGTACCTACTATCTCACATCTGGAAATGGGACGTGGCTTCCAACTCATAATCTTTTAAATCACTAACGTACTTACCTACCCATCTACTGATGTACCTATGATTTGTCTCATTTTATCTATGATTGTAGATTGGGCTTGACGTTATCGACATACTACATACATGTATGTATAGTACCGTGCATGACACCATTGTACCTAGTATCAACAAGCAATGAGACAAGAACAACATGGATCTCCTGTAATTAATTCCACATAGGAAATAAAATCCTAGGTAGTTCTAATGCAGTATAGGTAGGTACCTAGTATTAAGTAAGATGATGTAAATGGGAAAGAGCTTGATTTTATTTTAACAAGATAGCATTAAGACTTAAACTTTTTACAGCTTACAAAATAATTCAATCAAAAAATATTATTATACTAAATTAATTCTAAAAAACCCCCCTCGAATATTTAATGTTATTATTAAATACTTAGGTATTTTCGTGAATGATTCCTTATAATAAGTAGCGATTGCTTCTGAAAGTACTTAACATTTAGAATAAATGAATAAGGTGTTTACATATTCTAAGAGGGAAATCTTTTACTAATGAGGGCTTTACGTCGCGATAAGCCAACAATTTAATTATGACTATAGAAAAGAATCCATTGTGCATTCCTTCTTTTAACCTACACTTGAATAATCTAATCTATGAAGTAGGTAGAGTTCAAAGAAATCCCTTTCTCACGATGGTCGTTACTTAATTACCAAGCCACACAACACCAGCCACATGACAGCCACACTAGGTACAAATTAAAATGGGTCAACAAACGTCACTTAAATTACGGCCTTATATTATTCTGTTTCCTATTCTGTTTTTCAATAGTAGACGGTAAGACTGCCAAGCGTAAAGGTGGGAGTTCTTGTTATTATGCAACTATCTTAAACTTGTCTCGAGTCTTTCCATCTTAGGAAGCCGTTTAAGAAGATTTCCCTCGTCCCGAATCACCATTGATATTAAAATCTAGAGCTGCCTATCTAACGTTGAACTAGCCATCTAATTTCTTAGCCTGTGATTCACCTAGCGTTTAGGTGCTAGAACGCTGTTTATATTATCCATATACCACTAGTAGACACACTCGATTTCACTGCCGTCTTTAGCAACTGTCAACATTTGCTAAGACAGAAACATCGGGAATAAAAGAAAAAGAACAGGAAAAAGAAGTGGTGGGCGAACTAAGTACATCTAAAAACTTATCGCGACCGTTTCCCCGGCTTGCCTAAAGCCGTAATCGCGGCCCGTCGTCATGATTGGCACATCGATACCAGAGTACATTTTCATCCGTGTATGCATATTCCTAGTGCAGTATACGACGCCGCTGTGCATAGCATGGCTAGCCTTCTTGGCGGCGATGCTCGGCTGGGCCGTACTATCGCATCCCCTTAGCATGACGCTACTAGCCTACTGCGTCCTGGACACTCTGTACGCTATACTCATATACATCCCGCACAATAGGCGGCTAAAGGAGGAAGCAAAGCATCCACCGCCGCTGTCACGCGAGGAGCGTCGCGCTATATTCCAACGCTGCTTCGCAAACGTGCCCGACGCTCGGCGCTATCTCCAGATGTGGTTCCTTGGCGCAGACGAGTCTGAGATACGGAGAGATAACGTACGCGACTTCATTCTCTGGGCCTTCTTCGACAGATGGCCTGGCAAGGAGACCGAGGAGGAGGATGCGGAACTCGACGAGTATGTAGACGCAATCGAGGAGCTGCTGGGTCGGAGATTAGAACCGGGCAGAGGAAAGGCCGAGGGTCTCCGACTGACGTTGGACGAGGTGGAAACCCGATATAGAAGTATTGTGTGGTATTTGGTCGTGGGCGTGGTCGACTTTGTGTCGCATTGCCAATTAGTGCGGAGCGGGTTTCATCATCACGCGCAGTCGCCGTCTAGAATCTTCTCCGTCATCCCTCCGCGCCTACAAGACTTATTCACTCGTAGATACTCCGAGTCAGAAGAGTTAAGTTACTGGTACCGCCCCCATACCGCCACCGGTAAGCTTCCTGTTGTGTTCCTTCACGGCATCGGCATCGGCCTCTACACGTATGTGCCGTTCCTTGCCCAGCTCAATTCGGAGTCGGGGGAACAAGATGTGCAGGGTCAGATTGGCATTGTCGCGATCGAGATCCTCCCGATTTCATTCCGACTCACGAAGGAGCCACTAAGGAGGCCCGATTTCCTAAGGCAGATTGCTACGATCTTGGATGCGCACGGGTGGGACAGGTTTGTGTTGGTGTCCCATTCGTACGGCAGCGCCTTGGCAACCCACATGTTGCGCTCGGAAGACCTAGCCGACAGGATTTCCTCAGCAGTACTCATTGATCCTGTGACTATCTTATTGCATCTGCCCGATGTAGCATACAATTTCACTAGACGCAGACCCAGGGAGGCCAACGAGTGGCAGCTATGGTATTTTGCGAGCATGGATCCTGGCGTCGCTCACTGTCTGGGCCGCCATTTCTTCTGGAAGGATAATATTGTGTGGAAGGAAGAGCTAGTGGGAGCGGCGAGGGGATTATCTGCGGAAGCGGTTGGTGTGGACGATCAGGGGACCCGGGCTACTGCGAGACCGCTGCGAAAGGTGGCAGTTTGTCTCGCGGAACGAGATTTGATCGTTGATACTTTGATGGTTGCCCAATATTTGGGTGCCGACAGTGATGGATGGGTTGTCCCTAGCCAGACAAATGGAAGGGATGCCAGTTCTAAGGGGTGGTCCATGGGGCAGTCCATGGGGCAGGATAGATGGGGTAATGGTTATCTCACGCGCGACGGGGTTGAGTTGCTCTGGTTCTGGGGATTGGACCACGCTCAAGTATTTGATACCAAGGAGAACCGGGACAGACTTTGTGGCGTCATACGCCGTTACTGCACAGAATAGATGTACACCCCCTGGCAACGCCGCGATTGTCCTGTTTACTGGATGTCGAGAACTGCGTAATCAAATGCCACCACCCTCCTGGCGCTTGGACATACGCACCTGGATGTGCAGAATTTACAGTATGTGAATGCCACTTTATTCCCGGCGGCATCAATCAATTGCATCTGCCTTTGCTTCGTCGCCTCCCCAGCCCGTCAGGTAGACCACTACAGGTTCAGGGCCGCTTCGAATCAGGATCCAGACAACATTCTCATTAGTTTCGTTGATTTCCTGGTGCTCTGTCCATGGCGGAACAAATGCAAAGTCGCCCGGGGACAGTTCGTGCCTCTTAGGCTCTTCGTCAGCGCCGGAGCTGGTCACCAATCTATTACCTGTCAGCATCCCCCCTAGAAAATCCTAGGCGTCGTAGCCTATCACTAAAGAGCAAATGAACCACATAGGGTGACACAAGAATCACTCGGGGATTATGACATACTGTGGATAAGTTAGCTTCAGTGGTATTGATGTGATAGCGGCTATCTAGGTATAAAGACCAAGGGATGACTTGATGCTTTCACACCAAAACTGCTCCTTTACGTACCATGCCCTTGCCTGAGGCAGCATAAATGATGGTCTCTTGTTCAATGTTAGACACACAGAACCTTGGTGTAATCGAAGTAGGAACAAGACCGACCTTGTTCACCATGATGATGTACTGCCGAGGAACAGTGCGGTTTGGCTATGAGGACTAGCGACGCTGTTACTAACACGAATCTGACATAAGGTCAGGGACCCTCCATCTGCAATTGGGAACCAACGCCTCGGTCAAGACCTGGCGGGGACTCGGCAACGTTTGGTGACATTGCGCCTGTGCTTAAACGCAAGGAGTATGCATAGGGGGTTGGTTTTGGAGATGAACTGATAAGGTGGCTTACCACTTGCACACATCCTATCACTTTTGCCGATCACGGCTCCTTGACGGATCATTGCCGCATCCTTCCCGTCCCTTTGAGCCTCAAGATCGGAAGCCTTTGTGATTTGTACTTCGGAAGGCATGATCATCGGAAGTAAATCCGGGAGTAGAGAGAAGAAGCCAGACATAATTCCTATAAAAGTTGGAGTGAAGCACATATAGCGTAGCACTGGAATTAGATGTTCTATGACGGGCTTGGAAAGTGAGGAGAGGAGATCGAAGATTGTCGACAGCTGATTGGCAAGGCTTCGGTAGACAAAAATAGATACCCAGGTAAGTAAAATCCAGGACTATAGGTGATTGATAATGAGTTAATTCGGAAATTATATGAAATTACTTAATATTAGGTGAAGATGGAGTTATGTTAAGAGGTTTTATCCAACTTCTATTGAGAGGTGTTGGGTTGACTTTAGCAGTTTCCATGATTCCGCCCTGTCAATCGACCCAAGGAACGCCTCCTGCCTCTAGTGCGGAAACAACGTATATTATGTGGTCTGTGCACACCCATTGGTTTAGAATAGTGGACCACGTATGTAGACTAGTCTCTCCACTTGGTAAACATTTCTGGTAAACATTAATACCTACCTAGTACATGTAGCTGTTTAGTACCTAAAGTTTACACCTGAGCAACACGATGACTGCCTCGGTATTGGACACATGTTCCTCTATAGTTACTATGTATATAGTATATATGTCAATAATAACCTAAATACCCGTGACGTGCATCAATGATATATGTAGGTACGGACCTACTAGGTCGATAGGCGGACAGGTAGGTATTTCGTGGAGACACGACATATAAATCATATTCTGTCTCTTAGGGGTCTGTGGATATTGCGACAATGCCAACAAAATCATTACACGTGTGTATAATCGATACCTACTACCTAGGTAGGTACCTATCTAGACATGCGTGCTTTAGCAGCCACGAGGTACCTATTTGATGTAAGTTGACCGGACAGCTTATGCCTGCATACGGCCGCATACGCCACTATGCCACTGCAAGGTTTTCCGCATATACAATGAGAATGGCCGAGGAGCCTTCATTTTGCTTGCGTATTTACCTACCTAGGTACCTAGGCATGAAGAGGGTTTCCATCGGGTGATCATTTCAACGGAGTATTTCATCTAATGGGGTGAGCATCGATGCGTAAATATGAAAAGACTGCTTCTAGAATCAGTGGTGCCTATATGGGAGTAAAAGTTGTCGTTCTGGCCAACTGGCCTTAAGACTCTACCTCGTTATACTTACTTTATAAGCTGAGGGTGAAATTATTTGACTTCTATCCTTGAATACATCATTTTTACAGCCTTACTTCTCTAATCTTGATGTAATTCGTTGGAAAGAGAGGAGCCTCTGGATTCTGAAAAGGAAAAAAAAAGGATATAGAAATCAGCCTTGAACTAATGCCGCAAATAGGTGGGGCGGTCACTTAAGGATCATGATCAGTTCCGTGGTGTTGGGCTTGAGTCTAACTAGGTCCTAGAGATATTGTTATGAAGACAGCTATGCGCCAGGTATATAACTGTGTTGTGGTTTCTCGATTCTTGGCGTGGCTAGGGGATTTTAGGTCCGCCGAGCGGTGGAAAGCGGCGGAAAGGCGGAACGATCTCAGTTTGCTTCATGTGCATGGGACAACACAGGGAGGTTAACCCTTATACAGTCCTTAGCCGTCCTAGTAATCAGGTAGGCTAGAAGAGGAAGCTCAAAAGCTGCGCGGGTCATGACAGAAATAGCAGCGGCTCTCCAAATCTGGAACCCCAATGATAAATACCCTGAAGAATACCCCGTTTTCGATGTTGAATGACTGCCGAAGGCATCACGGGAGCTGGTTCCCGTTGGCGAATTGAAGTTCTGACCTTTGTTGGCATTGCTGATAACGGATTGAGTCGCATTCGCGACCGTACCGGGTCAAGATGCGCAGGGGATCTGAAGCTCCGAGATGCGCAGATGACCAAGCGTTGTGCCGCCAAAATGCCAAGCATGGTGCCTCAGTGCGCCAGGTGAGAGCCTGGTATGTGAGGTCTTACCTCGTCGGAAACATTCCCAGCATCGGTGATGGTAATGTTCTAGCCTTAGTAAATATAGCACACACGCCAAGAAACAATGCCGATCGTAAATGGTTTGTGTCGTATAAACCAAACATCCAACAATCTAACATGGCTATAAAAGGATAGGTGAGTAGCCACGATAGACCCTGGGCTTTAACACAATAGATCTGTAGCCAAGAGCCAAGCTGCTTGGACTTACATGGGCATATCGAGAAATATAGACGGCTAAAATTTGTGTGTGGACATAGTATCCTCATAGCAATCCCAATAGATAACCAGAAGGGAAGGCGGTTATTTAGGGGAGTGCCATCTTATAACTCTACCAGGTAGCGCGAGTCTTGTGATTGGCTTGACCGTGCCGTCCGAGCAAACGAAGGGTGATTCTTTCGGCTCTTCTTCTTCTTCTTCTTCTTCTTCTCCTCCTTTCTTCCAGAACAGTGCGTCGATCTTAGGAATATTGACGAGTAGATAAATCTACTTCTAGGTGAATACAACAACATCGAAGTTGTAACTTTGAATTTTTCTCGTCGGTAAATCCGGGATCGTTGCATCTCTAGGTGTAGCATACCGGATTGGATCTGTAGTCCGAGAATGGCCGGTTCCTTTCTTGAGACCCCTGGCCTTTTCCCATGACAGGAATGGGCAGCCGTTCCAATGGGGGCCAGGGCATAGTCAGATCGGGTATGCTGCAATGTGAGATATCGACGAAGCGACGTTGTGTATTGGTGGGCAGACGTCGGCGGCGGCGCAGGGTTAACGAACTGTACCGGTGGTCTGGAGGACTAGCCATATCTTGAAGTTGCAGCCGAGCATGAAGGATAGAATTGTGTGGTGTGATAGGGCCATCAACTGTGATACGCTGTAGGATTCACTTCGTCACAAGTGTCCTCCGGCTCGGTTTGAAGCATCGATGCTGTAGCTTCTGCCGTCATGGTGATTTGATATACTGGGTACATGCAGGTAGCCCTGGAGGTGAGTACAGGTACTGAGTTAGGGATTAAAAACGAAGGAGATGAAGATAAAGAACTTCATAGAGTAGATACTTAAAATAGGTACCTAACCAATTAGGGAAGATGCGAAGAGTGGAGGAACATCGAAGAGCGGAGGACAGGTTAAGGTTACCTACTACTAGGTACTGGGTACGAAGGGACCGAATTCCAAGGTTGTCAAGCAGTCAAGGCAGCCGAGATTGGGACACCTGGAGTTGCTAGGGTGAAGCCTTAAGATTTGCGGCTATAGCGTCTATAATCCCTTGTAACGGCAGCGGCTAGGAGCCTGTTGTATAAACCTGGAAGCCTAGAAGCCTAGAGTTAGGACCTTCCCGTCCCAACCCGGTGGGCCAGATGTGCCAGATGTGGCAACAGCTAACCTGCCAACAAAGGCAGCAAAGGGTCCAAGGAAACAGCAAGGATGTACTAAAAATCCACCTAGAACCGGCTCGGCTCCGACTCCTTCAAATTTATTCTCCATTTTCTAAACAACTTCCTTGCACCTACGCGAAGCTTGCTTGAAATGGCTGATGATATGAGTACGGTCGGCGCTATTGCATGGAGAAATACTTGACAACTTTGACTACCTGACTACTTGGTATGGTAGCTACTAGGTAGCCAAAGCACCTACCAAATGTTGATGAGCTAATAAACCGAATCCCAATCTTCTTGAGTTCTCGAGTCTTTAAAACAAGTTAGGACCTACCGAGGACAGTACCAGGGAGAGAGCCTAGCCCTGGACCGCCATCAGTCAAATCAATGATTTCGCCAATTCCAAATCCCGCTATTGGTCGCCACCGATTTTTTGTGCCCACTTTCCATACGGGCGAGCTGTTGCATCTACGTTGGGTCTGAAACTGAAATACCTGACCTACCGTCATTATGAGAATGAAATATCCCTCCTCCTTGTTCTTAGCTATTAAATGACGCCTAACCTGCCAGCTGCCTGCAACCTACTACCTCCAAGGCTGCTGACCTACACCAAACTCTACCGTCACTAGGACTTAATATTGCCACCATCGAAAACCGGTCGCCAGGGGGTTATCAATTTTTTGGCTAAGATTATTAGCGATCTGGATCTCGTTAAATCTGTCCTCTCCGCGACCGACTCTGGGCTTCCCCCCTCCCAGCTCTCCACCACGTGGCTGTGACCCTTGTCAATTGGATCCTTCAAAGCCACCGAACATATCGCTTGTGTGACTGTGCTCGGGGTCCCGCCACGGACATAGAAGATGGATGAGGAAGGGCGAGGGAGAATTTGGCATACAAAATTTGCCATCACTGATTCATCCGACGACTCTAGTTCCGGAGTTGAGACAACACGAGATGATGAGGCATCTACATCTATATCTGAATTAGGATCAGGATCGGGATCGGGTTCTGGTTCAAAAACCGGCACTATAAATGTTCACAACCCGGCTGTCAGTTACGGAAGAATAGATCCTGAAATTGAAGAAAATGTCCTTCTTGTCAAATCTGTCCCCGCCCATGATTTGCGGTGGGATGACACGGATCACCGCCACAACCTACTCGACCCCAACTTAGACGACGACGACCCCAGCACCCTAGGAAAGCAACGCATTACAAGCGCATCAACAAGCCGAGGTTCGTGGATTCATGCCTCTATCCCGCATACCGTAGCTACGTCTTGCCTGGCTTCGTTAATACGGGAGCCCCGGATTCCAAGTTTCTCCTGACTGACCGATCAATTCTAGACTCGAGCCCTGCTAAATCATTTTCGAGTTGTCCTTCTGAGAGAACCCCTCTCCTCGATCTTCCCTCCGAGTTAATCGATGCGATACTTTCCTGGCTGACTCCTTTGGAGCTCGCCGCGGTCTCCCTCGTCTGCCGCGTATTGCGCAGCCATGCGAATTCCGATTCACAATGGAAACGACATGTTTTGTTGAATCTCCCCGGCAATCGCATCACTACACCTTACCCATGTAAAAGCTGGCGCGAGCTTTATATATCACACGATCCATACTGGTTTTTAACCAAGCAAAAATTGTGGTTTTGCGATCGTGAATTGACGGGTCAGATGATTGTCGTCCGTTACGATGAGCGACGAGGATGTATCGAAGGATATCAACTAGTTTCCACGCGGAATAAAGAAGGTAGCGAGCCGTGGCTTGCCGACCAAGACGTCCACATTCATCACTTCGAGCCATCAGTCAAATTGCATCTCGACAAACCTATCCTGCAGCTTAATGCTGACAGCCTCGAAAATATAGTCCGCGGTAAATCGTCGCTAGCTTTCCGGCATTTCTATTCGGAGCAGCCAATGCGGATAAAAAACGGGACAGACCCTCGGTTTACTAACTTTCTACTCGCAAAACCACTTAACAAACAGGCCCTGGCCGGTCGGATGGGGAATGAGTTTCCTCATGGTTACGTTTGGCCTCCCCCTGCAATTCCAGCACGGCATCGCGTCACGGGTCAGCCTGCAGGAGTCCATCCTCTCGCAACATCCATAAACTACACAAGATCAACCTCAGCTATGTGGCAGCCCCACAACCGCTCAGAGGCGTCTGATCAAATTTTTCGTATCCGGCAGTGGATGGAAATGGGACCACCGACTCTCGGTGTGCATTTTGCGGAAGAAGTAGTCACTTACTCAACTCTGGATCCCGTCCTCTATACACCGACAGCAGAGAGGCCTTGGAGAGGAATATGGGTTGGAGACTATAGCGGACACGGTTGCGAGTTCTTACTGATTAATCAACCCGATTATGACGATGGGGACAATGACCCGCTAGCGCAGCTTGAAAGTGAAACGGAAGAGGAGTTCCAGGAGCGTTTCTTGCACGAGCGTGTTTATCGTGGTCGGTTGGAAGCGATAAAGCTAACGGGCGATGCCAATGTGCCGAGGGGTGAATACACTTTCGTCGCTGATGATCTTGGTGAGGATGGCTTTATTGGTACGGCTCGGGAACCACCATTTGAGGGGTCTCGAGTAGTGAAGAGCAAGGGCCATATAGCCCATATGGGGTTCTATAATGGTGAGATACTCTCGGAACTATACCACTCAGAGTCATTATTCTTAACTAATTCGTCTATAGACAGATATATCGAATCTCAGCTCCTCCTATTATCGCATAATCGCCTAGCTCAATATTGGGTTGGTTTTGGTCACATTAGCTTCTTCGAGAGGGTCGATATCGACCAATTCCTCGTGCCCCAATAGTAGCCAATTTTATCTTTAGCATATCAGATATATATTATTTTAAGTAAATAGAACCAGTGGAACAAGCCTTACAATCTCGGAGAAGCTTCACTTTTTCTTTAAGTCTACATATATATATATATGTACCCAGGTACTTCCAGTTTTAATCACATGCAATTACAGCAAAGTACAAAGTACAAACTACTTGGTATGTAATTAATACCCAGGCTGCCAGGTGCCTATACCTCTAACAGGGAGTTTCGTCTCCATTAAATAAGGTATGGTCCGTGCAGAGAACCCTAGCCGCCAACCTGCCGGCTAGCGACGTCATCCGCAATCATCCAACCAGCCAACGTACACCTCTCCCAGGATGGTATTTGTAACAACTGGGGCTTTTGCTCCACTAGACTCCACCAGTATCTTGCTATTGACATTTATATGTAAAGATACCTCTTTTCATAAGGCTGTTGTTCATTATTACTTACATAGATGTATAAAGCCTCATATCTTGTAGCCTTACGTACATTTTCTATGGCTCAGTACATCTCCACTAGTGGAGTAAAAAGCCCCAGTTATTACAAATACCATCCTTGCAGAGGTGTACAAATTTTGAAACCTAATAAGCCTCGAATATTTTCAAGTTCTTTTCACAAAGAACTATTAGTCTTTTGATCCTCTGTAATATTTTTTTCTCTTCCTCTACGCTTTTCTTAAGCTACACTTTATGATTACTTGTTTTGTTTTTGTCTTTTCATTATTCCCTCATGGAATTATTCCCCATTCAGCTAAGCACACCTCTCACTCGTTTATTTCCCCCTAACTAAATCGTGTTTTATTGGCTTGATATATGCTATCGGCGCTCCGTGGATATATTGGAGCTGCTCAGCGGTGGATCTATCAGTCCGATTCGAACACTTGCATAATCAATCCCGTCCTCGGGCACTACTCGCTACGGTGGTTGTAGTGATAGTGACCTATAAACCACAGTCTCATACACGACATGGCGGACAAATATATCATCCGGGTAACAGCTGGATCGGACTATGATCTGGATCGTCATATTGTAGTCCCAGTCAACTCACACGAGCCAATCAAAATTAGCAGTGATCTAATAGACGCCGAGCTTAACGTTCGCGTGCAAAACTACCATGGATTGCCGAGAAATTCGCCAAACACCTCACCATACTTCTCCCAAGAGCCTCATGCTACCAACAAAGATCAGTACAGCATAGCCATTCGTTTCACACCAAAGAAGCCTGCTACAAACACCAAATCTAAGGTGTCTTCTACCGAACCGTCCAGATCGTCATCGACATCTAGGTCGTCGCAGGATCCCTTATCTTCTGGGTCATCATCAACCGAACCTACCGAGGAGTCTTCTGATGAAGAATCAGCATCCGGAATCTCGGGAGAAGATCTACAATTTGGCAATGATTTTGACCATCCCATTCGTGATCGCCTTCCACCCGGCTTTAGCTATGCCATGAATATCGTGAAGTGGTGGATTGATCCTGGTCTCGAAGGGGATGCATATGCCGATCAGCCATATCTATATGGATCCGCTCTATCATCCTTCAATGCCATCCATGTGGGGCCAGGAGAAGTTAATCCGGAAAAGGGGGGGCTGTGGTTTGAGGAAGGCGGCGACGAAGACGGATTGAAAGGACGACAAGACGTCGGTGCCCCAGGGACAGCGAAGGACCGAATGAAATGGGCGCTAAAACCTTTCAATAAAAGTAGATGGGTTTTCCAGTATGGAAATACCTACTGTCTCGATTTCTTCAATCCGTACCTGGACTTCAACGAGTTCAGTTTGCGTTTGCCAGGATTTACCTTGCCGATCATGAAATACTGGGATGGCCAGAGCTTGAGGTAAGGCTCATAACCTCTTATCACATTTCCTTTATTATTACCATGTCTCTTTGGATTTGCCCTTTCTCATTGCGTCGCTTGTTTACATTTAGGTCCAGCCCGAAGCGCTCACACACCCTTAGGTACGTGCTACGAAATCGTTCGACCGATCAATCGTACCTAGTCATCGTTTTCACGCTATATCTTAAGGAAGACGTGAACGAAGATGGCTCGCTCAAGCCAGCCGCCATTGAAGCAACCAACAAAGGTAAGGCGATGACCGAGGAATCAGTAAATGTCGTGGAGGAGGCTGGCGAGGTATGCAAGGACGAGGATTACCGGGAATCCCGAAAACAATTCGAAAAGCTCGATGTTAACGAGAGAATTAGAAAACCAGCAGCCCAGGACGATGCCGTGGACTAGAGAGTGAGTGAACATCAAGGAATCTATGGATACATTGATTGCTTGGCAAGGCAGACTAGGGAAAGTATTGAATTATTAGAATACCTACCTAGGATATATAATTCTACTCGAAATACTTAGTATCTGAGAACGTAGGGAATCAGTCGCCATGGAATATGATATTCAAAATTTCTTCGTGAAACTTGAATCGGGGTCTGATTCTACCTATTACATACTAGGTACTCCAAGGCCATGGGTTTGTACTTACCCTACCCAGTACCTACTAGGTACATCGTAAGCCCAACGAAACTCGGTTTTCTGTCGGGGAGCTACCTACATAGGTAGTATTCAAAGTTAGATCAATTCAGTAAGACAGGCCGACTACCGAGTTCACGTTCGGTAGTCGGATAAGTAGACCCACACGACTTGCACTGATGCTGAACATATTGATGAATGATGTTGCCAGAACAATGTCAATTACTTGGTAGTTATTAGATATATTCCTCTATTGTGCCCCTAACCCGGCTATCCATACATCCAAAAGAAGGGTCGTACCTGGGTTAACCGGATGTAATAGATAGCTTGCACAGTCGCATGGTCCGATCGAGGGAGGTGGCCTCTTCCCCCCTCGTATAATGGACCTTTGAAGTTTGAACCCAATATTTATTATATACTTAGTTACCAGAATAACAAGAACTTTTTACTTTTCTTCTCCTATTAACCTCTTCCTAAGAATACCTACCTAGCCCCACCGAACAAAAGATTGCCCTTGAAGGTGAACATGAGTGGTATCATGGATTCTAAAAGACCCAATATCATTTTCATCATGGCCGATGATCATGCTTCTAAAGCAATAAGTTGCTATGGAGCTGGTATCAACCATACTCCAAATATTGACAGACTAGCTTCTGAGGGCATGAAATTCAACCATTGTTATGTGACGAACTCGATTTGTACGCCCTCACGTGCGGCCATCCTAACGGGCACGCACAACCACGTCAATGGGGTGATGACCCTGAATGATAACATCAACAAGCACTTGCCTAATGTCGCTAAGCACCTCCGGACCGGGGGCTACAGGACTGGTATGGTCGGAAAATGGCACATGGGAGAAGGTCCAGCACATGAACCTACCGGGTTTGACTACTGGTCTGTCCTACCCGGCCAAGGAGACTACTGGGATCCTGAATTCATCGAGCCTCAAGGCGAGAATATCGAATCGGGGTACGTAACAGACATCATAACAGATAAATGTCTGAACTTCATAACCGAGACTCGCAATGCCGATAAACCTTTCTTCGTTATGTGTCACCACAAGGCCCCCCACCGGTCTTGGGAATGCGATGATAAGCACAAACATTTATATGCCGATACACCGATTCGGGTGCCGGAAACGTTCACAGACGACTATAAGAATCGGGCCAAGGCGGCGAAAGTGGCTAAGATGCGCGTCGCAGAGGATCTGACATATCAAGATCTTGGGCTTGTGCAGCCGGATGGCGGAAGCCGTGTGGGCGAACGAGTAGTCCAAGAGTCTGGCTCGAGCCAACGGAAGATTCCAGTTGATGTGACAAGGTTGATTGATAAAGACGACGGCGCCATTTTTACGTTTAACAGCAAGGGCGAGCTGGCCGAGTTCAAATTTCAGCGCTACATGCAGCGATATCTTCGCGTTATCCAATCAGTCGATGATAACGTCGGGCGGATGCTAGATTATCTCGATCGGAACGGGCTTGCGGACAACACTATCGTCATATACACATCGGATCAAGGATTTTTCCTAGGAGAGCACGGTTGGTTTGATAAGCGTTTTATGTACGAAGAATCTTTCCAGATGCCATTCTTGATCAAGTATCCCGCCGAAATTGCCAAGGGATCCGTATGTGATGACATCATCTGTAATGTCGATTTCGCGCCGACGTGGCTTGATTTCGCTCAACTCCCGATGCCCAACTATATGCAGGGAGTGTCATTCCGCTCGCTGCTGCGAGGAGAGACACCGACAGACTGGCAACAGGTCGCGTACCACCGTTACTGGATGCACAACGACATCATCCACGAGGCGAGAGCGCACTACGGTGTGCGCGATCAAAGATATAAATTAATCTATTGGTATAACGAGCATCTGGGGGTGGCTGGAGCAAGACCCGGGGCAGAAAATGAGAAGGAATGGGAGCTATTCGACTGCGAACGCGACCCTCTGGAGTTATTCAACGTTTACAATGAACCGGAGTATGAGCAGGTCATCAAGGATATGACGCGCATGCTAGAGAGGAAGATGCAAGAAATTGGTGATGAGCCGGTTCACCCGACAAACAGGTTATAGATGATGGATGAGAGAAGATGAAGTGAGGATCGGCAAATCGGCATATTGTTTAACCTATGTAGGTATTATGTAACGATATAAGATTTGTTATGAAGGTAAAATGGAAGTTATCATAGTTATCATACTACCGAGGCATTATTCATCAAGACGCTATGCACTTATAAAGTTTCTTCCCCGCGAAGACGATGGGCAATGGGTCCACAATTTGTCTCTTATTCGTCGCTTTCTTAATGAGCAACATATATCAAGTTTTCAACTCCCCTAGGCTTCAATTCCTATATCTACCTATATACTCGTTATTCCTAAACAATCTGGATGTTCTTAAGATTCTGTTAAGCTGCTATCAAGTTATGGGTTAGAGACCAGATAGTTTACCTTAAGACTTAAGTACATACATATCATGGCTGCCTTCTCTGTATTGGAAGGCTAGCACCTGGGAGCGTTAGTAGTCACTCGTGAGTAGCGGCTAGAACTTCATATTCGGGAAGAAAGAGAAGCAGAACCAACATCACAATGGAAACTCATGTCGCTTGCTTCAACGCAACAGGTTCGTCTTTTATTCCCGGAACTTGCGCACAGTGCCGGCATCGTAAGGTAAGATATTGTCGCCAGTAGCCACACAGAACTTACCTCTCCCCGGACCGCTCACATAAGAACCATATAACAGGTCAAATGCGATAAACGACCGGGAAATTGCGCAAATTGTGAACGTCTCGGGTTAGATTGTTCCTTTGCTTCAACGTCCATTGCGCTGAGCGTCCCGCGGAGATTGCGAGGTGTGCGAGCTTGCGCAACCTGCCGTGAATCCAAGATAAAGTGTTCAGGTACAACGCCACGATGCTCCAACTGTAAACGCCGAGGGCGTACATGCGTCTATCCGACGCCTAAGCGACCGACTTTGGATTTAGTCTCCTCTACATCACCTGTTGAAGAAGATGAGGAGGCGGGTACAGTTACTATATTAGAAGGCATGCTAAGCCTTGTCGATATTTTCTTCGAGAAGATCTATCCTATGCCGTCATTTGCATTTTTGCATCCCGCATCGACCAAGAGACGATGTAGGGACGGCGCGCAGAATAAGGTACTGGTTCTAGCTATTAGCGCGATGACTTCCCTCTACACATCACAGAACTTGGAAGAAGCGTCTATCTGGATCGAGGAATCTGAGCAATATATTTGGCAGCATATCGAATCCCCCACAATACCACGCTTACAAGCCCTTCTTCTAATTATACATTACCGTATGGAAACCAGCCGCTTCCAGAGAGCCTTTATGCTTATAGCCATTGCGGCTCGCTCTGCTGCAGCCATGCGCCTGAACCACGAGCGACAGGATCTCGATCCCATCGCCAAGGAGGTGCGCCGGCGGATCGTGTGGTCGCTGAAAATCACAGAAAGATACTTCTCCGTTGGACTTCCAGAATTTGAGCTTTGCCCTTTCGAGAGTATATACCTCCAACTACCAAGTTCGGAGGAAGAATTCAGTGGCGTTGATCAGCCTGGGGATCACGGGTCATACAGTCTTCACGTAAGATTAGAGAATGTCCGGAGGGATATCATGAAATTAACAAGGGCCATAACACTCTGCGAACAACCCTATCCTTTGTTACCTAAGCTCCTCCGAGATTTTAGGCAAGGTCTGGCTGAGGTCGGCTCGGTGATGCTGGACGGTACCGAGTTATCACCTCATCAGATTGCTGAATTGTTAGGAAACCCTTGGCTACCCCGAAGAGTCCTAGCCATTGTTTCATGGCACCAGTGCCACTGCGATTTATATCGTATATTATTAAATGGGTATCCTGAAGCTGCCCCTGCTGTAGTGCTTCGCGCTATCGGCTCTGATGATATAACGGCAGCAGAGCGATGTTGCCTAAAACATTCCATGTCAATTGTTGATATTTTAACCAACCTCAATCAACAGAGCACGGACTGTCATTTACTGGAATTTGATGTAGCTATTTGCGCGTATCACGCCGCACGTCTCCTCCTTTTCATCTCGCGCTTTGGTACAATTAGAGACCGTCCTAGCCCAGAATTCGCTACCAGCAGAGTCGATTTATGTCTAATCGCATTGAAACGATTCTACGGCTCTTCGGTGCTCGTCCGACCAATAATTGAGGAAATGGAACGTTCTGTTAAGACATTTTCTCAACAAGGCCACTCCTCTGTTTCCCCACCATCTAATGCCAACGCTGAGCCCTCCGGAGACTCCGAAGACCAACTTTCATCGGTTGCGAAAACCCGACAACGACTTGCAATTCACAGCCTCCTGAGGCAGGCAGATTTTTCAGACGGGGAAGAGAACGATAGAGAGACAGAAACGGCTCGGCAGAAGAGTCTAAAGGATTCAGAGACATCATTTGATGAACAAGTTTCCTCAGACAAAGACAAGCACCTCTCCACGCAAACCAAATCATTAGCCATGCAAGATCGAGAACCCTTACCTTCAGAATATAACATTGAAGACTATTCGGGAAACAGTTCAAATCAGGCAGCTCAATTTTATGGCGACTCGGCCCCCAGCCCATCCATGTCGGACCAAACAGAGAGTCTTCAATTCCCATTTTCCTTGTGGTTTGGGCAATATGACAATGATTGGCTTCAAAACCCCTTTCCGTGACGAGAAGAAGGGACTACACCCAATATGCTAGTATGGAGCATCCTTCATCAACCCAACACGCTTGGATCAAATTTCGGAAATGCGATTTATATACAGTTTTTTTCCTCGCCAGCATTCAATAATTTTGGGTCATTAACGCCTCATTGATATTAGTCGTTGGCCGTAAGTCGGCCTACGCCACTATTATTCAGCTTCTATCTACTATGATATTGTCACATTGAATCGATGTAAGTCTTCGGTCCTAGAACTACTTCCAATCCAAAAAGTGTAGTTCCCAGAGTCCACATTCCATATTCCATCGATGTAATATCCAAGCTCGTTGTGCGGTACTACCAACTTAATATCCTTGGATTCACCTGGAGCTAGGTCTATTTTGACAAAACGGACAAGTTTCATAACCGGGAATTCAATCACGCTGTACTCGGGTCGATAGTACAATTGCACCACTTCCTTGCCTGCCACTTTTCCGGTATTTTTCACGCTTACGCTCACTGATACGTCTCCCCCATATGAAACCGCACTCGGAGTGACCGGCGACGAAATGTTAAACGTCGTATAGCTCAACCCAAATCCGAACCTTAAGGGTGCGTATCGAGCTACTTGCGGCCACTGCCAGTCGTATAATGTAGCAGTACCGAACCCTCCTTGATCATCAGATGGCAAATAATCGTACGCAGCAGGAAATGCGCCGTTGGCCTGGGGCATCGTCACTGTCAGCTTTCCGCTAGGATTCGTATCGCCGAATAAAATCTCGACGAGTGCGTCGCCAGTGAACTCGCCAGATAACCAGGAGTGGATAATAGCAGCGGATCGCATCGTTGATTCATTAAGAACGAATGTCTGTCCACCGCTCATAACTAGTATCGTAGGGACACCAGTGTCTAGTACGGCATCTAATAGCTGTTGTTGGAGCCCTGGGAATCCTAACTCTGCATGCGCGAACCCCTCACCATCCGTGCGACGGTTATTTATCTCGGTTGCATCAAATGTGCCATATCCTGAACCGAGAACCACGACAGCAAACCCAGCTTCCCTAGCAACTGCCATGGCTGCATCGATGCCTGAGCTATCGTTCGAAGGAAGCGCATCGACACCGTGAGCGTAGAGCACATTCTCATCCCCAAGTTCCTTTGAGAGACTACGGCGCAACGAGTCGCCGTAAGCAGGATCAGTGGCGTTGCAAGCCGCGTACATGCCGGCGTTTATCATGTCTGCGTACGCACCCACAACTGCGATCTTGCCTATGTTATTCCTCTGCAGAGGCAAGATGCCATCATTCTTTAGGAGTACGACAGATTCCCGGGAAATATTTCGATTTATTTCCAAGTGGTCCTCATTTCTCAGCGTGTTCGCCATTTTCTCAACCGACGGTAGCGAGTTATCAAATACACCGGTTGCGAATTTAATCACAAGCAGAGCTAAGACGGACTTGTCAATTAGATTGGCGATTTCGGTGTTGTTGAATTCGTTAATCAGAGTCGTGTATAGGCCTGCTCCATCAGGAGATAGTTCGTGTTCTAGTCCCGCGCGAAGGGCCTTCAGAGCAGCGTCTTCACGAGATTTTGCGACTTTCGATTCTGTCGTAGTATATTGTATGGAACTTGCGTCTGACATGACTAGTCCCTCGAATCCAAGGTTGTATCTTAGTATGTCCTGAATCATGTGCCTATTGATAGACATAGGTACACGATCTACTGACGCGTAGGATACCATCAACGATAGGGGTTCGGCTTCCTTGATAACTTTAATGTACGGGGCTGCGAGATCGTTCATGATATGGTTTATGCCTCCGGACATGCTCGCTCGGTTAACACCGCCATTACCGCGCCCGTAAACCCAGTGCTTAACTGTTGTCGCGATCTTGACGAAGCCGTTATCATCCTTCGCCTGCATGGTCTGAACGTGCTTCGTGCCAAATTGTGAGATGAGATAAGTGTCCTCTCCAAACCTAACCATAGTTAGCTGATTTTCACTTGGATCTTATGATGACTCCTAAAGGCTCACATCTCGCCATTTCGACCATTTCTAGGGTCGTAGGCGATATCGAGTTCCGGAGAAAGAACCCAGTTAACGCCAAGCGCATGGTTCTCGTCTCGGATAGCGGCGATGACTCGCTCGTAAAGATCCAGGTTCCATGACGAGGCCATAGAAATAGCACCAGGGAACAATGTACCGCCAGACACCCATACTGAGTTAATGGAGTCTGTAATTACCACATACGGGATGCCCAGCCTCGTACTGTTGATCTGCTCAGCACGTAGTTCGTTCACGACCGGCAAAACGTCCTTGGCATAGTTGTACTGAGCTCCCAGGCCTATTTTTATTGTTCATTAGATGTTAGTGAGTCATCCGTGCCACTCATCGGGATACATGGCCACTCTTCGCGTACCTATCTGCCCATTCTGAGTCTTGTGAGCAATATCGAAGGCCGTCTTGTTAAGAGTCGCTTGTCCGTTGGTGCGCCCAAGAGTTCGTCGAACACCACCCAGCTGGCCTACCTTTTCTTCCCAGGTCATACGTTGGAGTAGATCTGCCGCTCGTTCCTTGGGCGGGAGGGACGAGTCTAAATATGCTGGGTTATGTTGCCCCGCGCAAACGAGCTTAGAGATACTTGTTATGTCCCACAGTCCGACCAGGAAGGCAGTCAGGGCCGCGACACGGACCATCTTCGCAAATACCACTGGTACTTGAACTGTTCCTAGATAGATAAGTAAGTCGCAAGGTTCAAGGAACAGCAGTCCTTAGGCATATTGCAAAATTCATCCGCCCATCGTCGTCCGGATTTTATATCAAGCGCAACGAGGATTTCAGACGATCGCCTTGCTAGGTTTCGATCGCGCAATACTTGGCCCATGACCGCAGGACGACGTCGTCTACGGAGGGCAAGCATGCTTATGCAGGGACGCACGCGCGACCCATTTGACTAGGCGAATCATATTCCTGCCCAGGACAAGGAAGCTAGTTTGGAGCCAAAGAGTCGGATCGGTAGTCGGTCGGGAGTCTTAGATTGGTAAGGTATGTTCTCCACTAACCTACGTGACGATCAACTCCATCGGGACTTGATAGATCCCCCGTTTTTGAATCTATCGGAAAGAGAGGACGACTGAAATATATGGCTCTCTAAGGCTAAGTCGGATTACTTGGGGCTAAGGTCTGTCCTAGTTATGGGGTTCATATTACCCTCCCAAAAGTACAGGTAATTATATCAATTTATATATCTAGGTAGATAGGTAGGTAGTCTGTCGATTCTTCATCAATTACTTTTTTCTCTTTCTTTTTTAATCTTCTTTCTTGGTGCCGACATTTCAGCCGGGGTTCTCCTTGCCTGACATTGACGATATCGAAGTGGATTGCGATTTTTTAGTCATTGTAGCGGAAGACATTGTGGAGGATTGGTGGAGGCTGAATAGGATTATGTTTTTTGCAAGTGGATTTGGCAGATTTTATAAATATTGTGAGTTTTTCACATCTATTAATGATATTTTCAAGCCTAAAATAAACCTTTGCCGGGTGGGTGGGCGATACCTATTCAGCTAGTTAATTCAAAGTTTCTGGCTTGGGGGATTAGACTTACAGAGGTTTTAGCGCATCATTGTAGGGAGTGCTGACATTTCAGCTGCGCCTTTGTTTGTTAGCAGGTACCTGGTAGGTACTTGTCCGCGCGATCTCCAGGGCTGATTAATTGGAAAACTACTCGCTATAACCATGCACTAAAGTGCTCTATAAGTTAAACCGGTTTACCTCCAGGGCTGTGATTAAATACTGTCGCATCCATATTTATGTGCAAAACTAGGTACGCAAGCACGGAATACGATAGCCTCTATATCAAGAGAATCACCAATAGAGCATGAGGATTGAAAAAAGTCACCATTGGATTTCCACTATGTTCCTTATTATGAGAGTTTAGGTCTCATTAGTCCCACCTAAATAATCGCTTGCGGAAGCCCTGGAGCTTTCGCTTGATATAGGGAGCAGCTTCACACACCATCTTACCATATTACTAACTCAACTCTTACTATCGCCTACGTCATACTAGGTACATGAGTCTTTCCACGTTAAGGGTCTCAGAAATTTTGTCATAGAAAAAGACCGTATAGTCTAGAATATCCTCACATGGCGCGACTTTTTTTTTGTAGTGGCTAAGGCCCCAAGGAGGGCTGAGCTACAGCGAATATCCACTAGAATTTAGAGCAAGCAGCGTGAAAGACTACCTGGTACCTAGAACGAATCACCAATTAGGTCCTAATTTTACATAATCCTATCATCTCTCAAAAGTTGGGTTTTCGCTCCTAATTTAATTGATTCATTGAATATGTTTAACTATAATACCTATTTAATCAGCCTTGGATGCATTTTCCCGAACCTTTCATCAGCGTTACATGATAACACTCGAGGTTAGCGAAGGAGGCGTCCGAGGGATATGGCATTCACTTCAACCACTCCAAACGGCAGGTCCTGGGGGAACATAGGGAGACTCTGCCGATATCGCGCCCAGGTTTACCAGAATGCCCGGATCATTACTCTTGTAGGCTCCGGGTAGTGCAACTAGAGGCCCAGGAGTACCATTACCGCCTCCAGTGACCTTAATCTGCGTGCAAGCGAGGTAGAACTGGGCTCCGTTTGGTCGGTTGGCTAAGTGTAACGCAATTTGCTCTACGCGAAGTAGATAATCGCCGTCAGGGGTCGCGGAGGGAATAGTTGCATTCGTTAACACATACTCGTCTGATTATTCGTTAATTACCATTGTTTTTACCATCGCGGATACATTTGATATATGATGAGAAACACCTACTCTGGGAGGGCCAAGTCATTTGCTTGTTACTGTCGACAGTCGGCGTCGTTGTGTGAATCTTGAACCAGACGTTACCGGAGCCATCCCAGCTGGAAGCACTCTGCCCCTCAGGCACCTTGGCTAAGTAGTATTGAGTAGGACCTGGGTGGTTGACTTGTTGGGTCGAAATGTAATGAATAGTGGCGCCAGCAGGGACGGTGGCTATGTTGGCTGCATTTTGTGAAGAATAGCAGCGAATATCGGCACTGGCCGGGTTCTCGATACCCTGTTTGCTATTGGCATTCTTGGTGGTTCGAGTGGCCCACCAGTCTGCTTCTTCAGATTTGCCGTTGATAACAAGTCTCGGAAATGTATCTAAGATTCTTCAGCAAGATTACTCGGAGGCTAAGTAGAGTCTAAGGTTAGCATACAGTGAGCTTGCACAGCTGTCGCAACAATCAGGATACTCGTAAGAAACTTCATTGTGGTTGTTAAGTTTGGAAAGAGACTAAGGAACCAGAAACGTAGAACCATATCCGGAGTGATACCCGGGTTTATGTGCTTTGGGCTACAGCTTGCGCTCATGCTCATTCATCAAGGCCAATGAAGATACGGAGGTAGTGATGTTAATTTGTTGCAAATTTAGTCCCGTGTTATTCCGCATTGATCGTCTCGGAACATAGAACGGTCTCATCGCAAATAATGTCGTTGTTTTTTCCAACCTATAGACTTCCTTGCGGCTAATATTGGAGCCAAGCTAAGATATATACACACTCTATCCATTTATAGAATATCTCGGCATTCTAGAAAATACATGCGGGGAAATTTTAAGCACTTTTCAAGCGATGATAGCCTCAAGTTAGCAGGTGGGTATGTTTTTTGAGCCCTATTTAGTTCCAGCGAAGGTAAGGTTGTCTAACATATTGCATGTAAATCTACCCACTACCTATTTTAAAATGGGGAGTATAGGTAGGTGTATTCCGTGATGATCAATACCCTTACCTACGAGGTATTTTCTGCTAGGAAATAGAATTAATTTTTAAGAAACCTTATAATTATGAAATATCGATAATACTCATTAATCTAACCCATATGCCACCATTCCGTACCTGATTATCTCGTCCCGAATTCTACAATCCTTCTACAAAACAAGGGTATTACCTACCTAGTTATTAAGATTATATAAACATTTTTAGTTACTAGAACTGGCTTTTGAAGTCTCCTCGTGCTTTCAGCACAGCGCTTTAAGCAGGAAAATGAGCATTGATCAAGACATCCAAATGCTAGCTAATACGCTGACTTTTGATGCAATTCTGATCATGGGAATGGGACCCTTACTTTCCTTAATACCTACTTAGGTAGGTATTGGTATCCTCATGAGCAAAGTACTTCATTTTGTGTGAGACCTTTTATACATGACAAAATATCATCTTAATTATTAACACTTTCCGACTTAATTAAAGCGTAGCACTGGAATAAACGACCAGTATTCAAATTAACCAAGCAATATACGTACTATACACTGGTAGTTGATGTTGAGTACTTCATAATTTTTGATAAGGTATTATAACTAATAATGACCTCGAGGTCAAGAAAACTTTTATTGTTGCAGATTTACACACGGCCTCAAGATTTAAGGCTTTTAGAATTTACAAAAAAGGGGCTAATAGATAATTGACATCTAAGTTGTCAAAAGGTAAACGCCACCAATTTTTAAGTTTTCATCTGTTATCCTAGGAAAGAGTCAGTTTCCATGTACTATGAACGGGTTATCATAGTCTTTCCCGTTACGGTGGTTACTAAACCTTTTTGGTTGTGAAGTTATCAATATTATGCCCATTTCAAAAGCCACGAAGCTCATAAGGCTAGATGTAGCAACTAATATTTACACCAGTAGGTAACAGAACTTGACGCATGCTAATTTGATTTCTCAAATGACATATCATGATGGCGTTGGCGGGCTTCTATAAACCTCAAAGTAAGCCTCATCGTCACTTAAACATCTAATAAATCCAACCCTAAAGCCTTTCAGAACAATGTGTGTAGATATTGAAGTTACCTGTATAAGCACTTCCCTAAATCTTCCCTATATATATCAACTCACCTCTCTTAATATATCGTTCTTTTCTGTGCCAGGTATCTCAGTCTATATCCTCTACAATTTACAGCTTCGTCCAGGTTCCAACAAAAGTCTCACGGCCAAGCTCCGAAGCCTTGGAAGTTGAACTAATTATAAGTCAATTGAGTCCGAAACAAAAAAAAACAATAATAACAATTGCCTTCATCACCCTCATCATTAGGATGCCGTTCAACAATTTTCCAGACGTGTCTTCCTACCCTGGCTACTTTTCCACTCCATTTTCTAGGAACCAAGACTCTCCTGGATCAGTCCAAGAGCCATCATTTCCTCAAGCAAGCCAAGCACGCACCACTTGTATGACAAACCCTTTCAATCCATCACAGATAATAGGCCGGCCGCCAAGTCCTCAGAATTGTGATAATCTCGCAACTGATATAGAGATGACGGATGCCTCTACCGGCACGTACCCGGTTCAGATGGATTTGGAGCCTACCTATCTCAGTTGTTATTCAAAGCCAATGGAATTCGACCATGGATTCAACAACAGTTCCGACTATTCGACGACAAATACGTCTACTCCTCATGCTAGACACTCGCATAATCCAAAAATTACAAAAAGATCTAGCAAGACACACAGATCCCGAATAGCTCGCATTATTCAAAGAAGATGCAAAAATAAACGCTATAATAACGACTCGCAAAAAGTGACATCTCCACCGGGGTCGCCAGATAAGATGGATATAGACGGACCCCCTGAACTTTTGGAGTCCTTGCGGATCAAAAACGAGACTCAAGTGCTACAGTCACAATATAATCACAGCTTTCAAACTCCAAATACGCAATCACCCCTTGGATCACATTTCAACTCGGCTTCTCAACCATACGTCAACTCACAACAAACTATAAATGGAGATCAAATGAGCGGGCTTCAACTACTGACAACAAACCAGCTCTAGTATATAGTATCGAGTGTCATTTCCACCCTTTTCTAGTATTATTTCTGCTCTCTTAGTAATACCCATTCCCGAGACAAGCAATTACTAACTCCTATTGCCACAGTGGATTCAGATAGACTAGTCCAGCCCTAGCAATTTTCTGGAATTCAAACATGTTCCCCTCAACAATGAACATGCTTACGCTCGAAGGATATGCATACCACGGGATATATACATATGACGCGCAACAATGACCCATAAGACGTCTAGAGTTACATATTTTTAAATTATTTGCAAAGAGGATCGAGAAGCTTATATACATACCTACACATTATAGGATATAGGGGCATATACATGAGTAATGGAGTACTCATTTACTTTGGGCTACAGAAACACACCGGAAGGTTCGCATTCGAAGTTTCTGGCGATATCAGGAATAGAAAGGGGGATTAATCTATACATACATAAAATGTATATGAATGACTAACGAGAAAAACCAATCTCACAATTGTTGTTTACATATTAGTAATCTTGTTGCTAAGGTGACTGCCGTACACGGTGACATTTAGCTTAGCTAAGCTGACAGTCTGCAAATGCCTTAGGTAATCCAAAAGCTGATATAATCAATGATTACCTAACGGTGACTCGGAGCCTGGAGGTGTGTTTTGTTATGTAATCAACTATATTAGGTCATCTTCCGTTCCTTTTAGTTCTAACTTCTAACTCCAAGAACTCTATGAAGTTTTACTACCGAACGATGTCTAGATATAATGAGACGAGAGAAAACACATCTTTATATTCAATCAAAGATGCACAGTCTAGGTAATCAATATCTCTCGACAAAATTTCCCCACATAAGTTCAATCTTGGGGTTGGTAATGATAACCGAATTGGTGTCCGCCGGCTAAAGTCTCGATATCACCTCAGGAGCGATCTAGCCTCTTAATCCGTTCGTATGCTGGCTAGTGGATTTTCATCTCGATTCAGACTATGCAGAGTTTTGCGGCTTCATCACAGCTAAGTAAATGAAGAAAATAGGAAATATCTCGATATTTATTAAAGAGGACATTGAGACAAACATGCCTCTACTGTAAAATACATCTACTTGGGCACAACCAAAATTTTGTTCAGAGAGAAGGCATACTAGGTATACGACTAAACCCTGATGAGCCTCAAGTTTAAGCTGGTTGTTCGAGCTTCTAAAATCTAAAAATATCCGGTTTGCTATCTCGGGGTAGCGGCAATATCAATGTACGGCAAGGAGGTCCAGGTTCCGGAAGACGCCGATGTCACCTCGCCGCTCCCACGCGTTGGGGTGATATAGACTCATATATTATCTCGTCAAGGCATGCGAAACATGAAGTGATGATCATATTCTGGATTATACAACTTACCTTGCCTCGATTCTTTTTTTCTAGGAAGACCGTCAAAAAATATGCCATCTCCTAAGTCCGCCGCCATCATCGGCACCATCGCTCTCCCTTTTTTAGGGGCAGCATTTCCATCAGTAGCGCCGGCAGCCGAGTGTGCGCCGGTTCCGTCCGCGGGCAAGTATCCCACATACCAGCAGCTTCCCACGCAGACGACGCTCCCAGACCCGTGGCTGCCGCTAGCATACACCACGACCGACAGCAAAGGTGGTGACTCGCCGTCCTTCGCGTCTGATGTGATGGTAGGTAAGGGTAAGAATCGGATCCAGACGCCCGAGGAATGGTACCGATGCCGACAGCCCGAGATCCTTCAGATGCTACAAGAATATCAGTGAGAGCACCACCATAGCCCGCAACCGGAAAAACTAATCCATGCTTTGGGTCCGGGGGGCTTCTATTATAAGTTCTAACGGCACTATAGATACGGTTACTACCCCGACCATTCCCAAGAGACGGTCAAGGCAACACGTAGTGGCAACACAGTTAATATCGAAGTGACGGCAGGGGGAAAAACGGGGAAATTCAGCGCCACACTAGCATTGCCATCGACAACGCCTGCTCCCGTCGTAATCAATATCGGAGGTATGACGAACCAGCCATATCTCCAGGCCGGCATCGCTGTCGTCGGCTTCGATTATTCTCGCGTGGCGGCCGATAGCAATGCTGGGACCGGCGCCTTTTGGGATATCTACAAAGGACAGGATATCGGTATGGCTTCTCGCCTTCGAAAAAGCTGGTTTCGATCCCCTATTACCCCTCTTTAGCCTATTCTTTCTAGGCTTGTCCACTTGTTCTTGTTAGGGAACTGATGAAAGGCTGACAATCCGCCTTGTCAAACAGGCGTCCTCACTGCATGGGCGTGGGGTTTCCACCGCGTGCTCGACGCGCTCAATACCACGGTACCTGAAATTGACAGCACGCGTGTGGGCGTGACAGGGTGTTCGCGGCTCGGCAAGGCGGCGCTCGCGGCCGGGCTGCTCGACAAGCGTATCACACTGACGATGCCGATGAGCAGCGGGGTGCAGGGGCTCGGACCGTACCGGTACCATGGGCTGAGCGGGCAGGATGAGACGCTCGAGAACAGCAAGAGCGGGGCCGGGTGGTGGACGGACAAGACACTAGGCACGTTCGTGAACCACGCTGAGAGTTTGCCGTACGACGCCCACACCATAGCCGCCGCCATCGCGCCTCGTGCGCTCGTTATCGATCAGGGCACCGGCGATCAGTTTACGAATTCCAAGGGCACTTCCGTCATCGTCTATCCCGCCGCCAAGCTCGTCTACGATTGGCTGGGCGTTCCCGATCAGATCGCCATGTCCGTCCGCGGTGGTGGCCATTGCGACATGAGTGGATTGTACGCGTGTCCCCTTTTCTTCGCTCCTACGTCTTTTTTTGGTGTATTTGGAAAATTTCCAAGGAAGTCTTCTGCCGTGCCCAATTTTAATTAGAAATTGCCACCCATCTCCAATACTAACTTTACATCTAGTAACAGCGTTCTGCCCTTCGTAACGAAGGTACTCCAGAACCAGACCATCACTAAAGACTATGATGATTTGGGGAGTTACGGTTCTCCGATGACAACGGCATATCCCTGGGCCACTGCGGTACCCAAGGCGGCATGAATTTTATGAAAATTTACGGTAGCAAATATCGGGATATCGGGATATCGGGGTCTGTGTACAAACAAAAAGAATCAGAATCGCAAAACTTTGGATTTCAAGAACTAGTTCCAAGTATTTTGTTTACACGTAGCCAGCAAACTCCAATCCTATGCATTGGCCTCGTTATTAGAATAAAGACCGCGTGTAGGTAGGCGAAGATCTATGGCATATCCGTGCCTGAGGTTACCCTATCCGAAACGCCGTCGCCCCCGGAAAGAGGTAGTACATAAAAGCAATTCACGCAAAAGCGCCTACGATGGCCATGAGCGTAGCTCCCGCTAAGACGGCGAATCCGGCGTTCCTGCGTTTCTTCCCCTTCAACGACTTGTAGCTTTTCTCCGTGAGGAAGTCCTCCGCAAGTAATTGCACTAAGCCGGCGAACAGAAGCAGGCCGCTCGAGATGGCGTTCATAATACCAACCATAAGCAAACCTGTCTGACTGAGCGGATCGTACAGTCTGTGGACAGCAAGCCCAATGGCCTGGCCGATGGGAGTAGTAAGCCCATAAGCCAAGACCATCAGCCACGGACGGACAGAAGAACGTGGGAACTGGATCGCGGCTATACGGGAGCCGAGAGCTAGGCCCTCGAAGGTCTGATGAAAGGCGATGGCAACTAGAAAGACGACAAACGGCGGTCCTGTTGCGACAGATACGGCCATACCGATGAAGACGCTGTGGAACAGGATGCCAGCTTCTAGGAGCACACATTGAAGCATTCGTCGTTTCTGTTCTTCGGGTGTAAGGGGGGCTTGGGCTACAGACTCGGAATATCGGTTCGCATGAGCGGTTCCATTAGATGGCGCAAGAGGCTGCGCATCATCGTCCGCCACAGGATCGAGTTCATTGAGATTAATATCGAGATCCTCATCATGATCGTCATTGACATCATCGTCCACATCTGGACTTCTGCGACCAAATGATCTAGTCGAACTCGGAGGTAGTACGATCGTAGGTGTGGTGTTCGGCAATGGTGAAACGTCGGCCATTAGACCTTGACTGGAGCTCATATCACCAAGTGCGATATCTGTTGGCCTGTGGCTGGCAGCCCGTTTAGCTGCCAAACCACCATTAACCTGAACGCCATCAATCTCCTCTGCATCTTCATCATAAGAATCCCACGCGTGATCATGCGAATGGCCGGCGCCCCTTGTAGTTAGATACGACTCCAGCGCCGCCACTGTCAACACGGAGGCCATAGCTATTAAACCTGCCATAGGTTGGTATGATTCGCTAAACAGCGGCGGAAGACACGGGTCGGTAAGGGATATGAAAGCTGTGGGGAGAAGATGGACGAATGCGGTCGCCAGAAGCACACCGGTGCCGAAGTGTTGGCTAAGGAAGACGATAGTATTCGCTCGGCGGGTTCTAGCCGACTGACGAGAGAAGAGAGGGAATCCACATGCTACGAACAATCCCCGATGATTAGCGAATATGCCTTAAAGTGTTGACCCGAGGCACCAAATTAGAAATATCATACATACCTAGAACACTGAGAGTAAGAATTAAGAATAAAGCGAATACATGTAGTGGTGTATCGTATGCGCCTCTGTCGCCTGACCCGCAAGCTGGTCTTTCATTGTCGGGTTTGGAATTGCCGGCGCCATGTCGTTTCTGAAGTTCGGCTAGTAGTAGGTGCGTAGGCACTGAAGTCCAAGCCATATCTGGAGAAGGGCCAAGTCAGCCCATTGATGCGAAAATAAGGGAAAGGGTATCTGGAGATAGGGATCTGGGATTACTCGTACCTCCCTGATTAGGCACATCCATCGCGGCAGCGGCAGCGGCAGCGGCAACGATGGAAATGTGAGGATGGTTCACAGGAAGTTGCGACTAGTTACGGACAGCATCGTCACAGCAATTGTAAAATTGCTGCAGTTGCTGAATTTCTAGATTTGATGTTTAGATGGAGAAGCGCAAACCGGTAAACTCGACGTTATGGAAATGGAAGCCGTAGTCGTAGATGCCATAAAACGCGTAGTTGTCATTGTTCTCAATTAGCTCGGCAGGCACAGCCGGATCCACGATACAGTGTAACACTGCTAAAACCGGTACCCAACACCAAGTACACATGGTCCCGTTTAAACTCCGGTTAAATATTCTACTTCAAGTATCTAGTACCATGAAGGTATTCACTTCAGAAACCTGATCACCTAACATACCCCCTTGTACTTGACCTAAACAGCTAGCTAAATTTGGCAATAAGTGGACCCTAAATGAAAGTCAATGATTGGCTAAATTTCATGGAAAAAATTACCCACCTCGTTCACCTGAGCCACTTATGTGCCGAGCCACTGCTTAGGAATACGCCACCGCGCATGGGTCCACCTTTCCTAATTGGGTAACAACTATTTCAACTATTCTTTTGAAATTACCCAACTAGTTCTAAGTCCCATAATTAATCAGTAATTAATCACTGATTAATGACTGATTGATCACTGATTAATCAGTGATTGATTACTAATTAATCACCAAAATAATAAACCTCGAATTATCTTAATTTTAACGTAAAAAATAAGAAAGTAATACAAAGGTTTAAATTTCAAAAAGATATTACTAAATAAGGCTAATAGATGCGATTAATTCTTAATTGAAGAGATGCAATTGGCTGCACGCACTTGAGTATGACGAGTGTGTGGCCCAGGTGTGGCTAATGTGGCTAGAAGGCTTTTAGTTGGCCTAAACGTGGCTATAGCCCACTAATTCCCCAAGAGGGCTAGTTGTTTAGGTTATGTACAGGGGGGTATGTTAGGTTATCCCCCCTCTCAAATATAAAGTTTCCTTAAACATACTCTGGTAGCACGTAAGGATAGATTCAGCGAGGACATGCGTCAAAAACGATACCCATGGACTCTTTTTAGTCGAGTTTCTCGTCTGGTAGTCATTCCCGTCTCTAAATTACTAATAGCTTGGAGATCTGTAACTTTCAAATAGACAATGCCTACAACGAAAAGTCTTATCGAGTCAAGGCCTTTGATAGGGATATCAGGGGTCTTGACTCAAATTAGGTAATATTATGTATGATAAATCTGCATGTCTTACCACAGGCGGTTACACAAAAGATTTCTTTTGTACACGCTGTAACTATCTGTTTTAGCGCTTTTTCTCTTTCGATGGAAGGGCAGAGTGAAGGTTTGTAGCATAAAACAGAGGATCCCAAGTTTAACGTTGCTCAAAGGTTGACATTACGTATCTTCCTAGAATATTCAAATAATACCCAAGTTTCGTTTTTAATTTCCACCTAGTATGTATATACGTATAGATTTATAGGTATATGTATATCCATTAATGCAAGGGTGCGTAAAAGCCGGTACCAACTCCAAAAAGAGCATGCAGTCAGATGGAAACTTATCAGACATCAAGGAAAAGATTAAAAATTATATATTAAGACTAGTCACACGCTGATAAAAATATCTATTACAAATTGAAACAATAAATTAAATCGAGTCATCGGACATGTATTAGATGCGTACCAGAAAAGAAGGAACTTGTAAAGACAACACTCAGGTAACCAAAATATAGAATCGTATCCAAGTCAACGGCAATATGTGGGAAATAACACCTCCTTTTTCGCGGGGTAACTGGCTCAAGGTGGGGGTGGCGCGCGTCCTAAAAGCTGTTAGATAATCAAGCAGGTGCAAGCAATAATATCATGGATGTACAGTATGTAGCAAGAGCAAAAAGACTCCAAAGTTCAGGAACATTCCTTCTCAAATGACAAGGGAATGGCCAATCAAGATTAGTGCGCATATCTTTCCTGTTTCTCATTGGTTGCTGTCGTCGGGGAATTATGTGAACATTGAACCTGCTATATATTAGCGTTCGATGGCACTAGAGTTAACCTTAATGTTAGCCTACCTATACCTCTGCCCCCAATCCCTAATCTTGACCAACCATCATCAACGCCAACTATCAACACCAACCTTGAACTATTGGGTGCTTAGTATTTGAATTGCCTACCTCATCACCCGAATGATGCCGTACTGCTCACTATACTCTCGCCATAGGACTTGTTAATTACACCACCTACCTCTTCACGTTAAACGTAAACAAGTTGCGGGAAGCTTAGTCGCGTGCTCTCCCCGTCCGATGCTGGAAGAGTGGGATATTGAGTCCACGGGATCGGTATTCCCGAGCGAAGTGACATCGCATCGGCGCTGTGAACCCTGAGGGCTCGGGAAAGCTATGAATCTATTACGAGAAAGAGTCCTAAGCATTACACGCAGCTTGGCCCTGCACTGACATCTCGCGCTGTCGCCATCTGCAGGTATCACGATGTCATCCTGCGTACCTAGGGATGCGGCGAGGTAACGAGCGTAACCAGACCGTCACGCATTCGCGCCATTCCGTTGACGAGAGCGTGATGCGTCTCTACCAGGGGTCAACGCGACGAAAACGGCAGCTCTGAAGTTTATTCAAGCCCTGCCTGAGTTACATCGCTCCAATTTGCCCAACCGTAACATGGCTCCTCCGCGCCCGCCAGCCTTGGCGCATATCAATCAGTCAGGTATGCCTAACAAACCTGATCTCCGAACCTGTGCCAACTCCCGAACTATCTTCACCATCAACTTGTCTGCCGGCACCCCCCTCGGTTGGCTTTCACGAGCTTACATGAAGCTCCTTGACCTTCCCCAAGTTTACGATGCCAAGCTGTGAACTGGTTGGCATCCAATCTCAGCCCCGCCCCGTCAAGATAAGCTATATGAGAACATTGTTTCGTGGCTTTTTATTGGACAACCAGCCAACGACACTGGTCGAACATAAGTCGTTTATCATATTGACCTTGCCATCCTCACCCGATACTATCCAGGGTTTGACTAGTCTAAGCATTTACAAGTGTCTAGGTAACCAGGTTGACGAAGTCTTGATCGAGTAGAATCGAGGGGCTTGACGCCGGTACTGTACTAGGATTATACTACTCCAGTCTCAGGATAAACATCTGCTTGCTTCGAATCTTGCTATTATCTTTGGATTTCTCGTCGCAGATTACATCGTCCTCTATATGAAGGATATAGTTACATACTATCATATTTGTAGCTGATCTTTGCCGAAGCTAGCTCATATAGGGCTGGCTTAGAGAGCTCCCCGCGGGAGGTTTATTAAGACCCTGCCGATCCGACACGACTTGGCTGTCAGTATGCGGCTGATGACTTATCCTATAACAGCGTAGTAGTATAGCTATCTATCACACCATCAGGTGCATCTAGAGCAACCGCACCTCGGCCGAACTTTCATAACGCCAGCTCTGCCTTGCATATCGAACCGCCGTACTCTGCTTGCCAGCACGCTCTCAGCTTCATCATTTGGCGTCAAAGTCGCATTGCCAAGCCATCTATTGCCCACTCAGTGTCTCCATTTGTTCTACTGTTGGACATTGCGCCTAATTCTGACTATCTAATATTATTCTGAATAAGCTCTAGCTGTCGTTTCTATGTGCTAGGTTTTGGTCTGCCTGCGGTTCCCTGTTCCTCCTTCCGTATTTTGAATCGCGCTGTGACCCTTTTCCAGGCTCTCCATTCATTCTAGCATGATTCCTAAGGCTTATCGGGAAGCTCAATATTCGTCTGCCTACCCTAAGAACCTCACCTTGGAGAACGTCGTGCTATCTCGTAATATGGGCTATAAGGTGTCGTCATCAACTACGACCCTTTGAGTTGTGAAAGATTCTAGGAATTTCTATATAAGCCACTCTAGCACCTCTCATCCCTTAGATTCTAGAGAGTCCACCATCCTCAGCTAACATAACCTCGACTCTTTTCTCGTGCCTAATCCATAGTCAGCCATGGCCAGTCTTCGCCGTCTCGCGCTCTTCTTCGGAGCTATTCTCCCTACCGTCTTCGCTGCCCCTACCCCTCAGCAACAGAAGCGAGAAATCGTTCCCAACAAGTACATCGTGACCCTCAAGCAGGGCATTAGCTCCGACGACTTCAAGTCTCACTTGAACTGGGCTCGTGACGTACATGCTCGCAGTCTGAGCAAGCGTGACACGACTGGTATCTCGCACGAATACCAGATCAACACTTTCAACGCCTATGCTGGCGAGTTTGACGATGCGACTCTCGAGCAACTAAAGAACAGCCCTGATGTAGGTTTACTATCACCATGATACGCTTTCCCCAGCCTCTTCTTCTAAATAGGGGGGGGTAGAGATGGATAATAATTTATTAATTTTTACGCATCAAATCTTATCCGATGGCGAGATTACACCTGTCTATAAATGATTAGAACTGCAAAATGGCACCCTTAACAGGACAACAGACTAATATCTATACTAGGTTGCCGAGATTGAGGAAGACCAGGTCTACTACCTCTTTGACGAGCAGCCTGAGGTTTCCAAGCGTGCGCTTACCACACAGTCCGGCGCCACTTGGGGTCTTGGTACCGTCTCCCACACAAGCTCCGGCTCTTCATCGTACATCTACGACAGCTCTGCCGGCCAAGGCACATACGCCTATATCATTGACACCGGTATTCTTGCTACCCACCAGCAGTTCGGCGGCCGCGCTTCGCTAGGCTACAACGCCGTTGGTGGCTCCACTGCCGATGCCGTCGGCCACGGTACCCACGTTGCTGGTACTATCGGAGGTTCTACCTACGGTGTGGCCAAGCAAACCACTATCATCTCCGTCAAGGTATTCCAGGGCACTAGCAGCACCACCGCCATCATCCTGGATGGATACAACTGGGCCGTTAACGATATTACCACCAAAGGCCGCCAGAGCGTCTCGGCTCTTAGCTTATCACTAGGTGGCGGTTTCTCATCTGCTTTCAACGCCGCCGTCGAGTCTGCTTATAGCGCTGGTGTTCTCTCAGTAGTTGCCGCCGGTAACAGTGCCACCGACGCTGGCTCGACGTCACCAGCCTCCGCCCCCAACGCTCTCACGATTGGTGCTATCGACTCAAGCTGGAACATCGCCTCATACTCCAACTATGGATCAGTTGTGGATGTGTTCGCACCTGGTACTGACGTTCTCTCGTCATGGATCGGCTCCAACTCTGCCACAAACACTATCTCCGGTACTTCAATGGCCACCCCTCATGTTACGGGTCTTTCATTGTACCTGATTGCTCTTGAGGGCCTCACCACCCCTGCCGCTGTTACGAGCCGCATCAAGGCTCTCTACACCACCGGCAAGCTCTCCGGTATTCCTAGCGGCACTGTTAACGCCGTTCTGTATAACGGCAACGGAGCTTAAATGATATATCGATCGGCCTGACCTAGTAATAGTAGGCGGAAATATATATTCATGGACGTGCTTAGTCATCTTACATCCAGGGGGTGGTGGATTCGAATGTGTCTATGGCCATGATGATATGGCTATGTAGAACTCATATATGGGACATGTCATATAGTTACTAGAAGCCAAATTATTAATGATATCATTTTGGCTTAAGGCTTTACCTATTCACGTTCTCCTCCACGGGCAATTTCAATTCGACCCTGGGTATCAATTTAATTTGTAGCACAGTCTGACCTTGTAAATCTGCCCGTAGCACACTGAAATATCTAGGTAGAAATAGGCCATACACTAGGTAGGTACCTTACCGAACCCACATCCGGATGGTTATGCCCTCGGCCACAAGGGATCCTGGGCAAAGTAGATCTCAGGGGCAAGCGTCTAACGACGAGGTCTCACAATATAATCCAACAAGCTTAATTCGTCCCTAAGTAATCATTAACTTGTTAAGGAAACCCAACACAATATTAGGCTGATTCCTATATCGTGATATGGCCATGTGTTAGTTATCTGTCTAAAATGATTTGGTGAGCTACACGGAGATAAATTTCCCCAAAGACCCTCCATTAGCCAAGGACTAACCAGCACTACGGGATATGGGTTAGGTAGGACATGCCACAGAAGAGTCGCAGAAAGCACATGGAACGTGATTGTATGCCGACATCCGTTCTCGTGATGCGGTAGTGCTGGGTCCTACATATCATACCATATTCCCGGGATCCACCCAATCATGGCGATAGAAGTTCTTGATTATTCTCGCAGACAGAACGCACATGCAAGCTTAATATAAGTTAGGCTAGCCTATTGGCGTGGAGGACGGGACTTGAAGCGAGAGCAATCTCTAGGGTATAAACGAGTCCGGGGTACAGTTGGACCTATCAAGAATCTCGGTTTTGAAATGCAACAGATTTAGCCTCATTCCGAAGTCTACGGTTTCCATTCTGTCCTCTCGCACCTTAGACTGTGGGACTGGGCAGTGTCGAGCAATTGCCTGTTTCAACTGATACAGAGGGCGGCGTCCAAGACCGGATAAAGGCGAATAACATCAAAAATACAGCGTAACTCGAGACTTCTTTTGATTCTTCATGCTTTACTGAGAAATTAGAACCATGGGAAACCCTGCGGGGCCATATAAAATCTTCAAATTTCATACTAGATTAAACCCTTTCTCAGCATCCTACTGCCGGCACCGCTGCTGTAGAAAAGAATGTCTGCCGCGACCGTGATTCTTGGCGGTCTCGATGGAGTAATAACGTTGATGAACTCAACATGCTACCTAGATGGGTATCATGATATGTGTATCGGTGGCTAAAAAGGAGGGTTGGCCCCTTTGTCATACTCAGGGGACTCGAGTTCTTTCCGTACCGGGAGTGTCATAATTACCTATCTCGACAGGAAGGTCTAGTTCAGCATGGTGTTCGTGCCCTCAATCGCGGCCACACTGGCCGTGGCCTTTTCGTTAACCCCCATGGTAGTGCTCGGGCACCCGGGAGAGAAATATGGAAGACCAGAGGCCATAGAAGAGATGGGAAACGCCCACGTCGTCGCAAAGATGAACACCAGAGCTTTGGAGGCATGCCAAAATTCGGATGCAGTAAAGATCCGCAAAGAACGGGCCAGTAAGTGAATTGATTGTTTTTTCCTTTCAGAAGAATTCTTTACAGGAGAAATATGCTTCCAGGAGCATATCTGGATCCATGGGCTAACAAAAATACTTCCAGTGGCTAGACGATTAGAAACGTTCCAACGACTACGTCGCGAAAGGGGCGCTGAAATGAGTAAGAAAATACGAACACTAACTCCCACGCCGACTTAACTAACCTCGACCCAACAGGCCCCTGGCTCCACCGCCGCGACGCCGCAGCGCTGCAGAAGTGGGCGGCCTTGACTCACAACAGGACAGGCTCGGCCAACTTTAACAAGGACACCCCAAGCAAAGAGATCTTCGGGTCCAACACCAGCTGCGTGCTTACGCCCGACAACGCCAATGGGCCTTACTTCGTCTACCAGGAGCACATCCGATCGGACGTAGTCGAGGACACCGTCGGCATCCCACTACATCTCGAGCTACAATTCATCGACGTCCAGACGTGCGAGCCGGCCAAGGAGATCCTGATCGACACCTGGTCGTGTAACGCGACAGGCGCGTACAGCGGCGTCAGCGCGCGCGGCGAGGGCGGGTTGGGAACCACATACCTCCGGGGCGTCCAGCAGGTCGATGCCGACGGTGTCGTCAACTTCGATACCATTTTCCCCGGCCACTACCAGGGGCGTGCCACACACCAGCATCTGATCGCGCACGTGGGGTCCGAGATCCTGCCGAACGGCACGTACACGGGCGGCCGCGTGGCGCACTTGTCGCAGCTGTTCTTCGACCAGACGCTGCGCGACACGATCGAAGCTACTGCACCGTATAACACCAATAAAATCCCGCACACGACCAATCTGGCTGACTGGTTCACGGGGTACGCGGCCACGACGGAATACGACCCCTTTCCGAACTACATCATGCTTGGAGGTGATCTGAAGGACGGTCTCTTCGTCTGGGCGGAACTAGGCTTGAATACCTCGTCGAATTGGGACCACTATGCGCCGTACGCGTCGACCTGGAAGGAGGGCGGTGGATATGATAACCCGGATTTCGACTTTTGGGCCGTTGCTAGTCCGCCACCTACACACGGTTAAGAGTTGAAACAGTTGCCTACCTAGTGTTTTTGAGAAGGAGAATACGTTATGTTGTTAGGGATAGGAGGTATGTTGGTGATGCAACTGTAAAAAATTCCATATACTCACCTGCTGTTACGCGGTGAGGATAACTTGAAGTTCTTATAATAACCTCGCGAAAAGCCATTCATGGTTTATAAAACTTAGTCTTCAGTTTACAACCAAATAGAACTTGATATGATTGAGATCAAACATTACCTACCTAGCACCTTATGTAGTCGGCTGTATGAATCAAGTTGTAGGTTGTGAGATATGAGGCCGCCAAATCAATTCAATTAAGAAAATAAGATGCGGTTAGTGCCGTTTTCTTTCCCCTGCTCTAGGGCTGTTTAGCGCTAGGATCATAGATGTCCGCAGGTGGTCTTAGCGAGCAATTATAGTGAGACATTTTAACTAATTAAAATGCCCTGATCCTTTTTAGCCCTATTGTTTTTAACAGCTTAAAACAAAGCTTTCTAACTATTTAACAATATGGTGTAGATGATGCAATATACGTATTACTAAGTAACTACAATATTAAATCTAAAATATAAGGGAGAATGGAATGATGAAACTTTCACTTGTTTAAAATCGAGATTTATAGCCGTCGTCGCAAAGAGTACTAGGTAGGCTGAATGGCGATAAGTTTTTCATTCTTATATGGAGGGGGTGTAGTGGTAAGATATAGTGTTTGTGGTGTAAAGGCCACTACCTAATCGCACCCTATTTTCTAGGTACAATCCTACAATACAGTTGAATTGCCTCAGCGGTTCCAGGCATCTCGCGCACCATCCATAGCAGACGCCAACAGGCTAGATAGAATAACACAACGCTACATAAATATACCTAATCAAAAGAAGCGAACAACAAACATCTCACAAATAAACCAAATCCCACTCCCCAACCTCCTCCGCCCTCAACCTCTCCACAGGCAGAAACTCATCCCTCCCACCAGTCCAATACCTACAATTCTCACTAACCAACTTCCTATTAAACGCCGCCCCCAGACATTCCTTAACCTCCCCTCCCCTCGCCTTCCCAATCGCCCCTTTCTCGCACTCCTCCAAACACCCCGTCTGCGTCTTCGTCGTAGTAACCCTCTGCCTACTCTCTTCCACCCTCCCTCCTTTCCTCACCCACTCACCGTCCTCAAACCCGTGCATCTCCCTAACCCCGCACCGGACCCTATACGAGTGCTCCAATTCGTGGTGCAGCTCCCGAGTCTCGTCGTCGTCGACCGCGCCACCTAACAGCCCGGATACCAGCCCCCCGACGCCGTGGTCTAGGTCTAGGCCTATGCCCGTGATACCCAGGAGGTTCAGGTATAGGTCCAGGTCATGCGGGTCTAGCGTCTGTATCGTGGTTACGTCCATTTTGACGTACGACGTCTCGCAGTACGCGGGCGGGGGCGGGGCGTTGATGATCTCGGGGGTAGGTGGGGGTACGGCGGGTTCAGGGCTTGCGGGTGCGCTGGGACTAGGTGGCGTGTCTAAGACAGGGATATTGGTGGGTTGTTGCTCGGGTGAGGTTGTGGGGGTTTCTCTGGGGGTCGTGGTGATGAAATAGCGTTCCGTTGTAGTGGTAGGGGATGAAGAGGGGGATGAAGTAGGTTGAAGAGCTGAGGATTGCAGACGAGTAACTTGAGTAGTCAACGTAGAAACTCCGGTAGATGTATATGTATATGCCGGTCTGACATAGGTATGTATTATTGTTGATGGGTTCTCGGATTCATCAGGTATATCAGGATTCATAGAACCACCGATGTTTCCATCACCGCCCTTAGCCCCGGGCAATAGACCCTGTGGGGAATTTCCGGGTCCTTCCATCGAAGGAGGCCGCTTCTGCTGCTGCTTGGGTGGCGTCTGGGGAGCATCCGTCGGCGACAACACGCTTGGGTGCATGTACTGCTCGCGATACGCGCCTGGTTCCGGCTGTGTCGGCTTGATGCAAATCATATTTGAGTGAACATCGATACGGTGTTGGTTCTCTGGTATGCGAATGTGGAAAGTACTACAAGAGTTGAACAGACTATGCATCGCGGCCATATCGACAACACAGCTCCCAGTCGAGGCCATGTACTGGACGCCAAGTTGAGCAAGAGATGTAGTCATGATGTTTCTCAATATGTTGCTCGTGGCAATCAACTGGGCAAGTCGGGTCTTGGGTTGAACTGCTATTAGGTCCCAAATATTTGTCGGGTGTAAGTAATTAGGTAGTTGGATGAAGTATGGGTATATGACAGGATAACGAATAATTGATGACTATAAATAGGTATTAAAAAGCTGGAGAAGTATATGAGGATTCGAATGTTATATTATTGTGTTAGGATATGGCCGCCAAAGCGACTCCGTATTACTTATTAGGACTTCCGGAGAAAGATGCATGAGGTGAGAGTAGATTGCAGTGTTCCTGTAAGAAGGAACCGACAACGAAGGTGGATGATCGACACCCTTTTATACAGAATCTTACACGGCTCTATCTTCGGATTGTTTGTAAGAAAAGGGGTTTAGACGATAGGGGCGACCTGAATTCACCACTCTTTAGATTCGATAATTGTCTTCTTCATGATCGAAGCAGGCCCCTTAGTGAGGGGGCTATCCTGTCAATTCGTGGCTTTGAATTCTTAGTACGACCACGATCTAGACTTACAATCTACTAGGAAAAGACCTGTTTGTCTCAAGGGTCAAGTGAAGAGATATGTGGGCAAATCATTACCAAGGGAGAAGATACTTGGGCAGGGAGCAAAAATCTGAGTAATAGCGCCTAATTTAACCCAAGCTGCTACTCTCGGTATTCAGAGGAATGAAGGGATAATACGGTCTCAGGTATCACTCACTTGCAGTACAGTTACCCCCTTTAGAAAAGGCGAAATACATATGTATCTCAATTCCGGGAACGCCAGGCCCTATGTGTGCAGCGTTGCGGATGCATTGAAAAATACACGACCGACTCCATGTTGCTCATTCAAACCTATGCCGCACGCCACGAAACACCGTAAAATCCCATTCTCCGCGCCTCATGAATAACTCGGCCTACATTTGCTTCGAGTCAATCAAATAATGCCATCAACCATCGTGCTCTCGTTTCTTCTCGGCTTCGTCTGCCCGCTCGTCGTTTGCCTTGTTCTATAAGCCACCGACGCTAGCGGTGGGAAGAGCCTTTCCAGCTCGCCTGCCAAGTAATGTTGCCCCGTCGAGATTTAGTTCGAACGCCCCTCGTTGCTTGTTACGATCACGAACCTGCTGTCGAGCGGCCTGGGCCACGGCAGCGCTATGTTGGCCGTATCCCTTTTGGGGGTCCCTGTCGATATTTCTATCCCGTTCTCGACCACGCTCCTGGTCTTTGCCCAGATGCGTTTTGCGCATGCTCTGTTCAAGCTGTTGCGCTTCGGCCTTATGTACGTACTCGGGATCAGATTTTTCTTCTTCCGAATCTTCATCAAGACCAGCCAATCGCGTCGGAGGAGCCCCCTTTGCACCGATTTGCTTCCTACGCTTGGCCTCTTCCTCTTGCCGATGCACGGAATATCCAACATCGAAGATCTCTCGAAGATTGACAGCACCAGGGGACCTGAAATCCATGCGACGTTCTCCATCGATGAGTCGTCCAGCATCAAATGCGCGAAGAACGTCAGGGTTCGCCTGTTTCTTCTCGTCACGCGGTGTAGGACCGGTCGCTTGTATCCAGGGGTGGCTTAGGAATTCTTTGATAGTGTATCGTTCATCAGGATCGACGGCAAGTAGATGAGAAATTAAATCTTGGGCGGATTTAGATATATCGTCCCACCAAGGCGACAGGAAGGTGTATTGGCCCTTGGCAACCTTCTCCGTCAGAACCTCGATACTCTCGTCGTAGAATGGGGGAAATCCACATAACAGCGTGTATAACACGCAACCCAAGGCCCACATATCGACAGATTTTGAGTAACGTTCATCCTTCACTATCTCGGGTGCCGTATACCCGACAGTGCCACATGGCGTCATAGTTTGATTATCCCATACGATCTTCGACAGACCAAAATCCGCGATCTTGATCTGACCAATTCCCCCGGCCCCCAATCCCTTCACAAATTCGCCTTCGTCGACCTTATCTTCATCTCCAGGTTGCTTCGGTTTCGGATGCTTTGATGGAACGAATGGTATTGGACTGAACAAAATGTTTTCGGGTTTGATGTCACTATCAACTCACATGTTAGCGGACTGATGCAGGGGCCGAACATCTCAGGCATTCAGTGACGTCACCGCCACCCAATTTAGCCGCCGCAATGCCACCCTTGGATACACAGCTGCATCATTATATCGGGAAAGTGGGTTCAAGGCTTGCGGCTGACCGATGTGACATTGCTGCTTACCGATGTACGACGCCCTTCTCCTCATGGAGGTATTCTAGGGCTTTTGCAACTTGTACAATGACGTGTCTTGAGAGCTCTTCACTGAAATAGGTGAGGCGCACAATTTGGTGGAATAATTCTCCACCGGGCGCTAGTTCGAGAATAATGTAGTAATATTGTTTCGATTCCGAAAAGTCAACGAGCTTAATGATATTCGGGTGGTCAAGTTGGCGCATGATCTGAACCTCCTTCAATATGTTTGCTCTCTGTAATTGGAATTGTCAGTCTTGTTCGTGATTAAAGTGTGGTGGTGTAGATTATGATACGAACGACGGAAGAGAGAAAGAGTGAAAGTGAAAGATCGGAAGAGAGATTAGAGGTAGCCAGAGAGGGCTCAGCTGTTAAAAAATCTGACAAAAGAAAGGAAGATCTCCGCACCTCTGCTGCCTTCGGAACCTTCTTGAAATCCGGATGTAAATGCTTATTGCCCTATAATTCGACCCCCAATAGTTGGTAAAAAGGAAATATAAACGTCGTTTGAAAATTGAAAATGGCGACGAAAAAAAGAGGAAAATAAAATATAAATAAAACGACATGGTCGATGACATTAAACTCAACCGCCGGCGAACTCACCTGCATGTTGTTCATTTCGAATTTTCGGACGACCTTGATAGCAACCTCACCAGCATTGCCCTTCAAATCTCGTGCTCGGTAAACATTGCTGAAAGCGCCGTCTCCCATTTTCTCCACCAGTTCCCACCGTTCCAGGCCAGGATACTTGGGAAACTTATTCCTATTTTCGTTCTCCTCTTGGACGATCTTGGCGGCGTGGGCATCTCCTGCTCTGCTCCTACTCCTGCTAGAATGGGACCCTGAGACACCCTGGTTGGCCTCAGCATGGTGGGCAGCAACGGCATCGGCTTGCGCGACGCGATTTTGATTTTGGACATCTCCAGGTTGAGCGGAATAGGTTTCGGGAACGCTGTTGCGCTTTGGATTTCCGGCTGTGTTGCCGGGTTCGCTTACGTGTCCCATGGCTGCTTTTTGTTGCGCGTCTCTCTGTTGGGCAGAATATTCATGTTTCCGAGGAGGCTCGTCGTAGTTGGTCACCCTGGCTTGCTTGCCTATTTGGAATAAATGATGTTAGTGGGACATGTGCATGGACATAAAGTCAATTGTAGTAGATCGGATATGGGATAGGTTGAGAAGAGTTGAGGAAAACCAGTGTGTAGAAAAATCAAGAAGATTGTAAAAGAAGTAGAAAATCAAAATTGTAGGACCGAATAATAGAATTCTTTGTTAGGTAATATGTGTGTGCGAGGTAGAAGGAGCCACGAGGGAGAGAGGCAAGTACAACACACCGAACAGTAAAATAACCCAAATCGGTAGGCAGAATGGGAAACAGCAGGCAAAAGAAATGATGACAGAAGGAATGACAGAGGATGGAGGGGCATACCATGTCGGATGAAATTCTTGAGTTGCTGAATTGTCGACATTTTTAGTAATTTGGTAACCAAACAAATGTCACATTCAAATAACCCCCCAAAAATGCGCCTTAGGCTCTTTCTTTTCCACTCTTCCTCTCAACCCCGTTGCCTCTCTTTGGCGAGACAAGAAACTCGGACGCGCTACCGGTCCAAGACCCCTTAAAAACGGTTTCAAGCTCGAACCAAGCAAACCCAAGTTGCAGCACAGGTGCCGTACCTAAGTTAACTAAGCCCGGTCGTATAACGAGTATGCAGCACGTTAGCGGGAAGCTGCCGGAGTTTGTTTGAGTTCGCGATTTTGGCTTTCGGTAATGTAACCTATGTGCGATCCAACGATTCAGCGATTCAGAAGTCCAGAAATTCCAAACGGGTCGGTATTTATGGCCTAGTGGATATGAATTGTCTTGATTTGCAAAAGACGTATGTACGTGTAAGTAGGTATGTAGGTGGTGTAGGCTTCGGCGGGGAGCAGGCTGCAAGGCAATAGGTTTTTCCTCTCTTCTCTCTTCTCTTTCGCTGTAATGCAAGTCACAAAAGTTCTATCGCGCGGCTATAGCTCTTCCTCACGTCTCTCTGTCTCTGTCTCACAATGCTAGATCGAATAGAAATAAGAGTCGCTCTCACAAGAGATTTAATCTATGGTAGGTCAAAAAACACAGATCTAAAATCCCCGAGTAAGAAAAAAAAGGATTGGTAACCTAAATGGTAGAAATGGTCGAGAGTTGTGATGTTTGGAGTGCATAGGAATTATCGAAGGATGAAGGAAAAGAAAGGTGGGAGAAATGACGACTGTGCGAGTGTTTAACGGCTGGCTACATCGAAACAACTACGTACATTTACATGGTTATGGACCTTGCTTAGCGCTCTTCTATGTAGTGCTTGTATCCGAGATCGATGTCGCCTGATGATGTAGTGGGTTTGGCTTAGCGTACCGTAGCGTACCTTACTTTCAAATTACCATTTTACTAGGGGCCTAGTATGGGGACTGGGGTTTTCCAAGGTCGAGCTGCCCTGCTGTGTTAGGTACTGTATTGTACCTGCTTACCTGCTGTAAATCCGTTGTACCATGTAAAAATAATCCGTTTCGCCACATCATGTACATGGTTTTAAGTCTTCTTAGCAATGGCAGAAACATCAATAACGGCTCAAGGTACCGAAAAAGAATTGTACTAAGGGCGCCGAAAATCCGGAATTTGGTAATGGAAAAAGGGACTTTGCAAACCGGGCAATTTACTTTTGATGACAAAACCTGTTCGAGGCCTGCCGAAGAAAAATATGAAGAAAGAAACGTACCCGTAAAGTATCATAAGTACCAGCTTGTGTGGAAGAAAGCGCGCTGGCTGACTGCCCGAAATTGCTTGATCTGGCACAAGGTAGGACAAAGCGACGAATCAGGTTAAGTCGGCTTATGTGGAGACTGGAGATTCGGTAAGACAACCATGTACTGTACATCTATATTAACTACATGGTCCCAGAAAATAAAACTCATTATTAATACATAGAAATAGAACGACCGTAGATGAATATTTAGTAAAACATACCTACAAGTATGAATTCTATCTACGATGTAGATTTGCCCGAGTCCTGCGACTTGCTTGCTTGCGACTCATCCGCACTTCAAGTACCTAAATGGGGGATACATGCAGTAATAGTGCATGACATTTTCATCATCACCATCGTCGATATCGGAAATTAAACACGATATCATTACCAACCCAACTTGCAATCCGCAGCCAAGACGACGCCAGCTAAATCTGGTCCATCGACGAGGGTATATGTGAGCGAGACTGCGCGGCCAAAATACAGTAGGTAGCATTCATGTCTTTCTCTCTTCCCAGAGCGTAGAGGTAAAGAATACCAAGATATGGGTCTCTATGGGCTGGCGGGTTAACAGTAAGGCGGGTATGTACTGTACTTGTGATCATGGAAACGGCATGTGATCGACATGTACTCTTCCGGAAATATGAGAGCGTAGGTCACTATCTCCTCCCAGGCAGCCAGGTACGGTTACTCTACATTGTACTTCGAATTAATTCCATGCAAACTTTGAAAGTCAACGTCAATGTTTCTCTGTTTATACCTACTAGGTACTCGGTAGTATCGAAGGATTCAATTGCATGTTAGATACTAAGGATACCGCGTCTAGTATTGAAACAATGAATAATTAGAACATTGAACTTTACAGCGTCAGGTTTAAGCCGAGTACAAGCCCTGGAGGCCATATGTACATGGCCGACGGCACAGTTGCGGTATATACCTAATCCGACTCAGTTACCATCAGCCTTGGCGAACATGCTTCTACCCGCTAAGCCTCCAAGCCTCTGATGTCGAGACGTGCAGCAAGGTCTCATCTCATCCTGGCCAGATCCGGTTATCATATGCGAATGGATATGCAGATTGATATATATGTGCAAGTACAAAACCGTGGGGCGGGTAATCAAAAGAAATGCCTTTTTTCCATCTTGTCTTAGAAACTCCATCGGGACATACTCTAGCTAATACTCCTCATTCAACGCTTAGTCTTATCATAAAACCCATCATGACTCTTTTAATACCTACTAAAGACCCCAACCCAAGACCCCAGAAAAAAAGAAACAAATAAGAACAAACACTCCATGACGTAATGACGTATGCAGTATCGTCATTTCTCAGCCGGCCCCACCACACTATTTGATATCCACTATTTTCCTGGGAATTTGTGGAAGTTACTACGCATAGACCAATTGCCTTGTGACGTGACACTTAGACCCAACATCATCATCGGTCCCCCAGACTAAACAACCCAACCCTGTTAACCCTACTTCTAATCGTTATGATTCGCTGCAGCTTCCTTGGCGGATCCAATATATTTCATGTTAAGCCAATGACGATGTAAAAACTTCATGAATCCATCCGGACGGTCTCCTTCTACGGCGCCCGGTCCCGCGTCGACTTAACCTTAACATTTAACTGGTTGGGCACCTACAATCCATCGTCATGCAGATATTCTGCAAGGCTATTTCTAATCCGGGAGTAGTTTTCGTCAATCTTGAAAATGTTCCTACATCGTCCAGCCTTAGTCATCCTCAGCCCCAGAGCCTCATCGATCCGGACTCATCCTGAGGGGAATTGATGAGAGTTGATCAAATACCTGGGTACTTATGTACCTACCTAGCATCCTGGGAAGTACCCAATCCATCACGCCGAAGTTAGCTTCGTCTTCTTCGATACTAGATGTGTTTTTGCCCACCGAATATCCAATCTCTTGAGGTTACGGCTGTTGTGCGACAATCCTTGAAACAACGCTATTACTCTTTCAACTTTGATATACACCATGCTCCAAGCTCAGCTTTGTATCAATGTCATACATCATCAGGATTCTCGGCTGGTCGGACTATCGCTTTTATTGAAATATCCATGCTGATCTTCCGGCAGTGTGGGCACGTATCCGATACAGTAGTATCTACTACCTCACGCGGGCAGGCGGAGAACTCACATACGTCAGTCAAATCCTATCTCCCCAGACTGCCCAGATTAACAATAGCGGCCCTCGTTGTCTATTGGTTCGGGTCGAGCCGGGTCAACTGCGAACCGTCATAGGCGCCGTGTTTAATGTATAGTGGTCGGCCTAAACACGGGAGGGGGGTCTCGTCTAACAAATTAGAATCCGATATCCTATGACCAACTGGAAGAAAACCTCCTAAATGCAGGTCCTTGGACAATTTGGCGAAGCTTCGTCCATCTTCAGCACTTTCCATTTGTACGATGGATACCCAAACACACTCACGTGGCTAGGAGAGATCTAGAGCAATACATAATGCCACTTCGCTTAAGTACAGTCTATTACTTCAGTCTTTAAGGCGTCTGCTCTAGGCTTTCTAAGGCCGCGCATCTACTAAATCTTACTCCGCAGCTCGATCTTGGGCCAGGCTTTTGGCATTTGACTGGTGGACTTGGTAGTCTCGTGTGGATATTAATTCACCCACACTGTCCTCTTAGGCTCGATATCAGAACACCCTCTTCCATATTTAGATGTTTATCATCTTGAATGCTTTCAACTCCAAATAATCATCTGCGTAACCTACATCGACATTTCATAGTGCTTATCTCACATTTCTTATATCTACCGGTACGAGATGCGGTGATGCTCGATGCTCTTCCCCTATTGTCGTTACGTCATATATCCATGACGTAATCTAGACCCTGACAATTAGATTTGGGATCACCCAGATAAATTGCTAGCTGCAAGATTACTAACTCCAGGTGACGACGGTCAACCAATCGCGACCCTTGGCACCGTAGCATTAAATCTATATAAACTAAATCAACACTCATTTGGGCGACGACATGCATCTCATCGCCAATTATACATAGACTGGGTCCTAGTAAGATTTACAATCACTCAATTGGACAATTACTTTGAAAGGCTGTTTAAAAACTGTTTGATGCAAGTTGGACATGTTACTCCGTAGAACGTTGGATCGAGCCCAACTCCAGTTCGCAGGGAGTTCTAGGGGGTCAATCATTTTGGGACCACGTGGTTAACAAGGTATGGGTGTGGGCAGAGTCTAGAAGTTACCTTGAAAATTGAAAATACCCAACGTAGTAGAGTCCCTGAAAAGGGAAGATATTATGCTGAGTAATATGCCTACTAGTTAGGGAGGTAGCATTTACTGCGTCAACTTCGATTGAATCAAGGACTGACGATATTTCCAGCCAATAAAACCTGCACGGTTATATATGCCAACACATTTCTGATTAGGGAGGTACCTAGAGATCTAATTAACCTCAAAATGGAATTCATAATATATTGAATAGAAAGGGAATACCTAGGTTAGGTAAGTATGCCTTGATGTGCCTATGTACCCTGTAATATCGTAATATTTATGTTTATGTTGAAAGACCTCTTCTAGGCACTCGGAAAATCATGAAATGTTAGCTTGTACGATTGTCTATGGACGGCAATCAAGTAGGTAACTAATATGTGGATTCCAGCCTTCAGACACGATGTGTCAATCATGTCTTAAGGGTGATAGCGAATATAGCTACAGATCACCCATGAAGTCTTAAGCATAAATAAGAAAATGATCGTAAGGGTTAGTAGGTAGTCAAAACTACGTGTAAGATGTACCAGTAAGTGAGAGTCCGTTGCTAAGATTTTACACACGTTGCAGTTATTTCTATTATAAGGCTGTATAAAAGGAAATATCCGAGACTCCTGGCATATTTATTATCATGCCAATTCTGACGATAGAACCTACCCGGATGGATGACCATTTCTAGCTATATAGGGCAGGTTGAACTCGGCTTGACTATAGCTTTAGGAGACGACAAACTTATCTTGTACGACGGGGTGTAATAATCAAATCCCATAATCTTAGGTAGTAAGGCCGCTACAACTTGAAGGGCTAATGAGGTGTATAGAATACTTTAACGATCCCTTACATATGCACAGTCCACGTCATCGATGTCTTGCATGATATTGAGGCAATTTTAATTGTACCCGGCGGTAGGCTTGAGTACCTACACAGAACAAGAATAGAAAACTCACATACCTGGAAATGATTTCGCATCCATAACTAGGTGGCTTGCCATTGATGGTACCTAGGCTTGCATAAGATGATTTGATGCTGTCAGCATTTTTGATGAAAACTACTACCTACATAGTGCTGACAAAGGTAATAACCTGGTTATGACTTTAAGAGTAAGGTCATTTGATCATGAAAAAGTTAACCATAATGCATTTGATGCTACTCTAAAAAAAACAGTCAGCTATAGCCAAACCATGATGGCCTCACTATTTTGAACAGCGACGGTAGCAACTCCGCCATTGACGGTGATATTTTCAGTATCATCTCGAACATTTTTAACTTCCTCGCCAAGACTTTCATACGTCCATTGACTGCCTGCGTATGTGATAGTATCTGCTGCAGCGCCAGCGCCCAGAGGACTGTTCAGGTGGTAGACTCTCACGGATTCAATGCCATCCGGGACTAACAGGTCAAAGGTGACGCTAGGCCTATCCGTACCAGAAGACGTCATGTTCCAGTAGTTTAGATTGGTGATAGCTATCCTCTTTGCCACATTATCCTCGTAGGCACCGTATACAGCCACGTTCTCGGGAGGATTACTGCTAGGAATATCTAGCTTGGCAACTTTCGTTTTGCCCGAGGACCCGATGAAGTCCGCCACGAACGGTTGTGAGTAAAAGTTAGAAAATACTTGGGCATCATGGCCGGCACTTGCTACAGGTAGCCATAGATTGTATCCCGCGTGCATTATCTGCTGATAGTTGATTCGCGCGATGCCTATTGACATACTGTAGAGATAGAAATCGACTTGCCAAAGCGCGCTGCCAAGACGAGCTTGAAACTCATACGAATTGGTCCTAAAGAGAGAGTTGCCAACCTCGTTTAGGATAAAGGGAATTTCAGGACGGTTATTCTTCAACCATGAGATTCGAGGCTTGAATTGGTTAAGGTGATTATAGGTAACGCTCGTGTCCATGAGTCCAGCAGCTAGGTCATCGGCAGTGCCAGCATTCTGTTGATAGTAATGATGCGAGACTTCCTTGATGATGCTTTTATTATCGATACCTAGGTCGAAACATGTCTTCACGTCAAAGACATATGCTTCTTCCTGCACCGCGTTGCCGAAGTGGGTTGCGACATCGAAAGCTGTGAAGAAACGGCCCTCGGGTAAACCCGCAGCCTCTAATATAGCATTTGCGTATTTTGTCCAGTTGCCCACATAAGACTTGTTAGAGAGGTAGCCCTGGTATTCTGGTGGATTCAGTTCTACTCCCCCCTCTCCTGTGAAATCATCGGAGTATAGATTTGCTTCATTGCCCGGCTGGATTGAATGTATATTATCCAAGCCGACACCATCCACGGCGGATTGAGTCCAAGCAATGGTCTCGCTAATATTTGTTGTCGCTAATGGGACCTGGACCATGTACTTGGCCCCCGGGAAATTCCGAGTCAGGTTCCAGTATGAGGGGCCGATGGTCGTGTAGCCGATATTCTGATAATTGTCCTGCTCAGCAACGGGGAGCGCAGGTTCTTCCTGTCCCGGAAGGAATCTCCCATAATCGGGGGATGTTCCGCCAAGCCGAATGATCGGATCAACGCCCGTTCGCGAAGTAACTGCCTGGATGAGGTTTATAGAAAAGGTGTTAGGGTTGCCGTTGTCATCTTGGGCATACCGAACGAAGGATGCTTCTTCGAAGGCGAAGCCGCAAAAGCGAGGGTCGATTTGATCAGAGACATTTATAGCAGAGCCTGCTGGGATGTTTACAGAGAAAATTGCTGTCGATCCAAACTCAGTGAGAGCTAGTAACAGAGAGACCAACCTCGAAAGTTGCGGGCACATGTTCTTGTTTTGCTGACTTAGCTCATTCAAGAGGGCCGGAAGGGAACTATGAGAATTTAACGAGGTGTGATGATATATGATGGGATGAAGGTGGTGCACCTGTAAGAGACATCGTCCAGAGATATATATCTCTCCAAGAACCCACTAGGTATTATGCTCGCAGTAGAGCGTCCTTTGAGGAACGTAAATGCCCATCCTATTACCTGACCTAGCGGTAACCCGAACATGGAAGATTCAAGTTACGGCTATGTGGTACCTGTCAGCTAGGGTTAAGATGTGAGATAATGAACCCAACATTCTCCACTCGTTCATGTTGGAGCTACAATCCAACGAATGATGACAAGAATAAGAATGCATATGTGAGCGATGAAGCTGGTATAAACGATGTCGTGACATATGGGTCAAATGAGAATAGTTCGGTTCTCGGGGACGAGAGATTGGGACTGGATAATTTGTCCGGAGTGCGGTAGGTAGGATGCGGTAGGATGCGGGGGGGCATTGGCGTGAGGGAGGCTGGGCAAGCCCTAATGGTCAAAAACAAGCAAGCCGACTTGGCAAATTTCTTATTATAGGCAGATGATTTTCATCGCTTCAAGGATATTAGAGCCTCTTCCCATCTGTGTGGGACATCTGATATCAGAATTAACCTTGCAACTCTGGACTTCGTATCGTCAACCAATACCTAGATTACTCAGCATTGCGAAGACACGGCAACTTCTTTCATTGATATGATAAACGAAAAGAAAGTGATAAACGCATCCAATGATAATAAGGAGATATAGAACTCAACATGCTAGGTAGGTACTCTAGGCTGCACATGCATATGATTAAGAAAAGATAAAGAAGTTGAAATTCCGGTACGAGGAAATACACGGTACTTAGGTCTTAGGATATGGGGTGTTTGACTTACTGTGTTTATGAATACGTTAAATATGGGAATTTTATTTCGATAGGGGAATTTAACGCATCGATCATTTCATATTCTAGTCTTCTATCCTCTCAGTATCGCTTTTCTCACTTTTGAGGATCTGATCTGCCGAAACACGTTAATTGTAAGAGTTTGAGGGGAGTACCCTGGGGAGCCAAGAAACGAAACATTCTACTGCCCCTGCTTGGATTAGATAAGCAAATATCTTAGGTCGTACAGTATATGTCACAGTGATTAAACCATATACGCACATTAAATCCCCTACCTACAAGAGTGGACATGTCATACTATTATCAAATTGGCGGATTAACAGGTTCTTAAGGAGGCTTAAAACACATGTAACATACCTATATGAGGTACATACCTACTTTGCGGGTGAAACATGACTTGAAGATAAAATTGTCAAAAGTGACTTCTTCCAGAGCTTGGTTTAAAAGCGCATTTGTTGGATGTGAGTTGCGAGAAATATCGGCGGCTTAGCTGGGAAAGAGGCAATCGAATTACCTAATCTACCTACTAAATTGGTGGTGTGGCTGCGACGATCACAAATTCAGCACTAGCCACATGTGCCACTTTTGGCCATAATCACACCTAAAGCAGACCTCACTTCCCCCAACTCCTACTCCTCCCACACCTTGTTGCCTACATCGTCCAGTTTTTTTCCTTCGCGAGAAATGCCTTTGCAACGCCAAAATTACAATACAAAGCCCTTATAAAACCAATAAACCAGGGATATTCCCCTGAAAACATCAGGCCACGCCTACCTACGCCGTCTAGGTAGGCGAAATGGAGAGCCTTAACACCATCGGTTCCTTCAATCCCTTCAATCCCTTCAATTTACAACAAAACAAGTTCAAGCTTCCCAGTCGGGCTCAGTGCGCATGTGCCTTCTTGCGCGCCATATAGACCTTCGCATCGCGGACTAAATTAAGCTAGTTAGGGGAAACCTGCGCTGAGCATTCGAATAGGATCCATCATAATCAAGACATGATTAGGCTGGAGGGGACGTACGTTGTCTTTCCATCTTGATCTGAGAGTCTTCTTCCTGTTCGCAACCTGTCTCATGGCCACCATCTGCATTGCAACATGAGCAAAATGAATGGCTTTCTTCGTCGTCACTAAAGTCGGGTGTTGGTAGTCTCGGGATCTTTGGTGCCCGGGGTGGCACCGAAAAATGAGGCTTATCCACATGACTGATCTGATGCCTGCCCTCATCATCGGCTTCCTTGATGCTAGGAAAGATTGGACCTCCATTGCTGCTAATGCGGCGAGTGCGGCCCCGTGCGCTAGTCGAGACTCCCACACCTGGATCTGAATATGCGCCTCGAAGAACCATTCGGTGCTCGCTCTTAGCGAGCTTTCGCTTCTCCGGGGTTGCATTCCATACCTCTGACTCAATGGAATGCGCATGCGCAGCATCATCTTTATGCTTTCGCCATGACTTTCCCTGGGTGGGCGAGGCGACGTATGACGCTTCAGCTGAAGATCGCAAAGAAGGGTACGGAGCATGCTTTTAAATGTTAGCATGCATCCATGAGTCTGGTGCCAAATATCGTTGGCTTCCATCATTAAAGACTTGATCCTGTATGTGTGATACCCCGCCATATCTGCTACTTACAGGATGATAGGCAATTGGTTGCGAATATTTAGACCAATATTCTCGGTGAGGAAGAGCTGCATGTGGTATCACATGATCATCTACAACTTGTCAGATTGGGGAAAACAAGTTATGTTCTCAATCTAGAAACGAGACTTACACGACGGCCACGCAGTTCTTTGGTCACATAAACTATCGATAGGACGTTCCATGGCGAAGAAATCTTGATCAAGGACGGGATAATGGATTAATCTTGAGATCTCGCGACCGTCTAGGAGATTTGTCAATGGGCAGAAGCGTTGGTGGGACGGGTACGACTGAACTTACACGATTCGTTGGTCTGACAGACCTCAAAATAAGTAGGACGGGTTTTGTTATCTTTTTGTGGATGAGCCATGATGATTTTTATGCTTGGTGGCCCTTATTTGATGAAAGCTGAGGAAGTGGTGAATAGAGAGGGGTGGAAGAAGAAGAGGATGGTAGGGGAGGGTGTGGGCTTTTATGTAGAGAGGTATCAAGGCAGGGTAGGTAGGGTAGGTAAGTCGGCCATCCCCCCCGGTACCTTTCACCTTGACCAATCAGGATGATTACTCACAACCAATCAGAAAAGACTAACAACTTCATGCATCAAGGTACTCGATCGCCGCAATGGTCGTACCCGCGTTTCTTAGCTTCTCGCTTTTCAACCATTTCCTTCAAGCCTATTTTGAGCCCAAATATATCCCAACGTCGATGCACTTCTCGGTATAGTCCCCGCGGATCAAGTCCTACAAATCACGTGCTGTGTTACTAGGCAGCGGGTTCTGACCAGCCTAGGTTGCCTCTATGAGGCTCTCTGCTTAGAGTGCTCTGGACTTTGCGAGTCCTAGCCAGGTCGCACTTTTTGATATTCAAATACGTGCCTGATATTCGCTTCGTATCATCATTTCACCCATTACTTCATCTATCCCCTGTCGTGCTACTCTTTTGCCTTGTCTTCATTTTTTTCTACCTTTCCCCGACCACTATTCTCGATCCATTTTCCTCCATCATAATAATATTCTATCTTAATATTTTGCTTCTTGCCTCGGAGTGGGGATATTCTAGCGATATGCAATGCTAGTTAGTGAGGGTAGCTCGGTTGCGATTCACAGAATGCCCCCAGTTGGCTAATAGATCGATCCGATGAGGCTCTGAATTATTACTCTCTTACTACATGGTCGTCTGTTATGTCGTACTGCTGTCCCGTTAATGATCTCAATGTTGGGCAGTAGATATCCGAATCTAGTGCTGCTTGTCTTTACCTAGATCGAGGAGGAAAACGATGAAACTTGTCGTACATGGTATGTCATCAGCCGATACCAATCATGCCCTTCTTAATATTCATTAATCATATTCGGAATCATCCCGATCCGTCATGACTTTGCAAGTATACCTATCCATCCCCATGGCCGTGGAAAATGCTGTTTAATGTAGCAGACCCTAGCCTACTTAGACTCAAAGTACCACAATGCGCCACCTTTAGCGTCGCAATTACGAAGCAATACAAACAAACCCAATAGCAAGCTTACACTTTGATTTTAGAAAACGCAATGCAAGTCGGAAATATCCTGTTCAATCACCAACTTTGCCTTTGCGGAATATATATCTGATCTTATTCCCTCTCGGCGACTTACGGACGAGTATTCCTAAGTCTATATTAAGTTTTCCGAGATAATTGGCTCTTATGACAGCCTAATCTCTATGGGAATAGTGGCAATTAGTCTTCTCAACTGATCCATCTATGGGCATCTTCTAGGCTAACGGTGACCATACCTAGGTAGGTGCCTAGGTAGATAGGTATGTATGCAACAAATTGAACAAACATCCCATGTCAGTACTCCATGTGACCGGGAAGAGATCGAGGGCCAATAGCAATGGGTGTATTACACTGCCAGATCGTCCCAGCCGTCGTGCCATGTTACTCGACATTCGGCAGCATTTGACTTAACGGTACCGTACACGTTCGATGTGACCATGGCGCATGTCTAGGTAGACTCACAATTGTTCTCCATTGAGCCGCATCTGGAGGGTTACCTAAATTTACAAGGCCGTCCAATGAATTGCCTTGGATTTGATTTGCAGCTAAAATAAGTGACTAATTCATAGTAAATATCCATGAATAAGAAGCAAACGCTACGTATGCCCTGTGAGACTACCCTTGGCGCTAAAAGGGTTCTGTCCGACGACGACTACCGGGCCCCGGATCTTAGGTATTTATCCAGTTACACAACAGCCATTTCACATACCAGCACCCAACTACTCTACTACGATCATAAGGTGCAGGAAGATGCCAGGGTAACTTGGATGAAGGGTGAGTCTTCTGATTTGAAGCCACATGTATTCCTCTACGCAAGACATATCATCATTATACCTATTCTTCAAAACGAGGAAAGTTTAGACGGCAGTCACATGGCTAGGACAATACCGCTAAGGAAACTATTAGGACTAAACCGAATTAGATAAGCTGGCTCAGATATATGAAAGCCTGCTGGTCGTTTACGTATCCAGTGGAACTCGAACCTGTTTCTCGCCTCTCTACCCTGGCGGTTTTCCGGCTTGCCTGCATCTGTCGGTATCCTCAGCGGAACACCTGAGCTCTTATATTCACGCGGCTCCCCCAAATGTTGTCTTCTGTCATTTCCCTAGTCTGAAACAGCAGCCGGAGTTATTGTTCCTTTGCAATAGTTGGATTTGGTGGGGGTATCCAAATCATTGAGGCTATTCGCCTAGGGTATTCGATATATAAGGACTAGGTAAGTACTAAGTAGGTACTTACGCAGTGAATACGCAAGACTCATCCAAGAGTCACATTACCGCTATATGTGTGGTAATTATGCACAAAATATTACATTTATATCATCTGCTAGTGGGGCCCACTCAATAATTGAAGGTCGAAAGTAGTTGAGCAGGCTCGTGAGCGAAGGCATCGGTATATAGGTACCATTAACAGCTGTAACTGTGTTAAATCCACCAAGGTCTCTAGAACACCAATGTAAATTTATGTCAGATTCCTGGGGGACACGAAAATAGTCCTAAAAGCTGCATCATTAGTGATGCTAGAAGGCTTGGTTTGACGTGAGGAGAAACTAGGTAGGTGTTTTCAGGGGAACATTCAACTTCTTAATATTATAAGTGTGCAAAGGTTTTATTAGGTACCCTTCATGAATATATACATGATTTTAGTCTATTATAGGCTTTTATCTGTATATAAAGTAGTGGAATATCAAGATTTACAAGTTGACTACGGATATTCGCTATGTACCCATATAGGGGTCGGTGGTGCACCGCCACATAATGTGAAGCCACAGTTGATGTGGCGGAAGCTTCAAGGTTACATAAGAAAGTACCTAAGTACCTAGCTGTTAGCAGCCAACGCTGTTCTTCGCGCTTCACCTTCATTCAACTTTTCGCGACAGCAATCTTGTTCATGCAATTTCGTTGCGATACTCACCCAACTCCGAATTAAGCATAATCCGGCTGAACTCAATCCACGCATCTCACGTTTATTTTGCGAGGCATCAATTCTTCCAATTCGGAGCCATGGGAAAGAAGAAGCGTGGTCATCCCGACGTCGAGGAGCTTCTGTCTCGACCTTGGTGTTACTACTGTACGCCCTACCGCTTTCATCTCTGCATTTCATGAGATTTATTTCTAACTAATCCAATAGGTGAACGAGACTTCGAAGATCTAAAACTTTTGATATCGCATCAGAAGGCGAAACACTTCAAATGTGATCGATGTGGGCGACGTTTGAACACAGCTGGAGGTAAGAAATTCCCTTTCATCAAAGCCACTTCGACGCGACTTAAATTTTAATCTTGCTTTACGACAGGTCTCTCCGTTCATATGAATCAGGTCCACAAGGAGTCTCTATCATCAGTCGAAAATGCACTCCCCAATCGACAAGGCCTCGATGTTGAGATCTTCGGTATGGAAGGTATCCCGGAGGACATCGTCCAACAGCACAACCAGCGCATCATCCAAAACTTCTACCAAGCCCAAGCCGAGCGATACGCGGCGACGGGGAATCCCCCGCCTGGACAGGGTAGAAAGGGACCAGCGAAGAAGATTAAGATCGAGACGGCAGATGAGATCAAGAAGCGATTAGCAGAACATCGTGCAAGGCTTGCCACCCAGAAGCCAGGAATCGGTGGTGGAAGCGCGACTCATACGCCTCGCGAGGGTTTACCTGATCGGAACAGTCCTGCGCAAAGTGCATCTCCTGGTGCATTCGTACGTACTCCTTTACTCACTCTTGGTTGTGTTGTTTTATAACTCGTGCTAACTACATCTAATAGAATTCGCCTTTCCCTCCCCCAGGAGGTCAGTACCCGGGATTCCCTCCTCAGTCCGTGCCCGGCTACTCGCCTCCACCTCAGTACCCCGGCGCATATCCACCACCAAGTCTCCCCTCACGACCTGGCAGCAACCTCCCCGTTCCATCCGGATTACCTCCACGTCCTGGGCAAGCTGGCTGGCAAGGAAATGCATCGACCATCGACGAACTTGTATCTGGTGCTGCCCAACAAGGTGATGATATCGACCAGATTATCAGAATGGCTGAAGCTGGAATCAAACCACCAAAGAAGCCGGAGACGCCGACTACCGGCGAGGCGGGCGAAGCGACGGAGAAGAAGTCGAAGAAGGACAAGGACAAGAACGTGAAGATGGTGTACGACGACGAGATTAGTCCCGAAGAGAGGATGTCGATGATGCCTAGATACGCTTTCGTCCCAGAGGCTAGTGCTTAGGGTGATGAGGGGATGTGGTTTGTAATATTATGAAACGGCGAATGCTTATGGTTAGTCCCTATGTGTTGGGATCTATGAGCTAACGTCTCGCAGAACATGCTGCTCGGAGATACTAGGGCAGCTAGGTATTAAAAAAATTGCGAAACGATGAGATATCCCAAATTAGCTCTGAGCCTCATGTTGACTTCGAATTATTGAAAAATACCTAATTCTAGACTCAAGGTCCCCATTACAGCATTCTAACCAACCTCTCTACCTAGCAATTCAGGTGCACAGGAGTTGTACTTAATATTAACATTAAACATTATTTGGTATGGTTGGTATGGTTACTGGAAAAAGCATAACATTGGATATATGATGGTTACCCCTTTCGTTTATATCGCTTATAATGAATAACTCTTACATACCTACGAAATTTGTATAGTTATTGTGTGGATGACGTCATATATTATCCCGTTTACATCTGCGGACTTATTAAGTCTTTTGGATGCGAAGCAAACGACAACTACTAATACCTACCTAGGTACCTACCTACTGGCGAATTGAAGAGGTTTTACTACCACGCACGCCAAAATATTACAACAAATATTCCATAGAATCAATTCCACTCACCAGCTCATCGGATAATCCTCATATGACTACCTAGGTACATAACATATTACTCATCCGGACATTTCGTACCTACGAGGAGGTTACTTTCTACGCACCAACTTACACTCCTATATTTCACCTCATGATACCCGGACTTCCCTAAATACAACATGGCTACTTTAAAACGCTTCATCGCCAACGCGGACGAGACCTTCCGGACCGTGGATGCCAATAAAGAACTCCTAGCCAGTCTCTACCGGATCACAACACACTATCCTCCGGTTCATACATGTTCCACAGGATGGAAGTTCGAAGGTTTCTACAACGGACCAACTTCAATTGCATATCTGTTCTACCGACTATCTCAAATCTTCCCGGATATGGAGTTTAAGCAGCAGTCTCTCCTAGACTGGGCCGAAGCCTACCTTGCTCTAGGCGCCCGTCGGACGAAGAAGGATCCCTCCCCGAACAACTGTGGAATCACAAACGAGACCTTAGCCCACCTCTCCCTCACCGCAGTCATGAAGCGAGACATCAACATAGTCCGACAGATCTGCTCCTTCGCCGCATATGTCAACAACTTACAGCTCACCAGCTCCGATGAGTGGATGTACGGACGCGCCGGTTACCTGTACTTCCTTCGTCTATGCGAGACGCTAATCAAGGAAACCCAGAACCCGGAATCGAGCACGGCCACTCTCCTCGACAAGACCGTGGATAACACCATAACCCGCATCCTAGCCAACCCCCCGCCGCACTACTGGCACGGCAAGGACTACCACGGCGCCGCCCACGGCACCATCGGCATGATCACGCAGCTCGTGCTCACGCGCCCGTCTATCGCCGTCGCCCTACACCTCATGCTCGAGCTAGTCCTCATCAGGCAATTCGCCAGCGGCAATTTCCCCGCCACCGAGGGCTCCCACGTCGACTTCCTCGTTCAGTTCTGCCACGGTGCGCCCGGCATCAATATCGCCCTGCGCTCGCTGCTCCCGCATTTCTCTGAAAAGGTCCGTGCGAAGATGGAGGCCGCGATGAAGAGTGCCGACGAAGAGGTGTGGAGGAGGGGCCTGCTGTCGAAGAACCCGTGCTTGTGCCATGGCATCCCGGGTAATGCGCTGGCGCTTACCGAGGGCGGACAAGAGCGCTTGTTGCACTTCCTGTCGTGGATGGGTACGGAGGAGTTGGAGAGTAGGGGTTGGTTGGCGCAGGAGGCTCGCGATGGGGAGGCTGCGGGGTTGTTTACGGGGGAGGCGGGACGTGCGTGGGTTTGGGGCGTTGTGGCGGGGGGTTGGCCGAGGGTGCTTATTGGGTTTAATGATATTTGAGGTTGCGATTGGGGGGTGGGGGATAGGGGGAAAGGGGATGGGTTCGAGAAGAGTGGTACTTGGTATCACTCTTTAAGAAAACTTCAATCAAGATGCCCCCTTCTAAGCTGCAATACATAAGAATATGGGCGAAGGAAGGTTACCTCTACTCTGTTCTTCCCAATTACTCTCATTTTCAATCAGATTATGGATCGTGGGTTAGTTTGTTGAATTTGGTGATATTGTGCCTCGTTTGACGTGATGGCTCCAAAGAAAATACTTGGTCTCCATAGATCATAGCAATGTTTGTTAGGTACAAGGTGCGACCCTTCCTGCCATATCTCACGCGCTTCTTACTCTAACTGTTTATACCCACCTCATCCACCTCCGGCCACGAAGCAAATAGGTAGGCTTAGTTGTGTGCTTTGATAGGTATGTTGAATTCCTGGTTACCTCCCACCCCTATCACTAGACTACCTGAAGTCTGTTTAAGTGCTACGGTATGTTGAATACCTAGCGACCCGCAAGTTATCAAAGCCACCAACTCATTCCCTTGGTTTCCCATACCCTAATTCAATCCTCCAACGATCCAATCCTAGGTTATGTTTATATCTCACAGATAGATATACATATCGTAACTCAGAAGCTCGGCTGATCCCGTGTTACAAGTCCCAAAGTTCGCTAAATGGCCTTGAGTGGAAGCCTCGGCTTTCGGGCAGCCTTTTTTGGTGTATATGGTCAAATCGGCACGGCTACCGTCGCCGAACGTCTTGGGTCCTTTTGGAAAGAACCTATAATATCAAGATTAGCTTTCACTCGCGGGGTATGATCAAAGTAGACGTGGCCAATGTCGGCTTCGTGAGCTACGCAAGCATCTACATATTGGGTAGGTACCTAGATAGGTGCTATATCGGATTTCGGGAACTAGAGAGGTTTGGGAACTTACGAGAATGCCGCATCCGCCATTGGAAGAGAACTGCATGTGACATTTCGGGCTATCTGGAGGGTTGAGACGTCATTCTTACACTCCTTGTCCGAGTAAAGCGTGACGTTCCATACGGGCATCTGAGGGTTTTGGGCGTCGACCTTTACAGCGAGAAAGGAAACGAATGCCGCAAGGACTATGTCGAAGTACATATTGAATTTGGGTCAACAGGAGCGGGATAAGTATAGACTGAGATAGTAGTGAAACTTGGCTTCTATGCGCTATTGCTGGTATGAAATTTCTAGAGGCATTTGGCCTCTTTTATATCCGTCTGAAAAGGTTGCGCATGGTATAGCAAAGGCGCGGCTACGTCGTTTCTCACTGTTCACCCTTAACACACACAGAGCCGATAGCTCGCTTAACTCGTAAAGTCATTTGCTTAAAAAATCAAGTTTATTGAACTCAGTTGTGAAACTGAGCTGCCAGCAGGTGATAGGGCGGTTTAAGCCATACCTATATAGGTTGCTAGTCAATCAAGTAGTCATGGGCCATAGGCAGTTACATAAGAGAATACATAATTAAAACATAAAAGCGTAAGTTAATATACACTGCCGCGTAGATATCGGTAAGATGTAGCCAAGTTTTCCTACCTATTAACAATTGAAGATTAAAGCCAAGAACGTTATATCCATAAGGAGGCATCGCTAACATGCGTGTGATGCCCCTCACGCGTAAGTCGGGAGAGTGAAGAATGTGTTTAAGCCGTTAGTTTAGTAAGATACATCTGCGAATACGATCCCAATGCCATAATTGGGAAGTAGAGCTTATAGTTTGGATACCCGATCATACTTGAGGCGAGAATCAGTAACCATGTCATAACCTAGAGCTAAGTTGAGTATTGCTTACCAGGTCTGGTTGAAAACCCCCTCTACACCTTCTTGAAGCCACTCACCGCTGGGCTGTTGACGGTCGCGAATCAGCTAGACACCATTAGCAAACTTCAGTAACTCCACAGAGTTTCATGGTTCATCATCACCTGAAGACCTCTCTGTATAGGCGTCGGATCAGGGTAGCCGGCGTGCATTAGTGCTAGGACGGCCCATGAGGTATTCACTACCTGGCTCATGTCGTGATGAATATAGCGCTTCTCGAGGCATGACATGTGATGTTCTCCCCAGCCGCCATCGTCCATCTGTCTTTCGACAAGAAACTCGCAGGCTCGACGGACAGCGTCGCTATTCTGGTACTGCTCGCCTACACTCTCAAGACTCTGTAGAGCGAAGAACATAGCATAGGTGAAACATATAGCCCATGCGCCATACCAACTTCCGTCGGGCCTTTGGGCGCGACGGATAAAGTGGACGGCAGCATTCATAGCTCTATCGATGTCGTGGCGTCGATATTGTGGGGAATGTTTGCTGAATAGGGCGAGGGCAGTCAACACCGCTGTAGTACACTCGGGGTGAGAGTGTTCCACCATGATCTGGTCAAAAACCTCTGCCGGATTAAGTAGCTCGAGATAATCACTACCTCGTTTCCTCTCGTAGCTTCCGAACCCTCCATCTGTATTTTGCATCAAGAGAAGGGTGTCCACACAGTCTTGCAGTCGAGAGTCGTCGATCTTGCACGAGTACGACGGGTCGTTTTGAAGCATAAGAACTGCCTTCAGACTCTCCGCGGCGCAGTCGGATACGATGTATCCATTGCTTCGGGTGCTAAAGGGCCAACCCCCTTTCCGTATTTGACGGTAGGCGTCATCCAGGTTATCTCTCAATTGTGATATGTCAAGAAAACTGAGAGCTTTTTCAAGACAGGGGTGGAAGCTTTGATGTTGCGCGAGACCGGCTTTCACGGCGGCTTGAATTGTGAAAGCTGTATCCCATACTTGGACCCCGTTGGTTCCATTGCTAGTCATACCATCTGGCCCCATCCATAGATACGTAGCAATATGTTTGCGGTGCTCTTCGAGTCTCTTGGAAGAAAGACCATCCTCAAATACTGTAGCCACTATATGAAAAGCTTTATTTACAGGCGCAAGACAGTTAAAGTCAGTATTATGTTCTTCGCGCTTCATTAGTTCTGATACCTTATTGTTAGCCAAGGTTAACAGCCATTGTGGTCGAAGGAAGTTGCACCAGAAAGAGAGAATGGCGAATAAAATGACTAGCAAAGGAGAGACTTTGCGCACAGCATCCGTCTCAGCAGTATAGTTACGGTAGTCGGAAAAGGCGATAGATGAGTACTTCTCCGTATATATCTCATCTCTGATTTCGGCTAAGAGCGGCGTGAGTGGAGTAGTGCAGCGATTTGACCATAGATATGAGGTTGGAAGATAGACCACTCGGCATTGCGCCCACCAACGAATAGGATGAAAGGGAACCCAAGTGGGCAGAAGCCATAAATCAACTGGAATACAGTTCACTCCGTCCCAGTCGAAAAGGTTCAAGCAGGATAGCCAAATTTTCCCCCACTGTGGAATGCCTATGACTCCCCCTTAACACCATTAGAACAATGCAGCACACCTTAGCCAAGGTGCCAGTTAACATACCAAGTGACAGGAGGCAGTTTCTTGCCTTGCTAGCTAGAGGGTGGTGCTTATCCATCCCAAGGATTCGCAACACAACGTAATAGAGGCCGGTAGCGAATACGGTTGATTCTCCTTCCAGGTGTAGGCCCCAGCCACCATCTTCATTGGCGTGATGCGCAAGGTACCGCGTCATTTCGATCCTCCACTCACTTGGAATTGGAGAATGTGAGATGTACATCGCAAATATCAATCCCGGAAGAAGAAAGCTTGGCCCACCGTACTCACAGGCCCAGTGTCCTTCAGGAAGTTGAATGTCGCGGAGGAAATCGAACCCGTTTCGAGCGGCTTCGTCAAATGACGGTATGGCGGTTTTCGTACGACATCCATTTTGGCGATCCGGCAAAGGCAGACCTAGAAGGTAACGCTCTGCGACTGTCTGTTCGCACTCGCTCTCGCCACTTTCACTGTCTCCAAGATAGATCCAATGATGGTCACCGTGTTCGCTCAATAAACGCCAGCGACTGAGGTCTGTCATAGGTACGTGGCTTTCCATGACTGTTCCTGCGGCTTGAAAAAAGATGAGAAATGAAAACTTTTTGAGATGTAGTAAGAAATTTCGCTTATGGTGTCGTCGTGGTGGGGGTTGGGGGTGAGCACGATTGGATTCTGCGGGTGGTGAGCACCAAGAAAATAACAAATTACCCCTGAAATGCCCCGAACTCCGCGGTATGTAGTGTAACATAAGCTCTACTACAGCCTCTAAGATAGTGGCGGCCTTAAATATTTACAGTGCATTAAACTTACAGAACACCTAATGCGAATGATTTGGTAATTATGGGAATAAACGCCTATTAACTAGTTGGAGAAATGGCCACAATCTTCATGTTCTCATAGAAGTGGAAGGTATTTTTCATATGTTTCTAATCACTACTCATACAATATATAATATGAGGTAGATAGGTGCATTATATTGAAATAGATGCAGTCATATTGGTTGATTAGTTGGTTAAGTTGCTAGTTCTATGTAGGTACATATATAGCCCTTGAATACAGGGCGTAGACTCCCAGCCACCTAATATTCCAGCACATATACATGAAATTCAACTTCGTGTGTCACTATGAAGCCAGTATTTTCTCTGCTTCAAAATATTCATAGTACATTATGAGATTTCGTTCCGCCTTTGACACCGTCATTTTGCACTCCCGGATGATGCTTCCAGGCAATGTGCGACTTTGGCAGTACACTTTCTTCGAGCCAGTCCAGCACGGGAGTTTCGCTAATCAACGGCCCGAATGTATTGTTGAAAAACGCTTTATTCAGCGGAAGATTGGGCAGGATGTATTTTGCCATAACCCTATCTTTCCAAGACGACCATGCGATTAGTCTAGCAGTTTTCATCGAGAACTCAGCCATCTTCCTTGTGTCCTTTAAACGCTTCTTTTCGTAAATTTCGAATAAATCCTGCAGAGTCCTCGTGCCTGGGAATTTGTCATCCCGCAATAACTGTCGTAGATCATTTATCAACACGACGAGGTCTGTCACGCCACTATTGTAACCTAAACCGGCGTGAGGCTCATATTTTCGAACAGCGTCGCCAACTAGTACGATACGCTCGAAAGACCATCCATCTATTAACCCTTCTTCGATGTTGATGAGCCCAGTGTCACCAAGCCGACGAGCGTTTACGTCCTGAAGCTTCCACCCCGGTGCCAAATACAGATTACCGCATCTATTTAAGATGTCAACTTTATCGGTCTCTGTATACCTGGTAGCTTTTGAAGTATGCGAATCGATCTTCTCATAAACCCCATACCAACCCCTATCAGTACCGTTGACAATTTGAGTTGATAGCCCGTCTTGGGATCCGTCATATCTGGTATTGGTAGCTAGACCGGGGAGGATAGGGATCTCCCCAAAATATAGTCGGTACGTTGCGACGTAGGGCTGTTTCTGAGCCTGCGGGAGGTCTTCCGGTTTTTTGCCCCTCTTCAGGGCTCTCATGAGTAACCGGACACTACTACGTACTCCGTCGGCCCCTATAACGATAGAGCCTTCATGTGTGCTTCCGTCGGCACAGACAACCTTCACGCCATCTTCTGAGGGTGAAATATTGACGACATGTTTCTTGAGTAATATGAGAGACTTTACACTCTCCGGTAAGCTCTCATAGAGAAGCCTAACCAAATCAGGGCGGTGCATGATTTTGATCCCGTGGCCGTGACTGAGGGGGTTAGCAGAGAGTTCAATCTTGTTCTTATCTCGCGACTCACTTCTTCTCTATCAATAGGACCGTCTCGTCCTTCATTCTGATACGGGCATCTTTCGCTGAAAGTGTAAACCCCTGTTCAATGTAATCCAGGCTCGGCTCTAGGGCCTTGAGGAGACCCAATTGATCAAATATGCGCAGTGTCTGAGGCCATAACGCCAACGTAGTCCCTTGCAAAGCCAACACGGTCTCATGTTTCTCTAGTATTGTAAAGTCGATACCGGTTTTTGAGAGGATGTGCGCTGCGGTGAGGCCAATCAGACCGCAGCCCACCACGATCACCCGGAATGGCTTCTCTGTCTCCATCTCAAGGCTGTCTTATCGTTTATTCCTCCTTAAAAAGATCGTGCATTTGCCACCTGTGCGGTTCTGTAAATGATATACGATAATTAATTTGTAGCTTTAGATAATGACCGGTAAGGAAGGGTGGTGTGGGTGTTTGACAATGGCCCCCAACGAAGGAGGTAAGAATTAATCTAAAGTAATTTGGAAGTAAGGCATGTTTCTGCAGAAGCCACTACTAGGTAGGTACCTATAAAGTGAAGGATTGGGGTTTCATTTAGTAGCCCTGGAGGACCTAGGACCGACCTTTGGGTTACACCTGTTGACGCCGAAGCATCAGACGCGTAGCCTATCTCTTTGTCCAAGGTAAGCCACACCGTCTTTTTGTTACCCGGGTTCCACTACATTTCTTTCCGTGCAGACCGAGTCCTAAATTCCAAATATGTTTGATTCGATACTTCCCTAAGAGCGAGCAACATATGTTGGAAGGTAACCCCAATCCGTGGTGGCGGCCTGCAAATGTGAAATAATATGATGGTGGATGCACTAATCTGACAAATCGGGGTGCCGGGGTGCACGTTGACATCAACTAAATGCGCTATGGTATGTTGCACAGCATGGAGGGGTTGGCTTAGGAAGCTCACCTGCAGCCTTCCAAGCTCTGCGTTTCAGCTACTAGGTATGATTACTTACATGTAGGTTGGTACATACTATATAGGTTGATACCTAGCTGCCTAGGTACCTAGTAGGTTAAGTGCGATCCTCAGCCAGCCGTTAGGAAAGGGCCTTCCAATTAAATATATCAATAGTCAAAATCCAGCAGCCCTTGCGCCTTAGTTGAGTGGAGAAGGCCCTCGCCAACCCCTTTTCTTTCTTTTTCCCCCCTTAAAATTCAGTTTGCCGAGTGGACTTTAAACTTAGTTTCCAAGATGGAATTGGATGCCAACGGAATAAAGAGATTCGCAACAAGCATCACTTGCTGTGCAATTGTCATCATATCGGTTGCTCTGCGCTTCTGGTGTAAACTCTCACTGAAGAGTGGTATACATGCGGAAGACTGGGTTATATTTGCCGTAGTGCCAGCATATATAGGGGCTACAGCTGATGACATATGGGGTATGTCCCCTTTTACACTCTTACTATCACGTGGCACTAAAATTCGAAGGACTCCTTGGAGGGGGCCATGGCAAGGAGATAGATGCAGTGGTTGTTGACCTGCTGCTTGATCCATCGCCCAAAAACTTCAAGGCCTTAGAAGTTTCCTTCGAAGTATTTCTAACCATCTAAGTTACTTACCTAGTACCCAGTTGATGATGATCACCTTTTAATCATTTCCTTTATCGAGGCTTACCAATGTTTTAGTCGCTTTTTGTCGGGTTCTTCCTCTCCCCCTTTGGACTCACAGCCACCAGAATATCTATCTGTTTATTATATCGGCGCATATTTTCGACACGCAACTTTCGAATTCAATCAATGATAATGATGATTATAAGCATCGCGTGGCTCACTGCGTCCTTTGTTGTTAACGTGGTGCTTTGCATTCCACTTGATACGTTCTGGAAACCTTTCAATCCAGGACGTTGCGTGAACTTCAACCTATATTATCTTTTAATCGGTATTTTTGAAACCATAATTGATTCTGCAATATTGGCCCTCCCTATTCGGGCCACATTCCAAGTCCAACTACCTTTGAAGACTAAACTCCTCTTGTCGGGGATTTTTCTTCTAGGAGGGTTGTGAGTTCACTCTCTTGCTAATAGACTTAGCGCTCGACATAGGCTTATATACCTACAGTGTTATCGTCACGAATGCCTTTCGCCTATCCGCTATATACCAGCCCAATAGTACCAAGGTGTCACTAAGTGAGGCGACATTTTGGACTCATATCCATTCTACGACAGCAGTACTCTGTGCCAACATTCCAATCTACAAGCCTCTTGTAGCCTCGGCAAATAACTTGTTTGGTGGGATTCGAAACATATTCTACTCATCATTTCGCTCGCTGCGAAGTAACCAGACAATGAGAATCGAGGATTCAGCAGATGACCCCGAAAGTGGTTTCCAGATGGTGAATACTACGTCGCATCCGGATGTAGCTGCTTATCATCGGTCAAGGTATCATCTTGAAGATTCGAGAAACCCTATCCTCGTTCCTGATGAAGGGGTGAATGTGACGATAGCTAGATGCAGCGATATGTCCCTCGGCCATCTAGATATCCCGCAGGGTAGAATACTTCACACGAGGAAGGTTGAGGTTGCTTGATTTTGACCGGGGCGTGTAGTGTATCTCATTCCTACGATAGTCAATACAGAATTTTCAATTAGAACTAGGAGAATATTAGACAATCGAAATTGAGTAGCGGGGTTTTACTTGTGAATAGGGGCCTTTAAGTTTGCATCACCTATCCATAATAGGTACCTAGACTGTACACTAAAATATCCCATGCTCCGCTGTAGTAGGTGTGCTTGTAGCGGATAGGTAGCTGTGTAATGAGGGGTCATCCATGGATGAGTTTTTCGCACATCAGCCACGCTTTTTTTCCAGTGCGCGATTAAATAAACAATTAAAAAATAATGTGTTAGGTCTAGACCTAAAGGTGATTTATCCGCTAGACTAGTGTGGATGATCGCTACAGTCTAGGAGGCTTAGGGAGCTTAGCTACTGAAGAAATGCGCCCCACAGTGCGGGGAATCGCTATTTACACGGCTTTAGTTCCTGGCAACTCCATTCTCGGGTGGGAATGCGCCGCCAGTCTAGAAGCCCTCTAACCTACATCATTCACAATAATGGCCAGAGTTGTCCATCACAACAAGTGAAGGCAAGATGGCCGAGTTGGTCCATGGCGCGAGGTTAAGGTCATAATCTTAACACGATTTCCTCGTGGGGAAACCCTCGTGGGTTCGAATCCCACTCTTGTCACGATATATTTTTGTGTTTTCTATATTTTATATTTTTTTCTTCTTTTTTATGTGCGCAAAGCTAGTAAATGACGACATCATGGAGAATGTAGGTCTCTATATTCTTATATCCAAACGTGAGTAGTCCGTTTAAGTCGACTCGTCTCATTCTACTCCGAAGCGGGCACCAATGTAATCGAGTCGAAGTCCAGAATGTCAGTCTTGGTATTGGAAACAGATTCTGAAACTAAACGCCTGACTGTATCCGACCGTGGAACTATGCGGACCTGATATGGTTTCGGCTTTGTGACTAGACCAGCTACATTCCAATATCTCAGTACTAGATACAGAACGAAAGAAGTTGAGGAACAGAATGAAGCTTACCGATTTTGGCATTGAGATCCAAAGGCTCTCCCGGTCGAGGCGAAATATCAAAAGCCCAAAGTACACGGGCGATGACAATATACAGGGATGCCTCAGCCACAAAAATACCCTGACAGAGTCGGCGACCAAAGCCATAGTGAAAATGGTCTCGACGACGGAAGTCTGGGTGGTTAGCACTGGCCGAAGCATTCAGGTCATCGTTTATGAAACGCTCAGGCCAGAAGGCATCCGGGTTTTGATACACGGCCGGATCACGGCTCAGTGCAGGCAAGTTTGGAAAGACAATTGTACCCTTCGGGACCCGACGTCCAAGGTATCTATCCTCCTCCGAGGTCGCATGCGGTACGCCTAGGCTTCCAATGGGAGCCCATCTATGGACTTCCTTGATCAGTGCTCGGACGTAGGGCAGGTTTGGCTCATCCGTCCAGGTGGGCAACCGTGACGGTCCTACAACGCGATCGAGTTCTGGGGCCTAGTGTTAGCATCGACGCACAAACTGGTATGGCACACCTCTCAGAATTCATCTTGCCTTCTTGTGCAGCTTTCTGGGCCTCGGGATTGAGTGCCATGACCTTGAAAAAGGACTGCAATACACTACTTGTGGTATCGGCTCCGGCGCCGATGAGCATGGCCAGGATATTGATAGCCATTTCGTCATCAACGCCTTCCGTCTCTTGAATTTTTACCAGCTCGGTTCCGAAACAGTCAGGCGCTGAGTTTGCTTGCACTTGCATCTTGAGCGTCCTCAAGAAAGCAGTGTTCAGCGCAGACTCCCGCTTTCGCAGGCTCATTGCTAACTTCATCCATGGTTGAAATCTTTCTGGGAGCCTTTGAAGAATCGGGAAATAATCCAGCAAAAGTGTGCCTGGCTGGAAATCTGCGAACGAACGTTAGCAACTTCATTCTACCTCAACTATAACCATTTTGGAGGACTCCTACAATTCAATATGTCTTCCCATACAGAGTAGAACTCGCACATGATGGGATGATCAAGCTGTACAAGACGTACACCATATACCGCGCTGAAAATGACGCTAATGGCAAACCGTTCGGTATGAGCGAGGAAGTCTGCGGGAGCTTCTACAAGATCCTTAAGCATGATTATCGCTTCATAGTCCTGGTATTTCTGGAAGCCTGCAGACTGTTGAGGCCCGAGGAGATTGTTATAGATGCGTCGAAGCAGTCGGAACTGTTGACCAACCCCTGTCGTTACTAGCCTCCATGGCCACATACGTTCGCGGAATTCATTTTGTGAAGGCCGGTCAGAGTAAATGGAACCTCTCTAAAAGTAAGTAATCCATTAGCTTCGTTAACTTCACCTAAGTGTAGGATAGGGGCTAACTACCTTATCCAGTAATTGTTTCGCATCCTCGGCTTTGCTGATGATTAGGACAGGCATGGAACTAAACCACAACATAGAAATACCACCAAACTTCTTTGCTATCTTCATTAGTTCCACATCTGGATTCTTGAAGAGCTTAGAAACGTAGACGAGGTTTCCTACGATAGGCCATGGGGTAGGCCCTCCTGGGTAAACATCGTTTGTTTTTGCCTTCTTCGAGAAGCTAGCCGGCTTCAAACTCCAAAGAATCGAAGTCAGCCACGAGAAGACGACACAGACAAGGATTGCACTAATGTAATAATCGGAATGGTATTTAGCAACGTCCATGGTTGCCGCTTTTCAAAATTTAGACGTTAAAGGTCAAACGATATGAGGAAAACCGGATCTCAAGCTGAAGACACTCTAAGTTACGGAATAATTTAAGACACATAACCTTTGAGTGCCTTTGGGAGCTATCGGTTCCCATATTGGGCGAGTCCATACTGCATACTTACGGTATTCGAAGCCAACTAGGTCCTACGTAGGGTGAGTCAGACTTCAATGCTTCATGGCTACGATCTAGGTCATAGGACACTTTGCTATGTCTTACCTAAAACTACCTTACTTGAAGAGTTGCATCGTCAAGCCAACGATAGCCCCTGCAGGAGGAACGTCAATACGTTATGTTCAGCTGCATGTAATCTTCTCGTGGGATCCCTCGACGTTAATATCGAATGCAGCTGCATCCATATAGAAAGGGCAAATGCACAGCTCTCGATTTGTATAGAAAATCAAAAGATATCAGGCTCGTGCAACCCACCAGCTTACTGTTATTAGTCAGGAGACGTTTTCCAGTGCGGTTGCACGAAGATGAGGCACGGCTGGCGTTATGAGAAAAAGACACTACTCGCCTAGAGCTCGTTTTTATATATTAAACGAAACGCCACTCTGGGCAGGTATGGTGTGGGGGAGAGTCGTCTTGGCTGCATAAATTTCATTATGTGCTGACCAAGTCAGACCTAGGTAGGCAGGCTATCATCCACTCGCTGCTGTCACGAGGTTATGAGGATCGTTAACATTGTAATCAGAAAGTAGGTACCTAGGTATCACCAACTTTCAGGAAAGGGGTTGCTATCCGCTGATCATCAAATGCCAGTTGAGTCTACCTTGGTGCCTTCATCAAATCGCATTTATCTGGTTATATGACAGCTCGTCTTATTATCTCCTAAGGGCTGTATCTGATTAGAGGTCACACAATATGCTCTCTTCGACTTGGCTGTGGTAAAATATTCCCCCAATGTCGTCTCTGAATTCGACTTGCATCAGCGGCTCTGCGCCTGTTGCCTTATCGCAGAAATTCCTATGTAATCCTGGATTTTACTGTGAGTGGTCCTAATTTACTTTGCCACTTGGGGGGACACTTGGAAATCATATACGACTCTGGATCTGGTACTGTAAGGTACTTTCCCCCTGACAGACTTTCACAGGTCCGAACAACAGTGCGACCACTCCCCCCCAGTATTGTGCCCCAACCCCCGAGTGCCTCCTTACTCGCTTACAAACAGTACGAAACATATGCAATGATGCTCAGGGAATCTATGAGCCTCTAGTTTGTCCTCCAGGCCATTACTGTAGTCTTGGGGGCAAGCAGATCAGCATATGTCCTCAAGGCTATTTCTGTCCTCTTGGGTCTGCGGAACCCTTTCGATGTGGTATCACATCTATATGCCCAGAGGGGGCTGATCGTGAGCTTGTAATGGATGGATTTATCTTTATCTTTATTCTCGATTCAATTATCTTAGCCCTTCTACTAAAGTCATTTCGTCGAGTATTGGACATTATCCGGTGGCGTATTCTTAGGACCTGCATAGAGAAGTCTACTTTTGTGGCAAGCCCTGAGCTTTCCCACATTGATACTATCAGCGAGGGAAATTTGAGGATCGAAGACGAAAATGTGCGAAAATTCGTTGCCTCTGTCAGGAGTTGCGTTGGTCAAGGGGACGTTGGCTTTTCTTTCGGATTTGAAGAGCTTTCGCTCGTTCTCGCGAATGGAAAGACAATCCTTGCCCCTCAATCTGGGCATATCCCGAAAGGGAGCATTTGGGGCGTAATGGGACCGTCGGGTGCTGGTAAAAGTAGGTACATACCTACTACCTATCTATTCTGTTCAACTTATTATTTAATCCCAAATGTTTACCAAATTGTCACAGGCAGCTTCGTGAATGTTTTAATGGGCAAGACAAAGCAGACTACTGGTCAAATTTATGTAAACAAGGTTGCATGGAAAACCGTGAAGTATGCCCCTCTGGTCATCTTCCTGACTTTTACATAAGGTCTTCCTACTAACAGAGAAACCAAGATACAAAAAGCTGATAGGCTATGTCCCACAAGACGACATAATCATGTCAGAATGCACAATTCGCGAAAGCATATTGCACTCCGCCATCGCTCGTCTGCCAAGGAAATGGTCTGACAAGCAACGCAACGAGCACGTCGATACTATCATATCCTGCCTCGGCCTTACTGATATCCAAGACAGAATTATAGGTGACCAGATCTCATGGGCCATATCAGGCGGCCAGCGTAAAAGGGTTAGTATTGGCATCGAACTGGCAGCAGCCCCTATAGCGCTGGTGCTGGATGAGCCCACATCTGGCTTAGATGCGACGGCTTCCCTTTCAATTATGAGATTGCTTCGGACTTTGTCCAAATTAGGAGTGACAGTTGTTTGTATCATACATCAGCCTCGCCCTGAGATTCTTGAGTTTCTTAGCGGAGTTACTTTACTCAGCAGGGGCTACCAGGTCTATCACGGAGAATCCAGCGGCCTTACGGGCTATTTCAGTCATCTAGGGTTCGATATCTCTGGCAAACCCAATATTGGTGATGCAGTTTTGGATATTATATCCGGACAATATGCTCTGCATACTGAATCATACAGAACACTCACCATTCATGATCTAGTGGAAAGCTGGAGGTCAAATTCTTCCAGGATACAGCCCCCGTTAGAAACTAACGAGCAAATGGTTTCTTCAAGTTACCAGGTTGAACTTTTGGCGCGCTCAGCCTCCGGTAGGGGGCAATCTAGAACTAGGCAAACGTATCTCTGCTTCGTACGATCAATGAAACAACAATGGCGGCGAATGAATAGCTTTATACTTGAAATTGCAGTCGGTTCGATTTCTGGTTTACTCATTGGCTTGTCATTGTACCAGCTCCGCGGCCAACACTTCCAGGGAGCCTACTATCCGCCCTTCCAGATTCTATCCAGTGCGTTGAATTACACTACAGTTCCTGAGATAGGACTCCTCTGTAGTTTAGCGATAGGTGCGCCTACCATTTCCGACCACCCTATTAGGTTAATATTAAGAAGGCGTTTCTCTAACTAACATAGGATTGGCCGCGGCCGCCCCTGGCGTGAAGACTTTCGGTGAGGAGAGTAAGTACCTCATTTTTTCCAATTTAAAACTTACGACTACGGACATACAAGCTAACATCGTGAAAGAGCAAATGTACTGGCGAGAAGCTAGTGCTGGACATTCGCGATCTGCATACTACATTGGCAAAGTGATAGCCACGATTCCACGCCTTACCATATCAGCCATGCATTTTACTACATTTTATTGCATCTTAGCGACTCCACGGATGTCTTTCTGGACCATGTATCTTACAAATTTGATGTACTTCTATTGTGAGATCCTCGCCCATTATTCTATACACTATTCGTTCCCCGTTTCATTAACAGCGTTTTAGGTATATACGGGCTTGCTTCTACAGTATCCACGGTCGTCCGAAGAGAGGATGGTCCTCTATTGGCGATGATCGTAAGCTTGGTTATCGGCGTTTTTGGTGGCTATGGCCCCCCGCTCTACAATGTGAAAGAATGGCACTTGGAATGGTTCTGGCGCCTGTGTCCAGGAGTACGTCTCTCCCTTTACCTATGAATGAATCCATTGCGCGGAAGACCAACTGCTTACATAATCTTACATCGCAGATTTGGTTAACTGAGGCCTACTTCGATCAACATCTGATTATATCGGGTCATCTCTACGATTTAGACGCAGCTGCTAGATGGACAGGATATGTGCGAGGTCGTTTTGGCACTGATGTACTGTGAGTGTGTTACTACAGTATGTCTTACTGCTCCTGATACTAACCTTAATCAAAGCCTACTGCTAGTTATTGGCACTGTATATCGCCTAGCTGCGTTTGCGGGGCTTGTTTTCATAGACCGCAATAGACAGAAGTAGGATCTCCTCTTCATATGAAGTTAGTTGGAGTTCATGATGGCGATGGGGTCCCTGCACCAGAGACACATGATGGTGGAACAGAAAGACCTCTTGATTCCACAGGATTTATAATTATAATCTATAATTAATACGAGAGGCATTACGGCACAAGTAATTCGTCGTATAGTACCCGTTTCTGGCAAGTTTTGAGCTGTCTTCCCAACAGCCCAAAATGCGCAAATCCTTAGGCTAGTCGTGAGACACATCGTGACACCTAGTCAAGATGTCTTACCAGAACCTCAAAATTATATAGTAAGCACAGGAAATTATCGCCCGATTTATTTATATTTGCCACCATCCTTCAATTGAATGCAGTCCTAGCTTGAGTAACAAGTTCGGTCATTGTGTTGAGTCACTCAGTAATCGGCGAACAGAGAGAACTCTGCTAAGTTCCCAATTGACGTGTAACATAGCACCATCATAACATCGAGCTTCATAACTCCTTTCCAACGCCGAGAGCCTCGTATGAGAAAATAAGTCGATATGCATACGTACATACATACATACATACATACGTAGAGAAGGGTAAATACAAGTGTCTCGTACCGACACCTATGCGGATATCTCAAATCTGTTTCCAGTAGATATATACAAGAACGGAACGTAAATATAAATAAATATCAGCGAAAAAGAATGGAAGAAAAATCACTTTTAGGCAGTAAAGCCCGTAGTTAGTCCATAGACACCCCATCAATCTCCCAACCTATGTAGTCCCCTAAACGCCGGTCCACCTGGACGCCTCTACTATGACGAGTCCCTTAAGGCCGTCCCTCGTAGAACGTAACGCCGAAGCGTCCGTTCTTAGAGCAGATCACCGGGTTTCCGTGGTAGTCGTCGACGTACGCGGCAGTGAACCCGAGCTTGCCGGACAGATAGCTAACAACATTGGAAAGCAGGGCGGCCTGCCAGTCCTCAGTCGCCTTGATCGCCTTAGCGCCGGAATCCTTCGCCTCCAGTATCGAGTCCGTCGCATCGTTCAACACGCTGTTGTCGCTGAAACCAGTCGTGGCGCCCGTTCCATCGGTCGCTGCTATGGTGACAGCACCGTCCATACCGCGGATCAAGGAAACGTCAGCCCATCCGGTACCCGAGGCGTCGAGGCCGATCTCGACCCAGGTTCCTAGGGTATGTGCTGATCCGTCGAGGTTAACGGCAGTCGTACCGCGCACGATACGGCCCTGGAACTGGGCGGGTAGGGAGATGAATTTGGAGGCGCCAGCATCGACGGAGATGTACTTGCTGGGCATCGTGTCGCAACCATTCTCGTAAACGAAGTAAGTGCGGGTCTCGCTGTCCGCATTGGTGATGTTAAGACCGGCACCGCCCGTGTCCGTTTCGGAGCTAGCGTCGACAGCCTGGGTGGAACAGTTCGAGCGGGTAGCTAGAGCTCTGGGTCCGCGGTGGCTAGGGGAGACGGAGATGGGGAGGGCCGAAGCCGTGGCGAGAAGGAGAGTGGCGAAGGTAAAGATGGACTTCATCTTGATCTCTTGATTCAGGTATGTACGATGTATGTAAGTGTATAAGTAAAATTTACAGCTGATCTTAGCAATGTAGCTTCTAGAAGAAGAATAGGTAGATAGGTATGTGTGTATGTAGTGACTCGTGAGTATGAATCAAAGGAATGGAGCTATTGTATACCAGACACAATATCTAAAAGAGTGTAGTTTTCACGACCTTGAGTCAGTTGGCAAGTAAAGGAGGAAGAGAAAGGGAGCTACGATGGTTTCCCTTTGGTGGGATTTCTTTATATTTAGTCGACTTCGACTCTCCGTGACCTGTCTGCCTCACTCCAGGGGTCTGACATTGGTCGTCAGCCACCTAGCGTGAGAGAATTCTTTGCTACATGAGACGGACGGCCGACTCGAGGGCCAAACCCGGCTCAGGTTTGCCGACGAAGCAAGCAAGTCCTTGGGAATCAAACTTGAATCAAGCGTCTGATTCACTTTGCCCCCTAAGCAGCTATCCAGGTCTACATATGAGAAGCACTTAAGAGTTAAGCCTCCCAATCACAGCAAGATGGCTTGGCTACTCTAAACTGTAAGAGGTTAGTTACCGAGTCCGAAAGATCTAAGGATTCGGGTACCTTGCAGGGTTAGGGCATCGATCTACGCAACAAATCGCCGAGATTTTTGGTTGCTTCGATTGCGGCGGATGAAACATGAGGCCAATCAAGGCGAGAAGTTCATTCGAACTTTTAAGGAACGCCACCTTGTTTCAAAATAGCGTGTCGGCACGGTTAGGTGAGAATTCTAGACAGTACGATTTTGTTCGCCAATGCGACGGCGTACAAGCCGATTGGTTGCGTCGGGCGACCCCATCATAATAGCATCTAATCGCTGTCCCTAGCGTAGCATCGATTCTGCTGAAATTACGAATGCGACACGTACACCTCTGTAGGCGATGCGTCGGCATGAATCTAGCCATTCAAACTTGTAATTTTATAGCGTGAGAATTTTTCTTATTTAACGTCTGTTAGGAGGGATAAGATGTTGGTGTTAGGGTCGGGGGGTTCCAAATCCTTTTACTATTAAAAGGGGAGGGTAACGTTTGACAAGCAAAATTACACAGCGTCGTAAAAAAATGTTAGTTTACGATGTAGTACAGCGTACCTAGGTAGGTATGGAATAATAATAGGTACCTACTAGGTACCTAGGTAAACTCTAATGGATGATCGTCAGGGACCTTCCAGGTCGTCTTGCAGCTGTCAAATCAGCGCGTGGAAGGTACTTGTTAAGGTACCTACTTTGTAAAAAGGAATCTATTATTGGATCAGAAACCCGGTAATCTGGTCCTATCACGGAATAGATCATTCCAAAATGCTTCTGATGGACCGTGCGTTTACGTTAAAATAAAAGAGGGGTTGATAATAGAAAACCACATCAGATTTTACGCGTGCGCGTACCTACAGTATTCTGCACTGCTATCTCATTTGTTTCCTCATAACCCTCATTTCCCGCCTTCTCAGAGAAACCTATCCTCCTCCCCTACACCAAATCTCCTCAGCATATGATTGGAGATCCCCGAAAGACGTCTATGCAAGTAGATTGTTGAGCTTGCATTCATGAAAATCAAGATCATGCCCTGAGACGCCAGCGTCCGATCTCCTCGTTGTAGTCAACGTAAGATTCGCAGTAATCATCGGCTGGACCTGCAGGAATCCAGCTGTTGGAGTTAACGGAAATTAGATTCGGGTCGCCACGGCGCATGCAGTCTTCAACTCCGTCCCACCTGTCATAATAGAGACGGCTAAGGTCGTCCTGGATGTCCTCTGGTGGAGGACCACTAATATCATATCCATCTCTTAAATCGACAAAGTTGGTCGACTCCAGCTTTTTCCACTCAAGTTTGTGTAATTCCATTGCAGTTTCTCGCCAGCTTCCGTTTATTAAATAGATAGATGCCAACTCCAATGTTTCCACGGTGCCACAGAGCGGCTTCAGCACTGCAACTAGTTCTTCCCATTGCATATACTTGTAGCGCAGTCTCAATGTACGCAATTTTGGTAAAGGTTGAGCTGTCAGGGCGGCTGTTAATGGCAGTTCGTTAGCCTCGGAGCGCGGACTGAGCTCGTCTTCCAACTCATCCTGATTGAAATTCAACGTCAATTCGCATAATTCCGTAGCTGCGCCTAGAGCCTTTGCTAACCCTGCACAAGCATCCTCCCAAAAGTCCGGCAAATCGGGATCCCAGGTATAAGAAAGGCTCAATTCGATTTTGCGCATGCTTCGGAAGGCATTGCAAGCACGTTCGATTTCGACCGCACCATGAGGCAGAGAGCTAAAGTAGAAGCCTGAATTCCACGGTTCGTCACGATCTCCATGACCGCTACCCTTTTCGCTGAAATAGTGCATTGTGAGCTCTTCAACTTCACGACCAGAGATGGATAGTGCTCGACACATAACCTTGAAGCCGTGGTCAAACAGGGTCTCATTTTGAGGTATGGTCAGGGTGTTTCCACCTGGCCTTTCCTCATAATCAGGGAAAAAGTTTTTCGCCATTGGGGGATTAGATTTCCAGCACCAATGGTTGGTGAAAGTGAGCTTTCGGATGTGCGGTAGCTTAATCAAAGCCGAGGTTATGATGTCTACATCCAGTCCACTTGTCATCATCTCATCTTGTCGTTCCAATCCTTCCAGATAGCTAAGACATTCTACCCTTTTATCTCTGGCATAGAAAACACCCACGTACACAAGTTCGCGAGGGTGTCGGCTTAATGTTGGATGATTCGCGATAGCCGATAGAACATCCAGGTCTTCTCTATGAGAAGAGGCGTACACTCTCTGGAAGAGGACTGCTGATGCTTCCTGATTGAGTCTCGACGATACCAATCGTAACTGTTTTAAGTCCGGCGCCGATAAGATTTTGAGGATCATTCTGAGTACTTCTAACGGGATCGATTTCATTGTTTTCGTCATTTTGGTATCAAAGTGGACAACGAGAGATAAAATCCTATGCAATTTAATTAGTACGACGGTCTGTTGACGCGACGGTCCATTGAAACATCATCTTACCTTTGATACAATGGGAATAATTGACTGATATCACGCGGTGGATATCTCCGACGGCGACTACAATATCAATGACGAAGTGGGATAATGATTGAAATGGTAAGATTTGGACGACAGGTTGATGATCGCCAAGATAATTATTTGCCGCGTGGGGGAAAGTACCGAGTTCGTAAGAATCCTTGAATAAATAGAGAATGTGGAATATCTAGGTCCTAATGTTAATGAAAGTAAAAATAGTAAATTGATGTGCTAGGACGGTGAATAGTTGTTTAGTTGTGGGTGAACTAGAAAATAATTTGTTCGTCGAAATCTTGTTAAATGCACGGTAGGATAAGAAAGAATCGCAACGATTCATGGTGGGTTACTAGGTAGTAAATATATACTGGGAATGTAGGCACTGTACCTTCTAAAACATATACAGTGATTGTCTGTCTGTATCTAATAAATTCTTATCAGTCTGTATGATGAGGAAGGAAGTGCCAGAACGCTCCTGCCAAAAAGTTTAGAGTCCATCTCAGGGTAAGGAAGGAGCCGATATGTAGTACTTAGTGGGTTCTCTTGAATGTATTCCAACCCCGAGAAGGGAGAAAAGGTACCTACTACCTAGGTACCTAAAGTTGTCTAACATCACAATTGTTGGAATGACCGGCAAGAATTTGGCGTCTTCAATATAAGCATCATAGGCTGTTACGACGTTCATCTTTCCCATTAAATATATATCGACCGTTCTCCAGAGGCATGAATATTCATAAGAGTATCTATGTACGTAACTTCTATTGACGTCTCTCGTGATTCATTCTTCATTCTACATATGAAACCCAATGCCTCCAATCCTAGACTCGAAGGGGATATAAACCAATAAACTTTATACAATCGTGCCGCCATCCGCCGTTATTTTCATTGTCGAGTTATCATAGTGCCCGAGTCTTAATCGATTGTGCCGTAGCCTCTCCTTCCTCTTGTCGCCTGAGGTCTCCTTGAAGGGCCGTGCCACCGCTTTGGTCTCCGAACTGGAAAGATGCGAATTTCTGGTATGAACCTCCTCCTGACATCTTCAAGCGTACCGCCGAGGAGTGGTTGAGCTTCTTCGATGTCCCCATTCCTCCGGCCCTTGCCTTTCGCTAGGGGGCCAGGCCGAGCCACGCACCCATATAAGAGATAGACGAGTAGAACCAGACCTAGCGCTCCCATGCCTATATATGACATCGGAATACCGCCAAGGCCATAGAGCGTATCAAGAATAGCTGCTGTAGATAGTACAGCTGTAACAGCGGCAATTATCGAATACGCGACTCGCATTCTTCCCTCGTTTGTAACTCTTTCCTCCACTACCATTCCGGCGAGGAAAAAAGCGAACAGAAGTAACGGCTGATAGACCAGGTACCAGAAAATGGTCCGCCAGAGTACATCGGGGGGTGACGGATAACCGGGCACTTTCGGTAATAGCAGCAGTAGCACGAGGTGCAGTAGATTCGAGAAGCCCATGACTGGAAGCGCGACGATAAACCGAGGCGAAAGAAGCACCTTGTAGGTATTCACATAATCTATGCTCTTTGATAAGTCATCAACACCACTTTCCAGATGAGTTCTCTCCTCGAGCCCCTGTTCCTCATGGTTATTCTCCACGGTCTCTGTAGGATCCTTCGCGGCTAATCCATTAGTTTCTTCCGTACGCTCGGATTCTGGTTGGATGCTATGATGATCCGTCTCGTTTTCTGATATCTGTTCCGGCTCAGACGTTTTGCCAAGCTTTTGTAACCATCTCGGCTTCTGTAGCTTGGGACACTTGAAAATGTCATTACTAAAGCGTACTCTTCCAATAATGCCGCATAAGCAACTTGCTAACGAGCCAAGTGGCGCCGCGAAGAAAGCAAGGGCGACAATCTGCCCAAAATTCCAATGGTGACTGTCGATTTCCAAAGTGCCGCCCAACCGTAGCACGTCAATGAAACGCACGACCACCCAGGTAAATGTAGCCGCAGCGCAGATGATTTCGGTTAAAACAGAGTTTAGAAGGTCGGCGTAGAGTCGTAGAACAAGCCAAAGTGCGAGGACGGGACGGACTACGAGCAGCAAATGTCGTTGCTCGCAGCGAATGCAAGTTATGATGTTGTCTCCATCCCCGAAAAACGACCGCTCCATTTCCCCCCTGTAATGGTCGCGCCACTTGAAAATGACGCTACGAGGTCTCTCATAGATCCGTAAAACTCCAAAGAGGGCCAATCCGACGCCGACGACAATACCGACAAGCGTGACACCGGATCGAAAATGCGGGGTGTCAAATTTGGCGCCATGTCCTGGGAAGTAACAGAGTACGTTCGTCGTAAGAATAATCCTGCGCTGTACATCCTCATCGTGCTCATTAGCAAGCCTCTCTTTGATCTGGTAAATCGGCACCATGGAAAAGCTGAGCACCACAACAAGAAAGATTAGAAGAATAATTCTCCACCATCGCTCGCCAGGATCTCTATTGACGAAATAGGTGCGTAGATACGAGGTTGTTGCTAGATTCGTTACTACTGAAAACCAGCTGCAGATTTCATAGTTAGACGGATAAATATTCTTGCACCATGACAGATTTATCACTATTGCCTCTACTTACACAAGTCCCACAATAAGCCACCAGTGATACATTGACAAGCCTTGCTCGATCAACGATGCGTAGCCGTATGCGAGCATCGCGAATCCCATCGCAAGCTGGACATCGCCTAGAGCCAAGACATACTACATGGCCATATTAGCGACCGAATATTCGAGGTGATCCAGAACTACCGAGCTTACCCGATCGAGAGCCGCAGGCCACCTTCGCTCCCGTTGCCGGAGCGTGGCTGGCGAATTGGCCCTAATACCTAAATACCTAAGAGGCTTCCGGAGCCAACCTACTAAGAGGACGTCTATCGGATTAGAAGCACGCGGCTGCTGCTCGTCCTCGCCCCGAGGAAGATAGAAAAACAAGTACTGAACGATTAAGCACAGAACCGCGATAGAGGCGGAACCGGCGCAAGCGATCAGGGTCTAGCAAAAGAGTCAGCCTTTTCCGCGATTAGTGTCGTCTTAGGTCGTGGTGATGAAACATACCCCCAGGCCGACGACGTCGGGATCCTGCCCGGCCGGAGGCCGAGCCTCATCGCACCTCTCCCACATGGACAAGGGAAGTTGCTAGCCGATACGACGACATAAGACAAGAGAGGAAAAGAGAAGTAGGAGAGGAAAACAAAAGTCGGTCGAAAGAATTTTAAAAAGACCATCTTCATTTCACTAGGCACTGACCGCCTTGTGCAGTCGTGCCAAGCTTTGTATAATTATGGTATCTAGTGACAAGGTCGCGATCCGATACGCTGGAGACGACTGGGGTAGGTGTCGGATCGCGAGGCGAACCATTGGCCTATTGGCGGGAGACCTGCTACGTCACAAACCACCCGTCGTCACCTTGCGGCCCAATATTCCCCATACGTGGACCAGTTCAGCCTGCGATTCTGAGATTTTAGAGAATAAGAAAACGCCGACACTATGGTTGACGTGGACCTCTGAAAACCTAGACCTATCCCATCAACTGGTCATGCCGTACATGTGATGCTCGAAAGCATCGGCAAGGAAGGCTGTGCTCCTTGCTCCCACCTATGGCTCGGTATCCGTCGGACTGTTTTGACGATACGAATTGTGTATGAGAATCCGCGACAATGTCAAAGGTCGTTATCTACCATTAGGAGACTTTACACTCATCTAATCTAGATGAGCACCACTGCTGACAGGTACCGACACGTCCGCGTAATTAAGGAACCACTGCGACATGTTTGATAATATCATCGTAAGTACATTGAAATAAATCCAAATAAATCCAGGTCGATGGATTCATTGAATAAAGACGGAGATTGTCACGATCTTCGAAGGGTGGGTAGAAAATACGGAGATAGAATCAGGGCGGGAAGAGCGGGTGCAGAAGCTTTAAAAATAACCCTGGAACCTTGGAACACGAATGGTTAGCGCAACCTTTAGTGCCGGTCCCCATGTCTCTATGTACCTGCGTACAGTACACCACAGCCCTACGTATTCCCTAAGCCTCACTTATGTGTGGCTTGTATCGCCAAAACCAACCCCTACACCAGCCTGGATTCTACCAAAATACACAAGGCAGAAATGATGCCTAGGAGATCTTCCCGTGCTTCCCTTTACGATAATCATTGGATATGTTCTAGGGTGTCCAAGCTTAGTCAACGTTAAAGGAATGATCAAGCTTCGATTGATGAGCAGTAAGTCAATCAACCCTTGAGTCCTGTAGAATGTAGTACTAGTTCCATACGTCGTTCTAGAATCTTTCAATGCTGCTGTACTTGATGCCATTCGTAATCAGCTCGATAACTAGTATCACGGCCCACGAACCCCCCTTTCGCTGTGGTGGATACCACCACCACTTGAAGTTAACTACTTCTTCGAAGCAATTCGTCCAGGTCGGGCGTTGGAATAAGCAGACTATGGTGTCGTTGCCGTTGTAATCATGGTCTAGATATCTTGACGTCTTCGGAGGCTATGGTGAAATCGTGCGTGGCCTGCTAGGACCGCAGCATCGACTATTAACTTCAAGCGATGAGTACAGCGCGGCGATCAGGACTAGAGTACGCGGTGACCGTCATCATCTTTGCAGACTGCTCATCCATAGAGGGAAGAGCTGGGAGGTAAAATACTCGCCTATGTGGTCAGGTTTGGATAGCAAACAGCACTGCGTTGGTTAATTACGGTGTCGACATCAATAAACCTCTCAGCTATTGCGTCTGGTGGGCGTGCCTTAGGTCCGCATTAGGAATTACCGCAATGCGGGAAGATAGCCGCATGGTCCATCTGCTGCTCGATTGCGGCGCGAATGTGGATATCACAAGCCGTGAACTTTAGCTTATCATTCTCTTCGCGTTTCTTGAAGGTTGGGAGACAGCCCGAAAACGATAAATATCTTATTCAATGCTAAACGACGCGTTGTCGCTTAGAGCTAAGGATCGGGAAATAGACGATGGAGAAGTCGTGATCTGATGGACATAACCTGTATACGTTCTCTGGTTTGGCGGGAGCGTGTCTAGTACCTAGTGAAATGAAGTTAATATCGAATCCAACACGGCCTATATGTGAGATTTCTGCATATACTTCTAGTAAATCCAACTACACGCGATACCAAATGGACTGAATTTGTTCTACATTCTACCTAGTAGTACACATTAGCGAGCGACGAAGCGGAAAAGCGCGTGGAATGAACTACCTCGAATACCAATTGCTAGAACACATCTCTTCCTCACCTCCATCCAAGCGCGGGATAGAGCCGTAACGAAAAGAATCAATAGATTTGAGGTTCCAAAAATTCCCTGCCCGACCGAAGTCAAACAGGAGTGGTCATGTAAGTAGTTTTCAACTAGCAAAAAGACGCACTCGGATTGCTCCTCACTGTGACGCCTAAAGCCCGTGCACTAAGATGAGGAAAAAAGGAAGAGAAAGGAAGAAAGATTGGGGGAGGGGGAGGATGTATATATATTTTTTGGAAGTGGGGCACCCGCCTGGCTGATTTAATTTATGTAACCTAGCAGCTGCCTAGTGACTCACCTAGCCAGCTGCCCCGCGACTGCCAAAATCTCCTATGCTGCTACGGTGCGTCTGTGCGCGTAACAAAGTTTTCAGTCATTGTTTGCTCCCTTCTTCACTTCATCGACAACAGGCAACCGCAACCGCCTGGCACATCTAGGCGGAATTTAGCCATGGCTCCTTCTTCGTACTGTACTTCGTGAGTCTACTAAAGCTTATATTGGTCAGGTGCATCTAAGGAAATCACAGTGTATGCGTGCACGCGCATGAGTTCCTTCCAAGCTCAGAAATGATCAAAAATAATTAATATTATCAGTTCTTTTATGGTGGTATCTCCTTTGAATCGTAATCGTAACGTCCCTTAGGCCATTATTCCCGTCTCTGTCCAATGGTATCTTATTAAGTGGTGCTGACAACTCCCAGAGTTGAGGTGAATTACTATTTTTCTGTAGATCCAATATTAAAATTGGCAGTTTATTCCCAATCCTCGTCACCGTCACCTGGATTCGGCGCATCGCCTCGGCGATCGGGTCTATCGTGATGATGCTTCTTGCCGTCGTGGTTGCCGTTATGGTGGTCATCGTGATGGCTCTTACAACCATATTGAGAAGCTAAGACGATAAAAGTTAGATAACTTTCGAATTGGGTTGAACGCGAAAAGGTTTCGTGGATCGAACTTACAGCATCCTCTTATACAGCTGTTGCAACCTTCTGGATATTCCGCACAATGCGCCACACACGAATCTATACACGTCGCGATATCCTCCTTATGGCGATAATGACACTCTCCCTTGTAATCTTCATCAGGTGAGCCAAGTACACCATTTAGGCCACTATTCAAGCCCCCCAAAATTGCGCCCGATGCATCATCTACACCTGATGGAAGCGGTCGCGGGAGCGCTAAGATTGTTGCCGACATGGCAATGATAAGTACGGAGGGACGCATAGTTGAGTATTGTTTAGTAAAGGGGTTGTGGTGATACGCCTATGCGACTGGTGATGGCTATAATATCGGAAGCTAAGATTGAGAGAAGATGAGAATGTTTAATATGATGGTATTGAACTGCGAACAAAGCTGCATTGACATCATGGCCAGCGACCATGGCTTCTCTTATAACACTCATGCCTTGCTATAGGATTGACTCTCGAAAAAGGGAGGCGAAGCAGGAAAGAATCAAAGACCATAGAGTTCAAAATTCAGGAACGCGAAACTGGGATATAGTGGCTGAAGATTCCTAGCTAACCCGCCTCGCGCCATGTGCTGTCGACTCTACCCATGCTGCCATGTCTCAGCCAGCCCTTCAGGTCCGCTCTATGAGCATTCTCGTTCCGAAGCACGTCAATCTATCTAAGACATGCCTTATCGGGGCCCCAGAATTCCAAAGCGACACAGAAACCACGGGGCCAGCCTTCGAAGTGATGCAATGAGAGGTCGATAGTATGGATGGAATGCGAAGATAGGTCATGTTCGTTTCGTTCCGCCCCCTTGATTTCTAGAATACGTCCAGAGTTAACTTTAACCCAGCTCACTTTGAGAATTCTGAATATCTTCAAAGTCTCCAACGTAAATTTCTAATAGTGTATGGCCGGTAATGTATTATCGGTTCTTAGACATCAGAGTTCTTCGACCAACCTTGGAATAAGACTATAGTGCTGCTTCTGTTCTGCTGGACCAGGTTTTCTCTTGGTTTCAAGATGAACGATCCGTCATTCATTCGATGAGTTTCAGCGTAACGTTTAAATTCCAGAGCCAGAAGGCGACAATTGATAGTACGATGCCCTAGATTCCATACCAAGTAAGACGGCAGAGCGTTTCAATATTTTAGTGAGATGGAACTGAACAGCAAGGATCGAGGGGCATTTTTGAAGAGAACCCACCAGCAAAGACCATGAACGAGTCCTAAGATCCCTTCACGAGAGCCTATATCATTACTCATTATCCATAATCTAGAAGAGGTAAGCCTTATGGGCTGAAGGAATAGTGATTGAAGACGACTCAGGAAGGATCACCGGTCACGTGATTATCGTACTAGATGTACGTCGGCGGCGGCCTCATCTGCGTAGAAAACATAAGATTCGACAAATATAAATCAAATTTGCTCTTACTTATTTATATTCTATAGTGTATTGCTTGGAGAATATTTGAAATATCATGAACTTCAATGAGTCCTATGAAAAGCCTTCGACGACGTGGCAAGATGCGGTAAATTCTTTCCTCTCAAGCCTGGGTCCAACTGAGCGAGTTGCTTTTCAAACACCTGCAAGTCCGGATGATTGCATAGCTATTCTATTGGCGACACAACGTCGGAAAACTAAGTTGGCACGGATTCTTGATCTAATGAGACCAGTGATCGACCCTCTGAAAAGATTTGAGGGCGCCATCGATGTCATCGTTCAGGTTAATGCGGGGATTGCCTCCCCGATATGGGGGCCTCTCAGGATCGTCATTACGGTGAGCGGACGTCCGTTCGGATGTAGGTACCCGATCGCCGCTAACGATGCTCGTGGCGCGCGAAGTTATCCGCAGATCACTTTCGCACTCTGGAGAGCATAGCTATGATTATCCATAGAGTCATAAGCTCATTGCAGAGATTCTCCAAGTACGAAGAGCTATTCGAAAATAACCAACTCGTCCAAGACGCGATAGGAACTCTCTACTGTGATTACTTAGACTTCTGTGTTCGAGTGACTAAATTTTACTCAACTTCGCCGTTTCGTAGGTCCTATACATCCTTTCTCATCATAATCCATCCTATCTTAATGCTTGACTAGGAGCATTCTTCTCCTCTTTCGATAAAGACTTTCAAGATGTCTCCGAGAACATCCAGCTCCATAGTCAAAATGTGGACTGGGCGGCACACGCCGCGTATATCGAAGAGACTCAACGAGAGGCAGAGAAGGCAAAGGCGGAAAGACGAGGTATGGCCTTTACCAAAAACATTTGGATGGAAGTATTCCCTTTCTAAGCTACCACAGCACACGAAAGGAGCAACATCCTAAGATGGCTATCTCCGTCAAACGTTGACGATGACCTTGAGATACATATGAGGGATTACTTGCTCCATTCATGTGATGACATATTGATTTCCGAACAATTTCAATCACTCATTTCTTCGGATGATACAGGGCAATCTCACATCCTCTCACTACAAGGTCTACCAGGAAGCGGGAAGACTACAACTGCAGCCTTCATTGTAGGCCACCTGAAGACTAAGGGCTTCGACGTCCTATACTTTTTCTTCAAGGCGAACGATGTAGAGAAATGCTCCCTACTGCACTGTACTCGGACACTTTTATCTCAACTAATCCGACTTGAAGAACATCTCTACGATTTCGTCGAGCCCTTCTATCAAGAGAGCGGTCGAGTAGTAGCTGATTCGCTAACAGTAGTTCTGCGAGCTCTATCAACCGCACTCAACCACTCCAAGTCTAACCGAATATTCGTTATCCTCGATGCTCTTGATGAGTCGTCGAACAGCAACGAGATCTCGCAATGGATTACTAGCTTAAGCCATAATCGTGGAAGACAAGTTCGAATACTAAATACGTGCCGCCCTTCACCATCTCCGCCGCAGTCATCTACATCCTGGTCACTTTTCAGAATAGGAAACCTTGAGACTGAAAGTATCAAAACATACATCCACGCACGAGTTCAGAAAAACCCAGTGATACGCGACACGGCCATTGGGAGACAAGTATCAAATCACGTCGCTTCAGCTGCGCAAGGTCTTTGGCTCTACGCTCGGCTCATGATGGACGACATCGACCGACTCCCCTCAATCGGACAAATCCAAAAGCAACTCACAATCTTACCGAAAGGCTTCACCGAACTCTACACGCAGATAATACGGACGACCGAAGCCAACTACAACCCCATCGAACTAAAACTAGCCCAACAACTCCACCTCTGGATCGATACCTCAGACTACGTCCCGAATTTCCTAGTCCTAGATGACGACCGACTAACGTATGAAATGCTCGAACTGATATTCCAATACGCGAACTCCGGCGAAGCAGTACACGACCCCGGCGCCGTAGCCCACCGCGTCTCGGGGCCGCTCATCTCCGTTACCAGCTCAACCACTGCATCCACCCCCACATCCCCAGACACACAATCCTACGAACTCGACTTCATCCACCAGACCGCAGCGCAGTACCTACGCTCGAGCCACACGCTCCCTCCCTCGCAACTCCCAGTAACCCTGCGCCCACGACGTCTACGGCACCTCCACCGCGCCGCAGTCGCAGTCTGGTATTTCGCAGAGTGCGCGCAGTCCGCAGAAATGCTAGCCTACCTCCGCCAAAGCGGCGGACGTCCCACCCGGTCTATAATCACCTACTTCGAGATGGCGTACGGGCTATGGAGTGCGCTACACCTCTCCACATTCCCGACCATCGACGACGCCGTCGAGGCAAGCGAAGCCGAAGCCCTGCTTCACACACTCACAGAGTTCATATCTACGCCGAAGTGTCTGCGCTGGGTCGAATGCGCCATCATCATTAATTACCGGGGCCGGTTCCCGCATCTGCTGTATAACGCGGTGGATGGCTGGGAGGCGGCGCGCAGGGTTGAGGGACATGGGTTTGCGCCGTGGTTGGCTTTCTCGGAGGCGAGGGTGCGGTTTTTTAGGAACTATGCGCTGGTGTTGGCGACGACGGGGGTGGGGAGGGAGTCTACGCCCCGGGAGATCTTGGAGACGAGGCTGGAGGAGGTGATGGGTGATGAGCTGGCGCATGCGATTTGTTACTTGGGGTTGCGGTGGAGGAAGTTGGCGTTTCCTGGCGCTGGGGAGGTAGATTTAGGGCTTGGCTAAAAAGCGTGATGCTATTTCTTATGCTACATGTATATAAATTCTAGGGGATATTGATGAAGTAGTGTCTAGATATCCCCCCACCCTTTTCCCTCTAAATCCACAGATGAGATTTAAGGTAGAGTGATTTTCTCTAGGAGTATTTGGGTTACTTGGATACCTTGTTAGAGGAGATGAAAGAACTCGCTACAATATGTCATTGTGCCGGTATGAATAGGGAGACAAGAGGCTTCTATACTTAGCTCAGGGTTCAAAGACGTAATCGAGATTTATTTCCACTGTAAATCAAAGAGCCATAGAACCTTCGAACTGTAATAGTATACAATGATGCATGTGACATACTCGTGAAAGAAACCCCAACGCCGAACTACCGGAGACGCGTCTCATCGGACAATGAATCGAATTCAGGTATAAGAAATCATCAGGTTTCCCGAGTATACTGGAGAACGTATCTATCTGTATTTCTCCAAGATTGTTACTTTTCGTTTCCTTGCCTCATCTACACGGGTACTCACCCCAGTCAATCATTCGTGAACATTACGACTTCGGTCTTCACATTCATTTGACGGCATAACGCCTCTTCATATTATTGAATTTCCTACAGAAACGTAATCTTTTTCTACGAGGATCTTTAGAGTGTCAAAAACACCACGAAAAGAAAAACACAAACATTGGAAAGCGAAAATCTCGTATATTATATCAAAATGCAGTTCGTCAACGTCATTCTCCTAGCGACCGCGGCTGTGGGGTTCGTCATCCCAACCGCACACGACCTACGATGGAATCTAATCGGGCGCACCGCTGGTGACGACCAAATCTTGAAGCCTGAGAACTTTGCACATGTGCAACAGGATAGGCGAAGGGTACAACTCACCTGGGAAGGACACAGCGGTTAGGCTGGATCCTAGCCTGGTTTAAAATGGGATATGGAGTTTGGTATTGGGGTTTACCTGTACAAGTTCGTAGCTAAAATGGAACGCTCTTTGAACATTTGATAAAACATTGAAGTTCGTTATGGGTAGAAATCTGTTATGTCACAGGTAAATCCTGTTCCTGGATCGAGCTGCAAAGAAACGGAATAGAAAAATTAGGTATGTACCGAGCTTATCGTGTACGTCAGTAATTTAAAAAAAAGAGGCGATAAAATGCGAAAGTGAGGCGAGGTGAAATAAGTTGCTGTGAATGTCGCTCAGCCCCTCTTCTCAAATTCTAAAGAATTCTTTGGCTTGTGAATATTTCACTTGACACTCGCGGGGGTGTTAGTGCGTAGCTGCGGAATAAGTGATCGCATGGAGAGAATAAGCTGGGGAGAACGACGAAAAATGGTCACAGATGATAGGACCATTCCTCTTTTATCTTAACAGGAATCCGAGGTGCCTGTGAATGAGGAACAGGAAGAAAATCTTCTAGCACTATCCCAAGAATGGGCTGAGACGGCAGATGGCATGGATGCTGCCCCGGCGACTTGGAATTGCCCCGTTTGACCCCACCGACGCTTATGCACTTTTGCGCTTTTACAGCGTACATTTGGGATCATGGATCCTGTATCCTTGACGAAGTGATAGCTTTGAATTGGATCTTGAATCAATCCGTTCGGCTTATTGGGTACTCTGGAAGATACCTAGTACTCAGATAAGTCTGCGATGCTTTTGGTCTCGCTTATTACGCCGAAGAGTCGGGAAATAGAGGAAGTTCTTTGTGATGAAAAATCACTTTGTGGAGGTCTCGGCAATGTCCATCTTGTCTTGTTTCTGTATCTGTGATGTCTGTGATACGGTGCAGGCAAAAGCCATGGTGCGCCATCAGATGGAGACTGATGGAAAGATCCCATCATGCTAGGATGCGTGCCCCTGAAACTAGGTAGTTTTAGGGCCATGACTATGACTCGTAGTTTTATGACGGCAGTTTGGCACCACTCGGAGCTATCTCGCCTTGGCCGAGGACAGCCTTGAAGGACAATCAATTTTTTGACCGAGTCTGCTGAATCAATTCGGGCTTATAACGAAATCCCATTCAGCAATATTCCAATTTGTCGTAGCTAAAATTGTAAAGTGTAATTGGAATTAGCGAAGATAACCTTAAGAATTAAAAAAGAAGAGGAGACTTGTTTTTAATTGTTAGTCAACTTTTATTTTTCTCAGTTTGAATTCGTATCTAAAAATTCCCAGCAGGCGTTCTCCCTGTCGAATAGCCCTGTAACCCTCCACTAAACCCTCCCTTCAGGGCCTCTTGGCTCCTTCTGTGGCACTCCAATGACCCTAGCTGTACATGGTAGGTCTCTGTCACCGAAATAAGCAGGGAGGGGCCAATGCGAGCTAGTCCCAATACGTATGTTTTAATTGATAATCAGGTCATGTGAGAACGTGTACATATCCCGTCGAGTGCGACGCGTGGGCCAACTACCATCACCAAATTAACGTGTTTGCCTGAAAAATACGGAATACACCAGCGTTGCAATTACCTACATCGGTCTGCATACATATAGCTCGACATGGGTATGCTGCTATATAAGGAGGGCGCTGCCCAAATCATTCCTTTCCTTCCAATCTTCCACAACTTCGAAGACTCAGGCAGCGTAAGGTAGGCCATTTTCTCATCTCATCTATTTTTAATCATTTTCAAACGTCGTAACCGACATTCTTCCATCACCATCTCTGTCATTTCACTCCGGATACTCTAAATACGGAATTCGCGCATATCCACAAAAATCAGCGACCGAGACAGAAATTCCTGCAATACTTAACATCAACGAGACGATTCCTCGATCGGCAATCCGAATTTGGAGAGAATTACATCAAAGCACGGGTCTGCTTAATTCATTCAAGATGTTCAGCCGACGATTTGAGCCACCACAGAACAAGAGCTCCTCAAAGACGCACAAGGTCAATAAATCCAGCTCATCTTTCAGTAAAACCCATGGCGTTTCCAAGAGTCGACATGAGCCTCGCCAACATCGTCGCCCAGCGACGGCAACATCTTCAAATGTGCCAAGCGACCCAACCGCTCTCTCATCACCTGGGTATGTTTTCTCTCCCATTTACTTATCACATCCTTCTCATCTTAACATGCACTAATATTTTTAATTAATCAGTTCCTTGACTCCTTCCATTGTGACCCTAGTTATCGGAAGGGATCAACGCATCTTCGCTGCTCACGAAGATGTTCTTCGCGCTTCGCCTTGGTTTCAACAGGCACTCTCCGATCAATACCTAGATTCGCAGAATAGCAAGCGCATCCACCTTCCCGAAGAGGAACCCGAGATCTTTTCTTCTGTCTTGGAATACTTATACAAGGGTGACTATTACCCTCGTCTGGTCCACAACAAGCGTCGGAACTCGTGGGAGATCGAACAGATTCAAGATGAGGGCCAGACCTCAAATGAGTCTACTGTCTATCATCGTGGTGTCGATGGCGATGTTCTAAAGGACACTGTCATCTATTGTACTGCTGAGAAGTATGGTCTCGAGGAACTCAAACGAGTTGCTTTACGCAAACAGGGTCTTCGTAAGTAATCCAAGTTATCGCCTAACCACCCCAATCAACATACTAACAATATCAACAGAGTCGGGCATTCAATGCAGCACTATCCTGGCATCGGCTCGCTATGCATATGCCAACACACCTGACACTGACTCCAAGTTGCGAGCTCATTATCTCGCTCTCATCATTCGGAGCCGCAGCACATTCAAGCGAAGCGGTACCATGCAGCTAGAGATGTTCAACGGCGGCACTCAGCTTTTCTTCGATCTGTTTGTTGCTTTATGCAACCATGTCGATGATATATCTAGCGCTCAGTAAGCAGCCTCTTAGTAACAACTGACTTTACCGCAATGCACTAACATGTCCCACCAGAAACACTCCACGCAGCAACCGTCACTTCTTTTGAAGTGTTCCCCAATCTCTATGATCTACATTGCCCCTCCCCATCATATTTCTTAATATCTATCCTAGACCCATCCCAACATCCTTGGATCTTATCATCTTAAAACTTAATGATCAACGTTTTTCATACCTTTTCTGTATCTTTTTATTCTTATTCGGGAAGACTTGAGGGCTTGTTAGGATCGGAGTACATCGGCGAGAAATACCACATCACCGGCGTTTTGGATGCTGGCTGAATTGATGATTTTATGGCGGGGCAATATATCTTTTTCCTGGTATTTCCTGTATCACCATTCTCGGAAGCATCGCTCGAGCAAGAAACTTAGAAGGCCTCCTCACAGGGACTAGTGAGGTCTTTATTTACGCGTGACGGAGTTCACGTGAGGGAGCGAAGAAAAAAAATAATCATGAGGGCGGCGAGTTTTATGAAGTTGACAACGCCTTTCTGGGAAGGGCAAGATATGAAGAGCAGGCGGGTATGAAAAAAGGAGATGATGTTATCTGGCTAACTTGTCAACGCCTGGCGGGACGATGAATTCCCCCTGTACTATTACATTTCTGAACTATCGTTGATGACAGCGAACTACTTTCTCCCCCTGGTTTTATTTTATTTCTAGAGATACCTGACCAGGGATGGCTGATGGAAGATAAAGTATCGGAAAAAATCTCACTAATCAATATTTAACATTCTTGTATATGCTTTTTACCTCGAGTTTCTTGGGCGATGGTAACACTTGTGATGACTTCCAAATCTAGACCCCAAACGGCTCAACTTGCCTCCACCTCATCCTGCGCCGTAAAGTCCGGATGGATGGACATCCGTCTCATTAATATGTACCCAATCCTACACATCCCGCAGTAGCGTCAAAAGCAAGTAGAGGCAAGCATGTAGCTATCCGACAGGCAATATAAAAAGCAATTTTGATTCGTCAATGGCACGCCTCCACACCCATCTTTTCTACGCCACCACTCGTCCGCGCACCATCCTACCGTACTTTTCCCAGTCTCTTATCCTTACTCTTTTCAGAACACCCAAAACATACCAGGTACCTACGGTCAGACAAGCCAGACCCCGGCCACAAGTTAAAGTGGTTGCATACGGCCCCCACACCACCCTGCCACCCCCTCCGAAGGGATGTGTGAGTCATCTCCTCTCCGCAGTCAGCCCAATACACATACCTGACTTGTGGGACGATGCAAACCACCAATCTCGCATCGAAGGATGAATAGAATGATTAGGATGGGCGGGTCGGCTAGGGAATGTGATGGATGGTCAGCTCGGTTGATCTTCCCCGGGCTGCTGGTGCTGACCGGCTTGTAAGTATGTACAAGGTCAAGAAATGAACGTAACTGGAGGGGTACCTATTATATTGGTTTGAGAATGAGACTAGTTCGGTACGTTTTTCATCGATGTATGTATCTTATCTATCGACACCCATTCCTTACCGAGCTAGAATTGAGAAAACGGAGTACGTGATACGTCTCTAGGCAGAGCGCTCTACCTACCTTGATCACATCACTTCAAAACTGCCTCAAGTACCAATGTACCAAACAAACGGGGGCAATATCAATTATGTCATAATATGCGACCAAGCAAGATCGCGGCGTGGGTCTTCATGAATTCCTATTCGTTACTATCGTAAGTTTGGAGGAGGCTGCAGAGCGAGATCTAAGGCATACCCGAATCTAACTTCCCCACACCTCCCCCGAAGTCAGCCGCATTTCTTCACGCAAGGCAACCGGCTGTTGTCGTGATTATGTGGTTTTCGGTCTGGCCCCTTCATCTTCCAAAGCGGGTGACACGTACTTAAAGTACAGCCTGCCCTCAATCCGCCTTACTCAGTCGGATGACATGTATGAGTCTCATCTGTCTATCTATTCCATTGACTCAGACCTTCGTACCGGGAAAGGCACCTGTTTTGCTTAGTACAACAAAGCCGCGTTCGTGAGCGATATATCCCTTCATTAGGTTCTGTGGTAGGGTTAAGCCGTTAGTGAGTCACACTGAAGCTGAAGTTGAGATATCACCGAGGGGAGGACAAAATGCTGTAGCATAGGAAATATAATCGAGTACATCATGGGGTAAGATCTTGAGTATAAGATGCTTAGTCCCCATACGACGAATAATCCCGATGTCGGAAATCACACGAATCATCGTGACCCACACACCCAACGTCGCCCAACACCTTGGACTGTAGTAAAGAGAGGGGGGAATGAGCAAAAGAAATAGAAAGAATATTCCATACCTTATAGATCATGTTAGCCATTAGACATTCTACCTCATCAGTATCGATGTCTTCGCCACTACTAATCTTCATCGCCGCAGCAAATTCAGAAACAGGAATCCTCGTGCGACGAACGGGTGCCGCGCCATCCTTCCCTTCCTCAAAGCCGCCCGAAGTGAACACCTTTCGTAGCAGGTTTCTCAGCGCAATATCGCGGCCACGTTCCAGAGTTAGGTAGATGCGACGCTTTATGAACTCATCTTGACCATCTCGTAGGGCAACATCGAATGCGTGGAGGTCTGCTTTCTTGATTGCTGTGGCCAGCGGTAAGAAGAGCTTCTGTAATCGTGGAAACGGCTCAAGCAGCTGGGCACTAGGCAGCGTGTGAGTCGTGAGAAGGTGACAAGGAATAAGATAGGTTAGGATTAATCTATGATATGTCAGTATGCGATTGATAGACTCTGGAGACTAGCTATCTTACTCTAGGTTGCGCTTTGCGTCTTTGTGGCACATATGCCAGGCTATGGTAAGATGTTGTTCAGCCTAAACGGGTATTGTTAGTTGATGACATGATAGATTGGGATAGCGCATTATCCGTACCTGTACATAATTCTCCTCGAGGAATGACAAGACCCCTTCGTAATACTTGAAGGTGACTTGCTGTGACTTCGGGAATTTGTCGAGGGTTGGCATATCTCCTCGGCCAGCTTGGATTGCTCTCAAAACATTCTTAGATAGAGTTGCCGAGTTCAATTTGAAGTAACTCTTGAATAAGAGATTGATGGCATAGTAAATTCCCCATTTACGTGATTCCTCTAGTGGCGCCCTATCATTCAGACATGTCTGAAAGATTCTGTTAAGATGTCGCGTGCAATCTTCAAGCATCTTATGCTCTTCTGATTCGGGGTCGAAATCATCTTGCATCATGGCCTCAGAAGTATCGTCGTTGCTATTCTTCTTCTCCTCGTCCGCTCGAATAGCAAACAGACGTAGATACTTGCCTGCCACATACAAGCACGGGATGGTCCAGTTTTCGAATTCGTAATGAGTGTATCCACGTATAACTTGCAGTGTCAAGTCTTTCCATGCCTCATAGACACTCTTCCATGACGAGCTCGAAGCCTTATGTATAGTCAGTGATTGATGATCCTAATTCAAGCCAAGAAATGAAGAAAGGATTCCAGCCTGGTAAGGCCGGCTAAGGTAGAAAGGGAAGAGATGGTGAATTCATACTCTAGTATCATTGCGGAGACCTTCCACAGCGAGGATCTCTCCTATGGCCTTCCAATAAGTGAGATATAATTCGAACCATCCGGTAGTCTCTTCCTTAGAGAGTCTGGGTCGGGAAGGGTCCGTATAGAATAGGGAGTTGAGGTCATATGTAACATCTTGAAGATTTCCTCGACCCCAAATTGCTAGTAATTTGGCTGGGTTGTTGAGCACATCTGGATTGATTGTTTCGGCGAGTTGGTCTCCTTTCATCTCGGCAAATGCCGTCCTAAACTCCTTGATGACGGAATCCATGATGAGTAGTGAAAAGGCTGAAGAAGCAGCCTGACGATGATCGAGAATTCCTAAAGGTTTTGAAGTTTCAATAAAAACGAATTAGGAACAAGGAATCGTTGAAGTAGACATTGTATTATCGAAAGGAGTCTCGTAGATTTGGAATCACTGAGACGTTCATTGCACTTGATACTGACAAGTTAAGAATCATTCCTCGAATGGCTCGTCACGCTGTAATTGGTTAAGTTTAATGTTCATGGGTACCTGACGAGCAGTCCATTCTGCACTAATCCTGATTGGGAATCGTTGAAAGGTGCTGGCCAAAGAACATCAGTGTACCTAGGTACTGTACTATACTTTCAAGGATTTTATAGACGATATTTTCACCAGAATTATAGTAGAATAATTAAAACCTTTGCTACTGTATTTTGAAGATGTTTAATCGAAATAATTAATTTTAATGAATTTTTAATTCACTGGATTGATGTCGTATTAAATCATGAAGCAAATTACTTGTTTGTACCTAGAATTAATGGATGGAGGGGCTGGGGGGTAAAATCACTAGCCACACATGCCCCCACATTGTTGATCAGTGTTTATCGGTCACTGCCACCTCTTATCTCTGCAAAGCCACAGATCACTAGGGCGAGAAACCCTTAGCACTAGAATTTTCACGAAAACTTTCTGGTAAGCGAGATCCAACGTTCAACTCCAACGAATTCCTACTTTGAACGCATCACGACCAAGGTCACGACCATACATAACAATTCATAGTAGGTTCACACTTAACATAAACCCTCCTTTACTACTATTACTGACTACTGACATTCTTCAAGATGGGTAAGCTTTCATTTTCATTGTCCTCTCTGTTCCGGCGCTCGATGCAATTTCGACACAATCTATTCAAATGGCCTTCGAAATTTTGCGACCGATCGAGTACCTCTATGACAACGATTCACTCAAGAAATAAATCGTATACACATACACACACAAGGACTACGCAGTTTCAGTCAATTTGATAAACTCATATTCCGATTTCGATCGATTACAACAAAAATTTGCGATAGAATTTGAGAACTGGGGACCTCGAAATTTCGACAAGACAATCTACACCATACGTACCAACCGAATTCCAGCGTGGGGGAAATATGACAACTACATCGATACAACACAAATACCAAGCATCGCGATATTCAGTTTCACTGCGCATTCGACATAACCAACATACGGGATATTTCATTATCACGGCAAAGAACAACCGCTAATCATGATGTTATTAGGTCGTCTTCAAGAATACCAGGTCATTGGCCGCCATCTGCCTTCCGAGGCCAACCCCACCCCTAAGCTCTACCGCATGCGAATCTTCGCTCCCAATGAGGTCGTAGCCAAGTCTCGCTTCTGGTACTTCCTTACCAAGCTAAAGAAGGTCAAGAAGGCCAATGGCGAGATCGTCAGTCTCAACAAGGTATGTCATAATAACTAGACTCTCACTAGGTCGGAGAACTGAAGGAATGATGGAAACTAACAACACTTTCCTAGATCGCCGAGAAGAACCCTCTCCGCGTCAAGAACTTCGGCATCTGGATCCGATACGACTCCCGATCTGGTACCCACAACATGTACAAGGAGTACCGAGAGATGTCGCGAACCGATGCTGTCGAGGCTCTCTACCAGGACATGGCTGCCCGCCACCGCGCCCGATTCCGGTCGGTTCACGTATGATTCCCTCTTCTCTTCTCGTATTCCCACCATTCGCTAACATTATATCCTAGATCCTCCGTGTCGTAGAGGTCGAGAAGACCGACGACATCAAGCGACCTTACATCAAGCAACTCGTCTCCAAGAACCTCTCTTTCCCTCTACCTCACCGTGTCCCGCGCATCTCCAACAAGAAGGTGTTCAGCGCCACCCGACCTTCCACTTTCGCATAAGGGTTTTTCGTATTGCAGTCGGGGGGTTTCAGGGAATCGGTTTGCCGGTGTTCATTACGGAATTGCGGAAAATGAAGTCACTAGCATGTATGCTCGGTAGATAGTCCTGAGCAATGAATGCATACCACTGATGAACAAAACATACACAAACATGAGCAATCATTGGCATAAGTCAGGATTTTTGTTTTATTTTACATGTCGTACAGTGTATTGCACAAGTGTCAGAGTGGTATCTTGCGTGACCCAATGTCTATATCTATCTAATAGTAACCCATATCGCTCGATCCCGACTTCGACTGGTCGTCAGCGTCAACCCGGGTCTCGTTCACAAAATCATTCCAGGTACTCCAATCCATCGTATCAGAACCGCCGCCTAAATCCAGAAAGGGCACCTCGAAACTGAGATCCCTCCACCCTAGCATCGACTCATTGAACGCGAACGGAGACATGCTGAGTGAGGTCAGATCCGCCGGGATGCTGGGCTCCCGTGCATTGCGGATCTCGGCCCCGAAAGCACTTTCGGGCTCTGTCATGGTGATGTCTTCTCTATCTGTGCTTGGTAAGGGTTGAGTGGAATTGGGAGTGGGATTTCGGGATTCGGGGGTTTTGGTCGGCATGTTGATCGTGCCGACGTCTATGACTCCGTCTTTGAGGACTATTGTGGTTATACGGGTTGCCGCAGCGGGGGCTGGAGTAGTGGAATTCGTGGCAGTGTTTGTGGGTGTCGTGGTTGTAGCTGTAGCTCTCGGTACAGCGACACTTGTTGTAGCGGCAGTGGTGGCGCCAACAGCGGCAATCCTGGCCGCCTTGGCTTTCTTGTACAATTTGCGTATGGGTCGCCAGAGTGTCCCGCGCTTGGTGTCGGCGATGACTTCGCTCCAGCGTGGGAACACGTCCTCTACGGTGCGCCATGCCCGGTCTACGAGCTCGCCGCGCGTCTGTGTGCATAGCTCTGCGAGGACTACGGCGAGTGGATGCCACTGCACATAAGTGTTCGCCCACCATTGGAAGCGCTCGCCGTATGGCCCTGTTTGCAGGTACTCGTTTAATTCCATGATGGATAAGGCGGTGCGCAGCGTGGCTTCGTGGGGGAATATGCTAGGTTTGGCTGATGGTCCGGAAGTGGAAGTAATGCTTGGGTGTAGTTGAGGTTTGCGGCGAGGGTGCACTGGGTACTGCATTATGAGCCATAGCTTGAGGATTATCAGACGGACGGTAACAGAGGCTAGGTATGAAGGGGCGAGGTTAGGGTCCGCGCCGGCGACGAATTGAGATTCTAGCGTTTGTGCTTGTCGGACTATTTCCTCTACGGATTGGGAGGCTGAACTGCTGGTATTTGCGCTGTTGCTCTTACTGCTACCCTCACCATCGTGAGATATCCCCAGTGCGCTATGCGCGTGTTCAACCTGTAAGAACAAGTTCGAGCACTGCGCCGTGCACATGCTGAACGTCATATCTGTTGGCCCTTGTTTCTCGGTTAGATTGTTCCTAGTCCCAGGTCCAAAATCCGCGTCGTTGATGTTATGTGGCAACTTCGTATCATAGCTATCGCGTGCAAGTATCGTTGTTGTGCCCCTATCCTCCGCCCCGCGGATATCAAGTACGATGAGCTGCCACCAGAGCCGCCTTCGCAGCTCAGCCTCGTAAGGTGGCAGGTAGGCAATACTGGCCTCGCGATGTATATTTAAGCCTTGCGCGAGTCGGATAGGCAAGCTGAGAAGAGCCCATGCGGCTCGCGAGCCGACTGTACTACGCACACAGGCCACGTAGAGCGTCAGTGCTTGTAGCGTCTCGAGGCTGGTATTGTTGAGGTAGTCGGCGCGGCCAAGAAGATGCTCAACACCGCTGGCGAAAACACGTATTAAGTCCTCTCGCCGCCGGCCGAGATGTGTGAGGCAAGTGGAGGGGGGAAGGCTAGCCACGGCCGCGTGGTAAATTGAAAAGAAAAGGACTTCAGTTTCTGGGGTGAGCTGCGGACGTTTGGATTCGGGAGCGTTGGCGAAGGCGAAGAGTGCCCCTTCTATCGTTGGCCGGTGGAGGATCTTAATGATCATGTCGACGTTATTGAAGAATATAGTTGTAAGAAAACGAATGTGGTCTGAAGACGGATGTTCGACGGCCTCATAGGAGGTACGGAACGAGCTCCCGAGCAGCATCCCCGGAGACAAGGCCGATGCTGAACTGCTACCGTCGTTTGCCGAATCCGGCGTGGCCTCCTGCAACATTTGATCTTCATCGTCCGAGTCTGTTGACTGTTCTAGAGCTTGCTTCAGCCCTTCAACCTCAGTGCTGAGACTAGACCAGAACTCCCCACTAAGATACTGAGAGGTTTTACTGGTCAAGGGAGCATGCCGCCAGTCATCCTGCTTATCATCCCTGGTGATTAAGGGACCTTCCGAGATAGGAGGAGCCGTAGTTTGACTCGTAGAAGGACTTGGGGCTGATGCCGCCACATCTTCTCCGGATAGAGCAGAGAGCCCGACATTTCCCACTATAGACTCTAGTCGACTAAGACGTTGTAGAAGTTCAGAGTTCTTGTTTTTGCGGGGTTTCCGGATACGTTTCCGGGTAGGGAAGATACACTCGGCCCCGGAGCGTTGACAATGTGAACACGGATACTCACGGCTACATTTCAACTTCCGGGCTCGGCAATTGGTACAACTGAGAGGTTTCGGTTGGTGCTGATGCTGAGATGGCCGAGACGCCACGTTGGCTGATGGCTGCGGCGGGTCCATAACTCCGAGATGTTGTTGGTTATCCAGCAGCTAATATATTGTAGATCCTAACCCCATTGGGGGAATTGAAGCTATATCCGCAATTTCTTATACGGAATTTGTCATTATATGATCCAAGACATGGCAAAAGATGGAGGAAGCTGAGCTTAGGTAAAACGGAAAGATCTGGATTTGAGATATGAAGAATTTAATGGGTCAAATGACATAGGCGCCAGGCAAGATAGGTAGGGCAGGGTAGGGCTGAGCAGTGACTCAAGCTTTGCTGCTTTGGAAGGCGTTGCTGGATCGACAGGGTTAATGCCGAGAAAGGGGGTTTCGATTACTCGTTGCAGTTAGCGTGTCTCTCTCGCCCCATATATCTTCCCAGTACGTACCTCCAATCTGAGATGATATCCAGTTGATCGATCATTTTCTAATCGCTCACCATTTGGACAGTGAATTGATGGGTGAAGCAATGTTTGAGTACCCGGTCAGCCACTATGGGTGTCCTGGAGACTGGTATGCCTACAAGGAAGCATAAAGTTGAATGGAACAGTGACGACCGATATTCCTCAGATTATGATGCTCAAGTAGGTATATGTCAACTTCTGTCTTCTCGTCAACAGAAACTCGGGCTATACCGGTTCTTATAACGAGGAAACAGGTAGCATTCCAATTCAGGGAACCAATCAACGTCTATTATACTCCTAACCACTTACAACCACACGCATAGGACAATTCGAATTAGCGGGCAGCCTTGATGGCTTGTATAATCGAGCTCGTTTCTCCCATCTGTTCCAAAACATCGAATTAAATGGCTTCGCAAAGCTCTCTCATAAGCCCATCCGCCAGTAGTAGCACGAATATATACATTGTTGAACCTACGACTGCACACACGCATACCATTATTCTTCTTCACGGGTTGAGCTCTAACGGAGAAAAGTTCGGCAAGGAGCTTCTGGAAACAGGCATTACTTCAGCAAACCGATCACTCGCTCAACTGTTGCCAGGGACACGTTTTGTCTTTCCCACAGCAAAGCGGCGCCGTTCGTCTGCATTTAATAGGGCGGTTCTCACGCAATGGTTCGATATCGCACGTCTTCCCGACCCAGAGTACCGAAAACAGATACAGCTTAAAGGTCTCGCGGAATCTGCCGCAGAACTAGAACCGCTCATACGTGAAGAGACTTCAAAGGTGTCTCCGCAGAATGTGATTCTTGGAGGGTTAAGTCAGGGTTGTGCCATGTCGCTCTCAATGTTACTTGCTCTCGAATATCCCCTGGGTGGATTTATTGGGATGTGCGGTTATTTGCCATTTCGGACAGATATGGACGAAGCTATTGCACATGATGATATGGAGATGGATGAGGATAATCCTTTCGCTACCGAGGCTGAAGGCCAGACATCATCAGATGACCCAGCAGTCAAAACCCTCATCTTTGAGCGAGATCTTCTTTGCCTCTCAGCTATACCGAATCCCAAGAGGGAAAATACGTCGCGGTCAACGCCAGTGTTCTTAGGCCACGGTGACGCAGATGAGAAGAAGCCATATCACCTAGGTGAAGGCGCTTCTCTGACCATGCAGACTGCTGGATACGAGGTTGTGTGGAAGCTCTACCAGGGTCTTGGCCACTGGTATAAGATACCGGACGAGGTCGATGATATTGTTGATTTTATTCAGAAAAAGGTCGGTTGGGATATATCGCAATAGAAGTAGCGAAGCCAGCCCCTATACAAAGCCTTCCCGAACCTCGCACTCAGTCCCACTTGAATGACTCTCAACCCAGACTATTTCTATTAATAGGGGCCTAGACCTAATAGAATTTTATGTCACATGACCCCATGTGTAGAAAATGGTTGTTAGGATAGGATTTATGTTAATTGTTAGTTAAGACATGCACGCCCTTTGGGATTTGGTCATATATCGCTTCATGATATATGCACCTTGTAAGAATCGGCGGTCAATTCCACGGCTGTCTTAAGGAACATGCATGTCTTCCTCTTTCGGCATGCAGGCGGCCGTATGATCACCTAGGGTGCTAGGTAGGTTAGTGAGTCACTGTTCAGCTAAGATTTCGCGCTATATATTCCCGGGGTATGAATCTTCAACGGAGTAGATGTTAGTTGTATCAAAATTTTATTCCAACTTACCTAGACCGTATATTTCGGGCAAGCGAGGTAACTTGTCATTTCTTCACCTGTGATAAGGCTTATTACTCGCTCGCAATGTCTGCTCAACCAAAGATCGCCGTTAAGACACGCTTACCAACCACCCCGTTTCCTCTCAATACAGAGAGGAAACCCATTCGTACGGAACGACTTATCATCCGCCCATTTTCTGAGGATGACCTTGATGGTATTCATTCCCTCCGTACTCAACCGGAAGTTATGAAGTATACAGCAGTTGGGCGGATCGACGCCAACAAGGAGGAAACCGGTGTATTCATGGCTCGCTTTATGCCGCCCAACGACGTTCAGACATATAACAACATAATTACTCTCGCATCGACGGGCGAGCTGATTGGAGTAGGAGGAGGTACATCTAGACCGGAGTCCGTCTTCGGCTGGCCTGAGATCGGATACTTGTTCAAAAAAGAGTATTGGGGGCAAGGCTATGCTACGGAGTTCCTCAAGGCTTGGTTAAACGATTGGTGGACACTGCCACGGTCCGAGATTGAGACACAGGTCGATGGGCAGTCGGTAAATGGAGTCGGGGAGGTACCGGAAATGATCACGGCGTTTATTGAAGAGTCCAATACAGGAAGTCGACGCGTCCTTGAGAAGGCTGGCTTCCGGGAGTTTAAGCAATGGAGTGAGCCTGATTCTCGTGATGGGTATGGGAGACAAGTGACTCTTGTCGGATTTGTCTTATCATCTCCCGACTCGAAGAGCTAGCGTCCAAAGCAGCTAGGCTTCCCGGACGGCCGCTAGGGTAGACCGAGATTTCCAGTGGCGGGTGATGGTTAAAGTTGGAACGGGTCGGTAGAGAATGGCATGTCGATATTATACAACATTCCAATGATAGGCTTCTGTTAGAACCACTTGGTTGATATCTACTTAGATACCTAAATTATTCAATAGACCATAAATCCAGACGAACCCGTTGAATCCGGAGGTGCAGCTATGAAACACAAATCTGGACACAAAACCACAGGACACTTACGAATGCGGCCTTTTCAGCCACTTGAAGATGACGGGGTTACTAATTGCTGAGGTAAATGTAACTCGGGGTTGGACAAAGTATGCACAGCCATCATGGTTGGTACGAATTGGTGATGATCGTACAACGGGATTTACCTTATTGTTCGACCGGGGAAAAGTGGTATGGGTCTAGAGGTTACCGGCAAGTACGAGATGAGACAGAAGACGAAGGAAGATCGATTACACACCGAAGGATGCGGTTCGGAAACACATGAATTATTTGGGTAGGAATTAAAATTGGCCGGTGAGAGTTATGGATGACAATGTTTCATTGGCCTATAAGGTGATATGAAAACTGCCTGCAGCAGCTGCAGGTAAGTGAGTAATCATTTTTACGAAGACCTTTATGGTTGGTTCAAGATGGTTACTTTTGCTGCCTTTGCGTCGCTAATATAGTCCAAAATGCGAAATGTAGCGCAGAAAAAAGAAAAATAATGTGTGACGATTGAATTGATAACGTCGTTCGGTATATGGATATCAGCATAATCGAGGGGCATTGTGCATATATGGAGCATACACACCTCGTATATCGCATGGCAGGGCAGATTCTTACGCTAAAAGTTTGAAAAAAACGGGAAAGGAAGCCATTGCTTCGTACGTCCACTAGCTACGTCAGGTTTTTATTCCGCGAGCACGTGTCATCAGGCAATTTGGCTGCGGGCTTTTTGTAAACCTGTTAAGTCGCTGAGTCGTAACTTCTTGCTTCTTGGAGTAACTTTGTGCCTTGTGCCTTGCTCCTCGCTCCTTGCTCGGTTTAACTCCAGGGCAGTTTCTATCTTTAAACATTGGCAGCATTGGCAGCATTGGCAGCATTGGCAGCATTGGCAGCATTGGCTACCTAATACTTTGGCTCTACATTGGCTTAAACCTTGGAAGCCTGCCCGACCTTCCTCTCATCCACCCATCATATTTGTGATTTCGGAATATTTCTTCCAGGGCTTCACATCACATCCATCCCACAATTACCTACTACCAAGACCACGGCTACGGCTGTGTTCAGTATGAATCACACGCCTCTGCCTAATATTCCAAATGAATTTGTCCATTTTCATCAATTGCCTATCCTATCAAGGCTGCGAATGGCCCCAACAGTTTGAATGATCAACCTATTTATACCACTGTCTTGTACCTGATCCATGGATATACAATAATTATACCATAATCGTTTGTGTTTCTTATGCTGCCCTGATTTTCGTAACGCAGCAGATGCTGTGGTTGCCGATTTGCGAATTCTGCGGTCATCATTTGCCCCCTAAATATCGTTGGATCATTTATCCTTCCATTCTATTCATCCATCATCTATTGGATCAATCTATCTTACTTGCCTACTCAGTAATAATATTTGCGCACATATTCCCGAAAACATCTATTACGTCTTTTTGATTAACGTGCTATCATCTCGCCTATGCTAAATGTTTCTAACTCCCGAGTCGTTTTTCGTCTGGCTGTTTCGTGTGAACTTGTAAGGAGAGATGGCGAGCGTTAAAGTCGAACCCAGCGAACCAACCGCTGCTCCTTCGCCTTCTAAAGAGACACCTCATTCTCATCCTCGGCCACAACCACATCCACAACCGCAACCTCAACCGCAACCCCAGGCACAATCGAAGTCGCAGTCGCAATCACAACCACACCCCCAATCACAGCGGAGGTCTTCTGGAGCAAGTGTGAAGGATTTTTATGGATATCTTTTTCATGAGGACAAGTCGCAAACTTACGTTCTTGATGCGCTACTCCGCGCCATCGGACTATATATTGTAGGCCCTATTCACCTTCGTCGCATGTCCTCACACGGATGCGAAGAGGAGCTATGCTAACTTGACAACACGGCAGTCCGCTCATATCGGCGATGAGAATGTCAGTGCACTGACTCCGAAGAAGCTAGCGGCCTTTTATCGCGCCGTCGGCGGCGATTACGATCAACTCTTCATACACTGTCCTGGTAAATCCATCTCTTATATCTGGCAAGCGCTAGGAGTTGAGCATACCCTACAACCGACCGAGAATCCTTACGAAGCGCCGTCTATTCCCGCTTTAACTATAAGAGGTTTTGTTCGATGGGAGACAATTCAGATTCTCCTTGAACCTCAAGAGCATGCGCCGTTTATACAATTCGCCGTGCGTAACTGGGCTTTGGTAAATCCTGATGATGGGAAGCCTTTCCCAGTTGATCTACCAAGGGATGCTTTCCCAGCCCAATGCGATCCAGAGATAGATGCGTGGCATAAAAATTGCGCCAAAAAGTTGCGGGATGAAGCCACTCCTAAAGATGAGCATCCGCCTTCCCGGCCTCCGTCCGATCCGAGAATCAATAGCACATACACGCATGTACGCAACCCACCGAGCGCGGGTACGGGTACGGGCACGTCACCTCGGCGGAGACCAGAAATGGATTATTTCCAGAGAGGACGGCCAGTGTCGTATGCCCATGTACCAGGCAGTCACTATGCCGCTCCCGCTTTTACTGTCAATTATGCACCAGGACAGCGACGGGTGAGTACTAGCAATAGCAGCAGTGGCTCACCGGGTAGTCCGCCTCGGCGACGAAGTCAATCAGATGTGCGTCACCCCGAGATGGAGGATCCCCGAACTTCGAGTCATCTCAATCCCCGTCGTCCGCCTGGTCCGCGCCGCCACAGTCATTCAAAACCCTATTCCCCTGACCCCTCGGATTCCGAATCGGAGATGCCGCCTCGTGCTGGCTCTAAATCCCGAGTGCACGGCCCCGTTCCGCCTTCGTCATTCCGACGTATGCCAGTTGCGGCCCCTATAACGCCACCGATTCCGGTACGGGTTCGCCGTAGCGAAATTCGACCCGATGACGTTCGTAGGAGGAGCTTGCCGGCAGAGATAAGGCAGAAGGTTACTTCATTTCTTTCAGGGTCGTCCGATCGCCACCGGAGCAACTCTCGCGAAAAGCGACATCCACCAAGTGTACAGTCGGGCGTACATTTCCGGAGAGAGAATTCCTCGCGCCTTAGCAGAAGCGGGTCCGGAGACTCGTATCCCAGTGATGAATCAGACACAGGAATACCGCCGGGGTATCCTGCGCGACGCGAGCGCGAGCGTGAACGCGAACGAGTGATACGTGATAGGGTCATCGAAAAGGAACAACGCCGGAGAGAACGGGAGAGGGAGGAAGAGCTGGAAAGGAAGGGCCGGCATGAACGAGCGTATCTGCGGCCAGCAGCGCCGAGAAGATCTAGTAGCCATACGGATGTCGACCGAACCAGAGACTATGGCTGGGATCGCAGGGATAGGGATCGGTCTTCAGACCTAGATCGGGACGGAAGGCGAGTTGTGACAGCTGACGAGAGGGAAATACGGGACCGTAGGCGGTATAAGGACCGAGGTTATAGCCCTGCGGTAACTGGCGTCGGCGGAAGGAGATACCCCCCGGAGCCAACTTGGAAATCATAATTGGTATAGTTATTCGAATGTTAGATTGGCGTGGCGTCATTTGGAGTTATGGATTTATTGTATGAGTTGTTTCAAGTGCGAGCTTGAGGCTACACATACGAGATATGATAGAAGGACAGGCAATATTTTGGATATTTCACGGCTACACTGGACTATGTATGGGGAAGTCATGTTAGTATTAGAAAAGGAAAGGATGGGGGGATAACGGCTTAAATCTCGTGATCTTAGATACCTAGGTAGGCGGCCATTTGACTTCTTGCCTATCATTATTTGGAGATCTATTGGCCGTTTGGGATGTTAGGCTACAGGCCAATTCGGAATAGATATATATTGGTGGGGATTATCACACCACTCACGCTACGAATCACATCGAGAAATTATAGCATCGGCATTGAGAATTGAAGCTATTCACAAGCCGATGAGTCCTCGCATTTAGTCCCGACTCCGCTTGAATACCGCAACCACAAGGTACAAATAACTTTACTATCGACAGTGTTATCAATTATCACTTGGTATAACAGACAGTCGCACTTGGAATATGAAACATAAGTAATTATTCTGATAAGTTAAACACTACCTGGGTGGTATACAGGTTGGAAAGAAAGTCCAACCCAAGAAGTAGAGCTAATCTCATCAAGAGATGCAACTACCTTCGTATGGGGGATCACGTTGGGTATTAAGCTTGAATCAATCAACCTCACCCTTCTCTACATTTCCCATCTCCTCTGGGGGGTGTAAACCAAACTTCTGCCGATGTCGAGGGACTCGAGACAGCGTCGTACTACGTGCCATCCAATTCCGGGTGTTTCGTGAATTCGGTCATGCGAGAGGGAGAACCATTCTGTGGTTTCGGGTCCGGCGTTACTGTGTGCGATTTGGACAACCCCATCACCTCAATCTCCTCTACCTCCGATGTCGAGAGCATCTGCGATTCCTCCTTCGCCGAATTCGTCTCCAACTCCGAAACCTTCAATCCCTGGTCTCCCATCCCCATCGGCCCCTCTCCAGCCTTTTTCTTCGCGCGCTGGAACTTCTTCCACTCAACCCACGTCCTCGACTTCTCGCACTCGCTCGTCTTCGACAGCCGCGCACCGTATCCCCTCCCCGCCCCCTCCATCATCGCCCAGAACTCCTCTTTGCGCCCCGCGAACCGCCCCCCATCGGAGTCTTCATCGCTCATGCCCTCGCCACCGTACCGCGTACACATCCCCGGGAAATCTGCCTTCGAACCCGCGAACGCGGAGCTGACGCGTCCGAGGATCGGAGCACGCGAGCTGATGTTCAGGGACGAGGCATCGCGGACCCCTTTGCGCGAGAGAAAGCGATTGCGCGCGACGATGGCGGTTTTGGCTTTTCGCGCGTGGTAGGCGCAGTAGGACTTGTTGTTGTTGTAGACGGGCGTGTTGATGGTGCGGCAGTAGGGGTCCGGGCAGGTGAGGAGGGTGCCGCGTTTTAGCTCGCAGGGGCAGAGGTTGTAGCGCTCGTAGGGTTGGATGCACATTTTGGAGATGGGTAGGTAGGTACCGTTATTCCTGAGATGAGGTGTGATTTTGGGGGTGGAAGGGAGGTTTGGGAGGTTTTGAGATAGGTGGATGATGGATGGTTGGTTGATATAGATATTCGATACTTTGGTGCGGCCTTCAGCGGCTACAAAAGGCGAGTGTATCACGGTCTTGGTAAAATATACTTCGCGGGCTTGAGTGAATACTAGATTGCTAGATTTTGACTCGCGTGAGTTGGCAGGAGATTAAAGCATTGCTCCAGGTTCCCGGCATGATAGGAGAAGAAACTCTGCTTTCGACTAATTGTAAAGGTCAAACAGATTATCATAGAGCCAGGGCAGGAAGACATGGGATAGATATATGAATTAGGTATAATTGTGGCGGTTAATTGAACAGAAGCAGACAGGTGGTCTAGATGGATTTTATACCAAGTCAGTGTTGAAAGGAGTGATGTTATATACATGTATGTGACGAATTCATAACCCTAATAACCCTCAAAGAACCCCATCCCTAAGTTGAACAAGAATGGGACTCTAGATATTCACGGTAATAGATAGAATATCTTCACCATTTAGACGATCGCGTCTCATGATTTAGCTATGACCCAGCGTGATCTTTCCATCGCCACTCAACGTCGCGGTTCCACCAGTCTTGCCATCTTTATTCTTACACTGAGTTGCAATAGCATATATGTAGCTCCTCATCCCGTTGCAGTTCAGGGGGCATGTTGTGGGCGGTGGAGGCATGCCAGAAGGATCCGCCGGGCATCTGTGATGGCATTAGTCAATAATTCCCTATGTAGAGTGACAGAAGGGTGGATGGGAAAGGGGGTAGAAGTTACCGAATGTTATCGTTGATAGATGCTTTAGCCGAACCGGAAGTCTTCGAGTTGCTGCCTCCAGGAACATGGCAACAGCATTCCAGTCCATTTTTCCCTTGCCAGTTGTCACCGACCTTCAGCGCATCCTTGTAGTCAGGCCCGTTGCTAGCGTCGCAATTGATGCCGTTGTCACGCTTTAGTATATCGAGTGCGCGTGCCTCGGATATAAGACTGCGTGAGTGGCGGCGCTCAGAAGTATCGTCTCGTTTTCTGGGAGGAGTTGGCACACCGATTACCATTGCTGATTTAACCTTCTTGCCTTTGACATTGACACACTTTCCGTTCTCGAGAGTGGCGACTTGGTTTTCGACGTGGCAGTCTGAGTCACTGCAGGCGAAGGCGATGTCTGCTTTAGGGACATCGCTCACCTTAATCGAGTCGACGCTGTTGAGAGTGACCGGCAGGTTTTCACCGATAAATCCCATCTCGTTCCTACATGGTACTGTTAGATATGGTAACATGGAAGGGTGTATAACAGATAGACCACTCACGTGGAGCTTCCAGAGCAGTCCGTATTCTTCCAAGTCCTTACAGTGCCAGCTGAGGCTCGCTTCTTCTTGGAGCTACCTTCTGGGAGAATATTGTTTACGGCCTTGAGCTTGGTGTTTCCCATGGTCATACATCCATCTCCTTGGAACGAGCCAACTTGGGCATCTTTACCGCACCAATTGTTGAAAAAGATCCATTGCTCGTCCTTGCTAGAGCCTTCTACCTTGATAGAGGCAGCTTTATCTTTGAAATACTGGCCTATAGACAAGATGGATATTGTCAATTTGCGTTCGGATTAAGAGGTTAAATATTTTCACTTACAGTAGTCACCATATTTAGTATCCTCGATAGTCTGTTGGACTTCGCCCTTGCACCCCTTTTCTTTATAGGCAGTCAGTTTATAACCGCTGACTTGCAGTAGAAGGGTTGCAAGGCCGAGGAGGGTAAGAGGCTTGGTTGCTGGCATTGTCGATGGTTGAATTTTGATGCGATTAGAGTGTCTTTGATGCTCTATTTTGATGGTAGTAGATTGTGATTTCGATGGTTGGATACATCCCCCTTATTTATATAAATTTTTTCTACTTCTTATTTTATAAAAAACTAGGTACCCATTGGTAAGTAGACCTGATCATCTTCGTTCGACTGCGGTATCCTCGATATCTTCATTCTAATCTCGATCGTATACAGCCTCTTCCTCAGTAACCTCGCCCGACGATATCTATCTAGAGAACTATTCTGACATGAAGTCATAGCTGAGGCTCATCATTACCCATAGAGTATATACGGAGCATACGAAATTCGCCAAAAGGAACGAAAAGTGGGTCCATAACCAAGAAACAATATCGTAGCTCGATGTATTGTAGCCTATTTTTGGATTTTGTAGGCCTAAGCTGAGCGAGCTGAACGGTTGAGAACGGCACGCAGCCCTTAGGTGAGCCGGTCCGGGGGATTCGGGGAACCGAGGGCGGACGACATTAACGAATCCGCTAAATCGTCGATTGTGTCAGCTTCACTACCATCTTTTATTAGGTGATGTCGATTCCACTTGCTATACCAATTGATCCTTCCGCCCCCGCGATCTCCAAATAATATTCCTTTGAAGCTACTAAGCAGAGTCGTGAGCCTCTCGAGTACCGCTCGAGTACGTCACAATGCTTCCCAGACTGTCCGGATGGATTCGCACGTGCAGATGACCAATGTCAGAAGTATATTTGCAGGCTTCTTCATAGTCAGCTTCTGACGTCACGGACTAATTTCAATAGGAACTCAGACAACGAAGAAGTCATTTAATCAAGTTCGAGAAGGGAGTGTGAGAAACGGTCACTCGGAGGACAGTAAAGGTCGCGATTAATCATTGTGTTTAAATGATGTTAGGTAATGTTTTACATGCAAGAGAGAGAGAGAATAAATGACGAGAGGTACTAGGTACGCCAAATAAAACCCTCAGGTTGTTTCCAAGCCAGTAGCGATGGAAGTCACCTAGTTATTAGAGGGGATCTACACATTACATTTCTTTTTCGAAAGGCAACCTAGGTACCTACCCATTTATAGAAATTGCCGATGCCGTGGAAGACTTTCCAGAGCAAGGAACGGTCCTTATGTTCTCTTTCCACTATAACCATTTACCAGCTGATAGTCGATACACTGATTAAGTGACATGATCAAATGTCAATAGATGGAAAGAGACAATTGATCGGTAGTTTCCTGTTTACAACATTTGACATCATGTTGGTGGTTAATTGCAGAGTCATAGTTTAGAAAAAGACCTAGTAGGTAGGTTCGACTGATACCGACATTCACCCGTATCCCCGTAAGGGATACTGCGCTTTGACTAGCAAAATGGGCAAGAATTGGAAGACGATCCGAATATTACCCGATAGGTTATATTTGCATAAAACCTTAATAATCTTTAGTCGGAAGTACTTCGGGCCAAATTGCAATTTGCTCATTTTGCTAGTCAAAGCGCTGTATCCCCTTAAACACGACGGACCGGTCATTTAGCGCGGTTTTTAACTCTTGGTTTCAATCTTAGCTTAGTCAGCCGTTCTGCTTAATTAGGTTAAAGCGTCAATACTTAAAAATGCCGAAACCCTTATACCGATAAGATTAAACACACGCTAAAATAAGAGCTGAAACAAACTCTAGTACCTCTTCAAAGTCTAAAGCTAATACCACGCTAAATGACCCGTCAGTCGTGTCTAAGGGGATACAGAAGGCGCATCGTCGACAGCTGGCACTGAAGTGGGCCACATTTGCGGGCCAACTGTTGGCATAAACGCTTGCAGCTGTAAGGTGGATCGCAGCCAACAGCTGCCTGACAGCTGTGAGCGGATCCATCGCCAGCTGGTGATGATCTGCAGAATGTTTTGAATGCGCCTTCTGTATAATTAAGTACTTCTCTTGAGGAGGCACGAGTCTTAACCGACTACGCCAGTGTCATCAATGTGAGACATTCGGTGATTAGTTCTCGGACTTCCGAGAAAATTCAACAAGAATTCGGACATTTTATTCCGCATTCCGCATCGATTAGATTCCCCATCAGAGGTCATTCAGCAACTATGGTATATGCGCATAGTGTCTAAAGCGGACGTAGATACTGTATTTTGATGTAGAGATACGAGGCCAATAATGCGGCCTCCATAGATAGGAGGAGGTCCAGCATATTGATATAGCTGCTAACAAGCATTGTCTTCAGCTTGTTCAGGTAGTTTTGCGAAACCGATTTCATGTACTGAAAGGTAGATCGTAAACAATTTATCTTGGGATGTTCCAAAGCAATAGTTGGAAGAATGAATGGCACGAGAATGTGTAAGCACAACTATTTTTAATCATTGGCCGATATAGAATTGATACTGGTGGCCTCCATTGTGACTTTCACATCCCTCGACCGTAAATCAATATCTTCAATGAGGTTATCCATCGTGGGATACATGACCGCCGCCTATGCATGACAAATGCAGAATCTTAGCTAATGCTTTCCTTCACGTTCCCGCAGACTCAGAGGACAATATCTAAGCCGAAATATAGGAAGATGCAAATTAAACTAGCTACTGAGGCGTGGCTTAGTTGTCCAACGCTATGATTCGACGTAGGCATACTTACCTAGTACCTAGTAGGCACAAGTTTAAAAAGGAGAAGAGGGAAAAAGCATATGCGGACACTTGTCTCCAAATTTTTGCCGTCTATCCTCTACCATGTTAGTAGAGAGATCCAACCCGAATTATCACGCGAACCTCACCCACGAAGCGATCATCCTATACCTAGGTATTAACCTGATTTTATTATAAACATAGTGGTAGCTAATTCGTACCTAGATAGATTAGCATTAACACTTATACGCAAAACAATAAACATAGTTCTTCTTAGATTAGAATTACTTGCCGAAGCCAACTCAATATACCCAAATCAACTCGGCCATATATCTTCCACATAGATTATTCAACAACGCCTGGTACGCTCGATCGATTCGACCAACTTTCGGTAGAAAGAGTAAGGTACGAGTATATATCGGTAATAAGATATAAGTTGTCGGCAATCATGGCCGCCCATATCTTCTTACCACAGTAGGGATACTGCCTATGAAAAGCTCGAAGGCTAGTACACCAATTTCTAAGAACGTAGAACACGAGGAAGATCGCGGCAATTATAGGGTGGGTAAACCACAAATACATCCAAAGATACAAGCGGAAGGCGGTGGAGAATGGCTTACACATTCCTCTTGTCATCTTATACGCCATATAAGGTGCCGTCGATCTCATACCTAAGATACCCGGTTCGTAGAGGAGGCAGGTGAGTCGAATGCGGAGACCTGTTCTGAACCAGCGCTTACTCTGGGAAGCGTATCTTCCATCTGTCATCAGGGAAGTTAGAACCTCGGCTTCTGGAGTTAGCTGCATTCCCAATTTCCACTGTTTGTGCGGGACATTAGAGTGATGGCGGTGACTCAACTGGTGTTGGAAAAGTATGTAACGTGTGATGAAGGCGTCATCACCCGTATTCTGCCTTATTCCATTCCACATGTCGTGAGTGAACAGGTATTGAAAATACGGATCTCTGACTATCTCCCCCCGTAAAAGCATAGTCAGGCCTGAGACTGTGAAGTTTGTGGATCCGTCTGCGGCGTAGAACTCTGCCATGCCCGGGCCTCGACGAGATCGTGTACGGAGAGCGGCAACCTCCCAAGGCGTGATTATGTTGGAGTTTTGTCTTTCCTCGGGGACGTACGATCCGATAGGTCCGCCGACGAGACCAACGTCAAGGTCTTGGAAGGGAGCTAGCAACTGCGTTAGAACTTGGTCTGTAGTCCATTTCGCATCGTCGTCAACTAGGCAAAGTATCTGACCACTTGCTTGATTAATCCCATGGCAGAGTTGGGTTCGTTTATTGGCTTGTTGTACCGTGGCGACATTGATAATTGCTCCACTGGCTTCTACGGCCTTTCGAAGACCTGGAGCCGATTCTAGTACCTTGGATAGCTTATCTGCTTCACTCTCGAGGGTGACGAAAATCACTTCGCGTGGACGGCATTTGAGCCAGGTCATGAGGTTCGCAGGCAAGTCGTCGTCCCAATCGATTGTGGGACAGATTATCGACACGTTAGATGAGCCGAAGAGGGCTTCATGAGGCGGTGGGATGGGGAAGGGCCTGTATCTTGCCGCATAATGGCGGCTCTCGGAGGCTTCGGCTGCGTCCCATAAGTAATGACCGAAGAGGCAAGCAATATGGATGTTATCAAGTGTAAAACAAGACATTTTGCCCTTAATCTTCGACGATCCTTCGTAGTATGCTGCAGAGGATAGTCGCGAATAGTAGAATACTTAATGGCGTGTTCTAAACCCTCGCACGATGGAAACATGAAATACCGTAGACCATCTATTGATTTTATAATACAATTCCATTGATCAATGAGTTTAAACAATCGTTTTATTTCTTCTAGATCTAATTGAAGTACAACAAGGACATTGCTCGTCAACTATGCCTTGTCCTTTCCAACAGGAATATCTCTGACAAAGAGAGATCTGAACAATCGATTGTATGGGAGCTTCCTCTTGAAGCCGTTACTCGTGTATCTAGTAAATACCTCCCTGATAATGGATGACCCCTGTAATCACGTCTGAATGATGATCTGGATGAGGAGCTGCGACGAGGAGCTGCGATGCTGCTCTGATTCTACGTCTCGATATCACCTTCCAAGTTCCATCTAAGCCTACGCAGTACAACACGATAGATGCTTGGTTTCGTCTTCAAAGTGAAATATGTATCACATACGATGTTTTTCTTCATTAATATCTATCTAGGTAGTCTACGGAAGCCATATACGGCCTCTAATAGCCCAAATTCATCTCGTCTCTACCCATCCTCACAGCCGACACTCGCCTTCGACACCATTCGCAACACCAATGTACCTAGGTACCTACCACTAGGTACATACGCTATGTACCTCTATAGCTTCCTAAAAGTGATGCACACCATTAACGCGCCTTCCAGGGTTCAGAACCTCATCTAAAGGCTAATCCAGATTAGGAAGCGATCTGGAAGATCATTCCGACCTACAGGGGTGTAAACGTTAATTGGGGGGTGTGACTAGTGTGGCTGGACGCTATCAAAGTCTAAATTCAGCCAAAAGAGGGGAGTACATTACGTGGTACAAGCCATGACCCTCCATTCTCTGAGGATCCACCTACCCCGGGTGTCAAGTAATTTTCTGGACCTGGGTCAATTTCCAATCTTTCTTCTTTCTTTCAACTCACTTTGTCAACAAACTCCAGACTCCAGCTTCCAGCTTCCAGCTTTTTACGTGTTCACAACACAATTTTCATCAACTTGCTACTTCTCAAGCTTTCGCATACTGCAACAACCAATTCTGCATCCATTGCGAATACTGTATCCAATCAATTCAATTGATTTGGAATCATAAAATCATCTAGATCAAGCTGCGCCTGCAATCAACTATCATCTCTTCATTGCCAGGACGCGTCTTCCCATTCTCGCCAACCGACTTATCAATCATCACACATCCGCTCAGCAACTGCGGCGGCTTCTTTTCTATCAAATTCTTACTATAGAATCGCGACTGAACACCCTTATTCTATTTTACGCGCTTAGACGCGTCTTTTTGGTGCTTAATTGATACACCATACACCTATTCCCACCTAACACTCGATTCCATCCCTGACGCGTTGCACACGCGACGGGACATAATGGAGTCGAGAAGTAGTAGATACCAATCACGCATCGTTAGAGAGATGCATCAGAATACTGAGAATCCTTTTAATTCGCCACCATCATCTACCGGTACTCACGGAACTATCACCCTAACCTCTAACATCACCATGGGTCCCCAAGGTGAATCGACGCGACGGATGGATGATGCTTCCATCAACCTTCCTAGTCAAGCTGCCATGCGCAGCCTTAAGGCTCCTCAATCGACTTCCTTCAACGTCAACACGTCGGCACTTGGCCGCACTTTCCCAGAATGGAGCCACTGGAAACCCAATGGCCTTGCTCACGAAAAGGACACATGGGATATTGCGAGCAACGGTCTTGCTAACTTAGAAGCGAAGGAAAACATGACGCCAATTGGAAGCCCTAACTCTATTATCGACACTCCCAGAGCGGACGGCATCCGCAAGGCAAGTGAAAGTCCGATATTGCAACGTATTAGTGCCTTAAGTTCTACTGCACGAGGGCTGGTAGAGACAGCGAGGCTATACCGTGAGACAGCTGATTCGGTCGCGAACACATTTCAGGCTAGTCAAGCTGCACGGGCAGCACGTGACGCACATAAGTCACCTGTTCGAACCAGTCGGATACCGAGAGCGACGTTTCGACAGTGCAAGGGACCTTCCGTCCGTCGTTCTGTCGAATTCGGATCAGCCTCCCGTATACCCATCGCGACCTTTCAGCGGTGCTCTTACCAAATTAAATCCCAAACTTCTCTTGAGAAGATTTCTTTAAAATCTTGTTTGCGTGTTAAGTCGAAGGTCCCCGTGCCTCCGCTTGCGCGTATTTCCTATTTCTCTCGTTCTTTTGTCCGACCGTACTCTCCTCGTTCTGTTTCTAAGGCAACTCGTTCAAAGCCGATCGTTCGTTTCTTGGATCCGGTTATTAGCTCATTTGTTTGGTTCCTCATTTCTTGGAGTAGTAAGAACTAAACACTAACATTAGGCGATTAGCTTATCATTCCGGCGAGGGCTACGGACGTCTATGAAAGCCCAACCGCCGCGGAAAACCGAGACGTTGTCCGAACACGTGCCCAGATGCAGCCACAGGTCCAAACTGAATCCGAATGTTCATTGGATCTCTCGGAATCGTTGGCTCAGCCGCAAGAAGACCCCGAGGATCACGACATCCACCAAAGCGCACCGGCATCCGCCCCTGGAAAAGGTTCTAAGCCTCGTCGCGGCAACGTCACAGCTCTCCTCGAGACGCTCAAGACTGCTCAGACCAAACAAACAGAGTCTAAGGAACAGTTTGCGAAGCATAGTTCACCAAAGCCACAACAGCCTTCGGCACAGCCACGAAATGCTGCTAAGATGCACATGGAAAGACAATCCGAGCTGAATCATATGGCGGACGCTGCTACTCCAAACCAGACTGCTCGTTCTTTTTTCCTACCAAACTTTTCCTACATAAACGACTTCCTATCAGGTACCCTCAGACTGTCATCTCTCAGAAATGGCATGCCTATCTTTGTCAAACACGGAAAAGTACACGACCGGGAGTCGACGACCTCCCCCGACCATCATGTGGATGTTGAAGCGATTGCTATCCCCGAAGACGAGGAGAAGATCTTTGTATCTCTGGATAAGATCAAGGATGAGATTCACGCTTTGAAGGAGCATGATGAGATGGTTTCACGACAGGCCGAGCAGCTTCAAGAGGAGATCGAAGAGCTCCAGATCCAGGTCGCCAAGTATAAGTCTCGAAAAGACAGCGCCATGGGCTCTGATTCGGAGAGTTCTATCATTGACCATCTAAATGCCCAGAAAGGTCAATTGGAAGAGCAGATAAGCTCTCTACAAGCTCGTCTAGACAAGGCCAACCGCAAGATCAGCATCAACGAGATTCACACTGAGTCTTACGTCGCTGAACGCGATGAGGCCCTCAAGAGCGCCACGGAACAATCAGACAAGATCAAACAACTTCAGTCTGATCTGAACACAGCTCGCCAGCAACTCAACACATTGCGCGAGGACAACACTCAGGATAACAATGATCTCGAGCTAGAGAACAAATCTCTACGCAAAGACAACAACTCGATTCGCCAACAGTGGAAATCTTTGTTGGAGGAGAACCGCTCTCTCCGTGAGCACAATGGCGAGGTATCGGGCCGGAACATCGAGTTAGAGCATGATCTCAAAGCTACCAAAGGTCGGCTCGATTCGACCAAGGAGCAATTAGAGATTGTCGGGAACGAATACAGTGCCCTTCTAGAGGAGAAGGCATTGATCAAGGAGGACAACCTCAGCTTGGAGCGTCACAATGACAAGTTCTTCAATGATAACAAGGTTCTGAAACAACAAAACTCTTTGTTTGAACGACGGACGCATGATCTTCAAGATGAAGTGGCTCGGCTTAAGAAACTGCTTGATGCTACGAGTGCAGAGACTGGAACCATGTCTGTTGAGTTTAAGGATATAAAATATCGACTTGAGGTCCGCAACCATGAGCTCTGTGAAGAGAACGCAGAACTTCAGCAACAGATTATTGATCTCCAGGCTGGATTTTCGACCAAGCGTGTGGCTCTCGAACAAGAGAAACGCCGACTTACTACTGCAAACGAGCGACTCAGCCAGAAAATCGACCAGATCACGAAGCAATTTGAGCAAATTGTGAAGGAGGGCAAGGAGGAAGCTGCTATGTACGAGGAGAAAGCGGCGACCCTGACGCAGCATTTGGAGCTCATTGCCGGCAAGGAGTCGGCCTTGACGAATAAGTTGAAGGAAACTGCCGACAACGAGGCTCAACTTCAGTCAGAATTGAAACGGAAAACGGACGCCGTTAACGAAGCACGCCAGATTACCCAGGAAATCAAGGACTTCATGGGTACCGTTGATAAGAAGAAGCATGCCAAGACTGCGCGAATTGTCGATCCGAAGGGCAAGTCAGTCGCCACCGAGACCACTGCTAGAAGCACAACATCTCAAACCGACCTGCCCCTTCAAGATGATTTCACTCAGCAGATCGACCTCACTCAGGGATCTGACTTTGCAAGCATCTTCACGCAAGGCGAAATGCCTAAATTACGAGAAACTCTGCGCCAGCTTCGCGGCGAGACGCAATCAAAAGACTTGACTGATGAATCATTCGTTTTTGACGACGACGATGACATTAGCGACCAGGACAGTCAAAGCCTACCACTCCCGTTCTTGTCTCAGAACCGATCCCGAGCCGCTAGCTCTCAAAGTGCAGCCTCTGATGCGTTTAAGGTACGTACTGAGACAACCAAGCCTCAGCCTATCGGGATTTTGAAGGATACTCAACTTTCTCGCCTCAACACGCAGAAGCAGCACAATGCTGTCCGTGCCGCTGTCGAGTCGGATACCGAGGAGTTGCACGAGCGAGAGACGGCAGAGACTGTCGCTAGTGGGCGAAAGTCCAAGTCTGATGACGTCGTACCTCGCAAGGTATCATTTGGCCAACCTGATACCCGAACTGTGCGCAAAAGGTTTTACGCAAAGAGCGATGATAAGGCTGCGCCACCTGCGCTAGAACCAGACCTTACTGGACGTTTCGCCCTCAAGTGTCGTGCTAAGGGAAAGCCATACCAGCCTTCCTCGAAGTATGACAAATACTACCGTCGCCCTGCCCCGCCTAGCCCACAATATGCTGAAGAGTCCGACCCTGAAGACAACATGACTTCAGCCTTGTTCATCGACGACATCACGCTTGAGGCGGATAAGGCAACGGAGAAGCAGAAGACTGATAAGGGTGAGCTTTCCACGGACGCAAAGCGTCTTCTCGACACTCTTCACGATGAACACGACTGTAAAAACTGTGTTGTTTGCTTACGCATTAACACATACAAGTGCGCACTTCGGGGGATCGACTACAGAACTAAAACCATCATTCGTGCCCCAAGACCACTTCCTGTGTCGACCCTAGCTTCGGATTATGACGACCCATCTACGATGCGTCCGTCGATCAAGCCAGGCCAGGCATTGGCAAAAGTGATCAAAACTTTGCAAGATGAGGAGAGGCATATTCAGATGGCTATTAAGGACTCCGATGAACTCTACAACGGTTGCAACCCATCAATCCATCGTAACCGGTGGAAGAAGTTGGACAAGAAGGTTGCGAATATGAGACGGATGCGGGATCTCAGAAGAGATCAGATCTACTACCTATTCGACGCTCTCGAGGGGCAGAAGGCTAGTGGTCAGGAGATGACGGACGATTTTGTGGATATCACGGTGACGAATGCGATGTCGAATGACCCAACATTCAAGGGCGTCCACCAGTACTATTGAAAGGGGGAAGGGGGTGTAGGACTGAAGGAGGGAAAGGGGCATAGGGGCCGGCATTTGGAGGTGGCGTTTGGTATGGTGCGGCGGTGGTAGTGGGAATTCATTCGCTGAGTGGAGTTGTGGTTATTGGGATTGATGGGCTTGATTGAGCCATGATGATACTTATGCATGGGTGGCGTTTTGCAAAAAAGGGGTCTGTATTGATATGGATAGAAACCTGTTACCCCTAGGTTATAAGCCGGCGGGCTTTTGCGCAACCGCATTGCGGGCGCCGTGACATTACATAATGGAATGAGTCACGATTTTCACACAAATATTTGATTGGTCTTAGTACTAAGTGCATGCAATGTTATTCTGTAGGCATCGTGATCGTAAAACTATGTTCTATTAAGTAATTGTTACCTATGACTATTAGGTGCCTGTATAAGTGATACTCTATTGTCCTCATCACAGCGCAGCCATTGCCCTCTTCCCCATAGTCCAGAACCAGCCCCACGCACCAAGGGTAGCAGTAAATCCAGTATAGATAATCATAGGTCCGTACTGCGTAGCATATCCAGAAAAGTCCTGAGCTTTTAAACAATTAACCTCAAGCAAGGCGCCGCCGACAGGTCCGCTCAAGACGAAACCAAGGCCCCTCCCACCGAGGAGCATGCCGAATATCAGGCCGGTATCCGCGGCGCCGTCGCGGCTCTGCAGCTCGCGCTGGATACCGGACCACGTCGAGCTGAAGCCGCCGGCGAAAAAGCCGTACAGAAGCGTGAAGACTACGAGCACGGCGACTTGGTGGCCGCCGAGACCCCATAGCAGGAAGACGGGTAGGGCGCTGCCGACGCTTGAGATCAGGATCACGGTCGTTGCGGCTAGCCCGGTGTCGTTGAGGAGTCCGATTAATAGCGATCCTGGCACGGAGGCGAGCGAGATTAGGGCGAGGAAGACGGGCCCTGTTATTGACGGGAAGCCTAGCGCGTTGGCGTAGGAGGCGAGGTAGGTGCTGGGCATTAGGTACCCCATTGATTGCAGGACGTTGCCGAATTGGAGGATCCAGAAGGTGGGGTGCCGCGCGAAGGCGAAGGATACAGTGCCTGTTGGTCTAGGCGAGGTCGTGGATGATGTGCTGTTGCTGCTGCTGCTGCTGGTGGTAGGTCGGTCGCGTAGGAGGAATAGAGGCGGGATGGTGAGAAGTGCTGAGGCGATAGCGTAGGCACGTAACGTTGTCCCGACCCCGAACCGGTTCAGCAGGGCGCTGGTTAGGAACGGCATCCCGGCCCCCGCGCCGCTCTTCCCGCTTCACATCGCCCCGTACGCTAACCCTTTCCGCGCGCTGAACCATTCGTCGAGGTATAGCGACGTTGGACTGAATAGTAGACCGCATCCGATTGCGTGTAGCACGCCTTGTGTGGCGACTAGCCAGCCGGCTGATGTTGCGAATGAGGACGCGGTTAGACAGCCGGTTGTTAGGACGAGGCCGAGGCGGAGACACCATTGTCGGAGGTGTGGGTATTTGGTTAGAAGCGTGAAGGTTATCGGCATCATGAGATATAGGATTCCGGTCTGTGTGGTGCCGATGCTGGCGATTGTGCCCGGGGAGTTGGGGCCGAGAATCGTCGGGTGCGTGGTGTAGTGCTCTTGGAAGATGCCGAAGGCGAGGGAGTACCCCCATATTGGTGCTTGGATTAGCACGCACCCGGCTAGTACTAGGTATGCGGATTTGCTGTGTTCGAGGGCGATGGAGGGCGATGGGGAGGAAGGGGAAGGGGCTTCGATTTCGAGGATGTCTATTGGTGTTGGCGCAGTGCTGTCGTCCGCCGTCGCTGCCGTAGGAAGACGGCCGGCGTCCGGGGTTGGGAGGGGAGATGGCTCTTTTTCTGTTTGGGTAGTCATGGTGGTTTTGGGGGTTACACTATATAGTTTACTCTCGTGTAGGTTACAAATGAGGGAGTGCCATAGGAAAATGGAAGATAAGTGATAATTGACTTTTATATATGTTTTCGACTCTTGATATCCTTATTAACATGCAAGCAAGGGTACCTACCCACCTTCATACCTTGCAAGCAATAGAGGTTTGGACATGCTATACTCCTAACGAAGAAACGGGAGGTTTCCCATTGGGCACACGATGCCGACGCCTTATGCTCTTGTGGATGATGCTATAGATCTACGCAGCGAACCAATCGCTATATCGTATTCTCTCCGACATCGCGATCTTCCTTGTAACCTTGAGTTTATCTCGAAGCGGGATTGATCGAATACGGTAACTTGACTCGTGACAATGGAGAGTCGGATCAGGGATATATCTGTATCTTGATTGGTTATATGTGATCAAAACTGGGAATTGCATTGGAAGGGCGTGAATGCCCATAATTTGTGCCATGTTTTCACAGGCATGGATGTTGAAAGAAGTTATTCACGAGAATGATGGCACAAAACGTTGTTTGTGTCTTACTAGAATTGGTACTTGGGTACAACAAGACTTCGCCAGCTGCTGGCATGTGATAACAGATGACAGATCTCTGATGTCAGGCACCGACTGGGGGTGATAGCTTTGGCCAATCAAACCGCCTAAATTCTAAATATTCATGTCGCAAATCCACGAACTCTCCAAAATCAACGAGAACGCAACAACAAAAGTCCCACGTCTATCTTGTTGCCTCTTCGTCATACCATTCCGCTTGTCAACAAAGTTTCGGTTTTGATCTAAATACTATCACAATGGCTGATATTGAAATGGAAGTCGACGAGCCTGGCTCTCCTCAGGCACAGGCCAAGGTCAGCGACATGCAAACCCACACTAAGGCCACAGCCGTGCGATCAATCGAGGGCTGGATTATCATGGTTACCAACGTTCACGAAGAAGCTGACGAAGAGACGATCCACGATAAATTTGCCGACTTTGGTGAGATCAAGAACCTGCACTTGAACTTGGACCGCAGAAGCGGTTACGTCAAGGTAAGCAATGCCCTATCTCGATATTATTGCTATTATTGGTGTTATTTGTATTATATGCTAATCATCGTGACCAACACAGGGCTATGCTCTCATCGAATACGCCACTCTAGACGAGGCTCGAGCCGCCATCGACGGCGCACACCAGAGTAAGCTTCTCGACCAGGCCATCGGCGTCGACTTTGCTTTTGTACGACCACCCCCGGGTAAGAACAATAGAGGACCACGACAATCGCACCGTGGGCGGGGCCGTAGTAGAAGCCGCAGCCCAGAGGGACACAAGGATGGCGATGCGGAGTGATTGATGGATGATGAGATCCTCGCGATATTTGGAAGTTAAGTGATGTCTAGTCACACACATACTGGCCTTAGCCGATATGTCGCCAGAATAACAAGACATGTCGGCATGCGAAATCTGTTCACATGGGTATGTGATTGATGTTTCCATGTCTTCTGTTAGAGCCTTTCGCTAATATGTTATCCAGTCATTTGATGTGAGATTGGCACTGGCTAGGCGTATGGCCATGTACCGTTCATCGGACTAACAAGAAGTTGGAATTGTGAACATGGAAGTTTTCTCACCTGTGTAACCATTCAAATCATCCATCTTCCTTGTCTATGATGAATGACCTCAGGTTCGCTATGGAGCTTTGCTAATACAGCCAATATGACACAAATTTCAGCCTTGCGTTGAATAAAAAATGACAATACAGCTCACCCATGATCCAGACTCCTAACCCGGCCAAAGTGATTCGAAGATCTTGAAGCCCAACTAACTAGATTTACCAGTCTTATTACCCAATGCCCGGAAAGCTACCATAATCCATATCTTCCTAGACCTCATTAATTATTATATTTTGATTCTGACCCATAGGCATCTTATATATATTCTCTAAACCATCAACATAACAGCAGCTACAGCCCCGACCATTACCATACCGGGCTCCGAGTTCCCTACCGCACCGCCGGTTGGCGAGGCGGCTGCGACAGCAACTGTGACGTGCGACGCCAGCGCGCTCGTAGCAGCTGCTACTTCTGTTGAGTTTGGGTGATCGTCCAGTCTGTCGCAGAGCTTGCTCAATTTTCCACCGACGTCTTAGTCACATGTTAGAATGGGAACCGGTGGACTAAACGTATTCATCGAGCCAGAAAACAGAGCACGTACTTAGGTCAGACTTGTTAGAGCAGTAGTCAGAAAGACAACCGCCCATCCTGATGTTGATATCGACCTGCTTTCCACATATACATTCGAAGTCGGTTATCTTACAATCGTTGTCGTTGACACTGTTGGAAAAGCAGGGTAGGGCACAGTCTGGGAAGTCGTCGACGATCTCACCGAGATTGTCATCTGCTATTGCGATGGCGGCGAGGAAGGAGAAAATGAGGATATTTAATTGCATTTTGACGAGCAAGTTGTGTATCAATGGGTACCTGGAATGACGGAATAGCTGAGACTCATAATTGCATTGCAGCTTAGAGAACTTTCTAGCAAATAACCGATCACGGGTCGAGGACTGATATACTATGCCGGGAGGTATGATTTTATATACCTAAGTATATATGTCACTTTACCTAGGACTTTTACTACGACATATTCAACTATGGAACTCTATTTCCATGAACAGCATTAATTAACAAGGCCAAGCTTCTTCGTTCGCTCCCCGCGGCTTTCCAAGCTACGCTGACCGGAAGTGATACGATCTCGGCATATTGAGGATGACCATGATTCCAATGGCCTTCCGGTTTTCTCAACCATCCACCACACGAGCATACAGTGAGCATTCGTAGCGTAGATTCTGATGGGTTGTAGGTGGAAGAACATACATATACGAGAATAATTGGGCCGGTTGCCGTATTTAGGAGGCTCTTTAGCGACGTGGCAATAATTCTCCGCAGTGGGTTGGATCTTTAAACCGCTTTAAACTTGCTCCCTAGATGCCTTTGGTGGTAGAACTTGGACCCTGCATATTACCACCGGAATAATATCTATCATGACATCATATGTCCATCGTATGTCGCGTAGCTTGTTTTTGGCTCTCTATTTAGCTTTTGTTTGATATTTCAGGTTCTAGGCGGAATATGGACTAAATTTGATATAAATGACTACCTGCTTATTAATCCGATCTTGGATTGAGATTCACGAGAAGAAAAAAGCAATGTCGCCAAAAGCAAAAGGAGGGGGAGGGGAGACAGGGAGGGCGTACGCTAGCACGGGCCATCATAGGGATATCGCGGTGAGAGACGCGACGTTTACCGTAACTTGAGAGAAATAATTACAACCGAGTCCAAGACACTAAATCGATTTATCTACGCGTTTGCAAGAATATAGTGCAATATGGTGAAAGGGAAGAAGAAAGAGAAGAAGGCAATTAAAAGGTTTTCGGACTTGCCAGCATGGTACCGCCGTATTATGAGTCGACCCGGAGTATGTGAGGGCACGGTCGATGTAAATCCGATGTGGTTCGATGAAGATATCTCTGATCTCGAGGAAAAACCTTTCAAGTGCCGTTGCGATGCGGCAGAATATTCAGACGTTGTGTGCTGGTGTGATTCAGATGACAGATACGACAGCGTTTCTGAACGGTCGTATCAGGATGACGATGCCGATTGCTTCTATGAGATGAAGGAGCAACGCGAGGAAAGAAAGAGTGATTTGAAAAGGGACAGAGAGCTTTTCGAAAAAGAGAAGAAGGCCGAATTACGGTTTCACAAGCGCAAGGTGGAGGAAGTTCGGGCGGTGTATGAGGCCCTTAAGGAGAAGGAGAAGGCTGGTGATCACTCTCCCATCACCTTCCTTGAGGACTCGGAGTATGTGACTAAGCTGAAGAAAGCTGGCAAAAAGGTGCCTCCATATCTGATGCCCAAGCACAAGACGTTCAACCTCTACTGCGCGGATTACGTGGAGAACTGCTATCATGACGACACGGGCACTTATTGGAGATATGTTGAATTCAACGAAGACGAATTCGATGATAAAAAAGGTGCTAAAAGGTCAAGAGGCTCTGTATTAGAGAATGAGGTGACAGGACACGTCTACGTCAACTGCAACAATCAACTCGATTTTTCGACCTTCGTCGTCCCCGACCACGCGAGTACAAAGACTTATTGGTCTGATGCATACAGAGGCAAATATAAAGCCGCTATCCAATTCATCGGGCAGGACTACGCGAGGATGACGGTTAGCCGGGATATCATCGAGGCAACCGAAAGCGACCCCTTACCAGCCTCTTGTCCTAAGGTTTTCGAATTCATGGGTATCAACCGCTACAGTCCCAAGCTGGTAGCCGAGGAAGAAGAAGATATGAAGAAGAGAATAGCAGCACGCTCCCAATAGCAGAGCATGAAGGAGAGCGTGTCCGATATTCTGGACAACGCTTACTATAATTTTTAGCTACAGATTTGAGTCCTAGACTACAGGGTCTCATGTATGATGTTACTAGTAATAGGTTTCTCTCAATGAATGAATCATAGACATGATTCTTGATGGTGCACCTATCCGATATTGTGTTAATAAATGATATTTATTAAAAGTATACATCGCCTCGTTTATTGGAATCAAATATATTACGTAAGAAAAACGAGCACTGGGCATCCCTGCCTGTTCCTGCATAAGTGACGTCGCGCCCGAGACTGGGGAACCGCGTCGTCATTTCGGAGTCTAGCCTAACCTTGTCCTTAATAAATCTCCATCCTTCATCAACCATTTACCCACCTAATCTCGGATGGCCTTTTAGTCATGGCCTTCCTTATCGGCAACGTCCAACCGTCAATCCAAAGACTCGCTGTCCCTGCCGTCTGCCTCCTCATCGCCTTCGAATCTTACACACCGCAATGGCTGTTCGCAAACGCCCCAGACTTAGCCCCGGGTCCGCTCACCCCCACCGAGAAATATGTCTTCAACGGTCTAGTATTATGTCTATGGTACACGTACTATAGAGCCTGCACCGTTAACCCCGGCCGATACGTCTTCCCTCCGAGCATAAAGAAGAAGCATAAGGAAAAGGCCATCGGTTCGGATGCGGAAGAAACAGCTGAGGAAATAGGGAGAGGGATAGGAGCAGGAGCAGGAAGAACACAGATCCGCCGCTGGTGTAAAAAATGTAGCGCCCCCAAACCCCCGCGCTCGCATCATTGCCGCACATGTCGGCGCTGCGTCCCCAGGATGGACCATCACTGTCCGTGGACCAGCAACTGCGTTTCCCTCCAAACCTTCCCGCACTTCCTACGCTTCCTCGTTTTTACCAACCTTTCCCTATGGACCCTCTTGTACTTCCTCTCCCAGCGCTTCCTTGGGCTATACGAATCCCGCCACCTGCCCTCGTACTTAGGCCCGACATTGGCACAACTATCATGGTTGACGATCCTCACATTCGCGTCAGGGATGACGAGCCTGGCGCTGGGGATATTGTTGATCACGACGCTGAAGGGTTGGGTATTTAATACTACTATGATAGAGAGCTGGGAAATCGAGCGCCACGAAGCGACACTCGAGCGCAAATACGCGAGTTCCGGCGGCGAGGGCTCATGGTGGGCGGCTGGTGAGCGGGCTCCCGGCGGCGACTACGACGCCCCGCACTTAACCGCCGATCCCATCGAGTTCCCCTACGACATCGGCATTTTCGCGAATATGGCCACGGCTATGGGCACTCGTAACCCGCTCCTATGGTTCTTTCCATTCGCCGGCGGCCCGACTGTCTCGCCTTACCCATACTCCGAGACCACAGACCCCCAACCGAGCAGTGGTAGTAATAGTAATAACGCACGTACGGGCTGGGAATACGAAGAAAACGGACTAAACGACCGCGAAGGCCTCTGGCCCCCAGCCGACCCGGACAAGATCCGCAACGCGAAAGTCTGGCGCGAACGCAAGCGTGAGGCGGACCGCGCCCTGGAGGAAGACCGGATATACGGCGCGAGGGACCCCGAAGTCGATAGGGAAGCGTTCCGCCGTCGCCAAGAGCGGGATTTGCGGAGGTGGGAGACTTCGCGGTCGCGGATCTTGGGTGAGTTGGAGGAGTTACCGGTGGATGGCTACGACGAGTATGATTTCGTGGACGAGGCGTATGACCGTGACCATGTGCAACGCCCCGGACCCGGTGCTGCGGTCGTGGTGGATGAGGGGAAGTCTGGTTGGGTTAATGCGGATGGTGAGCATTTGGGTGATTACGGGGTAGATTCTGACGCGGAGCTTGATGAGCCTGTTATAGAGCGTGATCCGCAAACACAGGGTGTAGGGAGGTACACCGACGAGGAGGAGGATATTCCCCTTGCCGAGCTAATACGTAGATCTAAAGTAGTGCGTAGGAGGTGATACGACTTAAATATCTCACACGACAAAACAAATATGCATAATCTAATTTCATCAACTTATCTTCTCTTCCGCCTTGCTCTGCTAGTCTTTCTAAACAACGTAAGCGTTCTACTATATCATATGTATAAGGCGGCTATATCTCTGCCCCGCATCCTCTACCAACCTCCCTCCTCTCTTTCGCTAACACGAATCCAGGATCTGTCGTAGGATCGATCTCGCCTACTCTCCTCAACCAAGGAATATGTATATATATACCTATCTCTGATCCATTCCTCATTCTTGCCACGCGGATTCTAAGCCCGTGATTCTTCGTAATAATTGTTATCGTATTGGAAAGCTGTCCCGCTACTAACTACGCCTCCTCCTCCTCCTCTCCATCTTGTCTTCCGCCATGCGATTTGGATCATATCCTATATTCCAAAATAATAATAAAAAACCCTTCTCTCGAAACGCTTACGATAACGCGGTAGTAGCTAGGTACTTGTCTAAGGTAAGGTGCGCTGCTCTACCAGTCCTCTTCGTCTTCCCTCTTCTGCATGGCGTTCTTCCTCGCTAATAACGCGTCGGCTAGGGATCCTGCGAGTGTCGGCGTCGTGCTACGGCTACTATCCGAGCCACCGTTCGCGTTGAGACTCATCCCCGAATCGCGTGGGTGTGGGGGCGGCGCGGGCTTTCTACCTGTGGTGGACGGCCGCTTGGCTGGGGGTTGCGGGGGCGTGGGCTTGTTGCGCGCTGCGGTACCGTTCTGGCTGGGCGGAGGTGGCGGTGCGCGAGGAGCTGGTGCTGGTGCTGGAGGTGGTGGGGCGGCGGCTTGTTCCTCGACGTATGCTGCGGGGACCCATGCTTGACCCTTGGGGTTCTTTGCTAGCCACCAGCCTACGATTTATCATTAGCAACTTCTCGCTGTGTTCTTACGCGTAATATGTACTCACCATTGCTTTCCTTCTGCACGATCTCGATGATATCGCCTGCTTTCACGGATAGTTCGTTCTCCCGCTGCCCGGCGAAGTCGTAGAGGACCTTTGCCGTTATCTTTCCTTTCGCTGGTGGCGCGGCTGGTGGCGGTGGAGGGGGCCCGCGGACGGATGATGTCGAGCCCTGGTTGCGGCTATGGCCGGAAACGCTACTACTGGTGACGCTACTTATGACACTGCTTGTGACAGATGCGGTAGGGGTTGGGACTGGTCTTGGGGTTTGGATCGCGGCTGGACCGCGCTTGGTGGTACTCGGACGGGCGTGCGTAACTCGAGACGGCCTGCCACCGGGACCTCCGGGCTTGATAAGCTTGCCTCGAGTGATCGGTCGAGGGGGTACCGGTTTGCCCTTCGGTGTCGGCTTGGATACCGACGACGGAGACTCTCCGGGTTGCGTATGGACGGCTCCGCTCTTGTAGTAATCCAAGCTTTGTTGCGAGTCCTTCGTGACCTTGACAAGTTGCATCTTGCCAGGCTTCTTAGCATACTCTATAGAGTCGCTGATCTTGAGGTTGAAGCCGCCAGGCATCGCTCGTTCCATCTGCGTGAAAAGTTCCGTCTTCAGAACACAGTTTAGTAATGGATCGGGCTCTTGTGGAGACCCGACTCCTAACGAAAACCAGTCATCACGGCTTGATGAAGTTCCAATAAACTTGATAGCCCCTAAAGGTATTTGGCGCTCGACTATTATCTGGACTTGGTGGTTGACTAGTGCTTGTGCCACAACATAGAACTTGCTATTAGTCACCAGGATCGTTCGAGGGCTCGGCTTACTCGATCGGCCGAACTTGGCCTCTAGGATCTCACCACGGCAGGAGAAGATGGCCTTCTCGTTGCTTGATAGTTGCAGAGCACTCCGTATTTGGGATCCGGGGCCATTCGAAGCATTGATTCCCAAATAATCTCCTAAGAAACGCCGAGAACCCAACAGACTGAATCGTCTTCGCTCTTTGCTTCCTCTCAGAACTCTATGACCTTGATCTCGCAGCTGCAGATATTCAGCACCTACTCTCTTCTTACGCCAGAATCGCTGAATTCGGGTCGCAGATTCAGCACGGTAAGCAAGGTACGCTCTCCACATTCGTTGGATACGGGTAGCCATATTGTGCCAGTATCGGTCTCGCATCGTTTCCAGAGCAAACAACGTTTCCGGTGATTTGATAAAGGCTTTTGTGACACCTAGTTGCCATTCCTCCTTTGGAATACTGGTGTCCTTCAGGATTTGTTTCACCGCAGCTTCTTCGGTCCCCGACCAAGTGTATTCGCCTGCATAGGACGTGGCAGGAGACAATAAGAAGAATCGTTCGACAAACTTCTCAAACGATTGACGGTAGGCAAAACCAGCACGTCGAATCCTGACGTTCTCTTGCAGACCAAGATATTTGATTTGATGTAGAACATTTGGTACGTTGTATTCAGTAGGCGACTTGTTCTCGTTGGGCTTAATTGTTCGGATATACGATGGCTGGCACTTCATGAGAGTGTCTACGAGAGCGTTCGCGGACGTCCTAATTCTATCTCCCGCCGTGGGAGGAAGCTTGCGGTTATCCTGATCTACCGAATGAGGGAATAAGGTGTGGATAAATCGGTTCGAACTCTGTTGGAACAAGTTTTGGACGCCCTTTAGAAGTTGGTCCTTATTCTTGTCCGTAATTCCGTCGACGGTATAACTAACGTCGCCAGCGTAGTGTTTGATGATGAAACTGCCTTGACGAGGAGTAAGGTGAGCATTCGACATGCCGTTAATGCTCTGCATGAAAGTACGATCGCAAGCAGCGGGGTCGGCATGAGCTGTTTTGGTAGCATCTTTCAAAGCGGAGAATATACCGGGAGGCCTGATTTGCTCGATGAGGTCACACACAACCTTGTTATCAAAATACTTGATAGGAGTCCATTGGATTTGTTCCCGCGCGTATTCTTCTTGTTCGGCCTTCAGGGTAAGCTGGATGAAAATCTGCTGGAGTTTCTCGTTCACGTAGTTAATACAGAGTTGTTCGAAGCTGTTCTTCTCGAAGATTTCGAAACCGTAAATATCCAAAATTCCAATGTTGTTAGCTGTCGCCTGTCGTGCCTGTAAGGATTGGTTGATTCTTCCGACAATCCAATCAAAAAGGTTATAATAGATAGCCATAGCAAGCGCATCTTTGGTCGCATTTGCTTGGGCCGCGTTGGCCGGCGACTCGATAACCTCGCCACTCCTCGGAGTTAAGATTCGAATGGTGATGCCTTTCACCAGCGCGGCGGGCTGAACCTCGAGCAAGTATGCAAGGAAGTCTACCACAGACTGGTCCGCTACAGCAGCATATCCGTCATCACCCTCGACAAAATGAATGTTTCCCGTCCACAAGATAGCGGCTAACATGCGGAATACCTCATCCTGCTCACCTTGTGAAAGCCCGATGATCTTCATGGCTTCTAGGGTTTCTTGAAAGTCGGCTAGATCGTCTATACCATCAACATTGAAACATTTTGACCGACTAAGGTAGGCATATGTTTCCGGTTTCTGGATGCCAAAGGTTGACCTATAGTTCTCGGAAGCACCCTTAGAGAACTGGTAGAAGATATGGAAGTTTCTCTCGTTGGTGATCTGGCCGACTACTCGCGTCTTTTCCAGTAGGTAATTTGTGATATCTGCTCCTACGGGCTCTCCGTTGGTATTGAAATGTATTTGCAAATACTTTCCAAAACGAGACGAGTTGTTGTTCCTCAACGTCTTCGCATTTCCAAAAGACTCGAGCAGCGGGTTGGTTGCCAGCACCATATCCTTGATCTGCTTAATCTCTCCGCTCTCGCCGCCGGATACGTTTGCGATATATTGCATGATCCGCTTGGCGGCTTCAGTCTTGCCAGCTCCCGACTCCCCCGAGATGATGACACACTGGTTGTCATGATATGCCTTCATATTATAATAGGAGGACTCGGCGATCGCGAAGACGTGGGGAGGCATCTCTAATCGGTTCTTGCCCTTGTATGATTCGAGGACTTGGTCGGTGTAGATACCGAGGTCTCTAAAGGGGTTAACGGAAACCAAGACATGACCAATATATGTATAGATCTCGCGGCCTTCGAATCGCTTCTTTAGGTTTTCGTTTATTGCTTCATTTGATACTTTGCTAAGTAGGGTCAGGTCGGAAACTCCTATCTCCTTCTTCTTGCTTGTCTCGAATGTGGCTTTCTTAGGTCTAGCACCTCCATCATGCGCTCCTGCGCCGCCACCGCGGGATGCTCCGCCTGATTTATCCTTCGGTCGTCTACTTATACCCTACGATCGCACACACGAAAAGGTTAGTATGGATGTGTTGTTTTTGTCGGTGTATAAAATCTCACCATGTTGGGCTAGCATGAATAGTATGGACCAGGTTAGTATCTAACAAGAGACGCAGGCCAGAATAAGTAGGAAATGGTAGGCTAATTATCCCTTTCGCTCGATTAAATACGTTCTATAGTTGGCTCGGAGTGTATAGCAATCTAGGGAGAAGCGTTATCTGGAATATGCGCAAACGCTGTTGAGAAATTGTGAGAAATGCATGTGTGAAGATCGGCTTTGTATTTCCTAATATTCGGTAGCCTTGAAGGAGGCACCGATTATACCGTTTGGCACCCGCCATTTAGCGCTAATAATCACTGGGCATCTGCACCCTGCGACGTAATGCAATGGGGCTGGGTAACGTGGCAGACGTCGTGGCTGGGGCCTAGCGCCAAGCCCCAAAAAATCAATTTAACTTCAGTGAATGTCCCTATGTTTGTCTCCACTATTCTAGTTGGATATGACGCCAGTACGCGTACCTGAACTTGCCTTTAGTTTTAAAGCCGACTGGCTCTTTCACCTCCAACACTTCGGATATCGCAATACTAACCTTATAACCTTATATCGACCTCTCAAACTGTAGTCACGTACATAGGAAGCGTCGATTCAGTTTTGTCATGAGGGATCACTGGAAATATTCCTATTTCTTACCTATTCATGACCCCTCATCTTTTATCCACTGATAAGCATCTCCATTGTTTTCCGAAATACTCCTTTTCCGATAGCCAATACAATCTTGAGCCAATGAGCAAGTCAGGTATTTCCGTTGGATTTCTAGATTCCTTGTTCCGTGAAAAGGATAATTCAAATTCTTTCGAGGGTGATATAACTCAGTGAATAGAGCCAACTGACAAGGGGTTGGGATGGTTAGGAATGTTCTCAGCGCGGAATCGTTCTGGCCGTTCAGTCATCATGACTCATGTTGTGGATCCATCCTGGATAACGAGTATATTAACAGCAACTACGTAATCGTCGTATTCTACAAGAGATTATCACGACAATTTAGAGTACTAGTCGCCGTGTAGATACACCATCCGGAAACATCACCAGCAGTCATGTATTTCCTGAGACAATATGGAAACCTTGAACGCCTCCGATTACTGAGCTCTACCGAGGATGTTGGTCTCATAGATCGTCGTCATTTTCCCAGTATTATCATTGACGATCTAGTTTGAGAATTATTAGTATTTGTACACTAACGGTCTGAGTTATCTAAGGGGAAACTCACCTCGTATCGCGGGTTGTCTGGGCTGGCTTGGACGTTTCTGTCTGCTTGTCTTCCCGGTTCGGTGAGGACGTCACTTATTCGACCAGTACTCTCTGGTGTGTTTGAGTCGGGACCTTGTCGGACGATTAGCAGTATCTCGGTGAAAACATCCTCCTTACTCACCTCCGACAGGTTTATATGTAACCATTTGGCCTTTCTTATATCTTGGAGCCATCTTGTAAGTCTCTGACTAACTATTTGGAAACGCAGAAGTTGCGATTTTGGTGTAGTCGAGTAACTAACGTGGTCGATGGATACAATCGCTATAGGCCGATGAGGTGGCTTTGCTGGTTCATATACGCCGAACAGCCAAGTGTTGTGCGTGAGTCGAAAGTTCGGTAGACGTCACGACATATACATTGCCAGCATCATCTTCCAACACCGATGATATCATCGTGAGGTGCTTGATGAGTTAGACTGGCGATAACCCAGTGTCTAGAAATCACATCGAGTTGTATACACAACATCCCGGAACAATATGCTCAATTACCGTCATGTCGTCGAACCTATTTCATCATTTAGCAAAGAGATTCATTGCACCATTCTTATAGGATACATACCATACTTTCGCATGCCCTCCACTCCTATCTCACGTGATTGTGTCTGTGGACTGTGTTCATACGCATGTATGGGAAGACAAGTTTAGTTAAGGACATCGTTAAGAATCTGGGATACGTCCACTCGCAAGTTTAGCCTGTCAACAAAAGATCGACGACGATAGTCGAGACTATTCTCCTTAGAGGAACGGGAGGCTATATGATTAGCAGGAAGTTTGATATTCGAACATATCGTGCATAACATCTACGATTTACTTCGACTGGCAACGATATTTTCCAAAGTGAGACGAGATAAGATGAAGACATGTTGGCTAGTCATACAACAACATACTACGGACTTTGCAGAAAACATCCGAGCTCGTCATACAGCCATATGACTATCTAGATAGTCGGGAGATGGTCGTGTTCGGAAGCTTTCTCAAAGAGAATCCGATCTTAGAGCATCCGAAGTCAAGTAAGATATTTGGGACCATGGTTCAGACGACGACCTTGATGAACTATGCATACTACATCAATACCTGGCCAAATCCGAGACAAAGCCGGACACACAGACACAAAATCGGCCAGGGCTCGAAGCTTGGCTCAACCTTAATAGCGTAAGACTAGCATATTACAGGGGTTCTATTGGCCTATTACTACCCACCTAATGGTATAGACAAGGATGCTTCGCGTTGCATGCGTCGCTTGCAAGTTCAGATTCATACGCTAACGTTTGAAGGGTTACACACTTAGTCTGAGAGTGTTGAGGCTCTACTAGCTGTTTCATAAACAAGGAATGCGAGGCTACGATTACCGACTCTCGAAACGACCTCAACTCCGTTTTTCGAGACGATCGCTTCACCACCTAGACGAGCAACGCTTCCGCTGAACATCTGAAATATGTGGCGTCTCTCTAGAGCTTCAATCTTCGTAATTAGTATCAGCCTCGCTGCGATCTTTACTTGAAGATGTCTAGTGAGACGGTAGCACAAGATCGATTCGTTTTACCATGACGGGATAGCTAGCCATAAAACGATCTAAGACATATCCTCCGCGAGGTGGCTTTGTCATAGATATGATCTCGACTATCAGAGAAGGGGGGAGTTCAGACCGACATAGGAAATATGACAGGTAGGTAGGTATGACGGACCTGATCTCGCTTCCAGTGACCATACAACGACTCTGGACGATCTGAAATCGGTATGAGGAGGTGAGAAAGCTAGGTCATTGTGTCCTACCCTAGCATCGAGGAATATGTCGTGCCGCATATTATCACCACTTGGCGAAGTTGGAAGGCTCAAGGAAACCGGACCGCAAGGCACGGATAGAGAAAGAAAATGAGATCGATCATACGACGAGATCTCATAGCAATGGCATGACGGCTACGTCGAGTTTATATATCCAGCTCTTGAGAATACCATTTAGAAGTGGTCTGATTTTTAAAAATCGTACGATTTTTCCTTGAGTCCTGCCAAAGATAGAGTCTGCCATGGCGATCCAGGGACAAGACGAACAGGGCCAGCAACGTGGGCATCATGCTTGGTGTGCTGCCAAAGTTGTTCTGTTGTGTGGAGCGACCTCTCGGGTTTCTGCAGCGCCAAGCACACTTATACGGGGTACGTCCCAAAAGGGCGGGTAAGAAATACCTATCACGCTATTGGTAGGTGTTTTTATCGACAAAATCTGGTCGATGTTCTATGCAGTGATTTGGCACATGCATATCCGTTCATGGTGCAGATTAGTTGACGGGATCTCCTCTCCAGAACTCCAGAACAAGGATCTTGGAGAGGGGAGAGGGGAGAAAAAAAGGTACCTTCTCTGCAACGGGATAGGCTAAACCCGTTGTAGTCCTCTCAAGCTTGGCAATGAGCAGGGATGCTGAGAAGGTCGAAGGTATCACGACCTCTTCGCTTCTTATTGGTCGCATGCAACAATCCAACTTTTCGATGGACGAATCCGAGCCGAGCAGCAACCGCCCGCGCTGGCTACGGTGCCTCTAAATCTGTTCCATTATTATCCCCCGACCTCAATTAATCAATCAATTGGCTTTCACCACAGGTCAGACCTTTGGCGCCTATTTTGCATATTGGAAGATGGTAGCTTTTATCCTGCATAGGTATTTCTACCTAATAACCCCCCCGAACGTCCATTCCGGCTCCGACAATATGGTTCATATTATCATCTTTTCGTCTTCTTTCAACTACTACGCAGCAGTCAGCTTTCTGCAATAAGGTATTGTACGCGCGCGCGGGCATACAGTCTTTCTAGGTAGGATTAGGGACAAGCCTCCCCTGTCGAAACAGCACAGAACGCCAGTCCTAAACGCTGCTCGTCTCAACCCGATCCCCACAATACCTCACCGTGGGTTAAATTCGCTGCGTATCTAGCATGCGTCTGATCGAAATCAGTGTTCGTCGGACGCATATCTGATACCGCATCGACGACTTGCGAAACGCTCCCCTTCGGTTTGATCAACTAGAACTATTCCACTTTAATCGTCGACCATCCATTGGGACGTCCATAATCTATCTATCTCGCAGACTTTGATGAGGAATCTTCGATACCTCTTCGTAATCCGCTGTCGACATAGACCCTTGTCTGTCATCTCTGGACATTCCCACCTGCTAGACTCTTCCCGTCCCGCGAATTAAAACAAACAGGACAAGCATCGTCGTCGATTAACTTAAGGTTTCATGGGCTACTATCTTCCGAATTATTGAGAGCCCCTTGATCCCCTGCAAAGGGCTGTCCCTAGTCCCTAGTTTATCGAACAAGCTCCGGATCTTCATACATCCATACCACCCTTGCTCTACTTTTTTGGACCGTGGCCTGTGGATCTCGCCTGATCGCATCGCCACGTCCTGATCCTGTGGTCCTTTATGACTTACTCCCCGCCCACCCAACACTAACTTATTCCTTCTGTTGGTCCCTCGCGCGGCAACCAGGACGTAGAAAGAATTCCGCCTCTCACCCGAGACTTTCTCTACTCCGCCATCTTTCCTTCGTCTCCTGCTGGCTCAGATCGCTCTTTTAGTTCGGTTTTGTTTATTTCTAGGTGCGCTCAACGTTGGATAATAGGCCTTTTTAATAATTACAACTTTTGAAAAGAGAGGATATTGGGGATAGAAGGCGATATTGGAACAACATTTTTGGATACTATCGTCGTTCGACCCGTCCACTCGCTACGAACGCCTCCGCCAACGATCGCCATCTGGAATAGCAGAATCGCGTCGCAGGTCGACACTTTTATTAATTTGATTTTACGTTTTTGGTTGAGGAAGGGGAATTGATTGCCACCATGGGCCTTTTCGAATTATTCAAGAAGCAGCTCACTGCTAGCAAGCTCATCTTCCACATCCTATTTTGGGGAGTCCACTGGTTCTTCTTCGCCTTCGGATGGTATGTTTCCATGTCACTTTCTTGGCACGAATTTGGTAATTGATTATGATACAGGTACAAGCAGAATGCCGATCCTAAGTTGGCGGCTCTGAATACGTTGAAGTATTCAGTGTGGATCTCCCGAGGTGCTGGTTTGGTTTTGGCGATTGATGGGACATTGATTTTACTACCAGTTTGCCGAACAATAGTACGATGGGTTCGACCGAAAGTCAGGTGGCTGCCTCTCGATGAGAACATCTGGTTCCATCGCCAAGTTGCGTACTCTATGGTCATCTTCACCGTTATTCACGTCGCTTCTCATTACGTCAAGTAAGTTTCTTAAATATGTGGCTTGGAAAAGTCCGAATCTAACTAGTTGCAGCTTCTACAATGTGGAGAAGACGCAAATTCGACCCGTTACCGCAATTGAGATTCACTATACTCAAGCTGGTGGTGTTACTGGCCATGTGATGCTCCTTTGCATGCTGTTGATGTATACTACCGCACACCACCGTATTCGCCAGCAATCGTTCGAAACCTTCTGGTACACTCACCACCTGTTCATCCCATTCTTCCTTGGACTTTATACGCACGCTGTCGGTTGTTTCGTCCGTGACACTGCCGCCCCGATGTCTCCGTTTGCCGGCGACATGTTCTGGGAGCATTGCATTGGTTATCAAGGATGGCGATGGGAGTTGTTCGCTGGAGGCTTTTACCTGATCGAGCGTCTTTACCGTGAAATTCGTGCCAAGCGTACCACTAAGATTACTCGAGTAGTCCGCCACCCATACGGTAAGAAGAATGCGCTAGTAAGATATTTCTTTGATATTAATGTTTCTCAGATGTCGTGGAAATCCAGTTTGAGAAGCCTTCATTCAAGTACAAGGCCGGCCAATGGCTTTTCCTCCAAGTCCCCTCAGTCTCGAGCTATCAATGGCATCCGTTCACGATTACGTCTTGCCCGTACGACCCCTATGTTTCGGTCCACGTTCGACAAGTAGGAGATTTCACCAGGGCTTTGGGTGACGCAGTTGGTGCTGGTGGGGCACAGTCGAAGCTTTACGAAGGCGTGGACCCCATGGGAATGTACGAAGTTGCTCTCCAGAATGGACAACAGATGCCCAGCCTCCGAATCGACGGACCCTATGGTGCCCCGGCCGAAGACGTGTTTGAGAACGAAATTGCAGTACTCATCGGTACCGGTATTGGTGTTACACCGTGGGCGTCTATCTTGAAGAACATTTGGCACTTGCGAAACAGCCCGAACCCGCCCAGGCGTCTGCGTCGTGTTGAGTTTATCTGGGTGTGCAAGGACACGGGCTCATTCGAATGGTTCCAGACTCTACTATCATCCCTCGAATCCCAAAGTAACGACGCAGCCCGCATCCCCGGAAGCAATGGTGTGGAGTTCCTGAAGATTCACACCTATCTAACCCAGAAGCTCGATATGGATACAACACAAAACATCGTCCTCAACAGTGTTGGTGCCGACGTTGATCCTCTAACAGAACTTAAGTCGCGTACAAACTTCGGCCGACCCAACTTCCAGCGAATGTTTGAAGCGATGCGGGATGGTATCATGGACCGAACGTACATCAACGGTCTCGAGGGTAGCATGCAGACCACAGTCGGTGTATACTTCTGTGGTCCTTCTGCAGCTGGTGAGTACCAACTTCCCATACCTACCTCCTTTAAATTTATACTAACAGTCTTCCAGCTCGCTCCATCCACAAAGCAGCCAACACAGCAACTTCTAAGGAAGTGCGCTTCCGGTTCTGGAAGGAACACTTCTAAGTGTACATGTTCAATATTTATCTGCATATATAGCCGCATTTCAAGATTTATACGACGCCGCAAGGGTGGGATACGCTCTACTATGAGTAATCTCGTAGTCTTGGGAGATGGCAGATGGGGAAGATCAGTGGGCAGCTCCTTTGGTTTGGACATAACGAGACGTGGAAAGGCATTCACTACGCTCTAAGGACCCCACCTAATTACATAGCCGCCATGGCCTGGAGAGCTTCCGATTTGGTCTTGGGGGGGATGGATGATCTCTGCTATATAGGCTGGGGAAGAAGATTTTTCGGAGAGGGAGTTTTATATACTACATTTACTGCATGCCAATTTAAATTTATTCCCTTTTCCTTTTGGCCGCCTCCATATCTTGTTCTTTGCGATGATTTTTAGGGGTTTCTATCGGTGCGTTTTCGTCGAGCGGGAAAACCAGCCATGTAATTATCACCACGATTTCTCAACGATTACAACACTAACATTAAAAAGCGAAGATTCTTGGGAAATTCTATCGCTTACGTTTTTCTCGAATGACATCAGACGATTCGCAAGCACTATGAGGCGAGCTTGGCACACAGAGCGCTTAGGTGCGCGTCTCTACCCGTGGATCTCCGGCGAATTTGAGACTTGGCATGTCGCAGCTCGCGGGCCATCCTATGGGATTACACGGTGGGATGGATGTACCCTTTGGCTTCTAGCGCTTCCGTGCTGCTTCATGTCAGATAATCTGGCAGACCTTCTGGAAGGATCGTGGTTCCAAAGTCACTTGTTCTGCGTATCCGGAGATTTTGTTGCTGCCGGTCATGTACCTAGGTATGTAGGATGCTTAGAATAACTACGGCGCTTGGCGAAACTGGTATAAGATACCTGGAAATGGATGCCTTTGAGTTGCGTAGAATACGATGGTGTTCTATTCCCGATCAAAGTAAGACATCGAGGTAGAAATGAGTTGATTTTTCAGCACTTCTGCGTCAAGCCGCAACGCCATAATATCAGTACCTATCTAGGTACCTCCTAGTGAATACTTAGCCAGTAAAACGCCCAATAAACCTGTATCCCACGGCCATATGTGGTACGGAGGCGCCCTAACCCCCACCGAGTAAAGCCCTCGAGTTTCTCGCTCAAATACGGCGCTTCCGATTATCTCTTTTTTCAATCACTATTTTATGTAGCATGGTGATTCTCCTGAAATAATACCTGATTACATTTTCAAAGTCCAGCCCCTCATAGCCAGCGGCCTGAAGGACGTCAGCCCATTTATCTTCTCTTCGTTTCATTATTTGAGCCTTACGTTCCTGAAATTCTTCGTCATCTAGTCCAAGGACCCAACAACAAGCTTCCTTATGTGATAGAAGTGGGAGAATATCGCCAACGATCATCTACCATATCTTCCAGAACTCCTCGATGGTAAAATCGATGTGTAACTTTCTGGTAGTTTTATACATATGAAGGAGGATCTTGAGCCTTGAGTTACCGGACGGAGAACTTATCCTCCGACAGTATTACTCTCGCGTCGAGAATGTCATCCTCGAAACTGCAGCAACAAGTGTGCCATTCCGAGGCGCTCGAAGATCGGTAACAGTCTTCCTTTTCTGCCCTAGAGAAGTTCCACGCCCGTGTCTAATGCTGTATGTTCGTGAACCGATGATCAAATTGGTCCTTGCATTCATAGTGACACCTACCAAAGCAATACTAAAACATAAAAAGCAAGATGCAGCCCACATGTGAGCAAAAGCATTCGCACTGATCTCTAACAGATTCGTAGTGTCAAGTCTTCTTTAGCCCTTTTGACGAACTTGAATATGACATCAGGCTACATCTACATCTCGCATATGTAGAATAGTATGCGGCCAATATTGACTCGAGTGATCGCCAAGATGAAATTTAGGAGAAGCGCCCTTTTTTAAAAGCTATATAACTTCGCTAGGCTGCTCATCAACCCTTATTATTGGGAGACCCAGTCCGAAATAATGTTCGCAGAACCTCTTCTAGGGGAGTGATGTTATGCTCGCAAGGCGTATCGACATTGGAAAAACCAGCATTGCAAGCTATCTAATGGTGATACTATTCCTCTCGATTCAAGTAGCGTAATGCAAGCGCCCTAATACCCTAAACTTGATATTTGAGTAATTGGATTAGTACTAGGAATATAAAATCAGTTTAGCGGTAGCTACTTAGGTAATTAGAAAATTACTCGCCTTCTGCTAGGTATTTCTGGGCAAGCAACAGCGCTTTCTTTTTCTCTGGGGCAGTATTCATATACGCTTCCTTCTAGCGACTCTATTAAATCACCGTATTCCACTAAACTACCATGGAACGAAATGCTCCTATTTTCATAACACATTCATAGCCAACCATAGTGTAGAAAATTAATAACATTGTGAAGCTTTGGCCTGAATATTGTAATTTTCCACATCTCTCTTGTTTCGATCTTATCATAGCCGTGGGATCAACCCTCGAAACATTGGCTATCCGAATGAGTCGGCTTATTTTGTCCTCCGCATATTCGGTGAAGCGCATGTTGCCTGCTATGAAGATACATAGCTCTAGACGCTATTTCCTGACTACCTAGGCACCTACTAGGTAGGTATCCCCCGTGTTACATAGCTGGGACCCCGTACCTATCTCAACATATGAAAGTTGCCCATATAGGCGGAGCAAGGGATATTTTGACAAGCAGTCTGACACAGTACATAGGACGTCTTTTCTATCGCCATTCTTGCATGTAGGTCATCCTTAGGAATGTGACAGTCAGCACTAACCTAATACCTGCATATAATTATGATTGTGATTGGAAATAGAGAGTTGATTCTAGATAGATTCCAGTATTTTTGATTTGACGGTGGGTTGTGTGACCGCGATGTTGCGGCGAACTTCCCCGAGATGGATTACGCCCTGACGCAGTGGTGCCAGTACTTACCCGGAGCCGGAGTTTTCCTTAAATCACTGTGTACTTTGTAGAAACATTATGAATGTCGACGAGATGCATTTGTACTTGGTCTTTGAAACTGCCGGGGTACGAAAGAAGGGTGACTGCATATTAATCAGAAGAATGACGAAGGAAATGTTATGTTTAAGAATAAATCTTTTGATACATGCATAATTATTGCCGATTTCTTATTTGCTGATTCGCCAATGGCATCATTATTAGTCCTTGTACACGGGCGGTGTAACGACCAATGATATTGATAAATTCCATCTCGTAACCCCACTGTAATACTATTTTTTACCCAATTTTCTCTTTAGACCTTTGACTTTCGAATAGAGAACTTTCCTCTAAATTTATAGTATCTGCTAGGGGAGGCATTTACTTAACTTAGTCCTCCATAATCAGGATGGTTTCGAACATCGAAGACGATGAAGTGGCCAGCAGCTGTCACACAGAGACCACACCGCTCTTGTCGAATTCTGAGTCTCCGGAATCCGATATCAGCGGTAGCTGGGGAGCAGAACTATGGCTTCTCTTACAGTATTCCGTTCCCCTCATAGCTACTTATCTTCTTCAGTATTCATATAGTGTTATCACCACCTTTGTCGCCGGTCATCTTAGTGCCGATGCTCTTGCAGCTGCCAGCATAGGTATGACGACAATGAACATCGTCGGATTCGCTACCATCGAGGGGATGGCCACAGCTCTCGACACATTGTGCGCTCAGGCATATGGATCAGGAAGCCTTCATGGAGTCGGATTGCATGTTCAAAAGATGCTACTTCTCATGGCATTATCCATCATCCCCATTGGCATCTTCTGGATCTGCTCTCCATGGGTGCTCTCTCTCTTCGTCCGACAACAACACTTAGCCGTCATGGCAGGTTCTTTCCTGCGGGTTAGTCTCATTGGATTACCCGGATACGCCTCTTTTGAAGCGGGCAAGCGGTTTCTCCAAGCCCAGGGAGACTTCAAAGCTGCTCTCTTTTCCATCATCATATGCTCGCCGATCAATGCCCTGCTCAGCTGGTTCTTCGTGTTTCGAATGGGGATGGGCCTCGACGGCGCTGCGTTGGGAGTCGCCCTCACCAATAACCTTCGGCCTGTGCTTCTACTTTTCTACATAATGCTGCCGGTAGGCAAATGGACGCATCAATGCTGGGGCGGGTTTTCGAGGGATGCCCTCTCCAAGTGGGGGCCTATGGTACGACTCTCATTCGCGGGATTTGCTGTTAACTTAGGGGAATGGGCTGCTTTCGAGATGATGACTTTTAGCACCTCCTACCTTAGCACGAACCACATCGCCGCGCAATCGGTTGTGATGACCATTTCTATCGTGTCATGGCACATCCCCTTCTCTCTGAGCGTCGCAATAAGTACGCGCATCGGCCATCTTATCGGCGCCGGCCTTGTCAAAACAGCTCGACGTGCTGCTGTCTTGTACGCGGTCGTTTGTACCATTGTTGGAAGTGTTGATGGATTCATAATATTCGCGCTGCGGAACCAGCTTTTAACCTTCTTCTCCGAAGACGATGTTGTCTGTGATATTGCTTCCAAGACCATGCTTACAGTTGCAGTGTTCCAGATTATCGATGCTATCATATGCTGCACTAACGGCTTGCTTCGTGGCCTTGGACGTCAGTCCTTCGCCGCTTGGGTCGTTTTAGCGGTCAATTACTTGGGTGCTGTTCCACTAGCGATGTGGTTAGAGTTGGGTTCACCGGCCTTGGGTTTAAACGGTGTTTGGATTGGTCTTGGTAGTGGTATGGTGCTGACTGCTGTTATCGAGGGTGCTTATATGAAATCAATGAGGTGGCAGGATTGCGTAGCTAGTGTGAAGTCGAGAGAAGGCTTGTAGGAGGCGTATGATGCGTCTAAGAGCACAGAGACTCGGCGCATAACTTCCAACCATGTAGTCTTGGTTACGACATCAATGTAACTAGAGGGCACTAGCCTTTATGTCTAATCAGTAAAGAAGTAGATGCAATACTACCCTGGATAAATTGGCTATCTCATAGTTATTTTTCCCATGGAAAGTGAAATAGTCGTACAGGCTTTAGGCATAAATAAGTGCTACTCGCTCAGTAGACATTCGGTGTGATGTTTTGGTGACCTTCGGCTTTCTAACTTTATAAACCACGCTCGATAGGTTAAAATACTATCAATGAAAATCTTTGTCGCATGTGAAAAGATGATGCACAAACTCTTCAAAGTGTATTCCTTATTTTCTCTTACCTTGGCCGTCAACATCCTTGGCGGGGCCGCTGGCGACGTATTCGAATGTCCAAGAATAGAAGAAGGCTCACAGCAACACGTCGAAATTACGCAGTTCAGTTATGGTGAATGTAAGCAGGATGCTTCCCGTTCACAGCTCGATACCAATCTATCCTGTTGGTTCAACGATCACTAAACGTATGCCCTAGTGACCGTTCATCTGGGAGACATCCCGCCGCGCCCGAGCACAGCAGATGTCTCTTTCTTCGTAACTAGTTCGGCAAACGGGAAGCAGGCGTGCAGCGGCACCATAGTGCAGCAGCAAAACGGCGAATGGCAAGATGCTGATGGCTTAGCTTGGTTCAAATGCGGGACGGAATCCGCGCCGGACCCGGACTGTTTGGACTGCACGCACTTTCAATTCGACTGGGGGCACGAGGGCTGGCATTTCGCCGTTAATCAGACTTGGGCGTGTGCGAGTTCCGGGGGAGGGTCATATAGGTTAGTAAACTTCTTGTCGTTCGCATGGATGTACCCAAGATATGTAAGGGATTGGTGTTGGCGCCGCCTAGCTATAGCGTTGGTGCATGCATTCTGCGAAGCTAATGATTCGTCTCTAGCGTTTCTTACAAGGTCTCGGGGTCGATAATACTGGATCCTGAGTGTACTGAGAGCCCAGAAATTTCGTTCAGGTCATGTACTGCCCCGGATTTTCCACTCTCCGTTGATTTATACGACCAGACAGCCCTGGAGGCGCTAGGAACGTTATAGGAAGAGGAAAACCGGTCGCTTAAAGTGGTCTATACCTTCTCCATGATTTGGGCCTTGCATAGGTATAGTATATGTTTGGCTGCTTGGGTCCCGACCAACAACCTTCTCGCCACTTGATTAATAAAGGCTGAGTATTTGCTTCCCCTCTACTTCCTCTACTCATCCTAATGGCTCTTCCACTTCATATCCCGCATTGTATTTGCACTCTTGCTTATTCCCTTCACCCACCACAGTTAGAAAAGCCGGTGAGGGTCCAGATTGAAGGTCCATTGGTATCTACCCAGAAACTTCTTCCGGAGGTACCATGGCATGTTGATGTCCGCAACCCAATATTTCCGCAGCCGGCTGGCCTGGATCTCGCAAGACTAGCGTACCGGGCTATATACGGACATGATGCCGATATTTCTGTCGAAAATGATATGATTGTGCGAGATGAGTACCTGGGCTGGGTGCACGAGAAGAAGTAAGAGCGCGCTTGGTCACTATCAACTATTGAGTACCTGTATATAACGATTATTCGTGCGCCTACTAGTGAAATTGATTATTACGGCGTTACATTTGATCATCTTGTTCCCGACGACGATTACTTTCCCGAGGTCCTACAGATTAATATCTTGGAGATGGACGAGGACGAGGGAGAGTACGCAAACACGTACCTGCCATTCATAGTAGATCCCGCGGAATATATCGGGAAGAAGATACTGGCGGTACCAAGGTGCTGTCAGAAGAGGAAGGGAAGTACGGACAGGCCGAGAGTGAACGGTTCGGTGACCCAGAAAGATCTTGTCCGGCAAGGGTTTGATAGGGAAATGATGATGAGTTTGTTGGTAGCCCATGGGGTATTTTCCACGAAGATCCTAGAGAAGCGGTTTGACAAAGTCCCTCAGCCGCGGATAGGCCTAGCCCCCAAGGAGAAGGAATAATTCTACTGCTATTATGCTCATGGGGTACGGGACTGCGTAGTTTTTAGTAGTGTGTTGTCAGTCTGTTAGTCCGTCGGTTTGCGTGGTGCAGCGATCAGAACAGGACTAAGCTCTGTATATACTAGCTAGCACGAGCGCTAGACCTGGAAACTTGTTCAGTGTACTTGTGTTCAGTGTATCCATCTTGCATTGCTTGAGGCCCTTGGATTAACTCCGGGGTCTATCGATTCTTCACTGTTGGCTCAGCCACGACAGGCCATTAACTTGCGAGATATAGGTGCATCGCCAACGTGGATCGCGGGGCCTAAGGAAAAATAACATAACATGTTGTTTCTGCCTTTTCGTGATCTCATATCGACAGGGAAACTTGGAATGGAACCACCAAGCATCTAGGTATGTCTTCCCGTCCAGCGCGTGGAATTCGTACGTGGAACTGAGTCGACTCACGGGTATCTCCATTTTCCATTCGGCTTTTGAAAGACATAGTGTGTAATCAGATCCCCCCCGCCTGAACCGAGCGATTTGAAGCTGATAATGACGGTAAAAAGATTGAAACAAGCAAGAGTCGGATGATGATGTAGCGGAGTGTAACAAATATACCTAATTGAAAGATAAGATGTATTTGTAAGGTAAAGACCCAAGGCGGGGTAGATCTGGTGGTGGTCGGGTTTTGGCGGCCCGTCCCGTCTCTAAAACCTTACTAGGGTGCTACTGCTAGGCCATACAGGCAGACAGGGCAACCTGTAACCTCCATAATTTCCCCGACTGCCCCCAATCTTCCTCAAATCCTCCCAACTTTCTCTTCTCCAAGCCAACGCTGCATCACATGAACAATGTTCGCTACCTTGATGATCACCTGGTCCAACTTCCATGCTCTCTGGCGAAGCGCTTATGTACACCTAATCGAGTAGGCCTACACACCGACTTTCCCCGAATTCGGTTCATCGCCGTCCCCCAATTGGCGATTATAGGAGGCTGAGTTCGCTAGCGAAGAACCCCTTTTGGCTTTTCGCATTTTGCACATGCGCGTTCGCTCGGCGTAGATGATGCGGTGAAAAAGATCTTTTCTTTTGAAGCCGAAGCCTTGTCCCAATGTCATTTATCCTTTAATGCTCTTTGGGGAGATAATATTTGCGCCATATTGCCACTCGAGTTCTCATCTTTAGCAGAGAGATGGCCCATGATTCTATTATTCATGGAATCATTATCTGGTCCATGCCAGAAATTAAGGTCGAAAGTTGGCTCCCATGATTTTAGCGGGCTATTTGCTTGAGAATTAATGCTGACTGCTTCGGCACCTTCAGGGGGCTCGATATCTAGCTTCTGCGGGGTTGCCGCCAGCTGAGCCCATGCTCCAACGCTGCGGATATCATTTGAGTCTTGCAAATATAGTGCCATAATATTAACCTTTAAATAAGAGTTTAAGATAAAGATATGAGGGGCAGTTTTAACCCGATCACCACCAGGCAGACTCCTTTATACTATATCTGCTCTATTCTATCTATCTATTATGTTGCTATATCCAAATACCTAGAGACCGCCGAGCTCAGCAAGGTGGGAAGTCGGTCATCGACGGTGAGGGCCTGATGCTAACCGTATACCGACTGAACGACTGGCTAGAGAACGGGTGCCGTACTTCACCTAGTGTGCCGCAAGACCGCTATCTGGATACAGGGCTGCTCCGATTCATAGAGGCGGACCGCGGCGGATATATAATTCGCATAATGACCATGCTGGATTGGGTGGATGACTGCGACCCTACAACATCGTCGACCGACGCTAAGCCATTATTGACAGGCCCGCCCTATCAGCCCTGTCAGCCCTATAATAGCCCTACCTACATACCTTACCGTCCGACCGCTCTTCGTCATTTTGACTTTCTCATGTTGTTGGAACATGATATTGACCCTCGATTTTGATGAAAACATTTCGCTAATATCGCTCTGGCTTGGGCCTATCTTATGATACCTTTAACGAGGCCCGCTAAGGTTTCTCTTATCGGCATCACCTACTGAGACCTACCCGCCTGCCATTCATGCAGCCAATATGGCGAACAGTCTCGTAGGGTTGGACGATTTCCATATTGGTAATCATATCAAGGACCCCCCATGGGCTCTCTTTGAGATGGATCTTGTGGAGGAAGATGACGAAACTTTAGCGGGGAATCTAACTTCTTACCAATTCGGCATCCCCTCCACCATAGGTGAAACTGTAGCGGAAGATACGCTCGGCTGTGCTGGTCCGCTTGGGGGTAGCAATGATGAGTGGAAGCGGACCGATAGCGATGCGCCTTTGGGTAAGTCTAAACTTGACAAAGCTAATACACCTTACCTTGGACTTAAATTTTTAAGATATGAATGATCCAACCGTATTGAACGAATACGGTGCCCTATTTCTCTTCGTTAATAACCCATCGGTTCACCAACTTGACCTTGAAAATTACGACTCATCTAAGCAGGCCATCGTTCGGGCTCTTGCGGCCAAATTTAATCTTGAGTACTCTTACGATATATTTCTCGGGTCAATTCGACTTCGCAAGGAAACTTACGAAGAAGCTTTGATACAGCGCGATCAACAACAAAAGATAACCTCGAGAGTCATCCCTTCAATTTCACCTCAAATTTCTACGTTATCTCCACAATGGAGGCCGGGTGGCGTAGATAAAAGACAGCATGATAACCCTTCTAACGCAAATAGATCATCTCCGTCGCTAAAAAATGGCACTGCTATGGACATCGATACTACATCTAGCGAGTTCAACTTTGGTTAGTCACTGATTTGACAACTTTACATGAGGATAGAACGCCTTGCTTACCACCAAATAGGAAATTTCGACTCCTGGAGGGAAGCTGGAGACTATTCCTTGGCTACTCCGCAGTACCAAGCTCTTTCAGAGGACGAGCAAGATCAAGTGAGCCCGCAACTGGCTCCAAATCAACAACAGCGTGGCCCCTGGGTCGGACTATCTCGCACGCTGAAAGAGGTCGGGGCTTGTTGGAGATGTAAGATACTTCGAAAGAAGGTACGGTCATTCAAACCAATGACGAAACGTACCGCATTACTGAACTGTAGTAGTGTGGTCCTGATCAACCTTGCAAGGCATGCCCTAGGCCTGGAACGAACGGTTCTCGTTGGCAAAATATAGGGTGCAAGCGCGGTACTCTTTTTGATCACACCTCTCAAATCTCTGTGTGTCCGAAGGCCAATCCACCTAATGACGTCGGCAATGACGGTACATCTGATGCATTGCGACGGGTATCGTGCTCGGGTCTTTATAGGGTTAAGCTGTGCCTCCAAGATGCCGCAAACCGTCTTGACAACGTTTTTGCTCCTGGGAATGACACATACACGAAAATCGTACTCGAAATTCTCTGTCCGTCTATGCTGGTCACGACCAGCACATCACCATCCCAACGACATGATGTTGGGGGCAATGTTATTCATATAGCCTGGGGGCTCATCGAAGTGGCTTCTATCAAGGAAATATTACATATAAAGTCCATGGAAAATGCTCTCGATATCATAAAAGCCGCCGTCGCCTATGAAACCGAGTATGGCCTAGTAAGTGACATACTTCATACAAGTCGCCGTCCTAGTTATCCTCAATGTTCCTCACTAATTCTTATAAACGGCCCTAGTCTCAAGCTATACCACTAGCTATCGAATGTCTTCGAAACTGCATTGATATCTTACGATTGCACGATGGTGGCTATCTAATATCTGAACTACATGACGATTGTACTACTAGCATGTGTCAAGTAGAGACCTTCCAGGACCTTAGCTCTAACGTCAAGGCGTACATTGATGAGCTTTCAAAGGTGATATTCAGGAAGGAGAATCGGCTCCAAGAGAAAAGATGGTGGTTATCGGTTTTCTATAGCCTCTGGATCCAGCACCATGTCCGACAAACGATCAGGTTTATCGAAATCCAATCTAAAACTCCACTCCACCCAGAGATGAAAGCAGCTTGCTCAACTTACCTGCTACTTGCGTTGGATCTTTTCGATGCAACATCTACTTCATTCGATCCACTGGCTTCAACATGGTCTCTTGAAGAAGAGCCGCCTAGTATGGATTTAAAACTCATGAAGTATTATCGACTTGCCCAAAAGTCACTAAGCGAACAGTGGGAATTCGGTACCGGCGGATCTATAGGCTTTCTGAGGTGCCTGTATTCTGATATGGACACACCCTTGATCAGTAATCGAAGAGGAGACTTACCTCTATCCCCTGCAGTGGGAGGTCATAGCATTCTTAACCCCAGGATGTTTTCTCAATCGCAAAAGTCGTACGAACGGAGGTTTTCGGTTCCAGTGAGGACTGCAAAACGACGCGCAGGATCACCGTTACAGGAGACAGGGTTTATCCGACGCAACGGCAGTTCCTCCAGTATGCTTGACGGCCGGGATATTCGAAGCCGAGGCATATCGATAGCCAACCCGGGATCTCCGATGTCACCTGCATATTCTTTTGCGTATGGTACCAGCGGCTCGACTAGATGGAATGGCAGTGGAGACAGCCTGGCGGAAATGGCTAAGCTTGGAACTAGTCCTCCAAATTATCGAGATCAACTTGACTATTTAAGCCCCTCAAAAAGTCACATACCATCTTTACACCATAAAAGCAGTACCGAGAGCTTTCTCGAACTACCCAGGACATTAAACAAGCGGCGGTCTGCAAGATACCCGTCTAAAGGCGGGATCCAAGAAATATTCATCTGTGAATGTTGCCCTAAGAAACCGAAGAGGTTCGAGATTTTGGAAGAGCTAAGGTAAGATAACCTCATCTTAAAAATAACTGTTTTTATTCTCGATTGGATTTCGACGACATTGGGTAGGTACTAATTGACTTACAGGTCTCATGAAGCTCAGAAGCAGTATCAGTGCAGTTTCTGTGGCAACCGCTTCAAGTCGAAGAACGAGGCCGAGCGCCATCAGAACAGTCTCCATGTACGACGGCACGCCTGGTCATGCTCGAGCTTACGATTGAGGTATACCGACATCTTCCAAGAGAGCACCACTCAGCCAGGAAAAGCCGATACCTGCGGGTACTGCGGGGAAGACTTCCCTCGTAGCAGAGCAGGTATCGCGGGGATGCAAGCTACCGAGAAGGATTGGGAGGAAAGGTTAAATCATGCGACAGAAGTCCACAAGTTTAGGGAGTGCAACGCGTCGAAGGAATTCTATCGGGCAGATCACTTCCGCCAGCATTTGAAGCATTCCCACGCTTCTATTTCGGGGAGGTGGACAAACGCGCTTGAGAGCGTTTGTATGACTGATATCCCTGGACCGAACGGATCAGGGGAAGGCCTTTGAAGGATTAGACTATGATTTTACTGCTATATCATGTCATACGAATATATCCTTACTCACTGCTAGGAAGTTATAGATTCCGTACTTAAGAAATGGTTTACCATTCAATCTGGCTGTCTTACTGCCTAACGGTTTACCCCTTGGCTTCATCATCATTGATTATGTAATATTGCTTATTAAAGTCGACATTCTCATCTAACTGTCTAGTATCGTTGACCATCTCACGAATAACGTGCAAAATTTATAGGTTCTACCTTATACTAAATTCCTAATATAATCCCCCCGTGCACGAGTTTAAACGAACGACGTTAAACCTTTAATGATAAAGGGGTTCATTTAAGATTCAGGGGCTCAGGGGTCATTTCCGATGACTCAGCAGCGATGACTAATCGATATGCAGTTAGGCGGCCGATAACTTATGTCAGCAGATTAGTCATTATTCGATATCGGATATAAGAATTTCTCATTTACGTAATCATCAAGTCTATTTCTACCATAAAACGATCGTACCTTGTTATTTCCCTTCACTTAATAATTGAATTATTATAGTATTAATTCCTTTTATACGAAGTAGAAAATCCTCATTCGTAGTAGCTGTCTCTGAGATTGTCGATTCACTCCCCTTGAATTGATGAGATTTGGGAGATAAGCAACTGTTTCATCCTGTATGGGATCTACATAGGCTAAAACTGAGACCTTATAGTGATCTAACCGCTAGGATTTAGTGGATAGCCGCTATAATTTAGGCCCTCCCGGGGTGATTGGCCACTGAAGAAAGCGCTGAACTGTAAGAGCATGTTTCAATTTACATCTGCTTTTAGCTGTAGTAGTCTAAATTTTGGGGTCTGCTGCGACCTTCTCGACAAGTAACTCCTTCAAAATATCTTGAATAACGTCTGTCCGCCGAGCGTTTACGTTCCCCGTAATCCCTCTCCACCCTCTTCGCCATATGAACCACCTTCCCCCAGTATCTCTTATCTCCAAACCCCCTAACTTTACAGCCCCGTATCGCCCAAGCCCCAACTCCAGCTTCGGTATCAAGTCGACCTCCCTAACACCCTCCACAGCACCAAACCCCACTGCGCGTTCAGCACTTGCTTAGGTACCTATTAACCACACCCCTACTACCCTACGCTAGAATATCTCCCACTCCACCCCCGCGAACTCTAGCCCGTCGACGTGCGCGCCCGTGGTCTCTGGCTCGTCACTTAGGTGCCGCGGTCTCGTTGCGGTGTATTACGGCCCCTGGATCCCGGTCGCACCGCGCGAAAAACGCGGGTTTGGTGGCGCACAGTTATGGTGTGTAAAGTTAAGGTTAGAGACTAGGTCTTTAGGAGGGTGCGCGGCGGCGGCGGTGGTGATAGGCTAGTAAATGGTCGCGATGTTGGGTTTGTTGGTGCGGGCTTGGTGGCTGTGAGGGAGCGCAGTGAAATTGCCATTTTGGGAAATGGAGGAGCTTTGATTGGTTGGTTTGGTTAGGTAAGTCTGGGGTTCTTGATTCGGGCTCGGTGGACTTAATGATTTAGTCCCTTGTGGTCCAGTTGTCGGTTTATTGAGTTGATTATTTAAATGGCTTGGGGGTTTATATGTAAAATTTGATTTAAATATGGCTGGTTATTCAGCTTTTTAAGGTGGTTCTCATAGTGTATTGATGTCATGAAGTATCAGCGTCTCACAGGCTTCTTTCGATGTAGGAAAGATCAACATAAATCATGCCATGAAACTTCTATAACCCGATGCTTATGTACTGAAATAATCATAATCATCGTTCATCGTTATTCCTAAATAGCAAAACCCCGATTACTGGGTACGTTGACGGCGAGTGTTCAGAAACATCGCCAAATTGAATATCCAGCTTCGTATCAAACTCCATGTACCTACTAAACGCCAGTGAGAAGTGAAAAAGAAACAACGACCATTTCCCTAACTCCTATATGCTAGCAGTCCTTACACCCCGGAAACGCCTGTAGCCTTAGAGATCTCATAGCCGTCCGGATGTATACGAACCGGTTCCAACGGAATCAATCTCAATGGATGTACCGTTCTTCGCCTATCAACTAATGGGATAAATTGCCCTCTTAGTCTCTTTTTTTCCCCCATAAGAAAAATCCAATACTCTTCAGCCGACATGTCTGAATCCCTCTCAAGATACCCGCTGATGACCATCTCAGCTTTGATGGGCCTGCTCAAAGATCTAAGAACGACTGGCTCGGTGGGCAGGTCGTTATCGGATGCTTTCTCGATCTTGGCCTGATCAGTAAACCTCGTGACTAATAACCACTGGAGAATACGCTCAGGAGTCCTTTTCTTGTCAAAGGCGGTTCGAAACCCATTCGGCCCGTGGTATGATAGAACCGCACCTCGGCGCACAAGGAACTTAACTGATTCAGATGTTCCGGCATAGCATGCAGCCATAAGAGCGGTGCCTTCTGGACAACCTTCGAACTCCAGCTTTGCCCCCAGAAAAAGGAGGTTTGCCATTATCTCTAAAAGTCCCAAATGTGCAGACACGCAAAGTGGACTATGGCCACGGCTAGGTTCAGGGTTTGCGATCCTTAATAATTTATCGGCGGGGACTTTTCTTCGAAACATCGAAAACGACGATGTGAGCCAGGATGTATCCTCCTCGTCTGGTAGATATTGATCCCATGGAAATGGAGCCATCTCCTGAACTTCATAACTATCATCATTTAAGATGTAGCTAGTAAAGTAGTCGTAGCGTATAGCCAGATGCATAGCTGAAACCCCATCAATATTTTGGTGATGTGGGTCAACCCCTAGGTCCCGAAGGTTGATGAATAGCTGTCGAATTTCAAATTCTGAGCTATGGACCACTAGCTCCCGTAATAGGTTATTTGACTGATAGTCCAGGACTTGGGGGTCAGCGCCGATATCTAGTAGAAGCTTCGCCAAGTCCCAATGGCCTTCCCCACAAGCACTCATCAAAGGAGTCTCTCCAAAACCATTGCGGCATTCTATATGAGCACCATAGCTCATTAGAACTTCCATGATTGTTTCTATGTCCGGCACACCTGAAGAAGCTGCTTCATGTAATGGCCTGGTAAGAGACTCCGTCGAAACATTTACATCAGCACCGTTTTCTAGGAGACATCTTACAGCCTCGAGATTGCCATTAATAACCGCTTCATGTAAGGGTGGTAGCTTCTCCGAATGATATGTAGGTTTGTTCACGGCTGCTAAGATCGCTGTATTCCCAGATTCCCCTATCAACCCACTTTCGTCGTGTTAGCACGCTACTTAGATTTTCGTAGGCCGAAAAAATCAGCACCAGAAGGTACGTACCTGTAGTGCTGTGCATTCTTTTTGAGGTGATCTAGGAGTATTCGAAGCCCCTCAGAGTTATTGTATTTAACTGCTGCAAACACGGGACTGTAGGTTTCGCGAACGAGGTTTCCTCCGTCATTCAAATATCGTTCAAGAAACTGCGGCAGGACTTCATTAAATTCTTCCGTTTCTAGTATCTCGCAGATAGGGCTAGACATTTTGCATCTTGAACAAGTTGTTTCCAGAGTTGATGCTCCGTGAGACAACAGCCATTTGATAATATCAATTTTTCCATTCCGAATCGCAAGAAGCAAAGGCGAACACCCATTACAGCTGGGTATATTGGCAGTCAGGCAGCATCCTTGATCATGTAGCCGTTGGCAAAGTGTTATGTCTCCATTTCTAATGGCATGTTCTAACCCCAGATTGAGACTTGATTGTTGCTTGGTCGAAGAAAAAATCGCATTCCCACCGTGAGAATTACTCTCGTGTGGGATGTCTTGACGTCTTAGAGTCTGGAAAGAACTGATAATAGGCTGACTTCCAAGTTGACATGCAAGTATAAATGGAGTTGCTCCTGATTTGTTCATTGTGTTGTCGCTCCCAAGGCTTAACAAGACCTTGACGATAGCTAATTGCTGTGTTTGGACAGCAAAATGCAACGGCAAATCACCAGACTCTGTTCGAGCGTTGATGTTGGCTTTGTTTTTATGGAGGAATGTAATAGCATCCATATGTCCGCGTCTAGCCGCAATGTGCAAGGGAGTAATACCATCGCAGGTTGGCAAATTGACATCGGAAAAAATGCCGCGGTCGATGTAGAAAGACAAGCACTCAACGTTCCCCGAAGCGGCAGTCAAGTGGAAGGCATTATAACCGTACAGATATAAATCTCTTCCATCCTGTATGTCACGGTCGCAAACAAATTTCTCCCAATTAATATGCCACACCGAACTGACTGTTTCATAAAGAGCCTCAAGGAAATCTGTGGCACCTTGATAAGCTGCTTCTAGGTATGCGTCGAAGCCGTACTTATCGGCATGTGTCGGGTCTGCGCCATTCTCCAATAAGGTGATGGAGGATTCAACTTCGTATTTACCTAGATGATATACGAGAGCGGGAGAATTCTGATCGATTCCTATACGAAGATTTGGGTTCGCACCTTTCTGCAAGAGTTCGACAATCTTGCGAGTTGCGTTTGGGACGGCGAGACGGTGGATGAGTCCGAGTCCACCGTCTGCTAGATTAGTCTCGTCTAGACGATCCTTATCTGCGTGATTTAGTAGAAGCAGAAATATCTCATATTTAATATTCACACCGCAAGCAACTTCTAATGCTGAATGACAGTCCACTCGCTGATGGACACTGACACCCTTTTCACACAATAGCGACACTAGTTCATAGTTCATGCTCCTAACAGCTGCCACTAATAGACGTATTACCAAAGACGATGTTTGAATCTGTGACCATCGGCTTGTGTGATTTATAATATCACAAATGACCTGGCTTGTGAGAGGCCACATATCATCGACATTTTTGAAGCCACCTTCGATGCTCTGTAGTAACACGAGGAGTGCGGATCTCTGAGAAATAGTTTCGTATGAACTTAGACATCCCAACCGGCTGAGTTCCGTTATTATTGTAATAGTGAACACATGCCTCTTATCGTAACGATTGAAATATGAGCTAGGGCCAGACGAATACTTAAATCTACGAAATCGATCAATGTGATCAACCCTGGCATGATGAATAATATCATTCATAAAGTATTCCCATAACCTCTTCTCATTGTCTTGTGATTGCTTAGGATATAGAGCCGAAATTGCCTCTGTGCACAGGATTTGTTCCGATGTCTGGTTGTCATCTGATATTTGGTTGTTAAAGACTTCCTCAAGATAAACTTCTAATGGAATTTTACCCTTGGCACGGACATCGCATGCATTTGGGTATATCGAAGTAAGATACTGGATGAAATTGATGGATGTTTTAGTTCCAACATAGTGAAGAGGTGTCAAGATGTCGTCTTCGATCTCGGTATAAATTGTTCCTAAGTTGTATATCTTCGTGAATGTCTCTTCGAAGCCTCCTTGAATTGCTAACACGTGAATTGGAGTAGGACCTTTCCATGTCTCTGGGTCGCTCTTGCATCGCTCGAAAAGCAAAGATACCGATTTTCTATCACCTTGTACCAACGCTGTCGACAGAGGAGTATATCCGTCTTTATCTTTCGCACGTAGTGCACAAGTGATATTTTCTTCGCTGTCGTATTCAAGAAAGCCTGAAAGAAAAGAGGGTTTAATACAACCGTAGTGCAAGATGTTCCTCCCCAAATCGTCTCTAGAGCAAGCCGTCAAGCTATGATTTATGAGCACCTTCACCAAGTCCTCAACTAAGTCGTCAGAAGGAGATTCTTCTCCAAATCCTGGGATGCGACAAAGCCACGCATGTATAGGTAGACTCCCGTCCATATTTGGCTGAATAAAACTGCACCCAGTCTCAATGAGCTTTTCAATCATCAAGGTGTTGTTTACTGTAGCTTGTAGTGCATTATATAGTAGCCCATTGCCGCATTTATCAAATATATCTGATGTATCGAGGTTGCAAGCTTTATGGATTCTTTCGAATTTAGCCGTATCGCCATCCTGAACAGCTTGAAGCAAGTGTTGTTTTTGTATATCTGGCGAAAGAGAAATGCTCGGATCAACTAAGTATGGGTCAGAAGTAAAACTCAATTTACGCGAAACTGCAATCTCCCATAGCTTCGAACAAATTTCTCGATTAGAAGGCGAAAAATCTATCATCAAGTTCAAAGTCGTGATAAATTCTTTTACTGCCGAAATGGAATTGTGATCCACAAAAAAGCGTGATAACGTTGAGAATGTCGGAGAACTGCAGGTGATCTGATCCAAGGCATATCCCTCAGAAAGAAGCAGTGTTACGACCGAGAAGTCTCCCGTCTCAGCTAGGACTTCCACTGCGAGTTCAAACGGGCTTTTATCTCGACCAAACCTTGAAGCGACGTGGAATCGGTCTGCTCCAGCTACCAGTAGACATCGTATAGTTTCTATTATTAATATATTGTTCGCATACCTTCCAACGTTAGATCGGAATTTAAAATCATTGCCAGGCATCAGTGATAATAAAGACCCAGCTGCGCATTGCATTGGTGTTCCGATAGGACTCTCTTGGTTGACATCTGCGCCTTCTTCTAGTAGATAAGAGCAGATTACTGGAAGCGACATTGCGCAAGCCACATGTAATGGAGTGAAGCATTTGTGACTAACTTGAGTTGCGATCTTGATGTAGTTATCGATCCTATCTTGCGTGATAGGGTCCTGGTCAATCCAACCGGCCACAAACTCGACTATCCACGAATTGAAGAATGCCGTCTTTTCGAGACTAAAGAATTTCTTCGCTAATTGGATTAACTCTTCGCAAGCCCACTCATTGGTAGCATGGAAATCCCACCGTAATGCTGCATATGGATATAACGAGTTGTTTCGATTTTTTGTCTCTCTGGATGACCAGCCTTCCTCCGTAGCTTCAGGGGTATGGTTGAAATTTTCAAGTTGTAAATACTTCAAGCATCGGATTGCCATCAGTCTGTTGCCCCGCGATTTTGATATTAGAAACTGGGGGAATTGGTCTTGGAGGATTGTCTCGTTTTCAAGAAATTCCTGGACGGAGAAATGTGCAAACTCAAATCGCTCTCCATCATTTGACTTTCGAATTAAGCTACTGCATAATCTCTGGATTGAATTTTCCCGTACAAGTCCACTTGATTGTAGGAAGCCTTTAGTGTCAGGGTCTGATATCAGCTCCCTAAGCCGTTGGATACTGAGTGGCGGATATGCGAAGGCAATGGAGTGTAGAATCAATTGGACAAGTGACATCTTATTCGTCGGTATTCGCTGTAGAATTCGTAAGTATGTTTCGTTGAGATTAGGAGGTAACTTTTTCAAGGCCTCTCGACACTCTTGATCCGAATCACATTGTTCAAGATGATCTAACTGACAAGCAACCCATCGAAACCTTGTAAATATTGTTAACCTGGGAACTATTGTTATGAGAAGCAATAGCACTTACATGCCTGCAGCACCGTCTACCAAGCTTTGCATGATCTCCCCTTTAAGGTTGAGGTCATCAATACGGAGCTTTCCTATTCTCATGCGCTCCTCAATCCGTGCCGTCACATACTCTGTGATATCCTCTGTGTGTGCAGCAACTTTCTCGCAGACAAAATTATCTTCGAGGCGGTCCCTGATGTTGTGTTCGTCGCGACTTAGTAACGCCATCGATATATTATCTGAATCTTCCGATATAGCACAGAGTACATCGAGCACTTCTTCAACCTGTTGAACACATTCGTCGATCCCATCCACGGTAAGGAAGACATGATTAAATAATTTGACCATGTCCCTTATCACTCTCTGAAGCCCACCTGTCGTACAATTTCTGGGTAAACCGCTCATGGGATTGAGGTCGCGATGATATTGCTCCAATATCCGATATGCTTCTTCTTTTTGGATAGCTATTTGGTAAGCTAATGCACCAAGGATATTTTCTGGCGAATGGGTTATATTGGCTTTGTAATCGCAGAAGAAGAAAGCAGCCGCTACGCTTTCATTGCATTGTCCCAGGGAGGCTTCAATAATCGTGCCTGCTAAGACTGTCTTCCCTGCCCCGGGAATTCCGCTCAGCCAAAGTTTCTCGTCCGGAGTTGAAAGCCAAGTCTGGAAACTTGGGAGTCGTATTAGCCACAGCCCTGTTCTCGGGTGCCGTAGTTTGAGACTCGTCTCATAGTTTTGTTGTGGATTATACTTCAGGAAAACGCTCTGGACTTTGCTTTGTTCTTCATTGCGATCGATACGACTAACAATTTCTTTAGTTTTTTGGGCATCGGCTTTGAGTTCTGATGCTGTCTTCTGAAGATCTTCTTCTCGGGCTAGCGAACGTAGGAGGAGGTCCATTGACTTGGCAGTGAGGGCAAGATTGACACTTTGTTTGTGTTTAGATAATTCATCGAGTAATTCTGCCACCCGTGTCGACGAAAATGGCCACTTGGCCTTTTTCGTCAAAGAGTCGCTGTCAAACTTCTTCAGCTTCTTATGAATACTTGCTAAGATATCGTTGCAAGCCTCGATATGGTACATCCGAAATGCCCTGTTGTCCACATTCTCGTCGCCGAAGCACTGTGCTAGTGTCGATAGGCTGTGCAAGGCGCCTCCCAGCATATTGATCTCCTTGGCGAGCTCTTCGACCTCTTTCGCAGCATTCTTCACAGACCTGACATATTTCATCAGTCGCAAGACAACTGTATCAGTCAGAGTGATAAGGCCCGCAATGCTAGCTGCGATAGATAATGGTTCTGCCATTTCAATTGAAGAAACAATAGGGTTGTTGGATAATAGAGTATGGTGGTGTCACTCGGTGATGGGGTGACCAGCCATCTCAATGACTTTCATTTTCGGTTGGGTTGGGTATTGCCATGATTTAATAAAGGATATGAGAGGAGAGGAGTGGAGGGAAGGGGAGGGAAGGAAAGGAAAGGAAAGGAAAGGCATGATAATCTCTGCGCACTAAGATATGCCTTGCAAATTCGGCGTTACATGCTGAGCCACTCACGCGGTATAACGCATCTCGCAGGGGATTATATATCGTCATCGTCGGATTGCCTTGATAACCTAGCAGTCATCTAGTGAGGCAGGCTACGGAGTTATAAGAGGTCTGGCTATGGACTATCTAGGCGCCTAACACCTTCAGACCAACCGCCTGAAAGCACCTAGGCACTGTACGGGTTGAAATAGATGCAGGTTATGAGGGTTATATTCGTTAGATTAGAAGGAAGAACCCCTTAGGGTAAGTAGCGGTATGTAGATGATACATATATGCCATAGGTATGGGGCGTAAGTTTCCAGCCACCTGATTTCAGCCACCCGATATTCCAACAGTACGAAACTATATGCTACCTCATTCAGCAGGCAGAGCCAGCCTACCTAACAGTTTCACATATCAAAGAAAACTGTCACCAATGACTCAAACCAAGGCCCTCTCTCACAGAAGAACCTAAGAACCATGTTAAAAGCCGGATTATCATTATTAATACTTATAACTTGTAGGCACTTAGTATCAACTTAAAGTCAACTCGAACATTCACCAAGCCGCATCCGCAACCTCGACTCCAGAAATTGAAGTACAGCATCGCGAACGCCTCTGGCGTCATGGGACACCCCCTCAACGACATCTAATTGGGCCTCGATACCATCCCGCCCCCACAGCCCGCGCAGCTGATGCATGGTCTCAAGTCTGCCTTGATCAATCGGGAGAAGCGTCGGCGTATCATTGGCGACTGCACTTCCAGCCCCTCGTTGCGCCTTGAACTGCCGCATCCAAGCCCAAAACTCCTCGCCACCGTGGACCTTGACATCCGCACTGCCGATGACAAGGTGGATAGGGACCTTTCTAATGAGAGCCTTGTCGATGCTTTTTCCAAAAACGGCGTCTACGTCTTTAACTCCCACAGGCCAACTCTTCTGCTCGTCCAACACCGTCGCGTGTCCCGGCGCGCCGACACTCACGGCAGCTAACCGCTCAGGGTACAAGTAAAGAAAGCGGTGCGCGAACTGTCCGCCGCCGCTAAACCCCGCGAGGAAGATCTTATCGGTATCGATGTCGGGCCAGCGCACAGCGACTTCATCAAGCATAGAAAGGAGCGCGAGGTCAGAGCGCAGGGTGGTGGACCGGAGCAATTTATAAGAATCGATGTCGTCGGGACCGTCGAGGCCGGTGGGGAACAGCGGAGCGAGAATCGCGCAGCCTGTGGAGTCCGCGAACGGGGCGAGCTCGTAGATGGTGTGGACGTCGCGCCTGGTGCCGTGCACGGACACTAGCAATGGTACCTTGACTCGCGCCGGGGGTGTCCCTGCCCCGTAGCTGTAGTGCTGCGGCGGCACGTACAGCGCATAAGACACGCGCGGGTCAGAGGTTAGAGCCCGGTAGGGGATGTGGCCGACGAAGAGCGTGGAATTGAGGAACCGTGGGGGAACATCCCTCGCTGTTAATGGCCTATTTTCCATCTTGTTTTTACGCCTTGAGTTGATTGGTCGTGGAGTACGGCAGTTGGTGCCAAGATACGAATCGGGTAATAGATTTACGTGCGTAAGTAGCCATCGTTCGTGTCTCTGGTGTTGCACAACGCTGTAATCTTGTATGGGCGGACGGCGATTTAACATGTGCTCCGTTTCCGTCGTATCTAGCCTGTCTAGCTTGTCTGAGAGAGTGTACGCATAGTAGGTAGGTAGGTACGAGGTGAGAAAGCGTTGAGCGAAGTTCGCTTGGGCTCCTGCAGATCCTGCGGCCGAGCCGGTAGTTCAGAGCGAATTTCGCTTCGGCCAATGCTCCCCCAGTCGCCCAATAGTACGAGCAGGGCTGAGTCCCAATCAGCGACCGGGTCAATACCGCTTGGCTTCCCCGTCTGGCGTCGTGTCCCTCAGCTGCACGATGATGCGGATCCGACGCTGTCGCCTGTAACGAATCTCATGTGGCCGCTGCAGCAAATGCGCTTCTCTCGTCATGGCCTTGCCCCTGAGACATGTGAATCGATACCGGCAGGAGGGAAAGTTGATGATATCAGGATAGGTAAGTGATAGACATCGATATTTTCTAAATTGCGACATGCTTAGGTTAACATGGTCCCCTCCTCGAAGGAAGCACCTACGTAACATAGCTGTCTCCGTATCTCCATATCTAGGATTCTAAGCCTCTACCTTCTTTAGAACACCACCCCTGCCATGCCCGGAGCTTGGTGGGTATTGAAACGCGACTTGCGCTCAACGAAGCAAATTCGGGTCATATATTTGATATAAGATAATCAGGTTGCAGAAGTCTGTATCTCGATTTACCTTGTGTATCATCATCATCATCATCATCACCAACGTCATCATCATCATCATCATAATCATAGTCAGCACCTACACCTAAACCGTCTCGACAGCAATGGCTTCGAAAAGTTCGGATAGAATTGAGGTCGAACCGGTCGAGTTCCGGGATCCTTCAGTTCTAGCACCGACGAGCAGTCCCGGTTCCGAAGGGAGTTTCACCAAGGAGGACGAAGTTCAAGAGATCGTCGACCCGAAGCTTGCACGCAGGGTAAAATGGAAGCTCGACTTATTCATCCTGCCGCTCTTGTCGAGCGTCTACTTCTTCGCCACGATGGTCAGTTACCCATGTCACCAGATGTTACTTGGACATACCCCTATCATGACCAACTCATACTCACCACCGAACAGGGTAAATCTGATCTCGGTAACGCTAAGATCGCCGGCCTCAGTCAAGAGATGAATCTTAGTCCTGGAGACTATTCGAATGCGGCGACTGTGTTTCTGGCGGCAACAATTATCTTCCAACTCCCAGGCACTCTCTTGATCAAGAAGATCCACCCGAACAGACAGTTCAGCGGAGCTATGATAGTGGTAGGACCGACACAGACCTCAGCACATCCCCCCTAATCCAGATTTTTGGGCTAACGAAGAGTTTCTCGTCTTGCCCTTTAACAGTGGGGAGTTCTGACTGCCTTGACTGTCTTGGCTAAGAACAGCGGCCAATTGCTCGCCATCCGGTTTCTTGTAGGCGCGGCGGAATCATTCGTTCAAGGCGGTGTCTTCTGTATGTTTATACGATGAGCGAATAGGCCGTCTCACCCCTATCCACTTTATTCTCTAACCTCCTAACGTGGCTCTCTCTCATAGATCTCTCATTCTGGTACCAGTACTCGGAGTACGCAACTCGTGGCGCCGTTCTCGCGTCCATGTCCACCATTGCAGGTGCATTCAACGGCCTAATCGCTTATGCCATCGTGAAGGATCTGGACGGCGCCAACGGGTGGAGGGCATGGCGATGGATCTTTCTCATTGAGGGTATCGCACCCATCGCATTTGCTTTCGTCGTCTTGTTCTTCTTGCCTAGCAGCCCACAGGCGCTTCGGTGGGGCTTCACTGAGGAAGAGAAGAAGCACATTATGCAGCGAAGCGCACGCGCACACAACACTACTGAGCAGAAGGTCAGACTTAACCAGATCTGGAGAATTATGCTGGACGTTCACTTCTGGCTCTTCATGTTAGTGAGCTGCGCAAGTGCCTTCTGCCAGGGGTCGCTATCCAATTTCCTTCCAGACATTATTGCGGTACGTGTGAATTCACCACATAACGTATATACATGATATTGATGTGATCTCTAGGGCTTCGGATACAGCGATGTGAACGCGCAGCTTTTCACCGTCATCGTCTATGTATGCGGCTGCGTTGGAATTATCTTCTTCAGCAGAATTGCGGATTTGACCAACGCCCGAGGAATTGTCCTGGCCTCATCCACCATCGGCGCAGTCATAGGCTACGCCATCTTGATCTGGGTCACGAACCGCAATGTCCGATTTGCGGCCACGTGCATTGTCGCATTTTCTATCTACCCGAGCACTGTATTGCAGCTATCGTGGGGTGCTATGAGCTTCGTCGGCTACACTCGAAGGTGAGCCCCTAACACATCTTTCCAATCTCAAGCCAGTCGCTAACGCAGAAACAGAGGATCTATGCTAGCATTTTTCAACATCTTCCCGCATCTATTCGCCATTTCTGGAACTCAGGCCTACCAAGACCCACCCTACTGTAAGGAACCCCTTTAATCGAACCCCACTTTTAATTGACCTCCATACTCACCACCCTTTCTCTCACAGATAGCAAGGGAAACGCCGCAGCCCTTGGAATGTCCATTCTGATGCTCCTTTCCTCGATAGGACTGCGGTGGTATCTTGGCTTCATGAACAACAAGAAGAAGGCCAACCAATTTTCAGAGGAGGCCGCCATTATGAGAGAGAAGAGCATCGAGGAGGTCGGTGACCACCACCCGGGTACGTTACTGTCTTGACACTATTTATACAGCAATATCTTCAAGTTTTATGCTAATTATTTCGTTTTAATCTAGACTTCTTCTACACACTCTAAGTCACCTGCAATCGCGACGTGTAGAAAATTGTGCAGGCTCATAGTTGGAAATGGGTCACATGTTTCTTAGCTACCTCGGTATCTATGGGTCGAAGCCGATGCTTCAAGTTTTCTTTTGTTTGGATAGTATATATGCATAGGGACATGTGTATAAAGTTGGTGGAGCATATAGGTTATATCGGTATGGTTTAATGTTGGGTAGAGCCCATTGTTTAGTGGTTTACCTCGTATTCTTTTGGTCTTCATTGGTTTAGCAGGAGTTACCGGTTTAGAGTAAGAATGTCTGTATATAAGCGCTCACATATGTATATATTCAATATTGGGGACATATCCTTGGTTAAAGGAGAGTTTATTATGAGTCTATTAAGAGGATTAAGAGGGCTCCCAAGGTCTAGCCCGTTGATCTTGCTGGGATGAAGGGTCTCATAATCGAATCGACATATAACTTTGGTAGCCCCCAATGCTCCATGGCTTCATCGATACCACGGTTCATTCGGTATACATATTCCTTTCTCGGAGCGCTTGGTAGGATTCTCTTAGGGTCGATGTACACAAGCACTCGGACCGTCTTCTCCTTCTCTACATCCTGGGAATAATCATGTGTATCGTCTTTGTCCGCTGTGGTAGGGCTAGTTAGGGCCGGAAGCAAGGTTGCATCGAGAAACTGCCTCTGATATGCCCACGGGACACCCTCACACATATCTAGCTTAACCTCGTCGCTCGGATGTAGGCGATATACGATACCATAAACGCCACCCTTGGTTCTATTTTCTAACCCTTTCTCTTCGCCACTGTCTTTGTCCTTCTTATTGCCCGCACTGAGTCGTATGTTATGTAAAAACGTGGACGAATGCGAAAATATTGACGATGATACAGGTGTAGCAGTTTTTTCTTGGATGATATTTGCGTAACCTCGTTCATTAATAAGCCAGGTCCATCCAGACAGGTGCGCGAGGCCGATAGGTGGAGACGACGGACACCGGTCAAGCATCTGAGCCGGGGAGAGGTTGGAGCCGTAAGCGAAGTAGAACACCTCTTTATCGGGTTTACCGTTTTTGGTAGGCGCCATGGTGATTGATTGGGTAGAATGTTTGATAAAAATACTCAGGGTTGGTTAATTTATAAATCGATTTGTAAAAGGAGGTAGGTTTGTGCTAAGTTATTGTAAAGAAGGTGATCATTGGTTCTTAAGTTCTAAGATTGTGATCTGGACAGATCTAGTTCGGGTTCTTTCTTTTGAAAAACGACCCAAGAATTCTCGAATTGCCCCTTCCTTCCAGAATGAGCAAGCAATTAAAGTGGGAACTACGGCCGGGAGACGGATGCGGATGAGGGAGTAGTCTTCGGTGCAACTCAAATGCTACTCCACTCGGCTCCGATGTCCCTTGCTCAGTGCGTGATTAAATAAGCAATCGCTTTGGTACTGTATTAGACCTGAGCTAAAACAGAGACCTAACAATAAACTTTCCGCTGAACTTTAGTGGATGGTCGCTATAGCCCACGCCTGCTTAACCACTGAATGAACATTTTACAGTGCGAAAGTATCTCTATTTACACGGGCTAATCCAAACTTTTGGCCCAGACCATCGAACTTACCTACCTCCCAATAACTTCTTTGGCACTCACATCGCTTTACATTTCGACATGAAAATATCTCTTTGAGATAAGCTGTCTTCGATATTATGTCATTTTAAAAGTTCCATCTCAATTTCTACTCAATTCCTATTACGTCAACCCTAGAGGCAATGGAGAAACATCGGGCTTGAAAAGGTCATTCGCTTCTGCAATGCAGGCCAAACTCGGTTGACTCCAAAGAAATATATTTATCTCTCAACTACCGATGAAAACTGGGTTTTGGGGGCCTTCCACGTGCTGGTTTTATGTCCGTGCCGCAATTAAATTGCCACCGTTGGCATTAATTGATTCAAACCCAAACAAGCTTTTTCTCCAATTACTCTTACCTGTCCTTATGCCTGTCTCATCACACCCCCCTTTTTGATTATCAACCCATTATCCATACACCACATTAATAAACCACGCCGTAGCATCAGATAACGAAGCAATTTAGTTAACAGGTAACTGGTATCGGTCGCTTACCGAATAGTAGTAACATCCGGCGTAACACAGATGAGTTACTATCAGGTTACTGTCGGCCTCCTTTCCCTCTTCAGACGGTCACATCGATCCGTATCATCTCTCCATGCTGATTCATATCTGCTTCCCGGTTAAGGTGCTCAAACGGATGCTAACGGCTCTCCGATGTGCTTCTAGCTCCTCTACCTTCGCCAACTGCATGACCGCACCTCCCACATTCTGAAGACCTTCAGCAGTTAAGTTCGAGCTTGTGATGTGTTTGAGGAACGAGCCGAGATTTACTCCGGAGTATTGCTTGGCGTAGCCGTATGTAGCTATTTGAGGTTAGCCGAGGCCGAAAACACGAAGGATGGGGAAACTCACGTAGAGAGTGGTTGACACCGGCAGAGTAGTCACCGACACTCTCGGGGGTCCACTGCCCAATGAACACACTACCGGCATTCATGACCTTGTCTACAACTTCCTCGGCGTTCTTGAGTTGGAGTATCAAGTGTTCGGGAGCATACTCATTGCTAATTCTCATCGCTTCTTCAACATCCTTGACTAAGAATGTGACAGAGTGGTTAATCGCGCCCCTAACGATGTCCACCCGTGGTAAGGCCATGGCCTGCTTATGTACCTCATCCTCGATCGCTTGCAACTGCTGCTCATCTAGGTCAACGGCAATGCATACGACTTGGCTATCGACGCCGTGCTCGGCTTGGGATAGCAGGTCTGATGCGACAAAAGCTGGGTTAGCATCCTTATCCGCCACCACCAGCACCTCCGAAGGACCTGCTGGCATATCGATGCTCACACCGGCATTCGTGTCATTACTAACAAACATCTTGGCGGCGGTTACGAACTGGTTACCGGGCCCGAGAATCTTGTCCACTTTGCTGACGCTCTCCGTGCCATATGCCATCGCTGCAACAGCTTGTGCGCCACCGGCTAGAACGATGCTCTCAGCTCCAACTTTGTGAGCAACATATACGATCTCTGGTGTAATGCTGCCATCGGAACGTGGTGGGGATGCAATCACGATCTTCTGGCATCCGGCCACCATGGCAGGCACACCGAGCATGAGTGCAGTGCTGGGTAGGACAGCGGTGCCGCCTGGAACATACAGACCAACTCGCTCAATCGGTCGGGAGAATCTGCTGCATACAACACCTGGCATAGTCTCAACCTTCAAGGGCTGCTCTTTCTGTGCAGTGTGGAATGTGCGGATATTCTCGAAAGAGACATCAATGGCCTTGATAGTCTCAGGAGGAAGATTCATGAGCGATTGGGGGAATGGGGCCTTGAGGACCGGCGAAGTTAAAGAAGTTGCCTTCTCGAACTTATGGGTATAAGAAAGTAAGGCTTTGTCACCATTCTTTCTTATATCGCTAATGATGGGTGTAACGATACTCATAATCGCATCAGCCGATTTCTGGGACGGCCTTCTCAGAGCCTCCGAAACCTCCGTTGCGCTGACTTTGCTGGCGTCCACACGTTTTAGAGTAATTCTTCCTGTGTCTGGAGCTGTGTGAGCTGCAGTTGCAGGGGCGGATGTCAGGGGGGCTGCAGAATCCTTTGCGGCTTCTTTTGCCTTCTCTGCAGTGCCGTTGGTGATACCCTCCTTCTGCGCCCACTGTCCCTTTGCGTTTCCTGGTCTTCTTTTGACCTTCAGGCTCTTGGCATCGAGATTCTCCTCGATATCGGCTAGGCTTACACCGGCACTAATTGCTTTAGTCAGGGCAAAATATATCAGATCTGCCGCCTCGAAAGCAACCTCTTCCGGAGTCTGCGCATCGCAAAGTTCTTCTGCCTCTTCCATTATCTTTGCTCTCAAGAGCTTCTCATCCGAGAAAAGTCTCTTGGTATAGGAACCTTCCGGTGCTGAGTGTTTTCTAGAAACTAATGTTTGTTCGAGCTTTGAGATTCCCTTGAGATCGCCGAAACAACCGTGCTGATCAAGATGACAGAATTTCCCTGTTTGCTTGACGACAAACTTCAACGCATCGTTATCGCAATCTAGGGATATCCTCACCAACTCTTGCGTATCTCCGGATGTAGCGCCTTTATACCATAGTCCTCGTTTCCGACTTTGATAGACACCCGTTTTCGTCTTTAGAGATTCAGCGACACTCTCTTCACTACTATACACCAAACCGAGTGCTACACCCGCTGTGTCGCAAACAACGGTGGGCAGTAAATGATCTGGCCTGTCTGATTTCCACGCAACAGAGAACAATTTAGGTACGAAAATTTTGTTTTCTGTTTCTTCTACCTGAACTGTCAATTTCGTAGATGGGATAATAGGGATAGCAGATAGCTGTGAACATATATCGGCGAAGTGGTCATAAATAGTATCCTCAATAGGCTTGATATACAGAGGAGGCATCTTAGTAGTCTTGCTCGATGCCATGAACTTGGATACATCGCAGTTCCGTTGGTCGAAATCCTTGAGAAGTAAACCATGTTCTGTTCCGAAGGATACTTGGTTTAGCTTGCTCACTGCCGGAGCTACTCGCCTACCAAATTGTGCGAAGTCCGACAGCCTCTCCGGCTGTACAAAGACTTTCTGGGCACCATAGTCCAATAATGTAACAACATCACTCTTTGATTCGAGACCGGTAGCATCGAAGAATGTGTGGAGAGTAGCGGCATTGACTTGGATGAGATGCTCAAGGAGTTTTTCGAAATTTTGTTGAGTGACCTCGAAGAACACGCAACCCAAACATGAGACTTCTTCCTCATTTAGACCTTGCCCATCCCCGTTCGAGGCCGCATTGGGTGGGACATCGACGGAGATGAGAAATGGAAGTGGTAACGTCGTCTCCATTAGATAGGGACTGACTTTTGAAATATGATATACCAGATAGAATCGAAGATATTGAAATCCTAGGGAGTTTTGATTAGTAAATAGTAAAAATGGCTAGGATGACTCCGACTGAATTAGGAGTCAGAAGGAAAAAATAAATTGTTCACAATGACGTTCCTAAAATCGGCGTGCCGCGGACATGAGCTGATTGTCCAATGATGCGCGGGGCATAAAAATCCTTACCCCTCCAAGATCGAAACTGAAGCTACGCGATTAGCGCCCCTCTTAAGTGGAGCATCAGCAGGCCCGCTTTATTTCAGTACCTAGAATTTATAGGTCCACTTATTTTGCCAGCCTCAATCGGTCAGTTCAGTTACAACTGACTTGGAGCTTCACAGTAAATCATAAACCATCTTTTCTTCTATCCATCAACCATGTATTGTATATTGCGCCTCCTCTCATCTCCATCTTCAGCTCAGCTATAATTTTTACGGACATACCAAAGACAAAAACGGATAACAAATTCAATTTCCGATATTCGTTTTAATCCGTTCGACCTTCACCCAAAACACTATAGATCATCAAGTCATCAATTCACATCAAGCCAGTCGCGTTACTCTAGAGCAAAGTCGCGAATCCATTCAATTCGTTCGTTCGTTTGGTCCGCACCTGGAGCTACCCGGTTACGATCTTTGACCCATTTGATCCTCGAGGTTTCTAAAACCTACCTGCCTGTCACAATCTAGGCTCGACATCGTCACTCCCCAGCTATCACACGCCTACCGCGACGACGATGGCCTCAACATCCCAACCCCAAACCAACGGGGTTCCCTCATCCTCAGCAGCAGGTCCATCGCAACCCTCCCAACCAACCCAGAACACCGCAACAAGCGGCACCACAACCGTCGCAAACACCCAAGCAACCAACGCCTCAACAAATAACACCACCGCACAACCTAACGCAGCCAACGCCGCTACCCAACAAGGCCCCTCCTCACCGACCCCCTCGCACGCCCCGCGCCCACGAGACGCGCGCACAATCGAGCTCCTCCTAACCTCGCAAGGCGTCACATCATTCGACCAGCGCGTGCCTCTCCTCCTCCTCGACTTCGCCTACCGCCACGCGTCGTCCGTCCTAAGCGACGCGATCCACCTCTCCACGGACCCGTACACCTCGCACGCGGGATCCAAACCAAGCGGGTCCTCCGGCGCGGCCCCCAGCGCCCCCGGCGTCACCGACGCCGTCGTCAGCACAAACGCGATAAACCTCGCAATCGCATCACGGCAATCCTTCCAGTTCCGGGGCGGGGCAGGAGGCGCAGCGGGCGGAGGCGGCGCGAGCAAAGACTGGCTGCAGGAGCTGGCGCGGGAGCGGAACAAGGTGGCGCTGCCACGGGTGCTCGCGAATGAATGGGGAGTGAGGCTCCCGAACGAGCGGTTCGTGCTGAGTGGCCAGGGATGGGGGTTGGCGGACCATTGGGAGGGGGATGCTGAGGATAGCGATGATGAGGAGATGGAGGAGGATGGGGTTACGAAAAAGGGAGTGGATGCTGCTGGTGCTGTGGCGGAGGGTGGGGGTTTGGAGGAATTGCTTGGTGATGGGATGGGGGATGAGGAGATGGAGGGGATGGAGTGATTTGGCAGTTATAGGTTGCGGTTACGATTTTCTGGGCAGGTTTGATGATGAGAGTGGGTGTTGGTGCTATGGTGTGGAGTGAGTGAGTACTACGACTATGGATGGAGAATTCGGCGTGTTTAACGACGATATACTTGTTGTATATTTGTCTGTACAAGCGATTTTGGACTGTCTCCCTGCCTATGCGAGGTAAAGAGGTAGGGGAAAGGAAGACGATATTTCTTCCGAACAACTAGTATGAAAGCATTGGAAGTACACAGGAACCCACGTACGAAACGTTTTTGGCTCCTCACAACAAAAACGAATCAATAGATCAACCGAGAATGCAAGGGGAATACGACAAATTTGTTGTATGGTTGTATGTACATCTAGTTATCTATGAACAGGTGGCCTCCTACCTGTCTGGAGAACGCCCACGCTATGCGGCTATGCAGCTTTGGAGACTAAAATACATACACCCGGCTGCGCTCTACGCGAGCAGCATGCAAACTATAACCCAACCGATCTGCCCTAGTACAGTAATGATACCTAATGTGACATGGCCCTCATTCTATGCAATCCATTCTACTCCCGTAGCACCTATTTACCGTAGCGCTTGCTGTTGAAGATAGTCGGTGCCGGAAGGCGGATGTGGCTTCTGATGTTAAATCGAGTATCGCCACGTAGACCGCTCGTCTTATGCAACTTGTTTTACTATTGCCTTATGCTTTTGTTGTTTCTTTCGTTTCCTTATCGATCCCGATATTTTTCATACCGGTGATAAGTTCGGCACCGACATCCCTGACTGTTTCCACAGGCTTGCTGGCGGAACTGGGGATATAAGAAGTAGCAGAGGTGCCCTTCCCGTCCTCTACTTCGTCTCCATCTTCCTCCTCTTCTTCCAGGTCGCCCTCTTCGTCACCTTCTTCATCATCGGCATCGGACCCATCTTCTTCGATCATCATATTCTCTTCCCCTTCGTATTCGCCACTCAGAATGCTGTCGCCGTTATCAGGATCTTCGTACTCTTCGTCTTCATCGCCTCTGGAGAGATAACTGTCACCCATATGCCCCACATCTTCATCCTCTTCTTCATCTACGTCGCTCTCCTCCGCGTCTCCCTCAGACTCGCTAGCCGAGAACTCGTTCAGTTCTAAGGGCATATCTCGCCAATATGTGAAGTCCGTGAAGTCGACGCCGCCGCCCTTGACTAATGTGCTGACAGGAGGAAAGAAGTGGTTTACAACTTCGGTCATGTTGATATAACTGAGCTTCAACTTATTGAGACTCAGCAAGTCTAGCGAGACTTCGGCGTTGGAGTTGATGGTGAAGATACGAGTTCGAGGGACGTCTACTGTTCGGTAAGAAATCTGATCCGTAAGACGGTTACCGAAACCGGCGTAGAAGCAGTGGTTATCAGGGCCGTATAAGCTCCTGATATCTCGTAAGGTTGCCATCTTGAACACGTGCGGTTTGCGTAGATATATCTCTCGTCTCAGCGCGGCCATAGTCCGATCAGGTGACAAGATGGTTGGGCCTTTGGGCAAGCGGTAACCATCTTGGGTAATACCATAGAGATATGCCCGCGTAGTATCGGATTGACCGACTGAGCGACTTGTCAGATACATGATGTTGTACCCATTTTCAACGATATCGCTATAGAGCTTGGCGACACCTGCGTGCGTCCAGTCTCGCCCGATCATGTTCAACACATGACCTAACGCATCCGATTTCGTGATAGTACCATCGATATCAGAAATGACAACGGGCGTGTCATATTTCCAGAGATACATGTACGCTTGGCATGTGGCGCGATTTACAGTGAAGCTCATCGAGTTCTCACCAGGCTTTAGGTTAAGCGCCTTCAGCTGGTCGCTAGTCAGTCGTAGGGTCTTAGCGTAATTCCTGTTCGGATTTCCAACTGAAGATGATCCTGGAGTCGTTGGAGGAGTTTGGATCGAGCTGTGCCCGAAGTCGGATTCGCTTCTTCTATGGGATGGTTCCTGTGTTGACGTTGTTGAATCATCGCTTTGGTATCCGGGGTCCGAGACCGCATCAATCGCTATCGAAGGCGACGGCCTAAGCGCTGCAACCGCACTCTTCATTGCAGCTTCTTTCGCATCCTCACTACTGTAAATCCACAGGTTCCCTTCCTCATCCATACCAAATAACGCGCCAATATCGTAGTCACCCTCAAGTTCTTCCGCTAATATCTTGCGAGCCAAGATTTCAGCCTTTATCGCGTCTTCCTCGCTAGACTTATACCCGGTCATGTCTAACATCAGGTCTCCCGTTTCAGTGACTCGGCTTGGAATGTTGACAGCTTCAAGCTCCTTCGAAAGAGTCAAGGCTCGCTGAATAGCTTCCCGGGGCGCTAAAGGAGGAGGACTTCGCGATCTTTGACTTAGCGATAATGTGCTATCAGGATCGTTTTCATCTTCCTTCGAGTCATCGTTGTCGGTGTATGTTTGAATGGTACTTGGCAAAACTTCGTCGCTGTAAAATGGGCGGGTCGAGGCATTCGGCCAACCCCTCGAAGGCGGTCGGCCACCACCAAGTTCAGGCGATGACGCAAGAGGCTCGATCACTCCTACAATATGGTTAATGATTATTCCAAGGGCATGGTTATGACTTTTAAGGGGACGAACCTGGACGAGGTGTTTGAGACGGAAGGACAGTGGGCTTAGGTCGCGATACAGACATAGATCGTGAGTTTCTAGCATCACCATCTAGCTGTAGGAATTCCGGTTCTTGCAGATCGTTGGATGAGTAGGAACTATCGGGTCCAAGCGGTGGGCTAGAAGCTGGAGAGCTCAGGGGCGAGGTCTGTAGGCTCTGGGGAATCGTATCGTTCGTCTCGAATACGAAGAAGGCCTCGCCCCCTTCGCCCAGTTTCATCGCATAGTTCTGCTTGAGCCCATTCACCCTAAATTCAACCTTCTTCTCATAAGGTCGCAGCAACGAGAACTTGCCAAAGCGGACGTGAAAAGGAGAGCAGCACAAGGTTCCATCTTCATGCTGGACCACGATCACGTCGATTGCTCCGCTTAGGGTGGCCGGATTGATCGAATTCCAGGCGGTGGAAACCGAATCGCTGATATTCCGAACGTACTGCATCTTGGACCAAGGTGGAGGAGGTTTCTTTAATAAAAGGGGCCGTTGGGGTCCTAAGACCGCGCAAAGGGGGTAAATGCTCAAACAATAAACAGAACCAAAGCTATTGATAATCTACGACTATTTCGAGGTAGGTTTGGATGAAAATAATCACACGTATATTCCAACGTATGAAGTTATGAAATTGTATGTCGTCGCGTACAGGTGCTGGTTGGTTAGAAGCCTGCGTAAGATGGTTGAAAGGCTTTGGAACGTTGTTGAGCGAGGGATGACAATTTTGGTGGGATTGAAGGATTCCAAACTCGTCGGTATGATTTCTTGATAGTGACGTAGTTAAGGATCTCAAAATCAATAAAGTCCAAAACTAGACAGATTAGAATACAGCCAACTCTACAACATTATGTTTAACAGAAAGTTGTAAATAACAAAACGAGCGTCAAGAGAGAGGTAAAGCGGTGGAGATATGATTGATGACGAACGTTGTAATCTTCTATTAACCGGGCTGGTGGGACGAGGTATCATAAACGGCGAGCTTGTTGAGGGAAAAAAGCGACTAGGATTACTTATGCGAACAAATTTGATCCCAAAGTCTTTTGGTTTTTGGTTTTTGGAGCATTCAAGGTTCACTACATCAATAATCCTAGTTGCCTAGGTACCCAGGTAGCTGTACCTAGGTAGCTATCGCCCCGAGCACCCAAGCATCCAAGCAAAGCCGCGGATCAATGACACATGCTTCATCTAAAGTGGATCTTCCAGAAGAACGTGCAGCGCGACCACGCGCTAAAGTTTACAGGGCACTGAGGGCAGCAGGTGTTACAGGGTTATATACGCTAAAGTGTGCCTTAAATACAGCATCTGATTGATTCCTTCCGTCAAAAGGCCTAGATTTGCAGCTGACTCGGTCCGCGAAAAAAGATGCACTAGCCGCCATAAGCCGAATTGGTTCCGTATCTCGGTGTGAGAGTTGTAACAATACTATATATATCTTGTAACTAAGAGACTTGGAACTTAGCTGAAGTTTAATATGTATTGATTCTTTTGGAATTGAAGCTATCGCCTACCTAGTAGTTGCTTAGGTTATGTAGTCCGTAAGCACTTTGGAATGAGACACTCCTTATACAAACGAGTATAACAATTTGAATCAGAATCATCTCCGGTAACTCTACAATGATATTTCGGGCTTGGCATAGTTGACAACCAACGCCACACTCAACGATATCGCGTTGGGCAAATCTAGAAAGTAACCCGAACTTATATTATCGTTATGTGTGTATCCGCAATTGGTGAAGAGCTAAATCATGTAAGAAATCTCGATGATACGGCTTCTAGTTCTTATTGGAGACCGAGATCGTAAATGCATCGAAGTGCATATGGATGATATGCATCTGACCTCTCATACGCGGAAGAGAATCCGGGTGACTTTAGTGCAAGATCATTGAGCCTACTAGGCTACTGAGTGTATCATATTCTGCTGGACATTTCATTCTCATATGTCTTCTACCTATGTTCTAGGTAGGTAAGTAAGGGTATATATATGTAACTGCATTTGCGTTGTTTTATCGTTTCGGTTTCATCAATAATCAATAATCAATAATCAATAATCAATATCTAAAAAGAATTACCTCAATAAAAAAGATGTGTTGCCAACCTAGTCCAATAGCTTTACTCCTCTCGTCAATCGAAATCTCAAGGTGCAACGTTAGGCCACCTAAAGCAAACGGCGACACTAGCATTGCATCTGCATGGCAACCTCCATCGTGTCTGCGTGTGCTTCCGCTGATATATCGTAATGGTCCCCGTGGGGTTCGGGTTCGGGAGATGGGCGAAAAACTACCATAAATGGCAATGTTGAGAAGATCGTTGGATTTGGTTCTTTCATGCACTTATGGTTGTGACAAGTAGTGTATGAATCGATCGGGGGGTATCTCAGCTAGTAGGCCTGGTGTATCACGACATATAATAGTCCGTAGTGTTGTCGTATAAGAGAAGCTTGCGTGTTTTACTATCAGTCTACCATAGTATCACAGCAGGCTACAATCCGGATATATCGATGTTGGAGGTATCGGAGCTATGGCTGCACACCATTGCTTAGCGCCAACTCCCACTGCCGGACAGCTTGCTTCAATTGGATAGGGCTCTCGTCAAGCTTCATGGGCAATGTTGTACAACAGTACCGAGATGCTGACTGTGGCATTTCGAGGTGTAGATCCCGCGGCACGCACGGTATAGGACAACGGAGTGCTTATGGAGCATCCACCGCATAGTGTAGCTGATACAGCATTCGAATAGATGCTTCCCACTTATTTGGGTGGTAGTGTCATGACTTCCGAGGTAAGCAATAATAGCATAGCACATATGCATAGGTATTGACCTAGGTATGGGAACTTTGATACTTGAGGTTATCGCGAGAAGAAGTTTGTTACAGGTATACCACCTACATATGCAGAAGGCAATTGCCTATATACAATTACGCAGCTAGCCCTAAATTTATCTATCAGCTATGTTCTTGGGTCCTACGACGGAAGGCACGCATGATAGTACTGGTAATAAGCTTAATTGTTAATTGTTCTTGCCTGCTTTTACTACATACAGCCCTGGAGAATAGCGCAACATCATATCCGTGTGAGGAAATAATGCCAAGGCTGCGCACAGAATAATATACAGGGTACGGGAGCTTAGAGTTCAATAGCCTTGGAATACCCATAGTCACCGCCAAACTAGCGCCGCATGACTGCCTTGACTGCTGTATGTAGCCTCCAGAGGGCTCCATCGTTCCTCCATTATTCCCTTAAAAACCAGTGAAAACCAGCGGAAGGTACCCACAATTTTCAGAAGAGGCAATTCGACGAGAGGAGGAAACATTTTCCAATCTTTTTGTTGTTTTTTCACGTTCCTAATTCCTCATAATTCTCCCCTCCCCCTCTTCCCTCTTGGGCCGAATTTTTTTTCCTTTTCTTTGTCGATAGTCTGGCTTCCCGATCACGGCGATATGTTATGGACCCCATGGCCTTCGTCTGTCCCTACCGTTCTGTTCGTGTGTGCTCTGTTGGCTTGGTGGTTTATTGAGCCTAAGACGACCCATCTGAACTTGATAGTTGTCATCGGGTGTGTCCTCTTTTACTGGGCTGTAGCACCTGAGCTGGCCCAGGCGACACCTTACCAAATCTACCAATTTTCCGTCCACGCCGCCAAGTTATTACGACTCGACGTTTTAGTTCTCTATCATGCCAATATGCTTGTTACCGGTCTAGCTATTACGTGGTATGTATTTTCCCACCCTCTAACCCACAGCCTGCTAGTCGCCATTTCCATTTCCGTTCTTTTTTCTCCATTCCTCTCTAACGCAATCACCACGTTATAGGTTGGCCCACAGAGCCGTCCAGACCTTAAGAAAGTCGGTCAACGAACTCATCGGTGTTCTCGGCGTCGAAGTTCCCGATGCTCCCGATGTGTCGCTAGCAGGAATCCGTGCCGACGCCGCGACCCTGAACTGGACACGTCCACTACCTACTCGACCCGTTGCAAAATTTACCATCCAGGTTAACGGCGTTAATGGTGAGTGAGGGACTATCGGAGTTCGATATGCGCATAGGAAATTAACGGTTATCGCACTATAGTTGGTGATTCTGCAAATCAAGAGACAGCTATTACCGTAACGGGCCTGAAACCCAACCACTTTTACAACGTTCGAGTTATTGCCGTAGGATATAACAACTTCCAGGCAGGCAGCCGCGTTATACGTCTTCGAACATACGCGAGAGATGGTCGCCCTCAGCTTGGAGACGGTCGTCTACCGTCTAATTTTGTTCCAGAGGAACAGCAACTCGCCATGCCTAACGACCATGCTGATGAAGATGGAGGACCGAGAATCGCAGCTGCTAGCGTAGAGGCCGCGTCTATCCCCGACAATCCCAGCGTCACGCGTGAGGCTAGCTCAAGCAATTTATCCAACGCGAGGCGGAATACTCTTACGCGAAAACATTCACCTTCTACGACAAGTATAGATCAGTCTGTCAAGGAGGCTCTCAGCAAAAACTCGGAGGAATCATTGGAGGAACTAGGGAAACGATTCGAGAGTATCCGGAAGGAGATTGACGAAACACAAAGCCAAATTGCCAAGGATGAGAAAGAGCATAAGGAATTGGTGGATGAGTTGGGAGGAGAAAAAAAGATGAAGAGACGTATACAGAAAGAGAAAGATGATATGACAGAAAAGTTGAAGAGAGAAGTGGGATCCACAGAGAGAGCCATGAGGAGCGCACAGCAACGAAAAGCCCAGAAAGAAAAGTTACTCAGGGACAAGCAGGCTGAAAGACAAAAGCTTCATGACGACATAGCAAAATGGGAAAAAGATATGGCGTCCATGGTTAAGCGCCAGGCCGGATTCGAAAAGGAAATGAACTCTTGCCAAAAGGACGCCGACGGTCGAGCTGAGGAGTTACGCGCTGAGATTACTCAGGCGCAGGCAAGCCTCGCCCAGGAAGAAGCGGATCTCAAAGAAAAGAGCAAGGAACTCAAGGAAGCCGAGGAGCAGAGAAAAAGACTTCCCGGTGGAGAGGAGAGCGAAGAATGGCGCGAGACAGATCGTCAAATTAAAAGAGAATGGGAGATCAGGGCGAGGGATCTGCAGCGGCGACTCTTTTCTGCAAATAGGAAGTTGCGGATGGTCAGCGACTACGAGACTGTGTTGCAGACTCAGTTGGCGGCAGCACAGCAAGCCGGCCTTCCTTTTATGTACAACCAGGCAAACTCTTCGGGGGTTGACTTCGATCTCGGAACGCAGAACCAACTCAAGCGACGAAGCCGGAACAGCAATTCACTTTCTAACGTAGCCATCCCTTCTCCCGTTCAGTCGTTTTCGATGATTGAACGACCATACGGACCTTCGGCAACATTTGGACCATCTCGTCCTCCTACCATCCCACCAGGATTTGCCCAGGGTCCCTATCTAGAACACAACCCCGACTTTCATGACCTACTAGAAGATGACGGCATGCGACATCTCAGCGCTGCTGCACCGCTTAGTCCTACCGCGACATCTCTCTTACCTGCGGGAATGCTTGATGACCTCATAGACGACGAGCCCCCCAGTCCCGGCTCTCGACCCAGTCGTCATAACACCTTCGGCTCACCATTTGCGCCCGAGAACGACCCGCAATCGCCAGCGTCTTCGGCTCGGTCACTTAATATCTTATCCAGCCCTCACGGCTCTTCTCACCATTTGCCTTTTTCTCAATATACTGGTGAGAACAGTGAGCGTCGGTCCCTGAAGGGACTCAGGGGTGACCTTAACCCCACATCGTCTCCCATCGCCCCTCCAACTCAAGCTACGAACAGACGAACATTCTTACCATGGCTTCATCGCGGACCCAAGCAGGCAGACGAGCCGCCTCCTTTAGGCACATTGAAGGCCGGCCAGACTCAATCTTTGCCTCGGCAGGCGGAGGATGGAGACGCTAGTCCGAGCAAGCGGCGAATTAGTTTCTCCTCTGGTTGGAATATGTTCAACCGGAACTCCACGGGCCCAGACCTCGCGGAGATTAGCAGTCCCAATGCACGAGGCATACCTTCGCGCAGAATAGGTCTCGCCACAAACACTAACAGTATGGGAAGCAACATATTCTCCGAGCGTGATCCAAGCAGCCCAAGGCCTCTGTCTATTGCATCTTCCGAATTACCTCGTCCATCTACTGATAGTAGTTCCATCTGGGGCCGAGCTCCGCAACCTAATCGACTTTGGTCGAGAGAAGACAATCCTTGGGCCTCCCAAAATCCATCCAGAAGACCTTCCCTCCATGGATCACCTTCGGCGCTGAAGACTACTCTAGCCGATGCCGACGATGAAATACTAGACGACTCCGAATTGCTACACGCATCGCCTAGCCAAGTAGGAGTTATTGGAACCAAACCCTCATCCAGGACGCTTAGCCAACGCCTCAATCCTGCTGCGCCTACTTTTATGGCAATGACAGGGTTATTCCGTGCTAGGCCTGATAAGGAGAGGGAGAAGGAGACGGATAAAGAACATAAAGACCTGAAGGAAAAATCCAAGGCTAAATCTAAGGATAAAGAGCTAGCTAAGGAGAAGAAACCGCGTATTTCCTTATCGGATGTGTCTGAGGCTGCGGCTCCATCTATAGATGAGTCGCCATCAGAGCCTCGCATATCTCGCGATATTTATTCCGTCGGCACACCATCCATCACGGAATCGCGCGAATCACTCACTTTAGAAGACACTCTTTCTAACACACCTTCTGATCAAGCGGTCGGACCCGGAAGCAAGGACCAAGAAAGTGGATTTAGGAAACTCCTACGAAAAGGGAGTTCCTCAAAGTTCAGCTTCACTTCGGTTAGAGGACTAGGGGGAAAGAAAGGACCCAGCAGCGTTACCAACTCGGATAAGAACGCATCCGTTGAGCGTAGCAGCTTTGACGAATACGCCGAGGACAGTGGTAGCGGTGGTGTTGGACTTGCCCCTGGTCGCAGCTACGACAGCCTCCACGGCAGTCCCTCTTTGGGACCCACAAGTGCAAACAGGCATGTTAAGGACAAATCTGTGAGCTGGGGTTCTAGATTTAGCATGAAGAAAAAGCCAGGGAAAGAGAAGGAGAGTTTGGATCTAGAGAGAGATGAATTGGGTCCGAACACGCCTCTGGCTGAGGAGAAGCCCTAACCTAGAATTAACTAACTACGTATGTAGAAATAGTGTTAGGAGCGACATCGAGGACGAAGCCGTTCTTGACAAAAGCAATATGATGACTTATCCGCGTTGAAGTTACTTTTATCTTGAAACTACGTGAATACATGTTTGTAGGTGACGAAGTTGGTTTGCTTAGTCACGCAGTATCTGCAATAATTACATAATCCGCTTATGTCAATTTCTAGGTAGTGGACTTGGCAAGCGGTGAAAATGGGCAAAACCGCTCAATACAATTGTAAAGCTGCAGAGCTTCGACCGATCAGACCACCGATTATAACCCCCATTAAACTAACTTCAATTTGCGACGAGGGGCTCTCAACACTTGACACATGGAGATATTATAGTACCGGAACGACCATATACACAATTTGTCATATCCTCCGACCTTTCCGACCCACGAACGGCCGAGAACCAACGATCCATGGCCGCAATGGCAGCTCAACAACCTCCGATAGCCTCCGGCGGCAGCAGTAGCACTACAAGAGATAATGGAGGGTTACCGATGCCTTCGCGGAACCCTTTACCGCTGTCGGCAAGTCAGGAGGCGCAGGTTCGAGAGGTGTTCAATGCGCGAGTGAGGCAGTTATGCTCGGATGAGATCAAAGGTTTGCCGCCCTTCTGTTCTCACACACAACCCCTCTCTCGCCTTCTATCTACATAATTACCCACTACCCTACCTCCATTCTCCCTTCTCAACATAGACCTTCATACCCCCAACTCCCTCTTCCATACACCCAACAACAACAGTCATCACAAAGCAAAAAAACGCTAACCCACTACCCCAGCCTTCGCAGACTGCGCGCGCAACCGCACGATCACGATCCCGTTCGCGTGCCGGGAGTCCTCGCGGCGGATGAACGGGTGCATGTTAGCGCACGCGACGCCCGAGGAACACGACCGCGCGCGCGAGCAATGGTTCGCGCAGCGCCAGCAACGGGCGAAAGAGCGGGAAGTCAAGGAACGCAGGAAGTTGGAGCAGGAGGCTTTCCATCGCGAGTGGTGGGGTTTGCCGGCGAAAGACCCCGAGGATGTCAAGAGGGAGCTGGAGAAGTTGGGTAAGGCGGAGAGGATTGGGGGGTTGAGTCCGAGGGAGAGGGAGGGGAGACGGTGACGGGGGGTGAGTAAGGTGGAGGGGGGACGGGTGTGTTGTGTGTGGGATGCATATTTGGGCGTTTACTGGCGGCAAATTATTGTACAAAGTTTGGGATTCAGGTTCTGATGCACTTCTCCACGTCGTGTGTATATCACAAAAAGGAGTCGTAGGGGTTGTTCGTCTACGACATAATCATGACAAGAATTCCATGAATAGCGTGATACGGGTACATGAGTAACGGTTTCTGTTACGGTAGAGTGTAGTTGAGTTTACGACACCACGTATGAATGTAACATAATACGAGATGACTTTGTTCGATTCTCTCGTCTAAGTCATGAAATCCACCACTCTTGCGAAATCACCATTTAGTCTTTTCTAATGTGTTTTTATCTACACATGGTATCCAATAACGCCGACCTTTTCTCCCCAACAGCCACGTCCCTTATCTCAGCTCATGACTCCCGATATTCCTAATTCAACGCCTCCTTGGGCAAGGTAGCCACCTTCTCCTGGAACAACTTGTAGGCACCGGCCCATACCGGGTTATTCTGCCAGTCGTTGAGCTTGAGTAGGTAGGGTAGTAGGTCATTGCTGAAGGACTCTGAAGACTCTCTAGGGAGAAGACTGGGCAGATGGTCGATGCTGATGACACTCAGGGGTGGGTTTTCTAGGCCTTCTACGGGTACTGTGGGGTTGCTGAATGTTGTCGCGACAGTGTAGATAGGGACTGGAAATCATGTTAGAATTTAGTTCTTCTATAAACAAGGCAAATGCCCGGAAGAGGTTACTCACCAGGGTTGAAGGGGTTAGTGGTATCAGCTGAAACATCGCATACAACGCTCAAGTTGCGTCCGGGCTCCTTAAGCGAATCTATATTGACGAAATGGGGAATCTTAGATGACAGGTAAATGCAGTTAACGAAGATATCGCTCTCGGCGATCTCTTTGAAGGGGCCGCCCTTAGCCGTCTCCGCCATATCCCACTTGAGGATCTGCTCGGTGGGTAGACCCGCCTTGAGGCACAGATCAACAGCGCCGCGACCGCATCGGCCTAGAGCACCAATTACGATAACGCGGGGTTGTCGCCCGGCCTTGGCTTGGCCAGCTTCAAGGTCCTTCTTAACATCCGCAATCAGCGCATCCTCGTTGGGGTAGCTCTCGACGCCCGGTAGGGGCTCGCCCGGGTGTGTCAGTTGCCAGGCCCAGTTCTTGAGCGCCAGTGCACTACCACTGAAGCCGGCCTGGTATCCGAATGCTGCGACTCGGCGCCCGGAGTCAGGCTCCTGTAGGAATTCGAGGTCGAGGAGAGTGCCGCCGCCTCGAGGGAACCGGGCTAGAACGGTATCCCAGCCGCCTTGGCCCTTGTAGCAATGGGCGAATTGGACGTGTACGTGCTTCAAGGGAACTATTCAATTGCCCAACAGTTTAACTTTCACATATCTCTTCGAGTGGGAGAGCGCAAGGACAGTTTATTAAAGTAACTCACAAGTCTCTTCCGGCAATTCCTTGAGTCCGACAATTATGTGTTCCTTGGGAGCATCACGCCAGCTTCCAGTAGGAACTAATGTAGCGCCTACTGTGGTGAATTCCTCATCGTCAAAGATACGAACGGGGCTCTTCTCGACATTGACGACGTAGCCAGCATCGATCAATGCCTTAGTTGTGGTGGGGGTGAGCGCTGAACGGTGCTCGAGGGGCTTGTCCTCAGAACGCAAGTGCAGAATCGTAGGAGCCATTTTGAAATTTCGAACGAAAGAGAAAAATTTGGAAACTCTTGAAGATATTTGACTGGGACTGGGAACTCTTCCACCCAATGTAATTCTGTTCATATGTTGTAAAGAGGGCGTCTTGGGGTCGCTATTTTATGGAGGGGCAGAATATCGAGACCCTTTTTTTCCGATAAATGATAAAGCTTACAGGATGATTCACAATTCAAAATTTCACCGCCGATGTCGCCTATCACCCACTGTAATGTGCGCTAACCCTAAACAAGATTAGGTCCCGGAGATCTGGGTAGGGGGGTAGAACTCTAGTTTCAGGGGCCTCCTATTCGTTATTATATAACCAAATTCAACATCAATTGACCTAACAATCATACAATCTACCTTCTTACTCTTTTGCTATCCTCCGGCAAACTGTTTTCACTTTCCATTACTTCATTCTGAAATCATAATATTATTTTAAAGTTAGGCTTTTTTAGAAGCCTTGTTATGACAATATGCACATGTTCAAACCAAGAAACAAGCACAGCTTCATATATGCAGGTAAGTTTAGTTAGTTCTTTATAGAAATACACAAGGTATGTTTGAATATCAGCATTCCGATAGCATCGATGTGAATCTTAAAAGATATCTCGATTACATATGGATGCCATATCTGAGTGTTTCTATTCCAGTATGAAATCAAATCCACCGTAGTACGAAGGTTCGGGCCAAAAGTTTGGACCATCAGCCACGTCCCATGCCCAGTGCATGATCAAATAAGGAGTTATTTCATACTGTATTAGTTACAAGCTAAAGCCGAAACCTGGTAGTGATCCGTCCGCTAAATTCTAGTGGATAACCACTATAATCTAAGCATATTCCAGGGGCTTAGCCACTGGAGAGAAAACGCCACACGGTGAGAGGATATTCCAAATTACGCGGTTTTGGGCCATCAGAATCATCTGCTCATGGTCCAAACTTTTGGCCCGAACCTTCGTGGTCCTGCTACACATCAAAACTTGCTTGTCGTCAAAATACTTAGATAAAAATATTAGCTCTATCATGCCGCTACAATAGAATGATTAGTTTCTACTTTGAGCCTTTTGTTCCATATGAATATCCAACGTGGAACACTGGTATCATGGTGTACCACGATACAGTTAACATACAGTAGGTAAGATCCATTAGCGGTCGTGTCATGAACTCGACAGTATCAATCTAGAAAATGACTTCCCATATCAACTACCCATGTATCCTAAAGGTCGAATAAAACACGAATCATTGTGTAAAATATTACTAAATTCCACTGCCAGGAAGAGTTCATCGTTACCACACAAGATCATGCCACTGAAAATATTCCGAAACACGTAGCTTCTGGTACCACCCATCGCGTCATGGTATGAACGTTATAACTGGCGTATTGAAATGTTGAGCAACCATGCTTACCTGGTAGATACCCTCACATAGGTAAGCCATGACAATAGGCCGACCATGAATGACTACCTACCTACTATCAAGATCTTCCATCATATCTGACAATGAAATCTACACCACGAGATTACGGTAAACCCTTTTTATTGTATGATTTCTGACTAGATGGCTATCTATTGTGAGTATACTATGAGGCATCACTTGTAACAAGAGAAGAATATTTAAACAGCTCTGAGCTCCTGAGAAGGTCTTCAATTTCTTCACACTGACATCTTCAACTGACAACCAAAGAACAAACAGTAACAGAACAAGAATACCAAGATCTCAATTCTCTCAATGTCATCAACTGGCAATACCCAAACCACCAAATCGTCATCCTCGGCCGAGAAACCCGAGAGTTCCAAAGACTCTGATACCCCCGGCAGCAGCGGTGGATACTACAAGTTCCGCTGCAAGTACTTCTTGACCCACAACTGCAACAACTGGGTCTACGTTAACGGATCTCCTTGCGCCAACTGCTGTGTAAGACTACATCCACCGATATTCTAATAGGCCTCTTTTGGCCGAGAGGTAGCTAATGCTTTCGTATAGGCAGAGGGGCGTGATCAAGCAGACAAATAATCAACGAAGGAGGTCCCTGACAAAAGCAAGAAGATAAGATGCCTTGCAATTCTGACAAAAGTCCGAAGGAGGACGAAAAACCCCAGGATGACTATCCCATAAGCGAGTCACCGGCAGAGGACGATAAACCGCACGGAGAGATCGTTCAGTGTGAGAAGTGCCACTGCTGGGTTGATGATCGGCCACACACGTGCAAGCCGGAGGACAAGGACAAGTATGCGAAGGATGGAAAATGAGTTAGGCTTTTCCAGTGTGGTCCTTGAGTCGAAGTAGGTGCTTCATAGTAATGAAACAATATTAATTTTTCGTTTAAGGCGTACTGCTTGTGTGAAGAAACTGCCACAGTGATCTAGTAAATTGAGTTATATTACTTTTCCACAAAAGATAGATCTCAAGAAAGCTGTCCCCAATTTATATCTATAGAATGTCCACTTGTACGATGTATATTAGGGGTAAAATGGCCAACGCCAAAGTCATACGCAGCTGTTAGCTGTTGACATTAATACAGCACAGACGAACACAATATCATATACGTATGTAGTATACAACTACGCTGTCCTTAATGATACATCACACATCTTTTGAACTTATTATGCATCTAGTGAGTATAACCAGGATGGATTCGTACTCACTAGACATGTAAGGGCAGCGTTTTCAAACACGATATTCTACGAAATTCTCTCTTACAATGAGACGCAGTTTGTAATAGCGAAAATAGGGGTTCCGAATCGATATTACGCTAGGAAATTATCAACTCAGTATATTTTACCGGATTTTGCCGTCTTTAGAACGTCTCAGTCCATATCAGACTGCGCGATCCATCGTAAGCCAGGCATAAAAATGCGTCATAATATACCTTGCCTGGCTGTATCGGGGCCATAGTTGGCTGAACCATACTCTGTGGCCTGATTTCACATTCAGGTTATCGAGAGGTTCGTAGAGATTATAATCGTCCCTAATAGAGGGATGTGGAGAATTAAGGCTGGATGCATTTCTACATCCATGGAAAGCCTTGAAATCCTCCAAGAAAGAGATGATCCTCTGACATATACGGAAATGCCGTTCTAGAGTTGGAGTTTTGATGAAAACTGGATCGATTAATAGTGAACGATTGTGGAATATGGTCAAAATGTCCGAAGAAATGTTGAGAAGGAAGCAATTATCTATCACCTACCTAGTGCGTACATAGTACTTATATGAATGTCTCACTTTGCAGCCTTTCGGGGTAGCAGCGCATGCAAAACCCCTGTATCCGATTGGAGGAGAGATATGGTAGACTCAACCATTCTATATATGGAATTCGCTTAGGCACGCAGCCATACCCATACCGCACCAACATACATAAATCGAAAAATAAGCGTGAAGGTGCCGCCCTTATTGCGCATTCTACGTCAGCTAAATTTAATATAATGATGAAGTGTTATTAGGTAGAATACGAATGCATCTAAATCTAGAGTCATTACCTACCTAATTGATTTTGCTAGCTATTTTATATCAAGTTTACAGAATGAACGATGGAACCATCAGCAATTAACTGGAATACAATGTCGTTGGTTTTCTCCTAGCCTTGGTGCGGACAATAGTATAAAATCATACCCCGGTCTAAATGGAAAAGGGGGTAGATGCTGGTTGCTTAGTCAGCCAATAGTCACTTCGAACGGCTTGCTAGTTCCACATGGAACGGCATCGATAATATCTAAACTACTTCCTATTCTACATACAATTATTAGGGTGAATGAGTGTTATTTTACATTTTTCTTCACGACGGCTACGATAAGTTGATCCCTTTGTATGTACGCTTTCTACTTTTCCTCATTAGGGGTGACGCGAATAGGGGCAGTACAGTTATCAACATCCAGACCCCCAGAAACAGAATCCAACATACGCTCTAGGAACTTCCTAATATATCCTGAATCATGATATCTTGTGTCGAATACTCCGGAAAGCTCGATCCTTCCATTCCAAGTGCCAAGAAAGATCGCCACTCCGGCTCCGATAGGTTCGCTAGCGGCCCAGACATTCGTAAGCTCAAAAGGCCCATGAGACGCTGACACTATCGAGCCTATGTTTCCGAGCGAAGAAATGACAGCGGGGCAGAAAGGGGGGTCTGACACTATATGGGGGTCCGAACCGGGCGGTGTTGTGAGACTTTTAAACATCAAAGGAGACACGGCGATCTGTTCATCTTGAGAAGATGTTGGCCGGACTGTCCTGAAATAGTCTCGGACCTGGGTCGCAACTTGCGACAATTCATTTATCTGACCGTCATCCTTTCCGTCGATTGGGGGTCCCGGTACAACCAAGTCTATGCCCAATGCCTGTGCTGAGACAGTGTGGTAGGGGGCGGCCGCATGCTCACGGGTATTGTATGGGGCGCGGCAGTAAGGGCGTAAATTGATCATACTATGGTTTACATAGCGAACCGCATACGACTCCTCTTTCGGTGGTTGCAATTCGGATAGCGCCATTGCCAAAGCCGCTATGAAAACATGAGTTACGCTGGTTCCAGAGGCAATCGCTTTGCACTTGAGAATGATCTGGTCTGTGACGGATTCAGGAACAATAATCGAAAAACGATGTCTTTTTCCAGATGAAGAGCTAGTACCGGAACTTGGAGGCAGGCTAAGGAGGCCAGGATGCGTGTAGATCGACCCGTTTCGAGTTTGTATATCGGTGAAGCTCTTCGCTGGAGCTTCAGATGAGGGTTCCGGAACCATCGCAGCGAGACGTAAACATGGAGAAAGTCTGGCATGCTCACCACCCCATATCGGCAACACATACTGATGGCCTTGCTCATAGGCGAGAGCTGCATGACCAAATAGTTGATCGACTAGTTGGAGAATACCAACACCGTCTGTAATATCATGTGGACATTGTAAAAAGATGGTCGGATGATACTTATCCTTGTTCTCGGAGGTGACGACGAGGAGTCTTGAGCCCTCAGAAGATCGCTCTTGATCGTTGAACCATTCGAGGGGGTCTTTGTCGGTATGTATATCCAGAAACGTAGAATTCAGCCAGCTGACACGTTCATCCACATCCCTAAATGTCGAGTATACCCTCTTACATATTCCACTTGCCTCATCCTGCTCGATATAAGAACGCAATGTCGGATGTTCGTAGCAGAGGACCTCCCATGCTTTCAGTAGGGCATCACGGACTAGAGTCCATTCCCCGTTCCCTTTACCGTCCTTTCCGTCGGTCATTCTCGTATCAGGAGACTTGGTCACGAAGGATGCGTAACCAAAAATGGGATAATAGGCATGATCATTCCTCTTCATCCGAGTATAGAATGTCTCACACTCGTCAATTTCTCGTTCCCATCTTCCAATCTCGGACCTCTTCCACTCAAATCGAGAGGGTTGATCATTCTGGGAAGCCATTGACGAAGTAGAAGAAAATGTTTCGGTCTAACGTGTCGGTGTTGATGAACTGGGCGAGCGAGTAAATTTGAATATGCTAGAGTATGCTAGATCGGTAGAAAAGAAACAAGAAAATGAAAGGCATATTTACGCGTCAAAATCAAGCCTGCATGTCCATATATAACATACCCCTGACACGTGTATATACGCGTAGGCACGTGATAGGTTCCAGGCTGCCATCCTACCCACCCCTGAACGCATCCTGGCTCCTCGTTCCATACATAACTGCATATTTTCATGTCCCGGGATATCGACCTCCGTAATTGAATTATGAAAGCTCCCCCCTTTTTCATAAATCTGTCCCAAGATAGGAGAACCCCTTTTTTGACCAGACCATATTCCAACATGAATCATATATCGTATATCGCGATCCACTCCGAGGTGACGTATATATCTAAAACCCTTTAAATAATAACATAGATTTTCTGTTAGGAAGATACCATCTAGGTTAGACATATATCGGTCTTAGCAACCCAAATAGTTGGTGGATTTTATAGGAAATTTTCTTTTCGTGTCTTTTGGACAAGACCTTCGACAGGAAGTCAGATTCGGTTCTGTGTAGACTTTCAGGTATTTATGTCAGTTTCTGGTCGAATAGGACCGTAATCTTAGCCTATGATCAGTTAATATTATTTATAGTAGAGCAGAGTGGTGTTAAACAACGGACTAACTAGTAGGTTCGTTAAGCATATGGTCAATCTTTTCCAACTTTTTCTTCATGCGCTCTGAGCTGTCTTTTATAGCTATATCACAATTGGAACATTGGTCTGGTAGCATAATGTTCCTATTTCCGTCATGTGATGGTTCTTGTACGTAGTCGTCTAGACGGGAATGAATCGGTTCATTTGAAGAGAGGAGGAGACGTTGAGGTGCATCTGGTTGGTGTACATTTGGTTTCCTAAGGCATAGCACGTTAGGCTGATACATTCAAGTCTCAATAGGATGAATGAATTGGCATTTAAATCACTTACTGGGTATTATCCGCGTCAGTTTTCTGGTTTGTAGAAGACATGATATTCAATTGATGGAAAAATATTAAATTTCGAGAGAAGGGAATATGCTTTGAATCTTTTCGATGAGAGATGAATACAGACAGGAAAGTGCTGACCTTTTATATTATAGACGCCGGCGACTCATCCGTCTTCTTTATTTCCCTTCACTAACGCCCCCTTGTAATCTAGTACAATAGATACGTGAGGCTCTGTTGAATAGAAGTCATGAGGCTCGTGCGGTGCTAGGTACCGGGATAACTTATGATTACTATAATATCAACAACCCCCATGATAATACCATCGAATGATGATCGACGATCAACGATCAAGGTAAAAGCACTCTATCAAACTTTCAGGGGGAAGCTGACGATTTGTGACAGATTAAAAGGTAAGGAAGTTCTGTCTGCAAAAAAAGACAGAGGCAATCTTATGACAGGCTTTTAGAGGATTGATACACACGTATTACGCCGGATATTTTGTGAATTTCTGAGATATTAGTATAATGGAGGTAATGTTCAACATCATCAAGTACAGAGTACCAACAGCGTGGAAAATTCCCGACCCACACGAAAAAGGGACAGGAGTCCGAGATCGCCCTGTGACTACTAGGTAGGTACCTAGTATGCATGCTTAAATCTATCCTCGGGAAGCCTTGCTGACATACATATATTGTTTCTGTTATTAGCTAGGTAGGGAGCTTCTTTGAAATGTCGGGTGAAGTACCTACCTAGGCTAGCGAATCTCTACGGCGTAGAACTTTGAATTGTGGCAGTACGATGACGTTTCAGCTTACGTCGAATCCCGTGAAAGGCTTCTGCATCTTAGCGGACCCGACATCCATCCATGCCTGTACGTGCAGATAGTCAATCTTACAGCTGACTCGGTGTGGAGGGTCTTCAGGGTACATTTGTTATTCACCTCGTCTGTATGGTCAGTTGGAGAGAGTTTGCAGCTGCCCAATTGAATTACTAGTATAACTACAATCAACTATTCGCCATTCTAATAGCCACAGTTATACTTGTTTAGCCACTCGTTCAAATTTCAGCTATTCCCCTGGTTACTTAATCTACCGATTCCTTACCTACATAGTATTTAGTATGTACCTATCAGTGGCATTAGGATAGGTACTCACCTACTAAGCAGGCAGGTAGCAATGGATATTGCCTTGGGATGCTATGCAGTTACTTTGTAGTTTCAGGTAAAAAGAACCCGGAGTAGAAAGTAATAAGCTACCTATTTGTTTTCTAGTTTATAGCCATTTCTAAAAAGAGCCGCCCCCGAAATGATGTTCAACGCTTCGAATAGAGGAAATATAATATGATTTTAGCTATAACACGATATACTAGAATGCTACACAGCAGATCTAATTGAAGAACCGCAGGGATTTTGCTGGCGTTTGCGACAAGTCTCATCCGTTCCCCAATATTGAACTCCAGGTCTACTATATTTCGGTATGACTAGAACCAGAAATGAGCAAGTATGGTTCCTAGATTAGCATTGGCTTAGATTCGTACCGGGATATTTGTATTTCATCATTTCCATGAAGGAGGATAACCACGTGTCCATTATAATAAGATCATAAGCGCTTCTAGACATCTTGTGTAACCAACGAAAGATTATCTTCTTAATTGGAAGATATCTACAGACTCCTTACGAGAGATACAGAGAACTCAACTGATTATTCGGGAAGGATTCGCCGAAATGAATAAGCCATAAAGTCCTCGACCGATTGGAAGAAGTCTGTAAACAACCACAACCAATCAAGGAGATATCCGCAAAGGTTCGCGGACTGGAGTGGGTCTCTCGGATATCCACTTGCCTGATACGGCAGTTCTCCTAGAAGAATTCCCGTAAATAAACTCCGTAAGTATATCCTAATCGGGGTAGAGATAAATGAAGAGATACTCAAGAAAGGTATGTCGTACATGCCCGAGACGACGGACATGGAGGCGGACCGGCGATGAGGAAGCTTATAGCAATCCTGTGACTGCCAAGGTATACAACTACCTGATACCCTACATATTAGGCGGAAAGGCAATAGGAATGAGGGGGTAAATCATAGAAATTGCGGTGAGTGTCAAATAGAGGACTAACGCCATCTTCCGGGATATAAACCAATTATCTTTTCAAAATCGCTTCACCAAATCGACGATGGCACCCTCTAGTAGTATTCTAGGACTTGTGTTCTAGACAAAAATTAATTCTAGCCAGTGAGACAACGTAAGACGTATGAGCTGAAGTCAGGGTTATCCAAAAAGTGGCAACTTTCTTAACAGAATCATCATCCTCGACTTTTCTTCTATTCAATCCACACATTCTAGGTATGGAATATCTATTCCATTCCTTTCTTAGAGAACTCACATTGTTATTACCTACCAGATTGGGCTACCAGCCCTATAAACATATATTTAGCATTAAGTCGGTGAGAGTTGTTGAGGATGTAACTGTGAATTAATGAAGCCCCAACAGCTATCTTCCGTAGACGCACGGCGTGGTTCGGGACCGGATATGGAGACATTAGATTCGGAGGAATGTTTACCTTAAGCTATGACGAGAATATTTATTTGACTTGAAGTCTCGTAAAGGAAGGTGCTAGAAAATATGTTACAAGGAATGGAGGCTAACCTTTATTTAAAAAGCGTCTGTTGTGAAACGGCTTTAGCAAGCAGGAAAATAGCGACATTTTTACTCGAGAACCCTACCAAAGCTACCTACACAGAAGTCTTAAGAATAAGGCTGTAATCACCTCCACACACTGTTCAAACATATTGAAAATATTGAAGATAAATATGTACAAACACACGATATACTTAGGTCCAAATGATCCTGATAACTCCACATTCAAAATCCAAGAGTACATACTTATTACACTTCCAACATGGCTTTAAAAGTATGAATGAAAACAAAGACTATTGGTAAACTTGGAAATGATAAGGTACGTTGTCATTAGGTTCTTCATAGTTATGTATTCAGTTCCAGAAAAGTGTCAGTAAGCAAATAACGTTGCTGGTCTGCGTGACACTGCATATCAATGCTTTTTCTTAACTTGATAAGTTTAGGTGAGAAGTTGTGGGTGGCGTTTGTGGCACAACCATATCCATATGGCTGTTGGTAGTAGAACTGTATAGTGTATATAAATACTATAAATGGGGTGCGGGACTACGAGAAAGATGATGGAAGGCACTAAATAGATTGAAGCCCTGGGGGAAATGTGATTGCCCGGAAGGTTGCACGAACACAAATTTGGTTTGTGTAACACATCTGCTGTGGGGCTTTGTGTGTGGGGGCGGTACGGTTCTCTATGGGTCCCAGTCTCTAAGTCGTTTCGGCCAGCAGTTGTGTTACCTTCAGAATAAATATAGTTTAATAGCCTAAACGGCTTTCATTAGTTTCAACGGGATTCATCATTGGAAAATTCCTAATTCCTGAATAGACGTTAAACTTACGATACGCATATATTAACCGTAGGTCACGAGCTTGGTAGCAGATTACGTCACTCAGGTAAGGACACGGACCTAGACCTAGCCCAACATTGAAAATGTTCAGCCGCTAAAGTGGGTCTTTACCTGGGATGATTGATGTATCTGGGTACTAAGGAAACTACCCAATCATATCATTAGGTTCAAGCTAAGACATTTAAGTGCCGGCAGGCTCGACTGACGACATTCTCATCCGAATCAACTTCCAAAGCGCGACCTTTGTTCAATTTATCATTCTTCCTCTTCTAAACACTTTAATCGTCCCAATTTCTACGGACCATATCACGTAATAATGCCTCCAGCCCCTAGCCAGAAGGGTACTGGCAAGAAAAATGCGAATGCCATAGGTAAGCGCAGTCGCAACACTACACCTATGTCCATCGGACCATCTAGTGCGAATATACCACCTGTCGATATTATCGAGACCGAGTTCCTAGATCTTAGATTAGAATCGGTTCGCAGTATAAACTACGACGATCTAGTTGATTCAACCGCATCTAATGCCGTAATCCCCGATTCCAAAAGTCTCGACGGTCTAATCACTCGACTCGGAAAATTGAATGAAATAATTGAACGGCGCGGGACATGGTGCGATAAAGGAATGCGCCTTGTAGCTGGACATAGAAAGGCTCATTTCGATGAAATGGCATCTACTAGTAGAAGGGATGATACACGTAAAGATGGTGAGGAAGAGACCGAGAGAAGAGCGAACAAGAAAAAGAGAAAAGCGAATGATAGTCTCGCACCCGGAGACGCCCATACTGGTAGGCAGTACCCGTCATCTTGCTCTTTACCTTCCTCGTTACCTTTTTCTTTACTTTTGGAATTACAATAGCGCATAACACCTCATTGCCACCAAAACGCTGTTGCATAGCACCTAAGGTCCAAGACGCTGCTTGGTAGCTACCTTCTATTACAACTGTAACCCACAGTCATACATATGGAATTTTGTCGCATTCATTTTCTTAACCTAGATCTTTACCTTCCACCTTCAATACCCACGAAGGTCACCCCATACTAAAACATTCTTCCCAGAACGATCATCTCCCTTGCGCGATCATAGCAAGACTCGAAAAGCATCTCGAGACAACGATTCGGCGAGCTCTTCTTTATCGCCTGTCGCGCCTGCAACACCCGGCGCAATGGAGGTAGACGATAAGGCCAAGCTGGATCACAGGGCTGATGAAGATTCCGAATCCGAAGATGAAGGTGCTCCTCCCCGTCGTGAGGCTCCTCAAATCCAGACCTTTGGCGAAGATCCCTCCACGTTCCCCGATCCTACCGTTTACGAGATTCGTCCAACAGAGCCTGGCATGACTGTGGATGAGCTGAAGGAGCTCTACTCGGTTGCGGTATTCCCCAAATCCGACCTCGCCGAGATGATTGCTGGTGATCCGCCGGACAAGGACTTTAGTAGTGCCAAGCCCTCGAATCAGATAAGCTTTAGCACTTTCTCGACCTACGTCGAACCCTACTTCCGCCAGTTCTCTGAAGAGGACCTCGCCTTCCTACGAGAACGTGGCGACCGACTCACTCCCTTCGTTATGCCCAAGCGAGGCAAGAAGCATTACACCGAAACATGGGCGGAAGAGGATGGTGCCATGGCGATTGATTCTACGCCGCCTGGAAGAGATAAGCTCGCTTCCAATCAGGCTCGTGGTACCATCGACAATATGGACGATGATGTCGCAGAGACGGACAAGCTATCGGTTGGTCCTGTGTTGTCGCGGCTACTTCAGGCGATGCGCCCCGAGGCTCGTATCCAACCTAGCGAGGATAAGCCGATGACCAACGGAATTAACGGAGATGCCGAAATTAAGGAAGAGGTTAACGGCGATTCCAACACAGGTGCAGCTGGTGAGGAGAAGAGTGTCCCACCTGCCACATTCATGACTGAATCATCAACTGAGGCTTGGAAGAAAGCTACACACCCCAAACTAGACTATTCTCAGGTGGACGAACGAATCAAGCTTGAACTACGTAACATTGGATTCCTTCCGCTAGAGGGGTTCGATGGTGACTACGATGGACACTACGATGATGAGGTCGCTGCCCGTTTGCGCCTCCTGCAAGATCGACTGCGCGAGCAGATGCTCATCAATGGCGCTCGCAAGGCCCGACTGACCGATCTAGTCAAAGAAAGGATGGCACACCAGGAATACACCACTATCCTTGAAGATCTTGACACTCAAGTCCAAGGCGCATACCTAAAGCGCACGCGTACGATGGGCAAGAGCAAGAAGTCCAAGCGACCCGGAGGCGCCGGTGGAGGTAGTCATCCAGCCGGAGGCGCATCGGGTATGGCTCGTCCAGGCATCGGCGACGTAACCAAGACTCTTATGGAGCGCCGAAAGCGATGGATCGAGAATATTGCCCCGGTCTTCAATGACCCCAACCTCGGCAAGGTTCCCCGCGCCTCGAACCCTGGCAGCACCATCTTCAAACCGGAGATGATGGCCGATCTCATGAAGAAGGAGCGCCAAGCTTGGGACGAAGAGGTAGAGGAGGAGTAGAGATCCCGTCCTCAACAATCAGAGCCTCAAATCCCCGAACCCCAAATTCCCGAGCCTACAAAGCCAGAGCCTTCGAAGGAACGTGATCCCCAAAACAGTGGCGTTGATGTTTGGTCACCGCGATTGAGACAGCATCGTCGGCGTAACTTCAGGGAGCTCCTTTAGCCGTCATGACATTGATTGAGATAGTGGCTCTATGATTGATACTCGGTTATGCATCAGGTTAGGTAACACTTTGAAGGGTCTCTGGGTGGTAACATCCGACATATTTCTGGGGGTTTGCTGTATAACCTCAAGTCCGAGGTAATAGCCTTATGCTAGGCTGTAAATAGTCCTCAATTCGGATTCAGTTCTACCCCAATTTCTAGAATGAATTGCTTTTGTTACTGTGACATGTTGTATACTAATCTAACCCGGACTAATTTCTCCTTCGCCTATGTGACATCAGTTTTAATCTACACGAAACAGCACAACTCATACTCTGCCCTTCTGATTAGCTACCTCTCTGTATAACCCCGGATTACTCTACAACCTGCAGTATATCATTGGGCCATGTATACTCCGATTGTTTTCTGCATATCTCATGCACAGGGAGCAAGGGGCAAGGGGTTCGAAGCTTGAGTTGCGGGGTACACCATGTATACCAAGAGGCCGATCCAACGCAGCGGTACTTGACTAGAGCTCTTCAGAGCCCCACATAGATAAGGTGCCGCTATTTAGGGCTATGAATAGATTGTATTACATACAAACGGTGGTAGGTACAGCACCGTTATCTAGCACTAGAGCGTAGAGGTAATTCCACATTCCACTATTCCGCTGTTACTCTGCCGTGCAACCAGAGTCATGATTTCTCTTCATCTTCCCCTCCAAAGCCTTCTGAAAGGCCCCGAGTTTATAGTGGTTCGAAGCAGGCCCAGCTAAACTGCGAAACAAAAAATGCATCTCATCCCTAAAGAGGTTTGTTCCCACTTGTCTGTAGTACCTAGAGGGAAAGATGGCGGTTCGCTAACTCGGTTAAAATCGCTGTTGCGTAGCTTGATAAGCTCGTCATCTCGCAATTGGGCTTTTTGGCCCAGAAGAGACTTGCTAGGGGTGTTAAGCTGAACCACACTGAAGCCACCGTAGGTTTTTCTTCCGTTCTTTTTATTGGGATTTTCAGCGGGGTTTCGCGATTAATACTCCGCTAGGCTCTTATCGCGAATAACCTCCAGGAACTCATCCGCGATGGCCAACACAACGTCTCCGACCTCATGGCCATCGGCTCCACCATGCTCGGCCGGAGGCACGTGCTTCCCTCCGTCGTCAGCACCCTGCACGAGATCCAGGTCGAGGGCACTTTCCCCTGCGGCACGTACCTCGTCACTGTGCACAACCCCATCGCCACTGATGACGGCGACTTGAGAAAGGCTCTTTACGGCAGCTTTCTGCCCGTACCTAGCCCGGACCTATTCCCGCCGTCTGAAGCTAGCGCCTACGACGTGGTCAACCAGCCCGGCGCCGTGGTCGTCGTCAAGGGAAGGATCACGTTAAACGAGGGACGTAGACGCATCAAGCTTCGCGTGACGAGCAAGGGTGACAGGCCGGTGCAGGTAGGTAGCCACTACCACTTCGTCGAAACAAACCCACGGCTCGAGTTCGACCGTGCAGCCGCATACGGCTTCCGCCTCGACATCCCCGCCGGCACGTCCGTGCGTTTCGAGCCTGGCGACACCAAAACCGTGGCCCTAGTCGAGATCGGCGGGAACCGCGTCATTAAAGGAGGCAACGCCATGGCTTCCGGGACCGTAGATTTTTCACGCGTCGAGGCTATCGTGGAGAAATTGCAACAGGCTGGGTTCGCACATGTGCCGCAGCCGGAGACGGCGGATTTGGGTGTCGTAGGTGGCTTTTCGATGGATCGGGCGGCGTATAAGACGATGTTTGGCCCGACGACGGGGGATTTGGTTAGGCTTGGGGCGACGGATCTCTGGGTTAAGGTCGAGAAGGATATGACGACGTACGGCGACGAGTGTAAATTCGGTGGTGGGAAGACGCTGCGAGAGGGGATGGGGCAGATGACTGGGTGTGCGGATGAGGATTGCTTGGATATGGTGGTCACGAATGCGTTGATCGTGGATTACACCGGTATCTACAAGGCGGATATCGGCGTCAAAGGCGGGATGATCACCGCGATTGGTAAGGCGGGTAACCCGGACGTTATGGATGGCGTTACTGAGGGCATGATCGTGGGTAGCTGCACGGACGTCGTTGCTGGCGAGGGTAAGATCATAACGGCGGGTGCCCTAGATACACATATTCATTTCATATGTCCCCAGCAAGCGAACGAGTCTGTTGCTTCGGGTGTTACCACGATGCTTGGTGGCGGTACTGGACCTAGGTAAGATGAACCCCTTTCCGAAATCCTCCTTGAAGGGGTTATGATTAGTAGACTAACACCCGGCTTCTAGTGCTGGTACCAATGCGACTACTTGTACGCCAGGTGCTCATTATATCCGCCAGATGCTACAAGCATGTGACGAGCTGCCCCTGAACGTCGGCATCACAGGAAAAGGCAATGACAGCGACCCACGCGCGTTACGAGAACAGGTTCTCGCAGGCGCATGTGGCCTCAAACTGCACGAGGATTGGGGAACAACGCCTGCCGCCATCGACTCCTGCCTTAGCGTGTGCGATGAACTTGATGTACAGTGTCTGATCCATACAGATACACTCAACGAGAGCGGATACGTGGAGTCGACGATCGCGGCCTTCAAAGGCCGTACCATCCACACATACCACACAGAGGGCGCCGGCGGCGGCCACGCCCCCGATATCATCCGTGTTGTCGAGCATGGGAACGTTCTGCCGTCATCAACGAACCCAACCAGACCCTATACACTCAACACCCTCGACGAGCATCTAGACATGCTCATGGTGTGCCATCACCTATCCCGGAACATCCCTGAGGACGTCGCTTTTGCAGAATCGCGTATCCGCGCCGAGACCATAGCCGCCGAGGACGTGCTGCATGACTTAGGCGCCATATCGATGATGAGCTCAGACTCGCAGGCCATGGGACGATGCGGCGAAGTAATTCTGCGGACTTGGAACACCGCGCACAAGAATAAGGTGCAGCGGGGTTTCTTGCCCGAGGACGAGGGTACCGGGGCCGATAACTACCGGGTGAAGAGATACGTGAGCAAGTACACGGTCAACCCGGCGGTAGCCCAGGGGATGGGGCATTTAGTCGGCAGTATCGAAGTCGGCAAGTTAGCGGACCTGGTAGTCTGGGATCCGGCGTGGTTCGGCGCGAAGCCGTCGTTGGTTATCAAGAGCGGGTTGATTGCCTATGCGCAGATGGTGAGTCTTCTCCCCCCTTCCTCCCCCTATCCCACCACCACCTCTCCTCCTTTCGAAGCAACTAACACCACGCAGGGCGACCCCAACGCCTCGATCCCAACAGTCCAGCCCATAATCGCGCGGCCCATGTTCGCGCCTCTCGTCCCGCGTTCCAGCGTGCTCTTCGTCTCCGAAGCCAGCCTCCCACAAACCACCTCCGCGGCCTACGGGCTGCGTAAACGCGTCGAAGCAGTGAAGAACTGCCGCAATATAGGCAAGAAAGACATGCGGTTCAACGACACGATGCCCAGCATGCGCGTCGATCCCGAGAGGTACGTCGTCGAGGCCGATGGCGTAGTCTGCTCGGCTGCGCCGGCGGAGACGCTGCCGATTACGCAGGCGTGGTTTGTTTATTAGTCTACATACTTAAGCCACATACCATGTATGTACCTAGTATGTAAGGGCTAAGATTCTAGTCAGAGAGTGGGAGAGTGGGATGCTAGTGGGAGGATGGGGGATGTGGGAGGGGAGAGGCTTGGCTCATGGAAAGGGGATAGCTAGGCCTTGGCTTTGTGGGGGAGCTAGCTACATGTTTGCGTGATTCGACTAAGAGGTGGGCTTGTTGGGGGCCGTTGCGTAGGGCTGGGTTAGGTGTCGATGGCATCTTTTCTGAGAGATATACATACATAGCATAGGGCTGGATCATAGGTGTGAAATGAGGGTTGCACTAAGATAGGAGAATAATTGCATGTTTAGGGGACGGGCATATAATATGATACATATCTAGCTTGGTGGTTTCAATACTAGGTAACTTTTTACTATGTTAACATGTTTTGTTTCTAATGAATGCGGAAGCGTCGTTTTTCATTGGGCAGTTTCTTGTTAGGAACCAATACCGTTTGCTATTCTGAGATTTTTTCAGTGTTTCCCTATAGCTACCTAGGTACCTACCTAACCATTGATTTTCGTAAATAGATAGGGACTTTGTCTTCTGTTAGCTGGTGATTCCGTTATATTCTGACTGTATTAAAATACCAAAGTACGGATGCCGCTATAGGTCTGCTACGGAAAGCGCCGGAAGTTACTGCATTGAATCGGTGTAAGCTGATTGGCTTATGTGTTATTGTAGACACTTAGTATTTATTTTGATGAGTTGCCTTCGATATAGATGCTTATTCTGTGTGTAATCCATGATTATAATTGCTTAGTACCTATCTGTCTTCTAGATGTTCCTGTTTAAGCTAGGTGCTTACCTAGGCACCTATGTTACCTATAGTTGGAAGGAATTAGCGTTAGGAACCTTGGAAATAAGGTCTTCCAGATATATTAACTAGCGCCCTTATAGCTTGCGCTGTACGCCTAGGGAATCCTCTATTTGCAGTCCCGGTCACAAAATGGATCCATGGATGCTTATGGGTGCCATAATAGGTAGGTAGGTAGGTACATTGAGAGGAGAACGAAACCCTTTAGCAGTTTTTTCTAAAACTCACCTGGCTTCAAGGCTTCTGTTCTCGTTTTCTAGACGTTTACGGGTAGTTCCCGGTGCCCACCCACGAAATAGTACCTGAGACGTGGTCAAGATTACAGCACACCAAGTTAGAATAGATTAACAAGACCAATAATTTCCAACCTTCCTCTCAGAAGGGAACAATGTGTTTGATGAGTACAATGCCAACAGGCAGAGCTAAGTACATTTGGGGAATTTTGAAACAGGAATAAATGAGAAAAGGACCTCGATACACACTAAACAACTCCGTGCCGAAATCCAGCAGACCTTTCCGATCCCCATTCGCAATTGTTCGTAACTCATAATACAAGACCCCCAAAACCAGAAGAGCCTGAACCCTTCCGTACCCCTTTTAAAACCGGCACCGACTGACCACTATCTGACATAGTCGAGCATATTTTACGACGCGGCAAACGAAGATATGTCGCCGCAAATATCGCAACAGATAAGCGGTAGAAGAGCAGGATGACCTCTGAGCAATCGAAAGAAAACAGACCGACATAAAGATGGCGAACGAATAGGTACCTAGTATAGTTGACAGGATAGTTCATGTCTACCAGATTACGTGGCCTTCTTCTTTCGACTAGACTTCTTAGGCTCGTCAGGAGTGTCGGCTACTTTCGATGCTCGCTTTCGCTTCTTATCAGGGGAGGCAGGTGTGGAGGTCTTAGCAGCACTGGCCTCTGCGTCCTCAATTTCAGCGGCAGCGCTCTTGCGCTTGCGAGTAACCTTGGCTTTGGGAGTCTGGGTCTCGATCTCCGGGGGAGCTATAGCCATAGCCAATTGTTCGGCAATCGCATCCTGGTCATTAGACGCATACGTCTCCTCGCCCGACAATACGGGCTGAGGAATACCATTGGCGTCAGCGTACGCAAGAGCATCAGGGTCGGTCATGTTGCGAGCCTCCAAGTTGCCAGCCTTATAAGAGTGGACTCGAGCGTTATACAATCGCAAGTTAAACTGGTACGCGTTGTTCCATGCCTATAACATAAGGATCAGCAATATTCATACATATTGGTATTCAGTTCAACTTACATTCTTCTCCTGCTGTGTCATTGATGCCCAACGACGCTGACCTTCCTCCTGTACAGCGCCTTTTGGAGCATCCTGACCGAGATCGTTCGCGATGATAGGACGAGCAGTCTGCATGTAGAGGAAGTAAGGCGTCAAGGGACGCTTAGGAGCGTTGGGATCATGAGTTCGCTTCTTACGCTCCTTCTTCTCTTCGACATGAGCACCAAGATCACCAAACTGACCACTAATACCATCGAGGTTGGCGATCAAGTTCTGCATAGAGTGACTAGCTCCATTGTCAAAAGGTGCAGGCTCTCCTATGAGCAGGTTGGTTTGACGCAGGAAGTCATCAGAGAAGCTCTTCATGAGCCCTGTGATAGTGTTGAACCTAGCATGTACCTGATAGATTGTTAATGCGAGTGTCCATTTGAAAGTATGATGGTGACATTGATAGCCAACGATATAAAATATAACGGTAACAAAAGTAAAGTATCGCCGCAGAAGTATGAGATATGCGATGCCAAATGAGTGGGGGTGAACAAGATGCCGATAAGATGCGCATCTAGGAAACGTCCAAGATTGACGGGGGAACCCGCATCAGAGCCTCAGTTCTAGGCTATATGTAATGTTGGGTACTGAGTAATAGCATCTCAGTGCTATTACAGAGCTGTTCCCTTATGCTTATCTCGTGTATTGCCTAACTGCATTACGAGGCTGCATGTCGCATGGCGACACACATACAAGCAAGGTTTATGATTCATTTATATGGTGGTGAATGGGGATGACAGATGAGGACGAGTTCTAATTCTAACGTGGGGTTGATATGGGGTACGCAACGATAATGGTGTTGGTGCTGGAAAGTGCTGGGGAATGGTGCTGTTGATAGTGCTATGAAGACCGATAAAAATAAAAGGGAAGGGAAGGAATGGGATTATGGTTTTCTTACACTGTCACGAACGCGGATGAACTCTTCAATACCGATGGTTCTGGGAGGCTGGCCGACTCCAGGTCCAGCAGCCAAAGGCTGTTGCTGAATCTGGGGTAGCTGAGCCGGAACTGCTTGCATGGCCATAGGCACCATAGGTGCCGGCGCGACGGGCGCGGGCTGTCGAGCAGCTTCTGTCTTCTTAGGACGAGGCATTGTGGTGTGGCTGATAGCTACCTGTTGTTAGCTCTGCATTTATTTTACGGCGTTGCGCGTTGGATAAAATCCAGCGAGTGTGCTAAAATAGGGATTCGGTGGAATCAAAATGGTTATTGTTTACCTGTATTGGCTTTGTGACTCAGTGGTTGGTGCGCAGTTGCGTACCTCTGTTCGATAGCTGCTGGGTTGATGTAGTAGGTGTAGGAGGTCTGGAAAACTCGCGGAGCTTGTGACCACTGAAAAATCAGTGAAGAGAAGCGCGAGAAAGTGGGAAATTTGGGGGAAAGAAAGTTTTGGGGGGAACGTCGCTGAACTGGAACGGCGGGCGGGGCAATTTTTTAAATACAGAGGTAGGTGCCACCCAGGCTTGCTGATTTGATTTGGAAAATCACTGATCACTGAAAAGAGGGGAGGGGTTAGTCCCGGGGGGGTTGTCTGGGTCTGCAACTGTTTGGTGGGCTGCGATGCCTTGCAGCTTCCTAGGTGCGCTACAGGTTTTTTTTTCTAATCGTACAGGTACTAAAGTACATGTAGAGAGTATCTATGCCCTGAAGACAAACACTTTATTTTCCATTCGATATTGTCGATGCAACTTTACCTACGCCTTTTAATGACAATCTAGTTCTGTCGATTTTCATATTCTAAAATTTGCATCCAAACGGTTGAAAATTTGAGTGTTTTGTCCACGTCCGATCTATCAAATTTACAGTGTTGTTGTAGTGTTACCTTAATGCCTATATGTACCTAAGTACCTAGCGTGTATGTCGCGTCCTAATTTTTTGGAGAGAATCGAAATCAGCCCAAGCCCCATTGCCCGTAGAAGGAACAGCGCGAAGAGAAAAAAATAAATAATAAATCAGGAGCAAAGTACAGATGGAACCAACCCAACTGGAGACATTTCTGCGATACTTTCACTTCCACATCAATTTATTATTCTTCCAAGTCGTTCCCTATCTATACATCTTGATGCATTATAATTTTGTCATATTCTTGCGCTGTTGCATCTTTCAATTTTATTGCTCAATTGAAAATGTAGATTGTTCTGTTGTGTTTTCCGATTTTAAATGCTGTTAACGGATACGAGTTGGGGCCCTGAAGCTGTTCTGAATTTGTAGCGATCTTTAGAGATTGACTTCTAAATGTTGCATCACTGGGTGCACTGGAGAAGTATTAGAAGTACCGAAATTTTGGTGTTTCCAGCGTCCTGTCAAATTCTCGATTTGATGGTTGCACCCGCCCAGCGCAACCCACCAATTGATTGGCTCACTGAAGAAAGTGCACCTGGTAGCCGTCAAATCACATCAGGGCTTTCAGTGAGCGCCTAAAGCGGCGGCAATCGCCGGTGTTTTCCCCCAATACCACCGAATTTTCAGGGTCAAAGCTACCCCCCGACACCTATCAGTGTAGCCGGTGGCCTCAGTTGCTCTCAGTTGTTCTCAGCGAACTCAGCACCCGCCCACCACGTCTTCTGCAAACCACTTTCCAAGGTAACAAGGTTTTTACTTGCAACCCAACCACTTAGGCCTTCAAGTAACAAATTTCTAATGCGACAGTTGTCAACTAATAATTCATCTGCCTGCTGGTTTTGATTAGGTATCTTCTATGCCACCCCACATTACCTATGTCCTCCCTACTACCATACATCTCTACATCAGGTTGTCACTGAGCATTTTTATCTCCGCCAGAATAACTTGAACCTAGGCGGACTACACTGTAAATGGACTGCTCCTAAACCAGCTAGACATTGACAACTCAGTGAAGCTCATGATCTACTAGGTAGATTATACTATGACATTCCTAGACGATATATAGTTTTCCTACAGGTTTATGCCGTTTAAGTTGTTAATAGTAATTAAGTAGAGAATATATATCTACCTCTCAGAGACTTAGCACTTATAATCACCATAGAGGCGCTCAATAGCCTCTAAGGCAAACTTCCAGCTAATGTTTCATCACACCCAAATCAGTAACTAAAGAGCTATTCTTTCACTTCACCACTAGTAGTAGTTACTACTTCAACGTTGTTTTGGGTATTTGGAGCACAGCCCTAGAGGCTACCAGAGGTAGGTATTATTTAGGTAGACAACTAGGAATCTACCGACAATTGACATGAACACCTAAATCCTCTATTATAACATGTCCAATGGATATCATCTATCTACATCTTACATGTATAAAACATGAATTGCAGGCACATTGTGATATATATATATATATTTATATGCCTAGCTAATAGGCATATCAAGTACTTACTCACACATTCAACATGAAGCCATATCTATGTCAATAACATGTATCACCGATGCCATTCCTACTCACTTATCATGTTCTTCTAACACTATGCTTTATTATGTCAATGCGCTCTCTGGCATCTATATTCTTTGGCTGGACACTCATTTCAAATATCAAGTTAAGTCCACTATAAGATATTGACCATGGCTGTGATCATTAGGTTACCTCCCTGTCTAAGAGGTGCACTTTAACATCAAAACTTTTGAGACCAATGTACCCTCTTAGCTTTTAGGTACATAGCTACGTATAAATAGCATTTAAAGATAGAATAAACACCTATGGGCATTATAATATATTACAGCATTCCTCTTCATATGATGCTACCATCGGGCGGGACAAGTGGAAGACGCAGAGGCTTAATGTTGTATTACCCCTCACCTGAGCTCTTATCGCCCCCAACACCAGCACGTCAAGACCTCCAGGGCTAGCACCTCAATCGCAAAATAATACTTCACGGAAATAGACCAGAAAGTGGCTGCCAGTTGACGCCATATCATAAAGACTAGGTACGTAGGTATATATTCAACGAGTCTTGAGTTGCGGAAATCTCTATATGAAGTGCAGAATACCTTAGTGATTTGATTACAGCAATGGAAGTTTCAATTACAACCTTGAATATCCAATCTATAAGTACCTACTGATGCTTACAGTATTTAGCATGCCTTCATAACTAGATATAAAACGCGTGTAAGGGAGTTCTGAAATATATCAAGTACCTAACTTGAACAAAACACTAAACTGATCGATACAGTAAGTACCTTAATACCTAATACGCACTTGCATGCTAGGTACCATACCTATAGGTACATAACAATTGAAACAAGAGCGCAATTTTACCTATTATAAGCTACTACGTAGTTTAGAGAGGAGGATATTAGCTATAAAGAACTGGTTGTATTTCTTACTCGTTTGATTTCTTAAAGTGGAGGTCAAGTCTATCAACGTATCAATAATTTATATCACCATGTCACATCCCGCTACGTCCGTCAAAATGCCCGGTCCTTCAGAGTCATGCAAACGGATCTGGCGGGATGGCAAGTCGGGTAATTGATGTTCCGTCGTGGGAACGGGTTGCTTACCGTCTCACCTAGAATCCGGACAGCAGCCAATGAAATTGCGAGATGTGTCTCGGCTAAGAAACCGTTAACACTAGCTATGCTTCGGCCAGACCCGGAGCCACGCCGTTGAAATCTACATGTAAGTAACTCATGGATACATACATCAACACACTAACGTAAGTAAGACTACACGTGTACGCGTGAAATCTTTAAAGATCGTACCAATCTATTAAATTACCAGTTCTCATAGTTTACCAAAATTTATAATCACTTGACCTATTTAAGTAAGTATTTGGATATTTCTACGTATTTAGGTGAATAAATCACTTTCCGGTAGTCGAGCTAGTCAAACTATTTGCCTATTAGTTAAATCTATGTCTAGAGATCAAGGTGAAGGTCTTGGAAATCTTTAACAGGTCCCGGCTGCCTCACTGGTCTAATCCCTGTTACCATTTACTAACAGGAAGGCGCACATGTGTGTTGTTGATGTACATGTACTCCTATCGCTCGCTCTCTGCCAACATCGATGTAAGTATAGAGTACGTATGCACTTGCCTGCTTTTTCGCGCCGGCATAGATTCGTTTCAGTTATGATCGAATAATATCCACTTTCAATCCACTTGAACCAGTCTCTCGGGCTTGGCATACATCTATTCATGTAGCACAAATGGAAGCATCGACCAGTAATGCTCGTCGACAGACCCTTCCTGCCCCTCCAAACTGACGATCCGTTGCAATTGCAACGATCCCAACCAGGGTACGTAACCTAACGAAGCTGAGCTCTTGTCAGTTACCCCTCCCCCTCCTTCTCTATTCCTACCTAATCCTAGGTGACTCCGTATTCTGTCCAGGGAATGCGCAATCCCTTAATAGTATCACCCTCACGTCACCCTGAACCTGATCAGCCTGACTAGTTTATACTACCAGTACTATTATTCTTACCTAGGTATGCTGCTCTAATAAATCATGTTTAGTTCCCTCATCGGCCAAGCCAGTCTCAGGTCCAAATCCTCCTCAAACTTTCCTAAGAATCAATTACAATATTAACTACATCTAACATCTTACTAGAAATTTATCTTGAGTCAAAAATGATCACCCTCAAGCCCTTCCCCGCCTTTTTGGGGTTGGTCTTCCTCTTCGTGTTCGCCCGTCCAGCTCTCGCTTTTGGTGCTGGTAACATCGCCGGTAAGATTTACCTGCCCAACCATTGCTGTGTATCCCAAGTATCTCGTTGGCGAGACTAACCTCCTTTATAGGCATCTCCAAGGTCGAGGGGCAAAATTGTAAGTTTTTCTCGCATATATACCAATATAAGTACTCCTTGACAGAGTGTCTAATTTGGTATTGTATTTAGGGCGTCATGGCGACATCGAAGACACCCTCCTTACTATCATGATGGCCCGAGCCGTCGGCGGCAAAAAGTTTGACAAGCTCATGGTATCCCGTGTCTACTTCGGTAACTGGCTCCGAGACTACTCTCAAGCCATCGATGTTGGTACGGTCAAGTCTGTCTCGGCTGAAGCTATCCGACTGCTTCTATGTGTTCTCGGTTTCCTGACCTTCGGTTACGGCTCTAAGGAATTCGAAGTGACCGCTGATCGTCTTGGTTGCTATCGACCCGAAGACCACATCGACAACCCCAAGAACTACGCCAGCAACGAGGATGCGCGTCAGTATGACCGAAGGCTGCGCGGGCCTGTTGATGAGAGAGTTGAGCTTGGCATCGACTCAGAGACAGGTCTAAAAAACTACATTGCCAATGAGCGAGCTAGAATTATGACTTCCGCGCTCCATGTCAGAAAACTGTTCGGCCGCTGCATTGAACTTGCCCGATCCTATAAGAACAGCAACAGGAAGAGTGAACTACACGAGGCCTTGCGATTACTTGGTACCGGCCTCCACTGTCTAGAAGGTAATGTCATACCCTAGATCCTCTATTAATTTCATTTTCATTTATGTTTTCCGCATACTAACTTTGTCGAACAGACTTCTTGGCCCACAGTAACTACACGGAACTGGCACTTATTGAAATGGGCGAGCGCGACATCTTCGCTCACGTCGGTAGAAACACTAAAATTGAAATCCCTGGCGCTCGCCACGAAGTCTACCCTTGCGTCACAGGAACATTCGGAGGTGTTGACTTCCTGCATTCTGTCACTGGAGAAGGTTAGTTGAATTCAGAGTGTTTTACCTGGGTTCTCTTATATCGTTACTGACTAAACGGCGTTTAGTCTCGGACAAGTTGACGCAAAACGAAATCCAAGAACTTGAGGGAACCCTCGAGGAGAACTCAAAGAAGAATGACACCAGTATTCTCGAGGGACTTCTTGACAAGATTCCCGATGGTATCATCGGTGGCGACGATAAGAAGCAGAAGCTAGAATCGATTCAGAGCAATGCCAATAATGCACAAATGGCTAACACGTCGATTTCCCCGAGGGAACCCGAGGAGTTCACGGAATACATCCAGCAAGTCTTTCAACAGATAATGCCCGCCATTGAATTCCACGACGAACTCCTGAAGGGCATCAGCGAGGCAATCGAAAAGATTCCTATCTTGCCTCAAATCATTGAACAACTTGAGGACCAGATGTCGATGTGGGTATTCTCGATTATGGCACCTTTCGTTGTCCCTATCATCCAGCAGGTCAAGAATGAGCTCCAAACCGGATCATCCGAGATTATTGCCAGCAGCGAGAACGAGCAGCACGTCGTCTTCAATGATGACGAGTCTACTGACCCAACACACTCCATGCTCTCCAAAGATCACTTTTCCAACGTAAGTCCACTCCAATCATATAGAGCTTTCGCATCGCTAACCATATTTTAGATCCTCAATGAAGTTGCGGGCAAGACTGCAAGCAAAGTCGTCTACTGGGTTGTTCCCCAGCTCATGGAAGCATGGGATGATGAGAGCATCGATGTCGATCGTTTGATGGATAGAATCATCAATGGTGTACTGCACCACCCTGCTCAGCGCGACATGGGAGAAGATGGCGCGCGTGACGGCCGACAGATCATGTTCCGTTCAGTTGAGGAGTGGTGGAACCAGATGGATGATGATGCAAAGGATGAATACCGCCAGAAGCTTTCGCGTCGCGGCGTTCAGAATGGCGAGAACCACAAAGAAGGCGTCCAGGACTCCGGTCACGGTTGCGGAAAGCCTCTTGGTATGCACAAGAACTTTGCTGGGGGTGGGTCCATGGAAGACCGTATTGCGGGCGCTGCTGCTGGAGCTATTGTTGGTGGTGTTACCGGTGGTATCTCGGATTTTGTCAAGGCCTCATCTGGGGGACAGGTTAACTTGCCCGGTTTTGAAGGCCGGGAGTCCAGCAGCTCCGGCGGCGGACTCCTTAGCGCTATTGGTAACTCTCTTCTAGGCGGAGGCTTTAAGAGTAGCGAGACCGAATCATATGGCAGCAGACGTGAGGGAGGAGATGGATCGTACAGCGAGAGCCGCACCGAGTACGGACGCTCGGATGATCGATATGGCCAGGCCGAATACTCCGAGAGCCGACATTCCGGAGGAGGCGAGAGCAGAGAATACCGTCGTTATGAGCAAGATGATAACGGCCGCGGCTACGGATACGAAGAGCGAACCGAATCTCGACCGAACTATGGTGGTGGCTACGAGGAGCGTACTGAGCGCCGGTACGAAAGTAACGATGGATACCAAGAATCCGGTCACCATGGCCGACGTCGCGATGAGGAGGACAGCTATGGTGGACGCCAGGAAAGCTATGGACGATCTGAGTATGACCGCGGTGACGAGTACGGCCGCCGTGAAGACTCCTATGGTGGCGGAGACCGATACGAGCGTCGCGAGGAGAGCTCAGGATACGGCCGCTCAGGTCGTGAGGAGGAATATGGACGCCGTGAGGAGCGTCGCGATGATGACGAGGGAGGTGGATTCCTCGACACCGTGGCCAGTCGTATCGGTGACGCTCTGGACGAAGGCGATCGCCGCCGCCGTGATGAGGGAGGCAGCCGATGGGGTTTCTAGTAAGATATCACATATGCGTCTACCACTCTAGGTGGGAAATTCTTGAGTATGGGAACGTTGCCATAGTGAGGACTGGGCGGGTGAACTTTCATCTGTAGCTCTTGCTTCCTAACGCTTTACACAATGAATCAATGAAGTATAAGAATGATGTTGTCAATGATCCGCCGTGATAAGCATGATCTTGTAAGCTGATAAAACTGCCTACATACCTATGTACCTAACCATTCAGGGACGAATGTAACCATGCCTTCTCCGCATCTAGCTAGGTACCTTATGCGGGGAACTGCCCAAGGGGTTCTCGCAAGCAAGCCGTCTACCTATAGTACTATATGACCTCACGGAGCTAGGATCCCGACGGCTATTGGCCACTAAGTCATTTTCCAGATAGCCATCCCAATTTTGCCGGCCGCTTGCTCCACCCAGCTAGGCTCCGTTTCATCAACGGGGGCTGGCCCGCGTTGATCACCCATATATATACTTTATGGCGATATGCGCCATCCCACAGGGCGGCTCGCCTCATATTCAGGGCACACACACGCGGCATAGTGCCTAGACATCCGATAGTGTAGGAAAGAGATTACTTTTCCCGGTGGGCCGTAGTGAGGGGAGATGATCGGCGGCTTCTGCGCAGGAGTTGGAGGTGGGCGAAGAGGCGGCGTGGGATATTTTAAGGCTGGTTGGATTCCGGATTGCGTGCTTCTCTCGCGCTCTGTTTTCTTAAGAGTATCGAACTTTGGGTCTGTCATATATCGAGGCATCTAGGGAACAGTACTAGACGATGCAGCTTACTACGATCTTGGGCCTCTCGGCCTCCCTATCCGCGCACCTGGCCGCGGCGCAGGGAGCGTCTGGGACGGGACAGACGACGCGCTATTGGGACTGCTGCAAGCCGAGCTGCGGGTGGACGGAGAAAACGAACAGCGGGAAGCTCATCGGCACGTGTAGTAAGGAGGACCAGCCGCTGAACGATAACGGGGCGACGAAGAGCGCGTGCGATAATGGCGGCTCGGCGTTCATGTGTAGTAACCAGAGCCCGTGGGCGGTGAACGATACTATGAGTTATGGATGGGCTGCTGTTCGCATCTCTGGACAGACGGAGACGACGTGGTGTTGCGCTTGCTACGAGCTTACGTTTACGAGTGGTGCTGTTAGTGGCAAGAAGATGATCGTGCAGGCTAGTAACACGGGTGGTGATTTGGGGGCTAATCATTTTGATCTTGCGGTATGCGCTCTGTTTTTTTAACCTCATTTTCTTCTATTTTTCGCTCCTATCCTTCCCCTACCTTCTTACATCTTGGAATAAAAGAGAGATAATCACCGTTGATCCCGTATCCGGGTAACTGAGGGTTAACAAATACTGACCCTAACCACGATAGATCCCCGGCGGCGGCGTAGGCATCTACAACGCCTGCACGAACCAATACGGCGCGCCGTCGAACGGGTGGGGAGAGCGGTACGGCGGGGTTACCTCGCGCGAGGCCTGCGACGGCTTCCCCGCCGCCCTTAAGGAGGGCTGCTACTGGCGCTTCGACTGGTTCGGCGGCTCGGACAACCCGGGTGTTACCTTCAAGCAGGTCGCGTGTCCCGCGACGCTGGTCGAGAAGAGCGGCTGCCAGCGGAGTAATGACGCTATTGATGAGACGCCTGTGCCGGATAATTTTTAGGGGAATAATTATGGGGGAGGAGGGATGAGTACATGTAATGTATGGGTGTAGGAAGTTTGGAAAGAGGAGGTTTGGTGTATATAGGTTGGCAGGTTAGACATTGGTTAAGTATATACAGAATCCTAACTCGGTATCATTATTATTCGGTATTTTAGAAATGTGTATGGAGAGGAGAGAAGAGATCTAGAATGGTGATTAGAATGACGGAACCTGTGGTAGAGATGACATCATGCTAAATCGTGGTGGCAGGTACGCCCCTTTTTGTGTAACCATTTACCTCTTGGATATATTCTCTGAAGTTCTAGGAAGAGCAACTTAACCTTAACATCTTTTGAGCTGTGCTAATTGAAAAAGTCGATGTCAATTGACATCCATGAGCAAATCTTTGGAGAGCATTGTGTGGCGATGAAGCTCCTAAATTTATTCCAGTTAGACCAAGCTTGGAAGCCGCCAAAGAACCGCCAAGAAGCTATCCATAAGATCGCAGTAAGTTGATGCATGATAATCAATGGAGCTCTATGCTAAAATTGGTGGTAATTAGATCCTAGCTTATGCGAAACCTGGAGTACGGATTTCATGCGAATTTACAGAGTAAGGTCAGCTTCATTTCTATTGAGTTATGGGTACGACAACTTCAGACTGTACCATTTGCCGTATAGCTACCTCTACATTATTTCACCAAATAAATGTATTGAGGTATATTAATCCGCATCACCCATCGGCACCTCGTATTATCGTGAGTTCTTGGCATGCCCGGAAATTCCCATAAGACCTGCAAGCCAAGCTGCTTTGAGATCTGATGTTACCCACGTGTGTCTTACAGTCGCAACTGTACGCCGTATATCGAACGTTTATAGGTGGCATATCTTGAAAGTTGGCTATGTTCCCGGAAGTTCGTCCGAGAGATGGCTGGGCAACTTCGCATATAAATAACTGACTGTGCGAGGACCAAGTTGCAGATATATTATACCCTTAACGCCACATCTTTTAATAATTAATTTCTGCGCGGTGTTCCAAAATGAGGTTCGTCTCTGTCTTTGCTTGCTTCTTGGCTGCCGCCGATGTGGCTAAGGCGGCCAGTTTACCGATACGCATCGTCTCTTTCAATATCCGCTACGCCGCAACCTCTCGAGAGACTAATGAAAAGCCGTGGTCCGACCGACGCACCGGTTTAATCAATCAGCTCAAGACTGTAACGGACAATGCGACATCCGATGGAGCCGTCTCCGTACTTGGTCTCCAGGAGGTTCTTGACGCCCAATTGAACGATATTAAGAACGGACTTGGTTCCGTTTGGACCCACTACGGCTTCGGCCGTGACGATGGCGCAAAGTCAGGAGAATACAATCCTATCATCTACCGGACCGACGTCCTTAAGCTGCTTTATAGCGAGCAGAAATGGCTGTCTCCTACGCCGGACACAGTCTCCTTCGGATGGGGTGCGGGTAGCCGACGAGTCAGCGTGATCGCCGTTTTCGAGCATATCGCAACTGGAAAACGCTTTATCCATGCGAACACGCACCTAGACAATGTGAGCTCTCAAGCGCGCAGCGAGGGAATTAAAGTCGTGATATCGCGCATCAAGGCGGTACAGGAACAATACGGTCCACTAGGCGTGACTCTCACCGGCGACTTCAACTCGGAGCCAGGTGGAGACGCTTACACTACGCTCTCAGACACGGGATATCTTACGGAGCTATGGAACTCTGGAGCCACGCGGTTGGGAACTAATCAACTCACATACACGGGTTTTTCGACAACCGGAAGATCCCGCATTGACTTTGTTTGGCTCGGGCCTACGGCCGACAAACTGTATTCGGCACAAGAGTTTGAATTTTTGAGCAATTATATCGATGGCGTATTTATTAGCGACCATAGAGCCGTAGTTGCTGACCTAACAATTTTATAGGATCTCGGATTTATCCTTAGGATTGTCATGGACAAGTATGCAATAGAATTCTAATCACATTATTCACCAAAAACATGACCGCTCAATGCAATCCTCAATTAGGATGACTTGCGCGAGGAGAGAGATGAAGAAAAATAGGTAATTGATATCTCCCTCCACGAAAGAAACACGCAACGTTTAATTCAATCATGTGACGATTAAGTTTAAGAGGCGACGGTTAGGTTTTACCTGTTACCGAACTCTTATCACACTACATCTGAGTGGCTTGAAGGCTTGAACTTTGTTACCTATCCATACCCATAGTCACATACCTATCTCCGTAGATTCGTTATTTATATAACTACCTACCGCCCACTTAGGATCTTGTCATCTAGCACATTTCCAAACACATATTCCGTTACAAGTTATAGATTTTTTGAACAAAGGAAACACCGATCCAAGAACTCGGCAGGACAGCACTCATCATGGCACTCACAACGTTCCACCTCTTTCCACAACTGCCACCAGAGCTCCGAGACATGATATGGGAAGAAGCAATCCGGCCGGATGTCCCATCAGCTCACTTCTTCACGGCCTGGAATGGATTTGAAAATCGAATGTACGAGTCCGATTTCCAAACTTTGGCCAACTACTCAGTCGCTGGGCGAGGGCGTCAGCCCGATATGCCATGTGGCCTAGCTGCCCCACGCTGCAACCGGGAACAACCTTTTACTCCTTCTTGGTTTGACAATAACCCTTCCGTCTACATGGAAGACAGCGGGCTCTGGACAGCCTGCTGGGGTTCTCGGCGAGCAATGATAAGACGTTTTGGCAACCGCAAAGTGTCTTACCGCAAAGAAACACTGGCCCAGAGATTCCTCGGTCAAGCTCCAGAATACAACGATGCGCCTGCTACCGGAACCATGGTACAAGACGGCAGAACACAATACTTTACCGTCTGCCCTAAAACAGACCTGTTCTGCCTGCAGCCATTTCACAAAAACGGCAATGTACGCTGGCCGACCCTCGAGCGCGACGTGGCGATATTCAACATCCGCGGGTCCCCGCGAGCACACATCGCTCTCGAGTTCGATCCCCACTGGACAGACGACGAGGAGCTGCGCGACGAATCCTTCCGCCTGAGCATTCCGCCCCTAAAAAGATACGAAATCGAACTCTTCGGCCAAACCCGGACGGACCTCGGCTCCGTGTTCCTGGCCGGGACCAACCAAGTCGGCAGCTGGGCCCGCGCGCTGTGGTTCATCGACTACCGCATCTCCCGGGACCCGAAAGCCGAGCCTTTGGATTACAGCGACGGCACGCGCATGGTGTTCCAAGGGAGAGGGTGCAAGTATGTTGAGGTGAGGCCGGATAGACATGATACGGGGTGGATTATGGGACACAAGAGACAGAGCGCGTCGATACGCAGGTTTTTGTATGAGTTTTATGTTACCCTGGCTGGGGATCGCGATAATTCGTGGATCTATCAGAAGATTGGAGATGCGGGGAGCATTGATGCCGCGGAGTTGTTTAGGAGGCCGGTTATTGGGGTTTTGGCTTGTCTTAGGGATTAGAGGGCTTTGGCGACGGCCTGGTTGACTCCTTTTTTGGAGTTAGGGTTAGCAGAACGGGTCGCGCTACTGGAAACTGGCTCGAGATTTCTGAGTAGTACTTTAGGGGATTGGGAGTTTGTATGTTGTGGGCGTGAGCGTGTTTCTTCTGACGCAAGGGGTCTGCGTCAGGGATATATCGTAGGAGATTTACTATCTAGTAACATCATAGTCAGAAGACAGCGGACAGTATCATAGCCTTGAGTTCTATGACAACTGCCTATCAAGCCCACAGTTTGCCACCCATGTTGAGGATAAGACAGTGCTAGAGTCATATAAGCGAGCTTAGATACTTCTCAGATATCATTTTTCGGCTATAGTTTGGTATGACTTTTCAGGAGGTTATCGTACGACTTAGAATAGCCAAGAGAATTCATGAAAAGATGATCATAGAAGAGACGGTGAATATATCGATTATTGAAGACTTCCGAAATTCACGCTTTAGGTTAGCCATGACCCAATGCCAATGTTCGTTTTGGAACCCTTGATTTCATTTTTTCAGTGATTTTTCGGGGATTGTCTGGCTAACATCTGTCGGAAGAAGGTTACGTGGAGTTGTTACCGGCTAATATAGATATATAGAGAACGCGTACACCATTTAGCGGACGAAGCTTAATGGGAATATTTAATAGTGGGTATACCAGATGGAATCGAATGCAACGTTATTGCGGCTCGTCACATTGTCGACTTGTGACATGTTGGCATCACGTGTTACGTAAAAGTATGGTATGTTATGTTTGTTATTGAAGCTTTAGAATAGAGTTTTGTAATTTTAAAGGGAGAATTGGCATGTAGAAAACTTGGGTAGATCCTAGATACCGAAGTATTCGTCAACGAGACACAGCTAAGGACTGAGGGGAGAAATTCATGATTCTCTGGAAATCTATGTTACGAATATCGTTAATAAAGCCAGGTTGAAACTAAGAGTCATCGAAATCGCCGTACTAGGTAGGTAGTTTTAGTTCTGAAGACTTTTTCACAGGATAGCCATACCTGACGTAACGACTCAATAGTTGATGTGGCGTTTTCATACTTGAAAAGCATATAATAGGGGCGACAATGATTTGGTATATTATTTTGGTACTTATTGTTTCTGTCCCCCACTCAATTTGTAATTCGAGGCGACTTAATAGGTATTATTCATGAAGGTCAGGATAGTTTTCCACAGAAAAAAAACGAAACCGGAATATAAGCGCCTTAGAATTAGAACGTGGGTCACGACAATAGAAGTTATTAGATACCTATCTGGCAAGGCTTCAATAATTTAAACCAGATAGATATTTTCTAGTAACAGTTCAATTACCGATGCTCCTTTGAAATACAAATATCATGTGACAACTATAGTTACTAGTAAGCAGTATTAAGATGTAACAGAACTGATATATACTAGGTACGTAGGCATCCAAGTGGATAGCTAAACCATTCCCTGCAACGAGGCTACCTACTCATAGGACTAACATCTTAGGAACAATCTTGTATCCCGTCTTTTTCTATAATGAATGGCGTTTAAATCTGTTTGAGGATACGTGGGTAGAGTTCATTAAATTGACGCGTGCCAGGACTGATAGAAAGGACGGGTTTTGAACTACCCCTTTCTTTGGCTCTACCAAAGGTTTGAAAAAGACCTTCTGATGGCCAGTCCTAGGAATAATGTTAGAAATATGCATACCTCATCTGAAAAGGCAAGGAGAACTCAGAACTCCTCTTCCAACTGTGTCATTATTTTCCCATCTGACAGGTCTATGTCGTGACAGATTGAGTGAGTAACTACGCGTACGTAGACCGCCAAGACCTTCGCCGTCGATAGTAGTATTGAAATACGTTTAGAAGTCCTATGGATTGGAGAATTTGGCTGGATAGAATTGGCCGGTCGTCGTTTCCAAGAGTTGAAATGCAACATTCACAGCATGAGTCCTTGTTTCCGCTATCGTGTCTATGGAAGGTGAGTTGGAAAAAAACTATGTTCTCCAAAGCCAGCTAAGTAGCTATTCGGCCCATGGAAGCGAGATCATGGCTACTCGCTTGAGAGTCAACTTCCACCTTCCATATTTACCTCCGCTTACCATTCTCGGTCTTCTTATTAGCTAGTTTACTTCGTAGTATCGTGGATATACAAGGATTGTAGGTAGTTAGGTGGGGTGGAAAAAATGTCGAGATGGCGTAAACAGTCTTGGCTTAGAAGCTTAGAGTGGGCCTCAACTACCGTTCCGCATAGAAAAAGATTCGACGATAGGTCGCCGAAGGATCGATTACCGCTTGCCAATGTTCCTATTTGATCTTTATACCTATGATAGGCTCGAAAATAGGACCCGCGAGATGCAAGAATGTCCCAGTGCGTCGTGAGCCTTGTGTTAAGCACCTCGGCAGGGAATACTTTACATGCTACTGCAACTTCTTGGCGCCACCCTGACATTGGACAGTATAGGAGAGCCGCGCGTCCAGGTTACATAAGTCATTGTATTAGATTGACATTCGTGCCGAATCTGCATACGATGCTTAATTTTCAGATTTTTCTGAAGTCAAACTTCAATTAAGGTCATGAGATTCTGTTTCTGATGATAGGGGAATTCGGGCTTCCCTTTTACGCTAGTGCGGAGACCAGGCAGGACCAACGCTTCTTTCTGAGGATATAAATCTTTTCTCCTATGCTTTGTTAATTATAGAATATTATACGGATCATAAAGCATTGGAAAGCGGCAAAGTCCTAGTTGTTTGCGTTCACCAATCAACCAGGAAGGGATATCTGGCGCGAGTTGATCGCGGAGGAAAGACTCAACCCCATATTCAATAGATGCGATTTCGTAGAAGCTATCTTAAGTCTCCAGACCGCGTACCTAACCTATAGGCCTTTTGTCAGGCTACGTTGGCACTCCGAGACTCATTTGACGTCGTTCTTGGTCAGGATGATCAGCCTTTAGTATCGATGGGTTTTCAACCGCCCCATTTTCATTGGCTACTGATACCTGCCAGTCTTGTCCATTATGCCGAAGTGGGATGGACCCCTGATATGACCCGCTATCAGATCCCTGGGTGAATCTGTGTAGATCCTGGGGGCTAACGGGAGGGGAGCCCCGGCCATACCAATTTAGGAGAGTATCATTAGGGATAAGGGAAAAGAATATCGCGGCTTTCTTGAATGATAGACACCCTGGGCGAAGCCTTGGGCGAGCAGCTACATATTGACAATGTAGATCAAATCATATAAACGGTTGAATATATAAAGATGTCGATATCTTCCCAAATTGTGCACTCTCGACCTTCTCTCGGTCGTAGCCAGGGATTTCACTCTTTCTACATTACTTAGCGCTCTTTATTTCGGTTCACGATGGCTATCCTTCGCAAGATCGCCGCCTCCTTGGCGATTTCCTCCTTGATTGGAGCTACCGTTGCCCACCCGGGTGACAGCAAAGAAGTAGTCCGACATGAAAAGGCTATGCGCGGGCACGCTCAAGCTCACGCTCGACGTGCCATCACCGGTTGCGCGGAGGAAACTACAGCTCTAAAGGCTCGCTCCGTCGCTCGCCGTGCTGCTGCTGCTCAAGCACTTCGTGAGAAGCGCGGTCTCACTGACAGTAAGTATTCGTAAGATGCCCTTGCGATCCGTGTCTTAGTAGCTAACGATATCTCAGAGCGCATGAGGTCCAAGCGAGACCAGGCTGCTCTAGAAAAGTATTTGAATGTGTCGCATGATGCTTCGGAGTCAGGATATTCTTTAGATACCCCATTAGACGTGATCTTCTCCTCAAACGCGACCGCTGCTCTCATTCCTGAGGTTACGATTGGCCCATACTGGGTTGCAGGCGAGTTGATTCGGGTATGTTGGCGTTTAGCCTTCCGATATGATCTACTCATATCTCATTCTGGTTCAAGAGACATACTGACTCCGTGGGTTGTAGGCTGATGTTACCGATAACGAGCCAGGTGTACCGCTCCACCTTGACATGCAGTTCATCGACCTCAACACATGTGAAGCAGTCCCGAACATGCTAATCGACATCTGGCATTCCAACGCCACCGGTACCTACAGTGGTGTCGCCATGATGGGTCAGGCCGGTCTCAACACCACCTATTGCCGTGGAATCCAGACCACCAACGAAGACGGTGTAGTCGAGTTCGACACTGTCTTCCCTGGTCACTACATAGGCCGAACCCCTCACATTCATGTGATGAGCACCACGAACGCGACTGTGTTACCCAACAACACCTACGTCCTCGACGGCAAGACCAACCACATCGGCCAACTTTTCTTCGACCAGAGCCTCATCGACTCCGTCGAGGAGCTCGAGCCCTACAACCTCAACAAGCAGCCCCTGACTCTGAACATCAACGACGGGATCGACGCCCAGACATCTACGGCCGATTACGATCCTTTCGTCGACTACATCCAGCTCGGCGAGAGTCTGCAGGATGGTCTCCTCTCCTACATCACCGTCTTCGTAGACACCACCTCCAACCAGACTGCCTACGCCCACCCCGCTGCGCACTACTACGAGGGAGGCGGTGTTGCTTCTCCCGGCGGCGGCTTCCCTGGTGGTCCCGGCTTCCCCCCTGGCGGACCCGGAGGCCCCGGAGGCCCGTTCCCCCCTCCCCCTAACAGCACGCAAGCCGCGTAGGACGTCATCAATGATCGGTGTCTAGAGGATGGAAGTAGAGAGAGGCATGTGGTGTAGAAACAGAGTGTGGTTAGGTAGTTGTGTATAGCCCGCAAAAATTCGCTGTTACATAAGGCCGCTGCGGCGAAGTATGATAATAAACGGTCATTACCGCCGTGTCAATTACTGTTGTCGTCTTTTTAAGCAAGATCCTTGAAATGTGTTGTCTGTAGGCCTTTCTGGTTGTCGGAAGTGAGAATGTGCTCATACTAGCTTTCTTATGTCTTTTAATCGGGAATCCTTGTAAGAATCTGTGATTGAAAAATGTCCTTTGAAAGCCTTAAAAAATGTCAAATAACAATCTTGCCCGCGTCTTCGAATGATTCTGCATCTTCCGTAGTCGCCGATTCTTCCCGCGCATCAAAAACTCCACATTAGCGGGGTTTAGCGACACCGTGCTGCTTGAGGAAGTCAATGCGCTGTTGGCGATCCGTGAGGGCTTGGTACGCAGTACTACGCGGCGAGCCCCGCGAGAGCTTGTAGACGTGAGTCGCGTCGCGGACGGCGTAGGCTGTATAGTGTGTCTGTCGCCACCCATCGACCACCTTCGCTTTTTCGTTCTTCTGGATCCAGGTCTCGTTTTCGGGGGAGGGGTTGCGCGCGTGGCTGAAGACGCGATCGTCGGGTTCTTTTTCCCCGCACTTGGTGTTCATTTCGACTATTTCGTTTCCTCGGAGATCAGAGTCTTGTTCAATTAAGCTTCAATTGCATGTATAGGCGCGACGATAAGGCATAATATATGGAAATAAGCTGGCTGTTTCTGTGCGGTAGAGATTCGAACGGGAAACCGATGCTTTTACGTTGGCTGTAGAACTGGAATCATGACGAGATGATCGCTGACAAAATGGAAAAAGAAAAGTCCGCCTCCAGTATCCGAGACCCGACAATCTCCATACTCTATCAACTTAGAATTCGCTAATAATGATACATTATGATCCTAGCTACTAATGAGAGGCGACGATCGTTATCAAGAGAGAATGAGCCTCGCAGTTTAACAATCAGAGATGGAAACAGTCTTGGGAGTCGGTCACCATTCTCCGTGGCTTATGGTTGGTTACATGACCAAAGCTTCGATGCTAGTATATTTACCTACAAAACATGGGAAAGAAGTTGGCAATGTCGATGGTATGGAATTCGATTTCTTCAATGCGGTAGTTGTAACAATAATGTCGTGGCGTTGAGAGGCAGCAAAGCCGGGAGCGCGACGAAGCCTACGCCAAGGATGCCAAGACCATATATGTACCTATGTACATATAAAGGGGTTGAAGCATCGGGAGAGTTCTTGAGATTGAAGTCTTATATTCTACGGACCTAAAATGGTTACTTGGGTATCCTGTCATCTTTTTTTACTTCTCGGTTTATACCATGTTACCCTCGTACCAATACCGATGATTATTCTTAAGTTAGTTCAGCAGTATCACGAAATTATCATTAATGAGCAGACAAGACCTCCAAAGCATCGCGAACAGAGAAAAGGTGAAATTTGATTTAGCTGGTAAGCCTAAGGTTCCTTTGCGTTAAAAAAGTAAACAGGCTGATGAAAAAAAAGTTGAAAGGACCGTCGAGGGAATCGAACCCTCAGGCGAGCGTCACTTGAGAAACCAGAGCTATAGCCATGGCATCGTGTAAGCGCCGCCGTACCAACCCGGCCATTTGATCCAGTTGATTCTTAATATATTAGAAACTTCTTTAAGTAGGTATATAAGTCTTAACTACTATACGAGTGAAAAACCGAAGATGGGGCCACTCCTTATGAGCAGTGGCCAAGCCAAGGGGATATGAGATAATTACCTCATCCCTAGCTACCATCATATCTTTATGGACTATGTGGTTAGTTGAACAGAGCATACTAAACTAGAGACTAAAGCTCGTCTCTTCTTTATAGATCATGCTGTCCACTATATAGAAGATCAGTTGCGCATAAACGTAGGGTGTGGGATGTAATTATATAAACTGCCCAGGCGAATTCGCTTCTTCTTCTCGGAGATACGGCGTGTATCATTATCGTAATCTTATATTCTTCTACTCATGAAAGAAGCCAATGCAAGGAAGTTGTTAGAACATAATCATCATATAGCTTCACTTGAGGAGATAGAACCCTAGTGAAGACTAGCATTTTACATTATGATAGCTAGAGGTGACTCCTCCTGGAACCCCCCCTGCCCCCCTTTGGGCATTCTTCAGGCCACAGACTAACCCCCTGAACCAACACGTCCTCCTAATGATTGTGATGAGATTTTGTATTCGCATCTATCTACTGAAAACGCGAATTATCTACCATTAGCGGACCTATGAGACGTCACAAGTGTGACCAAACACCTGTACGCTACATCCCTCGGTTTGCTTTGGGGTGTAGTCGTATCTACTTTCGATACTCTCCAAATTGTTGACAAATAACAACCATTTAATCTCAATGAAAGGGTATGATGGACATTTGGAGGCAGCATATGGTTACTTCAGGATTAGGGGTTTCCAAAGCTGGCTATGAGTGATTAAACTATCGTTCGGGAAAATGATGTTTTCAATCTCAGAAGTATTGACATAGCCATATTTTGGTTTTTATTTCTTCAATTTAGAATATCGAGACTTGGTTGTTGATTTGGAAAACCTATTGTCCAGAGATATATGATGTCGCGCACTAATAAAAATCGTGGGACGTAATTTGAAGCTAGGAGATGTCGCTTCGCTGCGGGATCCTCATAGTAATCTAAGTAGAACCCTAGCGATAAGCTATTACGAGTCACTCAGAAGTTGTGTAATAAGCGGTGAACTAGTCTAGATACTAGGTATCAAGCAGCCGACAGATTAGCTATATGAAATTGATTGAGTCAAAGTGCCCGTCAAATCAAACATTATAGACACGTATTTTAACAACCAAAACATACTCGAAGAGTAAGTGAAGAACATATGTGGTGCTGGGGTTTGAAAGGAACCTATTGACGGACATATCACTAGAGAGCATCTATCAAGCCCTTGTTTAGATGATTGGCGGATATATTGACAAGGGGTCCCAAATGCCTAACGGCTCTAGGGCAGAAACGACAAGTGAACCTCTTTTCTCGGTTAGGTCTAATCACAAAATTAGGCCCAAGTACCTGGTTAGAGAGGGACGGACTATGACTGTTGCTTGTGGTTAACCCAAAATTACCTCGTGGCTGAATTATCCCTTTCAAAGCAAAGGGCTATAGATTATTAGCACTGACAATTTTAGCCTAAAGTCAACATTGTCCATATCAACAAGCCATCTAGCGAGGTAAAGCCTAAGCAGCCTTGCCAATGTTACTTCCAGTAACTTGTGATATATGTACGTAGTTACATCTAGTGATACTACCTAAAACTGGAGAGATAGAGGAGTTGCTTACGATCATCTGTAGTTGCCTCAAAGAAAGGGCCATACGAAGCACGGCCATTCTAACGTGAGGATATTGAGATGATGATATTCACAGGAAAATAAAAACAAAACAGAACCGGCCGATACGTCGGGCCAACAGGTGACCTTTCGGGGCCCACACCGATGAGATGCTGTCGATAAAAATTTCTTGGCTTCCCCGTTGTGTTCCCGACGGGCATTCCGCGAATGAGCCAGACGTGCAACCCCATAGAATTGGATGGAAGTAGTTCGGTTAGGCGACCGGACACGCCCGATCATAGAGCCGGTCTGCTTATCTCTGCACATTCGGTGTGCTACGTTACAATATTTCGACTCAAAGGATGGCCTGTACGTAAGCTCCCCCGCAAAACGTATGAGGTCTTTGATTACGTGATTCGGTTGTGCTTCAGAACTAGAACGAAGATGTTCCAAGTCACCAAGCCACAATCACATGTATCCAATTTTCTCGATTTTCTATTGCCCCAGAATTGAAACTCGACCCTGGACTGGGCTATTGACGTGAGAATACCTAGAGAGCTCGGTCAGCGAAATTCAACTAATAAGTCTACTAACCTGAGGTATCTTGCTGTGCTAAGACCGGTGACCGGAAGAGTCGGGAAAAATTAGTGGGAACTAGTATCCGAGACACCATCTGTTCGTGGGTTCATGTAGGCCAATGAATGCTTTTTTTCAGCTTAAAACACCTTTGGGGATGCATCTCCCGACGGACTCATTTCAGAATAAGAAAAGGCTATACTGCCAACTATCACCAACAAGCCAGTGTTGTAAGCGCCCTAAATAACAATTTAGATCCATGTAGTAAGATAGGGTATTAAGCACGCTTATTTGTCAGATGCGGCAGATGCAGTCGAAGTTTGAGTCGATAATTGCGATGCCATCATTTGACTGCTACGTATTCGTGGAGAGAAGTCGAAGCTGGTTGGATAGATGTAATGGTGGATCCACTCGTTTATGCACGAGGCAAGACAAGCTTTTTTAAGGCGTCCAGCGCGACAAGCTTTTTGGTCTGGCCCGGTCTGGCACTTTATATTTCATGTAGTGTGTACTTTTATTACCACGAGATCCTTCTCATTATTCGAGTATTCTATACAATACCCAGATTGTGCCTTCCCCTGCCGTTGATTTTGATGCGTCAATAGTGCAGGGGGGTCGTTGAAATGAATGGAGTCTTCTAACGTAATTAGGTTGCAGCTAGACTTAGTTTTCCATCGTAAAGTGCCACAAACCAACATCGAAATTCGAAGCAGTGGGTACAAGTTATCCGGCAGCCCGACAGAGTTTTGACCAGGGGTTGAATCGACGCGACGCCGATCAGGATTACCCCAGGCTTGGACAATCAAGCTTTATCGTTGTCCGCTCTTATGAGACATATTCTAACCTGCCCTAGCATCACAGGTACCGTACCTACCGACATGCATGTCTGCATACTAAGGTACATAGAGCTGAATCCCGCATATATATATCAATAATAACTCATATATCTGTCTGTGCAGTTCGTATCTTCGCTGTGTTATCCCGAGATCCCAAGAACCCCAACATTCCCATTCCTTCCAACTTGTATGTAAGGTACATACATGTGCCTTAGCCTAACGTTAGATAACGTTCAACGTTGAGGGATAGATGATATGGGAGGTACATATGCCTTAGTCTGTGCACTATGGGGCACGCTAACACAGACTTCGTAGCGGTCTAAACTGGTTCAAGTAGATTGCAGATACTCGGGATACTTAGGTACAGTACCTATCACTGGGCACTTGTAGTAAACATCAATCAATCGTCGGAATTGTTCCAAGGTTATCACACAGCCACTTTACATACATATATGTATAGCGTACAGTTGATCGTCTCGCAAAGTAGGTACATGCATTTCTTTGTACATGATGTACCTTGGTGGATTGGTAGAATGGTAGAACAGCATGGCGGCATATCAAATCAGATGGGTCCTTGTGCACATCTGATGCGACGGGCAATTAGGTCGCTTCCTCAGCTGATGATGGCTGGAAACTACTTCTGTGATGGGGTCTACCCCCTTCCCCCCTTCCCCCCATCCCTGCTAATTATTCCCTGACCCCCTATTGTCTACTTTTCATCTCCCCCAATTTCCAACCCCCAAACTTGCCAAGAACAACATTTTCATCGCTTTTCTTAACCTGCTCCATACCACAACTAATCGCTGTCCGCTGTCCACTGTTCTACTATCCGCTATCCTTCGCGTCGTCCACGTTCCTGAGATCCTGTCTCTCTTTCGTTGCCAGTCGATGACCGTTATGTCTCAACAATCCCTTAAATAGGATCATGATTACAAGAGCATGTGTATGTCTTGGACCCTTTTTTTTCTATTTCCTTACTCGGTAAACTCGTGCGGTTTCGTCATTTTTTCTTAGCATTTGGTCTCTTTTTTTTTCCCCGCTGCCGAGAGCTGTTTATTATTGCGATTGATCTTCTTGGCACCAGCCGAGCCCTCTCTAGAATCCCTTGGCAGGCCACAGCTGACGTTTTCTTTACAGCACTCCAAACCGTCCGGAATGTCGTGTACGTTGCCAAGAAAAAGCTTCTTTTTTCTTTTCCATCCTGATGGACACTGCCAAGCAGGTACTAGGTCGTTAACAAAAGCTTAACGACCTTGGCCGTTAATGGTTGGCTGGACGGCTACTAGCTGTAAATGCTTGATTTGACCGGCGATGATGATGATATCAATGGTGCCAAGTGCATCCGGCGGTGCATTCGCAATCGCTGCATCGCCTGCATCGTACGACGTAACATTCATTACACCGAAGTGCACTCTTCGGGTCTTGCTGTGCTTTGCGTGCTAGTATCTTTTACCACAGCACTACATCATAGACATCACTATTAGCCTAGCCGTCCATGCCCATGCCTGACTCGTGCAATCACTGAAGCCTACTATTTAAGGGGATCATGTGTATGCTGACACTCGAATAGATTGTTATTCAGCAATCCCAGCTGGTCAGATGGCCATTCGATCCCTAGCACCATTCTCAGAAACATCACCGCATTATCTGTATGTCTCGAGACTTAAAGACTAGGAAGAATCTCGAAATGGGTCTATTGCCTACTTACACGTCGTGACAGAGACAGATAGCATATTCCGAGGACCTACTTGGAAACGTTACTACTCTATCAACAACCTCGGTGTCGACGGCAAACGGAGTTGTCCAAGGCCTATTATACGTACCAGATTTAGCCGCCAACGACCCGTGCCAGAACCTAACAGCAGATTACATACCTAAAAATGTAACTCGCCAGGTCAACTTACCAACCACGAATTATAATCTAATAGCCCTTGCACCATGGATCAACACCAACTGTACCCGGTCGTTTCTCTCCTCGGCCAGGCTGGATCCTATTCGAGGCATGCTAGTCTATCGTCCAGATGACGACGACACCAACCAACCCCCGGATGCGGATGATGATGTTTGGAATCTAGGTGACGGAAATGCCTGGAAAGCGCAAAATCGATACCCCGTCTACGCAATTCCCGGCAGCTCAGGAAATCAGATGATGCGTCAACTCAGCCTATATTCTGGTGATTTATCAACAGTTCCCTTCAGCGACCAGATTATCTCGACGTATTCGCCAAATCCAGCCGATTATGTACGAGTATGGACGGAGTTATCAGTGATTACCGTGTCGACGACGCTCCCCCTCTGGGCCTTCATTCTAATTATTTTAGGGGTAATAATATCTGTTATCGGCAGCACATCGCTACTTATGCACTTTGTCCAGAGCCGTCGCCGTGCAGCATTACGAGGGCGTGTCGAACGGGGAGAAGTAAATTTGGAGGCATTAGGTATCAAGAGATTAAGAGTGCCATTAACTCATATACAAACTTTTCCGCTATTCACATATAATTACGATCCGCCAATACCAACATCCCCCACGTCGCCAAAATTCTCAAAGGGGAGGAGATCATCGGAAGCTAGTCGACAGCCCATCAACATGAAGGCCGAGAAAACCGATGCGCCTATTAACTATCAACCTGCCTGTCTTATTTGCTTAGAAGACTTCGAATCTAAGAAGACAATAATCCGGGAATTATCCTGCGGTCATATCTTCCACCCCGAATGCATCGATGAGTTTCTAAGCCAAATGAGCTCATTATGCCCTTCCTGCAAAGCATCGATGCTCCCTCCTGGCTATTGTCCTGAGATCACCAACTCCATGGTTCGCAGGGAATTTGGTACAAGGAGGCTTAGGTCACGAGGTGGTGCCATAATACACGTGGATGTTGAAAGAGGACGGGAAAGACTGTCGTCGTGGAGCAGCACTATGAAAAAACATATATGTCGTGTGTCATCTCCGAAGCCGGAAGAAGCCGTTGATTTGCCAGAACAGCGGCCCAGGATTGAGAGGCAAAGTACTGTCGGGACAGCGCGAGATCGTATGCAGGACCTAGTCGTCCCCGTCGACGAAACCAATAGTGATGACGGGCGGCCTCAATGCAAGTTGCCTGCTACTAGAATACTAGAATGATTCAAAACCTAACCAGTCAATAGGGAAACGCACGGCTCTCAAAGTCTTCCCGGGGTTTAGATAACCGGATTGGGGACATTTTATACGTTAACGGAATGGCATTTGCATGGTTTGGCGTCTGGTTAACAGGATAGCATATTTATGGGAGCTTAATGCGGGGCCTATCAAGGCGTTCATGAGGAAACGGATATTGATTTTAACGATGCCCCCGGCATCCATGGACGTGGGTCGCGGTGTATTAAGGAATCGGGTTTGCATATGAAGACTGCTTGGATATACCCAGATTCGACATGATCGATTTTCCCGAGGAATACAAAGAAGAATTCGCATTGTTAATACTTAGTACAGTACCTGAACTTGAATAATGACTGTAGATGTGCGGTACCACAATACGATCGTCCCCTTATTCAGATCTGCAGGAAATATTGCTGGTCCGTGCACGTAAGCCTCATTGACTGCATGGATGTGCATAAGAAGGATCCGTAGCCTCTTTGTAGCTCTCCCAAGACCGACACAACTAAGAAGCATTCATTCAGGAATCCCCGAAAAGAGCCGTCTAATTTCCCACGCGATGGACCCCATCTCTTAAACTCCTTTTTCAATCCCAAGAGAGATGAGATGATATGATATGACAAAGGACGTCATTGCATTAGCTACCACGGACGAGCACGCGACATCATGTCCGCGAACCACGGTGGAGTCGACGCGACGTCATCGACGGCAGATATCCCTACCGACGTCGCATCGTCGCTCCCCCCGGCCCCCGATCACAAACTCCTCACCCCGGCTCCCGCGCGCGACGCTAACGACGGCAAGCCCCTCGTCATCTGCTTCCACGGCTCCGGCGAGTCGTGCTCCCCGTCCTGGGATCGGCTCGCGGAGTTGTTGACTAGGGAACCGTTTGGGATGCGTGTTTTGATGTATAATCGCGGGGACTTGAACCCGAAGCCGCCGCTGGCGACGAGGCAGTTGAGAGGGTACTTGAGGAGGGAGGGCTTGGGGGGCCCGTATTTGTTGGTGGCGCATTCGTATGGCGGGTCTTTTGCTAGGATGTTTTTGGAGAGGGAGGAGAGGGGGGAGGGTGTGGATGATGGAGATGGGAATGAGGATGGGGATGGGGATGGGGGAAGTGATGGCGATGCGTATGCGCCGAGACAGGTTGTGGGTGTGGTGCTTGTTGAGACGGGCCAGGAGGGCGGGTTGGATCCTAATATTGAGGAAAGGCAGTATAAGAGACGTGTCCTAGGACATAGGCCGTTGAGCGTGATTAAGGGGAACTCGTTCCTGAGGATGTGGGATGATCTTGAAAGAGCGGAGAAGAGTCTAGCGGAGGGGGATGAGTTTAGGAGGGGCGAGTTGATGAAGAGGAGGGTGATGTTGGGGGTGTGGGAGGATGCGGATGAGGATATGAAGAGGAAGCAATTAGATCTTGCGAGGGAGGGAGCCGCGAAGAGGTTGGTGAATGTACCGGATTGTGGACATAATGTCCAGAGAGATCGCCCGGAGATTGTGGCGAAGGAGATAGCGTGGGTGGTTGAGAATATGAGGTTAGGAGATGAAGAGACTGAGGAAGAGGAGGAGATGGATGGGGGGTTGAGTATGGTTGAGAGGGCGAAGCAGAAGGGGTGGTTGAGAATCGGGAGGGAGTTTTGGAAGGTTTATGAAATGATCATTGGGAGGTTCTTTGATAAGTCGAAAAAGTAGGTTCACTGCGTATAATATGTAATGATAATGTTAGGCCAATTCAGTGGTTAGCATTGATTCTTGTAGTTCTATTTTCGAAATGTGGAAGCTAAACATGTCTACGATGAAGATGAATACGATCGTGTTGACTACTATACGATTGGATACCAGGTACCTGGTAATCTCATGAGCAACATGATTTCTAGGTCCAGGGGCGATGACTACTAGTTTCGTTACTGAGATTCTACTCTCTAAAGGCATCAAAACAACTGGTACAGCAATCAGTCATGAGCCTTGGATGACTATCAATTGGAACTATTATAACCATTCACGTGTCTCATGTATGGTGAAATAAAGGGGTGTCATGTGACCTAGAAGCTACCAATAAAATGGCTACTGAAGGAGCCATCTTTACTGTAACGATTAGCATGCCGCCTTCAGCTATCAATAAACTTAATAAACATCCCCTAGGATACATCTAGGGAATCAATAGCGAGAATGATTAGGAGGAGTAGTATCGAGAGTGGGGAATACTCATCCGAGATATCCGTCCATACATAATCGCTGGCGCAAAACTCAGTCAGATCAATCTTTGAATTCTGAGGTTAAGGTGTTCGTGGACAGAGATTGAACATTTCTATTCCATGTAGCCTATCGAAGAATTAGGCTAACCTAACCTCTGACAGGGTTAATAGGGATTAAAGGCAGCTCCATGTGCTGTTAGGTCTTCACGAAGAGATTGGAGCCTATGCTTCCCATGGGGAACAACCCAACTTTCCGTGTTACCACTCTCTTGATTCTTATCTTTTGATATGAATTTCTAGCATGTCGTGGCACGCCACAGGTTGCAGCAGGACTTTGGATACGAGGGCTACGCCTCATAAGGTGGATATTGGGTATGATGACGCTCGTTCCCGCCCAATTTGATAGCTGACCAGACTTTTTTGGTTAAGAAATAGTATCGCGCGATTGATTGAACCTCTGTTTCCGCAGTCACTTCGCATGATATATTTGAGCTTCATCGTTATGGGTTGGTGGCTACACCCTGTACTCCATGGGGCTTACCAGTGAGGCGATGAAAATGGTTGCTTTCAAATTCATAACTGGATATCATTAAACCAAAACGGCTTGCTGCTTGTGCAATGAAGGATTCGATGGAGGACGTGTCTCCGGGTCGGATATGAGAAATGCCTCGCCAAGATGAATGTGCAAGACATTGAATTGAAGGTTGAAGGCAATTAAAATATGACATCTATGTATATAAATGCTTATATAAAGATAAATCATTGGCCGAAATGTACTAGCAAGTACTACTTACATATGTAGTACTGGGTCGATATCTCACATAAGCCTACATGTAAGGAAAATGATTCATGATGCCAATTTGAAGGATCGTGTAGTTCCCGGATATCGATGTTGGTTGGATTCCGTTGGAAACAACGTGTGATGCCGCAGTGCCGGTAACGCAGAATGAACCAACGTCATTAATCTTGACGTTCTTTTAAGGTTCTGATATCCAGCATTATTCGTGTTAATGTAAAGGTTCTTGAATTCTTGTGCAACCTTGATATGTAAAAAACAATATGGATTTTCATTTCCTGGTAACATTCAGATGATACTGTTGTCGTACCAGATTGAACACTAAGTTATTGGCTTACATAAGAAATAATTCTATTATATGGGGTAAGGATCTCCCAGATCTGCGGTAAATATCTTCTGTACCTGACTAATAAACTCAAGTAAACAACGCTACTGGGAAGGTACGAGAGCCAATTAGCTACCAGGTAGCGACCAGTAGGGGCTAGAGAAGCTTGGAACATGCCGTCTAGCCGGGAATTTGGCGGCTTCAGCAGCGTAATACGAGCGGGTCTCCCCAGGGTTACCCGGACTTCTCAGGGAGGTGCACCGACAATTTACCTAATAAACTGTCTGGGTATCCCTGGTGCTCGTCAGCTTCGCCAAGAATCTTTCACAATTCCTGACACTCACATTTGTTATCCTGTGCAGCCCGCGTTTCACTAATGCGATTTGCTCGGCTCGTCGTCAGATCCAATCCGACTTCTATTTCTATCCACGGCATTTCTTACTGGCTGCGTATGGTTTATTGGTAATGTATCGCTATTATCCCTATCACCTAACGGGGCGAGGGATATCTATTATATCTCCATGTTTGTTGAAAATGTGGAATGGCAAGTCCGACAACAACCTCATAACGCCATGATAGCTATCTTCCGACGGAAAACACGAGTCGCCGCCGCACTTTTTCTAGTACTCGTCTTATATCTCCTAGTCGGACTTATCCCCGAGCATCGCGATACACTCTTCGGCTTTACCTATGTTAGGACGAGCTATGACTGGTCTAAGCAATCATTGAAGTACCCTATATCCGAATATACGCCTCTGCCGACGGGTAGACCTTTATCATTACCTAAAGTACAATATGCATTCACTACCGATACGAGCCCTGCCGGTGTTGCGAGGGAGGAAGTGCTTGCGAGTCGGCGGGCCGAGGTGAAGAGTGCGTTCGTTAAGAGTTGGACTAGCTACAAGAATGTCGGTTTTGGTTACGACGAGCTTATGCCAGTGTCGGGGAAAGGAAGAGACGCACCTGGGTTTGGTGGATGGGGAGCCACGCTTGTCGATTCTCTCTCGACACTTTGGATTATGGGCCTCAAGGAAGATTTTTACGAGGCTGCTGCTGCTGCTGTGACTATTGACTGGGCTGACACCAGGGATAATTCCTGCAACTTCTTCGAAACCACGATTCGGCATCTGGGCGGACTGTTGGGCGCATATGATCTGAGCTTAGAGACCGCACTACTCGAGAAGGCTATCGAGCTCGGAGATATGCTCTTTATGGCATACGACACTCCGAATCACATGCCCCCATTCTGGCTAGACTTTGATGACGCTAAGCGTGGTAACCAGCTCGCTGGATATCACGACCCTTCAGCCTCTGTCACGTCGTCATCCCTCGAATTTAGTAGGCTGGCTCAGCTCACCGGAAACGACAAGTACTACGATGTTATCAATAGGGTAGCATTGGTATTGGACGAATGGCAGAATAAAACAGCACTACCGGGCATGTGGCCAACATTCTTCGACTTCAACCAGCTTCAGCTGGACAGTGACAGTAGCTTCACGTTGGGCGCACTAGCGGATAGTTTGTATGAATATCTGCCCAAGACTTTCGCCATCCTAGGTGGGCTCGAGCCAATGTATGAGAAGCTCTACCGAGGATCGATGGATACAGTCATCAAGAATTTGTTGTTCCGACCAAAGACCCCGGACCAGGATGATATCCTCTTCTCTGGAAATGTGTATGTCTCATCAGACACAGGGCCACACCTGACTGCAGAGGTGCAACATCTTGGATGCTTTGTGGGGGGAATGTTTGGGCTGGGAGGCAAACTTTTCAACATCCCGGAACATCTCGAGATCGGCGAGAAGATCACACGTGGCTGCGTGTGGGCCTACGACGCGATGCCTACAGGTATCATGCCCGAGATCTTCAACCTAGAGAAATGCGACACATTAGATCCATGCGAATGGGATGAGGAACAATGGGAGAATGAGGCCGATACGACACTGAAGAAAGGTTTCAAGAATGCTCGGGATCCGCGTTACCTTTTACGGCCCGAGGCTGTCGAGAGCGTATTCTTGATGTACCGCATGACTGGTAACTCAGAGTACCAAGAGATGGCGTGGAGAATGTTTCAATCCATTCGAAATGCAACCGAGACAGACCTAGCATTTTCATCAATCAATTCCGTCAGGAACGTTGATACAGTTAAGTCGGATTCTATGGAGGTAAGTCTATGCGATCTATGACGGTGCTTCGGATCTTGACTAATCATATTATAGAGTTTCTGGTTAGCTGAGACGCTCAGATATCTCTACTTGACATTTTCTTCTCCTGATCTTGTCAACTTGGACGATTACGTCTTAAATACCGAAGCTCATCCCCTCAAGCGTCCTAGATGAGTAGTCGGAAATCAGTTATCACCAAAGTAAGCAGCAGTTACCAAACTACTCGGAGCACTTGGGTATAGCCGGGCATAAGAAGTGCTCTGGATGTTTCCCATCCGAAGGTGAATTTTACGAGACGCGGCTCAAGTCTCCTGCCATCCCCGCGAGTAGACTTCGTAGGGTGGTTTAAGATAATGTGGAGTGATACCGTGTCGACAGAGACAAGGATCGACGATCTAGAGTTGGGGTATCTCGATGCGAGATATGATTAATGACAAAAACTACCGTATATAGAGGGCGATAGGGCGTAATGATAGGTCATCATAATAAGGCTGCGATAGATCTAATGGTAATAATACATCCACCAAGCTATAGATGGTATACCCAGAAGACCACTTTCCATCCAGCTGCCGAACGAGAAACCGTTCTTCATCGTGTATCCTTTCTATTACCGTGCAGGGCTATGTCATACCTACGAGTAGGTAGGTACCCAATGTTGCATGTCATATTCTTGCAGTCTTGGTAAACAAACTAATTACATGCAGCCTACCTCTAGCTCAACTAGTCCCCACAAGTTTTGTAATGGGAGTCCTCACTCCGTTAGGCTACTAGGCTACTAGATAGCCCCCTAGATAGCCCCCTAGCTAGATACCTAGCTGCCGTAAGTTAGTATCCAGCTGATGGCTTGAATAGGGGACCATGACAGCGCATCGCATACCTACCCGCCTATTGCGGTGATGATGTGCCCCCTTTTCTTTTTCTTTTTTCTTTTCTCTTCTCTTCTTTTCTTCACCGTTCGGCTAAAGCGCTGTGTCGTGCACCGTATCTGCAAGGACATTTGCATATCAAATGAAGCAGTTGTGGATATTTCTTCAATGACTCACCTTGTATCTAATTTTGGTGCATGCGTACATAATAATACGTACCTGGTATGTAAGTCAAGAGATCCAAGGTTGACGAGATAATATGCGTTTAGGCTTGTTGGTAGTTCGTCATCTATTACATGCATATCCTAAGGTGGTATCGCATTTGGAGAAATAGCTATGGAAATTAAAATTTGCTATCGAGAATTGAAATAGCCTTGGTACCTTAATGTTAGTGTCATCAAATCCCTGGTTCGAATACGCCCCAATTAGTCGGGTACTATCTGTACCTAGTGGTAAGTACCAGGCGCATTACGGCACTATCCAATCCTTTGCCGCGCTTTCCATGCTTGCCATGTGTAAAACACGTTTTAATGACGATAGATGGAAGTTACGAATTAGCCAACTAAATGACCTCAGACTGGAATGTGGAGGTAGAAGAGACAAGCGCGAACTGCTGAACCCACTCAACGGCATTGCTTGACCTTAGATCTATATTGGATCAACTCAAATTTGACTTCTATCAAAACTTCGAACCTTCAAACCTCCAAAACTGGGAAAACTGAAAACTCGAAATATTCGACAACAGCAAACTTCTTCCAGTCAATGATCACCGGAATATCCGTCTTTGCTCGTCTATCTGAAACATTAGATCAGTCAAGATTCAAATGATCGACTGCACTACGCACAGCTTCGTAGTATGCAGTATACACCGCCATCTGCTCGCTACATAGTACGTGACCTAGCGACAGACCAAAATATCCATTCAAGGTAGCCGCATAGCCTTCTCTACACAGCTCAGCACACCCAGCACAGCTAGTACACCCTGGACAGTGGCAAAATCTACATTATCGCAAATTAACTACGTGTTACACGTCGTTTGGGATATCATTTTGTCCTTGACAAATCCTCCCTCGACTAAACCAGAATCAGGGTGAACTTTTGTCCCCTTGGCTTGATAGATGATCGAATCATGGCTTAGGAATTTTAAGGCGCCGCATACAATCTGCGCCACATTCGAATTTTGCAGTCTACAAACCAATTTTTGTCAGTTTCTGTTGCATCGACCTCGACCAATCTTTCTGGATCCTTGAGAATCGATAGGATCTCACTTTCCTCGAAGACATGGATTGTTTTGTCTATTGATTATGAACCAAATCGTTAAACCCACTTTGACTGGGCGAATCGCTACTATGGTGAGTTGATCCTCACCACGGTCAAATGCGCCGGTGTTCACCATGCTTCGAATCGGCCACCCTACCTTAGGTACCTAGTCGGTATCTGAGTAGCTACCTACCTAGGTACCTACCAATCGTTGAATTTTTCGTTCGTGCCCAAGCGATGGATTCGGCCGGTTGCCGAGAAACTGTATGTCGAATGCATAAAACGTCCTTAACTCTCGGGCATGAACTCATAACCTCGTCGCCTTGTGTTGCTGAGTGGATAGCAACAGGGAAAACTCATATTCATTCCTGTCGGCTACCTATGCGGGCACTATGTGCGGGCGCTATGTTCATCGTTTCTTTTACTCAAGCCAATCCAGCCCAAATTCCATGGCGCTGAGCCGCTGAAAATACCTACCAACACCTACCTAAGCACTGGTGCCCGATCTATGCCCCACCTCCTACTCATATCCGCCCAACTAGGTATCTTTCACCTTGGGTGTTTCCTTTTCCTGCTAGTAACTTGCAACCAGCTCAAAGGCCAATTACCTAGGTGCAAATCCTTCTCGGTGATGGTTCCGAAGACCTGAACGAACCAGAAGAACCAAGTAGGTAGATGTCCGATATACACCATGAAACCATGTATCTGGATTTGTTCGTTCACGTACCTACCTACTAGGTACATAGGGGTCGAATCACCCCTCCGTGGCTTAGAAATTAGAAGCACGATGCGTAATACGTAGCCTGAGGGGTGATATGTACCTATTCCAAGGGTGTATTGTACAGGATGGCCTTACAATTGAGCTACCCCGCTTGGGTCTGATGGGACTCAGCCATACCCGATTGACATGAATACATCACAGAAAACAGAGAATGCAAGCGCAAGTCTCGTCTTCTGGATATACCGCCGACAAGTGTCACTACTGAATACAACGAGGTGAGCCCACTCCACCTAAAGAACATTGTATTTTTTAGGAGAATCGATTTAGGGGTGCTAGGTATACACATTTTCCCAACTTCTCATTTTCTGCGATCTCCGTCTTCGTTGCTGTGCTAGGACAACAGCCAGGACAATAGAGAGTACCTTAGTACTAATGTAGTCGCGAAAGACTACTAGGACAACTCTTCGTCAAAAATTCCGCAGGCCCTCTGCGCTGTTCCCATCTTTCTGAACGATGGAATCATTCTTAATGAAGCATTCCCGCGCGTGTTTTTTCCTTTGGAATACCCAGAGGCTAAATATCCGCCGCCGCCCTTAACCATATTCCTCGAACCATCACGATAAATTCCTTACTGTGCTAGGGTGTTACTCTTGGAGGCTCTCACTATGAATAATTATCCTACGTCGCCGTTATCATCGCCTTCTTATGGTCACAACATCGACAGTGGTGCTAGCTTATGCAATATCAAGACGTTTGGTTTTATTTGCGACTTCTTGGACTCATTGCGCGCCCATGCGGATGTGTCGGACGGTAGGTGTTCTAATTATTGTTTGGGAAGGCAGAGTCAGCTAACGAATTAATCAGATACTGACGCTGCAACATCTGATCTACATTTCCTACATTCATCCTCGATTCCCACATTTCAATCCGATCGACCGGCGGGCAATAACCAGGAACCGCCCGTGAACGCTAGCTTGGTTGACGGCTCTTCCAACAGTCGAAGTAAGGGCCGCCAATCACAATGGCAATCCTCATGGCGGTTCATCAAAAAGATCGATGATTACCATCAAAGGCTTCAAGAATGTCTGAAGAACATCCCGGGCGAGCTCAGTAGCTGGTTAAAAACGTGTGGCGAGTCAAAGGATATCAGAAACTGTGGTTTGCGGGCTCTGGGGGACATTCTACAGAATGCGATCCCATCTGAATTTCCCGAGATAATCTGTGCCATGATTGTCCAGCATGCGATTTCTCATTATGCTTCTGAAAGAAGCTCCTTCGAAGACGTCCAGTCAGCATTCACTAGTTGGAGAAACACGGTACCGTTAAATAAAACCAACCAAGAGAGCCTGGATATAGTATTCGAACAGCTGAAGTTAGCGGACAAATCATCATTAGAAGATGCTCGACCTACCCGACCTCCTTTCGAAACACAAGTTTTTGAGACGGGGAGACAATTTACAAACCCAAGTCCTAATTTCTACCCTCAGACTATCAACGACAACTCTCTGTCCATGTGGCAGTTTCCTAACACGAACTTCACTCCTCGTATGAATGGAGACTACCTTACACCCTACCCGTTAAACCAACCTCAGCCACCGAATTCATTCGATCTATTGGGCAATCAGTATTCCATGCCGTTCGTCGCGCCAGCCAATAGGAACCAGCCATTTCTTTCGCATGAGGTTGATGCACATTCTACATTTCAGCGCCAGCCTCATTTACACGACCCTGGACCGTCGTATGAATATCCCGAACCGTTCGGCTGCCGCCCCCATGGGGCCCAGTTAGACCCAGGTGCTTTAAACCAGTCCACCTCCTTTATGATTTTCAAGAGATTCATAGATAGTAGGTGAACCGCTTAAGTGTGCTACGATTAGTTGTTTATATGATGCTAGACTTCACGGATCAGGGTGATCTGCCTCACCTTTTCGCTCAGACGCCAATTCGCTGGAATAACTTTCCATTGACTTCTAACGCCCAAATTTTCGAGAAAGTGTTCTTCAATAAGATTGACAAGACCTTCTTGAGTCCGCTAAAGGATTCTATTACGCAATATTCACAGCATCCGATAGCGCAGGCAATCGTCTCAGCTACATGGTCGGTGACATTGCTTGGTGCCTTGCACTCAATAGATGACGCGGTTCGATATATGATCCATCTAAGTAAAGTAGGTTTTAATCATCCATCCCCATTTCTCTTATACTAATGTATTTTATTAGAGTTTATTTCCGGATACTCACTCTTGTCGTCACTTCGCCGAGATCGTGTTGAAAGCCTGCCCTTTACCCTATGTGGTAGATGTGTCAAGCAGTTCTACGGGTCGCCCAAGACATAAAACAACCCATAATTACGATCAAGAACTCGACAAGATAGAGAGAGGGTTCAATGGGGAATATCACCCCGCGTATCTATTTGCGTCTCGGGCCTCTCATTCTCGAGACCCTCGAAACCAGCCCACAATTCCCTCTCAGGGTAGCACTAGTCAGCCGACACTATCCATTGAGTCAGCAGGTAGTTATACACATAGTGTGTATGGAACCAATACGGAGATTTCCACTCCATACGAATTGTATGTTTATTCTATAACTAGACCTCGATGTTTGTGCACATCTAATACCCCTTAGGAATAACAACCAAGCATCTTCTCCACTGATTACTGTGCGGTGTAACCAATGCGACAAGGTTTTTAAGGGCAAAAACATCAGCTCACACCTGTCTCGGCATAAACGATCACACGTGGACGCGACCATAAAGTGCCCAAATGGCGACTGCACCAAGACGTTCAAAGGGGGGCGCACCGATAATATCAGGGCGCACTGCAGGAACGTCCATAACCTGTCGTTGCCAGAGGATGGGAGGGCGTTCTGGGCAATGCTGTATGGGTCGCCTGAATAAGCCGGCCCTACCTGTTGCCCATCCAAGGATTTATTACTGCCTTATATGTTAACATGGCTTATATCATTCTACGAATGTCTAAGCGCTACGTATACGACTTCACATTTTCATCACCACATACCGACTACTCTTATGTCCGACTCTTATATGGCGCTATCTCACGAATTGTACGACATATACCCCTACTTATTTTTTGACATTCGTCTATCCTACTTCACTTACATCAACTACGTCTTTTTTATATTTGCATTAGGTGTTCGGGTTATATGGGCTATAGATATTTGTATTGAGTTGCAGAACAAAACAAGACAGGACAGGACAAACAGGACTGGATCATTGCTGAAGATGTCGATGACTGGGCGACTCATGATCTTGCCCTTGTCGCCAGACATTGTACCTTACTGAAAATCACGGGTTTTTGATTTTATCGTTGGGATTTGCTTAAAGGCGTATCATGGTTGGGCTTACACTTTTGGAAGACTTCATTGTCGCAAAACTGCTTCTATTTGCATAGTATATATCAATCATAAAAATTGTACATACCACCAAAGGTCCGCCATCTGTGTCCATTGATATGTATGTCATCTATTGTCATTATATTCCCTCCCTCTACGTCGACTAAATCCGTTTTAATTTTAAAGCCTGAGTCTAGGTAGGTACCTAGCCGTATCCTCTTATGATCTTTAAACTTTTGACACCTACACCTGTATACCTCGATACAACCCCTCACTCATCCTCCTCCTCCTCCCCCTCACTCGTCTCATCCTGCCTAAAAACCACCTTCTCACACAACTGCAACGTCTTCCGCACCGGCAACCCCACCACATTATCCACCGCCCCATCCACCTTCTCAACTAGCAACGCACCCGCTAAACCCTGCACCGCATACCCGCCCGCCTTATCCGCACCCTCGCGCGTCCGCACATACGCCTCGATCACATCATCCGGCAACCCGTCCATCTCCCGCGCGAACAACACCTTCGTCTCCTCCACATACGACGCCATCGCATACCCCGGGTGCGCCGCGTCCGCTCGTGGCGCCACGCAGCAGATCGCTGTGAGCACTTTGTGCGATCTTGTGTCTCGCAAATGGCGCAGCATCTTCACGTGCGAGACTTCTGATGTCGGTTTTTCTAACACCACGCCTTCCCGCGTTACGATCACCGTGTCGGCTGCGATTACCAAGTCCGGGTCTCGGCGGTTGGTGTCGTCGATACTGGTGGAAGTGGTGGTGGAGGCTTGGTTCTCTGCTGCTTCGGCGATTAGGGCGGCGTATACGTCGAGCGCTTTTTGCTGCGCGGTGGCGGAGACGTAGGCCCAAGGCCCGAGCTCGGCTTTGGATAGGTCTTCGGGTTTGGTGCTGGGTCGGATTTCGAGATTCGGCAGCCCGAGTTGGGAGAGTAGGGCGCGGCGGCGCGGGGAGGAGGAGGCGAGGATTGTGCGGTGCGTGCGCATGTATTTTAGGATCGGGAGGTCGAGGAGGGAGCCTGGTGGTCGTCGGACGGGGGGAGGGCGGATTGGGAGGGGGTGTGTGGGGATTTGCTCGCCTGCGGCGGTTTCGTAGTCTGGGGGAGGGTCGGAGGGGGTGGGTTGGAGGAGAGGCTGTTTTTTGTCGTCGTCCATTGTTGTGGTTGGTATGGGGGAATAGGGGTTGAGAGTTAAGGAGGTGCGAGGAGTGCTGATTTTGAAGGAAGGATCGAAATTGATGTTAATATATGGGTTAGAGAAACTTGATATGGGGGAAGATGAAGATAAATAGAAGTCGGACCGGAGTTTCTGGAATTCTGATCGACTTTGTCAAAGACGGAAGGGAAGTCAATGGAAAGTTAATCGTAGGTTCGAAACGTTGGAAACGTTGGAAGGGCCAGTGGGGTTCAGGGTGTAGGTCCGGGGAAGCTGCGTCACAACTTTTAGCTTTAGCTTATCAATTGATCGTGTGAGTACGAAGGTACAAGAAGGTATGACGGATTACGGAATCCAGAGCTTCCCGTGGCTCAGCTGGGGCTGGAAACTGCAAGCTCAAGCTTCTTTTATGGAACGTGATGGACAGGGATATCCGTCATTGACTAGTGGGGCCGAGAGTGTCACATGCACTTCTCGAGCTGAGATGCCATTTGTAAATGAAACCAAAAAGTTAAATCTCATTAAATTTATCATAACTTACATCCCGATCTCAAACGGCGGGCATCTCGGAGCAATCTTATCTATATTCCTGACGAACACATCCTCCCGTCCCGATCCCCTGTAAGATGTGTGCGCCGGGGATCTCAAGTCTACACAACAATCACAGGCCATTAGCAAACTGTTCCATCCAGCACTTGTCTCATGTCTTCAGATACTTGGCTTAGACATCCGCGAGTAGAGTTTGTCGGGACTTCCGTCTTAGTTAAAAATACAAGATAACAATTGAGAAAACTGCTACGCGCACAAGGGAGACCGACATTTGTTCGAAGTGGGATTATCAATTTTGGGTTTTGGTTGCCTCGAGCAGAATGTCAGAGCCGCGGTCCAAATCTCCTCAGGGCGGAGAAAATGGTCAGGATTCGGGAGCACAGGACGATAAGCCGCGCCTGACCGAAGAGGAGAAGAAACAAAACCATATCGCCTCGGGTAATTAACCTACCTCATATACTCATCCGAAGTTTTATCGGCATAACTCTGGATACTAATACTGCTCGCAGAGCAAAAGCGCAGAGAAGCGATTAGAGCTGGGTTCGACCGCCTCTGCGACCTCGTACCTGGTCTGGAAGGCCACGGTCGTTCCGAAGGTTTTGTACTGAAGGAAACGGTGAAGTATATGAGGGAGCAACTTGCCCGACGACGCGAATTAGTTGAGGAAGCCGAGACGCGGGGAGCTACTGTCCCAGATCACTTGAAAGAGCAAGTAGCCCTTCACTTCAGTTTCCCCCCCTATAGATTATAGCACATATATTGACTATTACCGCAATCTTCTAGGCCTGTCAAAATTCTAGAGAGGATGGAGGCCCGGCAGAGGGATTTACATGAAAGGTTTGGAGGAAAAAGTTCGGACGGAGAGGGCTCATGATGTAGATGACGGCCAAAGCGCAGGCATTGTCATCAATGTTTACTCAGATCATAAAACGACTAGATATGGGATTAATATGAATATAATGGATCAATTGAAGCAGACTACAGAGTCTACGATTTTTTATTATTCGAATGATTCAACTTTCTTCTTGAGAATGTCATATAATTCTTCTGGCTTCATCACGCGACGTTCAGTGTCAGCACTGTCCAATCTTGAAAAGTCGACAGTGACAGTCCCATCGGAAACCTGGGCTGGGCCAACGGTGACAATAACGCCGTAGCCCTTAGATATAGCTGCTTGCACTTTGCGCGGCAACTTTCGGCTAGTTTCATCAATATCTACCGTTAATTGAAATGGGTTGGCAATTGGACCATCAGCTGGCCCATCCATACCCATTAGGACGGCTTGGGCAGTCCTGGCTAACTCATTCACTTTTCCATCTGCATCCTCGTGGGCTGTGAGTATTATCACCTGCCTCGGATTTAACCAAAATGGCCACTTGCCATTGTAGTGTTCGATGAGCAAGGCCATCAATCTCTCCACTGAACCTAGCACAGCTCTGTGGATGAGGACGGGCGTTACCTTTCCATTTTGTTTTAGTAAGGCCTGATCGGTTGTGATTTCTCCTCTCCGCTCGAATTCAGGCGCTGGTGCTTGGTAAGTTAAGCCAAATCGTTTCGGTAGTTGGAAATCGAGTTGTATTGTGGCTGTTTGATGTTCCTTGCCATCCGAGTCCCTCAATATTATATCAATCTTGGGTCCATAGAATGCACCGTCACCCTCATTTATAGTCCATCCTTGACCGGAGGCGTCTAGAGCTCTTTTAAGACCATTCTCGGCGCTATCCCATTCCTCAATAGTCCCGATGTAATGCTCTGCAGGACGTGTCGAGAGTGTTAATCGGTAAGAACCTAGTTTCAAAGTCGAGTAGACAACACGGACAAAGTCGAGTGTCTTGCTGATTTCTTCCTCAATTTGTATCGGTCGGCAAAAAATATGGCCATCGTCTTGATGGAAACGCCGCACTCTAGTTAAGCCACTTAGGGCGCCGGACAGTTCGTTTCTGTGGAGGGGTGAAAAATCGGCGTATCGAACAGGTAATTCTCGATAACCCCGATGTACGGCCGCAAATATCAGACAATGGCCCGGGCAATTCATTGGTTTAAGGCCATATTCGTCTGTGTCTTTGTTGTAGCCGCCACTATCGCTTCTTGACGGCGACATGCTAGTCACAGTGAACATGTCATCGCCGTAATGTTCTAAATGACCCGATTTCTCCCATAACGACTTTTTATAGATAGTAGGCGTAATAACCTCGTCAAAGCCATATCGTCCATATTGCTTTCGAAGGAACTCGACGAGGCGATTGAATATTCGAGCACCGTTAGGCAGAAATAGAGGCGAGCCTGGACTATATTTGGAGGTTACGAACAGTTCTTGTTGGATGCCGAGTTCTCGGTGATCTGCGGGGGGTTTCGGTGGGAGTTCCGTGGTTGAGTGTGAAGAACAGCTCCGGAACCATAAGTGAGTTGGAGGGGCTAATGACTCGACCCTTCGTATTCGCGTCACACATCTCAATATATGAGGGTGTATCCTCACCACGCTTCGTGCGAACATGCCGCCAATCAATCGTCACTATAAAACCATGACGAGCTTTGAGAAGCTCTAAGAAATAAACGTCAGAAAAATTCTAAGTTCAAAAGAATTGATTCGCACAGATAGATTGGAGAAGTGACAGGGATCATCAGATGTCGACAGGGATGTACGGTTAGGAGCTTTACACGCTGCGCTAACCCTAACATTAACGGGAGTGGGCGAGGTGGGGGGTTATCTGTATGAGCGGTACGGGGTACCTAGGTCACATCGTACCTCTGTAGCCTAGCATATGTACTGCATACATCGCTCTACAACAGCAGTATAAACCTGTATTTATTACTGGATAGGGTACAGGATCCAATCACCCGTCACGGCACTAACCCCGTGACATCAAGTCAGCCGCGACCATTTCACGATATCTGTGAAGTCTCATAAGGCGCATGGATGCCTCCATCAAACTTGCATCCTCTTAAGATATTAAATATCGGTCTGTGCAAATTTTACGTCTATTCTACTAACCTCTACCAATTTCATGCCTCAACTATTGATATCTGTATGAGTCACTGCATTTCTACAATCCTTGTTTATCAGGTCGGTACCCGAAGTCCGCGATCTTGGCACTAGTATATAACACTCGTGCCTGCCGTGCCTAGTCACTCATATTGTCGACGAAATAGGATGAGAAGTCACGTCAAGACTGATTCGAACCTTATTTGAAGAGTTTAAATGACATTTCAAATTCGTCGAAGAAACCTGAACCTAACTCTCCAGCTGCCCAACAAACACATCGAGTATCTTCAGGTGGAAGCTGGAAACTATGAGAGTCTAAATCGGATTTCTTGAATAAAAATACTCACTAGAACATGGCACGAACCCGACAAAGCAATAAACTTTCTGTTGAGGATTCCTGGCGTATGGTAGAAGGAGGCGATAACGACAGCTTCGATACCGCAATAGTTCAAGATCCATTTGAGGGTGACGCTCTCGTATTCAGCAGCCAGTCTCAGCCATCTCAACCATATTCATCACAGGATTTCAGTGTTGGATCGCAGGACAGCATTCACGATTTTTATGATAGGGCCGACGAAGATAACGTCATTCGAAGGGCGCCATTTCAACCCTCGCTTACTCCAAGGAACGTGTCTATGGACAAAGACCGAACACCTGTTCCTGAATTCTTCATGCCAACCCTTGATGTTGATAGCCCACCACGGAACAGTCGTCGCTCCTCTAGAAATACTCATCCCGCCATGCAAGAACCACGGGTAACGAGGAGACGAGGTAATCGTCAAGTAGATAACGATTTAACTCCACGAAGACCTGGTGCTCAACATGACGAGACCAACATACCTCAGAGACCTTCGCTTGGATCGAGGTTTATATCATCCGCTCCCGAGTTTCTTTTTGACTTTGCCTCTTGGATACTCGGCACGATTCGATTGGCTTTCCGCTATGCACAGTGGCCAATAGCCACCATGCTCGCCATTTACCTGATTATTGGCGCGTGTATAATGGCTAAGGACATGCTCATTAACTCTATCGCTGCACCGCTAGCACCATTATGCCGAGTGCCCGGTGTATCTATGATGAGCCTCCCTTTTTGCCCAGAAAATTTGAAATCTGGAACGGGAGATGGCGCGTCGCCGGTTGAGTTCGAAGAGTTAATGAATGTGCAAGCTCAATTTGAGAAGGTGCTTGAGGATTCATCTCAGGGCGTCTCGCTGCCAATGGACATGAAACGATCGGAAGCATCCGTCCGTGACTTACGTACAATGGTTAAATTCAGCGAATTGCCAACTCGCGCAGAGTTAGTACATGAATTCGACAACTATATCGAAATCGTCCGCGCCAGCGCCGATGATCTGCAGATGTTCAATACCCATGTCGGCAGCGCAGTCGATAGCGTCATCAGCATCAATCGGTGGACGTCACGATACATAGATTCCATCGCGCTGAATCGTGAAGCTAATGATAACATGATGTCTCGCTTTAGCGGTTGGTTTTTCTCTCCATTCCAATCGCCAGGTTTCGACGAGCGTGTCCTTCTCGACAAGTACATCGAGCACACAGCCTTAGTATCAGACAAGATCCAGAATCTGATCTTAGAAGGGACTGCTGTAATGCGCCTTCTCCACCAGGCAGAAGGCAGCCTCGAGCTTATCAATGAACATGTTGTACGCACAGGCAATGTCGTCAAGGAGAAACAAAACGAGGTTTTCTGGGACGTCTGGACGCTCGTCGGGGCTAACACCCGTCGCCTGCATAACCTGAAAGGTCAACTGAGCCTTTTACAGCAGGTTGAGACGCAGCGAAACTCAGCGGTCCGGCAACTTAGCAAGTTGATACACGATTTGATGGATATCCGGACGAAGCTGAGTGACTTGAGGGATCGAGTTGCCGCCCCAGAACTCCTAGCTGACACGACGGATATACCGTTAACTGTGCACATTGAGACTATCAATGCTGGCGTCGAGAGACTCGAGGCTGCGCGGAGCCGCATCCGGGCTGAAGAGAATGAACGATTGCAGCAGGCTTTACAGAGATCGAGAGAAGATGATCGTTTGATTGACGGTTGATAATAAGTTTACGAGTGATGATGGGAATTGAGGCTGCTGAACATGGATAACCGGAGTTTTGGAATCAGTATGAGTTTGTAAACAGCATAGGATATGGATAGCGGGTTAATATTAAGTAATGAACCCAGCCCTAAAGTACACCAGACATTCTAGACTCTTGGTGCAACTAATGGAAGATTGTAGATGTTTACGCTACTAGGTAGGGTATTACTCACCATTATGTCAGCATAGATCATAGAGGGAAAAGGCACGGTGATGCATGTCTCATCAGCCCTCCTTCGCTTGAACGTGTATGCACTCAAGAATATTCAACCCTATGACAAAACCCATGGATAATCATTTATTTAGGGAAACTAAAGTATGTGCGAGGAATTAGTTAGGAGGCACTGCCTCTTCAGGGCAAAACTTGGCGAGTTTAGCTAGGCTATTGTACCTAGGTGTTACTCAAAAGGAGGAGGGGCTAGAAAAAGGGGTTGAGATGGAAGAAATTTGCACTAAGATAAGTTTACCAAAATATTAATTCATCTCTAATATCTCATAGATATCACAACTACATTAGAATCCACCACGTGTACTGAGATTCATCTATCACTTTATTCGAACGAACATCTGAATTAGACTCCGTCGGAGCTTCAGAGAACAAGTTCCGTATGCTGTGCCTCTAACCGTGACACCCAAGGTGATTATCTTAAGGAGGCTGTGCCTAACAAGACTCCGTGTGTAAGAGAATTAACAAAAAGGTGACACAATTTATCTAATAATACTAAAATGACCTTGATTCAGATTTCGTAATCGCTAACAATAGACATTTTACATCGCTCTAACAAAGGCCTTTACTAAATCCTCTGCTTATGTTTCTCGTAACATATATCTCCACTAAGTCTAGACGACTAGGTTTCTTGTCTAAATAGGAGAAGCTGATACACAGGGTTAATTTACGATTTTCTTAGGCAACGGTTGTTCATTTAGTCGTCAAGGCTATAAAGTAGTAGGAACCATCCGAAGCTGAGAAACGTTATGACGAGCCGGGATTTGAAATGGCAAAAATGGCTTCCCGAAAACCCAGCCTAGTAAATTCACATAATTCCTTCTTCCAGATCCAAATCCAAATCTCGGTTTCCATGAAAACGGTTCGCAAATAGCAGATACACTTCCAGCAATCAAAGCAACATCAATCCACGACTTCTGAACTGAGTAATCCAGGCACTCAATACTATTTAAGATATCCCCAACACCACGAAGAATTGGATTGTCACCAAGTCAAGAACCATCGATCTTACCTTCTGGATTAGAAAGAGGGATAATACGTGCCAATAAAAGCAAAAAAAAAAAGGTTATTGCCCTACGATAAAAACATACCAACTCAATTATTTCGAGACCAACGAGTAAGCCTGGTCACAATGCCTTCGGATCAGAAAACCGAGGTGATCAGCTGGGGAAGATATTTGGTCGACACAACTGAACGCCAGAAGGATAAGGAAATGGTGGGCTCGAACGCATCTGGCACCCGTGGTGGCCATCATGAAAATGTCGGCACGAGCAATCAGAAGGGTGGAAAACGTGGATGTTCTTCCTTCCATAGCAACAGCAAGAATCAGGGAGAGGGAAAGTAAGGGAATGGGTGTCTTGCAGATAGGAGATTGGGGATGTAGATATTTCATCGCCATGAGATTTCCATGAGTTTGGAGGCAAGAAAGGACAGCCTGAAGCTATTGCAGGCAGGCATAGGATTACTACAAAATGATCACAAGATACCTATTCGCAGAAAATTCCGCAGAACTTAAAATTTGCTTGATTTTATTTCTAATAAATATCCCTTGAAGATCGTGTGAAGATGGGTAAAGATCACTCTAAAAAGAGATGGCATAAAATAGTGAAAGTGGGTGAATTTAGAGGAAAATGACTTTACTATCGTACGAAAGATATAAAGAAGGATGTACGACGATATAACAAATTGAAAAGAATAAATGATAAAAAATCACATCGACGCCGGATCGAACGAAAGACTCTCTATTATCACAGAAAATCCCAAAAAGTGATTGCACCCACCGGAGATTTGCACCCGGGTCTTCCCCGATCCATATGCGCCATGGGAGAGGGATGAGCTAACTACTGCTCCATAGGTGCGATTCTTGTCACAGGACGTTGAAAATTTTGTGTTTATTAGGAATTATAAGGGTACCTTCAGATGATGCTTCGCATAAACTAGGGAATAGCAGGGCAAAGCCGTGACAGTAAGGGGAATATTACGTCACGTACGGCGCTGTGGCCAATAGAAACTACTTCGTGCAGCATAAAGTTTGACACTTTATTGTTTCTATATTTTGGTTAGTCATAGCCTTGCTCGTTATGCTCCTTTCTAATAAACGCTTCCTCTTATGCCTCTTTTTGTACCGTGTCATTATCTCGTAAGGCAAGTCCCAAGATATATAAACGCAAACAATGCCTATTCACTCGAAATCCCAAGTACATAGAACAAGTAGTGATTACTCTACTAAAATCTTCCAACAAGTGGTAAGTACTTGCTCTAACTCGGGACACGACCAATTTCCTTACAACCTAGTAGTTATATAACCACTCAGGAATTCTCAAGATTTTTCTCAGACAAAGAATTCACCATCAACATTTGTTGTTTGGATTTATTCGATAAGAATATCTCAAAAGCTCTCTGAGTAGCAGACAAAAAATACCTATTCGGAACAATCAAGAAACATCCAAGATGTCATCGCAACGCTCCGGAGAGCAATCGACTGCTTCACCGTGGGCATACACTCTCTATCCAGCAGACGCACCCGAGTTCTATATCTACGACAACCACCGCAAGAACCTCGAAGGAAACCAAGAGTTCACCATTACCGTCAAGCGCCGTAGCGAGTTTTTCGGCGAGGCCGACTACGTGAAGATCTATCTTCTGGAGTGGGACCAAGAGGGTTCAAGAGGTTTCGTTCATTGCGAACAGACGAGACTCGCGGGCACCAAGAAGAAGCGCTGGAACAGCCGCCGCTCCATTACATTCGATGACCTCGCGATGGTCTCTGCTGGCCTTTTCCGAATCGAAGTAGAGATCTGGAAGTACTGTGGAGGTCAACGACATGACATCCGCCTCGATACCCTGATCAGCAACGATATCGAGTTCCCCGAGATTGTGGTTGAATAAGGGTGATGGATGGATAAGGGGAATACGCGCTAGAAGACTTGAGGAGACGGTATGTTTCTACCTCTCCTAGACGGATTGATGTTTGGCTTTAGGATCATAGGCGGCAAGTCGTAGTCTTTTTAGCAAAATAAACTGGCTTCTTTCTATGCTACTATCCACAATGGATTTAAGATTTCCCAGTCTTCTTGATTACTCAGAAGTGGCCTCGAAGTTGACCTCAGTTTGAATCATAGTATCTTAGAGAAATTGATTGAACATTTACCTTGCTAGAAGTCTGCTCTGCAGGAAAGTAGTTGGAGGACTAGTAGGATCGGGACTCGACGCTAGCCCCGAGGACAGGACATACAAGGGGCCTCATCTGTAGGTGCACTTTACTTAGTGAGAGTATCTAGGTAGCTTAGAGCTCCTCGCATAAACAAGGCTGTTGTTTCCATACCTCCTGGTACCGCCTCGTGACATACCCGTTTTAACGCAAACCCGGACATTAGAAAAGGAGTTGATTATACGTTATATTTACAATATTTCGGAGTCTTTATATCCATAGGTCACTAGTAATCGAGCGCTATGCTTAGGATATCTTCGTGTTCAACTCTAGGAGCTCTCGCGGACTATGCTGTCAGTGCTGACTAATCAATATGCTTATATAAGCACCTTCCAGGTAATATTTCTGAGGGACTTGCAATTCGAGTTTCTAACGTTTTTTTCAGTTAAAGTATCATAATAAAGCTATTGTAACTGATCACGGTTGGTGTCTAAACCCTTTTATCTAGTGAATACCTATGATATATTGCATCATATAATTTATCAGAGTACAGAGTACAGCACATCACCATTCAGGGGCGAGATACCAAGTCCCTATTTGTGAAACACGAAAGACTAGAATGATTAGCTTACAATGTATTTATCTTAGATTTAACTTGAACCTCGGGGTATAATGACTAGGTAATGATTCTAATGCATCGTAGAATTGGAAAATGGCCACCCCGGAGCTTGAGGATATCCAAATATGCGCATTGAACACCTACCTGGTCAAGTACCTAGTTTTTCCTGACTACGAGCCTGAGGCATTTCACAATATTCCTTCCAGGAGCACATTGTCTGATTTATAAGGTATAAATACGTACAGTACAGATAATATCATTGTCACTTGGATGTACACATGGCTGCAACATACAAGAAAACATACAAGGTAGGTGTCATGTCAAAAAAAACGAGAATGATATTTTAAAGGAAAATACTAGGAGCGTGTTCTCTAAATTTTCTTGGCCTATTGATCTTATTTAAATCCCAATGCACATCAGAATTATCTGGCATGTTCCGATTTATCTACAAAATCTTGACAGCTGCATCGCCAACCCTATAAAACAGGACTCCAAAAACTTGAGAAAGTCTGTAATCTTCATTATGAGTCGACGAACAGGCCCTTCCAGCCGGCCCTCGCAATTGAGCTCTTGGTACACTTCGCTGCCACCACCAAGGAGTGAAGCAAACTTGACGGAGAAGATTATCGTGACCCTAGTCGCCAAGGAAGTTACGAGCCCCCAAACAATAGTGGTAGCCTCAGACCCTCAATCTGAATCTATAACACACGCAAAATGTTCGGGCAGATCTATCAATGTTCGCAAAGGAGAAAAGTTCAATTTGAACATTGATATCCAACCTTATCGAGACGAAACAGGGCGCCATTTACCAGGTGCCGTAGATTCTGTCGGACCCCCGTCAAAATTCTATATCAAGTACGAAGACAGCGAAGCCCTCAGCACTCAAGCCCAGACAACCTCTAATACTGACGCCCGCCTAACTGTTAGAGGAGGTAAATGTCAAGGTTTGGCAGCGAATAGCTGGGATATATTGAATTTACAACACATTCAACTTTTAGAAGTCGCTATCCATTCTACAGGCCATTACTACTTATACTTGATCATCGAGAAAGAGAATAGTAATGGTTCTCAAGACCTGCTTGCGAAGATCAGAACCAGGAAGGTCAAGGTCTCTAGGTGATTCTGATTTCAGGTGCGATATTAATTAAAACAAGAGTTCATTATGATTCTCTCGATGCATCTGGAGTTTTGGTGGGGGATATGGCGCTAGGAATAGGGGTAACCTACTATTTCAGGAGTCTTGGGGACCTCCCATAAAAGTACTGTCAGATTAATTAAAACAGTCTAGAGGAAATTCTCACACAAGAAGACCGCAAAAAATCTACGGAAGTAGCAGTTGACAACGACGGTAAATTTCGGAATGTGAAGTGCGATTTAATGAATACTGTGTAACACATTTTATAGGTAAATTGCAATTGTTCCCCAAAATGTTCTATACCTATAAATAAACGAGCGGACGAATAATACCTAAATTTACCCCTTATATGCTTCCCTTCTCTTCAAGGACAAAATAAACCACCACTCCTCCCATCCTTCTCTATACACAGTGGCAACCCTGGTATTGCCCAGCCGAGCAGATTCCCTGGACGCCACCACATCCATTGTCCTCGCAGCCACCAGTGAAGCCGTGACCACTACCACATTTCTCACAAGGGCAGCCGTTGAAGGTGCCTGCAGTGCAAGATCCAATGGTATCACCGGGGAAGGAGAAGACACCAGCGCAGCCTGAATTAAACATTTAACTGTTAGCTTCTATGCAGGGGTTTGAAGTTATTTGAAATGATTGGTAATTACCGTTTGAGAAACAATCGCCGATATGGTTTCTGCAGTTGTCAACACTGATATCGTCGCTTTTGGGGAGAGCATTGACGGATGTGATAGCCATGACGATGGCGAATGCGATCCTGAAGGAGAACATGGTGATGAATGTTTCGAATTGGAATATCTTGATAAAGGAGTTGTCAAGTTGGAGAGCTCGAGTAGTTGTTGATGATGATGCAGGAACAGACACTGACAAAGGTCTTACGACCGTCCTTATATATTTTCTTCTATTACCAAACTGTACTCTAGTTGGTATGAACCGAAATGAACCTCGGGAATTTCTCCTTGTAAACGCCCCCATATTGCGGTGTAGAGAGTTTGTAGTTGTCAACTATTTTTACCCCTATACAAGGGCGCAAGTGAAGCCTACGCGGGGTCGAAACTACCATGGATTCAACACGCCTTTCATGTTATGATCCACTTTGCCATATTTCAATAGGTTTAAAGTAGGTCGTTACTCAGACCGTGTGGGTATGTCGCCTTAGCTAAAACAGGTGATGATCTCAGCATTTTTGCTAATGGAGCTGAACTTCGGCAATTTGCTATGATAGTCATTTTTCATTCATACTAACGCCGACACGGAACTCTTCTGTATCTCCGTTAACTAGGTGCATGACTAAGGCCATATATGAAATTTATCTGATCCCCGAGAATCATCGCCGAGCGGAGCATTTACCAGATCATGGGTTCGTGATATTGTTAGATGGATGAGGAGACGAAGGATTTTCCATGGAAAATATTGGTAGGTATCTAATTATCGAATACAAGGGTGCCTAAGTTGAGGTATTCTATTACTATCGGGTGCCAAATGGTGAGCGCTTCATAGTAGTACAACGGGTTTCGGAAGTTTCATGATCGAGTCAACGATGAAGATTATTTAGCGGACAGAAATAGGAATTATGCTATAATAGATCTCCCCTAAAATATCTAAGCAGGTGATTCATGCCTCTTCATAGCCTCTAATGCATGCTGAGCCGAGTTTCTTACCGCTGCATCTGCAGCTTGTTTAGTGAGTTCCTGCAAACGAAATTTCCAAAATTCCCAACGAGACTCTTGTGTAGCCCCATTAGCTAATCTACAATCCCACAAAGGCCCATCGCGTAGAGGAACACCAGGGGCCTTGTTACCGTCACGGCGACCCCATGTTGGGTCGTTGTAGATATCTCTACCCGCGATGAGCAGCCAAGCAGCAGCTGCTTCTGCCCATTCTTTCACACCTTCTTGATCCTCCAACCCCTCAGCAATAGCCCATAAACCGAAATCTTCAACCCACTCATCTAGTGAGTCGGTGGGATCTCTCATCTGTGCACAGCTCAGATGTGCCATGAACCGGTGTAGGTTAACCCATGCTTTCTGAGCAGCTTCATGAGATCCATACGCGTGAAGCAACAGCCCAGGACCTTAAGACAGTCAGTTGAGTCAAAATGAAATAGTACAAGCATCGTAAGGTTCTACTCACCATTCCAATATTCTCGAGCCATCATGCCAAAGCCGGTTAGATCCGAGAAAAGACTTTCAGCTTTAGAAATATTGACTTCATCCTTACTGGGATTGGTAATTGCCTGCCTTCCAGGGAATTTTGCTAGAGCTATTACCAATGCAACAAGGTTCTTTTGACAATAGTCATTTGATGTAGACATTGCCGCCGAAAAGATGAAAGGGTGGAATTCATGCCATGGGCCCTCCAGGGGCTGGCCAGATTTGACCATCTGATCGAAAATTTCTTCGACGACTTTATTGTTCGCATATTTAGATCCATCCATGATATCAGCAACCAGCTGGATCCCGAATTCTTGAAAAGAAGAAGGCTGGATTATATCTCCTGTATTGTGTAGGCTGTTCTTTCGGATCAATTCGCGTTCCCAATTCGCCCACTCTGACGACATGTTGGATACTGTCTTCAGCTGTTGGTTTTCCATTTTGAATAATATTAAGTTCTTAAATCCGTTGCCATGAACTTTTCATTATTTTTTAAATATTTTTGGGGTCGTACTTGTGAATTGAAGTTTGAATGAAGACGTTAGGAATGGGGAGAGTAGACGTGTTGTGCTTATTACGTAAGCACCCATATCCACCCTCCCCTTTTTCGTCAGCAACCATCATGGGTTATTAAAGATGTCACCTTCCGTTTATCCGCCAATACCGGGTCCATATGAGGTAAATTCTAGCTATTCACTATGTCTACGAAGGTTCGGGCCGAGAATTAGGACCACACGCTGCAGGTGCTGATGGTCCAAAGCCGTGTGAACTGAGAGACTCTCTCACTATGTAGCGCTTTTCTACAGCGGCTACGTTCATTAGGAAGGCTTAAATTATAGCGGTTATCCATTGGAATTTAGTGGGTATATCACTATCAGGTCTTGGCTTTAGTGTGGGCCTTAAACAGTAGAATTTGATTGCTTAGGTACCTCATCATGCACTGTGCAAAGGGCATTGCTGACGGCCCAAACTTTTGGCCAGAACCTTCGTAGACGAGGATTTACAAATAAGAATAACCAAATAAGTATTCCCCAGCGCATATTTATTATTAATACTAATATATTCTTTGTCATCTAGGGTATCAATCATGTCCATATATGCTAAAAATCTGAAAAGTCCTATGTGAGGCTCTTAGTAAGGACCTCTTATACCCTAGCCTACATGGGTTAGGTGTGAGGTTGGCGTCAACATCTAATAGTCCTAATTGTCAAGAACCATGGGCTGAAGTATTTTGGAAGGAGATCGCTTAGGCGGAGGTACTGGGTAACGTAGATTGTGGAATGATCATGGAAATTCGTATGTTGGGAGATGTCAAGATGAAACCCATGATCAGTAGTTACAGGCACCTGCTAACCTAGGTAGATAGATAACAAAGTAATGATCAAGTTCAAGATGTATCGGGAATAGTACTTTGTCTATCCCACTTTTGAGTCTCACCGAATTATCATTACGTTCTATAATTGCTTCCTACTATCAGAGTGAGGATACTACGGCGTGAGAACAAATCCGAACAATATAAATGACGATGATATCTTCCTATCTACCTTCCTGAAGTGTTCCTATTCACACACATTCCAACCTCCTTACATAGCAACAAACTACACCCACAACAAAACAGAAAGATGATTGCCTCCAGTTTTATCAGTTTCTTGGCTATGGCCTCAACTGCAGTACTTGCAAGTCCTATCGGAAATGAGACCGAACTTGTTAAACGTCAAATCAGGGACTGGAATTGTGGCGGTAAACACTACACACAGGCTCAGGTCCAGGATGCCTTCAACCGTGGGATCCAATTCAAGCAAACAGGACAGTCCGCCCTATTTGGTAGTAGTAAGTGACTCTTTACCTTTGACATAACGAGGTATATATCCAGGGAAGATATCATAAGGCTGACTATTTTATATAGCCCCGTATCCGCACGAGTTCCGTAATGGACTACCTACAAGACCCGAGGTCGACCCATCCCCTTGTGCTGGATTGGAGTTCCAGGAATTTCCCATTCTTCCCGGTGGGGTTTTATACAGCGGAGGTTGGCCGGATGCGGACCGTGTTGTGTTCGGATCAAGTAACCCAGCAAGCAACAGCTGGACCCCGTGCTACCTGATCACCCATACCGGCGCGGCTTCTCGTAGACTCTTCGTTAAGTGCACCTGAGAATGGCGGTGTTGTAGCTTTCTAGAAAGAGATACAAGTTGAGGCGGTATCAATCTGGAGTTGTGGAAACAGGGGGTGTTGTATAGGGACTTAGAAGTTGATCTCATATAACTATATCTTGAATAAAATTGGGTTTCAAAACTCACTGGATAATGCGTCAAAGACATCTCTAGATGTATATTTTTCTTGAGTTGGGGCTATATTATGGTGGCCGGTGATACATAATGTGTTCGACGCGATAAAGGGGTTCGTATTAGTCAGCAATTCGCTCTGAAAGATACCCTCATTGACATAGAAAGATCATCGCACCAAAATTCTCGTGTGAATTTTATACGTTCAATTCAACCTAAATACGATGAATGCGTTCATTGCCTGTCCTTCGAATTTTACTGGCAGGTTTGATTCGTGATGTCAATCCGCCTTTCCTCGGTTCGATGTGGCGACATGATTTCCTCGGTCTCTATTCAGATAAGGTCCTAGTTCAATCCATAGTTAGATTCGCAGTGTCAATACTTTTATCCAAGGATAAAGATTGAAATTGAATAGATATTTCGATCATTGTAAGCCCTATGGCGCTTCCGAACCCCTAGGTCGATATCGCACACATGAAGCAAGCAGAGGCCTAATCGAATGAGTAATCGCTATTAAAAATATCCCCTTAACGCTTGGTTATGACATCAAGGTTATTGAGGCGCTGCGAAGTAGAGAGGCGAAGTTTGTGGGTGGCATTCGAGTACATGGCATATGAAATGAGTCAAGCATAGCATGAAAAATAACTTTCAATCATGCAAGGTGATGCGTCCGAAGATTCCTACACAGGGCAGGTGTTGCGTATATAGGCAACACGCCACCCGCCACGAATTATAGAGAAACACTCGAGTAAAGGTAAAATTGTGCAGTTTTTTAACCGTGCTCAATGGAGCCATTGAGATGCACGTATATGATTTGTCGTGGCACGAATCGCAACTGCTGTCTATCGAAACCAAGAGAAAAACACAACGTGGCTATCTAAATGCGTAATTTAACCTATGTAGGCATGATGGATATGTAGCCTAACATCTTTCTTCGTATTGAGTTTGGGCATTGAAATCAAGGAAATTGCATGTACGTTGGCTTTTGCTTGACCATCGATAGAGGATGGGATTCTATGCAAAACACATGGATTCTAAGGGGCGAAGAATACTCATGGGAAATGATAAATAGATGGCTCCATCCCTCGGGGACCGGGCGCTTTCAATTATGAGACCAAAGCTTTGAACAAAACGACCACGACTCTTCAATTGATACCCATTCTCGATTCGATCATCCATCGCGCGAATTCGACGCAATTACCACACTTCTACACAAATTCCTACAAGAATCCTACAAGAAAACCGACAATGTCTTCATCAGGAAGAGGCTCGAGAGCCACCTTCGTCGTCGCACCCCCCGACTCAATTCGAGTTGGCCGAGAATTCCCAATCATCATACAAGCCCCTGCCAACGAAGACAATGGCTCAATGGGGTTTCTGACGCTTCACTCTGTGACTTCGCGCTCAAGCAGTCCCTCGGAGGCTTCAGACTACGTGAAAGGAAGCCTCGTTGGAAATTGGGACGTCATGTCGAATTGCTTCGACAGCATGGAGTTTCAGGTCAAGGTGACGCGACCGGGGAGCTATTATCTTCAGATTCAGCTCTACAGCGAACCTCGAGACAATCACGATGGGAGAGGTCTTACGGTGGAACATTTGGGAGGTGTGGAGAGCCAGCGGTTCCGTGTGCGCGAGAAGAGTTCTTCACCTAGAAGCTCTAAGCGGTGACGGGGTACGAATGCGAATATTTGCCACAGGGTTTGTTAATGACTGGGAAATGACTTTATGATGGTATGGAAAATTGGGTACGGATTGGTTCGGGAAGAATACGGCCCTTGCGGGAATAGAAAGGTAGAGAAACGCTTGCAATTGCGGTCTATATGGGTTTTCGTGTTGGATATACATGTCTTTAGCTCCTTTGTTATCACTAATTACTTACGAAGAAATAGATTCGTTTCAACATTCCATGCTTACATCTCTAACTCGTGGTACTAATTCCCCCTTAATTGGAGCTTCAAAAAGTTGGTGTCATACTTGATAGATACGATGTTAGTGATGGACCTCTTAAAATGCGTTCCCAAGTTTCGGTCAAGCTGATAGGAAAATGAATGTAGCTGTGGCGATCCAATAGGTGAATGCTGATATATTTGGACAAGCAGTCATAATGCTCTAGGTACTATTTCTAATATTTTTCACCAATTTACATCTGAATTATCGCAGTGCAGTGATACATGGTATTTAGGTAGGTAAATACATCAGTTAGCGAATCATAAGACATTGATTTGATGGATATGATCCTTCATATTGTTGAACCTTTCAAATGCTTAGCACAATTTTACGTTCATCTGCAATATTCAGACAGCACCCAAATTTCCATCTCACGCAATCCCGGAAATCTATTTTTATACACATGGTGTTATGGGAAGTAATGCAATTGGTATATAACTCGAATAATAGTTATAAATCGATTGTTTATAATATGTTCTTGGTTCTTGGTTAACAAATATGACTTGCGATAACCCCTGAGCTGAATGCTACGTGGAATATTAAGTGCTTTACTGCCATAGCATTGATGTTGAGAGATTGATACCCACAACCTAACGGGAACTAGCCCAATTTATATGTCCATACATAGAGTGGGAAATCGGATCCATTCAACAAGATCTGAGATCTAACCCCTCCATGTCGTGTACACCTGGCACATAAATTACAACCCCCGGAACACTCCATAAATCGTGATTGAAGGACAGTGGCAGATGACGAGCTACATGATCGTTCCACGTAGAGTTGGTTCTGTTTCGATGCTCGTACATTGAATTGTCTCGTATCAATGCGGCTCAGGGGGGCTGGAATGGCTGTGAAGGCATCAGCTGACCATGGCGAGGAAGCGGCTTATATATCCCTCGCCCCCGCACCAGTTACAACTACATGTAGTTGATTTAAAAAATGAATTAAGAAAGACCACGATCCCGTTGAGAGCCCAGGCAACAATGCTCACGTCTCAAAAGCCGAATGTTTGAGGTCGGAGGGATTTGGTGGGACGATATGAAAGATAGGGTCGTTTTCCGATTGGTATCGGCATCTGGTACCATATTTTCTGACATCGAATTCCGAAATGAGAATGATCTAGAAGTGTGTGAAACGTGTCAATTAAGAAGACCATTGAATTTGGCCTATGTTGGAGCTGGTAAGGCTCTATGGATTGCCCTTAGACTGGTAGTTAGTAAAACCTCCACTATAATTAGCAGTAGTGTGGGAGTTCCGTGAGGTTTTATAAAACAGGGCCAAATAGCTGGTGCAGTACTAGATTGACCAGTTATATCAGTTGCTTTCGAGATGGTGTCGATCCTTGAAAGGTTCTGAACTGGATTGTAGGGAGGTGGTGTTAACTGAGGGATACGTCTGCCTAGCAGAAATCATGCTTCTTTTTTGCCTCAGCTGAGCACGGAATAGGCCTGAACTTGACATTGATGATTCAATAAAGATGAAGAAATCAATTGCAAATATCGACCTCGTTGGATGAAAGAATGGAAGTTATGATTAGGTTGATTCAGGGGTAAAAACTTGGAACTTAAGGTTGCGGCTCGGAGCTAGCGCCACCTCGTCATATTTTCCATATCTTATCGTTCTGTGGCTCAGGCCAGGATCCACTAAAATTTTCTATCAATTCTCAGTTCATCACAACACTTGCGATCGCTTTCCCCCACTACCATCAACACCACAACCATCGCCCTCTTCTCAATTAGTACAGCCATTCTACATTATTTTGCCTTCTTTCCGACTGGATACCCTCTCGCCGAATTGATACAAACTCTATACCGCCATGTCTTCGATCAGAAACGCCGTCCAACGGCGTGTCCATCGCGAGCGAGCGCAACCTAAAGAACGACAACGTCTCGGTCTCCTCGAAAAGCACAAGGTTCGTTCTCTACCCCTCTCAATCCTGCATCTACTTCTTTTCGCATTCCTAGCTAACAAGTGCTACCCGAATTACAGGACTACTCCCTCCGAGCCAAAGATTTCAACAAGAAGAAAGCGCAGCTCCGAGCACTTCGGCAAAAAGCCTCCGACCGAAACGAAGATGAATTCTACTTTGGAATGATGTCGCGGAAGGGCCCCGGTCACGCGCTCTCCCAAGGAAAGCGGTGGTCGGGCACAGTCAACGGCGATCGTGGTAACAAGGCCATGGATATGGACACTGTGCGCCTCCTCAAAACCCAAGACGTAGGATACATTCGAACGGTACGCAGCGCCGCTCTCAAAGAGGTGAAGGGACTTGAAGAGAGGGTTATCGGACTGGGAGGGAGCTTAGACGAGGAAGATTGGGAGGGATTCGACGACGATGATGAAGAGCTAGGATTTGGTGCGCCGAAAGCGACGAAGGCGAAGAAGATCGTATTTACAGGGGACGTAGAGGAACGAGAGGAGATATTGCAACAAAACGAAGACGAAGATATGGACGTGGAAGAAGACGAGAGCGCCGAAAAGAACCCAGAGAAGCTACGAGCCGAACAACGACAAAAGCTCCTCGAGAAACTACAGAGAAGGTTGCAGAACGCGCGGAAGAAGCTGAAGGTCCTTACACGAACTGAGCACGAATTAGAGTTGCAACGGACTAGGATGTCCAAGACAGCAACGTCTATGAACGGCATCACCAAGTCCGGCAAGAAGTTCAAAGTTCGGGAGAGGAAGCGATAAATCGTTTCAATACCACAATTAAAAGGAGGAAAACGATGCGAGAGCATAAGTAGCGGTTAACAGAACCGGATTTTTCATCCTTTGCTCTCATTATTACAGGCGGCGTTCAGGCAACCGGGGTTCTCAGATCGTCTAGAGCTATGCGATACCCAGAAAGAAATAGACCCAATCCCATATATACATCCATCGCAATTCGATTGACTCTCGAGCACCGATCGCTTCTCCCGAGCGTATATCGTGCTTGTATTTGGTATCTAAAACCTCCCCAATTATGTCCAGCAGTCCAAGTGTAGAAGAGGAAACGACCTGCCTGCTTCATTAATACATATGTACTGCCCAACCGACCGGGCCGTAAAATATATCCATAGGTATAGTTATGTAGGTAAAGATCCGCTATCAGATATCCCTCCCAACTCCTCGCTCCCTACACTTAGGTAATTCAAAGCTTTTCACTAGTCAAACACTTGCTCAAACCCACAATCACAGCCATCAGCGCCTTAAACGCCAGAGTAAGCGCCCAGATCACGCACTTAAACGCGAAGCCCAGCAGCTTGATGATCGTCCGCGTCGTCCCGGGCAGCTTCTCCTTATCCTTGTCCTTGATATTCAGCTTACCCCCTAAGCTACTAGCCTGGCTCTCGAGATCTAACTCTAGCTCCTCGAGACGACCGCGCTTCTTCCCGCTTTTCTTGCTTAGGATCTTGGCGCTGAGCCGGCTGCTGCTCCGGCGGAAGTCGGAGTTTGAGGTCGAGGTGCGTAGGTGTGCGGGGGGTGGCGGTTCGAAGTGTTCGACGACGACGTTTTTCTCGTCGATGTTGGCGACGAGGAGGAGGGCGGAGACGGCTACGTCGAGGATGTAGTATGCCTCGATCTGCCCCGCGACTAATGTGTCAAGCTCGATCCAGCCCTCGCCCGTGCTGTCCCGTGAGAGCTTCGCGATGTGGTGTGGCGACTCGATGTGTTCGACTGTGTATTCAGTTCGGCTCCATGCCGGGTTACGCTCGACTGTGATACAGAACGGCGATGCTAGGGCCGGGTGCACCAGGAAGTAGTTTTGACTATCCTCATCCCAGACCAGACGCGCGCATTCGCGTTCCGCGGCCATCACGGCTTGGATGTCGTCCGGCCTATCCAACGCTACCTTCGCTGCTCCGGTAGGGTATAAGAGCGCAACGAGACCATCGTTGGGCGGTAGGCGGCGTGTCGGTTCTTCGAGCGTGGTAGTAAGGGCTTCTTGCCACGGCTTCGATTCAGATTCCCGAAGAGCCCCGAGGAAACCACTTGATCTGGGACTCGTAGTCGGGTCTCCCCCCTTATAGGGCTTGCTTGGGTCGTGTCGGCTTAACGTCACGTATGCGCTTGCCGATGTGGGATCTATCCGCATATGGTAGAATGGTTGAGCGGAAGATGATGTTAGGTTGTAGATTGGGGTGTCTTTCTCAGGGATGAGCTTCATGCAGAAGGTTCTTCCTTCTACAGCAGACGCTTTCCATCCATTCGCCGCTTTCCAGAAATCACGGAGATCTTCCGTTGAGCTCACAGTTGGGATGACTGGAGGGTCCTGAGGCCGTCTTGGCCACCGCTGTGCGGAACCTGCGCTGAGAGGACTTCTCACGGGACTCCGAACTGGCGGACTGCGGGCCTCCGGCACATGAGATTGTCTGCTAATAACAGTTCGTGGTATGTGAGTTGGGCTCGCCTGAGTTGGGTAATACTCTTGCCGGTCAAATGGTAGAGTATGATCGTATTGTGGGAATATAGAACGAATAGCGGGTTCCGCCGTCGTATATGATGTTGATGGTTCTTCCAAGGGTCTCTTGGCGATTGAATTTCGGGACAGTTCACTCTCACTTCTCACTAACGTACTCGTCCCCGAAAATGCGGTATCTACTCGTGGCGGTACTTCAGATGCCGGTACTGGCCTTGATACCGACGGACCTGCTTGGTTCTGATAAAATGGGTTATTGGAAGCCATCTGTGGTGGGGTAACCATCGATGGTGACCCGTCGATGACAAATTCAGAGAGATCTTCTGGTGTCTGTCGACCATTCCTCGGCGGCGTCATGTCTAGAGATGAGCCTTGCCCCCGAGACGAGGATCTGGCGCGTGGTCGAGGAGTTGTCTTCCGAGGCGGCGACCTAGATGTATTAGGGAAAAGGGAAAGCCCTCCTGGGCCTGGGGGTCCACTGGAAGACATTGTCTCTCTCCCCGTCGCGAAATGTTGTCGTCTTTAATATCAATTCCCAGTCTATGAATAGGAAAAGGAGCCAGGGTTACAAGGGTACTTCTTGAGTCGCAATTTGGCCTGCTACCGGGACATGGTCTCTTGGCCCATATCAAAACGGTAAAGAAATAACTCGACGACGCAGGTCACAACCTCATCCACGTGTACTAGGGATCAGATCCAACAGTAAAGATTCTGATCCAGCAACCAACACACGGGATACAAAATTGGAAGGATAAAAACAGTAAATTTTCATTATTTCGATTCACGAGGCAAGGGAGACACGAAAATATGTTTATACTACCTACCTACAGCATTCAACAAGCGCTGATTGGGCTTTGTCCGCCAACGATGATAGAGTACAGACCTGTCCCGGGGCTATTTTGCTAAGCGCTGTGCACATCTTTGGAGGTGGGGTGAGGCATCTCAACTAGCCACTGGCGGGAGGGTTGCTGTAGAAGCTTGCAGGCCACGGGCACTTGTCCCCTTGCAATACTTGCACACAGTCTATCCTGGACAAGATGTGTGAAGAAAATTGGCGGGGAGGAGAGAGATAATCTGATCTGATTTGCGCATCCCAAAATAGAATAATTGCTTGCAGGTTAGAAAGGCCAAGCGATCCAATCAGAACGAGGATCACACTACATCTTAGCCGCCCAGCTCAGGAGATCTAGCGAAAACGGTAACTAAAAAAGCCAAGTCCAAATGAAGCGCGCGGGGTCGGGTCGAATTCGATATTCCCTGAGGTCCTTAACAGATCATTCTTGTCATATGCGCGGCACATGGCGGCTGGGGACCGATAACCATGATGTATGTATTGATAAAGATCCGGCGATGCTGCATCCCACGAGGCGGTAAGATATAATGCCTGCCGGCGAGCCTTGTGGAGCTTGGAAAGATCTAAAGCGCAATAGTACTAGATACTAATTGCTTTTTTGAGTTTCTTCAGCTCGGCCTTCGCAGACCTGCAGACCTGCAGGTCTAATAACAATCAAACCTCAGCTCGGGACGCTATCACATGTTTGATCAACACGGAAGAGACGTGACGAGTAAAATAAATAAATTGAATGATTTTGCCAAATTGCTATTAGAATCATCTACCTGAAGGGTAAGGTGACGAGAACATCAATTGGACCTGTTGTTATCGGAGATTATTCATGAATGTGAAGATGGATCTCAAGCATGAGATTGTGAGATGCGAGATGCAGGAACAACATTAAAAATGACGGAGGAAAGGGAAGAGTGATTCCGGTCACATCCGACTTTCCCCTTCAGTATTCACGTGACTCTCATTATTAAGCAGGATGACTAATAATAACTTACCTAATACTTTAGTTACAGAACTTGGAACCGTTGAACTTTCAACTTGAACTTTAACCATCTTCCTACAACTGTCCTTAGAAATCATTGCTACATAAGAAATCCCCGTCTAATCTAACTATGGTTCCAACAACATGGATAGTCTTTTCCGTATAAGAATGCTCCCAGAATTATACCAAATTAGAAACTTAGAAATATGGTTAGGGATTGTCTATCGAAGGGAATGGCGGTTCATCCCTTAGGTATAACTTAACTAATAAGTGAGTGCCTATTTCTATTTTAATCTTAGTCACTGATGGCTCTATGCAGGGAATCACTAGGTGTATTTATTCACCCTAGAATACTCCTACAAACTCCATATGCAGTTGTCGCGGGATCTGAGCTATGCTCGGAGATGACATGCAACTTCAAGTGCGCAGAGCATAGTCATCATTTACATAATCCTTGATTATATCATCATCGACTTATTAGATAAGCCATGCTTACCTAAAGACATTAGTAAGCCTCATTGATTGGTTCAGCCGAGTCTTAGTATATGAAGCTCATCACACCTGAGGAATTATTTCCGATAGATTATTCCTTCCTTTTACTATGATCCAGATCCGGTACCTAGATACCCCACTCGTGGTAGAAGGTGTCAAGGATGCCTTCAATATTATTTAAGCTATTTTATTCATCGTTACGAAGAACAAGAGCCGGTGTTCTCGATCAAGGTATACTACATACATAGGTATTTAACCTCAAACTCAATACACATAGAAACGAATACTATATCCCATCGCCATCCAATAACCCCGGATCCCCATCCCCACTCCCGCGTCTAGGCGGCAGCGGGAGCCGCCGTGGCCTTCGCCGCCGGCACCGTGATGGTAGTCGTCGTTGTCCCGCCGGCGGCGGCCGCAGCACCGAGCAGCGGTAGCGTGATCGTGGCTCCTGCCTTCGCAGTTATTGTAATAGTCTCTTCACTGGGCGTAACAGCGGCCTTGCTAGCAGCAGTTTTCGATGAAGCAGGAGCTGCCGTAGCCGCTGGGGCCTCGGCGGCGGGAGCAGCACCACCCGGTGGCCCTTGTTGGGCCGGGGCGGGGACGAAAGCTGCGGCAGCGAGTGGGATCGAGGCGACGCTTCCACCGGATACGGCACCGCCGTCGACGCTGGAGTTCGTGGATGCGGCGCCCTTCGCGTAGTTGACTATTTGCTGATCGTCCTTGCTGTGAATGGTTAGCTACGCGATTGGTTTAGGGGAAAGGGGATATGACTTACGGATTGACGACCATCACTTGTCCCAATTGGCAATGAGGACCAGTTGCGCAGTATAGGAACATGGTATCGGCGTTGGTTACGGGCATATTGAATGTGCCGACTGTCGTCTGCCCATCTTGGAATGGAATGTGTCCGCTGTGGATGGCGGTCGCGACGGTAGCCTGGAGTGGTTGACAGGGCTTGTCCTGGGCGCTCTGAGTTACGGTGTGGTTGCCATTGCTGAATTGGAATTGTATGATATCGCCCACAGCTGCTGTTACCGTGTTCGGTACGAAGGTATCTTGCGCTCCACCAACAACAACGGGAATTATTCTGTTTGCCGCATTAACTATTGACGTTGTTAGTATGGAGTACCGTCATGTGATAAACTGACGCGTACTCTTGAATCCCCCAACATCAACTAGATCTTGTCTTGATATTATCCGAGATGGTAGCGCATTGGCGACTGCGGCGAAGAGAATTTGACTGGCGAGTAATAACATTTTGACTCCTGGATATTTTTGACCGCTCTTAGATAACGAAGGACTTAATAACTTAAGTTATTCAACAAGCGAAACTTGTCTATTAGAATGAAGTTTATGATTACAAAGATGCCGCTCAACGGTTAACTGCTCTCTAGGAGTTGTGATAGAAGGGAATGACAGACAGAGGTTCGATCGAAAAATAAGAAGATGCGACTCGGCTACCGAGCCGGGTGGGCTTACATGATGATATATGGTGCGCTATCTAAGATGACTTGTCACTCGGTGGCATCCATTAAGGCTAAGGCTGTTTTGACAACCGCGTGCGTCTCGGCGTAACATTGTCTTCAGAGGCTTCATAGTGGAGCAGCGATGCCCCTTCGTTTTCCCAAGGAGTTCCCAACCTCTTTAGGCCAAAGTAGGTAGAGCACTCATGCGCAGCATACGACGCAAATGGGAATTGAGGTTTTGTATATGGCGAAATGTACCAGCATGTGGGATGCATATTTTCACCAAGCCTTATAGTCATTGGCTGAAAGGGGAATGTATGGTTCGATAAGTCCGCTATTCTCGTATCGCGAGGCTCTTCGATAGCTTGGCTTCACCCCGTCTCCTAGGTGAAAATATCTTGGCAAGGTATAGGTTACCCCTGATGGAGATCCTAGAAGATCAACTAGTACCTAGAAGCACATCAAAAGATTTGCACGAGAGCCGAAGGGATCCACGTGGTGTCGTAATTCCCAAGAACTAAGGCTGAATTCGATTGTTTCTGATGTTCGTCCATTCACCTTGGCAGCTTGGCGGGTGATGGGTATTGTTTCAGATCGACTTCAGATGCCCCATCTGAAGCACCCATCCCACCAGTTTCATGGGATTATTATATTAAGTCGGCGCATCTGTGCGGCACTTATTGAGAAACACGTTTATTACCTAATAGAGTGCCAGACTTTATATATCGAAGGGGTCGCGATGGTGTCACATACCTTAGCTCTTGTTATATTGCCTACTCTTCTCCAGTCTCATCAAGTGGGAGACCCCTTCTTAGCAGTCCAGCCATGATATCACTAAGACGGAGCGGCAAGAGCGATCGTCGGCACTCAATTCGGATGAAGTAACTCTATCGTACCCACACTCGGGAACTTTAAAGCGGGTGATCGGGGTAAGCAATCGGCCCCCATCCGGCCCCACCTCGACTCCGATGTTCGGCATGCTGCAACGGGGAATACCGAATCAGCCTCCAACCTAGCGTTATACCTAAGTCCTTTAGTACCTTTCTAGATTGAACATCATCTTACTCATCTCATAAAACATCTGATACTTTTTCCAGTAATAAGTGATCAAAATCATCGACAGTTTTTTGTCCCGGGCTAGGTTTATCATCTGCGCCTCTAAACTGTCGAATCCGTGAACTTATCAAGGTACTGTCAACGCCACGTGCCGTAGCCTCGCTCGTATGATGCGAATTTAACAACAACACTATTGAAAACATAAACTTGAACTAACACTCACCACATCCAACACACCTCTACCAGACGCATCTCACTATGCCGCACATAGTCGTCTTAGGGTAACCCCCCTTTCCCCACAACCACAACAACCCACCCTAACCCTCCCACAGCGCCGGCGTAATCGGCCTAAGCACCGCCCTAAATCTCCAAAGCAGCAACCACACCGTAACAATCGTAGCGCGGGACTTCCCCTCCGGCTCCGAAACCATCGACGCGCAGTCTCAAATCAACTACACCTCGCCATGGGGCGGGGCGCATAACCGGCTCGTCCCACCGACCAACGCCTCCGAGGAGCGCGAACACGCCATGAGCCTGCGGACCTTCGACCACATGCGCGCGGTGCAGGCGCGGCACCCGGAAGCCGGGATCACGTTTATGAAAGGGATCGAGTACCTCGAGGCGCCGGGGGACGCGTACCGTGCGCTCAGCGAGGAGCGGGCTAAGACGGAGCTGGGGATGCGGGGGTTCCGACTTTTGGGGAAGGGGGAGCTGCCGGAGGGCGTGGAGTGGGGGTGTGAGTATGAGACTTGGTGTGTCAATCCGATGGTGTACTGCGCGTTTCTACTACGGCGGTTTGTGATTCTAGGGGGGAAGGTTTTGCGCAGGGAGGTGAGGGATCCGAGGGAGATATTTGCGTGGGGGTTTGAGGCGGGGGCGGCTGATGTGGTGGTGAATGCGTCTGGGATCGGGTTTGGTGATGAGAAAGTGTTTATTACGAGGGGTATGTTGCTGTCTTCTATTGAAGATTGATATAAGCATTACCTAGATGTTAGAAAGCTAACGGCAGAGCAGGCCAGACTTGTCTCGTGGCTAACACGTGCCCCGCGACTGTCACGCGGCAGAACGCAGACGGGTCGTGGACGTTCTGCGTTCCGCGGAATTTTGACGGGGGCACTATTATTGGCGGTACTAAAGAGCCCAATAATTGGGACCCGAATCCTTCCCCGGAAGTGCGCGAAACCCTGTTGCGGAAATTCGCCGCGACTTACCCGCAAATTCTAGGTCGCGATGGCAAGTTTACCGTGATGAAGGATATCGTCGGGCGTCGACCGACTCGTAAAGGTGGCATAAGGTTGGAGAAGGAGTCAGTCGATGGAAACAAGACGATCATCCATGCCTACGGTTTGGGCGGACGTGGCTACGAGTTGAGCTGGGGCGTTGCGGATGGAGTGGCGCGGCTGCTGGCAGAACATCTGGAGTCTAGTACTTCTTGGTATAACGCGCAGGCTGGAGAAGCTAAGCTTTAATTTGTGCGGATACCTATTGACACCGGCACGGGCCTGTATGTTGTGATAACCCTACGCGCCTTCGGCAGGGCGCATAATCTGTAGCTGGGAGTCAAATGATAATGAAGCCAAAAATTGAATGTATAGAATGTGAAGGTGGTGAAGATAATCGTTTGATAGCGAAAAGACAGCAAATTCGTACATCGGAAGATCTCCCGATATGTCTCACTATTGCTTTTTCTAGTGGAAGCGTAGTTCCGGGAGGCATCGCGTCATATGTGTAACAGGGCTGTCGATACGGGATGCATCCTATTTGCTCCTTGGCCAATCTGACCAGGACCGGGGTAGATATACCGGTCAGCCTGGTGACACGTAGATGGAATCTACATAACAAATGCATGCGGGCTACCGTCTTGCAGATCCAGATCCTGTGGTTGCTGGGACGGAAAGTTGAGTCATGGAAAATACATCAAAAAGTCGGTGGTATACGGTGAGCGATATCCAGAAGATAAACTCCATGTCAGGCTAAAAAAAAGAGTGCGAAAAATTCAGTGAAAAGTAGGGATTTATGCCGGGATAACTTGGACACTTCCAAGAACTTCGAACTGCTTCCTTGAGGATGTAGGTTTTAGTAGGAACGTATGAACTCTACGGATGATAATGATAGTATAAGTCATCAAGATGGATCTCGATTTTCAATGTCATCGACCTCACCTTCCATATCGGTTGAGTCATAGTCCATTCGAACTAAGTTTGCTTGAACCAGCAGAAATCTGCGTGTTAATATGCAATCATCCGGTAAGTACTTACAGGTACAGTAGCTTCAACATCATCTCATGATATAGACGATCTGTAGACCTTGGTCAAACAACTTTATCGTTTGTCAAATCAGGATATTAAATATCTTGCTCTCTATTCTCCTACACCACCTACATCATCTCCATCACTTCAAAAACCAATATCATCCAACACAAAGCCACTGAACCAAAATGTTCCACTACAGCGCCTTCTTCGGCGCCGCGGGCGCCGCCTCCATGGCCAAGCAAATGGAAGCCATCCAAATCTCGAACCGGGCGTCAGCCGCACTAGCCGCAGGTCGGTACGACGAGTCCATCGCACTGCACAAGCAAGCTCTCGAGCTCAAGCTCCTCGTAAGCCCCGATCTCAGCGTGAAGACCGGAATCACATACAACGGACTAGGCGAAGCTCTGCTCCGCGCGGGCCGTCTCGACGAGGCAGACGAGGCTCTTTCCAAAGCCCTGAAGATCCGCGAGAAGGAGGGACCCGTCCAGGACATAGCGTCGACGCGGGATAACATGGGGCAGTTGCGGGAAGCGCAGGGGCGGTTCGCGGAGGCGAGGGAGGTGCGGCTTCGTGGCGCGGCGAAGAAGTTGATTATGTGCGGTAACTACGATGTAAGCACCCAAATCTAATCCCGTTCCCATCACCGTCAGATACCAAGTCCGTTTTAACGAATAACTATGCCTTTTGCTAACTATCTATCTTCAACAGTGTCCCACCCACGCAATCTTGGGACTGAACAGGCTGAGCGCTTGTGGCGCTTGTGAATCGGTCTTTTACTGTTCCAAGGACTGCCAGAAGAGGGACTGGATTGTGCGACACAAGGTCTTCTGCCAAGCGCACACGGCTGCCTCACAGTCCAACAGCCCACCTGGTACACAGTTGAACTCGCAGTCAAACGACCCAGCTGAGTCGCAGGTTAACTCACAGTCCAGCAACACGCAGCGTTGAGGCCCTCTCGATTCTGATAACGCGGCTTTTAGGCGTAAAAGTGGTTGGAATTTGAATACTATGCCGAGGGTTGAGGCCCTAAGATCACGTCCAGGTGATAAACCTAGGTAGTTTAGTATTCGATTGAAAGAGAGTATCATCAATTGAATTCCAGCTCTTTCATGGCAGCGCTTTCCGGTCTTCTGCCAACTAGCTACTCCTTACTGGTGTCCCTGTAGTGAATTTTGATTAAATACCTATACAGGTATCTAATATCACAAGCCCCTAATCAAAGTGACCATCACATCTAAAACCTCCATCTCCCGTAAGTCATAATACAGGAACAGCCATAGGCACAGTCTCAAGCCATCCCCTCCATCCTCTACCTCCCCTCAAACCAAAAACGTCCAAAAACTAGGATACACAAACTCCTCCTCAAAAATGCGTCTAACCTGCTCAAGGACAAACCTCTCAACCTTCCCCACATTCTTCAGACTCTGCTTCGACCCCTCCCTCTGCCCGATCTCGCTCTCGACCCTAACCTCCTGCAACAAGCTCCCTAGCTTCCCCTTCTTCGGCAACCTCGTTCCCCCCGCCGAATTCGGCCTCTCGCTCTGCGCACCCCCCTCCTCCCCCTCATCGTCATCATCGTCGTCACGTCCCACAGCCGCGAGCGCATCCTCGGGACTCAGGAAGCAGAAATGGACTCTCTTCCGAATATACGCGACGACGCCGACGCCGTCGAACGTGAGGCCTGTGATGTTCAGCTTCACGGGTATGCCGACGAAGCTCGGCATCGGGTAATCGAGGAGTATCTCGGCTGTTAGCATGAGCTTGATGTCGCCCGCGTACTTGATGCGGAAGACGGCCTGTAAGTCGTCGACCCTAGGCTCGTAGAATCTTTTCGGTTCCTCGTCTTCGTCTTCGTCCCCGGCGCCGTTGCTGTCGGAGCTGGAACTGTATACTGCTGTGTCGTTATGGGGCCGTGATGAGCTCATGGGCGGCGGCACGTGGGAGAACCCGGCTGTTGCGTCCCTAGTAGGCGGCCTTGACGCCCCGGCAGATGTGGGTGCGAGCGTTGATACACTGTGTTTTTCTCTAAGTAGGTGGGGTAAAGGGGCTAGGGATCCTGAGACCAGAGAAGGTGTTAGAGGGGGCTCCGTCATAGTTATGGAGCTTTGCGATGGGTGTCTGCTGTGAGTACCACTCCGCGGGTGTCTTCCTGGCGCCGGTGAATGAGTACCGCCCATCTCTAGCCAGCCGTTTAGGTGTTGTGCTCCTGCTACAGCCGCTAACGGTGTTTGTGTGCCGGACCAAGGAGTGGCGAGTTTTGATTGAAAGTAATGCATATTAGCCGTGCCTCCAGGTACGCCGGGTGTCGGCACTCCGAGGCCTAGGAAAGGATTGCTGATATCGGGGGTCCCGGGAGCACTTCGCAATCCGGCAACATGTATATGGGGCGGATACATGCCCTCTACATTGTAGGATCCCGTCCCACTTCTACTCCGATCCCTGCGCCCATCGCCACCCCTTCCCTCCAATCTTCGAATTTGGTCAGCCCTCCTCTTACGCTCTTGCGCTCGAATCGCATCCGATACGTCCTCTGCGCTGACATGGCCAGCCCTCTCATCCCGCTCGCTCTCTTCATCTTCACCTTCACCTTCCTCTTCGTCATCAGAAACATCCGGATTTTCCTCATAAAAATCTGGCAGCGGGTCACATATATCCTTTAGTACGACGCTCGGCGGTATGGTGCCGAATGCGAAATCGTGGACGGTGACAGACTTAATAAAGCGCGGCAGCGGTACGGACTGAAACTTGACGTGGATGAAATCTCGAATGCGCTCGGCGAGTGCCGCTCCGTCCGGGCCGCCAGTCAGCGTCTCCCAGTTCAGGTCTATGGACATGATGTAACAGGTGCGGCGGTGTGGTGTTAATTATAATGATTTATTGTTATTGCTACCATCATTTCATCATTGAGTGGTTATCATGGTCTTATCTCATGAGATGCCTGCGAAATGAGAGTAAATGGTATCATTTCTAAAACGATGATGAGTCTTCACTTGAATTGCTTTGAAGATAAAATCGGAATGTTTTTTTAAGGTTGACGTAAAGTATTAGCAGCTGTTCAAACTAAAAATACACCCGTGGACAAGGAAGTCGGTAGATCTTAGCGCTTGTGGGTCTCAGCTGTACCACGTTTCAGGGCTTATCCAGGGCTGTAATTGCCGCCTAACGACACTACGACATTCCATTTTCGGGTACAACGATGCATTCTTACGTCATTGTAACTTGTCAGGTACATTTCAAGGTTACTTCTAAGAGCTTCACGTTGATTTGCGTATATTACGAAGACCATTTTGTTCGTCATTAAAAGGGGGTATCTGTTAAGAGCAAGAAGCAAATGCCAGCCATGCGTTTTCACCTCCCTGCCCCAAATGATGCTTTCGTTCATCTCGTACCTCGTTGACATCCCCATCTGAAAGAATTAGGTTGCCCTGTGTGTGTGACCGTCATACTATAAACCTTCCACAAACGCCTCGTAAACTCATTTCATAATCCCCTCACTATACATCACTCATATAATGCCATGTCCGGCGTATGTCCGTAAAAAGAGTAATGTTAATTATGCCGCACCTGCATCCGTAGCCGTTGTTTCATCCGCAGCAGCAGCATTAATCTCCGCTCGAGTTCTCGACGACGACCCTAGCATTGGTAAGTTAAACTGGTGCCAACAATTTGGCGCCTCGAGAATGTATCTGTTATCAGAGTCAGAACTACCTATTCTTATCTTTGATTTTGGAAGATTAACTTACCTCGCCATAGCCTCCCGGAATCTCGACTTGTACTCCTTGGGACTGGTTACAGTTGGCCTATTGCGACCGCCGCCTGCGAAACCGCGGTCTTTGATCCAGCTTTCGAGCTTCTTGTCCCAGGTGTAGGTTCGGATGCAATCAATGATGCCTACGACCAACTCCTTCTTAGCTTCGTCAACGGCAATCATGAGGGAATAGTCCATCACATTCTGACGAGCTAGGAAAAGCGTATCATTCCAGACCGAGACACGCAGAAGCTTCTTCGAGTGCTCTCTCGCGAAAAGTGGCGACTCATAGATATATTCCACCATGTTTTCGTCAAGGAGGACCTCGTTCTGTTCACCGGTCGACTGGATCTTTCGATTTCGCATAGATCCCTTCAGATCAAAGATCCTAGTGGGTGCTCGGTCGTAGAATAAGTTTTCCATTAGAAGTAAGTCAAGTTTTATTTCCGTGTTTGTCACTGGGTTCCTTATGCTGACTTGGAAGAATCCTAACATCTTTGCAATTACCGATGGTAGGTCATGGAAAAGAGCTTCCGCCATCAAGCTAAAGTATGCCGGCGCAAATTTCAAGAACGCGGCAGTCTCCACCGGTGATAAGGACTGAAATAAAGGTTAGCTTATGCACATATATAGAGATGGGAGTTCCTCCTTACCTTCATTACTAGTCGGTCATCCTGGGTCTTTAGGAAAACCGATTTCGTTTTGCCGCCTTTAGAATCCCACTTTAGACATCGGGATAAAGACTCGACAATCCGATCGGCGACGCCACACTTTCGTCGCAGTGCATCAAATTGCTCGGCGTACAGGATTTTGACAAACATTCTTGCTGTTCCTTCGGTGAATTGGTACTTGTAATGGCAGCTCGTTGTATGCACAAGTTTAGTCTCCAATTGCTCCTCGGTGATATTGTCTCCAATATCTGAGGGCATCTCGGATCGCGCATCATCTTCAGCTTCGGTAGAAGCTGCGTCGTTTTTACTGCTCTTTTCATAAAAAGTCCGAAGCTTTTCTTTGTAATCCTCAGAACTGAGAGCAAACGCGATCAGAGAACTGGGCTCGTCCTCTCGAATAATGATATCGGAGTCCCAGAAGATATGATCGGTCGCGTTCAGAGGATACTCCAGTGGGGGCCATTGGCTAGCAGATCGTTCATTCCAAAACGTGGTCAAGACTTTCATGAAGTTATTCTTGTCCTGTTTCGGCAGTTCTATTGGGATATCCGTGCTGGAGTCAAACGATTCAGCGATCTCCTCTAGCGTAGTACCGTCAATTAACGAGTGTTCGGTATCGCTGTCTCCTTGCTCGTCATCCGTAGCACCTAGACTTGCAGTGTGCGTTTGGTCGTCAGTTTCGCATTCTGTCATAACATCATCAGCGTGATTGAGATCGTCTTTTGGTGATTGTTGATGCCCTCTCTCAAGCTTAGCCTCTACCGAGGGCCTTGCTGATTCTGTTGAATCGTTTCGCTTGGCATCAACTACGCCTGCTGCAGCAGCCAGTTCATCTTCAACAGGCCCTGATTCCTGTACGGCTTCATCCACGTCTTCATAGACCTCAACTATAGCTTTTGCCGGAGAATTCTGGAGGAAGGGTCTCGAGTGCGACATTTTTTGTTTTCTCTTTTCTCTATCCTTCTCACGCTCTTTTTCAAATTCTCGACTGAGTTGCTCGAAATGTTTGCGAATAGTTGAAACCCTTGAGTCTTTCTTTCCGACGAAACGCGGGATAGAGGACGAGTTTCCCTTACGGTGAGGCCTGAGGCTACTGAAGAGCTTCTTCTCCCCTTTACTAGACTCGCTTGTTGAAGATTTTCGGAGTTCGTTCCCGGTTGGTGCCTCGGTAGACGGCACTCTATCCTTCTCCTTATTGGCACCGAACATCTTCTTTCCAACCATCGTGGAATGCATGCGAGGCAGTGTTGGTACACTATTCACTGGGTGTGATAAGGCACGAACCATGGGCGGAGACACGTTCATTCCCATCCTACGGGAAGAACCACGCTCTGTCTTAGACTGTTCATTTCCTTGTATAGACCCCACACCCGCGTTTTCAAGCGACAACGACTGTTGTCGATGGCGAATTTGCTTGACTTGCTCGGTGAGTGACATCGGCGGCGCGGAGGTGAGAGTGGGAACTGGTGCAAGATCTGGGGACAATGCCGGGGTCCGAATTGCATTTAACGGCGGCGACGCTTGTGGAATTGCGACTTTATTCTCTGGCTGACTCGGAAGAGAAGCGGTGGAGACAGGTGATTTCGGTGTCGCGAGATCTAATGGTTCAACTCTCTCTAAAGTTTCTTCTTGGGGTGGAACATCGAGAGGACTCTTTTCTTGAATTGTATCAAGCGGAGGAGAATCGGATACAGGTTCCGATGGTTGGGTATCTAGCCTCGAATCGGTGTCTGGTGCACTTGCCTGCGTACTTTCTTCAGTATTATCAGTGGCCTCATTATTAGACTCTTTTGATTCATCTGTAAACATTTTACGAAGGTGGATCATCGTCAGCCTGCGAATATCCTTATCCGAGGGTAGAAAATCGGCCTCGAACTTTGTGAACGCCGTATCCCATTCGGCCACCTTGACTAACATATCTCGAAGGACGACATTAAATGGGATGACCTCGTAGTATTTCGAGGCCATGTATTTGTCTTGTAGTTTTCGGATAAGCAATGTATGGTCGTCCTGTATCTTCTTTGACAGTCGTTCAACTTCCCCTTTGCATGCTTCAGCCTTTTCCGAGAGGATATTGTCGGTATTGATAACTTTCAGCCTAGCCTTTACGGAAGTAGTGAATCGGGTCCATCGTTCTTGAGCATTGGAGAATATCTCGTTCTTCATGTTGAGATCATGTTCGACATTCCATGTAATCCTAGCTCGGGGAACAATAATCTCCAAGAGGTCAATCGGGTCATAATGAACACGAACTATCTTGTCCTGCAATCCGAAGTAGCGTATGTGATCTCGGTGGTGATCATGCGGACAATTCCAGCCATCGGCATTATCATCCTTGACAAGATGAGTACCTCTACTCCAAAACGACAATTCGAGATATTTCCCGAACGAATACTTCCAAGTCCCTTTCGACATTTCCATCTGGCTAGTTTCGCGCTTGCAAAGCTTACAGAAACTCCACATCACGATATTTTCACCGCCGAGTCTACCTCTAGTATCCTGCTCAATGAAGATAGTGATGCGTGCTTCACCATGGACATACGTTCGATGGTGCTCATACATCTTGCGATCACATCCATTAGATGTACAATTCGTGTCTGCGCTATAGCAGATGTCCTCGATGTATTGGCCTAAAGTGCAGTCAGGAGCCATACCACTGTTTCCATCGACGTGTTCGTCATAGAAACCAAAAGCGAATAATGTGGGCTCCAAGCACGGGATTTTAGTTTCAGTGCAAATAACCGAATGGAGAACGACTATGTTCTGATGCGCATAAGGCTCGAATAGACCAATATTACTTTGTATGTAATTTTCCCACTGACGCGTCTGTGTCTGATAGTTGTAGAAGGCTTTGTCGTACTCGGCATCGTGCACTGCGTGGAGTATTTCCATCATTTGCCGTGGTGCTTTGTGGCCAGTCTCGAGGACCATTCGTGGCTTAATGAGTTGGAATTTCTGATTCGGCTTTTCACCATCGGCCCGTTCGTCGACTACATCATGATCGCGTAATCGTTTCAAATGCAGTAATTTTCTTTCCTGTTCCCGAGCTTTCATAAGTAGATACGGTTGAGCGAATTTGACAAACGGAGACGCGGAGAGAATCTTAGTCTCATACTTAGCCACCATATCACTATAGAATGTTGGCATTGGGGTATCATCTGGAATAGGACTGTCGTGGACAGAGCGAGGATGCGATTCGTGCAGGGAAACCACCCGGTCATTAGGCTGTGAAGGGGGTTGGTCTTGTGGTGTGATATCGCTTGGTGGCGCCTCGACAGTCTTATCCAAGGGTGGATCTTCTTGGCTTGGAGGTATCTCATCTTGATTAGATGTACGTAAACTTCTCTGACCATCATCATCTAAGGCGGACGTCCTTGTGCCAAACGAGATCATACTTCCCTCAGCAGGCTGTGAAGGATCTCTTGACATGTCTTCACCGGTAGGAAGTTGGATATACGAATCGCGTATCAGACAAGACTCGAGTTTAAGGTTGTATACCACATACACCATAAACTCGGTTATGCGCTTGAGCTTCGAAAGAACATTGGTAGACGCTCCCCTCAGGGCAATGGTGCATCCAAGTTCTTCCTGGTTGCTCGACAAAAATATGTATGTCTTTTTCCGACCAGGAATTTCCTCGTTCACGAATGTCTTCACTTCATAGCTCGTGCTTTTGCCTGTTTGAAACTGGTGTGGAGGAAGAGCCAGCATATCTACCGAAGAAATGATTTCGGTCCCCAAACACCTCGAGACTGCCGAAAGTACGGACGGCTTTACGTTGTAGACCACAGAAATCTTGGCGTCTGACAGAAACTGCAATGCGAGGCCCGATACGCTCTTCTCCGCTAATAGGAGATGAGGTCGCAAGGCGGTGATTCGATTCACCAGCTGCTTCAAGAATTCTCGTTCTTGTTCGATGACTGGTTGCAAGCTCATGAACTGCTGCTGGTGCCGTTGATACTCGATCGGGAAAGAAACAATTACAACGCGAGGATTAGGCATACGGCGCGGCATGCTCTTCAGTGCAAGCTTCTTGGTAAAAATGACACCGGGAACATAGCAGGTATCACTAGGCCTGCCTCCAGGTATCTTTTTTAGCTTGACGTAATGTCGGATGTCAATGTCATCTCCACTATCAATGTCTGGATCCACGGACGAGGTGCATTTCAAAAGCACCGGTACTAGAGCCTTTTCCCATGCCGCTACGTTTGGTATATCGGAGTCATGAAGGAGTTGTTGTAATAGCTTTCGAACGTGTAGCAGACTTGCAGGATTGAGTTCTAAGCGAGGCTCTTTATCTCCCTTCATAGACGAACTTCGAGTAAGGCGTGGCAATTCAGGCCCGCCGGGGCTGTCAAACAATGGGAGAGTCTCACTTGAGCCAGTCGGCCCTCTCAGCGCAGATGATTTGGGTCGAGGAGAGCGAAGATGATTTCCACTAGCAATGCTCAAGTTTCGTCGCCTAGAAGATCTTGGGTGGAAATCGTCAAGGCCACGGCTCGTGAAGCTTACTGCGCTGGTGCTCTTCTCCATTTGACCTCGACTTCTAAGTTTCCTTCCTGCATTTAGGTATGCACCGAAGCTTGACCGCTCGGAATCGGTTGGCGGATAGAGATCTGATCCAGCCATCACTCCAGCGATGCTCATTTGTTCATCGCCACTAGATTCATCGGACATGAATGGAGCTAGATCCGGATCAATGACATTGTCATCGTGGAAAGCGTGTAGGCCTGACTTTCTACCGGCTTCCTCCTTCGCGGATTTTCGGAAAGGCGCCCTTTGCTCTGGTGAAGCTTTGAGGCGGTTCCATAAGTTATGTTTTGAGTGATGACGCCTGTGGCCGGAAGACTGGGGCCTGCCTGGGGTACCCGACTTAAGAGATCTAGACGAGCTTGGTCTACTAAGCTGTGGCACGTCAATTTCTAATACGGCGGAGTTACGATTCGAGGATTCGCCAATGCGTCTGGCAGCGGGAATTGCCATCATCGGAGCAGTAAGTGATCTATTATCTTCGTCGAAATCCTCAGTTCTTTCAGAGAAACTAGCATCGTCTCGATCGGCCTTCGAAAATGGCGAATATCCTCGTTTAGATTGGGTCGAGCGAAAAATCGCGGGAAGAAATGAATCATCAGCCGAATCATCATCTGACAACGTCCCATCTTGCCTTTGAACGATGATGCTTAAGCAAGGGTTGCAGACACGCAATGTTCCCTGAACACCAAATCGTTGGCCTCCGATGATAGATGTGCATCCACTGTCAAAAATACAACCACAGGTTCTGCAGTGATGTTTGCGGCGGAAGGCAGTGAATGGAGCACCACACAAAAAGCACTCCTTACAAGTCTCATCAGCCATCCAGAAATCCTTGCTCAGGACTTGTTTTCGCATAGAGGCAAGTTTAGCGTTGACTATTTCCGGAGCGCCTTCATCCGTAGTCGTGCCGGGAATTCTGTACTCTCCGGATCTTATCCGTTGAGGCTGAGGAGCTTGTGTAAATGACTCGTGATGGACACTGTTGTGAGCAGATGTGCTTATAGGACTATGTTCAGTAGTTCCTCGCGACAAGGATGAGGACCTCGAGAGATCACTCCGATGCCGAGAATAACTAATCCTGTCAAGCAGAGCGGGTCGTTTAACCGTATCCTTCACAGAGGGGCGGGTGGATTGAGATAACACGTAAGAGTCAGATGAAGTAGCGTTAGAGGCCGTGGAAATTGACGCGACGACGCTTGGCCTCTTGATAGGACTAGTAGGCGAATCGATATTTCCATCTATAGACAACCCTCCTTCTCGTCTATTATGGGTAGGTATATTGATCTTGTCAAGAGTGGGAACGCGCTTGGTACCCGGCATATCGTGTATCGTCGACATCTCGGAGACGGGAATAGTGGGCTGTCCTTCGTTGGCCTTAGTACTGCTTCTCCTAGGGTTTCCCCTACTTGAACCATCTTCGGTCTTTGTTGATGTACCACGAGGTGTTTCCTTAAAAGCGCTAACGTGTGCTGGTGCAACAGTGGCCGTTGCCTTTGTCATATTCGGTATGCTTTGGCGGCTTGAGGAAGCGGATTTCGAAGTAGCTACACCGGCTATGTTGGTGACAGACGAGGCCATTGTTGACTGAGGCTGTTGGGATTGGCTTTCGTTGGTTAGAGCGATTCCCGAGGAAGAAATAGTAGACGCCATCGGATCGGACAGGTTTGAATTAAGCGTTGAACTAGTGATCGCAGTATCAGTGCGCAGTAATGAGGTGGAAATCTTGGAAGCTGTAGCAGTAGTGCTGGAGCTTTTCCTAGATGCAGTGTCCCCATCGTTTGGATCAGTCCTCTCCTTGGTGGTAGCACTTGATGCTGCCGTAGATTTATCCTTCCCACTAACCCCAACTGCCTCTTTAAATCGAGAATATAGACCACTCAGGCCATTTTGCACGATATCACTCGCAAGTCCTTTACTTTCATTAGAAGCGGCTAAGTCGGGGGGAGGTGCGATGTCGTTAAATGTCGTCAAGCTATCCCTCTCTTTAGCAGAATTATGAATCTTATCAAGCGCCTGGGAAAGTTGTTCTCTGTCGATTTCGGGAGAGATAAATGAGGCTGAAGCAATAGAACCCTGACGAGACTTAGGAGCGGACGAAGCTACCGTCGAGGGGGAAAGCGGAGTCGGAGGCTTCCTGTCAGACATGGTGACGATTCGTTTGAGACATGGGCGACGCAGACGTAATCCAGCTTGTTAAAGCACTTCGGGTGTCGATTATCAGCAACTAACCAAATGCAAGGCGTAGGAAAGAGTTGTTAGGCAATTTTTATTTACCTTCCCGAAGTACTTTTCGGATGCGACTAGGAAATGCCCGCTTTTATGGGTGAAGTTCGTGGTTATTCGGTAGCAGCCAATCGTCATAGGCTTGACGGAAGAGTGAAGAGCAAAGAGCTAATCAAGAGACCCGTTTGAAATAATATATGCCTGGATAGGTCGATGTCGAGAGGTGATCAGCAATACACAGCGGCAACCGCCAGAATGAGGAAGTGAAGGTACCCCTCATACAAGGCGAATGTGTATTGGCGTTCTGATTTGTAAAGAACCAAGATCCAAATGTGATGCAAGAGACGAAACCGGGAACCTTGAAGCCTTATCGAGCTCCGGGACCCACTCTTTAGCTTTTAGTAGACGGCGGGCAGAACGGCGACTGCGTTTTAACCCCACTAACGATTGGTACTGTCTTTTTTAACAGAAAAGGTACATTACACACCAAATTTAGCAGTAAATCTACCTGTAAATTAATGTTCTGAACGGTGTCTAGGCCCCGCAATGTCAGCTGAAAGTGACAGGGTCAAAGCTCCCGAACCGATGACTCGGATGTACTAGGTACTTCGTACAGCTGTAAGAAATACCTACAGGCACGTGAAGTCGCATGCGCTCTCTAAATTCTCAGACCCACCACTATACTTTCTTCACGCGTTAAACGCGTTCAACACCTCTTAAGGCACAAATCACCAATTCCCAATCACCAACAGAGCACTTGCCAAATCTCTAGATCCACATCATTTGGGCACTAGTCTTTAGCAAGGAGTGTCAAGATGCCTAATAACATGCACCATTACTCTACACATCCCATGTTATAGACGATGTTTTTACTCTCAGTAAAATATGGCGAAGAATCCGAAATCGACGGCAGAGCTGGGTTCTCCCCAGTCCTCTATTCCCGATCTTTTTGAAGAGAAACGACTCCAACGGCGTCTATTCAGAATACCTACCGATCAACGCAAACTTCTCGAAAATTCGCAATCATGGGCAACATTTCAAAGCAACTGCTCTGTGCCTTTTCTTAACGTCCCGTCTCATGTTATAGAAAATTTGAAAAGATGTCACTCTCGGCATTTAGAAGAGAAGAAACCAGAAGAATTACAGAAGCTAGAGGATCAACAGGAACCACGGAAACCATGGGATCCGCAGGAATCAGAAGAATTGGAAGAATCGGATGAATTAGACAAACCATCGCATTCTCTGCACTGTCAACATTCAGACGATAATCAAGATGAAAGAGAGGACAGTCCGGCCCCAAGTCTTAAATCTCAAGCTTCGTATTGGTCGCCTAGTCCGGAAAGCAACAAATACCCACCAAAGAATATTGGTAACAAAGAGACTCCGCTGCAATTCGATACACAACTACCCCCGGTGTCATCTCCTCGTCCCACGGAGCCCATGAGGTTTACAAAGCCAGCCTCAGTCAAACGAGAACCGCTGTATTTCCCATCAAGCAACCAAGAAGAGGAAGCTCTCGATGTTGAAGTGCCAACAGCAATTAGTGACATCATTCCATCTTTGAATAAGTCAGCCGTTTCGACGTTTGCGACGCCGCCCTCTGCCCAGATTGTGCCGTGCACTCTCCCATTATCAGAAGAAGTCCCCAGGCAGCAAGTAACGATAAAGAAGCAGCGGGTTTACAAACCTGTTCCTCAATTGTATCGACCAACAAACCAACCGGTGCCGACACATCTTAATTGCAACGCGGCGCAATTAGGGCATATAACTTCGCCCACTACTGATATTCAAAGTTCTATATCGACAACCAATACATCCTCCTCCATCATACCTTCTACTATGCCGGGCGAAGCCTTTTCCCAAGGCGTGCCTAATTGGAATGCCAACCTAGCTACTTCTCCATCTAAGGAGTCTCATATCAGCCACGATGAGCTTAATGTTCAAAATTCCCCGCAAGCCCAATGTCTGTCACCCGAATACCGGCCTCAGTCACCAATACTGAGATCGTCGCCACCTATTCTACCTATTCCTCAGAGTCGGCTCACAGCCGACGCCGTACTGCCCTCGGGCACGGATTCGCAACCCCCGTTCGTTCGTTACACAGTGACATATCCCAATTACAATGGGACAATTAGGGATTTTGTAACGGCTTGCATGTATATCCAACTTCAGCAACGAAGGATACGAACATCACTTTATGACGACTTCATCCGAGCCTGGCATGAAGGATATGTGCCGTACGTTCAGAGTTGCGACGATACTGATTTTCCTGTCAAACCATTAAATGCCATCGAGTGGTTCAACGGAATCGATGATGACCCGCTATTTACATCGCGAATCATTACAAAGCAGAATCTTCAGTCGACACTCAATCATTATCCAGATGAGCTTCGTTCTGCTCAGAGCCTCTTAGGCCTGACACCTTCGCAAGCCCAGGAAATAACGAGTTCTCCTGACGCTGCTCTACTTGTGGAGGGCTATAAACCCGTCTCAAAAGGCGAGGATGACGTCGTTATGCAGGAGTCAAGTAGAACAATGCACAGCATTTCAACGCCAGCGAGTGTCGATTCTACACATTTAGAACCAGCTATTTCTATGCAGCCACCCATGGAAAAGAGTAGAGCCATGCCTCTGCACAAGTCCTTTGGTGAAATAGAGAAGCGACCAGCCGCCACCAAAGTATTAGCGCGATCCTTTTCCGATGTAACTCGTCAAAAGAGGAAAGCTGCTGATGAACTCGGTGGCAATGTACCGAAACGTCTATCAGTTAACGCCCTTCCACGTTCTGAGGCGGAAAACGGTACCGGCCTCGACCCTGACATTCCCAGCAGTACGATGCAATCTTCTATCCCGCCGAGCTCTATTGCGCCAAGCTCTACGGCAGGCAGTAGAAATAGTAAGAAGAAATACATGGACGATTTGAAGTTTAAGATGTCCATAGAACGATGGAGGAAGAAACGAGGAAAGCAGATTCCAAGCTCGGCGCCTGTGAGCAATACCCCGACATCTGCTCAGAGAGAATGAGAGACATTGTAAAGAGATATGTGTACTGTCGGGTTGGTTGGTGGTGCTTTGGGAGCAACTGGTGCATGTTATACGGCTAAGATACCCCTTTCTACTATTGCTGATACTAGCAAATGCAAAACTCATATGAACAAGACTTGCGAAGACTCTTGATGCCAGACGTTTCATGAATGCCACCTTCCAGTTCATCAGCAGAACTAGACACATCAAACAACGACCCGGCCTACGTGTCGTATTAGGCAACAAATGTGACACGTCAAATGGTATACTCTAATACTCACGCCACAGCTAGTATTTCTCAGGACTGTATCCTTGATTCTCCCCCGTGCTCCACTCGTTTAAAAATGCCAAGAAATTTCAATTAGTAAACTTGGGTTTACTGGTTACTAACACAGTTGACGTTGTTTTATTTCTCGAGATACGAACGTAGAATAATACGTGTTCTCATATAACCTGAGTTAACAAGACTCACCTATTCATGACTACCTAGGTACGATTCTGGTTGATCGTTATCTTCGTAGGCGCAAGAGGGGTGGCGTATCAGATTGTGAGTCATCTTGTATTTGCCAAATTCGCATGCCACCGCAATTAGTGAGTTGAGCCCGACATCTTATACACGCGACAATATCGTACACGTACATCACCCATCCCCAACTTTCCAGATTCCGTCGTCCTCAACTTGCTTCGGTTGCGGCGCTGGACAGTCGAGGTTTACTTCGCCTGCTCTTTCCTCCGTTGCTCCTCTTCCGGCGTCATAGTCCGCAACTGCAAGGCGTGAATACCCCCCTCCTGAGCCATCTCGCTCTCGAGCAGCTGGTAGATGATGCGATGTCGGGCGGGCTGCATCTTGGACCTGAAAGCCTCGGAGGTGATTACCAGTCTGAAGTGCGTCTCCTTGGAAGTGCTACCCACCATGGGCTGGTGGTGTGCGTGCTTGTGAGAGTCGTTGAAGATCTCCAGGGTCGAGGGCTTGAGAGCCTCAGTGATCTGAGTGATGCGGAGGTAGCTGATTAGTGAGACCGCTTACTATATTATACTCATGCGGGGGCCCTAGGCTGAGTGTGCATATTCACCTTTGCCCGAATGGCATCCTCCATCGGTGTATTGGAGGTCACGGATGATGCCATGATGGAGAGCTGTCTGGTCGCCCTGCTGGTCCAGGCTCGCACGTGTTTCTGCAACATGTAGGTGTCTATGTGAGATTTAGGATGTGAGGTTACCCCGATCCTGTTTCGGCCAGGTTTTTTTTTGGGTGTCGATGGGTGTCGAGAGCCCTAGGATCGAATCTTTTAAATTCCCGATCAGATATGGTGTAGACCAAAAAGGGGAGGTAGGGTTCCAGTGTAGGTGGTGAAACGGACGAATGATGAAAGATAGCAGAAACTGAAGTTACAAAAGTGACTATATCGAGTAGGTACGTACATATGTCTACGTCCCTAGGTGCATTCAGGTGCGTTCAAGTACGTTTAGTGGGGCGAGCTAGGATATTTTAGGCCGGCCGATGTAAGCATGCGGACCGGGACGAGTTAAAGTTACTGGAACTAATTGACCAATAAGGTTAAGTTACGGTAGAAAAAGCGACCCCGAGAGAATCCTCAACCCTCAACAATTCAAATCCGTCTCTAACTTCATTCTTCGTCTTACGACTTTTAGAGCTTAACACACTTAACACCCAACGGTGATCTCGGGCATATTCGAAACGAGTGTCCGAAGTTCTGGAAGCTCCAATGATAGAGTCTACCAATCTACCAACCTAGCAGTATCGACTCAATCTAGAATATACATACCAAAAGTACACAAAGAATAAGAAAAAAAAGTACCTATCAACGGATCTAACTGGACCGACTTACAGCATCTTCCCCCCTGTTCGCGAGTTCTTGGTATTTGAAATACCCATTTTCCCCATCCATCCTCCGGCTCATCCTCCTGCCTATTCAGAAGGATTTGCATGGGGGGTTATTATGTCAAAAGAGAGAGAAGGAGGTTTTGGGACTACTTAATACACCTACACTCTTCTTCCTTTAATACCCCGTGATGCGATTGAGTGGTACCGGGCTTCATCTAATCGTTAATGCTCCGTCGTCATTCCAGCTGCTTAAGTCTGTTTCAGCCGCGCATTGTTTAACTCGTGGTTTTATTGCATCTATTGCTTCTCCATATACTACATATATTACCCCTCGTCCTGGCCAGCGTTATTATCAGCGTTCTTGTTCCTCAATTTGCTCAAACAAATCTCCCCTCTTCGGCAATTTCACAAACCAAGTCAGGATGGCTTCCACTCTGACGCTTCCGAAGTTGCCCATCTTCGAAGCTATCGCAAGCCATAACCCACAATCAACAGCTATCGTTCACTGTCTATCTCGTCGGACATTCAAGTACGGCGAACTTCTTCCAGATGTATCTCGCGTGCGTGACAGGATACTAGAGGCTGCGGGCAAGTCGGACATCCGGGGCGAGCGGGTGGCTTTTCTAATAGAAAACAGTTATGATTATGTTGGTATGGGCTGACCAGATCCACCACCGCATATGACGTAAACTTGCTGACGGGCGCAATCTAGTCACATATCTCGCTGTTCTAGCGTCGCACGCGATCGCCCTACCACTATCGCCTCCATTCCCAGCTCCTGAGCTACAATACATCCTATCACAATCTGGAGCTATACTATTACTGCATTCGTCAAAGTATGCCTCGAAAGTCGACGAAGTTCTCAACACACCGAGCAAGGAACTCGATGTCACGCCATCACCAATTCCTATCGAATTGCCGAAGCACTTCGGTGCAATTTCAGAAACATTCGAGCCGGTTGAACTCGTTGAGGATGATGCGGAGGGTGCTGGTATGATGCTTTACACATCGGGCACGACCAACCGACCGAAAGGTGTGTTGTTGCCAGAAAGTGCGCTTACAGCCCAGGCCCGTGCCCTGATTGAGGCCTGGAAATATGCGCCCTCGGATCGTCTGTTACACGTGCTACCCCTCCACCATATCCATGGCACGGTGAACGCAGTACTCACACCCCTCTTTGCCGGCAGCAGTATTGAATTCCTTTTCCCTTTCAATGCTGACACGGTATGGCGACGATTTGCATCTCCGTTCCTAGACTCGCCTCAAGTTGCTGCTGCAGTCAAGGCCAATGAAGTTTCTCATCCGGTGAAGACAAACGGTATCACAAATGGCGTCAAACCCAATGGTATTGCTAAGCCTATTACAAACGGCATTGCCCACCCGGTTGTGAAGACAAATGGTTTCCATCCTCCCATCGCGGAGCCGAACGGTATCGTCACTCCGATCACAGAGACGAATGGTACTATCACTCCGGCTCTAGAACTCGGAGGATTCGGCAATCCTGCTTCGTCAGAAATCAGCCGCCTAGCAGCGGTGATTAGCCACCTCGCTGCCGAAGTAAACAACCTGGCCGCTAAGATCAGCCAGCCCAGTCAGCCGTTCGCTCTAACGAACGGCTTTAACCACGCCATTTCTCAGCAGACCAACGGCGCCATCCCATCGCCGGCTCTATCGGCTAAAGGATTTGATACCCCGATCGCATCGACCAATGGCATCACCACACCGGTCGCGGAGCCTACTGTTCCCGTTAAGCAACCAGAGCCTCCCAAGGTCACAGCCCCCGCTACCGAGGACAAGTACAAGAACATGTCGAGGGTCAAGATCACATTCTTCACCGTCGTACCCACAGTCTACACACGCCTGCTTTCCACACATAAGACGCTGTCGCCTACCGCTGCAGAGGCTGGCCGCATTGCTATCAGCCCCGAACACATGCGTGTCTCAATCTCGGGATCCGCTGCGCTTCCCACACCCGTCAAGCGCGCGTGGCGTGAGTTGAGCCGCGGCAATGTTCTGCTCGAGCGCTACGGCATGACAGAAGTCGGCATGGCCCTATCCTGCGGTCTCGACTTCGGCGACCGTGTCGATGGCAGTGTCGGATGGCCACTACCCGGTGTTGAAGCACGACTCGTGGACAGCGAGACAGGCATCCTTGTCGAGGATGACTTCTCCCTGGATCCGGAAGCTAGTGGTGAAGTAAAGGAACGCTCCGGCGAAATTCAACTCCGCGGCAAGAACGTATTCAGGGAATACTGGGCCAACCCTACAGCCACAGCTAAGGAATTTGTACCCGCAGAAGACGGAAAGGGACCATGGTTCAAAACCGGCGACGTTGCGGTCCGCAGGCCAGTACTCACGGCCGGAAATGCGGTCAGCGGCGAGTGGGCCCAGGGACCCATGTACTTCATCCTCGGCCGCCAAAGCGCAGATATCATCAAATCAGGTGGAGAAAAGGTATCCGCACTCGAAGTTGAGCGCGAACTCCTCTCCCTCCCCGAAATCTCCGAGGCCGCTGTCGTCGCCGTCCCATCAGGGAAATGGGGACAAAAGGTCGGCGCTGTTCTCATCCATTCTCCCGAGTACTTAAGAGATCATGCCTCCTGGAGACCTCTGGATATGCGGCGCGCGCTTAAGGGAAGACTAGCGAATTATAAGATCCCCCAGGTACTCAGGATAGTCGAACATATCCCGAGGAACGCGATGGGGAAGATTAACAAGAAGGATTTGCTCAGGAAGGTGTTCTTGGATGATTTTAGTGGGGACGAGATGTAGACCTCCCTATTTGAGTGAGCTGGGCGGGGTAAGGGGAAGAGGGGGGGTATTACTACCCCCGATACCTACCTACCTATGTTGTAGGTAAACATCATGTTGGATATAGGAGGTGCGGAGGTATTTGATATCATGATTCGGGTATGATGGAGATGCTAAGTTATCATCCGAAGGAACGGGATGAATAGGATCCTTTCAGATCCAACAATGAGAACAGGAGGACGAACAAACCGAGCAAAGCTCGCCATACTAAGATGGGATAAGATGAGACGAAACGAAACGAAATGAAGCAAGGTGCTGTCGTATAACACAGCCGGGTCAACATGGTTGAGAGCTTAACGGGATTTACATATCTACGCGGAGGACTTATATCTGTCTATATTTGTTCTATATTCCGTCTTCGATGGGCCTTCATCGTCTGTATATAGGGAAATTCCTTTTCCTTCCTTGACACCCCCTCTTCTCTTTTTTTTCTTCTACTTCCTCGGCGGCCTAGTTATCCTTTACAACTGTAGAGTTAGAATGAACGAGGCTCGCTCGCCACCATAGGGTTAGTACCTAACTTAGTTACGTACCTATTTCCAATTCGAATGTTAGTTACAAGAAAAGTTTACTTCTCTGAAACAAAAGAATTATCTACGTCAAATCACAATCATGTTTAAGACTTGGGGCTTCATATTAATTCGTGTAATATCGTCTGCGATCTGCGGAAAACAAGGTGCCGTAGCATTACATGCTTTAAGCAGATAGAAGTGCAGCGCAGCTGATGAGCATATCGTACTCATTCTCCCCGGACCCTTGCGAATAGGTGCCAGAGGCGAAATGCATATCATGCCGAGGACTAGGCGACTACTCGTTCCAAGTAGAATAAACCCTCCTCCCCATCATTAACCATAATATCCTGCATCGGTGACTAGAAAGAGATCGCTAGCGAGCGTACCAGGCTCTCTCTCCTTGAGAATACCAGCTGATGAGAGGCATAACACATTATGCTGCCAAAACTGCAGACCGTCCATTAAACCTTCGCTTAAACCGTGAACTTGGCCTTGGCTCGGGTGCTGCCACTGTGAGCAGAGTCGGTATGACCGGAGAACTCGACGACTTCGTTAGGAGGGAGCTTGAGAATGTCCTTGAACTGCTTGCCAATAGCGAGCAAGATCTTCTGGCCCTTATCAAGAGGTCGTCCTTTGCCGCCAGACACATCACCGTCTCCTCGTCCCGGGATGCTCTTTCCTATAGTCCGGGTCCAGACGCCGATACGGTAGAAGGCCTTCCGGACGTTGACGACAACACCCATGACCTCACCATCATCCTCTTCCTCGAGAGTCTCGCCGATAGCGGCTAGCATAGTGTGCAGCCAAAGGTCGTTGATGTCAACGTTGCGCTTATCCTTGAACTGGTAAGACCACTTTCCGCCATGCTTGTTCTGGGGGTCCTCCCATTCGGGTCGCACACCCTCCTTGAATAGGTGGTAGTCTGACTTGAGGGCCAGGTCGGAAACGGGGGCAATATTGTTCTGTGGTGATTAAAGTCAGACACAAAAAGTAACAAAATTCCGGGAGAAGATGCCTACATAGATGCCCCAGAACTCCTCTACTGAATTGAAGGTAATAACTTCCTTGAGCAAGTCGTTCCAGTTGTCTCCCTGTTTGATATTAGCGTCGGTCCTTAAAAATTATGCGACGTGCTGAACAATCGAGATACTACTAACCTTGCCGCTGGAGGGCTTGGTAAACCATAGGGTCCATTTGTTCTGAAGAGGGTGTTTGACATTGAAGTTATCTTTGTCGTGGAACACCGTAATCAGATTGCCATTGCTCTCCGAATCCGAGGATTTGGAATCTCCGTTGGGAGAAATGGGGATAGTGGTGAGATCAACTTGTTCGGACATCTCGAGTTACAGTTAAAACACTCGAAAGTGGTAGGGCGGATGTAAACGAAAGATTCGTTTGAAGTGAGGAGAAAATGGTAGATGTTTTCTGTTTGCGACTTGAAATTTGTCAGGAAGAGGCACAGGTTAGGTTGTAAGGTAGGTGCTCCGTAGATTTAGCTAAATAATAGATGATTCGTAGTTGCCCAAGGACCAAATGAATATAAGCCCTAAGTCGCAAGAACCTTAAATATTATGACAAAATATCTCCTAGCGCGATAGCAGTGAGGAAGGTTCAAGTCGTAGATTGAGGAGGAGAGGTAAATTGCGATGGAGGGGCAAGCGTCGTGATCAACGGTCGCAGGAGTGACGATTGACGTTTGTGGGAGCCGTCAAAAAGTAGCAAGTGTTGATGAACTTTGGTGAAAGTTCTCGTTTCAAGCAGAGGAATGCGAATGCGGGTTGCGGGTTGCGACTTTGCGCCAGGCAGAAGTCAAAGAATTCTCGTCAGTGTTTGTCGTAAAAGAAGAAGGCCGTTTTTTGCCAGCGTCGTGATGAATCAAAAGTTATTTGCATTTGTTTTGTCGCAGTAGTGGGGCCAAATGAGAAATCGCAACGTCCGGTTTCAGCATAAATGATAAATTTAACGTTGTATGCACAATTCCAGAAACCCATTGTTTTAAGGGGGCTTTAAAGGGGCTGAAGGGGGCTTAAGGGGGCACTTATGAATTAAGTAACCAGTGCGAAGTGTGGCATTGTGGCGGTGCTAGGGTAAGACCATGTCCCACACTTGGCAGGATTCACACAGTCTTCCTTCTTCACCAACTGCATGTCAACCAGACAATGAACCATGGTCACCTCATGTCTCGCTCTATCAATACATGATCAGCATTATTATTATGACTCACTACCAAGAGAAAGCCTAATGAAATGCATATATATAGGTTACACAGTAGTCAAATGCAATTGTACAGTTTTAGAAATTGACCCATCAACAGTCCTATGCTCACCATCTCAAAGTCGACTTAAGACCTCCTTTTTCAGTTTATCAGAGCCTTAGTCATGGATAATCTATCCTTTAGTACAGTCATATATCTGCCTTTGAAAAACTTACCACTATGGCGTTAGACATATCTCGGGGTGAGGGACTCCTTCTCAACCCTCGTGGCCCCAACGGACCTCCGATAACAGCAAATGGCATCGATTTCTCTCAAACCCCCTTATCGGATCAATATACCCCCTATTTTGCAATGACAATAGACAATCTCCTTACTCCAGAAGAATGCGCTGCTGTCTTAGCATCCGCAGGCTCAGATTGGAAGATGCTAAATAAAGGGGACTCATGGCGCGAGTGTGAGAGAATCTACTCTGTATCGCCGGAATGGGCCTGGGCTCTTTCCGAGAGGCTGATGCCATACCTTCCCGAAGATGTGAAAGTCTTGAGAAAGGGTGATGTGTTAGCCGAGAATATTGCAGGCCTATCCAACCTCAGGGCCAGTCAGGGAGCTGCTAAGACAGTCTGGAGACTCAATGGGGCTAACGAGAGGCTAAGCTTCCTGCGTTACCATCCCGGGAATCACTTCAAGTCGCATTGCGATGCGTTATACTCGCCCAGTGACAAAGAGAAGAGTTTTCTTACGTGTCAGATATACTTGAATGATATGCCGAGGGGAGAAAACCTAGGAGAGAGTTCTGGTGGAGAGACGAGGTTCTGGCCAAGTCGTGTGGGTACAGGAAGGAAGAAGAATTCCAATAACATGGAAAAGGAAAGTGAGCTGCAAATTGAAGATGAAGCATTCTTGGATGTCGAGCCTAAGATGGGTCGAGCCTTGGTTTTCCAACAGCGTATGCTATGGCATTCTGGACAGGAGGTCAAAAATGGAGAGAAGTTCACTGTCCGGCTGGATTTGATGTATGAACACCACTTTGAGAAATTTTCTAGATAGAGGCCCTTATTTCACGGATATTATGTCAATGTGTGACTATATTATATCAGTTTCGAGTTCCCTTTCAGAATAGAAAGCAATAAAATGATCTAACCAATGCCAATCTCTTTTTCGCGTTATAACCCAAATTTGTCCTAAGCAGATAGGTACTCGTGAGTTAACATGCAATCAGTAGCTATTCGACCTCGATAGATTGAGAGTAAAAGCGAGTGATGGGTAGAGGTGACAGAGAATGCATTTTCCCACGACCATGCTCACTCTGAATTCTCGTTCACATACAATGACAAGAGAACAAGTTCATTATCTATGCCAAATCGTCAGTTGCAAGTCATGGCATACGTGGTGGGTAAAGGACTCGAGTTGAAGAACGAGACCAAATACAAGTACATATATAATAATACAGAAACCAAGATCTCCATTCCCAAATCGCCTTTCACCCATTCCTTTAAGCGATTTTCTTTTTTACAATCTCATTATGGCGAATACTTTCGTTAGAGTATTTAAGAAAAGGGGCTGCTACCTCGACCGCCTAGCCCCTGAGTTGATCATTAACATCGTTTCTATGCTTCCAGACGTGAAATCGGTTCTAGCACTCGGTTCGACTTCGCACAAATACCGTGCTATCACCATACACAATGAAGGCACGATTGCTCGGAACATGGCCGTCAAGATCCTTGGAGACGATGATCCCGAGGTAGTCCGACTAGCATTCTTAGCCTGTAAAGCCACTCTCATCAAAAACCCAGACGCTCGCCTTATCCGTAAGTTCATCAAGAATTACGTCAACCCGGCCGACCATGCACCATTTCTCTACCGACTCCGCGCAGTCGATTTAATGGGCGATTTGAGCGCAAGCGTTGAGCTCCTGCTGGATTGGACTTCGACGTACGCCACATTGTGGCCCGTCAAGGTAGATAACAGGGCCTTCACGGCTACCGAAACCACGCGAATGAGACGAATCATCTACCTGGCCGAGGCTGGAATTAGGCTACTCCATACTATCCCAAAACCCAGGGTCTCGCAACTCGCAGACAGATTCTGGCGCTCCTTTCCGCTCTGGGATGTCGATCGGGCTTATGCGTTTCTGAGGATGATAAGTTCCTCGCATTGGTGTTGTAAGTTTTCTATTTATCCACCTTGTTATTACTATTATACGACAATGTTCAAATTAAAACTTACTGACTGCGTAGGCCATGACTGGAGTTTACTCACTGCTGGCCGCGGAATGGCAGAGCCGTACGGCTTCCCGTGGCACGCACACGACGAACTCCGGGAAAAGTTGTATATACTTCATTTCACTATGTGGTACGACAATCCTATAATGGACGAGCCTGACCTCGTATATTTCCTGGGACACCCATGGGCAAGCCACTCCTTCTGCGACTTTTTCAACCAATGTGTGGACCGACCGTCTCTTACCTGGACATCGCAGAGAACATGGTATAGCGGATTGGATCGAGATGACATCGAATGGACAACAGTATGCGGTTACTACGACCCCGGCGTGTTCAACCTTCGTCGAAATTGTGACTGGTTCTTCCTGATAGCAGACGAGGACCGACGTCAACGGGTAATAGACCAAGGACTCATTTGGGCTTGGAGCACCGAGCCAGAGGGAGAGGAATTAACAGGCGCAGACCCTGGACCAGCTGCGATCGTGTGGCGCGAGGACCCAGCCCACTTCGGTTGGAAAGGCCCCGTTGGCAGACCAGTACCTATCCGAGACATAATGACGAGACAATACGTGTAGTAGCTCTGCTACGTTAGGGAACGAATCGGTCGGTACGGGGTAGGACGAGAGAGACAGAAAGAGAGATATTTGGTTACTTGACTGGATATACCTACCTAGTGTATCGATTGAATATAACATGTATTGAAATCGCAGTTGGTCCTAATACTGAATCCCCATGAACCGATATAATGGTGAATTTAGTATTAGTTCGTCAAATTGGAATACCTGCCTACTGATAGATCGTCACCCAGCTCCTCAAAATCAAACTGTAATCTCACCATCCTTCACTAATCGACGAATAGTATCAATAGTGCCATGAACAGCCATCTTCGCCGTCTACCCCCCAAACCTAATTAGCAAAGTCCCCAACACAGAAATCACGACACAAACTCACCGTCCAACTCCTCTCCTCTAAAACTTTAGCCTCCTGGCTCCCCTCCTTAACGCCAGGGTACCTCCACTCAAACGCATACGTCATCATCAACTTCCCATCGGGGCCCTCGCTCACGATATTCGAAACCGTGCTCCCATCCGGCTGTTTGAAATCGATTCTGCACGGCGCGAAATGCATACACACCTCTCTAACCAACGCGCCTCCGCTCCCAGCAGCCGGTTCCGAGCCGGTTTTGAACCGGACCTCGCGCGTGACCGTGACGTTGCCGGAGGCGTGGTCCTGTTCCTCGACTAATACTATGCACTCCTCGATAATCGGGACGAAGTCCTGCGCGCGGAGGACCTTGCGTTTGAGCCCGGCCCAGACCTGGGCTTGGTTTAGGGTGGGCGAGGCCTTGGAGGCGTTTATGGGGGCTGTGTAGGCGAGGTTGAAAGTGACCATTTTGACCTATGGATCTGGCTTCTGGGGTGCGGGATCTGGGGTGATGCAAGGAGGTTAGATGTTGATACTAGCTCGTTGTGGAACCGTTGTGGAAGTTAGCTTAACGAATTGGTTCAAACGTTCTTTCTGCTGTGTCTACTCCGAACTGTGACATCTCGAGAAAGGAAAGAAGAGAACGGGATGGGAAGTAGGAAGGTACCGCTGACGTCAGGAGGTGAATTAGTTCCGGCGGGTTGGACCTGGCGTTGGGGAGAGTCCGGTCCTATGGTACCTACCGCTAAGATATGGCACATGATAACTCACCTACCGTACGATTCCTGGCAATTACCCACTGTTTCACCAAATCTTCGGGGCCGACGGGTGTCTGCATGAGCTATTATCTAACGGTTTCGGTTTCCCACCGGTAAGATTGCACATTTGACGGCAGGTCCATTCCCTCGGAAAAGCGAGAACTTGGTGCAAACATCGTGTATTCATCCAAAAGCACGTATTGACCAACTCCTTGCCAGGGGTATATACGGCGTGCTGACTTTGTATCCTATTTGAGGAATTCGCGTAATAGATAAAACTAATCATCATTAATTTGTAATGGTTCGATGAAGGTCAATCCACCTTCATCGGGGTCGTTGTCCATCATCCTGATTCCACCAAATCCCTCTTCTTCCGAATCGTAAGCGTGGTCAAAATCGCTATCATCATCGTAGTTAACACGGTGCTCCGTGCCCGGATACGAAGGCGGTGGTTCCACCAGCGTCGTAGTCGTAGATATCGATGGAGTGGTGGAAGCACGTGGCAACTCGCCCAAGTTTGGCAGAGAAGAAGTCGCTCTCGTTGTAGTCTGCGTGGCTTCTCGTTCCTTCGCATCCTTCAACCCGTCCAACTTCGCATTTCTAACACCCACATCGCTCTTGAGCTCCATCACGTTCTTCACGATCGGGTCATACTTCTCATTCTTTTCCGGCTTATCCTCGATATCAATCAAATTGCCCGTCTCGGCCCAATCTTTATCCTTCAGCTCGATCTCGATCTTCCCATCATCTTTCTCAATTGCCCCCTTGCCACCCCTAATGTCGGGGAATCCACATCTCGCCAGTATCTTCGGCACGAGTTCCGGATATCTCATGTGTCCCGTGACCTCATTACTCAGATCCAAATTCTCAACTCCTTCTATATCCCCGGTGATAGCCTGTAGCCCAGCAATGCCCAGTTGCAAACTCGTAGTGCGGTAGAGGAAGCCGAGGATGTAGTCGTTCTCGCTATACACGTTAAAAAGCCGGCCGGATACCACCGTACGCATCATCTCCCAGTACCCATTGTTTGACGGCACCGGTGCCCCGATTAAGACCACCGTGTCTATAAGTCCAAACGCCTTCCTCTCTGCCAATGATCGTAGGCATGAGTAGATGACCCGTGCGCCTAGCGAATATCCGACCAATGTGACAGGTCGTTCTCCTTGAACTCTATTAATTAGAGCGTCAGCTAGAATCCTGCCCGCCTTCTCAGACCGGTTCTTTGCAAGGCTAAACGGATTGTCGATATTAGACGCCGAGTTGAGAAGGAAGATAGGCCACAGGGCGCCCGACAGCGTAGCCAGGACCGTGCGCTGCAGAATCTCAGCTCTCACCGCACTCCACGCCGCCGACGCCACCAAGCCCCTCAATTTCTCGCCTAGAGCCATCAAACTCTTCATCTCGTACCTCAGCGCAAAGACCTCCGTCTCATCACCCAAGGCCCTCCACGGCTTTGTCACGTCTTCTTCAGCCGTAAGCCAGCCGTTAATCCCAATCGTAACCCTCAACCTCCGATCCTTCGCCCCGTCTCCATTCCGATCCGCCCAATCCCTCCCCCACTCCTCCTTCAGCGGGAGAAACTTGAAGTCCTCGACCTCCTTCGCATACTGATCGACCATATCCCCCGTCATCTTCGCGCCAAACGCCCCGAACAGCGTCCCGACCAAAGCCCCATTCATCCAAAAGATACCCAGAAAACTAGCCAGTCCCCCCAACCCAACCGAGCCCATCAACCCCCCAATAACGCCCGCAACAGCCGGCGCCGCAAGCCCGCCCGTAACCCCAATAATCGCCGCGCCCGCCACACTCGCGAGCCCAACCTTCCACAACCTGCCCACCTTCCCCTCCTCCCTGCGTTTCCTCGCCTCCGCCTCAGCCGACATCCCCCCCTCGCCCTGGCCCTGGCCCTCCCTCTCCGCCTTCCTCGCCGCCTCCACCATCGTCGTCGCGACCTCCATCTCCTCCCTATCCAAAAACGCAGGCGGCACCTCCAGCGCGCTCGCAAGATAACACACCAGCGTCCGGGAATATGCCGAGTAATTCCCGATCGCAAGGAGACAGATCAACGTAGCGCTAAGCACCTCTTTCCGATCCTCCATTGAGACAGACGTCAGCCGCGTCGGAATCGGATGGTACAGGCTCTGGAACGCAGATAAGCTCGTCGGCCCTGTACCCGCCATACCCCTCCCACCCCGCGGCGGTAGGGGTGGTGTATCCCCAGCCCCAGCCCCGTCCGTAATTCCAGCACGATTGTCGTCTCTAAAACTCAACAAATCCTCCCCAGCACCAGGCATCTCCCTGCTCCTCGCAGCGAGACCTTCCGCGCGCTTGCGCCGCGCGTCCAGGACCTTCTGGTCGTCGGGCTTGGCGACGACGTCCTTGATCCTGCCGACGGTCTCGTCGCGCCAGGAGTCGAAGTGCAGGAGCGCCGCTTTCCGGAGCCGGACTAGGGCCGGACTGGCCTGCGTTCGCTGCTGCTGCTGCTGCGGGCCGGGTGGGGTGGTGGGTGCGGGGGTGTTGCTGTCCGGGGCTCTGTTAGAAGGAGTGGCTGTGGGAATGGTGTTAGAACGGGATAAAGCCGCCTCTGAGTACGGAGGTGGGTTTCTTGTTGAAGAGGGGAAAGATGGGGATCCGTCTGGGCTGTGTGGAAGTTCTAGTTGCGACCGCATGTATGCGGTGATCTCGATGATTAGGGCGTAGAAGACCTTGCGGCGTGCGAGGTTCAGCGCGACGCGGATGGCGTCGGGCTCGCTGGTGAGAGGAGCCATTGCGAATGGCGATATCTGTAATGTTCCTCTAGATTCGAATGCTCATTTGATTTTTGTAAATACGTATATATATGACGTTGAATACCTACCTAGTAAGTATTTATTTTTATATATGAGTTTAAAAAATCATAATCTGGTTCATGTGCAGTCATGTCCGTACTATTAAGTCGAAGGATTTCAGAGCTCTCCAATTTTCTTACGAGCCCTAATAAGGCTTCAGCTTACCACTAAATCAGCTCTAGGCAGCCGAATTAATTCAACACGCCATTCCGCGGCGCAGGACTTCATGTTACACGCCGTCCAGCCTCTTCGAGGCATGACAATTTGATCTTGCTCTTCAATTATCGCAATACTCGCGTTCCAATATGGTTATTAGGTGTCAATGAATTCATTCTAATGTTGTGAGTACTAGGTACTTTGGACTACATTACCATACAACACCATACAACTATTCATATTTCTTTTAGTTATTCCTGCAGCGACCTCTGGTACACTCCCGCCACCACTTTTCATTTCCGTGTAGGGATTCGAGCGTGTATTTCCTCTGCTAGTAGTTGCTTGATCTACACGATGGATTTTCTAAAGAGACTTGGGCCTTGCTCACGGAAGTATTTCCCAGAATCCTCCTGCGCGATCATCATCTGAATAGTCATCCAAACTGCTATCACTCTCAATCTGCTCCGCAACTTCAGCCATCGATTCTAACCCTTCCTTCAGTGCGAGTCCCTTTAATCTAGCTTTCAGCTGCTTACTGTACCCCCCCTTTTTCAGTACGAATTTAAGCATAGCCGTGTGCTCCTGTAGTAGGGTAAGCCCAGCAATCCTGTAGTAGAATTTCGTGATATCTGCATCGTAGTCAAGGAGCTTACGCATAATGGCAAAACTCCCACGTGCGGCTGCAACGACAAGGGGCGACTTGTATTCAGGGCTACGAAAGTCTCGGTATGTATCATGCTTTGTGTAGAAGTTAGGGTCAATGCCATGGTCTAAGAGTAATTCAACTATCTTCTCATGACCCCTACTGACTGCTTCCATCAACGGTCCGATGTAAGCTCTATCTTTGTCAATGGCTGACGTCGAATGAAAATAATATTCGTTCCAAGGCACTGGCGACCGGCGTTGGCGCCAAATGTCTTGGTCCCCACTATATCGGCTCAGATGTAGTATATCTCGAACAGCGTTTAGATTGCCTAATTTGGCATTTTCCAATAGATTACTCTTATGCTGTCTTATAAAATAACCTTCAAGCTTAAAAAGGTCGGCATGGTCATGCATGGGAAAGGACCAAAAATTGATATATCTTCCAGGTCCAGATAGTCGATCAGGTACCGTCTGTCCGTATAGCGAAACGAGTAGCCGGATTATACCCATATCCCCGCGTTCATTCGCACCCTCAATAGCTAAGTTAAAAAAACCATAAGATCTTGTAGATCTGCATGTGAATGTGTGTTTATGGAAAAGCTTCAACATCTCGGGGTGACCAGCAAACGCGGCGTAGAAGACAGGTTCTTTGAATAGAGCAGTACGTATCAAAGGACAGAGGCCTTCGTTTATCAGTTGTTCCGCTACTTTCAGATCGCCAAGGTGGGCTGCGGCGCTGAGGATGTCATAGTCTATATTCGGAGATTCATTCTGGTATTCAGGTTTGATTTCATCGGAGGAGTCGGAGGAGTAGGAGTAGGAGTCGGGTTCATCATCGGAGGAGGAGAGGTCAGGTTCATTGGCGGAGTCGGGGAGGTCGGGTTCATCGGAGGAGTTGGAGAGGTCAGGTTCATTGGCAGAGTCGGGGAGGCCGGGTTCATCCAAGGAGTCGAGAGGGTCGGGTTCATTGAAGGAGTTGGAGAGGTCGGGACTGTCGGGTTCATCAATCGCAAAGACACGATCGAAGACGGCCCAACAGAGAGAATCAAGAGTAGAGTCGAAGTCTCCTCCTGTACGGACACAGTATTCCTCTACTACTCGGCGCATCTCGAAGCATCTTCCAACATTAGGATCGGTTTCACATCGAACCCGATACGAAACATAGTCATGCCAAAATTTCTCAGCGCCATGTCTGTTGCAAGTACGCCAAATAGCGACACTATGAGAAGACCGCAGAACGTGAACCGGAAGCTGTGTCCGGAATAGCACGGGACCAATAGCATGGTAGAATTGTCCTATATAACAGACACAGAGTTAACGTGAGTATAACAGAGCGTAGAGAGATTGTACGTACGGCAAACGAGCTTCAGCCTAAGTGCTCGGACAAGTCCACGTGAGAGAACGGCGAAGAAGAGGATATTGTGAAATATCTCTACCGGAAGGTCGAGGAGCTTCATTGTTTAGAGCTGATTTTATGAAGACTCAAGCTATAACAAAGTTGTTAGGAGATGGACCACAAACAAGAGCCCCTTTTTGATGATTTTGAGGAAGTTTCGTTTGAACATGACACGAAAACTCTTTCACTCTCAAGTACTTGTACCACCTGTCTGCCTAATGTATCTACCCGTGTGGCGTCGCCAACTTCCAAGTTCCCTTGCTAAATCCACCCATTTATATATGGTACATAGATGGACAAAATTAAACGTTTACTCACACTTAAACGTTTTATATTTTCAAATATTCGGAAAAAAGTTCAACGTTTCTTTCAAATCGATGTTTGGCGATACTGTGAGGCCCTGATCTGGTGTGTGTAACCCTTTTTGATCTTGTTATTTTGATCTACCTAGATACCCAGGTATGTGATTGGGTGCTACGGATCTTGGTACAGATGTGACAGATATAATGATATGCTAACCCGCCAACAGTATGATCGCCTTTTTAGAAGAAATGTACCTAGGTATATAAGTAACGACCGTATATTCTCATGACGACATGATAACTAACACTAGTTGTGTTGTGATCTACTACAGCTCTATGTAGAATCTAGATGATACCTATAAATAACGAAAGTCTACCTAGGCACTTCGCTAGATAAACTTTGCCAACAATGAAAGACTAGAATATAATGAGGGGAAACTTGACAACCCGTCTCCTAGCCCCTCGCGCATTTTAACACTTCGCCCCGCCGGCAAATCCTTTTATCTCTTTAAATCTGCAATGTAGAGATCTCAGGTCCGAGTAGCGACTCCGTTTCGGGAGTAGGCGGGGCCACATCCTCGCGTTTAGTACAGATCCAGCAGCTGGCATACATGTTGACACGATCGATACACTTGCCGCCTGAGCGATCGCCATGACACTTTGCCACGAATCCGTGTCGTTCAAACTCATCAAGGTACCACGGACGCAGGCCCGCCGAGCGAAGCATGACGCGGCCGCCCATGCGTAGCGCGCGGTTAAGCTTGGTGATCTGAGCCGCCGCGGCGTCGGATCCAGGGTCGAACCAGTCCATACTATCCATGACGACAGCTACCGTTAGGGTGCCGGGCGCGATACGTGCGAGAACTTCATCAATCTCGTCTGTGTGAATGCGTAGCCCTTCAAATGCCCCCGGTCGCGAGAGCTTCGCATGTGCTTGTGGCGAGAGGTAGTCGGGGTGGCAGTTCCGACTAAACTTACCGTCAAGACAAACCAAGTAGTATGGGTTGTCGGCTGCGATATGTGTTGACTCCACCATAGGATCCAGAGTATTGACCATGTATTCCCAGATAGCATGCGATCGTGTATTCTTGGCCCGCGCTTCAGGGCCACATACGGCATCTGATACCGCGTGGTCCTCTTCAATTACTGCTAACTGGTTCTTGGGTACGCCGAGTGCCGTCCATAGGAATGATTCTTGACTGACAACAAACTTCGATACGATGCGTGAAAGTAGCGCCGGCCGAATCTTGCCACGCCAGATCTCGCGCTGCTCGTTAAGGGTCTTTGCAGCAATCATTTTCTTGACGGCAGATCGGCATCCGAAAACACGAGAGATCCAACGAAAAATCCGAATTCCATGCTTTGACCCACCAGTGTCATATAGACCACCCTTGGATTGGGCGAAGATGTGGTCATTGTTGAGCCAATATTGGAATGCGCGACTGGATAGGTGAGGAGACATCTTTGAGATGAGTAAAGAGCGGAACTCGGGGTGTTTACCATCGCCAAATATCTTCCAGAAGTCCTCGTAGGGGAGAGACGAGAATGCAGCTACTTTGAGTTCGAGAAGGTGGTTCTGCGTGGGATTGAGGTCAACAGCATGGATTCTAGCCGGGCTTTGAAGTGCATAAGAAAGAAGGTTGTCTCCAGCACTCGTGATGGCAAGGACTACGTCGTCCGAGTTCAGCTTCAGAATGCGTTCATCAACCCGAGTGTCTTCCCAGGTGAAGGCATAGATGTACTCATCGTTAAATTGGGTATGCTTCTTCAATTGATCATCATAGTAGATCCGATAGTGGTGATTCTGGTAGAAGAATGAGGGGAGAGGAAGGTTAGAGGAGATATTGATAATGGCAGCGTCAAAAGCCTTAGATCGGATCTCTGGGGCGGCTCTTTCAACTGCGCGAGACAGAGCGGCCGAGTGATTGGCAGGGTGTAGATAAGGAGACTCGGTGACTAATGCGTCCACCTTCTCAACAATTTCGTGCGGAAGGCTCGAAGACAACGGCTGTTTATGAGTTCCTAGCCAAATATAATAAGGAATAGCACCGAGAGCGTAGTTACGTTTGTTCACATTCAGAACAGTACCGAAGGAATATTCGAGGTAGTCACGCCGTCCAGGCTCCAGAGCAACTCGGTCGATGTCGAACCAAGCACGCCAGAATGTTCTCCCGAAGAAGTTGACGTGACGGTTAACGAGACCGCCAGTATAGTTTCGGAAGCTAACATCCACTTGAGACTGGACATAAAAATCAACCACACCGACAATGCCATTGGGACTCAATAGCGATGGCAAGGAGTCAATGACAGAATAGTAGTCGGGCTATATACATGTTAGTATGTATATATAAAAAATAACCAATATAGTAACTATACTTACGATCATGGACAAGCTGTAGGACATCGTGATTAAGTCAGCACCGCCATGCCTAGGCTTTTCCTGGTAGATGTAACTCCGAATTGGAGATCCAGAGGCACGTCTACTCTGAGAGGACGGTTCATGGTCCTCTAAGCGAAATTTCCTCGCATCCTGGCAAATGACCTTCACGTTATCCCACCCAAGTCTTTCGAAGCGCTTGCGAGCAACTTCGCAGAGAGACGGAGAGAAATCAACTAGGTAGACGCTGTCGAAAAACTTGGCTACATCGACATATTTAGACATAGATTCGATGTTCCAGCCAGTTCCTCCACCAACCTATACCGCTAGTTAATAATACTCCTTACAGATTATAATAAGATCCGCGGAAGAGTACTGACATCAACCCAAACACGTCTCTTCTTCTCGTCGCTATTTTTTGCCCTGTAAGAGAGCTGAGCTGCTGCAAGGGCGAGCATATCCTCGCGGCCTTTTAGCAGGGCTTTCCTCGTCGCATCATAGGCGCCAGCCTGCTTCTTGTAGAAGCTCTCAAGGGCATCCTGTTGGTTGCCATTGCTGTCACCGTCGTGCGGTTTGAGGAAGCATGTGTAGAAGAATAGCCACAAGGACTGCAGGAGAGTAGGATTCTCATCGTCCTTCGGTTTCTTCAAAGTTTTTGTAGAGTAGCATATGCCTATTAAAAAGACAACAGCTATTCCAGCAAGATAGATTTTGGCATGAGGGTCAGGGGGTAAAATGTTACCACCAAGAGAAGCCATGATACTCTCTCATTGCAATTGGAATGAGAGTGGGATGTTGAAATTCCTTCGCGGTGTTGAATCGAACTCGCAGCAGTCGGTGAGAGTATCTAGAACGAAGAAGTAGGAAAGGAAAAGGGTGGAGGGTCATGACCCAACAGAAGAGACATATATAATAAGCCCATGTCAAAGTGTTAGGTGCTACGTGCTACGTGCTACGTACGGCAAGTACATACCTCCAAGGTACATATCTTGGGAGCTATCCACTCATGGGTCTTAGCGAATAGACATAGAGAATTAAGCTTCGGCTGCTTGTTATTGAAGTTACATATGTAACGAGAAACCAGAATGTACTTTGGCATGTGGGATGTCCTGTGCACCTGCGCCTCTGACGATGGTTTGCATTGAGAAGGTAGCACAATATCTAACTCGTCAATACTTGGAGGACCCTGAGCTTTTACCCCACTAAGCTACCCAGGCAGCCAGGTAGGTATAATCACCGTACCTCTCTAGCTTGGGTATGTACCGCGTAGTACCAACCCCGCCACGTAATAAAGTTGGATATGAAAGTTGAGGAAGGCTCTAGTGCTGGGATACGTTTATCTTAACCAATCATTCGGGCCACATGCCTGAATCTTGCGGGAAGAATAGTCGTACAACATATATCGAAGTCCAAGACCTGTCTACCTGAACACGCTAAACAACTTTAGAATTTGGCTTCGTCGTTTTGTAGTGATAGAAGTGGGACGTGGCTGTTTCGAGAGAAGGATAACCGTATACTACCAAGTACTATGCGTACTAACCACTCGCGCTAGCCGCCTAGGTTGAAGGGCCAGAGTGGCTTGTAGTCAATTGCATTCAATTGATGTTAACGAGCTTTTAACCAATAACCTGATTGGTTCGATTTGAACTAGAAGGCGTGTTGGGGGAAACCATCCAGGGGATGCGGGTAAGGATAATTCTTCTTTTCCTAGACATAGGCTCAACTCCATTTCCAGGATCCACGATCAAACGATCAAACCGTGGGATGGCCCTGCATCTAGTCCCACAGGTACCAATAGTCAAATGATACTCTACGTCTTATTACGGGGAAATATTATGTAAGGACAAGAGGAGTATGTATGTTGTTTTTTTGTTCGTAGTATATTCAACCGGGAGCATCGTAATTGTTGAAGGATACCCAAGTTAACCGGGGCTTTCGCAGGTACAGAATACATCGCAACAGACAGCTGACATCTAGGCTTTTTTTTTTCAAGCCCCCAACGGGTGCAACCTTTCACATCCTATAGGCGCGGGAGTTATGCACCCACGTGCTAAATACTTGCAGTCGGAATGGGCTACAAAACTTCAGTCGATCGAGGCTCTCTTCGTAGTTTCGACAAATTTATACCTGATCTTGTAGGTGTTACACACCGCAGTCCCGGAAACAGAGGCAGGTCATATCTCGCGAATGTCGTTATTGCAATAAGATCTACGGTACCAGTTTGAAGAGCCAAGGGAGATCAATTGCGAATCGCGTCTATCTAGGGACATAAAAACAGTCCCAGTCTTCATCGGATGTTTGACGTCGCCAAGACTCATGTGCAGCTGTGAATACCCCACGCTGGTTAACGTACATAACATATTGGATAATGTCTGCCGCTGAACGCTAAGAGGCTTGCTACTCCATTTCCGTATCGGAACGAGACTCGTGTTGAGAGAAAGGCAGATTTAGTGATGGCGTTGGCGTTCCGCATATTTAGCTCCTGTCGTTGCCCGCTTAATGTATGTGGTGTTAAGGTAGCATATAGCTCACCCGGCTCACCCCCTTCGCTCGACTAATCTTCTTAACATTAGTTTTACCACATAATTCCGTACTATCGACATGCGTTCCGCCGCAAGGGTAGGATTCGGCGCCGATAATTTTCACGACGCGGAATTTCTCTTCATCCGTCATACCCATTGCCGCGCGATCAGGTATTAGCCGTTCAAGGCCGTTGGCCTTAAAATCATTCTCATCCCACCAATCAATTTCAACTGGCATGTCCTTGGCGATGTATTCGTCCACGCGCGTTTGTATGACGTCCTTCCACTTTCCCTCAATGAGACCTTGAAATTCACAAGCGGCAGAATCTGGGAAATGCGATGCCTTCAATTCATCGAACCCGTTTATCTCCTTCTCAACCAGATGGCGAACAGCTGCCCCAAGGACATGTCCAGCAGTATGATAACGGGAATATAGGTTGCGCTTCTCGCTATCGATGGTTTGGGTAATTGAGTCACCAGGTTTAAAAATGGATGAGGCTTCCGCAAAACTGCCGAAATGCAGTACTTCGCCGTCGTTTATAGCACTCATACGCACCATAGACACGTCGAATCTCGCTCCATTTTCGTTTTTCATCATACCAACATCAGAAGGTTGGCCACCGCCTTGGGGGTGAAATATAGTTTGATCCGTAACTACAACATGGTCGTCTTCTTTGGCTTGCTTGAAAAGTCCTCTGTTGGCCTCTTCGAGTGCAGCTACTGATCGGACCGCGGTGACTACAGCCTGCAAAGCGTGAAGCTTAGCGTTGTGCTGAAACGTGAGATAAGTGCGCTGCATGTTGTAGACTTCCGCAAAGGCAATAGCTGGAATGAATGCGTTGGAACCGACTACAGCGACCTTCACGGGATTTAAGAGGCCATCGATATGAAATAACCCAAGATCTTCTTGTTGTCAAACTCGGGATTGAGATCCTTTTAGGCTTGTCAATCCTGACAGTCTCGCGCCCTATTAGTGGGTCCTGCCAACCAAATTGACCACTCAGTGCACTTGGCGATAAGCCCGGAGGTCCACCTTTTCAGCGCCCTTGACTAGAATCATTCCTAGAGATTCTTCGTCATTCTTCTGCAAATATGTACTATCAAGCAAAGATCTGGTGTCAGCTCGAATATATCAATTAAGGGTATTTTTGAATCCCAGGTAAGCAGAGTTGATATCTAACTCGAGCTCTCTCGCCTGCTGTTCGCTCAATTCCTCAGTCGCCTTCATTTGATTTAATGTTATCAGCCACTGCACAATCTTTCCGCGATTCTCAAAGTCCCTATCGGTAACTTTGTTAACGCTCTGGATAACATCGGTTAGGAGAGGGTGAAGTTGATCTTTGGCTAGGAGCCCAAGACGCAAGGCATCCAGGAAAGTAATGAATTCTTGTGTGGCCTCAAGGATGAGTGCACCAGATTTATGGTTGCCTGGAGCAGATGGCTGAGGTGCCCCCGTTGACGCGGTGACAGCGGTGGATGGCATTCCCACCCTAAGTCTTTCGGTTGCCCTTGGAACTTCAAGCTATGAGAAAGTAATTAGTAAATATCACAGGAGATGTTTATTAGGGTACCCTTACATCCCATTCGGCCTTAAATTCTTCTAGGCCGATGAATGCCTTAGCTACAGTATCGTCTGCTAGAATTGATTTATACTGTTTTAACGATCGCTCACAGATCTCAGTATAGTCGGCTTCGGGAATAGCATCTTTGAGAAATGCCCTCTCAAGCTCATCTAGAGTAACGATGATAGAAAATATCTCGGCAAGAGAGTCTTGTAGATCTCTTTCAGCACGTGTATCTGCCAGCTTTACTTCCTATGGAGGCGTTAGCATGAATGGATAACTAAAGTAGAAAACGCGACTGGAGCTATACCTCATCTAAATTGATTGTAGCTGAGAGAGTGGTGTTAGGAACATAGCTATGGGGAGTTGGGGCATAAGCTTGTCTTGAATTCATCTTGTATGTATGAGTTTATGCAGTGTAGATATTTACTTGACCTGTACGATTTTATATGAAAGTTGATGTTGACGGAGAGAAGTGACGAGTTAAAGAGTACGCTGTACAATACATAAGCGACAAGGATTGGTTCCTGACTTGGCAGCCTGGGAAATTTAAGACTTAAGCTATCTTACGTAATCAAGAAACCGTTGCTAGTTTTGGTTAGCGTAAAATATTGATAAGGCTCCCCGCGATAACCTTATCCAAAAAAATTTGGATTCTCTTTGCAGCAACCTCAAATGATTTTATCTACTAATTTCATACTACGAAATTCCCTACATCGTCGCAACTTTGCGATCAAACTTCAAAATGGCAGGCGCAAAGAAGAATTTCAAGGCGACGAAGAAATTCGAGAAGAAACACTTGAAGGGTGTTTTAGATCAGAGGAAAACAACCGCGAAAATAAAGCAAAGAACGCAGCTCAAAACCAAGAAACAAGCTAAAAAGTCGAAGGATGCCGAGTTTTACAAAGGCGGCGATAATGCTGAGACTTCCAACAAGACCATTGGCACCAAGAGAACTGCCAATGTCAATGACATGAGTGTCGACGACTTCTTCGGTGGCGGCTTCGAGATCATAGAAAAATCCCAGCCGAACAAGAAAACATCCAAGAAGCTAGGAAAACGCAAGCGCGACGAGCCCAACGAAGACGAAGGCGCATCGGATGAGGGTAGCGATATCGAGATCTCCGCCGACGAGCTACCCCTCGCAAGTAACAGCGAGGGTTCTGGCGATGAGGAGGTTGACGATGTCGGCATGAGTAAAAGCGCAATGGACGCTCTTGCTGAGGATGATCCCGAGTTCTACAAATTTTTGAAAGAGAACGATCCTGAAGCATTAGACTTCGACGATGCAGACCTGGCTGAAGTAGACGAACTAAGCGCTAGTGATGAAGAAGAAGAAGACCAACCCAAGAAAAAGCGAAAGAAGGAAAAGAAACAAGCGAAGACAGGTGACGTGGACGAAGGAGATACCACAGAAAACGAATTGACGCAAGCTATGGTTGCACGCTGGAAAGCAGCAATATCAGAAAAGCAATCGCTCAAGGCTGCGAGACAAGTCGTTCTAGCATTCCGATCTGCTGCACATTTGAATGAAGACGATGACGACGCGGAGAGAAAGCAGCCCTACAAGATCTCGAGTCCGGAAGTATTCCACGACATCCTCGTTGTTGCGCTCAAGCAGATTCCCGAAGTCCTTCAACACCATGTTCCTATTAAGGAATCTTCATCTGGCAAAGTCCAAGTCCCGACAGACTCGAAAAAATTCAAGACCCTTTCAAACCTCCTCAAGTCTTACGTATCCGCCATCTTACACCTTCTAGACACACTCTCGGACGATGCCACTCTTAAGTTGACATTATCTGCAATCACACCTCTCATTCCCTACCTATTAAGTTTCCGAAAGTTGCTCAAGAATTTAATAAAAACTGTCGTCGGATTCTGGGCACAGTCTACGAGCAGCGATTCGACTCGGATTACTGCGTTCCTAGTTCTCCGACGACTAGTCGTCGTTGGCGATAAAGGCATCAGGGAAGCAGTCTTGAAGGCAACTTATCAAGGCCTAATCGCAGGGTCTCGTGTGACAAATGTCAACACGGTACAAGGGATCAACTTGATGAAGAACTCGGCTGCTGAGTTATGGGGTTTAGATCAAAACATTGGTTATACGACAGCCTTTGCTTTCATCCGCCAACTTGCTATCCACTTGCGCAATAGCATTGTACACAACCAGAACGAGTCATACAAGACGATTTACAATTGGCAGTATATTCACTCGCTGGACTTCTGGTCTTGTGTGTTGTCAGAACATTGCAGTCCGCTGAAGGAGGCCGAGGCGGGCAAGGAATCCCAGCTCAAGCTGCTGATTTACCCTCTTGTCCAAGTCACACTTGGGGCCATGCGCTTAATACCAACCGCAACCTACTTCCCTCTTCGATTCCATATGATCCGATCACTTCTACGTGTCTCACGGTCAACTGGAACTTACATCCCGTTAGCGTCCGCCCTACTTGAAGTATTGAATTCCGCCGAAATGAGAAAGTCGCCCAAACCGTCCACCATTAAACCCCTTGACTTCCAAATCGCCTACAAAGCACCGAAGTCATATTTGCGAACCCGGGTTTATCAGGATGGAGTAGGCGAGCAGGTTGTAGATCTCTTCTCCGAATATTTCGTGCTATGGTCCACGAATATAGCGTTCCCCGAGTTCGCTCTGCCTGTCGTCATCATGCTGAAGCGGTGGCTCAAGCAATCGAGAAGAAAGACCGGTGGCAATAACAACAACAAAGTCCGCGCCGGCCTCGTCCTTCTCGTTCAGAAGCTTGAGGCGAACGCGAAATTCATCGAAGGTAAACGAGCCAAGGTAGATTTCTCTCCTAAAGATCGTGCGCAAGTCGATGCGTTCCTGAAGGATTTCGAGTGGGAGAAGACGCCCATCGGCGCCTACGTCGTCGCTCAGAGGAAGGCAGGTGCAGAGAAGGCTAAGATGTTGGAACAGGCCAGAAAGGAGGATGAGCGCAGGCGAAAGGAAGAAGAACAGGAAGCGCTAGAGGAGGACGCCGCAGGGCTGGATAGTGAAGATGAAGAAATGGAGGATCTGGACGAGGACGAAGACGAAGATGAGGATGAGGATGAGGATGAAGACGATGAGTGATTTTATCGGAAGTCATACTCGGAACAAGCACTGTTAATGAATAAGAACGTCGCGTACAAATAGACACGCGAGATATTCGCCTATTTTTCTAAACTTCCTCTACGCCGTCTGTATACGTCGAATAGTCTTTGGGCTCGATACGAGTACTAATTCCCTTTTAAATACCCTCTGGGAACAATCGAACATCACCAATTACCTGGACGCCAAGATATTAACTGTTATCATCCCGACTTCAAAAAGCCCACATTGAAATATTAATGCAACAATAGGTAAAATACATACCTGTGTAAGAGGGAGGAAACCTAGGTAAACATCTAACCCAAGGTATTGCCAACCGGCTTTTTATTCCACTATTTTAGATACTTGCTTTACCTCTTCTTTTCATGGTCTCCTAACATTTCCACTCACAATCTCCTAGAATCAAAACATGGGCCTTTCTCATGATGATCCAATGTCACCGATGGAGATCAGTCACTCAATTGTGCAAGCTAATATTCACTTAGGATCCGGCAACACGGTATAAGCTATTCGACACATAACCGTATCTACCTATGGATGTTTTGGATAAGTGCTATATACAAAGGCCCGAAAGCCCAGCGTGTTGTGGGAGATATATATATATACATGAAGTAGCAACCAGAAACCCCTCGAGCCAAAAGCCGGGTTTCCTAGACGTGCTTACAGCGTCTTCAGACCAGTTTGGAGCGCCTTGATATAAGTCCTACTCGCGTCGTCCTCGCCCAAACTCCAGGCCACTGCAGGGAACGAAATTGTTAGCGATTTACTCTCACTCACTCATATATCTAGTCTCGCATATAATGAAAACGAAAAAAAGATATGGGGGTGGATGAAATAGGTAGGGTAGGACATGACTTACTAACGCCCCCAAGCCCCCTCGCCTTCACAATCTTCTCGAACTTCTGCGCGACGAAGTCCGGGGTGTCCCAAGTCCAGAAGTAGCTCGTCGCGCTGTCCCAGAACCACTGGCCGCCCTGATCGGTGTCGGCCTTGCCGCTGGCCAGGACAGGAGGTACTTCCTGGAACGTCACGGCGCCGGACTTGCCGGTGTCGCCGCCGCTGGCGTCCTCGAGCGACACGGTCGGACACCCGATCGGCTGCGTGCATTCCCCTTGCGCCGTGAAGTACTTCGCGTAGAAGGCGAAGCCGAGGTTCATCTTTGCGGCGTCCATCCCGAGGGATATGTACTTGTCGACGGTGGCGAGGGAGCCTTTGACGGAGGTGTGGTGGTTGGTTGTGTTGTCGCGTCTGTGGAGACAATTAGTTGGTTACTTCTTCGACAGTATGGTAAGCGGTGGGTAGGAGGCAAGTAACCTACCTATTCATCAAGTCGTATGACATCACGTTGACCACGTCGACGGCAGCGCTTATCTTGGGGACCTGCTCAGAGGTGAAAGCGATCATATCCCTCTCAAGTCCGGGCACGGCGATGGAGAGCTCCTTGTCGCCAATCGCCGATTTGATCTCCTGTAAGAGCAGGGCGTAGTTTGCGATTTCGTCGGTCTTCCCAGAGTTGGGGTTCTGCTTGTAGTCTTCACCGTTTCCTCCGGGGTACTCCCAATCAACATCTATGAAGTCACGGTTTTAGTCAGATTTCCGAGTACGTTTAATGGGGAGGGGAGGCTGGTTTTACGTACCGATACAGTCGTAGCCTAGACTGTCGAGAGTTGACGCAATGTTCTTCGCATACAGTTTCCTGGATGTATCATCCTTCTGGCCAACTGAAAATCCAGCACTATCACCCCATCCACCGATAGCCATGCAGACCTTGGTTCCGTCGGGGAATTGGCTACGGAGGGTAGATACATCTGTAAAAGGAGTGTAAGTGCCAGGCGGGTCACTCGTGAAGAGCGTTGTGCTTGCAAACGCAGTGATCACATGCGTTATTCCGGCCATGGCGTCTTTGCTGGGAGAGGCAGTGTGCCACTGGTCATAGTACATAGCAAACCGCGGCGCCGCCGCCGCTGCTGCCGTCGTTACCGTTCGAGGAATATGCATATTGGGATCGAATACTCGAATTCGACGGCGAAATATGTTCGAATAATGACACCAATTCCAGTTGATGAAGAAAGAGAGTACGGTTCGGAGGTTTTGCAATACATGGTGGCTGTCTCCCGTCGATATTTATGTTTAAGACCTTCCACACACTGGAATGAAGTGTAACGTTAAGAGAACTTTAACCTCCCCTGTACCTCCTAAGAATACCGCACAGTTACATTCTGGATTGGGTAGTCAAGCTAATCTTCCTAGAGCCTCATGTCATTCCTTCCAATAATGTCTTGCATATGCAATCTTCGGATGACGCTCTCCAACCGCCACGCTCGACTCAAGCCACTCGACGATGACCTAACTCCGCACATGGTTTTAGATATATGAAACACACCCGAGATTCCAACTTAGCTGGAACAAGGTCAATAATTATCGCAGGCGCATATAAGCAACATGAAAGGAGAAATACCTATCTTCTCAATTCAATTCGCCGTACCATTCTATCCACCAATTACATGTGCACGGCATTGTCGATATCTTGTGATTAAAAGGAGTCCGGAGGTAGTATCGAGAAGTGGGTCAACCTCCCGGACTTCCTTTTACGGACGCTCGGTATCAACGTTACCCCAGGTTCTCGAGGGAAAGGAGGTCAGTAAAGCCGATTACCTAGTAAAAAGGTAAAGCGTTTCCCTACAGTCTGAAACGAAAAGAGCCGAAGTCAAGTGAAAGGGAGCCGCTGAGTTGGATAGGATGGGATAAGAGGAGATTAGAAGGGATGATAGCTGCCAACCCAGTCACATTGCATCATAAAGCTTGGTAGTGATCGTCGGTAGCACTTCGTTTGGTGGTCACTCAATCGTGCTACCTTACAGAATCGACCATAAGGCTGCGATCAGCTATCATCGGTTCCAATCTACGCGATCCCATGGACAACGTTCACAAGCCACTTACCAACGTGTCTCACTATTTTTAAAACTGTGGTTGGGCTGAGGTTTTTGATGATTTATATTCCGTACACTTGAGATGGTGAATCGTCTCAGTTATATAATTCCATGTCTCAATTGACGTAATTGCTTAAGTAATATTCTCATGAGTGTAATCAAGAGATAACCTCAATTCTTGTGTGTCGTGGCGTGGCCATGAACGCCAATCGTCATAGGCGAGGATAATGATAAGGGTCGAGTTTCTTTCTGCACAAGATTCTTCTCAAAACCAGACTACCTTACTCTATCCTAAGGACGTAAGTAGAGCTAGATTTAAAACATAATATTAACAATACATGTAATAAAAGCTAAGGAGTTGGTAACGAGTAATAAATGTGTTATTGAGAGAAGTTGAAGGTTGGGAGTTGTCTTATCGTTGTTACTATTTAAGTAGCTGTGCAATTTTACTTCCCGGTAAATAAAATGTACCCCTGGAATATCCGCTAATGCATGCGATAGCTTTACTGAACCAACATTGCGGGACGCTTTCTTCAGCAGCCATCCATAGAACGACACATTTATAAATAGGATTAGCTAGGTAAGTTCCAAGGTTGTTTTCTAGCAAGGTTTTGGAAAGAATTAACCTACCTTATATGAAGGTAGGATGAATTACGTACCTAGGTAAATATGAGTTAAAGCTTAAGCCAATAGGGATTTAAAGCGTACTATAATAACTCCGTAACACCTTCCGAGGTTTGAATTCCGACCAGTAAAGTCCTATCTTTCAGCCCTATCCGTCCTTGGCAAAGTACCTATTTCAACTATATTTCGAGTCCTAGAAACCATCGCACTCTGTACGACTTCTAGAAATTGTTCGTATACCTACATGTCATTCTCGCGTTCGGTTCGTTTAGGCAAATCTCGCGATCGCTTTCGCCATCCATGGATTCTCCACAGCCAACCAACAGCGCATATCACAGCCCTAAGAGCTCCTATGAGACCTCAAGAATGCCCAAGCTAGCTACCCCGCCCTGCGGCGCAGCTGCATCACCAGGGGAATCGAGTTGATAATGCTTGTTTGATATTCTATTTCTTTTACTATTAATACTACCGCGTTTCTTGGCTGTTATTGTTGGTGATTTGACAATTTCAATTATTTAATCAGCCGAGCTTGAACTACCTACTGAGATATTCAGGTCCATATCATTTTCCTTCATCAGCAAACATACAGCAACATATAGCAACAATCTCACCTTAGGATCCAATAATTTGACCAACCTCACCAACTTGCCAACTGCATAACTTAACAATCTCAATTACCTCACACCAACTCACAACTTACACCATATGGCGCGATCTAAGGAAGAAGAGGCCAAAGGAGAGGCCCTACCAGCTTACTCCGAATTCCCAGATCCCTCCTCTCTCCCAACCCAACCAGAAACCTCCGCCTCCGCCTCTACCTCCGCACCCACACCGGCATCCGCACCAACCAACGCCCCAACCCTCGCCTCCCCCTTCAACTTCCCCTCGGACTCCGACCTCCCGACCTACACCGCAACCGCCGAAACCATCCTCCACAAGCCCCTCGCAATCCCACAAACAACACCGGACCCCAAATCGCCCTTCTTAAACACCTACTCCCCCCTCCTCCTCCGCCACGGCGTAACGCCCGAAACCTGGTCCAGCTTCCTTCTCACCCTCTCCGGCTTCCTCGCCGCCACCGTGTCCGACAAAGCCGTAAGCCACGCAGCACAGATGGCGCGGCACGTCGGACAGGTACCCAAACGGTTCGGCAAGGAAACGCTTGCGCACGCGAAAAGCACGGGGCGCGCGATCGCGGATAGTGCGCGGAAGGGCAATTACATCGGCGCGGCGACACACACGATCATCGGGGGCGGGGTATGGCTGCCCGTGGCAACGGCCGTGCGCGCCGTCGGCGCGGCAGTGTCCCTGCCGTTCGCGGTGCTAGGCGCTACGGTCGAGGACCCGAAGACGCCGCGGGAGCGCGCGGAGGCGTATGCGTGTGCTGCGAACGCGAAGTGGCTGCATCGGCGGGGGTTGGAGGCGCATTTACTCGAGACGACGGAGCTGGCGCCTGTGTTGGGGTTGGGGGTTGAGGAGATGTTGGGGCTGGCGAGAGGGGCGAAGGATAGGGGTGCGAAGGCGCAACTGGCGGCGCTGGGGGCGTATGTTGCTGATGTGGAGGTTAAGGGGGAGGTGGGCTTGGAGTTGGGGGCGATTACGTTTTGGTTGGTTGTTACGCAGAAGCCGGAGGATGAGGAGGGGGAGAGGGGGAAGGGGAAGGGGAAGGGGAAGAAGAGTTCGCGGTGAGGGGGTGGTGAGGCGTAAGGGAGTTTCTGGGTGGATATTGTATGTTGATGGTTCTACATGTGGCATATTTTTGAGGTTGACTGGACTGATATTTCGGTTGAGATGACGCTTTAGGACAGGCGAGTACTACCTATTTGGACAGTTGACCCCTTATCTTGCTCTTGATAATAACCTGATGGCACTCATGAAATCTCAATTGTCACTTGTTCAGGGGATTTTCTGGTTAGGTGAGCAGTGTTCTACTTCCTGAACCGTGTCTGACGATTGCTGTTAATTAAAGGGACCTAACAATGCATCCTGAATGATTGTTAAAAGGAGCTATGTTCAAGCATGATTTACTTCATGCTGATTTTAATCTTAGAAACGATATATATAATATAAATACATATAGGTATAAATTTGATAATTCTAGGTATTGGGGCCCTGATACACCCAGAATATCATGAATTCAACTTCCGCAAAGAATCCAGTGGACAATCCATTGATGGAATACCTTCATCGGGTCTTATACGGAGTTCGAAACCAAACGTTTATTATTCAGACCAATTTCCCTCGTTCCGATCGGGGTTTGGTGGAGGCTCTACAAAGTAGTCATTATACCACTTCGCGACCAACTCGTCAGACTCAACTTGGGGCGGGATTAAAGGATTATAACCCGGATTTCCAGGCGCGTACTGTTCGTAATTCGCCCAAAAGTATTTCCTATTGTCCGACTCGACTATCCCCCTAAGAACGTCAGTGCTTAATTCTGAAATCGTCGGCCGATCCCCGGTTGCATCTGCCATGCACTATAACCATGAGAGTTAGCTACGACTTTACTAAAGCGCTTATGTCACTTACTCGCGCAATCAGCTGGCGTAGATTAAAATCATATCCTGCAACCAGCTCATCGAAAGGCGGTGAACCCTGTATTTGTACTCCCGGAGGGGGCTCCATCAAGAACGAGCCCCAGGTCAGTACCGGTACGAATCCAATGCTGTCACGTCCCAGCATCAGACGCTCATACGGTGCCCAGGGTTCTGAGGGATGTCTCAACGTCATGAGGTTAAACATAATCTACAGGCAGGACATATGTATGTGATTAGTAGTTTTTCATCTTCTTCTCCCTCAGTAAACGAAAATTTGATACGTACCAACCCTATAGCCCAGACATTTAATTCTTGTCCAACATGATGCTCCCAAGATGTAGCCCTGTCAGGATATTTTTGCTCCTTGACGACATGCATTAGTATCCAATAAGTTAACTTCGGCACGGGTAAGGTAAGGTAACTCACCGGTGCATACCAAGAGGGTTTCCCTCTTCTAATACGCTTTCTTTTTCTGCGCCATGAGTTAGATAACAGGGAATGAATGTGAAGGATGGGGGAGTGGACAATACATTGAATGTGAAAGCCTATCATCCCACCGTATCATGAGCCCAAAATCGGCTATCTATATGCCAAAAGTCAGTACGTGATCGAGGCAGGCGGTCAGCGGGAAACGAGCCTTCATCTTCGGTACCATTTCGTGTTCGCCGAAATCCCGATCACCAAGGAGCACTACCATCGGTAAGCTACCTAATTTAGATCCATGTATGAAGGAGAGGTTCCAAACCATTCTTGGGATCAAGATCAAAATGTATGATGGTCGATTGTGGCGGCAGGTTATTGTACTGATCCAACGGGGGGATTTTTTCTGGTATTGGTGTAGGGGTAAGAGGCGGTAGGTTTCCATGTCCGTCGTTGGCTGGCCAAGCCATCCCCGTAACACCTTTTACCACTGGTAGTTTTTTTATTAGCAAGCGAGCAAGCAACCTTATCATATTTGGGATGAATTCCGCTCAAACTTACGACAGTAGAAAAGCCTCCATAGAACTCGATTCGGGATGAATGCAAGCCTAGGTTCATATTGAAATATATCGTTCTTGGACCATTGGAGCCCCACTACTTCTGTAAGCTTGGCTCTTACATCATTCGTCCAACTTATTAATTCGTATGCAGTACACTTCGAAAGAGCCTCCATGACGAGTATAGGGTTTGCCACGAATCTACTGTTGGTGAGTCTATCAACCTCTCGCGTGTCAGTTTCGATATCAACGAGTTGGACAAAATGCTCCATATTGCGGAAAACCGTCTTCGAACTGTTAGTAATAATGTCAAACATAATGAATGAAACCTTTTTGAGAACTCACGCCCATCCATTCCATCTCCCATCTTGTGGACTCTATAGTTTCTTTATGGTTCTCGCGTGTGGGATATTTAATAGCAGCACTAGTGATGAAATTGCCTTGTTGATCAAATAAGTGCCACTATTACCTCTACCATTAGTGATATAGATCGTTGTCTTTTGGATCTCACCTACTACTGAGTAGATTTCTTAAGGAGACTTTCATACAAGTTGAACTATTCCGAAACCACCATATCCGAGGACTCTTTGGTATTTAAGACGTTCAACTTGGCCAAATTCCTCACGGAGCTTTTTGCCTGCGGCCTTAGCCCGTTCGAAATTCCGCCGGTTCTGTTGCCCGAGACGCTGATTCAGAAGAGCCACTGATAGATCACAAAAGGTGTAAGTATATAGTCACTTCTATGAATATATAGGTACCTAGGTATATATTGAAAGACTCGTTACTTACAGAGGGGTGCATTTTCCGTCATATTGTCGATGGCTTCGAACAAACTCTTAACAACAAATTACACTCACAGCCTAAACGAAGAGTGCCAACTGTACAGCTAAGTTCCACTCCGTAGGCGACGCGAGAATCATGACTGTTAAGTGATACAAATATGCTCTAATATAATTGCTTTGTTTCGACATGCTAGTAAATAAAGATGTACGGATATTCCGCATTCGTAAAGAGCTTGTATTTGGTATTGTTGCCAACAAAGGCTACATAATTACTAGGTATTTAGGTATATACTTAACTAATCACAACTCGAAAGAGAACTAGATTATTGAGTTTAGGGTGATGCTTACAGCCTGGTTGAAGAGAGACATCATAATCCAGCTTCTTTGCTGGTGTGTCTATCTCACGATGTAGGTAGGTAGATACTAGGTGTTGATTCAGATTATGAGAGTTCATGTTGGATTATGCTCAATCGGATAGAGTATCTAAGGTCAGATACCAAAACCTTTAGGATAGTTGTCATGTATCCCGTTTTAGGGGAATTGTGAATTTTGAGGTTGAAGTTTTGTTACAATCATGCCTAGGCGATGAGGTCGCCAAGTCCGATCTACTGAAGAAACCGCGGAGAAATTCAGCTGTGGTTGGGTTAAGCAAGGATAACTCCGACTCTTCCAACCTATGACATATGGTCGGATGCCAAGTAGGACTGACTAAGAAGAGACAAAGATGAGACAAGGAAGCGCGGAAGAGCAATAATTGTTAGAAGTTCCTTTATGGTATAACCCTTAACAGAAAAGGTGTGGTGAAACCTCACGATACGAGACAAGGTAAGGTGGTGCATGTCGTATGTACCTACCTAGTAGGAGTGTGTAGGAGGTATAGACATAAAAAAATTAGCCGCAGGTGGACCCCCATAGTATGCACGAATGATATTCAGGCTAAATGCATGGGATGAGGAGCAGCACAATAGACACGAAGGCTAGCAAGCTCGGGTCTCGGCGAAATCATTCTCCCCAGGCAAATCAGGAATCGCCAGTCGCGCCATTCGCGTTACTAGTTGGGGGTTCTCCAGCAGATAGCGCATGAGATGCGATCTTCGTCGGCCCTGTCACTAGCGAGCTTTTGATTCCCCCCCATTTCCCCTCTGGAAGATATTGGATCGTCAATGGCCGCTGACTCTGGGACCTAAGGACCTGCGTTTAAACGAGCGAATGAAAGAGAGCTGATGCCCCCCATCATATTTACTCGGAGACCAGAGTTCGTCTGATCGTGAGTAGGTATTATCCACGCCAATCAGTTGAGTCAGATGAGTCCACGATAGTACTGCAGTGTTATGGGATTTGTTCGGCGAGGTACAGCTAGCCCATATTTCCCCCCATCGATCTCTAGCGAGACGTTCTTTAACAAGCGGTTATCTCCACATTGGGAAATGTATTGTGTGGTTGCGGGTAGTAAGGCTATGTTGCTTAATGTAAAGTAGACGGCCAGACAGCAAGGTAGCTTATTTACTTTCGTGTCAGTAGAGAGCAGAAGGTATAAAGCATACTTGCTCCCGCCAACCGTGTCCCGTGAGGAGCCATGCGATCTTTCATCCTCCCATCTTCTCGTTATTCTCGTCTACTGTCCCGTCGCTTCATTGCGCCAGAGAGGTGTTCTGGGATATCGAACTACCAACCAACTACTACCATCCGTCGTTACATCAATATTAGGTCAACCACCACAATGGGTCCGACTATCAAGCTGAGCAGCGGCCACGAGATGCCCCAGGTGGGTTTCGGTTTGTGGAAGGTCGACAACGCTACTGCTGCGGATACTGTCTACAATGCCATCAAAACCGGTTACAGACTGTTCGATGGCGCCTGCGGTGAGTCGAATCCGTAACCTCCCACATAGCTTTCATCCGCATTTTGAAGGTTGGCGATGAGAGAATAAGCAAAGAAAAGCCCCTCCTCGGATATCATTACCCCGCCAGCCAATGCAGCCAGGGGTACCCCTGATCCCTTTGCATGCATCTCGGCCAGATCGGAAACCTCTGTCAATCTAGTCAATCTAGCCGGAAGTGGACTTATATTATACAAGCTGCTACACAACGTATAACCTGGTTAGAATCGTGATTCGCTAATATGTTGTTTCTTAATATTAGATTACGGCAACGAGAAAGAGTGTGGCGAGGGCGTGGCGCGCGCGATCAAGGACGGTCTCGTGAAGCGGGAGGACCTCTTTATCACATCCAAACTATGGCCCGTCTTCGAGGACGGCGATAAGGTCGAGCCCGCTATCCGACGCTCCCTCGCCGACTGGGGCCTCGAGTACTTCGACTTATACCTGATCCATTTCCCCGGCGCACTCAAATACGTTGACCCAGCCGTGCGATATCCCCCGGGATGGCACTACGACGGCAAGTCCCAGATCGTAAAATCCAGCACGCCGTTACATGTGACCTGGGCGTCCATGGAATCGTTAGTTGGAAAGGGCCTTGCGAAGTCGATCGGTGTCTCCAACTTCCAGGCTCAGCTTCTTTACGACTTGCTGCGATATGCCAAGATCCCCCCTGCCTCTCTACAGATCGAGCATCACCCATTCCTGGTGCAGAAGGAACTTCTGAGTCTCGCTAAAGAGGAGGGCATTGCTGTTACGGCCTATTCATCCTTCGGACCAGCCTCTTTCCTGGAGTTCGGCTTCAAGCACGCCCAGGCCCTAGTACCCTTAATGAAGGATGATCTGATCACAAGCCTGGCGACCAAGTACGGCAAGCAGCCGTCGCAAATCCTATTACGCTGGGCGACCCAGCGTGGACTCGCCGTGATCCCCAAGACGGTTCGCCCCGAGGTCATGGCACAGAACCTAGACTGCACTGGATTCGATCTCGAACAGGCCGATATCGACAGCATCACCGACAAGGATGCGGGTATTCGTTTTAACCAGCCTTCAAACGTAAGTTGCGCCTCGAAATACTGTTCCTTCATTATGTAATTGGCATAGTTTGCCCTCGGTCCTCCGATTTACTATTTCTATTAGCACTAACACTAAGGTAAATGCTAACCATTATGCCCCTGTCTAGTACTTTACCACGGAGAAGATGTGGATCTTTGGTTAGATCACTCTCTTCAACCGGATCTTGGGTTACGGCACTCGACGCGACTAGATCCGAGAAACGTAAGCGACATGCCGATAGAGGAGGGTTTTTTCTCGTCGACGTGGACTGGCACAATTTCTATACCAAAGACTTCGGGTGTTACTGTAGAGTCTTATGAATATGGGAAGCATCTCGCTAGAACGGTGTCTAGACTAGGCTTTTTTGACCTGTATCTGATATCAACATTGACGAGACGAATATTGCCGTAAAACTCGAACATTCCCATTTGCGTGAGCTTATGGATATCTTTGACATAAATTTGATGTCTTACACTGACTGTCTCTCCTTGTCTGCTGTAATTGAAATGTCCTAATCGCTTTTTGCGAATTCGAGAATCATGCCTGTAGTGTGCGCGAGTATCCTTTCCAAGAAATCCTAACCAAAAACAAGAACTCGAGCTCATCTTTGCGCGATGCTGAGCAACCCTTCATGATATAACCTCCTAAACGCCGTGCTAATGCAGTGTAGAAGACTTACGTCTAACGCAGAGAGCATCTCAACCTATAATTGAGGCAATTAAACAGATTTTACGAAGGCTATATTAAATCTCTATTAGTATTTTTTCAACATTTGTTTCTGGATGGGATACCTACTAGCATCGATCTGCTGTACTTGTGGAAGGGCCAGCCGTACTTTGTTCCGATATAGCGCGGGTTGTTTCAGCTGTACTGGATTTCCCTCAAAGTATACGGTTGTCAAATTCTCCTTGTTGGCCAACTCCCGCTCAATGTCTGCGAAGTCGGATAGCTGGTTATGGCTTGCCCATAACTCTTCAATGTTCTTCAGATTACCAACTCCCTCTAGGCTCTTAACCATGTTATTCGAAATATCGACAATCGACAGATTAGGGTTCCCGTCCAAGCCAACTAGGCTCTCAAGAGCATTGTGCGAGATGTACAGTTCTTCTAGCTGGGGAACTTCGCGTAGAGGTGAAAGATCCGTAATCCGATTGGACTGAATACTTAAGAGCCTTAATTTGGGTAGGCCGGCAAGGCCTTTGAGCTCGGTAATTTTGTTCTTCGCTAACCAGAGCTCTTCCAGATTCTTCAACGCATCAAGGTTCTTGATTTCTCTTATCCTATTAGATCCTAGCTCGAGTTGTCGGAGTTTTGTCAGGGTTGATAGGCCATCAATTGTGCTGATCTTATTGGAGACGAAGAAGAGATCGGTAAGCTCGGTCAAGTGCTCGATATGCTTGATATGCTTGATTTTATTGAAGCTCAGGTCGAGAGTGGTAAGTTTAGTTAGGCTGTCTAAGCCCCTGATATGAGCAATAAGATTATCGTAGAGGTCGAGTTCCTCCAAGGTGAGGCCTAATTCAGATAGCCCCTCAATGTGTTGGATGAGATTCTGCCGTAAACATAGCCGGACAGCCTTCTTGAAACGCTCTAATCGAAGGGCGGGGATAGAAGAGACTCGTGAATGGACTAGACTGACGTCGTCTGTATCGGGATCCTCGTCATCGAGAAGATCTAGAAGTAGTGGTCAACACCAAACAAAGTTCCATGATACCGGTTCAACATGCCCATGCTATTAGAAAATGGTGAAGTAAATGAAGTTGTTTTTTACCTTCATCGGCGCTGATCTCTTCGCCCGGGACTACGTGGTCCTCATCAGAATAGTCGGGATCTGATAAAGCTTCGGGATTCTGGATGAGAGCGTTCCGATCAATTCGTAATTTGCCATCCCAGCCTTTGCTATCCCTCAAACCGGGACTGGGCTGTTGACCATCTCCCCGCTCGGGATGTGACTCTCCTTCGACTACTTCTATGTGGTGGGAGGGTGGTTCTGAAACCGGCTCTTCATTTATTTGTCCGGGCATCGCGTATCGCTTGGTGTTGTTTTGTAAAGACGGACGGAAAACGAGAGACCTCGGACTTAGAGATGGAGACGGAGACGGACAGGTTAAGGAGGAAAGTTGTAGAATATTTGGAGAAATGACGGCTGAATTTCGTAGCTCCAGTTCCATTATAATACAATAGTGGATCGATCAACCCAATGACGTTCTAGCCTTCTCTTTAGTTAGGCGATTTCAGCGCTAAAAGCGGGGATTATCGTCCTGATACGGCATGTACCACGTGCAATCACTGTACTGCAGGGTCCTTAAGGTCGATAATGACGCTGTTATCTCGTGAGGTAGGTACATTCATGTCACGATATTTTGAGGGAGTAACCTAGGTATTTCTTTCCTCAGGATTAAAGAGCTCTGGTTGTTCGGAGCAGGAGCGACGGCGAGGGGCCAAGCTTTTCAAATGTAATGAAACTAATTTATCATAACTCAAACTTACAATTTACAATCTTCCAATTTCAACACCAAGACGACGAGAAAAAAATAGAATATAGACCATAGAATATTCGTCGGCAAATGCATCGTCATAGTCACCCACCCACTCGCATATTTCGCGCGTCCCTCCACCTTGCATAAACGACACTTCCATCATGTTCTCAAATCCCCAATCACGATGCTCTTCATTCGCGGCCTCTCCCGAATGTCCATTCGGCGCCTCTCCAAGTTAGCCAGCATCCCATCACAACCTTCCACGACACCCCGCATCAGCAACAACAACACATTAACATGCAAAAGAAAGTACCACGTCGAGGGCCTTCAGGGCTTAATGCTTGCGCCAGCAGTGTTTGGCGGCTTGTTCGTTGCGCTTTGGACCTGGAAATGCTTTATGCTTGTCATTTTTCAGAACAAGATCATATTCATGCCCGGGTTGCCGCCCAATTCACGATGGGAGAAGATTCAAGACTACATTGGTCGATGTGCCGGTGTTCAATGGCGCGAGGAAAGAGTGCGCGCTAGGGACGGTACAGATCTGGCCTTATGCGTTGCGGACTTGGACCTTGGTTCTAGTGCAACATCTGTACAACCGAGTGTTGCATTTTATATCTTGTATTTCCAGGGTCCGCATTGCATCTCTGTCCTGTGCGTACATGACTCCATGAGCTAACCTTCGGTGATAGGGAATGCTTCATCGATCCCTCCACGATTGCCCGATCTCTCTTCGGCGCTGTGTATGCTGAAGCGACGGTCAATGCAATGGCACGACGGGAATATCCGATGCACTATGGTATGCCTTAGCTACAGAGGTTATTGGACGTCACGAGGCAGGCCAACCGAAAAAGGTATTAATATGGATTCTGCCGCGGCCCTGCATTGGATTTCTCAAATGCATCGCAATACTTACGGCGGGGAAGATCGTGAGTCGAGACCATCGGCAAAGCTTGTGCTCTGGGGTCAAAGTATTGGCGCGGGAGTAGCTACCAACCTCGCTGCTCAGACTCCAATGCCAGCGAATGTACAGCTGGACTCGTTGGTTCTCGAAACCCCCTTCACGTCTATTCGTGCCATGCTAGAGGTTCTCTACCCCCAAAGATGGTTACCTTATCGGCATCTTTGGCCGTTTCTACGAAGTCACCTGGACAGCTGGAAGAATCTAGGAATTATATCCGAAAACTATGGATCTAGAAACCCTCCAGAGATATTCATCTTAGAAGCAGCTAAGGATGAACTCGTTCCCCATGAACTAAGCCAGAAGCTCTATGATAGGTGTCTGGACACTCAATTGCCTGTGTCTAGAAAAGCAGTAGGTGGGGCATTTCACAACGACGCCATGTTTCGAGGTGAAGGTAGAAGAGCTGTCTCCGATTTCTTGTCACACAGGATTACTTCCGCGCGTGTCTAAACTTGATTGGCCCCCTCACTAATGGTAATACCACTGTGACCTATGGTCCATGGCGTTGGAATACTCAATACAATGGTTCTTTTTTACCCGCGTGTAAGTACCTGTCAAGTATGTCCGGGACCTCGTCTATACTATCTCTTCATTTTAGGTACCTACTACTCACTAAAAGACGGAATTGCCGATCATCCCACCAAGCTCTTCAATTTACCTGGATTGAGTATCGAGGAACGACGGGTTGATATTTGCAAGATCTTAAGCGTATCGATGTCGATAGCTACAATAGGAATAAAGCCTCATCCGATATCCCTAAGCATCGACAAGGCAGATCAACATCCATGATCCTGGATAAGATCAGTCACATATATAAAATAACAAGAGTGTATCGACCTTTCAAGCCTCGTACATATTATAATTGCATTCAATCCTCCAGGTAGGTACATATCCGACCTTACAACTCACCTGAGTACCTAAACTAAACTTCATCACTTCTAGGAAACATAGTAAACCTACGATATCTGGCCTTATTGTGTTGAGGGTTACACCAGAACGAAAATATCTCATTGGATTCATAATGTCAGCAGTCTATCGAGTGGTCGCACGTGCGATACCGTGTGTGTGATGAGACACTACAGCATCCTCACCACATACATGTTTGTCCTCGGAGGTCCGCCAAGGGTTTCCTGGACGGAGCTCAACTGAAATTTCTGCATACTATTCCGATCATAGATGCAATTAAATTCTCCGTCACGCCTAATGCTAAAACTACACCGAAAGCCCGAGTCGAGCAAAGTTTGCGGGCTATGACCATTCTGACGAGGAGTCTTGTTTTAGATCATTCCACCTATTCGGACTTTGGTGCTCTTGACGCGGATAATGTCCAAGACATTGTCGCCTACATACCTAGTTGCATCAATCTCAGCATAGGTACCTATTCATCATGGGTTAGGTAGAATGAACGGAGCACCTTTGAAATTGTTTAACACTACTGCCATTTTTCTCTAGATGTGGTATTTTACAACAAATTTGACGTCATATTGGCTCGGCAACTGGGTGTTTAAAAAAAAAAAAAAAAAAGCAATCTTCATTTAAAGACCTCAAGGCAGAAAAAGTTCCGGGTTATTGTTTATAATCGACGCCCTCCGGGCTTGGTGTACTAGGATCCCGTTCTGCATATAAAATCACAAAATTCTTCCGCCGCAAATGGCAGGATCTCCTATCTCCAAATGCTGGCGCACCCGAATTTATCACAGGGGCGCAAAGCTTAGGCTTCTATGCTAGTAAGTTGTACCAGCCTGTCCGTGTTTAATATCTAGTAACCAGTAACTAGACCCACACAATATTCAAGTCATGGTCGTATATTTCCCATTATAACCATGATAACATGCGAATGCCGCGCCTTTAAATATAGATGAAAAGCGAATTAACGGGTTCTAAGTGGTCCTCTGCATGTCTTAGGATACGCAAGTTTCGGATGTCTGTGATAGGACCCTGCGTAGACACCGGGTTCACGATGCGGCAGCCCGTGTGTTGGTAAAGTCATATTTAAATTGAGTCAGACTTTTGATGGGACGAAATTCTTGACATTCGCGTTCGACAGCGGATACTTGCACAAAACAGATCCATCCTACTCGGTTGAAGAACGAATCTCCTTCCAGACCTTGTCGTACAAACCCTGCTTGTGGCGCCTTCTCATTCTCGCCGTGTACTTCATCTCCAACACTTCTACCCGATGTGGCTGAAGCAAGCACCCGCCCGTCGTAAGCCATGAGTAAACAAGGAAGACCAAGTTCCGTCATATGTCTTTTCCGCATTAAATCTAGGATAGCTAGGCAATTGGGGCGAATCCGGGGCCAAGGCCAGCATGTCATCGTTTTATTTTAATGAAACCTGGCACACTACCTAACCTTTCTAGTAACATTCCAGTGACATTCTCGAGATAAAATAAGCTGCTGTCAAGCTGGGAAATGAATACAGGGACAAGGAACACGATGCCGATATATGCTTAACGAGGGTTACGCCATCGTGTTAGTCGATGTCGAACGTTGCTAAACCCGCTTTTGTTAGGTCCGGCTAATGAGCCCCGGCGATTTCGGGGGATGGCTCCGTGAGATCATTTCCCCAGATGTCGATACGCGGCCCTACGAGGATGTCGTCCATAAGATCTTTAAGACCTGCGATGATGAATTATTTAAACAAGAACCTTTCACACAACGAAAAATGCAGCTATTTTCTTACTAATATATTCAGGACGTTGGACGAAATGTCTTGGGAGGTTCTAGCCACCAAAACACCAATATATCTAGCGTACCTATGTCTTCTTACCCGGTAAATTGCTACGAGATGCTACCTCAGTAAATGAAACTGATCGCCAATATGATCATCGAGATAACGTTATTTTCACGACTTGGGCTCGCAGGCTCGGTAGATCATCCCTGTTCCACCTACCAGATCAAGGGATTCTTCGTCGCATTGGATGGTCGCATACACCCTGGATTCCTGCATGCATTTATACCCTCGCGCGGTATCTAAGCATCTATCCCAGAGCCCCCACGTCATGCTCAAAACATTTGTGAGGAGCCGATAACTTGCGCGGATGTTTCCGCTGGGATATCCTACGCTGTATTGTACATAGTAGTAATATGAGATCAACGGACCCTGCGGGCGATCGTTCGACTGTTGGGGGGCTGAGTTAGTTTTTTTTTTCTTTCTTGTCCCTTTGCTTTTTCCTGGACTTGAGGCTGTACAAGGTTTCGGCATGTCCCTAGAGAGGTAATTGATCTTCCAAATTGGCTTGTATAAGACGTTTTTAGCCAGCTACCTCTAGCGCCTCTCCTTTTCCGAGACCTTGATCGCGCATGGGAACACGCTATCGAGGTGATGGCTTTCCACCGAAAATGGCAGCATTACGCAAGCCGCGTCGAAGTCCTTGCTCTTGCCAAGAGCTGCCAAGAGCTGCCGTAGCAACTGTTTCGAAGCTATCGACTGTGCGCAAAGGGGAAGGTGGGTGGTAGGGCCAATAAGGACCTTTGAAATTTCTCCTATTGCTCCTATCGAGACTTTCCCGCGTATGCAGAACTAACTACAAACATGTCACGTTGCTATTGACGATGTTATATATTCCTGTGGATCCGGGATTCTAACATGTTAACGATCGTCAGGGAATAGGCTGTATATCTCGGATATCAACTGTTCTAGACGATAAACAAGTTGATTTGCATCACCATTTTCCCGAATGGTTAGGTGTTGGTGGAATACAACGGCCGACCAACTGGCCGGGCCGGTCCTGTGCTTTATTACCCCGTGGGCAACCCCGGTTGTAGGGACAAGTTATTTAGAAACATAACATACCTCCTTGTCTTAGTCCCTTCCGGCGGCAAACAACAAACAGCCTGGACATCACGCAATATGGGGAACCTACTCTCTAGTAGCAGCAAAGAGGTCCAGAGGCCGCCGCCGATGATAGCGTCGGATACGGTCGTCCCTCTGCACCGGTTCGACGACACACCTCTCACGAGGAAGGTCATCGTCGAGTTTACGATGCGGTTCGACGACGTGTTGGATCCGGAGAAACTACGCATATCGCTGGACAAACTCCTAAGCCGCCGCGACTGGCGAAAGCTAGGTGCTAGACTGAGGCTTAACGTACGCCCCGCTCTCCCCCCCTCCCTTGCTACGATCTGCATCGAGGGAGCTAGGCCCTAGCAACTACTTTAATAGCTCTCTAAACTAAAGTGTGACCTGCAGACCGAAGGAAGACTTGAATATCATATCCCAGAGGTCTTCGACGAGAAGAGGCCCGCGTTCACGTACTCACATGCCGCCCATGACACCGAGATCTACAGACACCCCACTGGTAGCCGAATCCCCCGACCGACTTCAAAGCCGAGCGTACTGAGCGACCCCGAGGATTATGCACCACTACTCCGGCGATGGGGTGCGCCGCGTAGGCTGGCTGATTACCTGTACTCAGACCTACCGCAGCTAAGCCTACACATCGTGACCTTCACGGACGCAACAGTCGTTTCGCTATCATGGCCACACACGCTCCTCGACGCAATGGGACGGCGCGCACTGCTAGACGCATGGATAGCCGTTCTCGAAGGCCGCGACGACGACGTCAAGCCGCTGGCGGGGGTACTACAGGACCCACTCGAGCCGCTAGGTTCGAACCCCGAAGAGCCGTACGTGCTAGCGCACCGTCGACTGTCGCCCCTTCAGGCTCTCATGTTCGCCATCTCATATATCTGGACGACGCTATTCTGGGCACGCGGCGAGGAGACCCGGATGGTCTGCATTCCCGGCTCGCACGTGCGGAGCTTGCACCGCGGCGCGATGGAGTATCTGCTCGCGCAGGCGCCGGTGCTGGAGGGGGAGAAGGAGGTTCAGGTTAAGCCGTTTGTTAGTGAGGGCGATGTGCTGTCGAGTTGGATCACGCGGTTGGCGATGCTGCCGCTTAGGAGGACGGAGCAGACGGTTTCAATTATGAATGCGTTTGGCATGCGCTCGGTTCTCGCGAAGGATTTGCTGCCTCCCACGCATGCGTATGTGGGCAATGCGGTCGCGGGCGTGTATGCTTTCGTTTCGATGCGGGATTTGTTTGCGAGACCCCTGGGTTATACGGCGGCTGCGGTGCGAAGATCCATCGCTGAGCAAGGCACCCGTCAACAAGTTGAGGCGCGGGCCGCCGTCGATCTGGCTGCGGGGAAGAGGGGGAAGGCGGCGCTGTATGGCGATCCGAAGATGGCGCCTGTCATGGTGTCGAATTGGAGCAAGGCCAAGTTCTTCGAGACGGACTTTTCGGCTGCCGTGGTGCGCACGGGAATCGATCCGGCGCGTCGTGCGAATAAGGTTGGCAGGCCGTCGTATATCCAACCTAATGGCTTGGCGGACGGCATCCCGACGAGGAACTCGTTCCCGATTGTGGGCAAGGACGCCGCGGGTAATTACTGGTTGTCTGGGACGTTGAAGAGGGGGCTTTGGAGGAGGGTCCAGGAGGAGATGGATACGGAGTACACGTATCTGGCTCATCATTTCGTGGACTCACAGTATGATCTTATAGATGTGAAAACTTAAGGGCGTGTGAGTGGACGGCCGTGGTTTCTTTTATCCAGTGTTAGATTTGAGATTCGATTTTTTTTCTTCCCCTTTGATGGCACGGTACTGCTCTGATTCGATACCATTTTGTATATCCATAGGTAGCTATACTGTGTGATAAAGACGTTCCGCGACGGAAGTAATGGTGGTTTTTGGTTCTTCTAGGAAATAATACAACTATGGATAACTCACAGTTATGGCACTGTGAGGACTACCGTGATTGCAGGTTTTTTTCTTATGGTAAATAGGATGTCTTGTAGTTTGATTTCGTGTCTTCAGACGGAAGCGTAATCAATACTTACAAGATACGCTTCTTACTGTGACGCATTGGAAATTTATTTTGGGTGAATGGGATTATGTGACTACCTACCTAGTATCCATTTAAAGACTGTCTTCAAACATTCTGACGGTGGATTGAATAGATGTTTTTGATGTTAATTGTGATAATGGAGTTGGTATTGGAACGTTTTGTATTGTTTTTAGACCTCACGTACCTAGATATCCTCAATGGATATTATATCTTACGAATATGAGCAATAGTTCAATCATAGATAATCCTACCTCTTATATAAAAAAAAATCATACCATACCAATTGATTTTTAGTTAATGTTAGTAACATCCTCAACAACCCCATAGGTTAGGTCTCTTATTCAATGAACCCTCAAAATGGAGAACATTGTTTACGGTTGCGTCTCTCGGTAGAATCCATCATCAACATAGAATATCTAACTATGAATGTAGCTAGTCACAATTCAAAGTTATATATCTGCATATATAGGTACTTTGTTTAGAAACCCGAAGGGATAAATGTAATAGATGTCTTTGACTAAATTATGTAGTTGTTGTAAGGCAAAGTACACTCAAGTGCTACCTGTACTTCAAAATATCACATACGGAGGTATAAATACAGCTGATAATACATCAATGGCGTAAATCCATTGACAATCTCTAATCTTAGCTCTTCCATAGGTATTTTTAGATTTATTCCACTAAATCTTGTGAAGTCCCGTACCTGCCCAGTATTATTCTTCAGTTATCCCTAGGAAACTAGAGGAAGCTGCAAGTCAAAAAGTATAGCAATCTACGCACGTTAGACAGCAAATACGGAGGAGTCATACTTGAAATTCAATCGGCTAGACCTTTGATTAGAAGGATCGATGATACTATCATGTATATTCTTACTGCCTGTTCTAACCATGTGAGGTGTTTGTGGCCTGAGCTTCGTAAAACATGTATGTTAATACACAGTAAAAGTTTTTCTAATCACTCCAATCACTCTGCAGTATTGCCACTCTTTCCTAGATAAACATGATTTTCATCCGAACATCTTGGATTATTGTCAAAACGTCCTTCTAAAAATTTGTAGGTGACAACAGTCGCCTGGTTGCACCTTCCCTCAACACTACATCGACCCATAGTCTGGGCGAAAGAAAGAAGGTGCAAGGTTGAGTAAGGGGTTGTGACTGCAACTTTTCATTCGAATTACAGTGCAAGATGGAGAGGAAGAACGAAAACCTTAAAAACTCTAAATGTTTTCACTGTTATGGGCGTTAGCCCTAGGGCATAGTGTTTTCTATATAACACCACTGAACCGACCGCAACTCAAGCTCTTTCTTTCATACAATATTCACACCACACCAACAAACATCATTTATTATTCCCTGCATCGGCGATCTCTATTACCCGCAACGGAACATCATTAGATATTCGATCAGTACGAGATATCATACGCTTCTTTCTTTCATTCATTAACCATCGTCAATAATATCGTACTCACATATCCACGTCTTTAACATATCGTTCAACCCTCCTTTATCCACGCAGCCCATACCTATTTTAAGACATCATCACCATTCATCGACCATGATCTACGATGACGATGTGGGAACCATAGTCTGCATCCGGGAACCCCGATGTAGACTATGTTCTTTCGGACTGCGAGAGTTCGATCTCTTCAGAATCGCCAGATGGGATAATTACTTTCCCCTCCGGTGTGGAACAAGCCAAAGACTCTCGGAAATGATCCTTTGCAGCTGTGTCAGTGATCACTGCCAGACAGAATTTGACGCCGATTGTTATCACCCTGAGTGTTGGAAGTTCGCACTTGACACCTACAAAACTCGAGCCCTTTCCGAATACTTTGAGAGAGCCATTTCCCCCAACTTTGAGAGAGCCACGCGTTTCAGCTTTTGTCCCCCACTATGGGGAATGCAAGAAAAAGAGCGAGCTGGCCGTCTGCGCAACTTGTTGGCCGGGAAGTTGAAGAAGGAGCAGTGGCCGATGACGCTGCCTAATGAGACTTGGGGCATGATAGCCAGTTACCTCATCCGAGAATCTGTAATCGTTACAGCATTTGAACAGACCTTTGGTGATCCAACACCAAATTCCAGGATCTACTTTGACAAAGACGTATATGCTGAGTATGTCATGTTCGAAGGGATCCGCTACCTGAAGTCAGTTCGCAATGCCGGAGGCCCTATGGGACACCGCGATACTCTCATCCTTCGAGGTCAGGATACCGGAACTATTAGACAGGGCTATATCCTTGAAGACCACTTTGGCATTCGTGATGTCTTGTTCACCGCCGACGAGGAACATCAGCCGCCAAACCGGTTCATACCATTAGGAGTGTGGGTTCGACATATCTCAGACTCGGATGGAATTCAGAGCGTTAGAGTCAGGGGTGATGTAAGTAATATGAAGTCCACCGAGATGTTTTAATTCTCTAGTATCTAACAAAGAGACAGGGCCTCAAAGTAAGAGATATAGTCATCGGTAATGACTATGAATGCGAACCGCAGAACATCGCGCGTTTCAGAGATTGGAAAGCACCTCCAAACACTCTCTTGAATATCAGAACCCTAGAGCCCCTATTCGAGGGATTCCCAAAGAATGTGAAGTACGGAGGGTATCCACAGATGGATTCATTTGACTGCAACCATCCAGATATTATCGGATATTCGGCTGCTGTGGGCGGATACGGCGTTGTAGCGATATTTTCGCATTTTCGAGGCTCGGATTTCAGCATGTACGGCGAAGTCAACCCGCTCCATCCAGTTACGTGGGTTTATATGCCAATTAACCAAGGCGAGTTGGTGACCGAGATCTGTCGCTTTGAGAAAATTAACGAACATATAAAGACTAGTTACTTTGGATTAATGGTAGGAGGATACGTATCCCCATTAGTATTTTAACGATATACTGACCTGTGGCTCCTAGTTCATCACCAACCACGGGCGAATCGGCGTTCTCGGAGATCACCGCACATTGATGCTCAACACCGATTTTCAGAGAGTCTATGGACCACCAAGTGAACCATCAAAAATCTTTTTTGACAAGGGCAAGGGTGAGACGATGACTCTACTGGCATATGAATCCGAGGACGAACCAATGAAAAAAGAGATACCCCAGTCAATACTCACGAATAGGTTCAGAGACTACTCTTCTAACTCTTGGTACTACACTCGCTGTGATATGGAAGGAGTTACGCGTATTGTCCCATGCCGTAAGAGCGGCTCTGGTCCTAAGCAACTAATCGGCGCGCTTCTCGAATATGAGGATGGCCATAAGGAGTGCATGGGCGAGTGGCGCTTTGATTGGGCAACCGAGCCGATACGCGTGATTGACAACTCGGGCAGTCTGCGCCTGAAACGTTCCAACTGCCTACATGATCCATTCAGAGGCCTCTCAAGTTGTTATGATTGTGTGAATTTGGACATCGAACTTGTGCCCAAGGACGCACCACCTTGCGAGGAAGACGGCTGCAAGGTTTACATCGACATGCCGTGGTCTGGAACATGGGAATGGTTGTTTATGGAACGCGAACACAAGTTCGTGCATAGCGGTGCATCGTGGGTATACTTACCTAGTATATGAAAGCGGAAGAACTTTAAGAGGAAGCCTCAACGACCAATCTATGCCACCGTGGTATGAGCTATTAGACGACGAGTCTGATAGGGGGCCTTCAGCTAAATCAGACTAAACGCCGAGAGTTCAGCTTCTACATATCAAGATGAAGATACTGGGTTTCTCTTCCGTGGCAAATGTCGCGAGGACGAATAACACATCAACATCGAGCTATTTGCTACCACATATCGCATTAGTCTTATACTAAGAGCATCTCTTTACTATAGAAGGAGATCATGGTTACTAAATGAATGGTCAATTTAGTATCAAGGGAAACGATACCAGACGGATGAATGATATGAAGACAGGGATGATGGGTTGAATATATTCGCTTACATTTAGAGCTCTTACTGCATCTGCCCTGCTTTGATGAGATAGTTACATCAAAACAATTCATACCCCATATAAGTCTTTTAATTATATGCAAGTGACTTGATCTCGATGACTCCTGAGGTCCCTATTCTCGACTTATCAGCTCATCGTATGTTATGAGTGTAAAAGGATGAGAACTCCCTACGTGTTTATGGTTGGGAGTATGAGTTCAAAGTTTGGTAAATGCTATTATAGTAGGTAGCTTAGAACGTAGAGGGGAGGGGAGAGACAAGATGAATAGGGTCATACTTACCACGATAAAAAGACCATCCTTATCATCACAATTCAACACACCACACGTATTCACCAAGCCAAAGACACCACACCCAAAGGTGCAAACGTAACAGGAGAAAATCTTTATGGTATGGTACAGCTAAGCGTGTGATTATCAGTTATCGGTACACTCTATGACCGGGTTTTTCTTCTTTGTGCCTTGTTCCCTCCCCTTCTCCCCTCCCCCACTCTCACTTTAAAACAAGCCGCAGCCGCCAAAAACCGCGGCGGCATACCTTTCCCAATCACGTAAATGTAGTGCAAGTTTTTCATCGTCGTCGTCGTTGTTGTATCCCGGCGTCTAGAAGTTTCGGCTCATGTCGTTGCGGATGCGTTGGTAGTCGAGGAGACCCTCGACGCTGCCGACGGCGCTGATGGCCACGTCTTGGTCCCAGAGCTTGCGTCTGGCGAAATCCATTACGTCCTTCTCCGTAATGTGGTCGATGAGACGCTCGATCTCGCCGGGGTTCATTCGGCGGCCTGTTGTGACTAGTTGTCGGCCGATATCCTCGGCTACGGCGGATGTGCTGTCAAGGGAAAGAAGGATGGCGGCCTTGAGCTGCGCCTTCGCTCGCTCAACCTCGGGTTCGGTGACGTTGCTGGAGAGGCGGGACCATTCTCGGAGGGTGAAGTGAACTAGGTCATCGAGACGGGTGAGTTGGTCGCTCACTAAGTAGATACCCCATAGACTGCATGATTCATTAGTACTCGCCGAAAACAAAATATACAGATATGTAGGCTTACCCAGTGTCGCTGTAGCTTGTGGAGAAGCTCATGAAGCTGCTAGCCAAATCGTTGTTGTGGACGAACGAGCCCAGCTTGCTTCCTTGGTGGGGTGCGCTACCTAGAGCCTTGTCATAATTGCCGACGATAGCCTGCGTGACCAAAGCAGTGAAGTAGTCCTCATCACCCCAGCTTACACCCTCGACGGCGAGGGCGATGTGGGCAGATGGGATGGTGTCATCTCGGATTCGGACTTCGGATCCGACAAAGCTGGGCTTTCGCTTGGACAGGAGGTAGGCTTCGTTGTGGGGTGACGTAGTGGGGAGGTCGGCAAAGTTTTTCTCGGCGAGATCAACGAGCTTGTCGTGGGGAATTCCACCGGCACCGACTAGAACCATGCGGTCGGCCGTGTAGTTGGTCTTGATGTAGTTGTCAAGTTCAGTTCGTGTGATGTCACGGATATTCTGTCGGGGACCAAGGATAGTGCGGCCTAGAGGTTGGTGGGCGTATGCGGTGGCGTGGAGGTGGTCAAAGACAACCTCGTCCATCAACTTCTCAACTTCCTCTGATTCCCGAAGAATGACGTCGCGCTCTCGTTCGATCGCAGAAGGCTCAAGTCTCGAGTTCTGAAGAATATCGGCGAGGATGTCGACGCACTGAGGAACATCGGAGTTGAATGCTCTGGAGAAATATACGGTGCTCTCACGCTGTGTTATAAGTTAGCCATGAATTGTAACGAGGTTGATATATTTAATCGTATTTCACGCACCGAGGTATAAGCATTAAGATGACCACCCATATTCTCAATCTCGAGTTCTAGTTGGTTTTGCGTCCGCTTCTTAGTACCCTAGTGAAATCGTCAGAAATTTGATATTTTTTTCTTCAGCTCGATTTCTAAATACCTTGAAGGCTAAGTGCTCTAGGAAATGTGCGGTGCCACTTGTCTCATCCGTCTCGGCTCTTGAACCAGCATCGATCCAAACTCCCACCGTCGAGGTCTGCGCCCATGGCGAATATTCGGTCGCAACCTATTTTTATATTGTTAGAGCTAGCCTTATGAAGTATTGGTCAAGTCAATTGGGAGTTAGAAGCGTACCGTTAGACCGTTCTTTAACGTTGTGGTCTGGGTCTTCGCACCTATGGGAGACGATACGGGTGTAGCAAAACCTCTCTTTAACGGGCGGGCAAAAGAATTTGCAGCACGACTGCGCATGCCCTGCGCAAGGCTAAGAGTAAGTCTCCTAGACGCCATTAGGGTGTTGCGTTGGGAGGGTGAATTAACGGAGAGTGGGAGTGAGCGGTTTGATGGTGGAAATCTTGAAGTGGTTCGGTTTCGGCTTGGAAAGCTCAAATTTTGGATTGGTCTGAGGCGTCCAGGTGCGCAAGTGCGGTCGGCCGGTGGGAACCCCCGAAACCCCAGACGTAAGCCACACTTTTTTCGACGACCTCTCCGCTAAATTCCGGCTAGCGTCATTGATTTATGGCTGTGCATTCTTCGATGATGAAATAATCAATCGTTGATTGGCTCAAATCCACTTTTGGGTATGAGACTAGCTCGGCTTTCTGCTTCAAGGTTTCTTAAGTTAGGTAGGTATGAGTACTTGGGTACATATCGAACTTCACATCTACATCAATTCACGTCAATTCACATCGCCTACTTTTCATATTTTATACACACTTATAGTATATTGTTATTTCGTGAAGCTATTGCTTCTCGAGAGACTCTTCATTCCATAAACGATATCATCCCCATATCTTCTAATAAAATGGGAGAGCTTCCCCACATTTCCGTCCGGAGGTAAAAGCTGATTTATGTCTAAACTTCCTCTCTATAAACATCGTGATGGCGGTCAATTTATCAAGCTATCCGCCTCTTGGGCAGGTTACTCAGCTCAAAGACGAAGATTTCCAATTCACAGTCCTTTTAGAAGTAGACAATGACCTTGCAGACGACCCTTGGGAAGTTGCCGTTTGGCATTCCTCAACTGATGGGGATTGGACAGAGACGTCATTGTCGCCTACCCCTACAGGCCATTCCCCTGTATCGCTTCAGCCTATCAAACTTCCAAGTACTCAATTATGTTTTAGTGCACCATTCTCCATCACGTCTTTGATGAAGTTCACTCTAAAATTCCGTAATGGTCACAATCGACCTTGGATTTGGCCTTCTGAAAGGCTAGACGCGATATCTGATGGGGTTGTATTAATCAATCCAGCAAATGCGATTTCCGCGAAGAGTACCGATCTCTCGAACATAATCAATGGATTGAACCCGGAGTTGCGGGTCAATACTGCAGCGAGCCAAACTCTCAATACCCAACTTTGGACTCTTCAAGCAAGTGTTAGCTCGTCTAATGACTCCTCTGCTTATGCTGATGTGAATATTGGAATTCCGTGGGGCGGTGCTTTACGGTAAGCTATAATGCCAATATAGACTAGACTGCTGGTGTTGATATTCATTATGGACGGTCTTGAAGCTGACCAACTCCAGATACTTTGCTCTAGTTCGCCAGAGTGCTTCATGGTTGACCCCTAGACATGGCAGTGATCCGTTCAGCATAGAAAAGGATGCCGTTATGTGTTCGTTTTTGAGCAACTCGGGAAGGCACTTAGTCTTATTAGGAGTCAGTGGTCCAGATAATGTGATCACCCTCCTGCGTAGCTCAGACGCGGGTTCTGTGAAAATGCATGTGAGTGGGGATGTGAATTTACAATGTATCGATGTGATTACTAAATCTCATACGCCGTGGACAGATACGCAACGACGAAGAATCCGAATCATCGGGTCTGGTTTTAGCTGCAGTCGGCGATGATTTTGAGAGCACCATGGCAGCTGTCATGTATCACGCTCGGACGGTTATCTTCGCTGCTGGTAACTCCCAGAACGAATTGACCAAAGAATTGGAGGGTTTGAATCTCGATATTGAGCCCCAATGGTATGAGAACTGGTACGATGGATTGGGATATTGTAAGCATTTTGTTAAACAGTCAATTTAAATCTAATCTAACACACTTCAGGTACTTGGAATGCGCTCGGCCAAGACTTGACTGAAGAGAAGATAATCAATGCCGTCCAAGCGTTAGCAAAGGACCAAATCAATATCAGTAGTCTTATCATAGACGATAATTGGCAAGACATTGATTACCGTGGTCAAGAAGATGATCATTATGAACATGGCTGGAAAGGATTCGAGGCGAAACCCAAGGCATTTCCTAATGGACTAAAAGACACAGTCTCTCGCATTCGTTCATCACACCCGACCATTGAGAACATAATTGTCTGGCATGCTCTACTGGGTTACTGGGGAGGAATTTCTCCCGATGGCGGCCTTGCAAAATCTTACAAAACGGTACAGGTTGACCGAAAAGACTTTAAAAGAGAAGGAACCATGACAGTTATCGCGAAGGAAGATGTCGCGAAATTCTACGATGACTTCTATCGATTCTTGTCGAATTGTGGAGTTGACGGCGTCAAGACAGACGTCCAATCCATGATAGACACTTGGGTAAATTCTAAGCCACGCCGGGAACTCACTGAAACATATCTTGACAGCTGGATGATATCGATTCTGAGACATTTCGGTCTGAGAGCTATTTCGTGTATGTCCCAAGCACCTCAACTCCTATTTCGCCAGCAGCTGCCACGGAATAGGTCACCGCTAATTGTGCGAAACTCTGATGATTTTTTCCCTGATATCGGTTTCTCGCACCCATGGCACATTTTCGCCAATGCCCACATTACTCTACTCACTCAACATCTAAATGTCTTGCCGGATTGGGATATGTTTCAAACCGATCACAAGACTGGGGGGTTTCATGCTGCTGCGCGGTGTCTAAGCGGAGGGCCAATCTACATCACCGATATCCCGGGAAAGCACGATATCGATCTCATCAATCAGATGACAGGGAAGACGCCTCGAGGGAAGACCGTCATATTTAGACCTAGTGTGCTAGGGAAAAGCATCGATCCCTACACAAGCTATCACGAACCTGTCGTCCTAAAAATTGGGAGCTTCCACGGGCGAGCCGGAACAGGAACCCCGATGCTTGGCGTCTTCAATATCTCCTTCCGACCCTTAAGAGAAATCATCGCGCTCACGAACTTCCCCGGCATTGACCCTTCGCTGGAGTATGTTGTACGAACTCACCGCAGCGGGTTCGTCACGCCTACCCTTAAACCTAATAGACCTACTGCCGATTTTGGGATATCGTTAGATGTTCGGGAGTATGATATCCTTACAGCATTTCCAGTAACGCAGTTCAACAGCGAGACGAACGGCAAGATCTACATCGCTAATTTGGGGCTGGTCGGGAAAATGACGGGGGCCGCCGCCATCACATCGTATCAATTCGAACTGCATCATACTGACAAAGCGTTCTTGGATACGCGACTTAAAGCTTTGGGAGTTCTCGGTAAGTTCTTTCGTTCGAATAAATATAGAAACGAGTCTGATTCTAACCTAATAAACCTCGCAGGATTATATATCTCGAGTCTGCCTGACATGTCAATCGAGAGGGACTTCATGGCGACCATTCAGGGAGAGCCCATTCCTCCCCACACAGTTACTATCAATGCGGATAGTGATCGCGTATTGAACATCGACATCGAAAAAGCTTGGAAGGAAATGGGTCTCGAAGCCGGTTGGGCTAACGAAGTTGAAGTCAAGGTTTACTTGGACATCGAGTACCCCTAGTTGGGTATGAATGAGAAATGGATATGAGACACGTATTATTGGGATGGGACTTGGTTTGGATGGCATAACGACTATGACGAGAATGATGACTACAAATTTGGAATACACTTCACGATAAATTGGAATATTAAATTCAGCAAAATAAGCTAGTTGGCTACGGAACGTGCCCTGATGTGCCTACAGCCTAGCACTATCATGCCCCATCCACAATTTTTCTAGGTCGCTTTACACATGCTGCTAACACGTAAGACACAGATAGTTACCAATAACGCAACCTTTCCTCGGCTCAAAATTTAAGCCTTACCAAGCTTCTTCGCCTCAAAAGTCACCGTCGCAGGGAGTGTATCGGGCAAACTCGGACCCTTGGGTGTCCAACCGAGATACTTCCTCGCCCTAGCAGCCACACTCTTCGAGTTCGTCCCAAAGTTCGGCAAATCGACCTCCTTAGCAATAGGTTCAGGAATGAGCTTCTGCCTCGCGGTCTCGAGCGCAATTGCCCTCGACACATCGGCCCACCGGTGCACGCCGTTCTCGAGGAAGAAGTACGCCTTGGGTCCGAAGATCTCCGGGTTGCTGTTCTTGGAGGGGTCTAGCGCCGCGTCCACCGCTAGCACGAAGAAGTCGCCGAGATCGTGAATGTGCACGTTGTCCCACTCCGTTAGCCCGGGTGCTTGGATTGGCGCGTACCCGTCCTGGATTGTGCGCTCGATCAGCGAGGGAACCTGGATGCTGCGCGTGTTCAATGGTCCTCGGCCTTGTCCGTAGATGGTGGGAGGTCCGACAATCAGGGCTTTGACGGAGGGGGAGTTGGCGCCAAGTACGATCTTATCGATGTTGCGGTGTATCGCGGTGTCTGGTAGCGACACGATGCGATCGATGTCATCGATATCGTGGTATTTCTGCTCCGGAAGAGGCGCCTGTCCGTAGCGCTTGTTTTCGGTGTCGTACCAAGTCAGAATACCGGTTCCACATAGATGGATCCAGTACCCCGGTTTCTCTGCCGTATGCCCTGCCGCAAGACCCTTGGCGATCGCGGTTGCAGACGGTTCGTTGTCGGCTGAATCAGCCGTGTCTAAATGCTGTTAATTGCTTATTTCAAGGAGAAGTATCATTCCTAGCATTGGGGATATCGTACGAATGACGATGTCTGCCGCAGCGGCCTCCTTCTCGATGATATTGGTATCATCTAAGCTGCCGTAGACAAGCCGTGCCTTGGGGTAGGCAGCGGCGACTGGTTTGCCCCGCTCCTCGTTTCGTACGAGTAGAGTGAACTCGTAGTCTGGGTGAGCTTTCACTAGGGAGTAGAGGGCATCGCCGCCGATGAAACCTGCATTTCGTGTAACATTTAGTACCTAACCCGATAAGGTGGGGGACTTACTAATGTCTGCATACCAGTGGCACCGGTCCTGTTTCGATGAGTTAGTCTTTATTATATGATATTTATATTTTGTTTCATTAACACTTACAGGAAAATCTTGGGAGCCATTCTCTTAAGCTTCGAATCGACAGTCAATCAAAAGAGTGATCGGAGTAGTGCCTAATGAGGGATGTGTACGATGGCTTCTTTGAAGTTGAAAGCTGAAGACTCCTGGCAGACCTTTCGCTTCATCGAGTGGGCAATTGAAGTAGTTATAGTTAAGTTTTACAAGCAAAGATGGTCAAACCGGAAGGTACTATACTCCCACTATTATTACGTAGTTGTGCCGAGGAATATGGTTTGGTTACGCCATCCAGACCATCAATTCATCAATGTCCTTTCCCATTTCCCCCATTTCCCCCACTCTTGATGTTCCACACGGGGAGATGTCATCGCAGGCGCCGTGGAGATGGGACGGCGGCTTGCATATTCTCCAGTTATTTTTACTTTTGCCAGGTGCCAGGTCCCAGTGCTGACTGTATTATGTAAACAGGGAATATTTTAACCCGTGACAATTATGCCGTCTCTCCCTTCACAACTTACAAACTTCGCTCTTGTATTCCTCGTACGTCTAGAGCGTCAGCAAACATCGCATGAGCATCTCGTAATCGGAACCAATTGCAGATGATATTTGCCATGATGATTCAATCCTGATTGTCTGACTAGGGACTATCTTCTCCGGTGCTTTGCAATCTACTCTTTCGAAAAACCCCGATTGACAAACCAACCATCTAATATGTTGTCTATGGGACGTGAGCCCCCAGATCTGGGAGAACATAACGATACTACGATAACTCTTGGCCTCTAGCCAGTTATTTCCTTAGCTGCGACCCTAATACTATCTTCGAAGCTCGTCCATCCATGTCCGGTCATTCTCCTTAGAAGCTCCTCGGCTCTTTCATTGGCAACCGTACTCCTCTCCGTTGCCGCGTTAGGCTCCTCCTCACCGAACTCACGGTCCGGGTAGATCTTCTTCAAGGTCCTTATGATCTTGTTCCCGTTGAAGGGCTCAGAAAAGGCGAATAAACGCTCACCTTCCACGTCGGGGTATATGAGCGCGGCTACGTGCAATGCGGCGTTGTCGCGTACGTCGACAAAGTACTGAGGAGATAATCCGAAGAAGTCTTTTGGTCTGAGTTGATCCCCTTTCTCAAACGCGATCTTGATCCAACCGGTCGTGCTCCGATAACCCTGGTGAACAGGATCAAGCGGGGCCCCTATATTGGCGTTGGGCAGAACTGCGTTGAAGACAAATGACGGCTTATGCTCTCGCACCCACTTCCATGCCTCCTGTTCTTGTCTGGTCTTGCTTGCATGGTAGACTTTTTCGATGCGCGCCATACCTTCGTAAGGTGGCGGTGCATACGCTGCTTCGATTGAAGCTTCATTCCACATATTCGAGTTGATTGCGAATACCTGGGTACCGTCAAGGGATGCACACGCCCCGGAAGAGGAGGTTAGGACGACCCTTTTCATCTCGGGCTCCTTCGCAGCTGCCTCTAGGACACGTATCATGATGTCTACGGTGGGGGGTATTATGAGGTTAGGATCGGGGCTTGTCATCACGGGCGTCGCGACGTGCGCCAGGCCAGATGCCCCTTTCATAGCCTTATCGAAGGCACCGCTCGCCAACATATCAGGTACTTCGGCCAACTCGAATTTTCCAGGACCGTACTTCTTCTCGAAATGTTCATTCATCCACTGATCCTTGGCTATGCTACGGACAGTGCCCCGAACACGATAGCCATGATGTAAAATCTGGTCCGCGATGTGACTGCCGATGAATCCGTTCACGCCTGTCACGAGTACGAGGGATCCAGGCTGGATACTAAGGTCCGACATAGTAAAAATGATGAGCAAAATATGATATCGATTTATGTGATCGTCTTAACAAGTTACAGTGGTAAGTGAGCTTATGAAGTGTAGAAATATACTGACAACCTCAACTTCTAGAAGCAGCCCGATATCTTGTTTTATATTCCGTCCAAGGTACGCTAACGTAGCAATGTTGCGGATTAACAATTCCAATTATTTCCGAGGTCGTTGTCCCATGCCAAGTTACTTGCTCGCCTGCGGTGTAACTGAGTAGTAACACTACTACCATTAAGGAATGGCCGATCCATCCCCGGCACCCTTGCTTTTATAGTCTACCGCCCCGGGACCTACCCCTGGATAGCGTCTCCTTTGACATCTTTACATAATCCAACCACTTCATCAATCGTATCATTGCTACCGGCCGATTGCTACAATACCGTGTGACAAATGACTCAGAATAATATTGATCTGAAACATAAATCTACAATGACTGCCCGGTTAACCAGTCATGATTTGGTAGTTTTGTCATATTACAAATCAAGCATTACTTGATCTTCATGGTTAGACAAGATCATGGGATTAATTAGCGCGATTCCAATCACCGAGGCGCACTTCCAATACATAGAAGGGAATAACTCGAACATAATCCGAATATCCGATAGTTACACAGTAACGAAGAATAGCAAGTGAGGTTGATGCCTGCATGGTTTTAAGAGAATTGAGACAGTCCGAAATCCGAGTTAGTATGATAGAACTAGAAGAATATGTGAGACCAAACTACGGATAGTTAGGCGATGATTGGAACCACATCATCAAGGATTGTATTTACAATACGAACATGTTACGGAGAGGCTCGCCATGGTACGTAATTATCTCATATATTTCCTATGCGCAACCTACGTTGGTTAACATCTAGCAAGTCCGCCCAAGTAGCTTTTATAAGCCTCCAAACCATATCCTGGAAACAGAAACAAACCCGAGTTTATTTAACTTCATAATCATACACAGTCTAATAGTCCCCTATTCACGAAGGTTGCATGCTTAAATCATAAGAAATTATCCCCCTAAGCTTAGAAATACCGGCTAATATGTGTTTCTTGGTTACCGCAGTGCCCGCATCTCATTTCAAACTTTTTACAATTTGAGTGTATTTCACCAGAGGCGCCGAGTGAGCTCACTCCTTCTCAACTCCCTACATTCTTTCGATAGCTCCCCAGCACACAAATTTCCGAGGCTATGGTTATCGACAAATAATATCTTTGACAACATGTAGCGTACTATTAGATAAGTCAATATTCTATTTCTTGACCGAAAATCACCATTATCGGCCTTAATACTTCACCCTCAAATTTGGTGCCTGATACAGTGCGACTTATTTCAGATTCCAGTGTCATAAATTCCAGCAGCTTTCAAACAAACCTACAACTGAGCCAGAAGTTTAGGCGTACCTGCTTAGTACATGCGTAATCAGGAAAGCACAGCTCAGACCGCGGTGGGCCATTGCATTTCACTAATAACCCTAAACATTCAACAAACTAACAACGATTGCAACTGCCCATTGGCCCAGTGGTCAAGGCGTCTGACTGTTATTATCTTAAAGAAATAGTATCAGAAAAATCAGAAGATCCCTGGTTCGACCCCAGGATGGGCAGATTTACTTTTTCCCATTTTCTATATTTTTAATATTTCTTTTTACTTAAGATCTTTCCATACTCAATTTCAACTACAAAACGGTTTGTGTGGTGGGCCCTATAAAAAATACTAAGAGTATTAGTAAGTGGTCCAGGTTCAGGAAGGAAGCTAAGAGGATAGATAGACTCAATTTTTGCGCCAAGTATTAATATTTAATATTCTAAATTTAAACATCATGAAACCTCATATGAACAAGAATGCGAAGGCAACTATCATTAATCCCTGACACTAACAATTAGAGATTGTTTGATCGCGAAGTCTAATTTCAACGATAATGAAAGAAGTTGACTGAAGTGTCTTCGGATTAATAAATGTTTGGCCTAATTACCTAGTAGGTACCTACTCAGATATATGTATACTTAGGTACCTAGGTAGGTACGAAGGTACTAGGTATGTTTTGATAGAACATACCCCTTTCTTGACGACAAAACTCGGTCTCGGTATCGCATTCGCTACACCAACCCCTATTTGATATATTAAAGCTTTGCTTACCAAAGACAATACAATTATTCATTCACTACAACAAAAGCGACAATAACGTAGTTAAACCATTTTTAAGTGAGAAAAATCTATTGTAACAAGCAAACGATCGAGAGACTAGTGACTATGAAATCTACCCCGAACCAAAACAATCATGATGATAGCGACAGAATCCGACAACTCCCTATTTGCAAGCCCCTGACAACCAAACGAATGTGCCAATGTACCGCCTAACCAACCAAGGTACCAACCCAATGCCTGTACCTTACAAATGCTCACCTAAAACCCAAAGTTCATACACCTCAACACAGGAAAATTTGCTATTTAGACTAAACTTAGCAGAGAGGCATCTACTCAGTCCAATCCAAAATATCCGTATAAGCATCCGCGCGCGTAGCCAAGCCATTCACAATCAACTGCTTCGAGCCAGTGTTGAAGCAGTTATCCGTCACCGTCTTGCTGCACACCGGGAACTGCTTTTTGTCCGACATACGGCAGAAACTGCCCGCAGCGGTGTTCACAAAGTCAGGGCCGTACGAGGTAGCGCTTTTGCACAGGCCGTCGGCCGTGTGGTGCTTGCTGTTGCTGATGACGAGCCGGTTCGGCTGCGGGTTCGTCGTGTTGCTGCTTTGGCGCGGGTATTGCGTTCCTCGCCGGAATTTCGCTGATTCGGCGTACTTCGGGGCCCCGTAGGAGATCTCGGGCTCTGAGCGCGGGTTGGTGATGGGCCAGGTGCTGATCGCGGTTGGGTCGGGGTCCGTGGCGAAGTTGTAGTATTTGAACGCGGGCTGCTGGCTGCAGAAGAAGTTTATCTTGTCGGTTTGCTCCTTCGGGTCGGCGGGTAGGCTGTCCCCCTTCTTCACGTAGAACTCGGGCCAGTGCAGTTGGAACCCGCTTTGGGGCTGGTCGTTGTTGCTGTCGATCCACATGCAGTCGGGTGTTATGCCTGTGCTGCCGATGTATACGTGCGAGTAGTACCAGGAGGCGCCGCACTGGCGACCCCAGTCTCCTACCCAGGAGTACTTGTCTTGGCTGGGCAGGGTGATGGTAGCGTAGGCGATGCAGATGGCGTTCGAGTTGGCTGTGAAGAGGGTATAGGTGGGTTGCTGGGTGCTATCACCTTCGTGGCTAATAGTCACGTCGGCGAAGCCGCCGTCCTGGATCCCACCAGGGTCCTTCTTGAGACCGAGGAATTTCCCGGCTTCGTTGAAGAGGCGGACGTCTGGAAGACTACCACCAGCATTGTTGAGGCCACCAGGGGTATCTAGACCAGTCGTGATACGAACTACTGAGTCGACTGATTTGGCCTGGGGGAAGTTGTCGATTCCGAACTGGATGATTCCGAGGGCACCGGAGATCAGGCCAATTGCTTCGATGACTCCTGACATATTTGCTATCGTGTTAACGAATGGTGATGTTCAACTATTTCTGAACGAAAGAACGAGTTCTTTGAAAGAATGTAAATTGCCTAAGCAGTAAAGAGTGTAGATAGGAAAATATCTAGAAGCGTGAGGTAGATTGTTCTAGTCTCGATGTCGCTGAAGACTGAATATTCTCAACTTTGGACGGACATCGTGATGATATTTATATTTCGAAATCTATCTCTGAGTCTACCTACAGTCTACCTTGATGAACACCGTGAACGCCATGAACACCCTTTGCTGTCGCCAAGTCGCCGCAGCACGATCTACCATACTGCTGAATACCTAGGACCTAGGTAACCCTTCTGCCACCAAGTGATCATAGCACCGTATCGTATCATGTTTGCCAGTATAGATGATCGTCGTCCTATTACTTAGACTTCATTGAGATAAATTTGTCATGCCAAGTCGACTCTAGGTAGTCCGAGTGTCGATCGTGAGGCTTCATGAGCATTGGCCTTAATAACCAGGTTAGGGTATCTTGGAATAGGGTTCATGCGTCCTGAGGCTCTCTGGAGGCTCTACAAGGTGGACCGTTAGTGTGACGTCTGGCTAACCCCTTGTGGCTACCCCAGGACCCATAAGGCCGTGTTCTAGATGGGCAGTTGGACACGTGAGCTCGCGTAGAGTATTATATTATGATACACTATAATATATCATATCAGAGTGAGTTATAGCTTGTTAATGCATATAGGATTTATGAAAATCCGAAGCTGTCTAGGTTATGAAGATCTCATGAATGCCGAGTGAACGAAGGATTCTTGAGGGAGCAAGTGTGTCTATGCAATTCGGTATAAAACATCGTTTTTGGTTTAACCCTCATTTATGCAAGTGATGTTTTAACTTCATGTCCAACTTGGCGGATCCTTGGCAAGGCTCTCCTTCGAGAAGAAATCGACGTTTATTCTTTGTTTCAGCCTTAAAGCCATGTCCCTGGCCTGTCAACTTTAAAGGGTATGCCGTTTGGCTTCAGCTCCTAGTTACCCCTGTCACCCTGTTCCAGTCGGTATGTTCCGTAGAGTGGGCTCTTGGCATCTCTTCGCACGCACGATAATGAGTGCCGACCTGGTTATAGGCTACCATTTAAATCTAATTTTGGAAGGTGATCGGGTATAATACCAGGTACCAAATCTGCAAATAGCCCTGTTGAACTTTCGCGTGACAGGCATCTGCATGATCTTCATGATCGCCTTACTCGCAAGGGTCTGTGCCAAGTTCCAGCTCTACCCCTGGGCCCTGACTTACCAAACGTCAGTTTCCTATAAACCAAGACTTCGTATTAATTTAGCCTCTTGTCAAACATATATGCGGAGGGAGTAATCGTGGGGTTATACTAACCTATGTCATCTGCCGATTCCTATGCAGTGAGACGGAAACTTCGGATTCCCAACAGATATTTGAATTTCCAAAGAAATGAATCGATCACACAGCCCACCTACCAACCAGGCAGCCAAGGACACAATGATCTTGATGGTCAAAGCAGAAAAAATGTCCAAAATACCAGATCTCATCAACCTCTCCCCTCTACCTGTTCCTCTTCCCCCTTTTCGCTACCCATCCTATCTACCAACGCCCTCACCCTCACCCCTATCCTCAGTAACCCACCTCCGCACGTCCTCACTCCCACCCTTCGAGCTCCCACAACCACTATGCCCAAAACCTCCGCCCTCGCGGTGCTGGTCCTCGCCGCCAGCACACAAACCCTAGCGCAAGACCTCAAGCAGACGATCGTCGGGTGCGTCGAGCTGGAGTGTCCGCCCAGCAGCAAGGACACCGCAAACGACAACTGCACGATCGCAGACACGGGGTCGTTCCCGTACGTCGGGCTCACGCGGATATCCTCCAACTCGTCGTCCCCGCTTTCCAGCCTGTCCTGGGTCAAAGGCGTCAACATCACCTCCAGCTCCACATCCACCGTCCCGCGCACCTTTCACAGCTCATTCTTCCTAGGCGCGCCGCCGACACTGTCGGTGAACGCGTCGTCGTCGGCGACGGGTGCGTGCGCGGTGTTTCTGCGTGGAGCGGAGGCGTGGGATATGGCGTTTGGTGAAGAGGTGGTGAAAGAGACGGCGCAGGGGACTTGTGCGGATGCTATGGGTGTTTCGTGTGTGGATGCGTTGGTGGGGAGGGCGAAGGAGAGGATCGAGGGGTATTATGGTGGGAGCGGCGATGTGCCGGCGTCGAATGCGGATGCGTGCGAGAGGTTGCGGCGGGACTTGTTAAACAGCACGTTAGATGCGTGTATGGCGGTTTCTAGGGGGTCTTGGACGAATTTTACTGCTGTTGGTGAGTTGGTGTCCTGATTCTGGGGCGTTTTATGCTTGGAGGGGGGGGGGGGAGTTTTTGCTTTGGTTGGATTGAGTAAATGGCTGACTTTATGGTGCGATGTAGCTTTGACAGGAAATGATGGACCGGAACCTATTTCACAACGGGAGAACTCGTCGACGACTTGCTGGCCAATCACTCCCAAGAAAGACAGCCTCAGTCTTGTTGCCGAGTTCACTCAGGTGGTATGTATAACTCCCAATTGTAAGAGTTGTCTGGTCTAATCGATAGGTAAATAGGGGAGTGACCTGGTCGCAGACGCGGAAAAAGCATTCTGGGCTATCACGCCCATTCTCACGATATTTTTCCCAATAGGAAATGGAACTGCGACAGACACCATCGATGCCTCTTTGTCGTGTGTCAAGGCCATGGGGCCTGCAAGAGCATCTGTCGATACTATGAACAATGGTACCGACGACCAAGATAACGGAGTCATTTCTCTATTATCATCTAACCTTTCCGCAACAGTTATCTCGTGTACAGTGGTAGCTGTTTTTTTTCTTTGTAAATAACACATATATATGCCCCTGTAGATAGTTAGAATCATGAGTCACGAGGAATTGACACTGTTGAAGTAAATCATCCACTGTCGAGGTGGTCAGTCCGCTAGGCAGCAATCCACAGTTTGCGGAGTGAGGGTTAAATAACATAACAAAGTCATTGATTTCCATCGGCGGCATTAGATCAACAGCATTGCTAGCAATGGTCTAGTTGGTTATGTGCCTCAGACACCACATCTTACCCGCTACAAAGACCCCCCTGAAATTGGGGTCGGTCTAGGGTTCGATTCCCGACGATTGCAAAAAAAAAAAAAAAACAATGAGATCTAGAAAAAAATAGAAAGAAATTATACAATGCAGACAATCGCCTAATGCAATCCGAGGGGCCTGAAATGGAGTGGCAAAGAAATACCCAATAGCGGGGGCGCAGTAGTCAGGAGCCGATCAACAATACCTGAGCTGGGCCTTGAAGAGGGCATTTCTCTTTTTGGCCCCTTTCATGATGAATATATCCAAGTAAACAAGGCTTAAAAATCTCTTTCTGTATACAAAGAGGGTAAATATGTTCGTGAAGGCGTTCGTTGTACTCATTATGCATTGAAATTATCAGATTCTTAGGGTCCCAAGGACGTACCGGTACTATGTTCTCGCCTCATCAATCCAAGAGTGAGGATCCTGAAGATACTTGTGAGCTCTCAAGTCTCCAGACCTCGCATGTCCTTCAAAATTCTCAGCCCTCGAGCAGCGCGCACAAAGTCGCCCAATCTCCCCGCTGGCTTTCTCGTCCACCACTTCTTGATACGTCTGCGTCTTCAGGTATTTGCCGACCCACAACCCACCAGTATATCTACCCGCTTTTCGCGTGGGCAGCACATGGTTCGTTCCAATGCACTGCATAGTCGTTAATGAGATGACTTCTCAAATTTTCGCGAAAAATTAACGAATTGGGAATAGTGGCAGGAATACCTACCTTGTCACCATATGAAACACAGGTTTTTTCGCCAAGAAATAGAGAACCGTAGTTTCTCATCTTTTCTAAAGCCTCTCTTGGATTTTGGGTCAAGATCTGCACATGTTCGCTTGAATATACATCGGCAAGCGCGTATGCCTCGTCTAGGTTGTCCACCACGATAACCTCACCATAGTCTCGCCATGAAGTGCCGGCAAGTTCCGCCGTTGGCATATTCACCAAGATCTGCTCGGTGAATCTGATTGTCCGTCGGCCCACCTCCTCTGAAGTTGTTATCAGTATAGGCGGAGAGTCTGGTCCATGCTCGGCCTGGGACAGCAAGTCGGTTGCGATGGTGAAGGGGTCTGCATGTTCGTCGGCTACTATAAGAACTTCTGTCGGACCAGCGAGCAGGTCGATCCCAATTTCACCGAATAGTTGGCGCTTAGCTTCGGCGACGAAGGGGTTCCCCGGGCCAGCTATGAAATCAACTTTCTTAATCGATTCTGTCCCTATCGCCATGGCGGCAATGGCTTGGGTTCCCCCAAGCAGGAAAATCTCATCGGCACCAGCGAAATGTGCTGCTGCAACGGTGGCATTAGGTACCTGTCCAGCAATAGGTGGTGTACAAGCAATAACATGCTTGACACCAGCAACCTTTGCCGTCAATATCGTCATGTGAGCAGATGCAAGTAGGGGGTAACGACCTCCCGGTATGTAAGCGCCTGTTGTCGAGATGGGATTGTTTCTCTGTCCGAGGAATACACCTGGCTGGATCTCAATTTCGAAGTCTTTGATACTCGCTCGCTGTGCCTCGGCAAACGTCCGTACATTCTTCTGTGCCTCCTTTATGTCCGCTATTGTCTGTGCTGGGACTTTCGATATACATTCCTGTATCTGGCCCTCGGTCAACTTGAAGGACGATGGTGACCATTTATCGAATTTCTCCGAATATGTCCTTAAGGCTTTGTCGCCGTTGGCCCTGATATCATCGATAACACCCTTTACAATATCCGCCACTTTTTGATTAGTAGCCGTGCTTGCCACTAGGCCAGCCGTCTTTATATGTCGAGCTACCATGCTGTTTTTGAGTTGATGCGAAACTCCCGTTGTTATGTTAAGGGCGAAGTTAAAAGTTTTTGACGTCTTCTATTTCAAACCAGCGCAACATGGAATCCGATAGGTTTAGTATCACGAACTACAAGATGACATTGCCTCACATGTCTTTATATCCGCATAAGGATTTGTCGATGCGGAGAGAAGAGGGGCGGGGATGAAGCAACCGGTTAACCGACGAATCGGGCACGGAGGGTGCCTCTTGCTTCTTACGTTGTATTCGGTACGGCAGATTATTTCTATTATCCAGTCGCTCGGTTCCGCAGAGAATAGTCTATTCATAATAGATATATGAGTCCTATTTTCAATTAGCTCGAATATTTTCATCCTCAGTATCGTCTCGTTCTTAACAGAACACCACCGTCACACTATTGAAGCAGGATTGATCCGTATAATATTCCCAAGTCGCCTTTACTATGCCAGTGGTTGCGGAGTCCGTTATTGATATTGGGATAATATAATTCATGATCACATTTGTCGTATATAAATGTATCTCCGAGATGATCTGGGATCTGGGTATGGTCTAGATACGTCCTAAGTGAATTATCGTAGGAGGCGTATAGGTAATTTGCGTCCACGGACAAAATGAGAAAGGAGGCTGACGACTGCTCCCTCTTCAACTAACAACCATACAATCTCATCACGTCCTGGGTATGCTGCGACCCGCATGGAGGAGGCTGACTAAAGCCGCCAGACTACGTCAGAGGCGCTAGACATCTCGGATTTGGCGTTTGAGATTGATCCAAAACTCCGAAGCATCAGATGACTAAGTAGACTCTGCGGAAGGGTTGAATTACTAATGTTAACGATTCCGACTGTTTGTCGCGGATAATGTAATCAAGGTCTGGGACATAGATCCTAGGTAGTCTGTAGTTTATCAAAGACCGGAATAGGCTCAATTGGAAGCGCGTTTGTTGATGCTACTGCGTATTATTGATGGTTAAAGGAGTACTTATAGTAACTACCTATTAAGCAGAAGAATGAAATTTAGATGATACAAATACAACAATCAATATAGGGAATGAAATGAGATAAAGATTTATGGTAATGAAGTTTGACTTAGAGTTCTAAGTTGTCAGACGACAGCAATTATGAATTTAAAAATAAAAATACGGTTACATAATCACAAAACTTACTAGCCACTGAGGCTTGTGAGTTGTGCGCCTGACCGCTGAGCTAAGATTTGATTAGCCGCTAAGACGCTTTGGAGCTAGTGAAAAATTCGGAACCTTGCATGTGCCGGTTTTCTAATCGCATATCACCAATCCTCCGAGCTCTTTCAACCTCTTCACCTTAAACATTTGCCATCGTCCCACCACGGGATACCTGATCTCCCTAACCCCCCTCACGCCTACTCAACCCGGGCATCATGTTGCCCTCATCGATGCGGCGGGTTGTCTCTGCCGCACCCCAGTCATCACTTTTATCCAACTTCGCCCCTGCGAGCACGAGAATACCAGCCGCCTTCAACCTGTGCTGTAATCCAAGGGGTCAACAGCGAAGGCGGTATTCCTCCTCCAAACCATCCAGCCCCAATGACTCGCCGAAGGACCCCAAGGATATTTCTAATAACCAAGTAACGGCTACACCATCTCAGTCCTCCAAGAAAACCAGGGAAAAGCAAAAGCGCAAGACCAATGACTGGCCCGATAATAAGCCAAAACTCCCTAGCGTCCCTAGCACGCAACATCTACCACAGGAAGGTTCGTATACACTAAGAACAAAGTTGCTTGTTGGAGGATATATATTCTTACTGACTTTTCGAGCAGCTCTGGCCTTGTCGACCTTTTTCTCCCTACACCGACCGATGTCCACAACCAACAGCCTTCCCAAAGCGATTACTCAAGATGCATTCGCGCAAATATTTGCCCCCTTACCGAAGAACGGCAAATATAACGATGTTATGTCCACAATCTCCAGGACTGTGGATGATCTCGAACAGCCCATGCAGAACCTGAGTCTAGAGACTCAACAAGGTGCTGAGACTGTCAACGATGCTAACGGCGAGCCGATGCACAAAATCGATCTTAAGCATCCCGACGGTACCGAATCGAGCGTCTATGTCCAGCTCAACGCCATGTCCGGCCAGTTTTTACCTTTCCGACCCCCTCCGTTACCCGAAGTTGAGAAGGTGGAGCCCGAGGTCGATGCTAAACTTGCGAAGATGATGGAGTGTCTCCCGCAAACCCGAGTTTACAAGGCTATGTTTACTCTAGAGGAGTCGACGGATGAGAACGGCCAGCTTCGGATCGTGGCGCACAGCCCCGAGTTAGTCGAGGAGGCACCGCCACCGCGTACGTTTCTCGAGCGTATGGCTATGCGCCAGATCCGATGGCGCGAGGAGGCACGTGGCGAAAGCCCTGAGATGCTCGCCATTAGCGTACGGAGACAACGGAAGCTGAGGATGAAGAAGAAGAAGTATAAGAAGCTGATGAAGCGAACGCGAAACGCCCGACGGAAGCTGGATCGGGTCTAAGGCAAGTGCTGGCTCCCCTGTACATAAGAGCGTATTTCTCTCATCGCCTACATCGCCGCACGATCCAGCATGGTGCATTATGTGGGTTACCGTCATAATACGGTGTATGGGTTAGGTCGGATCGTTTCGAGTCGTTTCTTTACGGATTTCTTACTCTCACACTACCTAGATCAGAGCATACCTATTCGGTTTTCTCAAAGCATTTCTGTAGGCGTGCTACGGTGATACGCAATACAATCTCAATATCAAATCTTTACGATTATTTGCTTGGTTGGTACATATCTTGACACGTATGACTGCGATAACGTGACGTACAGAGTTACTGGGTTACCGGATTTTCAACCATCAGTTCAATCAGCGAAAAGGCAACTTCGGCTGCAGCAAGAACTGTTGTCTCTCCTTTCGTATCGTAAACCGGAGCCACCTCGACTACATCACCGCCAATTATGTTCAGACCGTTCAGACCATCGAGGATTGTGAGAAGCTCTCTCGACGACCAACCGCCTGGTTCGGGTGTTCCCGTCGCTTGTCAACGTCAGCAAGTCTTGGCCTTGTGATCCTGATCCTAGCATGGCTATATTAGGCTTAAAGCTTACCGGGGGCAAACGCCGGGTCGAGAACATCGATATCCACGCTGATGTAAACTTTTGAATCGCCAACTCGCTTTTTGATTTCGGAGATTATTCCTGCAGTGCCGAGTTTGTCTATATCACGGGCTTTTATTGTCTCGAAACCGCAGCGCACGTCGTTTCTCATGTCGCCCTTCTTGCGTTTAAGCGGTGCTCGGATTCCGGCGTGGATCGAGTTTGAGCGAATGAGGCCCTAAAAATTCTATCAGCGCTGATGGGACGATTTATTTCAATGTTGACTATGACTTACCTCCTCATGTGCGATATGAAGGAAAGTTCCATGGTTTAAGCCCCTTAAGATAGGTTCGTTAGCTATATGATCGACACTCATAACCGCGACAAGATGTCTACGACCTACGCATAATCCGAAATCCCACCCCCTATCAGCGCAGGATCCCAAGTATCTTATAAGTTGTCAGCTTGAATTCTTCTGAGAACGTGATAGCACTTACCGATATGACTATCAAAGTGAATTACGGAGACTGCCCCCCAATGGTTGTATGTTGATCTCAGCGCCGACAGAGTCGTAGTATGGTCGCCTCCCAGCGTTAATATTCTTGGGTGAGACGAGTACGTCTCATTAGAAGCTGTCCTCCCCGAGACAACCTGAAAAAATTATCAGCTTCTTGTTATCGACTCGTGCAGCCAATAATGGCGTTGAGGTCTCACGGTGTGGGCTTTGTCTAACTGTGCTAGAGCAACATTGTTATCTAGCCAAGTTAGCGGAACGTCGCCACAATCCACGACTTTTGCCCATGATTTGAGAGGATTTCGCCCTGAATTTTCATTAGATATAAGTTCTTATGTAATTTCCACCACGGATGGAAACTTACCAGTATATACGCTCCAAGAAAAGCCTGCCGATCTCCTCTGACTTCCAATTCTGATCCCCTTTGGACCGTAACGTGCTCCCGGTCTAGCTGTAACCCCCTATTCGGCATGAGCCACTTATCCCGTGCAGGACGTACCCACATAGCGCACATATACTAACAGTATCAAAAGGCGCGCCTAGAATCGCGATGTCATATGGATTTCCCTCGGTTTCGTTATCTGATAGACAATTGAGATAGGGTAGATTCGCATATGTCGCCAACCCCCTGAATTGGCTTCCCGTCACAATGTCGACGTCACCGTCTACCTCGAGAGAGGAAGATTTAAGACCCGGCCATTTTTCAGGAAACTTGAAGGCCTCTCTGCATATCGTATTCTGCACTCCTGAGGGGACCAATTTCTGATTAGTCAGAAATAGAGGCGTTTGAGGGGGTTCAAGTGCGTCGACGATGGTTGCACCAAGTACGAACAACGAGTTCCGGAGATGCATGATGTTTAACCAATGCTAACATGAGATTTGAGACTCGAACGAAGAAACAAGTATCAGGGTCCTACCTGTCCTCTTATATACCTCCCTAGATCCAAATACGTGAGACCACCCGTAGGTGGCACAATAACCCGAGTTTTAGCCAGTTATATTGACCCGATCCCGATTAGCTAATGAGGGCGCGCGGTGGGCGGTTGGATAAATACCTAAATGGCAAATCGAATAAGGGGGAAAGTGCAGCAAGGCATAGAATTACATAAGGCTAAATCTTACTTAATCAGATAACTCCGCCGAGATCACCTTCTCACCCGTACACCTTCATCTTCAGAAATCAGCGTTATACTTATTCCTTTTTCATCTTGAAGCTCCCCTTTCAAAATTCTTTTATATCCATCCAGTTTAGCATATGCTAGTTCTTAACCCCTGTATATAAGTATTCCCTGATGATTATATATACCTTCCTTCAATCAACCGCTTAGACAGGCTGCACACTCACATTAAGACTTACCCGTGATCCCCGTCTCACCCATCCACCATGTCCCAAACACACATCCAAATCTTCCCCTCCCCCAAATACGACCGAATCCCCTCTCCCTCCGAGGCCTCGGCCTCGGCCTCACCCGCCTCCTCCGTCAGCACCCTCAACTTCTCCGTCCCCTCAGCTGGCGAACTAGAGCGCACCGTACGCTCGACTCTCAGCTAGTGGCGGGGAGAATACATCTACAGCGGGGTCTGTCTAGCCGCCGCCAGCCTTCTCGTGCTCCTCATGTACATCTTCGACGGCCAGCCCGAGCCGCGCTGGAACTCGAATCTGCAGTACAGCACCGTGATAATCGCCATCATGACCTGTTTCAGACTGGCTCTAAAGGCGGTCCTCGAATCTTGTATTAGCCAGGGCGCTTGGATCTGGGTTTCTGGGTTCCGGAAGGGGAGTGTGGAGGCGAAGATCGAGGACTTCAAGATGTTTGATGAGGCGGCGACGGGGCTGTGGGGGAGTTTGGTTTTGATTTGGAGGATGCGCGGGAGGTGAGTTATGGGATTTAGGTCGGGGATCTGCGTGGTGCTAATGTAAGGCGAGTGTAGGCATCTTGCGTGCGTTGGAGCTGCTATCATGATCCTTGCTCAAGGCTTCGAGACGTTTTCGTCGGGAATGGTTGGGTTCGATGAGTCGCCGACTCAAGTTTCTATCCCATCGCCTCCCAGAGCGGAAACTTACCTTGGAGTTCTTCCAGACGGAAAGGGTGGCGGTTTGTGATATGTCTCATAAGGGGTTACCGTATCACTTACTAACGGAGTCAGATATATCCCTAGGTCTCTCAACCAAAGCTGCAATTTATGATGGCATTATAGCCGAGACCATACCCCCAGTGGCGGTATCATGTCCAACGCTAGACTGCACGTGGCCCCCTTTTCCTACGTTAGCAGTATGCGGGAAATGTAGCGAATCCCATTTTCAGACTGCGTGCAATTCGCAGAATGGATGTGCATACACAATGCCCTCAGGCACCTCAGTATCCCACCAAGATGGTCTAGATTCCGGGTTCAGATTTAAAGTTGCTCCAACTAATGGGTCAACGAACACTTTTGCTTCGGATTCGCAACCCTACATTTCTATATTCGATATGATATCCGTGCCGCAGAAATTTTCGGAAACCATAGTTCAAGCTCACGAATGTGCCCTATGGTTCTGTCTCCAGAGCTTTAACGTCACAGTAGCAAACGGCGTTCAAACCAGCATTATGATATCGAACTGGTCCACGACGCACTTCTCCATGGAATCCAATATCCAATCCGACGAAGTCATCTTCACAGATACCCCGCCCAACCTCTACGTGCATAATCAATCCCGCTACTCCATCCCCGCGGACTCCATCCAAGCCCTAAGATCTTTCATAAACCCCCTAATAACAGGCAACGCATCCGGCCCGGCCGACGCAATCCAATACTCCTCCGACTGGATCGAAGCCATATGGAACGCAACCCCGCACCTCGACTTCTGGATCGCTCGACTAGCTCTCAGCATCACAAACGAAATCCGACGAACCGGCACCCTCAACACACCCACTATCTCAGAAAACACCAACAAGACGCTCGCGTACACCGGCACCGCATCCACCACAACCTCGCACGTCCGCGTAAACTGGTACTGGGTGATCTACCCCCTAACCCTAATGATCCTCGCCTTCTGCTACCTAGCACAAACAGTCTGGCGCACGGCGCGCGACCAAGTGTGCGCCTGGAAGGGTGACTCCCTGCCCATGCTGTTCTGCCACGTCGAGCCGGGCGTGTACGCCCAGGTGCAGGACGGGATGGATGTGCCGGAGGGGCTGGTCGGTCGGGTAGGGAAGATCGAGGTTGAGCTCGTGCGCCGGGACGATGGGCTTTGGGTTTTCAGGGAGCCTATTAATCACTAATAACTATTATTATTAATATGATTAAGTTAAGAGGGGGAGGGGGTGAGGGGGTTCGCTTCGTCGTATACCTACTTAGCCTGGTCTCTTCACCTAGATTACCGTCATTAGTAAATAAAACAGATGCCTGGTTGGTATCACGAAGTTTTTTTTGTAGCAGGCAAGATACCTATGTAGTGCGTGTGAATTCGTACATTGCTCCTAAACCGGTAGCATCGAAAGCGTTACCTATTGAACAACCCTTAAACTCCGTCTCATTTCCCACCTGGATGTAGAAGAGATGTAGATCATGACCCTGCGATTTCCCCGAATATTGAACATTCCTACCAATTTTATCCTAAACTCCGTTCTCCACCCATGCGATCCGGAAATGTCATGTCAACCTCCCGCCCGGATAAGCCAATGATATGTAGGTATGTATATTCAGTATCAGACGCCGCAGCTAACGGCATCATCCCTCAACGCATCGAGTAGGAGCCGCGCTGTCTCTTTATCTCCACCGTCGCCTTCTTGGTTATGTCCTTGTCCCTGCGTTGCCGTGGCAGCTTCCTTCATCTCTTCGTCGCTCCACGCCCTCTCGATCCAATCGTCTTCTCCTAGTCCCTGGTCCGCATCGGCGTTTAGCCCGTACGCGGCGAGGACTTCGCTGGCTAGGTGGTCGATATTTAGGGGATTGGCGAAGATGTTGGACATGTCTATGTCATTAGAGTTAAACGTATGGTTGGTGTTGTTAAAATGGGAATGAGAATGAGGTTCGGAGGTATTATTTGCATTGCCATCGAGGGAGTTAGGGGAGTTTGAATCTTCGTCCGAGGAGAGCGAGTGCACCGTTCCTGGCGTTATGTTTACGGTTGGATTTGGTGCGAAATAATTCGGTCCTTGATTCTGCGTTGCTACAGGGACTGTGGCGGAAGTCTGTTTCCCGTTTGTGACCAGGGCTCGGATCGAGCTGAAGTCAGCTGCAAACAGCCCCCGCAGGCTTGCGGGGAAGTCCGATTCTTCCGCCAGCCGACCTTTGCTAAAACACAAGTCCATCGTCATAGCAAGGCGTAAATAGTAGCCTGGTTGAGAAGCTAATATATCGGTCCAATCTGATATCGAAGGCTGTTTGCTGTCGTTGTAAAGACTTGAGAACCCTGAACCCGCGGTCGAAGGCGTATCTAATTGAGCTATGTTGATTATGTGTCGGATAGTTTCGCTAATATAATCAACGCCGTCGTATTGAGGTTGATAAGTTTTCATAGCTTCGATCAAAATGTTAAGACGGTGTTGCTTCGCCGCCATATTTGGGTCCGAGCTTGGTGAGCTGCTCTTAGTTTTATTCAATGATGATAGTTTAACATCGATGATATGTAAAACTAGAGGCAATGCCGTGCATGCGACGCTAAGTCAAGTTAGCCATACCTCAACAGCGATCAAAATCCAATGTCAAAACTCACGCGCTGATCGGCAGAAAACGGGCAAGCCGCAGTTGAATGAGTTCTTTGAGGCATTCCGTCACACTGCATGCCGCGTCTTGGAGCTCGTGCCGATTTTCGTAGATTTTCGAAAATTCCCGAAGATTGCTACTCAAATTCGGCGAAGTACAAGCCACAGCCAACTGTAGGACCTCATGGTGGCAAAGAGCCGCTCGCGCAGAACTGTGGTGATGTCAGTAACTAACTTCTCACTGGGTCAGTATTCAGAATGAATCTTACTGGTAATGCATGTACATCAAATTGGTGTACAAAATCACGGAATCATGTTGGTACTGCTTGCCATTCGTGGTCGTCATCCTCGGTATGCTTCCACCCCCAAACATCGGGAATCGGAGCGTGGCGCCCTTGTACCACCGTCTCAGCGCTGCCTTGCATTCGCTCAATGAGGTCACTCCCTCTGAGCCTAGTTGTCTATCCCAACCTGGTACGTCGTCAAGTGGAAATACTAGAGTTATGAGATCGGTCAGGACTGAACAGAGCTCTCCAATCTGAACAAATATCTCAATGAGACACCTCTTCGTTTCGGCGTTGTACACTTTGGATCGTTCGACCTCGTCTGCCAAGTCCGCGTATCCGAGACCGGTGTTAGAGTCAAGATCGAAATGGGCTCTCGATATTTGGAGGCTCCGCCGCACCCCCAAAGCTAAAATGCGATCGCGGACAAGACAGCACCACCACAACCTCTTCAATACGTTCTGCTTTTTATGTTGTATCGGATCAGATATCGCGGAATAAGTTGGCTTGACCGCGTAAAGGTGGGCGTCGGAACTCTTTGCGTTTTGTATCGCGATTCCAAGCCATGTGCTGTTGAGCTTCTTGGCAGCGAGAGACCAATTCGTGGCCCAAAATGAGAGAAGGAGGGCGGTTTGCGCAAGGCCAACCAAAGATATTTCGGTGTCAAAGTCGAACAGAAGCTAACCCGACATAAGCAACGCGTGACAGTTAGGATTATGGGGATGTATATCTTACCTTTGTGCGTCTGTAAAAAGTAGCTCTTGCAGCGCGGATACTAGGAAACCCCAATGCTTTTATACTACTTTTTGAAACGAACTGACAGGCTTGATTAGCTTCAATCATCGCGGTAGTATCGCGTGACTTACATTGCAAGATGAGAACAGAAGAGCTTGAAAAAAGACGAGAGATATTTTGTCGGTCGGTTCCGCAAAGGATTGGTTGCAATACATTTCCCAGAAGTCCCCTTCGTTAATTACAGGCATAATAGGGTGAATATGCAAGAAGTATTGTTGTACGAACTCGTCCAGAATGGCTCTCGTCGGAACTCGAAGGCAACCTTGTGACTCAAGATAATTGACATCTTGAGGCATGATGTTATGAAGATTACTGATGTTGATAAATGGATAGTATGAATACGTGACATCGGCGTTGACTGCGATACGTTGGTCTCCAACCCAAAGAGGAATCTCCGGGGTCATGAAGGAATTGAAGGTATTCAAGGGTAAAGTTGAAGTTTCTAGCAGCGGTTAGACAAACTCAGTTTGTCGTTATTAGAGTGTTTACCTTGAATTGAGGGCATGGGACTCGGAATCCTATTTGTACATTGCTCGTTCAATCCATCCGGCACGCCTTGCTGCGATACTCCAGGGCCAGTCCATTTTTCGGTTTCGACATCTGGACTTATCCGATGCTCAGGGTGACTTATTGGGTTAGATATGTCTTGCAGCGGAGTACTATTTTCCCCGTCGGCTCCTAGCGAAGGTAACTGTCCATTGATTCGCGAATTCACGACGTCTTCTGATGTTCGACCATGAGCACAATCTTCTGTCGAATAGGGAGGACACGAAGTTTGTCCATTGTCGTTTTCACCGCGCTGACCTCTTCTACTAAATGGCATGAGTGGTGTTACGTAATATGAGAGACGGGAAACTCACAACCTGGACGCTCGCCCAGTCACAACGCAAGTTTCGTTGTCGAGATAACAATTCATGCATGGCCTACCGCGCTGAGAGACATCGCATCTCACTTTACGGCTGCGACATGACAAGCAGGCCTTAGGAGCTCTCTTGCGCATCTTGCCGGTTGACTTCGGCTTGGGCTCGACTGCGTCAGCACTCGCGGGAGCCATGGTGACAGGTATGAAATCCATAGTTGCCATCAACAAATTTCCAGACAAGATAAGGAAACGAGGTGGAAGAAAAAGGGAGAAAGGCCCGCCCCCAGGAATTGAATTGGAGAAGTTCGTGGGGTTGTGGGGTATACTCCATTGTCCTTAAGCAGAAAGATGTCTAGGGCGTCCAAGGCGTCCAGGAACCTAGGTGCTCTTGGCAATCTCCGTCTCCGTTGTGGGTTGCTAGAGAACACCCCCGGTCTGTGTGGCCAATGTGGCCAATGTGTAAACCAAGCACATCAAGTAAGGAGGAGTTTTCATGAATTAGTAGCATTAGCATTAGTAGAACGATGCAGTAATGCAGGGACTAGCGCAGAATGCGGCATCGGAGTCGATACCATAGGTATGGATCTTAGCCCTGGAGAGTACTGTAGATTGACTTGACAGATCCATGCTATTTCCTTAACGGAGGAGTCGGAAGCGAAAAGACCAATGGTAGCGTTTATCGGCCGGCCATTCATCAAGTCCCATGATAGAATATGAAGTGGGTGACCATTATGCTGACGACAAAGGAGTCTCCAATTCGTCAAATCAAGAGAAAATCCGAGGCTCCGAAACTGATTATGGCTGCCAGTGACAGTCTCTGCCTAGCTTCTTAGTAGCAAGCATTCATGGGAAGTAGTTTATTGTCTCATACCTGCTAGAGCTCCAGGGCTTATACCTGGAGGTTGGACGTGAGGGACTAAGCAGATACATGTACGCTGTGGGTAGGGGTGGGTAGCAATTTGCCGCGGCAAAAAGTCTAGAAGCCGGCAAAAGACTCGGTAATAAATCCTCCGTCGCCAAATTATTCCCATACCCAGGGCTATTATTCAGGATATTTAATAGTCCACCTCTTCATCCTAATAATATCCATATTCGCTGGGCTAATTATAGGAAAAATTGAACTTGGCTTTTATCTTATAAGGGAGAATAGGATTGGTTTATTGGTTAATTGGATGTGTCTAGATGGAGAAGTATGTAAAGTCGCTCACCAACATGTTGCAAAAGTTGGGGAAGTGAAGCGTTGAACCGGAACCGATCGCCTCGATGACATTTCCCCACACTAAAGTACTTGGGTACTTAAACTGAATGTGTACTTAGTAATCAACACTCTGCTTATGTAAGTAATTTACACACGGGTGACGCAATGTCATGTGGATGCTAGCTGTGTAACACAGGAGATAGTTTTACCTGCACATGTGGGCACTTTTCCCGACCTCATTTCAACCTCATCCATATTAAATTTGTATCTAAGTTGAATGATCTACCCATTTATGATTTTATGTAAATGAATACATCTGGATATTGACATCTTCTATCAAATCCCCATAGCCATTTTGGTTGCCCGAGTCTAGTCTATCAATTTCATCGACGCCATTTCTAATCCTGATGTTGTCCATCCTCCTGCGCCGATGATAAATGTTTAGTCTCCTCCGGCATCCTAACGAAATACAACAAAGACCCGGCGATAGCAACTATGACCGATACCCCGTAATATGGTAAGCCGATCCAGCCGCCTCCAAGTTTCATCCCAAGCGCGAAGAGCGTGGCAAGGAGAGGCTGAGCGTACACGCTACCGACGACCTCCACCATACCCACAAGACTGAAGAGTCGAGAGCGATGTTCCGGGTCGATGTACAAGGTGAGCAGACTTCTTGTCAGACTATTAAAACTACCCGCCAGGGCCATAAGTAGGAGACCCATGATGAAGCAGGCGAGGTTCGGAGATAGACCGAGTATCAGTATTCCAACTACCAGTACTCCAAACGAGCACCGTGCAAGAGACAGGTCGCGGTAGTGCTCGTCGGGAGCTCGGATTATCGCAGGCGTCGTATCTCGCATGATATACCGCGTAATCCATGGCAGGAAAAGTAGTGCTTGGATTACTTGAGCGATACCGTATGTAGACTGGACGTATCCTGTCTTCGATAGCTCGATGTCGTAACGCTTTGAGATGAATTGGGCCATAAAGCCTAAGGTTGAGTATAGAACCGGGGCCGATCCTAGGGACGTCAAAAGTAAAAGGATAAGCGACGTCGATTTAAGTATTGACAACGACTCCTTGAATCGTGCGATGACATGGGCCACTCGCGACTTAGGACCTGTAACTTCTGTTTCTGGCTCCTGGGTATCCTCCTCTCGATCTTTCTGGTGCTTCAACGTCTCCGGGACAAAGAGGAAAGCGGCAGCGGCTGCCACTATAACAAAAATTGCAGACCAAATCGGTGGCCAGGGGCCCATATTTTCCATCATGAAAGATGAAACACCTGGTGAAATGAGGTTCCCCGCCAAACTCGAGACATGGAGACGCATGAATGCGACGGCTCTGCAAACGAATTAATCATCATTATCATCAAACATAAAAGCCTAACCAACCTCTCTTCCTCAGTTGTTGAGTCGGCAATCATACTAAGTATAATTCCGACGAGGACCGCGGAACCGCCGCCAACGGTGTAGCCCAGGGATCCGAGCCAGATCAGCTCGACTGGTAATGCGGTATGGAAATTTAACACCGTGATAATCCAGGAAATGTTCAGAATCATCCCGAACAAAGCTATCACGAATACGGGTTTCCGCCCAATTCTATTACTATCAGCTCATTCGTCCAACGTGGTAAGCTCCTCGAAGATGACACATACCTGTCAGCCACGAGGCCCCAGGGGAATGCGGAGAGGAATCCGACAACGGCATCAAAACTACTCGTAAGAGCCATTATGAATGCTACTTTACTCTGTATCGAATCGTCTTTGCATCGTTCCTCGTTGATCAAGTTATTGGCATCCTCCTTAACGCCGTAGTATTGCCTGCAGATTATATCTTCCACGACTGCCGTAACAGGGATGCCGATAAATCCGGCAGATGACGAGGCAAGGAATGCGATTACGCAGAGGAAGTTCACGATAGTCCAACCATTGTGGACTTTGGGGACGTGGACACTTGCGATTGAGGCCACTGATAACGTTGGGCGATGCGATGGTCGTCGAGGACGCTCGTCTCTTAACAGGGGTGATGACTCCGTGAACTCGTCCGAGCCACGATGATGCTGAACGACACCACTCATCGTTGCCTCAGCTTAGGTACGTCTTCTATCTGCGAGATCTTTAATATCATATTATTCTCCTCGAGATGCAGAAGGAAAAAATATCTATTTAGTAAAGAGTAAGATGAGATAATAATCGCAAACCCATGGAAATGCCCAATGTCTTAAACGAAGGAGCTTGTGGGTACTCCGATCACTAAAAAAGGGAATACACCGAATTCCGTCATGTTGTGTTTGTGGGGCAATGTTGCTCATTGGTAGCAAATCAGAAGACACAGATTCGGGCCTTCATTTCCAAATTTAGATATGCCCTGACATGGGTGAATGACTAGGGAGTTCGTGCTGTGTAGCGCGTAGATAACTTCGCGATATGGTCAACGACATGCTAAAAATTACCAAAAAAAAAAATTTAAAAACTTCGAGGCTAGATGTAGTATCAAGTTCATCACTTAGATTAGAAACTCCCTCAAAATTAGCGTCACAAATTCAATCCAGCGGTTGCTCCATCGTAGATCATGAAGGGAGGCAGTCCCCTAACCTAGCAGCCTAGGTCGTACCTAACACCTATGTCGCACATCTTTATCACAAAGGGGTAGTACGAACAGCTGTCGTCGTTCAAACTAACTAATGTAAAGTGCTACCTTGACACATACTGAATCTACCTGCGTAGGTAGGTGTTTACAAGCCACAAAATGAATGGGTAGGTAATCACGGTGGAGATGCTGTCAATTGCCAACACAAGAGACAGTTGACTGTTTGGTGATGGCTTCCAAGACCATCTCAGAGAAAGAACCTCCACGACATGATGTTCCATTCTCTTTCTTCAAAGTTAAGCAGATTTATGACCATGGAATCCAGACTATCCTATCTGTATTTACGTATATAGGGGAATGTGTAGGGCAGGAGTTGGCGGGTATGGAGTGGTAGTAAATAACGACGGCAAGTGGTTGGGTTGTCCTCAATAATAAAGCAATCGCCATGGCTTCCACTTGGCCTCCATGACGCGAGTTGTAATGTGAAGGAAGTTGCAAAGCTTTAGAACAAGAAATCAACAATTCATTTCCCCATAACATTCGAATTCTCTCAACATGACATCTTCCAAATCCCTCTTCTCAATATGACACCAAAACAATCTTCAACTTCTCCTAGCTGACACGAACCTCTACGACCTCAGTTTTTGATGGCTACACAGGCTGATTGATATCAAGACCTATTGAGGAAGCCATTTTGTTTTCATCATTGGTCAGAACGTGATCAGCCTCTGTTGGAGTCACCCAAACTAAGAGGTGAGCGTTGCGATGAGGAGAAAATACAGCGACATCTGAGCCTTTCGGCAATGATTAAAACCCGTTACGATCTGAGCATCTCATAAAATGCGTCGGCCAAATGGCTGACGCTCGAAGTATTTATAGTCGCAGGTCGAGTCGAAAATTATTCGTCGGGGATCGATTACCTAGGTAACCAACTATCTTTTCGAGTCGAACCCTAACTCCGCCATTCCTTTACTCCTCCATTTAGTCACAACTTTCTCCCTCCACGTAAACGCCCCACGGTCTCCACGAAAACCTTCAGCTAGCCCCTGGAAATAAACTCGTGTTACTTTCGCTAAGTGCCATTAACTTACACACGAATATCTGATCACCTACCATGGCGTCTAAGCTCCGATAGACACAATACTTAAAACCTTCTAGGTAAGTAAGTATCTACTAGTTCTACTTACCTACTTGTTGGTTTGAGCTTATATGCGCCAAGACTACCAATACGCATGCTCTCCCTAATCCTAATCACGAATCAAAACGCCTCGTATCTGCCGAGGTCCCTATTAGGCTTGTCGATACTGGGGAATAAGACGGGCAGGTTGGAAAATAAGCAACATATTAGAGAAAAGAGCGTGATGATGGAACTTGATGGAAGGCCTGGAAGCGATGCTCGAGTATATCCTAGTAGTCCTAGAGAGCACACCGAAAAGATTACGATGTGAAATCCTTGAAGGAACGGATCACTTTGCGATCGTGGTGAAGCCCGGTGAATGTACGTGTAGGACTCTATCCAATCAAAGCCCTCCTATGTCGAATATGATATGTCTGTTGACCTACCTCGGTAGGTAGTAGCCTAGCTGCCTAGCTGCCTAGCCTCGCGATTAGATCCCCCATCCACAGAACGATCTATGCGGGAGCAAGCCGCGTTCTAGAACAGCATACGATCGTCATTACTCAACCGTTTACATAACAGACGTACGATTTGTGGGGAGAATGAGGAGACTGTTGAAAAAGGGGGTTGTAGAATCTGCACGCGACCAACTGTACCCAGCTATGAAATCCCATACTCCCCTCCCATCCCCCCATCATCGCCTATAAAAACAGTAACAGTACCATGGATTCTATCATGTAGTATTCTACAGCATATTCTTACGTCAGCACTAGATGACTAGGTAGTACAGGCGGGAAGGGCCGTGCATGATATCAGATCGCCTTAACCAGAGTTGTGTGTGGCCAATACCCAAGATAGGGCTTCCAACGGACCCCCTTGTCGGAGGTTCATCGCTGGATAACTGATCGATTTCGACTCGTGGCACCAGCCCTGACCGCCCTAACCCCAGCTTATTAGTGGAGATATCTCCTGGCATCGTGGCTCAAGAAGGTTAAGATCGATCCCTGGTGACATTGTGGAGCGAGAGAAATTCATTTCAACAAACACGGCCGGTCGGCTCGGAACGTCCAACCTTGGCCCAAAAGTCGGCAACCCGTTTTCCAAATCTTGCCTTCGACCAGGGGTGGGCCATCGCCCATTGCTACCTACCCACGCACCTGCTGCTTAAATGTAGCTGCATATCTACACGAAGACGCACACCGGCCCGAGAATCTGCTCGTCGGTCTGGTTGGTTACCTGCAACATCTTCACCGGTGGAGTAGGTACATACCTACCTTGACTTACCTTAGGTACGCCGCTATCTTGACTCCGCGTCCCTAGACTATAATAGAGAAACGGTAGGTAGATATAGGAAGTACCTTAATACCCGAATACGACGGCCCCCAAAGGTATGTACTGTACCCCCAATCAACCGTTTCCATGAAAACCACCCTATACCATGTAGGTACTAGGCACTAGGTAGGTAATCATATCCAAGATCTGCTACTCGTCAGAACTAATCTTAGTACGACGCGACGGGGACTATCAGAGCATCCCGAGATCTCGGGATGTGTGACCAGAAAAAGCAAAGCCGTTGAGCCTACGTGTGGTAGGTTCAAAACCCAACGCCACCACGCTAAGAGGCTGGGGAGAGGGGGGGGAAGAGGGGGGGGATCCAAAATCTCAGATCAGGACCTCGAGGAGCTGGTCAAATAAGCATCAGTAACCCTCCAAATTCTTTTTTTTTCCTTTCTTGCGATGTGGCAGGAAAGTCAACTGACTGACCCCATCGGGAAGCCATGTCGCAACGATCGATACGCCCATCACATATCACATTTGCAAGCATCTTAGACACACCCTTGTCTTATTAGAAGGAGGGAGGAATACTCACCTTTCTGATGCTCTGGACCGTATCTCCTGTATCTCCCGTATCTCCACCGGATCATATCGCTTCGTAAACGAGTTAATGCTGTCCATACTACCGAGAAGTTTCCGAGTTACATCATTTTAGTCCCAATGTTTCTTTTTGCTTTTTCCATATGTACCTCGTGAGTCGTGTCATCGATTTGGAGGGCTCCCCACTTATGGCTTGGCAAGATTTTTGGCGTGAGTTGGCTGGGGGGTGAGGTATGTATATATTAACGGGTTTTGTCGTCTGTAGTCCAGCAGGGAGATTTTGATCAGATTTCACTTTTGAAAAGATGGGAATGATATAAGGCTCCCCGGATACACCCTTGTTGGGGCCGCGTCGACAAGTCACCGCTTAGCATATGCAATATCTGCAGCAGGTGCTGTGTGTGTAGACGTATCAGCATCCAATAAGATCATCAAACCCGGTTCTAATATGCGTAGTGCAGTACACAGGTGTTGTGCAGTGACTACCTGACGTAGACATGAACTGGTCCTAACCCCGAACGCCCCCCTTTCAACAACTCCGCGCCGCCTGCGAATGGATGGTAGTGACCCAGAAACCCAGGTAGTTAGATAGGGGACGTATGTCAGATGATGCGATGGCGCTGCGACCATCCAAAAACAGTTCATTACAGGACTTTCCAGGCGGCCAGGGATTTCCCTACACACTTACTTGACCGGGATCGTGCTTCTGACATCCTGGTCGCTGTAGCCTTGGGATTCACACATCAGAGAATCTGGCGTCCATATCTACCGTATCTCGATATTACGATACACGATTTGCAAGGGTGGAAGCTGCAGCTGTGGCCTAATAGCCCTGCAGGCATGTCTTATGTCTCAGCCAAGCTGAGCCTGTGAATTCAGTACTTCCCTGGTTTTGTACCGACCTTGACCAACCATAAGTGGAATTCTGTGTGCGGCCTCTCCCGCCCAGAGAAGAACACATGGGGGCCATGAGCCGCTAATTGCTTTCAGAGTCACTTGTCTGCTTATTTCCGGTAACGGGTGAGGTTTATGGGGTATAAGTATACCTGCTTTTCGTGTTCGGACGCCGTTAACGGATGCCTTTCATACCATATCATCTTAGGCAAACATATCTTCTCTCTTATCTGGTACTTCTAGCGAGAAGTGCATAACCATATTAGCGGCGCTCTGCTTTTTAAATCCCTTATCAAAAATGGCTATACAAAATGAAAAAGAGAGGCCCAAGGCGGTGTATAATAAGGCTAGGACTGAGCAGTATCGTCGACGGCAATGGCTGCAGGTTATATCCAACCAGATCCCTAGAGTCACCCAAGATATAAAACAAGAACCCTTTGTAGTGGAACCGGTGCGGCCGTCTTTGGATCACGAGAGCTACGTTCAGTTGTTCGCGTGTCAATTATCGAAGAAAATCGCGGAACAATATCTCGACGTTATATCCGTACCCCTACCCCTGCCGAAGAATGGGACGCGTTTTGAGCTTCTGCCCCAAAACATCATTGATCGAATCTGCAGCTACGTCCCCTACGAAAACCTCCTCTGGCTATATCAACAATCCCGAGCACTCCATAGAATCATCGACCCCCACCTCGCACCCTACGAGACGAAAGCCTCGTTCACACTACGGGCCGAGCGAGACTTTCCCCAGCATTACAACGCGAAACCGCCGAACCTAGGCTGCTACACGTGTTCCCGGGTCCTAACAGCCGCGATATTCGCCACTAACCAGCCTTTGCAGGCTCTTCTACGGCTCACGTCGTCGGATGAAGAAATGGTAGTGAATTTGCGTCGGTTCTGCATCTACTGCGGTATCCATTCTGGATGCCACAAGCCAGGTGACGAACTCAGCACGCGAACTGGCGGACGGTTTTGGATATGCGACTGCTTGTACATCCTGGATGACGCGACTCCCGGCTGTAAGGGTTGTAAAGCTAGGTGTCCTCTTGTACCGCGTGGAAGAGTGAAATTAGCGGCATCGTTCAGATCGAGAGAGGGTTCATAAATCTTAGGGCTGTCTTGGTGTATTGATAGGGGTAAATTCTATCATCGAGGGTTGGCTAAAGATCTTGAGCCATATAAGGAGGCAGGTATATATGGTTAATAGTGTGCAAGTTTGTGTTTTATTTTGGTTTTGACGGCCTCGACGGTATAGCTAGGTGTTGGGTGGAGGAAAAGCGAAGGTAGGCCATTTGATTCATAGCTATACCTGGTACCGGGCGGCAACAAGCGTGTTCTGCTATATTGGGAGTGAATTCGGTTGTTTGGCTGGATTATTGGAGGTCTGTCCTATTTAGTATCGCTATCTCACAATGGAAATATTTTCAACAAAAATCACGGGAACTTGATTAAATGGCCTCCCCCCCAAATGCGTATCTACCTAGTACCTAGTAGGTACCTAATACACTCAGTGATTTAGTTGGTGGGCTGAAAGACTAAGTAATTCGTGATTCACCTGTCTGACATTGTGGTGGGCAACCCAGGAACCGAGTGCCGGTACCCCCACGCAAAAGTGTCGAAAACTTGCTTAAGTGGTCTTATTTAGCATAAACTCCACGCAGATGGCAGTTTCAGACCCAATAGTCTTCGATCGCCATGTAGAAGAAAAACTCTTGCAGAGCCACAAAGCCAATGAGCAGTTTACGTCTTAACTTTCCAGATAGTACCCAAGTCGCTGACGTATCTCCTGCTTTGTCTATAGCCCCAACTTGATTCTCCTTATGCTGCACATGTGACAAGGCGCTTGTGATTCTCGGTACGATCGAACTCTATTATGTCATAGTCGTGAAAAAAATCTAGGATGTTCCCTATTGCTGTCATCTATCACCTACGGAGCCCCTGTTATAGGCCACGACGATGGCGCAGGCGGCGATGTCTCTGGATATGCCATCTTAGACTTCCTTGAGTATGATGACGACAGGGTTGGCACTGTGCTTACAATGATCTGCCCAGATGATCCGAGAGGTAGAATTAGGCTTCATGGGATTTAACATACCATTCCCGTACAATATCGTAGCCATTGGAAATCTGATGTCTTTTGGTATAGGTAGTGCATGAAAATGCAGGAAATCGGTGCATTTTAATCCACGTCATTGTGTGGATATCTCTCTTGCCGGCTCCGAGGCAGAGACCGAGTGTGGCGGTGTAGTGTGGAATTATTTCGGACCCCCGGCCACGGATTTAAGGGCGGCGTCTGTGTCATGCCTACCTGGTGCGCTTTGGTTCGCGAAGCCGAACTATCGGCAGGAAAACCCGTGGAAGGCCGAGGCGCCCCTCGATAGCTATGAAATGATATGCGCCGATAGTGACGTACACCTCATCGCTCCTATTCTATAGAGAATTTTTATTATAATTTGGGTAGCATTCTTAGCCGTGTGGGATTTGTTCCGAAAAATGACGGGGCACCACCTCGTCGCCGAAGGTGAGGATGGCAGACAACCTGACCGACTGCTGCTTGCTTTCTCGGTGAGCTTTCACAGAGCATAAAGGATCGCATGGCGAAACACGTAGCAACCCTCATATCCCCGGCGGTGAAGTCCGTGATGTTGCGTTGCGTTGTATTGCGTTCAATCTATTTTCTTCTGTACTAGCCATCAACCCCTTTTAGGAATCGAGATTGAAGTCTAGATTCCCGGAAGAGGAAACACTCGGTTATGCGGGGGACTTTACCGACGTATTGCGGCTATAACACTTTAAGAAGGACGAATTCGCGGACCTGGTGTAGATGTGTAAGCGGACGGCACAATGTGCATTCCCTTATGCAGTAGACCAGGTCTACGCGGCAAAGGCAAACAGGGGACGGAGAATCCGCAAGCAAGTCTGCGGCGTAAAATAGCCGCGAATGACAACATATGGAAAGGAAACAAAGGGTCCTCAGCAACATCCGATAGGTTTCATTATAAATGAATATGAATGCGATGTAGTATTCCGCGATTCGGGCGAAATTTGATAACGCGGTAACAGGTAACACATTTTGTGTTGGTAAAAGTTTGGATTTTCACATTTGACTAATTTAATGTCAAATTTAGGTAAGGTTTAGTGAGTTCGATTACATAATACATATTTTGCCCAGTGCAGTGTCCTGGTTCGTTACCAACAGGCTGGACCCATGTTAGTAGCGATAAAGTTTCCGGGGCATTTCCATGGCATCGGCACCAGTGAAGTTTTTCCCCTGAACTAAAACTACCCGGGTACCTACCCGGTATATATGAACTTTAATATTGACTAAAGCAATGACAAATACTAAGTCACCACCAAAAATCATCGCAATTCAACGTATCAACTGTTTTTTTCTAAATAAAGTTATCATACACACTGGGGTTCCGGTTAGTTCTGCACGGTTGCTGCATGGGGTGTATTGTAGATGAAAGTATCCTTGCCCTTGCGATAACTAACGTTAGGCTGACCGGTAATTTCAAAATAACGATGTTCCCGCAGTTAATCACGATAGGCTGGCAAATCTATGTGCTACCTAGTAACGACTACCTACCACCTATCGGTCGATGAGCCTCACAATATATCAAGCCCAGGCAGATCCCATTCCAGGATATTTATAGGTCAGCCCTGAAGTTTGCGCGGATCTATTCCGTACCAGAAGGCGAGGCTAAAGTAAAGCTAAGCCCATGCTCATGTTCCGCCAGGGTCCTGGCTTGGCCGCTAAAATACGAGGGGCGCGGACCGCGGGGCTAATGCCATAAGTGTCTTCTTCCACCAGCCAACTGCTATCGTAAGCGATTGTTGGACATTCTACCTGGCTTGATCTTTTCGGCTGAGTTCGAAAAAAAATTATAACATGACCCTATGTTAGGAGATGGTTGAGGCAAGGGAGAATGACGATTGTAACCTTCTCTAACTATTGCGAGGCCCCCCAGTTCCGCAAATATGTGATGGCAGCGAACTAGAGCGACGTGCCCCTCCGTGGTCCTAACTTAGCCCTGCTCAATAGAAATTAGGGACCGGAAATGAAACCAAACGCAGGCCACGCTACTAATAACGCCCGCTCAACTTTTATAGGATATTCTCCGATTTGAGTGTCGCGTAAGGTCAAGTCGGGGCGACATCCGACGAGATGTGGTCAAGAGTGAGAAGTATGAAATACTACGGGACGCGGATCTATGTTGGAAGGTGTATCGCGATCCTCGAATTAACGAACGCGAACGAGACCTTGTTAATCTGTTCATATGAGCTCTACAAGGGGCGAGAAGTATACTCAACTTGTAAGTAGTAGATGTCCAACTGCGTCTCAAGGTCCCATCAATCCAACCTTTCGGGCGTGCCGTTGCGGCCAGAATATCTGTTCATCGCATCCACACTACAGGCAATGGTAGATCTGTGAGTGATAAACACAACGGTTGCAGAGTCGGTGATGTATGAAGAAGGTATTTAAAATTGGGGGATTTATTGATTTGTCTATCTATGTAGGTTAGATATCGCCAATCAAATCAACCCGCCCATTTAGTTGATGCCGTCAGCACGAATGACGCCCCCGACAAGCGAAATATGATATGCAGAACACTATCGTGGAGGGCACATAATAAGCACGAGTAACACGCGCAATTCTTACGAAAGCACTAGATTATATAATGTCAGAAATAGGGGCAACGTGAAACCAGACCCCAGATACCGTAACATTATACCAGAAAATCGTGGCCTTACTTCCCCAATAAGCTGATTTAAAGGCGAGGAATTATGGGGGGCGGCCCTTCCCGTGCGGCAAGCAGAGAACTCACAAGTCTAGAGCGCATCCTTTCGGTATAATCGGTATATCTGTAAGTTTAGTCAGCGGCACAGCGCTGGCGATGTCATGACGACGCCGTAGCTAAGCCATAGCAGCCTGCTGGCTCGTGATAAGCATGTTGGCAGTGGAAGGTACACAAGCACGGCGGAGCTCCGCAGTTTCTATAGAGGTGACATCACGTAGGAAGTTCAGAACTGTGTAGAGATTTTGAGAGTGTTTGCAATGGGCCTATTCCACAGGAGTACCTGTATCACTCGGACGCGTCATGGGAACCGCAAGTATGCAATGCCGCGGAGATTATTGAACCAAAAGAGTACATTGGTGGGCTAGAATATGAGATGAAATTTTCTATTTGAGACTACAGGGGTCTCCTGTGTACTGCTGCTCGCGCAGGTAGACTTCGGGACCAACCCGAAATCGCCGTCTAGATCTAATGTGTGTACCTCCAAATGCCAAATTCCATCCAACACCAAAAAGAACATCCAGGGGGAAAGACTGCTCAGCAGAGCTTAGGTAAAAGGAAGAACTCGGAGGAATAGAGAATACGCTTCTTGCTATCGATGAAAGGAACCGATCTGGCATTTTAGCGGTGTAGAAGTTGATTCCCCTGAGACTCTTCCGAGCTGGCAAAAGTTTTAGAATGAAAGTTGAGAAGCGAAATTGGGGAAAGAAAAGTCCGTCGAACCCCTAAACTCCTTCATTTCATGCCTAATACCGGATGTTGATACAGTTGATGATTTTAGTTGTAGCCGCTCCGGCTTCTCCCGCGGGAACTGCTGGACTCAGATCCAGAGTCAGGGCTGTTAGAGCCAGTGTCGTTGGAGGGGACGTCAGATCCAGATTCCGGCATTTTGTCGAAGTTGTAGGTTGAAGATAGGGTTTGCCCGTAGTTGGTCACTCAGGTTTAGTGATATCAGTGCTTCTTGTATGCTTTGGTTGTGTCCTGAAAAAAGGACGAGCGAGATACTGAAGGTTGGCTTCTGTGAGGTGGCTAGAATTAGTGCTTGATATCGAGAAAGGGATGATGGCCGAGATATTATATCCATGAGACGTCATGAATGAAGGAGAGTGTCATACTTAAAGTGCAAGATACGGACAGTTACTTGATGTGTGAGTCTTAGTAAGGTATATCTATAGACTGAAACGTCAAGAGTGTATGAGAATGGTTGCTCGTGGAGAGAGAGATGGAAGAGACTGTAGTGGCTTGGGATGAGTCCGAGAGAAAGGATCTATAACCGGGAGGGAAAATGAGGATTATATAGTTAATTCACGTGTAACCAAGATCTGGTGTCTCGTTACTGGTTTTGCCATGTAGTAATTGGACGCTTGCGGTAGATTAGATCACTGCCTCAGCCCTACGGCAGGATTCCGTGGACCACACCGCAGATCCACCACTCCAGTGTAACTGAGGGCGTATAGGGGCTATACTCATTGCGGATCTTATACCGGAATAGGTCAGCCCACGTAAGTGTGCCTTGCCGTATGTATAACATAATTCTCGGCCGGTAGGTATGGAACGACGGAAGAATGAAAAAGAAACCAGGGGGTCTGCGGTTGGGTCAAAACAGGGTCTGGTCGATCCAGATGAACAGGTGAG